TAAGCTATATAAATAATATTTAATACTAGTTTATTATTAGCTAGCTTAAGCTTATAAAGCTTTACTAAAAGTATAATATTTAGTTTATATTTTTTAACTAATATAAGGTTTATAAAACTTAAAGTAGACGCTCTAATATTAGTTAAGTATTTAATTAAAGTATTACTTATTATTATAAAAAGTTCTTTTTTAAAGTCAAACTATTAACTATATTATAAAAGTTAATTAAAGTTAATATAACTAAAGGAGAATTTAATAGTAGCTAGTTTATTTTATAATTCTATTTATTATTTTAGTTTTTTAATTTTCTTTTATATTTACTTTAGCTTTTAAAGGTATTTTTTCTTAGAAATATTTAATTTAATAATTCTTTATAATTTATATTAAGTTTAATAATTTTAATTAATTTTAATTATATAGCTATTTTTTTTATTAATAAACTATTTTTTTTTTTTATAAAGTATATTTTTATTTTTTATAATATATCCTACTTTCCTATATTTTTAATAGCGTTTTTTTTATTTAGTTATTAAATTATAGTTTAAGGACAATATATATTTATATTTAAAGTTATACTAAACTTTAAAGTATTAGTACTTTTAAATATAAAATAAAATAAACTTTTTTTACTAGATTTACTATTAAGATTATTATTAATTTAATATATTTTATTATTATAGCATTTATACTATTTTATATATTTATAGTAATTCTTAATTATTATATTATTTACTAGTTTATAGTAAAGCTTTTTTATAATAGTTTACTTTAAGTTTTAAACTTTAAAAAAATATTAAATTTAAGGAAAATAATAGCAATAGTAAAGTAAATATAGAATTTATTAAAAGTCTTATTTTTATTTCTTTTTAAGCTTATTAAGAATTTAAGATTATATAGTAAAGTATTAGCTTTAATTACTTTATTAGTTTTTCTAAATATATTATCTAGGTTTTACTATATTTTATTAATAGTAAAGTAAAGGCTTATTATACTAGCGAGTATATAAACTTTAATAATACTAAATACTAGTTCCTTATAATAATTACAAATAAAGTTAATTTTATAGCATTTAGAAAAATATAGTACTGCGCTATAAAAGAGTTTAAAGAAATATTATAATTGCTAAATTTTATATTATTTATAACTAATTATTTTTTTAAACTTACTTAGGTTAGGATAATATTTATTACTATTTAAGATAAATATATCTTTAGTATATAAATATATATTTACTTTATAGGTTACTTATTAGGGTATAAAGTTATCTTTTTTATTAAGCTTTAAATTATAATTTTTATTCAATATAAATATAACTTTCTTTATATTAGCTTAAAAGTATTATACCTTTTTCCCTAAAGTTTTAACTTAAAATAATATATTATTTATATTATCGTAGTATAGCTTATAAGTAGCTTAAACCCTAATAAAATTTTAAAATATTATTTTTAATTATTAATTAACTTTTTTTTTTTAAATATTAACTATAACTATAATTCTTTTATTATTATAAAGTATTTTATCTACTTAAGATACTAAAGCTTCTAGCTTCTAACTCTTTTCTTTCTTTAATATTAAAGCTAATTTTATATTTAATTTATTAGTTATTAATAGTTAGTTTTTATATTTAAAGTTATTTATTATAGAAATTATATTAGTAATAATATTTTACTATATAATAGGTTTATTTTTAATACTTCTTACTAACTCTACTATATTATATATATAAGTTATAATATCCCTACCTATTTTATTTAAGTAGATAGTATTACTTTATTTAAAGTTAAAAGTAAAATAAGTTTTCTTTATAATTTTATACTTTAATAATATTACTAATATACCTTTAATTTAATTAGCAATTTCTTAGGTTTTATTATAATCTTTTTTATTTTTTATAATATTTACCTTTTATATTTTAAACTAGTATATAACTATAGTTAGCTTTTATAAAGCTTTATTTTCTATAATAATATAGTTAAGGTTATATTTATTTTTTATATTAGAATTATTTTTAAAAAATTACTTAAAAGTTCTATTAATATTTAGTAGAATATAAAGAAAATAGCTACCTAAAGGTGGGGCATTATTAAGATTGCGGATTTTAAGGTATATAATATTTATAGTCTTCTTAATAGTTTTTTATATATTTTCTCCCTTATTTAGTTTACAAGTTATTATACCTAGGTATTTTAAATATATAGATACTAATAACTTTATTAGGTTATATAATATTTAGAAAATATTATAATATAGTTTTTAATATATTTTTATTACGTTTAAATAGCGTTTTTATTATTATTATTAAAAGTAAAGGTTTTAGGTCCCTTATACTAATAATAGTTAAAATTATATTAAAGTCTTAGAATAATAGTTTAGAAGATTAATAGAATTCTAACTATAAGTAGAAGTCTATCTAAGAATTAGATAAAAGTATAGATAAATATATACGCTAAGCCTAATTAAGCTTAGTGCCTACTTTAAGCCAATATCTGCGCTAAGCTAGGCCTAGAGCTATTATAAATTCTAATTATACTAAGAATTAATAAGATAAAAGTAATAGATATATATATAGCGCTAAGTCTAACTAGGCTAGTACTTACTCTAAAGCAATTATATATATATAAGCTTTACTAAGACTATTATACTTTCTTAGCTTAAAATACTTAAAAGAAATCTTATTTTATAAGAATTAAATATAATTCTATATTAATATATAATTTTAAAAAGTTAGTTACTAGTTTTAAAAAATAATTTTATAATATTAAAGTTAAATATAATAATAAAATATAAACTTTAATTAAGTTCTTTTTATTATATTTTTATAATTAGTTATTTATTTTTTTAAAAAAGTATTATTTCTTTAAAAGTTTTTAAATAATTAAAATTAAGTATTTTATAAATTATAATAATAAATAGTTTTTTAGATTATCTTTTTATTAATTAAGTATTATTTTAACTTATATACTATTTATTTAAAAGTAATATACTTTTATTTTATATTACTAATATAGTTATAATTATAATATAAAGTATTAAGATATTTAAATAAAATTTATAGTTTTATAAAAAAAGTAAAATTATTATATTTATTATTTAAAAAATAGTAATATAATTAAGTATATTACTTTTTAACTAACTTTTAATATATATAATTTATTTCTTAATAATAAGATATTTATTTTATTATAATTAAGTTTATTTATTATTAAATTTTCTAAAAATAATAAGTAACTTTACTATTTAATATTATTATATAATATTTAAGATTAGTAATTTTTCTATAATAACTTAGTATAATTTTAATTATTATTACTTTATATTTTATTTTTTATTTAATTATAATTCTATATTAAAAATTTAACTTAAGCTTTAAAAAAAAAATTTATTTTAAATAAAAGTTTATAAATTATTAATTTATTTAAATTTTTTTTTTTTAACTTTTTCTAAGTTTTTTTTAATTATTTAATAATTTCTATAATATTAAATATTACTTTTTTATACTTTTTAAAAAGAAGTTTAATTATAAAAGTTATTTTTTAAAAAACTTTATATTTAATATAAAGTTTAATATTATATACTAGTTTTTTAGCAAACTTATCCTATTTTATAAAAATATTAATAATTTAAATATTAAATTCTTTTAACTTTTCTTAAATTATATTTTAATAAATTTTTTTTTAAGTTTTTCTTATTTAATTATAATATTTTATATATTTATTTATAATTAATATTAACTTTTTATTTTCTAGAAATTACTTTTTTAATTAATTATTTATTTAAAAAGTTTAGGAACTTTATTTACTTTTATTTAAATTTATTATTTAGTTACTATTTCTTTTAAATATAATTATTATCTATTTTTATATTTTTCTTTAAATATTTAAAAACTATTTATAACTATTTTTTATTTTATTATATAATAGTAACTATAGTTAAAAATAAGAATTAATAATTATTTAGCTTTTTATAAGGTTTAGTTTTATAATATTATTATTTAAATATTATAATAATAATTATAATTTTAATTTTAATATTAAGAATTTATTTAAAGATAAAAACTAGCTCTTAAAACTTAAAAAAGATAAAAAGAACTAAGATAAAGAACTAGCTTTATCTTAAATAAAAACCCTATTTATATACTTAATAAAAGTCGCTATATATTAATCCTTTAGTTTATATATATTTACCTTTATTTAAAAGTAGTTTATAATACTTACTAAGCCCTTAACACTATTATTTCTATATAATTAAAAGGAATATAATCTAGATTATAATATTAATAATAATTAAAAACTAGTATAAGTACTAGTATATAATATAAATAAACTTTTTCTTAGCTTAAATTAATTAAAATTTATTTATCTTTAAAGTTAAACTTAATATAATATATATAAAATAAATATTAATAAATATAAAACTTATTTTATTTCTAACTTATTAATAAATAATTTTAATAATTAATATTTACTTTAAACTTTATTTTATTTATTTATTTACTTTATAATAAATTAATTCTTAATTTATTATTATAATAGTAATTAAATAATAAAAATAAGAAGAATATTTTTTAAGAATTATATATAAAAGTCTAGAAACTAATAATAAAATAATCTTTAAAAATATTATATAATAAATAATAAAAAGAATTATATATTAGTTAAGAAATTTATATATTAATTCTTTTATTATATTTTTTATATAAGCTAGACTTTTCTCTATTAAGAAAACTAATATAGATACTATTTATATATAGATAATAATAAGCCTTTTTATGATATAAGGTCCCCGCCTACTATTTACCTAAAATACGATAAACTTTAGTGGTAGGAGGTTCACTGGCGGCGGGGGCAACATGTTCTGAAAAAAACGATACGCGTCCAACTCTTAACAACACGACTCTTTGATATTCGCCCGCGTTTTACACTACGAAAGCTGTACAGCGAACTTATGATACAAATGTAGCAAGCGCGGGTTGAGTTCAGAGTTCAATTGAGCGTGTCCTAATGGAGACCGAACCTGTTCAATTGGACGGAAGGACCTTGGAGGGAGGCGGGCAGTTGCTGCGACTCTCTTTATCGCTTGCTTCCTTGCTACGAGTGCCTATAGAGCTCTCACACATAAGAGGTAGGCGCGGTCCTAAAACTAATGTAGGCAAAGTTGGAGGTATGAAGCCAGCGCACTTGGCTGGGGCTCAGTGGCTTGCCAAAGCCACCGCCGCTTGCACAGATGGCATGGAGATTGGGAGCACGAAGTTGCTTTTTCGCCCACCTTGTACCGAATCGTCTGCGCTGAATCATGAGATCGGGGTATGGAAAGATATCTTCGAACAAGGGAAGGTTGCTCGGCAGGAAACATGTATCTCCATGTCAACACCAGGTTCGATTGCTTTAATTCTGCAGACCATCTTGCCGCACCTTTTGTTCGGCATGCCGTCGTCCATGCCTCTTCGTGTCAACATTGAAGGAGGCACGAATGTCTCCAAATCACCCTCTATTGATTATGTTGTCCACGTACTCCTTCCCTTACTCCACGAAAAATTGCAAATCCAAGAAGTCGGCGTCAGAGTCCACGCGCGTGGATGGAGTGCTGGACGCAGCAGTGTAGGCTACGTTAGTTTCGATATCACTCCCGTAGCGGCAGGACCAATTCCAGCTTTCCAGATATCGCGGCGAACTACTGTCACTCGCATAGACGTGATTCTATTAGCATCCGGTAATGATAACCGCCTGGCGATTCAAAATGAAGTGATAGCACGGCTTCAAACCCTGCTGCCAGGAGTGACGGTGGATTACGCAAAAGAAGAAGACTCAGGTGATGTTAAAAGGGCCTACCTGATGCTTATTGCAGAGACAGACTCTAGACAACGATTAAGCAGTGATGGGCTTTATGAAGCGAAGAGTATCCGAGGTCGTGGTAAGCGCAAAGGCGAGGTCAGTATCGACCTTTTGGACAGGTTAAGAGAATTTGTGTCCAGAGTGATAGACGGTCTTCAAGCAGAGCTCGCTCATGGTGGCGGTGTAGATCAATTTATGCAGGACCAGATTGTGGTTTTTCAGACCCTGGCAAGAGGATGCGCCAAGGTCGACACTGGCTCTATACAGCCGACACTCCATACACTTACCGCTCGATGGGTGGCTAGTAAACTACTAAATGTTCATTTCGATGACCATGGTCACTGCGAAGGCATAGGCTTTCGAAAAGCTTACCCAGATGAAATTGAAGCGGACGGGCAGAAGAACAGGACTTTGCAAGACCTGGCGCGGCTGGACCTGCACGACAATATATGAACTGAGGAAAGTGCAGTGAATGGCGCTGACATTCTGTATACTTAACAAGCCCTACAAGTTCTTAGATAACAACGTTGTTTGGCCGAAATCAATAGACCTTGCTGATTTTATGGTCTTGTAGCAATAAACACTTCAGCGGAAGAAATTGACCGTGACCCGAGGCTGTTAAACACTCAGATGTCCCTCAAGCGTCATCTTCATATTTGTTTGGGAGCGTAGTCCCCGGTCGATCAGGACCCAAGACCAGTCTTGCGTCCTCGTAGCCTAGTCCTTGCTTCTCAATTCTCCATCGTAGCCTTCTATAAGCTCGGTGTCTTGCTGTCCTGTATTACCAATCCCCATTTCCCCTACAGCTCTCCCTCCACCATATAGTTGGTCACCCTTTTCCCCTTCAATTTCCTTGCTGACAGCAATGGGTTGGTTTCCTCGAAAGCGCTTTCGCATATCTATCATACCACGCTTGCATTCACCATAACCCTTTTTCAGTTGTTGACATCGTGTCGGTAACTCTTCAAACAAAGGAGAGCGCAAACAATCTACTGCCTGATTACGTTGCTTTATTATGCAGTCGGAATTTTGAAGGCAATCTGCAAGAGCTGCACCTGGGAAATTCAACGTTAGTCATCTGTGAGCAAATCGAAGGCAGGTGTATATTGCTAACGTATGTCTTTACAAGAAGAAGGCATATTAAGATTCGGCGTCTTCAGCCGACGCAGGGAGTTGTTTCTGTCAAGGCCGAAGGTGACGTAAATTGAGGGCACTGGATCGGGCCGATCAATCCACCCTCCATACCCCCTTCCCACCTCTCTCTACGCAATCGTCGACCGCATATGCCCACACATAGCGCAGGCTGTACGGTTGTAGTTTTTTAGACATGGCGAGGGTCCCCTTTGTTGGGCGACTCTTTTGGTACGTCTGACCCCCAAACAGTCTTCATCCTCATAGCAGCAATGTTACTTGCTAAGCGGCAAAGGCGCGAGTATATTGCTTTGCTAGGGTCGTTACTCCTAGTCGCCTTAGAAAGTATCATCAGAGTGATTACTTTGGGGCTCCGTAAGTCAGCGTGACGGCGAAACTATATTTCTTTCGTTGATAATCTTGCAAGCACAACCTATTCTTCGTTTCTGCTACAACCGGTCGAAGACGGCCTTCAATTGGCTGTCTCCTTCTCAAGGTAAACAGTCAAGATCTGTCCAGAGATCCCTCGTCGAATCCATAGCCAATTGTTCCGACTTTGTGGACCTATGTTCTTTATTTGGATTTGTTGCTGAAGAACATATCCTCCAAACGGGTGATGGTTATTTGCTTGGTTTGCATCGTCTAAGTCAGGCAAAAGGCGAGGATAGTACCATTCGCTTCAATGCAGGCGAATACAGTACAAAGAAGCCCGTCGTTTATCTACATCATGGCTTGCTTATGAATAGTGAAGTTTGGATTTGCATGACGGAGGAAGAACGATGTCTTCCATTTGCACTTGTCCAGCAAGGTTATGATGTTTGGGTAAATCTGGCTCATCTCTCTTTGGTATGGACGACGCTCATGCTTCATAGCTCGGCAATAACAGGGGCAACAAATATTCTAAGAAATCCAGCAGAGTGTCTCCTACATCGAATGAATTTTGGGATTTTTCTATCGACCAATTTGCCTTCCACGACATTCCAGACAGCATTGATTACATCCTCGCCACAACGAAATGTCGTTCGCTTTCCTACATTGGCTTTTCTCAAGGCACGGCTCAAGCGTTTGCATCTCTTTCTACTCATCCAACGCTCAACGATAAAGTGGATGTCTTCATTGCATTGGCGCCTGCCATGTCTCCTGCCGGATTACGGAATGGTGTAGTGGACGCCCTTGTGAAAGCATCCCCGGAGGTACTTTTCTTGGCCTTTGGGCGGCGTAGCCTCCTGAGTAGTACTACCATGTGGCAGTCAATCTTATATCCGCCTATCTATGTTCATATCATCGATTTATCCCTTAATTTTCTCTTTCACTGGACTGCAAAGAATATTAGCTTCAATCAGAAGGTAAAAGCACCCGGACTTCTGACTTACAAAGCTGAATATGTTCGTAGCTAGCTGCGTATCCTCATCTGTATTCATTCACGAGTACCAAAAGCGTGGTTCACTGGTTTCAGATTATCCGAAACAAATGCTTTCAAATGTACGATGACGATGTCCAGACTCCTATGAGTGTAGCCGCAAAGGATCGTTACTATAAGGTAGCAAAATTTCCAACTAGGAACATCAGGACGCCAATAGTACTCATATATGGTGGCAGCGATAGCCTCGTTGATATCCAAATTATGCTTAAAGAGCTACCTCGCCATACTATCGCAAAAGAGATCCCACACTTTGAACACCTAGACTTCCTCTGGGCCGAGGAGGTCCACAAACTTGTTTTCCCTCATATTTTCGACGCTCTGCAAGTATTCACAAGGTCCCAACATTTGAAGGCTGGCCAAGCTGGGAATAGGACGTCAAGTGGACACCAGTTGTTGGATACGCCGCCGAGGGACAATTGCTCTTTGAGAGCTTCCAGATTCCCCCAGGCTTTCACAGACAATTATCCACGCCGGAAACCTGTAGGAAGCGAATGTTCATTGCCCCCATTTCTTTCAATGTCGACCGATCCAAGCTCGACCTCTGGAGATGATACCGTGCAAAAAACTCGGCATCCTCTACCGGAGTGGAAAACAAGTACAAAACAAAGTCGCCGGAGGGGTGCTAGCTCATCAAGCCTGAGAAGCTTCGATGGCGCCGCTACACACTTTAGTGAAGACGGCATCAGCATAGGAGCAAGCAAAGCAACTACAGGGATCATGAATACCAACCTTAATGAAGCCCAAGGACGAAGATCAATCGGTCGCAAGAAGTCCGAGCTCGCTTGATTATCGTACATTTGAGGCTAGACTAAGCGAGTACTACAACAAGTTTTCAACCACTCGTTGCAATAGTGAAAACTTAGCTAGCAGCGCTTGCAAAGTACTATGGAGCTTATGCTACTGTGAGTCTGTATCGATACTCGTGCACAAATGACAACTCCGTTAAATATCCTCTGAGATCTGGCTAAGGTGGTTGGCGGTGAGCGTTGGCTATCTAAGCAGAGGAGCGCTGTAAGCTGCCACGGTGAGCCTCTGAAAGATCCGCTTAAAAAACACTTATATCGGAGGAGGTACACCTGTTGCACGCACAAGGGTACTTCCTATGATTGATGTATCAAGATACGGCTTGGAAGGTCTCAAGACCAATAAGTCGAATCACCCGAAGAAGGATGGAAATACAAGCACTCGGCATATCAAAAGGAGCAGCCCCCGTATGATCTTGATGTAGCTGATGGATAGGCCTAATGAACGAGGTTGGAGATGCTTCTTTGGTCTACTGACGAGTGCATGCGTTGTGTTGTATGGATATGATAACTACAGCATTGAACTTCGTGCAAACTCTAGACACTGATGCATCCTTTTTCTCGCGCACTTGTTCCGACTCTATGCTGCTGGATTTACGCCTGTGGATGTTCCTTTTGTCGTGAAGTTGTATTGGAGAAGATAGGTAAAAGAGATAGCGTCGGGAGAAATTTACACGCTTGATTTACAATGTAATAGGCCACTCAATGTTCGGACCTGCTCGATGCGGTTGTCGCCTCAATCGTCATCGTACCCTTTAGGCATCTGTCGTGGACCAGTTGGAACTAAGACCGTCTGTCAGTGCTGGAAAATATAGCAACATTCCTATGATTAGAACGATGATGTCATGTTGGATGCATATACCTGGGTACGTCAATGGAATCCTTTCCCTCTCATAGTCATCACCAAGCAACCTTCGAATCGGCGGACCGACCACAAACATCGCAGGCCCAATGGAACCGATTATGAATGAATAGAATATTGCCGGCTTCTCATGAGAAGCCCAACGGAGATATCGAAGTGGCTGTTGGAAAAATCGTGGAGAGGCCATCACAATGGGACGACGCTTTCCCTGGTCAAACGGGGCCTCGAGCGATCTAGGGATCGACTCTGGAGTCTGGATGAAGGCCGCTTACCCTTCAGAACCGCGCGCTTAGCGGCGGGCCGCGATGCCGCGGCCTCAGGCGCTTTTGCGACGTAAAGCTTTTGCACAGAAGCTTCTCAGGGCCTTCGACGACCTTCTCAAGCCATTGTATTCCCCTGAGCATGAGATTGTTCTCTCTCCTAATATTATCGACATTATGGGGACTAGGACGAGCATTGAGTCACACGGGAGACCGACTTCTCGTCATCCTCGACGAAAGTACGGATAAAGCAAAGTATTCTGTTTTCTGGGGAGATCTGGAAGGTGAGTACCGTTACTCTTTGTCGAATCTGAAATGTGACAGCTGGTGTAGCAAGAGGCTACAGAACTTTCTTCGCCACCCCGAAGGCCGAAAAACTCTCCTTATTTCAGCATGGCGAGAGACTCTTCGACCACATTGTCGTCTTCCCCTCGAAGACTAAAGGTACGGGGCTCGAGGTCAGGAATATTGGATTTACAGCTAAATTGTGGCGTAGGATTAGGGCCTTCTTTAACGCCAAAGCTTCTTCTTCAGTTCATCAATCAGCAAGGCAATATTTTGTTAGCTTTGGCAGGGGACTCCCCCACTCCTTCAGCGATATCATCCCTTCTTGCCGAGCTCGACATACATCTTTCACCTGATCGGAATTCGCTCGTGCTAGATCATTTTCACCACGATGTTTTGTCTTCCTCCGATCAACACGACGTTCTTGTACTACCAAGACCTCAGCCGTCTCGTCCAGATGTTCGATCATTCTTCGGTGGTGATGGAGTTCTTGCATTTCCGAGGGCTGTTGCTCAAGAACTTGGTTCCCGAAGTGCATTGCTCGCTCCTATTTTAAAGGCCCAGAATACCGCCTACAGCTATAACCCGAAGGAGGAGAAGGAGATCGTTGAGGATCCTTTTGAAGTGGGCCAGCAGATATCAATTGTGTCGGCGATGCAAGCTAGAAATTCTGCAAGATTTACGGTTTATGGCTCTGTGGAGGCACTGGAGAATAAATGGTTTGACGCACAAGTCCAGACTACTGAAGTAAGCTCTATGCACACCGCGAATAGGGATTTTGCCCGACAAGTCAGTGCTTGGACATTCCAAGAGATCGGCATACTTAAATCTGGAAAGGTTGAGCATCACGAAAGTTCAACAGTACCCAAAATGAAGAGCAACGACGACGTGGTTCAGGTGGGCTTTTTAAATCCGTCCATCTATAGAATCAAGAACGATGTGGTTCGTCACTCCTTTATCTTACGAGTTCTCCCCTACTAATGATTAGTATAGACATTTAACATCGAACTTTCCGAATATGACCGTGATCATTTAAAGCCTTTCCAAGTTCAGTCACCGGATGCTCTACAAATTGAATTTAGCATGCTATCTCCATTTCAACGTTTGAACTTGGAGCCCGTGTCAAGAACTCTTAACAGCACTGTCTTTAGCTCTACCTTTAGACTGCCTGACCAACATGGCATCTTTCGATTCGAGGTCAATTACAAGCGCCCCTTCTTGACTTACATAGATGTAAAGCGAGAGGTGACAGTACGACACTTTGCGCACGATGAGTGGCCGCGAAGCTGGCAAATTTCTGGAGGCTGGGTGTGGATTACAGGCATCTGGGCCACTATCTTGGGGTGGGTTGCCTTCGTTGCCATCTGGTTGTGGAGTGGACCGGCATATGGGGAAAAACTAGTAAAGAAGATGCAATGATAGTGCAGAGATTAGCAAATCTGACAATCTGGTATTCTCTTCCTTTTCAGAGTTGTGTTTTTGCCGATCTGCAGGTAAGCAGGATTTCCTAGGAGGGAAGCCTATAAGAAGGACTGTCAATGATTCTTTCGGGATCCCATTAAAGAGCAAGTTAAGCGGTACGATGACAAGACGCATCAAGCAGAGGAGCGGACTGTAAGATTCACGCGGAGGGGCACGAAAGATTGTAATTCTGGTCTTGATTTTGACGACACATCATGATCTTATATCAGCCTAGCTACTGAGGACTTGATCCCACAGCATGCTTCCATGAATGTATTGAGAGTGAAGATGTCGTCCCAAGTCGGGATCGCCCGAAACATTTGTTGCATCTGGCCTATCGGACCAATATATGAGTTTAGCTATTGCCGTTCTGTTTCGCAAGAAGTGCCTTTGTCAACAAAACTAGTAAAAAAATAATGTTCGATTTTGACATCTATTATTGACGCTATGGAAAAGGGGTATGGAAAAGGGTAATGAAAGACTTCATTCGTACCCACGTGGTAGTTATGGGTGATTCCATTATGTGGCTTCGACTCGTATGTGAAACTGGCAGAATCTGTCCTCTGGGGAAATCGATAAGCTAGGCACAAGTTGTGCGGTTAATCTACCTTTCTTTCTGACGGCACCAACGTTTGAGGTGTGTTGATGGCTGGACCGGGTGAAAGTGGAGTTGCAACCTGAAAGCAGGGCTAAAGTGTACACAAAATGCAGTCAGATCGTCTAGAGTCCTTTTTGGATTTTCTATATGCCGACAGTGCTCGACTGCATTTCAGCCGACAAGCTTTTTTATATTGAGTGACTACTAAATGCCCGACCGATCCTCTCTCCAAGGAGCAAGATTAATGCGCTACCCTCCCTCCATCCAATGCGCAGTACAAATGGTTGACATGACGCGTAAAACTTTATTATGATGCTGTCAATGCTGTTTACGAAGATATACAAGAGACCGGCCAGGTTGACATGTCTGAGCAACGCTGTACACCGGCCTATGCAAGGATAGCGAGACCAAGAGCAGCGATGACAACAAGCAGGACTGAGTTGGTCCCAGCCTTGGATGCCGCTCCGGTGAAGGGAGTGACATTTGTTCCAGTGGGTGATGGCGGTGACACACCACTTGAAGGCGAAGCAGCAGAGCTTCCTGATGGAACTGCTGGTGCTGGAGCTGGCGCCGTTGGGCCTGCGACAAGACCGACTGCAGAGCTGGAGGTCTGGAAAGCGACTTGAGGAACGGTCACGACGGTGTTGATTGCCGAGTTGGACGTGCAGCTTCCTGACGGCATAACGCCGGCCCCTGCTTGGATGGGCTGGCCATCAGCCTGCTGGCTTACTCCTCCTGTGGCAGATGGACATGCCACTGGGATAGTGGCCGAGACCGTTATGACCGTTGAAGGTATAGGTGCGGCAGGAGCGGCAGCAGGAGCTTGATTAGTGCCTTGAGGAGTTGCGGGAGCGGGAGACGGTGTTTGACCTGCAGCAGCGGGTTGTGCAGGTGCTTGAGCTGGTGGCTGAACAGGCGAGTTCTGAGGGCTCGAGAATGGCGTTGGTGCTAACGTAATGGTAGAGGGTACATGAGCGACAAGACCAGGGTTTTGCGGAACATGCTGTGCACAAATAGCGACCAAGAAGGAAAGCGCAGATTGCTGCTCGTCGGCGTGTTGAGCCCAAGAGTTGACGCATCCCTGAACATTTTCCGTAAATTTATTATCCTTGCAAAAGCAGTCCGTGTCAGAATTGTCCTTGCATTTGGTAAGGGTCAGCCAAGTTTGTAGACAGCTCGGCAGCAAGCCTGGGGCATTCGCTGGTGGTGGTGGCTGCTCAGGCGTCTTGGGCTGCTCCGGGCTATTTGGAGTGGTTGGCTGCTGCGGGCTGTTGGACTGCTGCGGGCTGTTTGGCTGCTGCGGGCTGTTGGACTGTTGCGGAGAGCTTGGAATCGAACTCGTCTCTTTGTGAGGACTTTCAGTTTGCGGAGGCTGGACGCACTTAGTGCAAACAGTCTTCGTGCTGGTAACGACGACGGTAGATATAGTTGGAATGACCTTGACAATAGTGGATCCAGCGGAAGAAATCGTTTTTGTCTCAGAGCAGCTTGTGACCGTGGTATACACAATTTCCGTTGTAACAACAGGGACTGTGGATTGAGAGACCGGAACCGTTGGGGTTTGGGGTGACTGAGGCGTAGACTCAGATGGTGGCGGCGATACAGGCGACGTGGGAGTCTGTGGAGACTCTGGGGTCGTCTCAGACTTGGGCGGTACCGACGAAGGTGGAACTGGGGCGGTACCGGGGGGTAACGTCGAGTTCTTAGGTGGTGTGGGGGGTGAGCTTGGTGGTGGAGGAGGAGAGTTTGAAGGCGGAGGGGGAGGTGGAGGCGTGTTGGATGGAGGCGACTGGGGAGGCGTATTAGATGGAGGCGGAGAGGTTCCTGGCGGAGGCGGTGGAGGGCTGGTCCCAGGCGGTGGAGGGCTGGTCCCAGGCGGTGGAGGGCTGGTCCCAGGCGGTGGAGGGCTGGTCCCAGGCGGTGGAGGTGGAGGCGGAGAGGTTCCTGGCGGAGGCGGTGGAGGGCTAGTCCCAGGCGGTGGAGACTTGGGAGATGTTCCTGGAGGCGGTGGGAAGGGCGGTGAAGAAGGCGGTGGTGTGACCGGTTTCGAGGGCGTCTTGCTAGGTGGCAAGCTCGGGGGCGAGCTTGAAGGTGTTTTTTTGGGGCATTGATTGCAATTGAAGCCAATGCTGTGAAATGCAACTTGGCAGGGCTGTTGCTGTTTTTGATCCTCAGGCAATCTACATTCGACTTGGTCTGCTCCTCCGCATTGAGTATTAGGAATGGGTTGCGCTTCGCCTGAATGCAGAGTTGCCGGATGAAAGCAAGTTTGGCCGTATTTGGGGGAGTCCTTGTTGGTGTATTTGTAATGGAAGACGACCGGAGTATTGTCCTTGTCGCAGGACGCTTTCACATGGTCAATGGTGAATTTCTGAGGCGACGCAAATGCAGGGCCTCCGTTGCTGGTAGCAGGTCCTTTGGCGCATTTCGCCTGCAACGCGTTAGCACCACGGGGAATTCCCATTTGCATGTAAGTGGGGAATGGGTTGGATGGGAACATACTCCGCTACTAGGTTGAGACTGCTGTGGTGAACTTTGACCTTGCCCCGAAGCAGCGTGCTTGTCTTTTCCTTGGTCGTTGCCCTTGTCCGTACCCCATCGCTTCCACGAGGCTCCCCGAGGCACAAAGTCTCGTTGCTGCTTCTGGCTAGAGCCACCAAGCTGCCCAATGTCACAGCCAGAGAAATGAAAGTTGCCAACTTGGCCAATAGAGCCAAGGGGCAGTTGACTGAGGTCAATACCATTCTTTTTCTGGGTGTCACATTTATCGTCACATAAGTCCGGGAACGGGTTCGCCTGATTCCAGTCCTGCAATACATCAGTACTATTTCATCACCTCAAGCGACAGCGCATACGCATGTATCGCAGGCTGCAGCCTGCTGAACAGCCACTAGACCAACGAGAGCGGTGAGAATGTACCGCATGGTGACGGTGAGGAACAGCGATATTAAGAGATTAGAATACAAAGAGTGAATATATTAACGAAGTAAGCAAGTGAGTAATGGAAGGGTAAGAGGGCAAAGCGAATGACCCTCTCTTACTGACAACGAGGAAAAAGCAACCAGCAAACAAGACAAGCCAACGAAAGATGAAAGAAGAAGCTGGGAGCGAGGGGGACAACTGATATAAAACGCTTTTGACGACATTCTGGGCCTGGTGCCCTCGGCCCAGTTCAGAAAAGGGCAAGGGGTAAAGCGGTTGCGGTCTCGTAACATGAACCGGCCAACCAGAGGCAATAACTTTGTCATGGTCTTGTCTCAGTCATATGGCAAAGGAGTGGTTGAGTTCCTTGGAGCTCGTATGGTCGTGAGCACAAGAAATGAGGAGGACCAGGGGTCCCTTCACGGTAGCGGCGCGTGAAACCATGAAGGGTAGGCTTCTCTCCTGACTTGTCAGGCTAATGCAGGAACGGGGCCGCCGCGGGTGCTGAAAGGAGGAAGCAAGCAAGCCAGTAGCTGCATGGGATGGGGGAAGAGCCTAGGCTTTTAGTGAGGCCTCTGATATTCTTACCTACAGGCTACAGGGCGGCTCCGCGTTATTAAGCGCTCCTAGCTTGAATGTCACGATTTGCAGTAATCCAGCGATCAGGGACACCTGGATAAATATCACACAGCTCAGATCTCTTCAAGGATGCCAGAGAGCAGATTCAGTGAGCGGGGGGAGGGGAGCCATGACGGCCGAACTCGACAGACGGCGACGGGAGAGAAGCTTTGTCGACTTGTGGGGAAGCAGGAGGTGTGAGGTCTTCCAACAGGGCGACTATCTTAGTGCGGCGGGCCATTCGACTTGGGGCTAGTTGCGTCTCACTAAGGAATTAGTGCCCGCATTGCTCGCGTTTTGCGACTGCCATTCCCTGAGGCAATTACGGGGGCTTAGGGGGGCGGGGGGGTTTACCCGCCCGGGCTTTTGGGTCGCCCCTGGAAGCCAAGCCTGCGGTTAGGTACCTTGAGGTACTGGGCTTTCCTGACTTTCCATTTTCTATTTTGGTCTAGCCCGAGCATGATTGGTCGCAAGTTGGCCAAAGAAAGGTCACTTCAATCATGTTATATTGTTGATGTCTTGACCCTTGTAGGCTCCGAGCTCACGACGCCCAAGTACTGGCGAAAAGAAAGGAAATCGACGCGCTGGGGCAAAGTCCCCAAACGCATTAGGTTTCAAAGGGCACGGTTGACTATGCCACCCAGTAGCCTCCTGTTCAGTTACAAACCATTAGCTAGGCTGTTTCACCTCACTGGCAGCGTCTTCACTCCTGGCAGAAACCATGAGTGCTTGGCCTCGCAAATCTACAACAATGACTGCCGCAAATTGCCACGGCTTCGGCGTCGCTCCGTCGCCAATATCTATGGTCTCACAGTCTCGCCCGTCAACGATCTTCCGTTGCCGATCAGGCAGACATTGATACCAATACCGATAAGGGTCATGCATGGAGCTGTATCAAATCAGTTCTGTCCCAATCTGGAAGTCCGTTGCGCTCTGCATACCACGCCTTGCTTCTGTATTGTTCGCAACTATTACTTTTGCTTTCCCTGCACGCTTCTAATCTTCCCAATACCTATGAAGAATGGTAAATAGCCCACATGTTGTTACTTCGTCAAATCATTTTCCTACGTCATAATACACTGGGTGCATTACTATACAGCGACAATCCTAGGCTTGGTGACCACTTTTCTGCATGATCGGCAAAAGAGTAGCGCAACGTGACCTTTACCTTCTCAATGATCACATTGAGTGCAAGTTTCGCCTCGTGTGGCTAATTGGCGTTGGTCTTCAGGTGCCTCTTCAGAAACAGTAGTTCTATATCAAGGACGACAAATTGAGGTTTTCCGCAAATGCTCGTAGTGAGTCCATGATGCTAAAGGCACTTGGATTGAGGACGAGGCATATGTACAGATGGGTGGGTCATTCTCGTTTGTATTCCAGGTGTGTCCAGCGTTCAAAGAACGAAGGCAGAGCTACCACTGAAAACAGTCCAGTGCATGGGGCATCCGGACGAGAGATGAAGGAGCTAACACGCAAACAAAGGGCCTTTTGGGCCGAAGAGCTAGATGAACTATACCGTGTTGGCATGCCTAGCGTCTTTTGCTAGCAAATGGTACAGCTTTCCTGACTATCGAGCGGAGCTCTGCTGGGGGCTGTAAGCTTGCTTTGAGCTTGCCTCTTTGATGCTGCTGTGCACACTCGGAGGTGAAAAGCTGGTGGCTTTAGACTGTTGTGGTTTCTGCTTGCTATATCTCTGACGATTGTAAGCGACTTGCTGCTGGCGGCCTCTCTTTGAGTCACTTACCAGGCCTCCTTTGCATTTCTTCTTCCGTTACATGTAAAGAGCCTTTGCTGTGGCTCCGAGACACTCGACTGGACGATCGAGAAGACAGTGATGTAGTCTCTGACCCTTTGACTCTTTCTTCGATTGCCGACCTTTCCTTCTCCAACCGAACTTCTCGTCCTCTCTTGTGGCAGTACCAGAAAACGAAAAGCAACACTGAAGTTACTGTGAATCAGACACTATATGACTTCATGGGTTGGGGTCTTACTGACCGAAAAGAGCCAGCGAATAAAGCACGTTCATACCGAGGAAGGCTGGGAACCTCAACTTCAAGAAATTCATAATTGCTTTCAACATTGTTACGACGACCCCTGGTTTCGTAACAAGATCCTTGAGGCTTGGGATAGCCACCTTGACGCCGGTTTTCTCCGCACCAGCCTTTTCGGCGGCTGCGGCAAGCAGTTCTGGAGTGATCGATTTGGTCATCTTTGATGGAAGTTGCTCGACTAGCTTCTGGATCCAAGGTGGAAGGTGTTTATAGGATCTTTGAAGCTGATCTTCACTGTTGGTCAAAAGAGACTCAAGATCGCCGTACGCGGTTGGGACTCCATTGACCAAGTCCTTCAACACGAAGGTAAATCTGGCAAGGCACCATAATTAGCATGTTTCATTGACCCGACTCGCGATGTAGGTGATCGAGGAGGATCTCACTTGGAAAGCAATTCTCTGGATTCTTTACTAAGTGAAAACACGCGGTTGTCAACGGCAGCCAGATTAAGCTGCTCTAAAACGTCGGCCATTTCTGACTCCTCCTCTTGTGCTTCAGAATTGGAAGTCGGCCTTTCAGTTGATGTCGCGTTCGCCGACTTTGTATGCTCTGCAGCACTCAGCAAATCGGTCGCGGTTTTCTGAAGCTTTGCGTCTCTGCTGTCTCTCCTCTTCCAGCTCCATTTAGATTTCTTGACCTTCCTTCCCCCATCTTCACGCGTAAACGCTTCCCCATCGGCAGTCTTATGTGGCTTATCTTGAGCTATAGTCTCACGCGTTTCAGGTAAAGGAATGTGATCTGGGTTCTCAAGTAAAGCAACTTGTAGATTGTTTCCTTCTGGATTCCCTGCTTCAAGAATACTGCCGGGGCGAGCAGGTAAGGGCGGCGGGTGCTCTGATGGTTCGCCATCTGTTGTAATTCGCTGGAGGAAGTCTTCGTCCTCCGCAGTGAGAATTGGCTCTTCGACCGTTGTGGACGTCTTCCCTCGCTTCAGTTTAAGAAGATTCATCATTGTGACGAAGGGCTGAGTGTATTTTAAGCTTCGGCCAAAGGATAAGATTGAGGGAAATGGGATAATAATGGAGTGTTTGGGTTCCTTTATCTTGATTTCATTCTCACGCCTCACGTCATTAGACAGTTGCCAAGACGCGCTAACACAGGAGAGCGCGAAATCCACATCAAAGGCTGGCGGTTACTGTAAGTGAAACGGGATGGTTTCATAAGTCTGAGTGTGAAGATGAGACAATTCACACAGCTTTGTTTGTGACTAGACGATGCGATGTCAGTGGGACAGCAGAGTGATTGACACCTATGCGACGTACCAAAAGCTTAACGCAACTGAGATGCAGACCTACGTTCCTATTGGCAGACAAGGGAAATAGAATTGGGTGCAGAGGTAGAGTACCGGGCTGAAGACAAGTAGGACTTCAAATGGACAGCCGGTATCATTCAATCATGGATGGGATGTAGTCTCTGGGCCAGGGTCACACGTTTTGGAAGCGCGCACTGGAGCAACTAGTTCCTGTGCCATCTGAATTGCTCCGTCCATGTTGTCTTTGTTGTAAAGAAAGAGTCCCTGTAGCGCAGCAGGACTTGGACAGCCCACCGTGGCCCTTGTAGAGCTCTCAAGGAGACCAAGATCGACCAAGCGTCCCAAGAATCGAGCCTTATTCGTTCCCTCAGGATCAAGCTCGCCATAGAACCGATCCCATAATTTGCCTGCTTGCCACTTTGATACTTCACCAATGTGAACAAGCATGTCTACCCTGCCGGGTCGGATAAGGGCTCTGTCAAGTCGCTCCAAGTGATTAGTGGTCAGAAAAAGTAGGCGTTCCTCGGCGCTTGCCACCCCATCGAGCGAATTGAGCAACCCAGAAAAGGTTACGTTGGCGCCTCTATAGCCATCAATGTCTGTCTGCAAGCGGCGGTTGCGAAAAGCTGCATCTGCGTCTTCAAGAAGTACTATGGTCCGCCGCGGAACGACGGTCAAGAGGTGGTTCAGTCGATCATCTGTCAGACCCCGTTCGCTAAGGTTTAGCATCGCTATGTTGTAATCTAGTTCACCTGCCAGAGCCTGAATGAAAGAACTTTTTCCACTGCCTGGAGGTCCATGGAGCAAGTATCCCCGACGATACGGGATGCCTCTGCTGTAGTACCATGTCCCACTACACAAGAAATCTCTGACATCCTCCACTATGCGCTCCTTGACCCCTTCATCCAATACAACCGACTCAATAGGTCGTTTTCTGCGTGGGCTACCAAAAACTTCCCAAGATGACCCTCTTGAAGTGTAGACAATGGTCCTACCTTCCGTGGACTTCTCTGCTAGGCGATGAGCTTCACTGAACAACTCTTCAAAGACGTGTCGCTGCGAATAAAGAGCAGTCAAAGTGACTGTCTCCCAGGGCCGTCCGTGGGCAAGGTCCATGGATTTAGTCTCTCGAACGCGTTCGACCATAAGAAACGCATTTTTATAGCGTAGAATGTGCTTTCCAGGACCTGGGATCAGCGAAAATTGGGTTTGCACGGAGCCATTTGGATGCTCTACCCTATCCGTCTTGATTGATAGATGATGGATTCGGGGATTGAAGCGCCGGAGAAGATGCTGGACCAAACCTTTGTTGTTGCCCTGACTACTCGTAGCCTTTACTCCTCCGGACTGGACATGCAATTGAGACTGCTTGTGTGCCTTCATCCAATGGAGGAACCAAGGGTAAGATTCATCTTTTATGTTGATTTCGACATCTACCAAGAGTCGCCTCTTCAACAGGCTTCCAGCATGGCGAAGGCCTTTCTGTGCGGCTGCTACAACAGTGCCTAAGGCTGCGAGACCGAGTCCCTAGAGTACCCCTTAGTGAAGTGAAAGGCTCACTGCAGGATATCACGGACTGCGGTGAAATAAGGATTATTGGAGATCCCGGCCACATTATTCGTTTCTGGTAGAGGCTGAGCTTGCACATCGACCAGATCCACTGACCCTTGCATTTGCAAGACTAAAGGATCTTTGTGAACATGTAGTCGAGGATTGGTTACTCAGGGCTTTTTCAAATGATGCATGAAACTAAGCCTTTTCGGGTAGTCTCCTTCAATTTCACCTCAGACTAGTTTACTTACAACAATATACCTCATTGCCTTCAAAACTTGGAGACCATTCATCCTTTATAGGAATGATAAGTCTTGAAAATCCCAACTTATCAAATATAGCTTATTTAACTAAAAAGGGTAGAAACATGACTCATTCAAAAAAAGCCTTGAGTAAGAACCCTCGGGTGCAACCGTACGCCCAGATCTGCGTTGTCATACTCGTAAGAAACGGGCTCTAACAAGATCCTTGTCCGGGACCGCTTCCGTCTTACAAAAACATCATGAAGTATGTAGGCACGAATTCCTTCTACGGAGGTTGGGCTGCCTCATGCTTGCAGCATTTCGTCTCTCCTCCTGGTTTTCTACCAATCCTCTACATCGTGGTCACCTGTCAGTAAGTGCGAGAATGTCTGGCTCAAGTACCGCAGCATTTCTCCACGCAGCCACAATCTCCCTCCCTGCAATCACTGGTACGACCCCAGAAGAGCTTAAAGAGAAGCGCCATCACCTCAATGATGGGAGCGGCTTTATAAACCCCTGGGTCAGCTTTCGTAACGCCTCTGCTCCATCTATTCTGAGAGCTTTGTTATGGTTGCTTGCATACGCCTACCTTTGGAATCTAGCTAAGATCGCATAGGCGAAGAATAAGTGGCCAGTCCAGATCACCAGATACAATCCCCCCGACTGTGCCTGTCAGAAAGCCGCAATTTCTCTCGAATCGTGAAACTCGGAGGCTTCGAGCTACGTGTGAGCCGGTTCAACCAGATCACCCTTTCGACTGCATCCTGATGCTGAGCTCCTAGCTAGGGTTGGGCCATGCCTGCTACTTCGTTGAGTTCCCAAAAGGATTTCGAGTTCTGTTCGATCCTGGTAAGCCATTGATCCAAGTTCAAGCAGCAGGCTCAGATTACTCACATAACCTGACAGTCTTTAGTGAGCGTTGTTCACCTTTTAGCTGGCTTGGCCCAAAGCGATACACCGAGAAACCTTGCGGCATAGAGGATATTCCTAATATCGACGCTGTAGTGATATCTCACAATCACTATGATCATATGGATCACCCTACAATCATGAAAATTTTCCACGAGCATCCTGCCGTCCATTTCTTCTGCCCTCTTGGCAACAAGCAATGGTTCGTCAAATCAGGCATAGACAATGTCACGGAGCTCGATTGGTGGGATGAGCGCGACATTGCTCTGGATCCAGTGAGCTCAGATCCCCCGGCCTCGCAGGCTAAAGTGGGTGATTCGACCAAGCGAGAAAGCCCCAATAGCAGCTTTGAAGCTCGTATTGCATGTCTCCCGTGTCAACACACAAGCGCTAGGACTGCTTTTGACAAAGGAAGAACTTTGTGGTCAAGCTGGAGCGTTGAAAGTGGCGGTAAGAAGGTATGAGCAACTCCAATTTTACCGATCGTCCAACAAGCGTCAGTTTATTCAAAGCCATAGCTGTCCTCGCTTCTGACACATTGCATTTCCGGCGATTTCCCCTAATACATGTCGCCAAGATCTCACTGCATGACGTTGTGCTAATCGGGGGCCAACATTCTTACTAGGTCTTCTTTGGTGGAGATACTGGCTATCGATCGGTTCCTCAGCTCCCTAAAGATGTCGACGACTATGGCCCAGATCAACAGTATCCGCACTGTCCAGCTTTCAAAGAGATTGGCGCCTACCAAGGGCCCTTTGACCTCGGGTTAATACCAATAGGGGCGTACGATCCTCGACATATTATGTCGCCAATGCATGCCAACCCCTTTGATAGTGTGAACATCTTTAAGGACACGAAATGCAAACGCGCCATGGGGATTCACTGGGGAACGTGGGTGCTTACAGAAGAGGATGTTTTGGAGCCTCCTATGCTCTTGAAACAGGCATTAAGTAGAAGTGACATCCAAACGGAGGGCATTTTCGATGTTTGCGACATTGGTGAGAGTAGGGAGTTCGACTGAGTGACCTGCACACACTTGTCCTACAGCCGACGTTGAAGCAAGAATCAGACTGCTGATACTATGAAGTGCGTTCTTTTGAGCTGTACAGGAACGATGACTCTAGCTTCACAATCTTGTATCTTATCCTAATAAGCGTCAAAAGAATAGGCTGAAGAGAGCGTGGTAATGGTCTTGATCATTGTCTTGGCTTGTAAGAAGGACTTCTACTGAGCACCCAACGAGTACGTCTACAGACATGTAGAATATTAACGTTTCAGTGTAATTATATATGAGCAGCCGAGGGTTGATCAGTCGGGAAATGGTCACAGATAACAGAAAATACCAGGCACTTAAACCCAGAGCAGACTACTTTGTAGGGCATATTTCAAGGGCACCTCACCTGCATTAAACCCTGGAGCTAAGGGATTTCAATTTGGCGCGGCCATGCACCAACCATTGAACTGTTTTATATTGCTTAGTAAAATTTACTAGTGCCTCTCGAAGGAGTCGGGCGCGGAGCAAGGAAAATTCATGACTGTCGAGTCTGTTCGTTCATCCTGACAGATTACCTTCGAAGATAGTATTCAAACCAGAATGCACTCTCTGCTTTCCCCGAAGCTTCTACGATGTTACGCCAACGTGACCTGTGGCAGCTCAATCTGATGCAAGCGCCACGAAAAGGTCCAGCCCGTTAAGCCCAACATCTCCTCTAGTTTTGCTACAGAGGAACGTCTCGATCCGCGATAGCACCTTTCCTGTAGCAGTTTTATTGGGTGTGTGACGGCTGCGTTCAATATCTGAGGATCTTGTCGTCCCTCCAAGATGTTTCGCCACAAAAGAAGTCGTTCAAACCCCGTGAGCCGCTCTCCCAAAATGATCCAGGACCTCATCAGGTAATCGCGAGCTAACAGCATCTGTAGCCTCGCCCTGGAACTACAACTCCAAGTGCTGCTGCGACTTTGGCAGCGAGTCAAGCTTTCCTTGCAAACCGAGCTTCCAATGCGAACCTCTCGGCCTCTGCGGCCGCGGCAGCGTTGCGTTCACATACGACCAGCCCAACGCCAATTGGCGAAATACAAACTCGACGCATGCAAAGAAGGGGATCTGTTACATCAAATGGAAGTGCTCCGGGACGACCGGTAAGCCTACAAAGAAGGGATAGTGGTGGATCTATGACTGAACGGACATTCCGCGACCCATCACCGAGTCGCCCGGAGCGCCCGGCTTCTTCCCACGGTCCTTATCCCAACTACAAGGAAGAATTACCACCACCAGTCCCGGCATTACCGCCACGCTTCGCTTCACCACCACCCACGCTGCAAAATTCAAGGAGAAGGCCTGCTAGTGTAGAGCCGCCAAGAAGATCTGGATTGCCCCAGAAAGGGATTGTCGATCAAGGCGCTGACGACAGATATGGCTCTGGTGCTCTGCCAGTGCGGACTACGAACAAACAACGTCTTTCAAGTTTGGATACGACTGCAGTAGCACACCAAGCCGCGAACAAAGCCAACAACAGAGCATCTGTCAATTTCTCTCGGCCCATGAGCCCACAAGTCTCACTAGAAAGCTCTCAGCTTAATACCGAGCAGGAAAGATCGCCCACACCTAGAGCTGGGACGATAGCGAACTTGAATCCTGGGGAAGCCCAGCCCTTGGAAACGTCCCCACAGGCGACATCGAAGCGCCCGGCAAAGGCGAAGAAAAAGAGAGCGGTCGGCGATTCCGAAATGGGAATCTACTCTGTCGCAGAGCGGAGCGAGGGGGGTATTAATACCGGCGAAAGTCTGGTGGCTACCAACGATAGGAGAGACAAACCTCAGAATGACGTGCCATTTCGGAATCCAGCACATACAAATCAAAACGTTGGACAATTGAGTGCCTCAACCCCTACCAAAACGAGAAAAAAGAAAAGGCGCACCCTACCGGTCGCTGAGGGCGAAGCTTTGAAGAATGACGACACATTTGGCAGCGCATACCCTTCCGACACCGACTCTGCAATATCAGATGTCAGCAGTACAACAGATGTACCCCGCAACATCAGCACGCGTGCTACTGGTACTCTCGGGAAGCAGCCATCGATCCTCCGCGAAGATCGAGAAGGAGAAGCAAAAGCCGAGAATAAGACTGGGATTGGTAGGACAGAGGCTGGTCATATGGCAAGCGAGACTTCACATTCTGAAAATAATACCGCCAGGTCCCCCGCGATACAAATGGATGTGGCCACAACACAGGGGCCACAGGCTTCAGTAAGGCAGCTAAAACATGGCTCTGGACCCCGCAAGGTCAACATGTCAGAAGACTCAGCGTCATTGAGTCCTGCCCGAGCTGCACATTTCTCGGCCCGTTTGGTGTACGATTCGCCCACTGGAACTAAGCACCAACCACCTGCTCGGTCCGCTTCTCCGGCTAAATCTGCACTCAAAACCTCTCCATCACGGGGACAATCACCCGCTTTGGTCCGCAACAAGGCATCCACCGCCGGCGAGACTTCAGACACTGCGTCGGCAGTCTCGGATGATAGCAGCAGGCTAGGCGCCAAACAGTCTCGGAAGCATGCGCGAGTCAGCTTTGACGATGACTCGATCGTCATGGACCGCACTCCAAGTCCTAGTCCTCGAACCCAGCTCCAAGAGAAGCCTCGAAATGAGCAAGTACGGAAGGGTACGACATTACCTAAAGATGATGATCAGGAGCACAAGGATATGGCAATTAAACCTACACCGGCATTACCTTCTTTCGGCAGTGTACGGAATTTCAAGGGAAAAGATACGGAGACCTCACAAGCAGTTGGGAAGTCTTTGATTGTTAAAGGTACGGATCAAGTCACTAGCCCTGAGCCTGCTTCTCGTAGCAATCTTGGGCGGAAAAGTGAGTCTGGAGTTAGCACCGGCCTTTTCAAGCCAGATCATCAGGATGTAACATCGAGTGGGATTGCGAAGGAAGGTACTGACGGTCTGCCAAAGACAGTCACTACTCAGGTTTCAGCACCTTCCTTGGACGAGAAAGTTCGGGGCGGCAATAATGCCGAGGAAGTTGAAACCAAGACAAAAGATCCAAGGACCATTGGTGAGCCTACTGGGATATTAGAAAGCCTTGTGCCAGCAATTGCTGTCATGCCAGCAACTCCTGGTCTCGATGAGAATGGCACCGAAGGTAGAACGCTAGGCCTTTCCGAAACCTACCATAATGAGACGAAAAGTTCAGAGCACGCTATAAATTCAGAAGATACGGGGATAGTTCACCAAGCCAACAATGTTTTCGACTCTCCATTAGAGCCTCAGCGAATAGAGCAAGCAGGTATTCAGAAGAGTATGGCTGACGAGCATCACCCTTCGCCTATAATCACTCCAGCGACACTAGGACTTGCGGAGCCTGATTCGGGAATGGTCGCAGCGCAGCACGAAAGTGGAGCGCCATACGTGGGGGACGTGGCGTTATCCATCCGGACGCAGATTGATTCACAGAGTGGGGAAGAGTCGGCAGAAGATGATAGCGTGTACAGCGATGCTGCAGAGGATCAGATAGAGAACGAGGGCGATGGATACGGGTCAATTAATGCGATTGTGGAAAGCCCTACTAGTCCTCAATCCCCGCTCGCCGACAAGTCGACCACTTCCCCCTTGCTGTCTGGGGATCAAACTGACGTCGATCAGGATAGAACTCTAGCTCTGAACGCAACGAAAACTAGCGAAGATATTACGAATGAGCAACAGAACAGCGCACAAGGTTACTGGTCAGGTCTGTCAGCATCTCAGAGACAGCAATTAGAGCGTGCGGCTCTGCCTGGAGCTGTGGATGAGCGAATCGTTCCCGAGAGAACTATGAGGGGAAAGCAATCAATTGCAAACAAGAAAAAGAAGCAGGCTACAAAGCCAGTAACAGCTTCGTCTGTTCGAGGAGATCCTTCGAGTCAAGTCGAAAAAGCCAAAAAAAAGCAAGTGACCACACCGAAGATGTCGATCGAGAACCAGCAGGCCTCTCCTCCAGCACGTTCCGTGAATTTGAAAGCTGCCAACCCAACAAGAGCACGACCGGCCACATCTGCACCAATTGCCGAGGACACCTTGTCTCCTCTCAAAATTAGCAACAAGCATGCAAGAGCAGCGTCCGCCAATGTCACACTAAACCCAGTCACGGCGAAGGCTAACCAGGCTAAATCCCTTAAACCTCAAAAGCCTAAGCTCGGACGCACGAAATCTAATGGTAGTGATTCTGACAGTAGCTTCAAGCGCAACAGGTCTTCTAACCTCAACACTGGCAAATATCAAATGAAACGATCCATGAGGGGCGGGCCAGCTGATACCGGCTCCATACCAGCAAAGCGTGGCAATTCTGTGGGTGTGAGAACAGTTTCACCAACCAGTTCGGCAGGAAGGAGGGCTTTCAGTCAGGGTAGTCCCACAGGAATCGGTATGAGAAAATCGATGCGAAGCTCACTTGACTCTAATCAACAAGGCCGGACGTCTTTACGCCTTTCGATGGATTCTAGCAAAGCTGGCCGAACGAAGTCGCCTTCCCGTCTCGGCTTTGGTCTGGGATCAAAGCCCAAAAAAATGGAGAAGCATAGTGGTGCGAGAGGATCAAGAGGCTTTTCAAGTCGATTTGGAGATTCTAGTGATGACGATGACACCTTCGATCTGAGGGCACAAAGTCGATTCGCAGACTCTAGCGATGAGGACACCCCCGACCTTACTCCTGTTCGAGGGATACCACGTCAGATCGACGAAGGCGACTCCACCGAGCTTGAGGATTCGTCTACGGAGAATGTTCAGGAACCGAGGAGCGGCAAATCCATTGACACACAACCAACGTCAGTGAGTGCACCAAGTTCAAAAACAGAGGGTCTCGCCCTGGCTTCCGGATCTTTGCGCTCCCAGTCCAAAGCCGGTGCACCAACCCCAGGCTTTTCACAGTTGGACGTTGCCACGCCAAAAGAAAAGAAGAAGCGGTCAATATTTGGAGGATTTGGCAGTAAGCGGAAGGAGAAACTCGAGACCGCACGTATTACTCAGCTAGGCACTCTTCGAGAACAGAAAGAAGCCTCGCCGCCAGCCATACAGGCCTCGTCAGGCAGTGCTGCACAAAATGAGCAGACTGTTTCGCAAGCAAGTCCCAAGAGTCCCAAGCTGCAAAGGCGGATGACTCCAAAGAAGTTGCCTACTGCTAGTGATAAGTCTTGGCCACTGGCTGGCAAAAACGAAAAGCCGGTTGCTAGCAGACCGCAAACATCTGACGGCGCCCGCCCTAGCGATCTAGGATCACGACCTGACATGGGCAATCGGCGAGTGACGCTTCAGACTCCAGTACTACCTAGTCCTACGGCGCCCATTGTAGATGGGCTAGTGACGAGGAAGAAGAGATTTCACACGTTGCGTAAGGCCTTCGGGCTTCGCGATTAATTTCCTTTTTCTCTATTCCATAGCTCCCTGATTCACAAGGGGGTACTTGAGATTGATCTACTCGGCGCGTTCGCATATTTAGGAGAAAGCGGCGAGATACCCTATGCAATCATTTCGTCTATTGACTGCAAGTACGTACACGAAGCGAAGCGAAGCCTTCTATTCACTAAATATAACTATAATAGTGTTTTTTATGATTTTGAACTCAGCTCGGCTTATATTGGGTAATCCTTTGGGTGATACTTCGAGTAAAGAATTAATCATTTACGTTCCATGGAAGCCATCCGTTGAGAGGACCCGAGTGAATGCATTAGACATACTACAGAGGCAAAAGGTCGCCCTGAACACAGCCGATTGCCCTCGCAGAATGTCGACCATCCGCATCGATACAGTGCAATGGCAAAACAGAAGCTCACGCGATGCCCAAGCTTTGTAATGAAAATATTCCAGTCCGAGAAGTTGATGGTGGTGACATCTTGAAACTCCCAAACGCCATTCCACGACCGAAATCCCGACCAAGGTTCGTGTCCGAAAGGCCTGAACTCCCCAAAAGTCACACCTCAGCTTTTGCCCTTTCTTTACACTATCATGCCATCATCCCCCATGCGATTGCTGCTGCGAAAGGTAACGCTGACATCCAGGTCACCTTGGAAAGCTGAGTGGTGGCATCGGATGTCAAACTTGCGGTGCTATACACAAAGTCAAACTTGATGTTGGAAGAATTGGAGCAATTATCCGGCGTCACAGCTGGTACGTCTTCTGGCTCGGCGAATGTGATATCGACGCACTAAGGGCGCAACAGTCGTTAGTCCAGAAGCCCTTTCCCAGCAAGCGCATTCAAATGGCAAGCGCGGTTTGAAGAAGGGACATACATTAAACAGCGCAGCTCCATGCTGAGCAGCCTCGATGACCTGTATGGTCGCGTTCGCGCCCACGGTGGCAGTGAAGTTTGCCGGTAGAGGAAGCTGCGGGAGGCACACACTGCCATTATATAGGTCATTGCTGGGGCCCGTGATGCCGATCATGGGCTGCATGACCAAAGAGTAGTTTTTAGGCTGGGTGCCCTCGCCCAAGTTGATGTAGATGAGGGCTGAGGAGTGGCCTGCGAACCAGCCTGGCTGGAACCCGACGGCGCCACCCTTGACAGGCCACTTGGTGCGATTCGCCGACATGGGCGTGCCTCCACCTGTAGATCACAGTATGTGAGAAGGATGTACAGAGAAGATGCGACGAAGAGAGGGGGGCTTACAAGGATATATCCACTGCATGCCATATGGGTATGTGTTGTCTCTGCCTACACCGAGTCCATTCTCGTCCGGTATAGTCCCATTGGTTTGTAGATTGTCGCCTCGCCAGCCTGGGTATGTGATGACGGTGTGGGTGAAGACGAGGGTGGGGAGGAGGAGTGCGAGGAAAGCTGCGAGGACTGTTCGCGACATGGTTGAAGATTCAAGAGGAGTGACTCTCTGCCTTTCTGCTTTGGCAACAGGGTCACTGAACAGGCCAGGTGAAGTTCAAGAATAGGTAGGAGACAGAAAGGATTCGAGAGGCACGTCCGACAGTCATATCATGGAGAAGAAGAGAGCGTCTGGCGGGAGCTGTGGTTGTGCCCTCATTGGCGCTTCTGTGATTTCTCACCTACCGCTCTAGCCCGAAAATGAAGAGGTCCCCTTTTCTTGCACAGCATGAGAAGGGTGAGATGTGAGGTGGGCTAGAACGGCGAAGCACATGCCGAGCGCCAGCATGCAGACGGAGGAACAGCAGAAAGGTGCAAGATGGTCGATGATTGGCCTCAATCCTGACCCCTCGGGCCTTAGAAGCCAAGGAAGCGTTTTGGTGTCGGCGCTTACAGGCCTTAAAACTGTTAAACAGCGTGCGCAATCATGATTATTATACACTCGCAGGAGGCACACCAGGTAGATGTGCGAGTAGAGGTCGATCACATACCCTTATTATTATCATGATGTGGTGAATAGAAATCCATCGCGATGCAGCCACCAGCCGGGAAGAGCCAATTGTCAAATTCAGTGATACTGGAGAGCTGACCCCCAGGACTAGTTCTAAATAAGGACCCCTCCGAACCCTCTGGGCCCTACCGTAGATCCACACCGTCGTAGATCTCATTACTACCCGGCATTTTGGAGCCATCCCAAATATCAGATGTAGACTTTTTCGCCCTACATTCATCAATCAATGGCAATTGAGAAGGGTAAGCACACCGAAACTTTCGGGGAAAACGTAGGGAAGCCCACCGTCACGAAACCTCACAGATCATGATATGATCATTGTGCCGGCGAGAGCTGCATTGCCCTCGCGTTGATTCCGATCATGCCTCGCTCATCAAAGGCTCTTCAGCAGAAGCCGTCTTCTCTTACAGACGACCAAGGCTGGACGCACGTAATTAGAGGAGCACACAACATCCGCAAGCCGACCAAGACTCCAAGTCTCAATGACAGTCCCAATATCTCGCCAGCCAAAGTTACAGAAGGCCAGCAGAGGTACGCTGCGCTTTGGTCATCCTCCGCCTGCTGCCACCAGCTTCGTATGATATTAGAACAGGAGATTCCTCTGACTCACAACTTGCAAATGGACAAATGCGTTTGTCTTGGTCTAGGCAGCTTCACAGATGGGCGAACATCGTCAAAGCATCAGTTGGCCACTCTGACGTGGATGTTGGGTATCCTGAGCCAGAAGCACACCTTCCAAGCCGTCCTCTTTCAAGACCCCGCCTTTACTGCGTCGGACGTTGCCTACCTTGAAAGCCTTGGTCACCATGTGCTCGAGAGTCCTCTTGCCTTTGACCAGATCGATGAGAGCACTTTTCTGTTTGCACCCCATTTAGAGGCCAACGTTTATGCTGCCGCTCTCGAGAAGAAAGTGCCAGCGCTCGTCGTCGGGAGCAATGTCACAGAGCTCATTGGCCGACCTATCTCTTCCGGTGTAGACGAGGCACAGCGAGTGCGGGAGAACAGTATCTTTTGTTGCTTTAGTGATCTGACGCTGTCCGAGCCAATGCCTCAGTACGACAGAGACACTTGGTGCTACTACACCAACATATACCGGCGACAAGACATGAGATCGGAGAGATCTTGTGACCATAGTTAAATGTTTTTCAAAATTATGAACTCAGGTCATCACCTTCATCAACTAGGTTCGAGACAAATGCACCATGTAAGACCGGTCATTACAATACATCGCTTCATGCAACGTTCTTCCCTTTCGTGCCATTCCTAAACGAAACCCCTAGTATATCCTGCCCGTATCCAATGCATAGACAATTTTCAAAATTCAGGATATTGTTCGCCCTGCACAGTCAGGTATCTTTAACCCGGCCTTCAATTTCCGTCCTGGATCCATCAAGCCCCATTTGTCCTCCCATTCCTTACCTGGCTCATTAAGTCGCTTCTTCCAAGGCTCATCAAAGGCCTCAAACCTACCGATCAGATTAGCACAAACCCCCATTCGTGAAAGAGGGGTGTGATTAAAAGGGTCGACTCACCAAAAGAAGTCAGTACTGTTCGCCAGGCTTTGGCAGATGAATGTATTCATGAATTCGTTCATCTCGTCGATTCCCGCTTTACTACCTTCTGTACAGGTCGTTTGATCAGGCGCACAATGAATGCCCCCGTCGCTCGGCCACCCCACTTCACTTATGTAGTTCTTCTTCTGCGTGCCTTGGGTCAACTTAACATTGTGGCCCTGCCAGAAATCCCATGTCCAGCCCGCTGCTTTATCTACGGTTACGCCCGCGAAAAAGGGATGGACGTTTGCCATCACTACGTCCACATCACTAGCTAAGCTGGCCGTCCAAGCGTCTCCAAGGTCTGATGTGCCCACAGGAAGATCAATCTTCTTGTCTGTAAGCTTCTTTTTGGTGTCGGATAGAAGTTGGCCGAGTTTGTCTTCAGTGATCTCTTTCCGGTAGAGGGCCTCGTTACCGATGATAACTCCAGCAAAAGGATCGGCCCCGTTCTTACCAAGAAGGTCGTCCAGAGCTTGCATGCCGCGATCATTGGTGGTTTGGTTGCCGTCCAGCCATACGCCCAGCCAGACCTTGAAATTCTGCAAGTCCAGCTTCGATATGGCATGCAAGACCATCTCCGTCTGATTGCAGTCGGTGCCGTACAGACGAATAGTATTTGTGAGTTGTGAAAGCACGGCAACATCCCGAGTCACATTGTTTTGACTCGGAGGATTCGTCAAGCAGTCAGGGTATTGTCCGTTAAAGGGGGTATAGTCGACACCAGGCATCACCTTGTGAAGATCAGGGTTGTTCATCAACTTCTTAATCTCTCCGGAGTTTTTGTCTAGGTCGCCATTGCCATCATCGTCTTGAGCAGACTGCGAAGAAGGGCTGTCGCCTTTGCTTTGAGCGTGCTTCACACCTCCGACAACACCCCCGACAATGGCCCCGACGATGATTAAAGCAATGATCGTGCCTACTATCCACCGTAACCGCTTGCGTCCAGACGTTTGACTATTGAGCCACTCACTTTTCTCCGCCCCCGGCTCATCCATTGGCGGATCTCCGACCGGCCCATATTGTCCGCTTGCATCCCTACTCCCAATCTTGGGGCCAGATTTGCTCCCCACCAGGGCACCAAGCGCCCCAAGGGCACCTGATCCTGCTGCCAGATTACGTTCAGTGTCTGCACCTTGAGACATATTACCCTGTACTCCACCGCTGAGACCCAACATGGATTTTCTCCAGTGGGTAGACGGCCCCATGTCATCCTCGGCATCGTCATCTATCTCATTTGGATCTATGTCAGCCCGAGATATGCGCGAGTCCCATGCAGAAGAATAACGATTGTAGGGATTATCAGAATATGAGCCTCCACTTGCGAAAGCATCCGACGGTGGGTAGTCTTTCATGGGTATGCTTGCAGTGGATGGGTAGCCCACCGGAGTGGGTCTGCCGGCAGAAGGTGTAGGAGATACTCTGTGGTCATCAAAAGGATTCGAATGTCTAGAGTGCGCTGGAGATGCAAAGGGGTCTCTCGATTCGGACCTGGAGTGTATCCCAGACGGAGGCCCTAGGGCCATATCCCGCGAAGCCGGCGGTGGATCTAAGGAAGCACGAAGGCTAGGTGAGGAGGGTTCAGGTATGTATGGGTTCACAGAGCCTACAACACCAAGCTCTCGTTCTCCGGGAAAAGTCGGTGACCGCTGGTATGGCTCTGTGTCTCTTATTGCTTCCAATCCGCTTTCCCGCGGGCGTGTATGTGCAACTCCGAGAGCTACTCCTGTTATACCCCCTCCAACGGCGGCGTCCCCTAAGTTGTCGGCACCTGGGGTGGTTGTTGAAGCTGTACGATTCGACACGTTATGGTCTAGGCTTTGTTGTGCCCTTCTGTCATGATTTGTATCCAGAGGTGGTAGCTGGTACGATGAAGCAGGGTACGCTTTATGGGAGGGTGCTGGCGGTGGAGGAACGTCGTCTGTGTAAGGAGGTGGTAAGGCGTGACCATAGGATTGTCCGGGGTGGTTGGCATTCAGCGACGTCTCATCGTTTTGGTCGAAAGAGAAGGTGCGAGGGCGAGACATGCTGGCTACAGATAATGCGGCGAATGCCTATCCGTTAGGAAACGAAGTTTGCTTACAGTTCCATCATTGAAGAAAGAGCTGTGAGCATGTAGATGGAGGTGGAAAGGCTCTTGGATATTCGTGTTATCAGCCTCACACCTCGTAAATTCTGAGGCAATGCACCAGGGACTGCCTCAGAGCCCCATGGGAATTGCCAAGACCACCCCTACATTGCGGTCTGAGTAGAATCTAGGCTTACAGGCTAGTTATTCTAATTTTAGGTGTAAACAATGGAAGGTACCCTCCTTAGCGCCATGAGTTCGCTGGCCCTTAGGTTAAACCTACCCTGTAGAGGTCGGCCATGTTGATATTTACTATTTGCTGTTTGCTATAAATCAGCTCCCATCACATAGATCCGTTTCTTAAACTCTCGACCGTTGGATCCTAATCCGCTTGGGAGTTTCGAGACGCATATGTATCTGTAGAGGCAACCTACTAATAATTGTCGCTGGTGCGTGTGACTGTTGATGCTCCTCTAAAAGGCAAAGGGTTATCGTTCGTATGATAAGTAGGCCAGCTATTTCGGGGAGCAAGTACAATTTCACGATGCTTTCAATTTGATCTACCTAGAAGTAGCTTGCTCTGATGTCTTCCGTTCCTAACAACAGGTTTCAACCAAAAGGAATGACTGAAGGTATTGACGTTGGAAAGTAAATTATTTCACACCCTTCTTAAGCTTGCTTTCATTTGTCCAATCTGCCGTGATCCATCTACCTTCCGACCTTCAATGTGCATTGGAAATTCGCAACATGTCTGAGATCGCTGGATGGTATGCCCGTCATGAAACTCCGAGGCTTCATAGCCTTGAGCCATGAATGACTTTGTAGTCTACGGCAAGCTCACGCCCACCGTCATTGATGACCATGGCCCTAACACTGCCACGGCCGTTCGCAAAGGATTCGTTGAGTCGGGACCACAAACCCCCTGATCGATCACAGCGAGGCTTTGCTTGACATCACCAGTCTCGGTCATGGCGACGATCCGGCCGTCATCACGGATGTCCAGTACACGATAGGTCTTGAAGACTGGTCCTAGCATGTTCTGAACAATGACAGAGGGAGTTGGGTTGGACACGAAGCTAGATTCTTCCTGCAATTGTTTGGTGAATAGATCGACCCCCAAATATCGGTATTGACCGGTTTGAGCGGAAGTCGTGATCCGAATGACCTGGCAGGGTCGACCCTGCAAGATCAGGAGATCCCCAATACGAATATGGTGGCAGGGAATAGTGATGGTATTTGGGCCTCCACCACGTTCGACATATCGAACCGTTTCGCGGACCCCGTCGCGATAACGCACAGGCCCCCGCTCGCGCTCTTCCTTCTCGATGATGACCTCCTCGCGCTCACGTTCGTGGTGCGGGTGGAAAGGATGAAACACACGGTCAGTCGCTTTTTCCAAGCCGTGGCGGAAGGAGTGATAACGGCCGTCGTCGTCGTAGTAACCCATACCGTGTCGGCGTTCCTTATCAACTACGATGTCCTTTTCTTCTACGACCTCTTCACCTCGTGGACGACGACGCTCGTACTCTACGTCGTAAGTTGGCTGCGTTCGACGTCGAAATTCGCTCTCGGTATGATCAAGCTCGCTGTCGCGACGATCTACCTCGATATCGATTTTAGTGTCGGTGTGGCGGCGATCGTGATCTCGGTGGCTGTAGAGTCATTAGATCAAGTTTCTGAAAATTCGATCAACGTATGAGCAGACCTGTGACCTGAAACCTCTGCTTCGGTGTGACGGTTGTCGCGATAACGATCCTCTTCCTTGTCGTAGATGACGGTCTCTTCTTTGCGAGTCGGACGGCGATCACGATTCTCTTCGTGAATATGGACTTCTTCCTCGTCGTATCGAGTACGATCCTTGCGGCCCGGAAGAGATGCTGAAACGGAAGAGTAACGATCCTCCCGTCCGACGCGCTCTCGTTGTGTTGTTTCTCCCTCTACCTTGACGTGTGTGATTTCCTCCTCGCTTTCGTCCCTGTAAGCTGAAGGGAAAAAGCTGAACGGGATCGGGACTCTGTTTACTTGATTAGCAGATCCGGCTTAATAAGGCCGAGATGCTTTGTTGATCATACCTGGCGTCGTAGTCCAGATTGACGGCGGGCTCCTAGAAAGCCTTTGGAGCCGTCTTGAGAACGAATCCAAAGCCAGTCAAAGAAGGCGACCTGGAAAGTGAGAAGGAATTGATGTAAGGAAACACGGAATCAGATCGACTTTATTGTTTCTTGAGAAAGGGAGGGATGGCTGCAGCGGCTTGCGGATTGTTGTGAGGAATGGCAGGGAAACAGCACGCTAGCCCTTAGCGTCTTGGCAGTTTCCGAAAGAGTTGCAGGGGCCTTAGGGGATGAGGAGATTGCTGGATGCCCTGAAGAGCGAGACAAAATATCGCATCCACATCAACATCAATCGCAACAATGATGATGTCCATTTGCTACACGAAGACGGCGTTTATAATTGAAAGGTACATAGAGACTGAATTCCTGGAGAACACTCGAAAAGTTTGAGAGGTAGTTCTATGCGGCTCTGCCCTGCTCTCGCCGATTACAGCCTTTGCTATGTGGCTTCGTTTCATTGGTGGCATTGGTCTTAAGTCACTTCGCCATTTGTGCTGTACAGGAAGACAGAGTTGTTCGTTGTTGTCGAGAATTGAGTCTCTGCATTGGAGACACACTTACGTGGACGGGCAAGGTGGGGGTCAGCTGACCAACTTGTATTCGTCCTGCCCACGTCTTGCTATATGATCATAATCAGCTGTAAGGAGAGTCATTTAGAGGCCCCTGTCACTGGCATAAGGCTGGCATCCTGATAAAATTGGGTTTGCGTTACCAACCTTTGGAGTTTGGACGGCCGTTACCTGCGTCATCGTGACTTTTGACTCCGAATAACCGAGTTTTGCTCGTAGATAACACCCTCCGCACTCACTTCGCTACCCCTTCCCCATGAATAGGTTTCTAGGCTTGCAGCCCTTTATCACATTTCACATTCCGCCAGTGACCGTCTCATGAGACGCTTGCAAAACCTTCCTTGTACCCACTAGGTGCCGGCACTTGGATACCAACCCCCAACAGCAACGAGTCTTGCCGCTTGTACTACCCATCCTAGTTGTTCTATGAAGCGACAATCGTGACACCAATATGAGTACCTCACATGGAAGGCCTCTCTCACCGGGCGGCCGCCGTATTGCCAACGCTGGTCGAACGTCTGCAGGCAGTTTCGTCACTGTTCCAAGCCATCATGACTACACTACAACAGCTAGGACCTCGAGAGACTACGTGCCTGGTCCACGGGCAAGTACAGAGCGAGCAGATGGCCCAAGAGTAGTAACACTCAGGCAGCGCAGTCCACCTCGAAAGCCTCGTGACGATGATTACGAAGTTCGACCACGCATTCGGACCAACTCTCTCGACCTGGGCGACTCTTCAAAGACTCGATCCGTGAACTTAATAGACCCAAGGTCTTCCGCGAAGTCTTCGAGACCCATCATAACTAGAGAAATCGAGAAACCCAAGAGTCCGGTGCCTAAAGCCGGTGGCGCCCAGCTTGAGGCATCATACATTGTCCCAGCCTCATCTTCTGGACGCCATCACCAGAGACATTCGTCCCTAAACATGGGTGACCGATTAGCGGTCAGAGATCGCGAAAGGGACCGCCTTTATCCGAATGAGCGGACGTCCAAAAGAGATGACCGGGATTACTCATACGAGTACACGAATCCCAAAGAACAGGTCCTTCGAGATCTAGCACCTCCCCCACAGCGAAGACCCCGGAGGGAAAGTTACACAAGTGCACGGCCTACAAGCATGGTCGACCTCGATCGCTATGATAAGGTGTATCATCGAACGGATAGGGATGCCCCTCCTCCGGTAGCCGCCAGAGGATTTGATACTATAAATCGACAAGAGAGTCGCAAGCAAAGTATCAGAGCTGGCGCTGATGAGTTAAAGAGGAAGGACTCGACTTCACAAAGATACCCAGGAGATGTGAGGGATGATAGTAGACCCTATGAGCCGATCAAGCCACCAGGGCCGTCTAGAGATGACTATGTGCCTTACCCTGAGGAAAACAGCCGCCATCAGAGACCTCGCAAATTTACGATAGAGAATGAAGCATTGCCTTCGAGGCAGAGAGAGCATGTCGATGATAGAGATGATCGGTACGAAGACCGTACTCGAAGGCATCATCACCACCATGACGAAAATGATCATCGCAAAGATATTGGAGAAAGAGATTCACGACATCATCGCAGGGATCTTGATGACGGTGATAGAAGAGAGCGGCCAAGAGAATATGAAGACAAGGCTGAAAGAGAGCGACGAAAGGAGTATGACGATAGATCTGAACGTGACCGGCGTAGGCATTACGAAGAACGAGATGAGCGAGAGCGCCGCCGAGACACTGAAGAAAGAGGGCATCGGCATCGTCACGATGCTCGCGAGCGACCTGATGATGACGAGGGTGCAGGAACTCATGGTGGTTTGCTGGCAGCGGGAGGTACTGCTGCAGCCGCTGGCCTGGCCGCAGAAGCAGTCCGCCGCCAGAAGTATAAGGACGATGATATTCGAGGCTCCAAAGACTCCCATGGCCACGTCTCAGAACGTGAAAGGGCCGCTGAAAATACGGGCCTGAGCAGTGAGCCTGAGGAGGAAGATAGAGAGGAACGGCGACGACGACGCCGTAGACAGCGGGAGATTGAGGAACGCGAGGAGCGGCTCGCACGAGATAGATTGCAATATGAGGGACAAGATGAAGCTGGGCCTAAGCGCATTGAAGCTCCACCATCTCTCGAGCATTCGTTGCGTGAGCAAAAGTCTTACGAACGCCGCCCCGAGGACGATCAACCCCGACGGCAACGACATCGACACCATCGTCGGCAAAATCCACGAAGCAGCGATATAGATTCTCGCTCCGATAGCTCCGGGCCCTCTGACAGTGACAGTGGCCCAGATCGAGCTCCTCGGGCACCAAGGGTCATCTCGCCTACCAATGAGAACGCGGAAGCAGCAGCCCCTAAGCTACCGCCTAAAGGTATCCTCAAGACTCCGCGCGTGAGATTTCCGGAAGAACCTCAGACAACGCGTGAAGGGGTGGCTCCGCTCGATGCAGCGAAGAAGGGCATCCCACAGGAGGCGCGTTGGACCAAAATAAACAGACGCTTGGTGAACCCCGAGGCGTTGGAGCAGGAGGGAGTCAGGTTTGAAGAGTTCCCAGATCATGTTATCGTGCTCAAGGTACTTTCGGAAGAGGAAATCTCCAAGTACACTCAAGTGACTCACGAAGTTCGAGAGAGGAGACGGCTTGAACAAGGCTCGCAGGCAAGCGGTAGTGGGAGCGGGACCGGTGTAACAGGCCAGAACCAAGAGCCTGGCGTGGAACGGCCTCATGGCACATGAGTTGAGCCTGGTATGAAGCTCTGCGTGCAAATCGGCAATCACTTGCGTCAGAATGCAGAAAGCAACGGAATGAAGTGCGTAAGGTGAAGGAAGAGGAGAACCTCTAACACAACGGTCAAGATCAGGCATCATTCATTCGCTGTTACTGGGGGAAGGGTGTGATCTAGCATATGTACAGCGAGATTCGCACGAGGGAGCACTTGAGCCTGCAATTTTTTGCTTTCATCTGCTATCTCGTCGTTCAATATGTCCAAGAATTAGTAGCGGAAAGCACAGCTTCCAGCTACGTTTCCCTCCAAACCGACGCCTACGTGCTTCCACCTGCACAACGCCACCATGTTTTCAAGAAAGTAGAAGGCCAAGTACTATTCATCAAATGACAGCCGAGTCCCCTTTCGATTGTATAACAGTCCACGAACACAGAAAGGGTGTTGTGTCCGAAGTAGAAGCAGACAAGCTCGATCAACAAGCTGAGCACTTTTTCTTCCTCGCCTGAAATTTATCGATATCAAGAAAGCCCAAGTGCCGCTCGTTGCTTCAGTCAATCAATTGAAACGTAGACTCCAAGCAGTGAAAAATTTCCCTCTCTTTACCATCCTACAGGCTGTACAATTCCTCCAATCTCGTTCAAGCCTGTCTAAAAAGGTTACAGTTTCAAGAAGCCCTTGTGCAATGGTTCTGTACAAGAAGGCAAATTTCGAAGCCAAAAAATCATCGTGATGTTGATGTCGCGTCGGTTGTTGGAGAGGGCCAGGTCTTCCTCTCATTCCTTAGATGGAGAAAAGGTGGGATAGTTGAGACTTCTTGTCCAGGATGTGAGTTGTGTTCTACGATTTTCTTGCGCCAGGCATCGACTGTTGAAACAGGCATTAGCGTCTCAGTAACTGGAAGATTGCCGTTCCAAGACTTACGGGATCTTTGTAGAAAGATGACCCTCTTGTCATATTTCTGGCATTGATCCCAACTTATGCGATAACCCAAGTCATTAAGCATTTCCTCCTGTTCTCCAATGTGCTTGCCCAGCCGTGGCACCGGCGCATCCACCTCCCCATCAAGTGTTGGTATTTTGACGGTGGTCCTTCCAAAGCCAAGACCATCAATGTCTTCGTTGTCATCGTCCGCGAAACGCGCATCTAATCGCTTTTGTCTTTTTTCTTGCTGGGTGAGGGGCATTTGATGCGGGAAGTAAGAGCGGGGGCAAACGCTGTTTCTCTCTCGAAAATCGTCTACGACTTCGTCCATCCGAGCTTCTCGAAGATCCAGCTTGACACGGACTTTGTTTGGACTGTGTCCATAGTCGTGGACGTTGATGAACTTTTTGCCAGGTACATTGGTGTATAATTCGGACACCGCCTTGGATGAGATGTCGGAAGGAGAATCATTGGATCTAGTCGACGAGGTTGGTGGCATCGAAGGTGCAATGGAAATCGATGCTGGGATAGTCGTAGCTGGGTGCGAAGCTAAATGTGGCTCCATATTATGTTGAAGCTGAGGTGGAACGGAAACTGCGTTGGAATTGGGCTGAAGAGGATAAGACGGATATCCGTGGAAAACGTTCGCTGGACGTATTTGCGCAGAAGGGTCGCTTGGATGGGACTTGGATGGTGGATGATGTGGTTCGTAGTGGCCATCCATGGTAAGAGCGTCCGCACCACTTGCCATTGCACCTTCGACATTCGCATGGTGATGGTGCATTTGCGTTGAGACTGCGGGGTTCATAGTGGGGGGTAACGGTCTTTGCTGTAGCATAGCATTCGAGACACCAGAAGGGTTTGCTCCCTGGTTTGCTTGTTGATTCTTGCTTCGGATGTTCTGCTTGTTCATCCTTCTCACACGCCTACTCCTGAGCCTTGAGTCTTGATTACTGTTTCTCCAGCTATCCACCGCCCTTTGTATCAACCCTCTTTTTTCTTTCAAATGAGAATTCAATTTGACCAATGACCAGCCCACAGTGTTGCATTCTGTTTCATATGTCAATCGATTTCCCGTATATTGTTCTTTGTCGCAAAAAGCTCGAGGATAAACACAGTTGTTCTCCTTGAATTCTTTGCTGAGCTCATCAACATTCACAGATTCCACGTCACATCGAATCGTATATTCCATTTTGACCCTGTCCTTTGAATACTCAAACGCAATCCACTGCACGCCATTGTTATCTTGGCGTACAACCAGAGGCGTCGTGGCGGGAATTGGTCCCGGTGCCGCACTCGAATTCGCAGCGTGATGGCCTGGCGAACCCGTCCCGCCATTCTGAGACGAGGTTTTCGGAGTGTTGAGAGATGAGGTCAGCGGCCCCGTCGGCGACTTCTGTAACGCGTTCGTATCCATTGGCCGCTGCTGTAGACCAGGATCGAATTTTGATTGGGGCCGCGGACTTCCCGTGGTCGTCGGTATATGTCCCGGGGGCTGTGGATGCGTTACGGGAGGCTGATTGGGGTGATGCGGAACGGCGGACTGAGGAGGGGTCATCATCTGGTGAGGCGGTTGAGTAGGAATGTGGCTCATGGGATAATTCGAATAATATATCCCAGGCTGCATGTGGGCGGGGTGTGAATAGAGACGGTTGGGTTGTTCTTGTCCATGGGACGAGACAGCGGAGGCCGGCGAGTTGGACTGGGGTGTGTACATGTGATATGGCCGCGGCTGCATTTGCGCGGCAGCCATCATGTCTGCTCCTTCTGTAACGGCATGAGCATCTGCACACCAAGCATGTAGAACGGTGAGGTGGCATCTTACCTGCAGCAGAGTACGGAGCGGTAGGTGCGGACAGTGCTTGAGGAGGGTAGGGGCTTCCGCCGTAGAAATGTTCTGGGGAGGGCTGTCCGTTCGGCGCAAGACCGACGTGAGGGTAGGGTGTTTGCTGCGGTCTCGGCGCACGTTGTTTTGGGGCATGTGGCGAAGGATAGTTGGGAGAATCTGGAATAGAGTTCGAATGCAGGGTGCTTTGAGGGTGTCTATGAGGTTGTCGTGAAGCCTGACTAGGCTGTAAAGGATGCTGTTCGTCATGACCGATCAGTCTTTCAAGTTCTGTCGTTACACGGGCCCTTGTGGAAAAAGACGCGCGAAGACACGACGCCGTCCGCGCATGGCCGCACAACGGTCACGTTGTGTGCCATCGACAGGAAGCGTTGTCGAGGGCGGAGGGACTGGGATATGGAGGTAGTGTGCCGAGTACCTCAGGGATCTGGCCTTCGAACGGTGGTGGTGGCGCTCTCCTAGCAGCAACGGCGATGGGGAGCAGACGCGATGTTGGGGTCAAGGAACGTACCATCAACTCGGATTTCCATCCATCCAGGAGGCCTTCTCGTGATGCTCACTGCGCTCTCCTCGCCGTCCACCTGGGCACGCGAAATGGGGAATGGAGAAGTGCAAGGCCCGCTGGGTCCAGCAAGTCTAGGTGCAGGGATTGTCTGGAAGGTGAGCTTAATGCTTATGGGTTTTTTCCAAACAGCCGTTTAAAATTACCTTACCCTTAGCGTCCTCGCTGGTCTCCACTTTAGCGTCCACCTTCCCACACGAGGGGAGAGTTTCAAAACATGCAGGCTCAAGCTCTAGTCTCTTTCCTCTCTCTTATTGCTCTTCGACCCTCACGCCGATGCTTATTATTCGTGAGTGACTCCTCTGACGCTCATACGCTACAATCGAGGTCTTAGCTCACGACCCGATGCCTGTCAGATGGCTGACTGAATCACCAGAATAGAATCTGTGGCGAAGCCCGGAGACTGAAATCAACCTGCCGCCGACCACGATGCTTCGATCAAGTTGCAATGTGCAATTTGCAGTTCAGAGGCCAAACCCGCGTCAAGATCCAAAGCGAGCAGCAATAATAATGTTTCACAACGTCTCCGACGCCACCCAGCCCTTTCATTTCATAGAGCCATAGGCGCTGGTCCCTGTGATTTTAGGGGACCTGAGACTGAGAGCCTCTGCCGAGGCCATTTCGGCATTCAGCAGTTAGAATGAGTTCTATTATTCAACCTATATGAGTATGATCCTCTCGGCGGTGTCACTCCACAACGCGGTCTTGCTCCGATCTCTGGGCCTGGTGCTCGGTCATCCGTGGAGGCCTTCCATTGTTCCGCGTGGTGAGCGGAGGACCTGAGGCCTCGATGGAAGGCATCGGATCGGTGGGACAGCCGGAGAGAGAGGACGGTAAATTGAGCAGGCGCTTACTGATGTTGGTCAGATAATTTACCAGTTTCGGGCTAGTCCAGTAGTCATGCAGCAGCCTGACGGTTGCTGACTCACCGGGAGGGCCAATGGGCTGCCTGCCACCCAGCGCCATGCAGAAGATGAAACGCGTTCTTGGCCTCATGTCTTAGGTCGGCTAACGAGCCATCGAGCCATCCCTTGTCAGCATCTATTAATCATTTCTGCGCTCGCTCGATACTGCTGTTGCTGTTCCTCTCCGGAGCTGCAACGTCGTAGCATAGCTACCTAGGCAGTCCGAGATCATGAAGCGGCTGTTCCCGCATAGCGCCCTGGTAATGGCTGGCCGTTTAATAACTGTCATTATTACAGCAGAGCCGCGACACCTCGAGGGGACAGTGGGCGGTAGTCATCCAGTTTTGTCATGCCCATAGCGGTCTTCTGCCCTACTTGCGAGTCGCCCGAGTTGCGACCCAAGGACAGTTTTACACGAGAGCGACAGCAGAGGCCCCTCGTCCGTCAGCTCGAGCCGAGTGGAAATGGTCAATAAGGTTTCGTCGACGTTAAGAAAGCTCTAGCACTGCCTTCCCTGATTCGCTGCATGGGTCTGATACTTGTGAGTCGTTGTGAGCTGTGACAGGCGCCTCGACTTGCATGGTAGTGGGGAAGCTTTATTAGGCCTATACCTTGTCATGTGGTGCCACAGTCTAGTGATATGTCTTCTGTACGGCTTGGGTCTGTCTCCTCAGCTGCCGATGATGGGCTCATTCAGCACGACTTCTTCTTGCACATCTTCCTTGCCGTCAGGTCAAAGCTGAATGCAGTTGCGCGAGATAACAGTCCGGAAAGTGACCGTATCGATACAAGTTGATGCGAAGGCATGACCAAAACACGTAAAGCGAGACCTTCGGCGACGAGGCCGTTATTGCCCCTCTCTTGTCTGCAAAACGAAACAGCACTCTGGATGGCCGCCCCCCTGCCTGGGCTGTGAAACTCGCCTGTCAAATGCCTTAGATTACCGTGAATGCTTGCATTACCATTTGCCCTTGAAAAAGCCGACATGAACGTTTGATTTTGATACTCACCAATCCTGTACGAGCAATCGACCAGAGATGAAAGGTATGGCAGCAGCAAGTATAGGTCCTCAATTTCTGGACATCGTGACCTGATGCCAAATCAGCTAGCATCTGGTTACCCACATTACTGCTGTAGTGAACTTCTCTTATTCTAATACTTGCAAATCTAATAAGCTACCCGCCAATATTGTCATTCTCAATCAAGCAAGCTCGCATCAGCTCTCTTCCCATCATTTACCCTTACCGTATAAGTTCCTTTCCAAACCTCCCTAATCCCACCCTCTCCATCATCCCTTCTGCGTACTAACTTCATGTTGTCTGTACCCACAGCTGCGTCTGCTTCACCAAACAAACGGGCCGCGTTTTCCTCATCAAGTTGTTCGAGTGGTGTCTCTTCCCTTGAAGAAGCCTTTAAGTATCGCAGAGGCAGCTTACTCGCCGATTTATTAGCAGCTTTGCAATCGCACGAAGCCTTACAGTCTTGGTAACAGAGTTGCTGGCATTGACAGCCACAAGAGAGGGTGCGTTTACACGGATGTTTGCATCCAAGGGCCTCATGACTTGCATGACACCGCCTGGGACAGAGATGCCCGCATTCGAGCATCTTGTTGCAGGGCACCTCGCATCCGCCGTCCGACTTCTCAAAGTCTTCGGCAGTCTTGAAATATATCGGATTGCCATGATGGACGCATTGAAGGGGCAGATGAAAGCCAACACGAGGAGGATCTTGAGCCATGATCTGCAGCACTTGCCACCAAAGTGTCGACGATTTGCAGACGATTGGACCATCGCCAAATATGTAAAAGCCCCGTTGAGCGCGAGATAAGGCAACGACGACCCGATTCTCCACATTGAGGAAGCCTATGTTTCGAGACACCTATCTCAACTGTCAGCCTCCTGAAACCGCGTCATCGACAATGTGTGGCATGTGTCCCAAGTCTACTACAGACTTACGAGGCGCTCTTAAAGAGTTGCGGGAGATTAGTACTTACGTTGCTACGAACGAGTGACAATAAGACTGGTTCCAAGATTAGCTACACTTTTCCGAAAGACGAGATACCAGGCGTTCGCCTACCTATCTCAGCTTCTTCACCCTGATAACTATCTACGGTGACCACCTTGAAATATTGCCCCGTAAGTTCGGGATGGGCTTTCAACTTCCGCAGGAGAAGCTTCCTCTGCCCGTTGTAGAATGTCAAGACGGTGATTTTCAAAGGGGCAATCCCATTTTGGACAAGGTATACGAAGAAGCTGACGACCAATTCCGCTTCCGTCAAATTCATTTTAGACATCTGTTCGTCGGCAGATTCTGGGGCCGAGTGGCTGAAGAAGAATGTATCCGCGCTTTTGTCATGTAAGCTACCATGTAATGGGGCTCCTCGCAAATACTTACGCCATACCAGGTACAGGTGGTCGATTATACACAGAGTCATGATCTCGGAGGTCCGGATACACGGGGGTCAATGCACGTCTGATTTCAGGTATCATTCGTCTGAAGGAAGTCAGTCAGCCAATCATATTTTGTCAGGCCGTCTGATCAGAAGGAAGCCGAGAGATGCTTGAGAGTTTGAAAGTCCTACCTTTGGCTCTGAAGCTGAGTGTAATCAAGACTATTTCTCACTAGGCGTTCAAACATGCTGATACCGAGATAGAAAGGCTCCAGCTCCAAGTCCTGCACGTGACAGTGACCACGAAGTTGTTCGTGATCTCCCACTAAAATCAGATGTTCGAGCGACTCAAAGCATGATATGGAAATATAGGATTCCAGGGTCTCCGCAGCCTCTTCGATTAAAACCACCTTCGGTTTGAGGCTCTGAAGGAGGGGTCTATACTTAGCAAGTCCAGACGTTGTCAAGCCTAGGATCTTTGCGTCCTTGATGAAATTATAATCGACTTCCATACGCCCAACTTTTGCCTCTTGAACAAGAGAAGCATAGCGCTTGGCCTTGTTCCGCAGACGATCTCGTATGGTCCCCTTCAGCTTCATCTGCATATGCCTGTACAATGGACCGCGAAGAGCTTCTGGAATATCGTACATGTCTTGCCTCTTCATCTCACTTGTCATATTAGTCATGGAAACTCCAGGAACTTTTAGTCCCGTCCATTTTTCATTCAGCTGAACCCATTCTCCACGTAGGATCTCAGGGTCCTCATCGTCCAGGGTTCTCTGCTCAGCCTCGATCTCTCGGATCTGTTCGATCTCGAGATCGACCTCCTCAAGCTCAAGGCCGAAGTCCTCTGGCGCTATTCGCAGCTTGGTCTCAATCTTTTGATCACCCAGCCAATAGTCAAGCACATCCTGTGCATTCGAATCACAATCAAACCATTGTTGCGCGCCTTTGACCAGAGACTCTCGTTGTTTGGCGGAAATGACGCCATGTTGTTCAAAAGATTCCGCGGAGGGCAGCTTGTCACCTGCCATTAGACTGCTTAGCAAAGATTTCATCTCCTTAGTCAATTGCCTGAGCTCCTTCAAGGCCGGTGCTCTTAGGCAACCTTTCGGATCCTGAAAATTGACGGCTTGCTTTATCTCGTAGAGTGTGCGAGGTCGGACGACCTCCAGGTCAGTAGACATACCACCAATTCTAACGAACTCTGGTTCAAATTCGGCTATGTGGCGAAGCAATTGATCCAAAGCATGGTTTGTATGTGATGATACAATGATCGGTGGATCGTTTGGCTTCCTGTTTTCCAGCATCAAGCGAATGGCAACCACGGATACGAAAGTCTTCCCTGTGCCAGGAGGACCTTGGACGATACTCAATCGCTTCCCCAAAATGCGCTGGAGAGCTTGGAGCTGCGTACTGTCAAGTAATGAGGGCCAAGAAGGCAAGTCTTGAGTGACATCCACATTTTTCTTTTCATCAGTAGTAAGAGTAGTAAAGATGCTGCTACAATCCATAGTCGGACGAAGGGTACGGTACCGAGGTGGTAAGATATTGCGCTCAATATTGACAATATGGTTTGACAACGGGAAGGCTTCGTTGGCTAGCATTTGTAGACCTCTCAACATATGCCTATGACCCTCGAAAAATCCATTACGTGACTCGACCATGACCCATTCCTGCTGTGGATCGATTTCTATTTCTTCTGGCATGGTGAAGAACACATCGATTGTTGGCGGATTTTCTTCGAGCCCAGATATTGGCCGAGCCGCAACAACCGCAACACGAACAATAGATTTAAAGGGAGCATTTGCTGGAGTAAGGGCTACTAAGGTTCCGGTCCTCAGCCTTTTCGATTGCTCCCATCGTATCTTTTTGCCAACACGACCAAGTGAAAAGGTGAGCCGAGCAGCGAGTCCCGATGTAGTAAATGTGAAGCCATTGATAAAGGTTTTGTCGTACACATAGGCATCATTTCTTGAAGTTCTTTCTGACATATGCGGATATATCTGACATTCTGAAACTACGTCACGAAGAGGAGCCACAGCATCTTCGCGGAGAAGGTTGTAATGTCGGGCTAGATAATCCTCTTTGGACGAAAATGGGCCAACAATTGTGTTACTATCGAGCTCTACGTCCTCGTTATGGGCTCGACGACCTGGGTCAAAGACTTCCGACCATTTTGGAAACTCAGAAATCCCATGCCATGCTGCTGGTGATGAAGCGTTGGTGACAGCTTCAAGCTTTTTCGCGTACTTTCGAATGTCGAGAGCTAAGGTCATACTGTATGTGGGTTGTATGGGGGGTTTAGGGTCTTGAAAGGCGGCTCTTCGACCAAATCGTTCATTTAGGTGGGGGTTGAGTTCTTCATCTGTTGCAGTATCAGACCTACTGATACTAGGAACATTGTGAATTCCAAGCTGCAACATGGACAAGATCTTTTTTCCCTTAGGAGAGTTCGTTCCTAATTGAGGTTTAAGTACGAAGATGTAGAAATCAGCTGCGTACCTTGAGATGCAGCGTCAGAGCCTGCATTACAGAGTCTTGCCATGCTTGTGGAGGTATTTGGCGGAGTACAATTCAATTACCACTTCCCAGGCGTCAAATGAGTGCTACAGGAGGGAAGCCCACAACAGGAATCTTACCGACACGAAGTTGGAACCAGTCACCCTAATTGATCAACATAGCATCACAAATCAGGATAGATTAGCCCCACGTATACCCCTTGACACTTATAACATAGACCTGAAACGGAGATTTAGTGAATAGCTTAAGAATGTCACTGCGCGCAGGAAAAAGTGAAAGGAATTCGCATGACACTCTGATGATGGAAATGGCAAACAGTGTCATTCTTTTGTTCAAGGCAACCATGAGATTCGCTATTCAATCGATCGCCCACCCAATACATAATGTATCTTGGACTATCAAAGCCTTGTTCTTCAAGCAAGTCCAGGATCATATTCACTGAAGATCCTTCGAGCACTAAAATAATGAAAAAGACCATGTAGCATTACCATATTTCTGCTCCCTTCGGTCTTGGCAATCAATATTGAGGTATCGAACAAGTATGTAAGATACGCTTAGAACCTGAATAACGTATCATGGCCACAGGACCTCAGCCAAAACGATGAGCCTTCGAACAGGGACCACCATGGCCGTTAGCGTTGAGAAAGTATTGTTTGAGTACCCAATATTTTGTATTCAATCTAGCCTATGATTTTCAAGTGTCTTTGCGCTTAAAAACTCTAGCTATTCTGTTGAAGACGAAATGTAACTTTCCTGACTACAATCATGTGGCACTACATTTCTTGAAGATATAATGGGCGTCTGTACAATGGAGAGCGATAGCGAAAACGAGTCGCATGATGAAATCGAGATCGAGCAGGAAGCCGATGGAGATAACACGGGCGCCGATGATGACAGAATTGATGAGGAAGCCGATCCCGAACCTGGGACGAGCGAACAAGGACGTGCTACAGAGCCTAAGGGCTCTGCTCTTCCAATCCTACGCCCAGAAACTGTTCAAGCATCGGTATATGACATCGTACCTACAATGTACGTAAAATCCCCACTTTGACATTGTGCATGATGGAACATTTGCATTCGAAGACGATACATAAACGGGCAGGGCCAAGACCGATCGCTAAAACCCTTTCACGTACAGAGCAGCGCCACAAAGCACATCCATAAATGCGGTGACCTCTACACCTGACCTGCGCTTCGTCTTCTCTGGAGGCTCGGACGGATACATTAGAAAGTTCAATTGGGTCGAGACTGCAAACGGTAAGTCTATGTTGACTGTCGCCCAAAGGCATCCTTTCGTAGACAGTGTGACAAAAGCTGGAGTACTTACTAGCTACTGGGAGAATGCGGACCCTTCAACCGGTAAGCGCTCCAACGCATGAGTTGCACATCTCTAACGCATGTCATACTCTTAAGAATCAGTGTCGGCGGTGTATTGCTTAGCCGTACAGCGGGAAGCCTTGTGGCTACTTTCTGGATTGGAAGGTGGTGGCATAAACCTTCAGGCTGTGAGACATGACGAGGGAAAGCGAATAGCTTTGCTACGTGGCCATACCTCTGCCATTTCTGCCCTGAATTTAGCTACAGACGAGCAATCTTGCCTGTCTGGGAGCTGGGATAAAACTGTGCTCGATTGGGATTTGAACACTGGGAAGACTATACGTTCTTTTGATCGAAGTACCGGTCAGATTTCAGCCTTAGAGAGACGTCCCTTCTCTAGCTTGCCTGTGCCCCAAGTGTCAGGAAACATGCAGGAATCGGGCTTTGACGAGTTGTCAAACAACGCGAGTAAGCCCCGAGCTAATAGTGTCAATGTAGAAGGCAGTGTGAAGGATGAAGCCGTAGATGCAGAAAAATCCCCTGCGGACTCGCTCTTCGACGCAGACGCAGACTCTTTGTTCGGTAACGATGATAATGTTGGAGGGTCTGGTGTACCTTTTGATGACGACGACAATGATTTTTCTCGTGCCATCGCCAGTGACCTACAAGAGCGCCAGCAAGTCGAAATACTCGAAGGCCAAGGTGAAAATATCAAGGAAGAGTCACTCAACTCCGTTCCCACTCAGAACGGCGAGCCCATCCTGATAAACGGCACTGCAGCTAACCAGGAGTCTTTGTATGGACACGAAACCTTACTTGAAGCCTCGCAACATCTGGGATCTGAGCTGCCCACGGACGGACTTCCACATGCTGAACAAACCGTCAAGCCTGAGGAGCTAAGTGTAACACCTGCCCCTGCAGAAATCTCAATAGACGCGGAAACTACATTTCTTGCTGCGTCATTCGATGGTAGTCTTCGGATTTGGGATAAACGACAGCAAGTACCAGTAGCCACAATGATGCCCCACAACGTTCCACCTTGGTGTATGGGTGCTTGTTTTTCGTCTGACGGTAACTTCATTTATGCAGGGCGGAGGAATAGTAGCGTGGATGAATACAGTCTGCACATGGGACTTCAACGACCGAGCAGGAATTTCAAGCTTCCAAATAATAGTGGACCTGTGAGCGCCGTTAGAGCTATGCCAAACGGTCGTCATCTCATATGGTAAGGAGACCCTCTGATTCGCCGAGCAGTTATTGACTTATAGAAGTGCATCTTATGATATTCTCCGGCTTTTTGATCTACGGGAACAGCCAATCTTCAAACACGCTTCGAAGCCATACCTAATCATACCTGGTCATCGGACCGGCGTTGTATCGCAATTATTCATTGATTCAAGTTGCCAATACCTTCTTTCCTGTGGTGGCAACAGAGGCTGGGAAGGGAGTAGTTCCGAGGTTCTACTAGGCTATGAAATCGGAGTGACTATATAATAACACTAATGGACCTCTCACGGGGCTTTCTGGGTAAGGTTGTCTCCAAGCAAGAAGTCTGCAGCGAAGTCAGGCCTCAGTATTTGGAGAACACCAGTTGAAAGGCGACTAGTAGATTTGGATAGCGGATGTTTGTCAGACTCCGTTGGCTAGAACGAAACATGCTGCCGGTCGCCTTCTTGCATTTTGGGCAACGTGCGGAGCTATTGCCATAACTCCTTTAGAGTGCATACATCTAATGAAATTTTCATAGGATATCGACTTCGTTGGACATATGATCAGACGAATTTTTTCGATGCGAGGCTACACTTGATAACAGCCGCTGTGTGGTAACGTGCCTTAGCGCGACCTATTTCTCGGGTGGTACGACACAATGCTACTAAGTGTCATCACCAAGCGATAGTGAGATTGCCACCGTAACCCCGCGACACAGCAATAGCCCTCGTTCACATTGCTTAAAAAGTTTTCAGTACTTTGTTCGCGACTGAACAACTGATTGCCGAAGCATTAACTATGCCTGAATACATGGGGTTGAACGTCAACGTTGTTGTTGAGGATGAAGAACTGAAGGAGTGGGGGACACAATATCTGAACAAGAGTAGGAAGGTCTCGTCTTACGTGGAATCGAGAACAGACCAGAAGTTCCATATTTCGATCCAGCCACAAGTACCAGTAAGTTACTTCTAATCCTATGGGATCAATGGCCCCCTTAGCGAGGGCAGTATGTCGAGCATAGAAAGATGGTTTCTGGAGCGACGTTTCGGGGACGAATGTTCCAAGGCTATTTTTCGGTTTTGAAGGGCATCACTAACTCTGATTCCGTAAAGTGGAGAGAGACACGCGAAGACATTCACACTGCCTCCGAGCCTTCAAAGCAGACCTCTAGACCAAGCAATAGTCGCAGGGAGTACTCGCCTCCTTGCCACCCTTTACTTGGACAATCGCAAAGTACCAGCAAAACGCAGTGTCGTCTATCTGGATGAAGGACACCCGGATGCGAACGAAGGTTGCAAAGTTTGCATCAAATCCCGTTGGATAAAAACTGCTAGTGGTGCTTTCAAAGAGCATAGCTGGGTTTTCAAGGAACGTTCAGTAGATGCTCTTTTAGGAATCGTAGATTTAGACTTGAATGAGGACACTCTGCGGAATGAAAGCGACGAGGATGTACTCACCAAGGCTCTGGAAGCAGCAGCATCACTGGATACCCACCTTGAAACTTCGAAAGCCTCTGGCAAAGTAGGGCAGATCGTTGTTGAGTTTTCGAGAGTGAGTTCTCGTTTCAAGGTTTTAGCAAATCACCTGCTTTTATACCATCAGCCTTTTCGATTCGTTGCACTGTCCTTGATAACGGGAGATTTCCTCATGGAAAAGCATGCTGACCCCTTTGAGCTCAGGTTACCTTAGGTTCCTCCTATGTAGACACCCTGCATCGTTCACACTATGATTACAATGGGTAAGTCGGCTGCTGTTCAGGTCTTTGACGCTATCTGGGATGCAATGTGACTCCTATATTAGCTTCCACCTTTTACTTCTGCCCTACTTTGCAATTGCATCGGCCTTGACACATCTCGATCAGCAGTGCTAAATTCTGAGTCATTCTAGGGCTGGAGAAGTCGACCCGTCTCGAGATAACCGGGACATTGTCCATACTGCTGGTTTGGTGACCAATAATATAGAAAGTCGCCATCTTTCTCGCGTCGTCGACGTGCACCCCTATGCACGTGACGATGGCCCCTTTGCTACATTCCAGTTCTTTTACAGAACAAAGGAACAATTGGCAAAATATGGCTTCCCTGGACTCAGTGGCCTAACACCTACCTCTCGGCAATCTCAAAAATTAGATTCTAGGCTTATAGATTTCGTGCCTCTAAGCTTCAGCCAACACAAGCCACTCACATTAGCAAAAGCGGTCCAGTCCTTCGAAGCAAGTATTGCCAATAACTCTCTCCTAAAAGGCAGCCAACCAGAATCAACGCTCAAACCTGAGTGTCGTGAATTCCAAAATACGTCGCTGAAGACTGATTCAGAGCAAATTGACACACGCAAGCCAGGAAAGGAACTTGGTCAAATGGAGAGGGACAGAGAAAAGCCTCAAGAGCCTAACAGCAATGTACGAGCTACACAAAAGACACCAGACCAGACCTTCAGCCATTACATTACACAATCAACTGAAGAGGAAAAGGAGTTGAGCCTAGCAAGTGCGAAGATATCCTCGCCTTGGAAGACCAATCCAACCTCACAGAGTGAATCCTCACGGGTCTCCCCACAAGATCATCCAAATAACCAACCCTCTTTTCAGAATCTTCCTAATTCGACCACCTTTCGGGATTCTCAGCCTGATATGGAATACCAGGATAAGGCAAGCGAAGACAATACTGTGCCGTGTACAGACTTCGATGCAGATGAAATTGATGCCACGGATTACCCCGCGAACCCAGAAGAAGCGGAAGAGACTTACACACATATACGCAACCGATTGCAGAATGTCGTACTTGGCAAGAGGAACCGCGACAAGAGCGAAAATGGCGGCAACATAGACCAATCGTTGCAAGATGCAGCAATTTCGAAGCTAAGCGATGTCAGCCAGCTACCGGGTGCTAGTGCGATCAAAGGCAGCGACGGAGGAGGTGAGGCCGCCGAGAAACGCGTCAAAACTGGTGAGGTGATGGATAACGTGAGAGAAAGCAACGCCTCTTAAGACGACAGACAGAAATGAGTCATGAATGGGCACGATGAGAGAGAACGAAGATTTTGAAAAGACTGCCTTTTGTCAAGCATTCTCCATGCCGGCCTCCTTTCAAAAGCGCTCTCACGTCCGTGTGTAAAGCTATTGCGTGTGTGTATCATAAGTCAAAATCTAATGCTGCCAAGCCTAGCAGTCTAACTTAGAGTCTTCTCGATCTCCTGCACCACGGCCTTGATCCTCGGCTCCTTGAGCTTCTTTGCTATCCGTTCAAGTGCTGGCAAAACACCATAGATATTCTTCGCCGCCATCTGCACCTCCTCCCCTAACTCCAGCAGCGTGCCCAGTGCCACCAGAGTTCGGTAGACAGCCTCTGAATCGGGAGTCGCCACCACGATTTTCGTCAGCTCATCGAGCAGTGGCAAGGCCCTCTCCACGGACGTAGATGCAGCTCCAGCGGACGCACGCGTGAATAGCACGGCATAATTCATGTACAGTGTGGTGATAGCAATCGATAGATTGCGGTTACTGCTTGAGACATACCTCTTCACTGCGTTATGAATTGACTCAAACTTCTTGTCGACTAAGGCTTGGCCTGCGGGAGTCTCGAAGAGGTTGCCGAATGCTCGAACGGTGAGCATGATGTTATTCTCTCGATCTCTGTCCTCAAAGCCGGACTCCAATAACACGGTAACGATATCGTTCGGTTCTAAGGAGGGGATGCCACGGAAGGGCTGGTTGCTGCGAGAAGGCGGATGAGGTCGAAGGCTGGAAGCCGCAAAGCGGGTGGCCAGCGAGTCAAGATTCGAACGACGATCTGGATTGCCGGAGCCAGACCTTGATCCGAGGGCTTGCCAGAGGCGAGCGCTGCTTCTAATGACTTCGTAGTAGCGTCAAGAGACTGTAGCGAAGCCTGGTCTAACGAATACTCTGATCGTTCTTCGGCAAGTTGTCCGTTGAATTCTGTGATCTTTTTGAGAATTATTCGTAGATTGGCAGTGGTTATAGATAAGAATTTCGTTTGTGGTAGCAGCTTAGGCCTCTCCACAGGCGTTTGAAATTGAGCGGATTCGGCATCACCGGGCCTGTACCTTGACTCTGAACCCCACGGATCTGCGCCAGTTGGTACACTCGCCTGCCCAAGGGCAGCTCCTTGTGTGTTGGTGGTTATAAAGTTAGCGACTTGATCTAGATATGTTATTGGAAGCTCATTGTCTTGTATGAACTTGGTGGCTGCTTCATACGGATTTTGAGAGAGGTTGTAGGGTAGTTTTAAGGGCGGTTTGCCATCTTCTATGTCAACATCGAAAACATAATCATAATCTTTGCCTCCATGGCTGGTCTTCTTGCCGCTACTTCCAGCTGAGTCGACAACAGTCCCGATCATGACCCACGACTGGGCTCCTTGAGACCATTGATAAGCGCTCACATTCCCATTAGCTTCTCGAATCATCTGCACCTGGCCCTCCTTAGTGCCAGACTTTTGCTGCAAGAACTCTGGGCTTGGGTATTGCTCATTGTCGTTTTCCTCCATTTGCTGCCTCGGTATGGACGATGATTTAACGGTGTCTTCGAAAGCCTTAATATCTTCGGCGGCGGCCTGCCTCTCCTCTGCTCTCGAAAAAACGCGGACTATCCGGTCACTAGCACCACTCACTATGTCACCGTTCTCTGAAGACGCAGCAACACCCCAGACTGATATTGCAGGATGGGTGATGGTTTGTATGCAGTCACGATTCCTCCATACTCTGACTGTTCGATCTTCCCCCGAGCTAACAAGTTCCCCACTTGGCAAACATACGAGTGAATACACAAAGCTCTCATGTCCATGTAGCTGTCCGATTTCCTTACCATTAAGCTTCCAGAGTCTGATGATTGCATCGTTGCCGGTGGAAGCAAAGTCAGCCCCCGAATAGTGGCTGGAAGGCGTCCGGCATAGTGCTCTCACTACGTCCGTGCTTCCCTTGACGTCGCTGTACTTCTTACCACTAGGATCAAAGACACGTATGACGCGATCGGCACAGCCAGTAATAATCGTCTTTTTGTCATACGCCAAAACCGTCCAGACGCTTCCAGTATGACCCTCCAGGACGGCCTCACAGTCCCAGCTTTTGATGCTCCAGACTCTTGCTGTACCATCCCAACTACCGCTGATAATGAAGTTCCCATCCACAGAAACGTCTAGAGCACATACATTGTGGGCATGGCCCAACAAGAGTCTTTCAGCGTTTTCTTCAGGGCCTCTCCCTGGCGGCCTGACATCTATAACTGCTTCCTTACCGCCTGTGACCACAAGACCCTGAGGATGATCTGTGCTGGGGGGAATGAACGTTATTGTATTGACAAAAGACTGGGCTTGGCATATGATGGAAGAATCTTTATTTGAGGTCGTTGGTTTCCATTGCCGCACGGTGGCATCTCTTGAAGCGGACAGTACCATCCCTGTGGAGGGAAATATGACACCACGGACCTGCTACTATTAGACTATTTTCTACTGATGCAGCATACTCACATCGTCGTCATGGCCTCGCAAGGAAGCAGCAAGCTTGTACTCTCCCATCGGGACTCTTGTGATTTCTTTAGTAGAAGATTATTTGATGAATCGCGGAGTATATGATGAGTATGAACTTGTTGAACACGAACAGGTTGATGTTGTTATGGCAGATGTTTGATGGTGAGTGTGTTGACTAAGGGTATTGAGAACGTAAGCTGTGGATGACTAGCACAAGATTTCTTTCGACATTCATATTTGTCAGGCTACATAGTGGGCAGCTTATGGAGGAATTGCTTGTCTGGAAAGGCTTTCGCCATGCAGCATGGTACTATCACCACCAAAGATTCTTACAGCACAGACCTAGGACGGCGTGCTTCCCTTCTCTGGCGTTGAGCCTTCATGCCCACCAAGTGACGAGGTTCAGAGCCTCACGGGACGAGAGCCAATCAAAGAGAGAACCGTTGCGCTACCGGGGAGCCGCACGTGAGAAGCTTGATATGCCAAGCTTTACGGCCTCCCGTCTAGCCTCGCGGCTGTCTTCTTGGATCCACGGCTCTCGACCTCCCCTCCATCCTCATCCTTGCACCATCCGGGCTTGTTTTCGTTGGCGCTTTTGCTCTTGTAGCTTTGACATCCTTGGCCCCTCTTGTCACCATCTTTCATAGACCATAGTCCGCAAGGACATAATACCTTGACGATTTATGACCACATCTCAGAGGGCACTCCTTTCATATTTCAATATCAAATTATAACATCTTTCGGTAACTGTCCTGATTGTGCTGCATCTATCAAATGAACCCAGTCGACATCCCTATTTGCTAATCGCTGAGACCCACCGCCAATAATGAATCTGGGTACACTTCCGACCTGGCCTCAAGCTAAAGCTCGTGTACATTAGCTATACTAATTCTTGACAGAGCCCGCCAAAACCCACCCTCTCACTTGCCACGGGCACTCTCGACCTGTGACGCATCTTCACTTCTCCAACGTGGTGGACGAGAACCAATATTACTTGTTAAGCTCTTGCAAAGGTTCTAGTTGCGCTACACTTCCGCACCGCCTCTGCTAATACTCAATGGCAGATGGCAATCCCATGCTTCGAGATGGTACCACTGGCGACTGGTGAGTAAGCAGTCTGTTCATGTTGGATTTCTTGCTGAAAGGCCAAGGATTGGCACTTTCCTTGGTCATAAAGGGGCCTGCTGGCAAGGCCGCCTCTCGTCCGACGGCAATCTAGCAGCGACTGCTTCTGCTGATTTTACTGCGTAAGTAGCGTGATGAAATGGCACTACAAGGAATCCCGTTGACAAATATTCTTTGTTACAGGAAAGTTTGGGACACCCAGACGGGAGAATGTCTCCATACTTTTCAACATCCCCACATCGTCCGGGCCATAGCACTTCCGCATCATCCTAATCCTCAAGTCCTGGCGACGGGAGGTTTTGACAAGAAACTCATGCTCTATGAGATCGCGAATAGTCGTGCGAGCAGCAGCTCTTCATCCCCAGAACATTCAACTTTCAACAAAGCGCAGAATGCTCAGAAATCGACGCCTGCCGGCTACGAGATTGGTGCTGAGTCTCACCAAGGGGCTATTAAGAGTGTTCACTGGGCACAAGACAGTAACACTCTTATCACTGCGTGTGAAGACAAGTACATTCGATGGTTTGATGTACGAACACGAATCCCTATTACTTCTGTGCGGCTCGATGGTGCTCTGGGAAGCTGCGAGCTCAGCAACACCTTGTCTACCTTGTCGGTTGCTGCTGGCAATACAGCCTACTTCTTCAGTGGTAGCACACCAGGTCAATTGCTCCAGTCCGTGACTCAGCCTACAGATATTGTTTCCGTGGCGGTTCACGAAGGTGAAAGAAAATATGCCACAGGAAGCAATCAAGACACATGGATTCGAGTATGGGACCTTGATGCAGGACCCGCACAAACTGAACTTGATACGTGGAAAGGTCACCACGGTCCGATCTGGAGTTTGGAGTTCAGCCCAGACGGCAAGGCTTGCGCAAGTGGGAGCGAGGATGGGACGGTGAAACTCTGGAAGTTCTGTGAGGGACCGCACGGACTGTGGAAGTTAGGTTGAAGACCACTTCTTTACACTGCCGTTGGTTGTCACTTTTTGATGTCAGCATGACTTTAGGAACTAGACCCATGTATGCATGTTGCTGAGGTATATGGAGTGGTTTGGAATGATACCCCTATGTGTTGCTTGCTTTCCGAGTCAACAATTACACTGATTTCTTAAAGTCTCATATTCGTCACCCTGACTTGAATGTCTAAATGAACAAGGACCTCGCTTTGCCTGTTGAAGCTGCTGATAGAGACTAATGCGAGGATCTTCCAGGGATAAAAGCAGCGTGTAAGGCAAAATGTGATATTAATCCCCCAGCAGGTATCTCCTTCTCCCCCAATCAAGCACAATATCACAAATTTCTCAGTCAGTGTGCTATGGAGGAAAGGTCCGTACGTAAGGCGCGCACCACAACAAAGAGGGATGTCGCAGCGTAGGAAAGACCCGGTGAAAATCAGACTTAAATTGTCGACCTTTGCGCAACCAAGGCCTTTGAACAAGCAACAAACCCCCACATCTTGACCTTCCCTTGTTCCAGTGGATTTCGGAGTGGGCACCGATTAATATCCTGCAGTAGATGCTGATGGTTCAAGCTCCTGCGACGTGGCCCATAGATATTCAAAAGAGCATAAAGCAGGTTTCCCTAGCAAATGTTATTGCTCCAAGACCACCATGCTCAATGATATATCAGCACGTGTTCACTCCCCCAAACGTGTCTGAGGGACTCTAAGCTCTAGCCTCTCAGGCTGCTGCATGCGACTCTGCCGAAAAAGTTACAGTGGAAGTTATCCACTTGAGCTGCTGGATATGGGGTTGCTACTGAGTTTGAACCGGCCGATTAATTCGCCATTCGCCAGTCTCGCTGTTCTCCAATCCAAGACTTACAGCTTTGTTGCATCCATGTCAGTATAATTTCGAGCAACGATGAAGATAGAAGGCGAATGAACGAACCCACAGAGTTTAGAAGCGCGTCACACAGAGCTCAAATGAAACATGAGAGAAGGTTTATCCTGGATTGAGCAAGGGGAAGTTGATGGATGCTTATAAGTATGTCGATCTCATCTTACGGTGCCTCCTTTTCGCTTTACTTTTGACTTCAGATCAAGTGATCATGTCAATATCTTCATCCTCCGGTACAGCTATTGATTGAATAGCTTGAGCCTTACCATTCTGCTCGGATGCTGTGTTTTCTTTCTTCTTTTCCCAATAGTCTTCCATCTCCCTATCCAACTCCTCTTGGGTCTTCCTTGGTCGTCCTCCAACCAGTTGACGCCCTTCACCATCTACTTTGGGTTTTCCTCTTCCCCTTCTTGCAGGGCTTCTCCCTCTTCCTGGTGGGCTTCTCCTTCTCCTTGGTGGACTTCGAGACCTGCTCCTCCTCCGCCCTCCAGATCTCTCACCGGGGACGTAGCGATCAACACCGTCTGGAGGTGGTTTAGCGACATTACTTCTTCTGGGTAGATCAGGACTACGACTGCGATTCCTCCCATCTGGGCGACGACCGTTGGGTTTCTCAATTCGATCGAAGAGGCTTCGACCTGGTCTTGTAGCTGTATCGAAAGGATTGCGAGAGGCGACAGTATCTCGTCCGCGATGAAATTCAGTTGCGGGGGCGGTGGGTAGTAGGGTAAGCCGAATTGGCTGCCCGGCAGCATTCGCGCCATCGAATTCACGAATCGCCCGATTGGCAGCACCAATAGAATCATAGCTCACATATGCTGTTCCGGTGGAGCGTCCAGCGCGGTCATATACGAGGGAGAGGGACGTGATAGGTGCAATACGGGTGAACAGATCCTGTCAAGAGATCAGGTCAGACTACAGCTGTATCACAGAGACTTGTGACAGCTAACCTCCAAATCATCTTCGGTAAGATCGTAATGTAGGTTATCAACCCTGAGGCGACTATCGGAAATGGTTCTGCAAACGTCGTTACGAAGGCTTCTTTCATTGTAGAGCTCGAGAATTTTACCTCTGCGATTCGGAAGGGCTACGTCCACGACGTGTATTTTGAGGTCCATCATAGTGAGGTACCCGAGCTGCACAGCTGTTAGGCTACCAGATAAACAAGTTGAGGAGTAAAAATAGCACGCACCATGCGGGTCGTCTTCGTACTTGTCATGGACCCAGTCGCTTGGACAATATCAGTCTACGCTCAGCACGCGCTTTAGTATGATCCACTCACGCATTGATATCTGTAGCATCTGACCGACTATTCCACTATGGAGGCAGCGGACGAGGACGTTAGCATATCGAGTTTCCACGTAGGCTTTGTAGCCTGTCCACAGTGCGAGAGTCAAGCCTGAGCCCTTGAACGTCGCCGCGAGCTCTCAAAGGCGATTTTCAAGGAAGGAGGTAAAAGAACCTTTGGCCGCTTGGTGAGCATTTTTGTCAATGAAGAAGCTTTGGAGCTCTCTACATGATTCGACGGGGCTGAGCAATACCTTTCTATTGTCGTTGCGACCTCGATCAACTCCCCTTCGGCCTCTGTGACCGCCTCTGTGACCGCTTCTCTGAGGGGGGCGAGATTAGCAGGTTGCGCCGTCGCGTTGCATTCCAGCGATCTACCTGTCTGTCTGCGATCACATCGTCAAGTGGACGATCCATGTTCGGTCAACGCAACACCTGCAAGGGCACGGGTGTTATATTGGTCGTTTCTGAAAGGAGAATGACACTTGTTTGGAGAGTTTCGAGTTTTAGCGCTTCATGCCTACGCAGAAATGAAAATCCAAATCATTTATGGCACGTTTCCGAACGGACTTCATGCCTTCTCAATTCTAGTGTCTTCCTCTTGTAATTACATGAAACACATTCGCTATGTACAGTCTTGGCCTTGACACTGTCAATGTTGAGCTGAGTGGCATACGGACTATCCTTTACAGTGGCAACGAGTGTTCCAGTCCCAAAATATCATCTATAAGCATAGGGAAAGGGCTGTGAAAGACCGAGGACCTATCGCTAACTTGAACGGCCGCTAGGAAGTGTCCCTCCGTCCTTCGTACCAGATAAACGTTGGTTTTGGGTAATGGTTTGCGCCGCCGACTGAGAAAACCTTGATGGTGCCTGTGGAGGCATGTTGGGCGTTGCGTCTTCGTCGTAATGATCCAGTACGTAGTCGTCGCTTTGCAAACCACCTGGGTCGGCACCATAATCATCGGTAGCTTGAGGATCATACCGCTGCTTCTGGTTGGCTTGCTGATGTTGAGGAGCGTTGGCTGTACTCTTCGAATTCTTGTTCCCCCTCTTTCCCTTCCTGCCCTTCATCTTTGCCTTCTCAAGTAAGCGTCGTTTTTCTGCTAGCCGTCTCCGCTCACGGCGGTCCTTCACCTCGTACTGTCGGAGAAGAGCCTCGGGTGGACCGCCGAAAATAGCTTCATACTCGCAGTATTCACATATCCACACATCCTCCTCCTTGGGCGGATGATGATAATTGTTGTAATTCTGCCTCAATTGACGATCTCTTGCCGCCATTGTATATTGCTTTGATAGCGGTCGACGAGGCTTTGGAGCTTTAGCTGTCTGTGAGCTCCCTCCTCGTGCCTGGGCCGCTTCATTGCCGATTCCAGAGTTGGTTTGAGACGCGTGTTGCATAGCGCCCTGTTCATATGCCCCATCAACGCCATTTGCAAGGCCTTCTGGGTACGCGCCTGGAGTCGAAGGGTAGCCGTACCCAGGCCACACCATGTCGTTAGTAGAATCAGATTCGCATGTAAACGTAAATTGAGTCTTGCCCTGAGAATGCGCCCTAGTGGACTGCTGGCTGAGAGGGCTGAGATTCTCTTGTTCCGCATTCCCAATTGGTAAAGTCGCAGCATTCGCAATGGCAGCGGAGATAATGCCTTGATCAGTATCAGCTGTAGGCAAAGCCTCTACATCCAGATCAGCACGATTAGGAGGGGCCTGGGGGAAATCTACCTTTGGCAAGGGAATCTTCAGCGTTTGGTGGACCGCGTCTGGCGTTGTTCGACCCATTGAACGAAACACCCAAAGGACTGCGAGTGCTTCGTCTCCTTCCACCAATTTTGCTGTAGCGGCCCCTTCCAGCACCAGACACGTTTGCTCCCGGTTTAGTTGGCAATGCAGAGCTCCCAGACCCGTAGTAGTGACCAATGCCAGAATCTGAGTCCGTATGAGAAGCATCGATGTCTCTCGTAGGAGTGATACCCATCGAAGCCATTTCTGCGGAAAGAGACGAGTGATGGCCCCCATTTGCCGGGATCTTCCTCTTCTTCTTATTATTTGTATTTTCAAAAGAATCATAACCGTCCACTGAATCAGCGGAGGAAGCTATCGATTGGGATGCATTTTGCTTGCTGTGCCGGGACGAATCATTCCTTGGCTTCACATGGCTACTCCATGCGGGCGCCGTACCCAATGAGGGAGGCCACAAGAGCTGCTCCTTTCTTCCGTCCGTGGCGCGCTCCAATCCCTCCGCTCCATGCTCCAATCGAGCTCGGAGGTGAGTCTGCACCTTTTGGTCGTCATCAATGCTATCGGAAGCTTGTGCTTCCAAGGATGAGCTCTGCGAGGTCGACCGGCCATTTTGGGTAGATGCCTCAAAATATGGGATCTGGAATAATTTTTCTGTAGGTTCAGACGGCGACGAATGCAAGATCGATTCGGCTAATTCAGGGGAAATCTTTGATCGTATACGTCGTCTAGGCAGTGGTCGAATGGGCCGATCAGGGAAGGTTGTGGACGCAGCATCCGAGTAATGTAATTCTAAGGGTGACGGGGGCGAGTATGGCCGTTGAGAAATCTCCATGTCGGGCGCTATGCAAGTATGTGCGGTGGAAATGAAGGTTGGGTGACTGTAGCTCTGTGATATAGGACTGCACACAACATCAACACAGTAAGTCACTGAAGGATAGCAGGCGAGCTAGAGTTGGGGCGTCAGGGTTCTGGTTCAGGGAGGTGCTTCGAATTTGAGAAAACACCTACCTATCTATGACGAGGGATTTGTAATATTCGTGAGCTACATTTGAAGGTGTATCGAGTCAATCCCCGACAACACAATTTGGGCAGTTGGGGAAGGGGCTATCTGAAAACGTCGTCAATATTTTGTTATGTTCCTGGATTGTACCTACCCTGACCGAACTCTCTCATCAGTCTGGACTGCCGCTAGACCTTTTCTTCTCGCTCATGCCTACAGCACTAATGGTAACACCGCTAGCCCCCTTTAGCCGTAAAGCTGATCCATGATCTTTTAGCGTGGTAACAATACCCCTCACGCCAGGCCCACCGCGCCCCCCAGTCCTTACATATCTGTTAGGCACATCAGCAATGTAATCTATAGCGCTAAGAAATTCACGTTATTTTCCTGCTCGAGACCCGCTTCGCCCACCTCCTCCAAGCTCTCTCGTCCAGCCCATGTACAACCATGACGTTTCCCTCTGATCATCAGAAGTAATGATTATAGCTTGAAGATTTTTACAAAAGCTTTCAATCACCTCTAACCCCTGTTCCTCAACCCCAGTTGCTATCGCTGTATTACAGCTGAGTTCACTACGAGACACATCCTAACACCATTTCCCTGGGATTCTTCAATGTACAGATCTTTCTTGACGTGTGCGACGGCTTGTAACATGCCTGCCATCTTATAGCCTCGTACTGGCAGTAATTTTTCAACATGTCACTTCGCCGCTCGGCGCGGGCTCCTACCACTCAGCCAGCTCCCAATGCCCGACGAAACACTAACTCATCCACATCATCTGTTTCTTCTGGTCAACCTGATCGCAAACCACGCTCCCAGCCTAAATCTGGTTCTCCACTAAGCTCCGCAGCGGCTAGATCGCCGTCACCGGAAACACCACGTGCACTCGAGGACGCGCTCCCGCGACGGACAAGAAGCACACAGGATGACACTAGAGGAGAAGGAGCCGTTAAGGTGAAACGTAACGGGGAAGACAATGAAGAGGAAGAGGAGGAGGAGGAGGAGGATGAGGAAGAAGAGACTCGATGCATATGCGGCCACCAAGAATATCCTGGTTTGCCTGTTATTGATGCTGAAAATTCAAGAAGGAGGTCACAAGTTGACTCTGATCCAACTTCGGAGGACACCACGGGATGGTTCATCCAATGCGACGAATGTCAGGTGTGGCAACACGGAGGCTGTGTTGGAATCCTCGATGAAACGCAGAGCCCTGAGAAATACTTCTGTGAGCGGTGTCACAGAGACTTACACGAGATTGGCCAAGATCTTAATGGGTATGTACCAGTTCCCCTTTACGAAGCATTGCTAAGGGCCTTTCGAATTTCAGACGGAATTACTCTCGCTATCTTCCTGCAAACGGGTCTAACTCCAACTCCGCGTCACCAGAATTGAGGTCCAAAGACCACCCGAAACGGACGAGAGAGACCAAGCCAACTCGGACAGAATTAGAAAATTTAGCTAAAGGACGCCGTGCAACTATGAACAGCCGCGATTCTGCGTACGATGAAGCCGAACATTTACGGAGAGCCATTGAGGAAAGCAAGAAAGATAGTTTAGCAAAGACCAACGGTACGCGTAAGGGAAAGCGGGGCCGAAGCGAAAGTGAAGGGTAGATTTCAATGCATATTTTGGTCCTATGAATCTACTAACAAAGCCTTTCAGCCTTGAAGACAGCACGAAGCGAAGACGAACGGCCTCCGGCTCAACCTCTAGCCAAAGCAAACAGCGCCTTCCAGGAGATATCTCGGACGATGAAGCTGAAAAATTGGAGGCACTCAAAAGCATACGGGGCGCAACAGCTCGCAATCACCGCTCCAAAGAGGTCCGCGGAAAAGAAGCGGGACGCGAGAGGGAACGGACAGAGGGAAGTAAGGAGAAGCACTCTAACCAGAAGCGGAAGATTGACGGTGAGCATGCTTGATACCAACCTGTGGTTAACTAAGGAAGATCATAAAGCTGATCTCTTATAGATTCTGAATTATCACCAGAACCAATACCAAAGACTACTTCCTCAAAAGTCCCAGCGCAAAATGGCAGGGTATCTCACGCAGCGGTAGCGTCCAAATCACACAAAAAAGGTGGCCGCCCCCAGCTCGAAAGAGCCGACTTGGCCGCAACCAATACAGTAAAGATCGAGAACCACCTAAACAAACCACTCATTCTCCTCCCAGCAACAACTCACAGGACAGGGACATCTCCAACGGAAGCAATGGTGCGCATGGCAATGGCGCAGCCGAAAGCAATGGCCTCGGGAAGCCTTCTCGACCAAGGCATATGAATCCTAATCGCACAACTATGAACGACATGAAGCGACGCGTCGCTGGAATACTGGAGTATATCAGCCATATCCAGGTGCAAATGGCGAGCCTAGATGCCGCGAGGCCCAAGCTCAACCTTCCAAACAATCACCCGCCAGGTACTTCCGGACAACGTCGGGCTGGTGCTCGGGGAAAAGGTGAAGCCGTGGTCGGAGCTAACGAGCTTAAAGATATTGTAGAGTCACTCGACCAAGGCGACATCATGGACGGCGATGCCTACGAGAAGCTAAATGCACTTGGAATGATGGAAGTCTTGACGAAGCAACTGATGAAGTGGCAGCAACAGTTTGGGAAGTACGGAGAGAAATAGCGTGAATATGACGCATCAGATGACGACAATGGCAGTAGGGACTAAGGAGCAAGTAATGATGGACAATCAACCAACAACCGGACAATGGCGGAGGATGAACTGAGCCTTTTGCGAAGGAGACGGAGGTGACCGTGTATGCACGCGTGAATGCCTTGTATGAGGAAAGAGACAACCACTTTGTTTGTACAGAACGCTCCGCTCGCTATGCTCCCAATTTCCAAAGTCGGACACTGCTGCTATCAATGGTCTCATGCTCTCGGTATTTACAGAAATCCCTTCGTAGTACTTAACATGCGATTTAGCCCGTCTCCTGTGTCACTGCTATCAGTGGCCCGATGCCCACGGATGCTGCCTCCCCATTCGCTGGTGCTTCCTCTGACTCCAGCCCCTCGTTCGACTCGCAGTCCTTTCCAGCCCTCAAGCTCGCGTTCGAGCCGCAACCCTTTCTCCTTCTCCTCCCTCAGATCGCGCTCGGCCCGTCGGGCTGCGAGTTGAGAGCGAGCTTCCTCTGCCTGAAGTTCATCGATGGTGGAAAGCAGGCGATCGACCTTCTCACGGCCTCTGGCTACATCTTCGGCAAATTGCTTAGCTGTCTTATCCTTACGCTCGAGCTGCGACTGTAAGTCTTTGACGGTGCGATCAACGTTACGAACAGAACGGAGATGATCAGCATGCTGCGTCTCCTGCCTTTCAAGCTGGTGTTCGAGCTCTTGAATGCGGCCATTGAGGAAGCGTGCGTCGTGCCCGGCAGTAGAGAAGCCTTTTGTCTCCAAGTCAACCACCCGGCCTTGCAAATCTTTCACTGCCTTTTCCAAAGCTGCTTTTTCCTTGTGTAAGGACCCGGTGGTTTCGCGTTCAGCGACAATATCCTTTTGCATCTCCGTTGACAGTGCATCTACCTTTCTCATCTTACTTACAGCAGCCGCAGCAACGTCTTGTTGCTGCGCTAATTGCGTCTTCAGCTCCAGCTGCTCACGGTCTGCTTTGGCTGCGTTGCGCATTGAAGGACTCTCACCACGAGCTAGATCCTCGAGCCGATCTCCTGCTTCTGCTAGACGAGACTCAAGGCTTCTCTTTTCCATCTGAAGGCCGTCTTTCTCTGCTGCTAGGTCATCCATCGAATTACGGAGACTGCGTACTTGGGACAGAAGAGAAATGACCTTGCTTTGGGCGTCATTGTGAGCGGCTACGGCCTCTTCCCTTGACGAGGACAGATCCTCCATCGTCATCTCGAGTCTAGATTTCTCCTTTGACCATGCTGAGCTATTGAGGACTTCATCATCCCATTTCGACCGTAGGTCTTCTAGTTCGTCCCGTAATTGAGAAGTCTCTGAGCGAGCATGGAGAACATTTTCCCGCTCATTTTCCAATTCGCCGGTCAGTAAGGAGAATTCACTCTGATACTTTCTTCGCGTTTGCTCCAACGTTGCCTCTTTGTCATCGACGTCCATAGCACGTTGGCTTCGATAATCTTCAAGCTCGTGTTGAAGCCTCTTCTTCGCTTGTAGAGCAGTTTCTAGATCAGCTGCAAGATCTTCTACTCTGGCTTCGTAGGATTGGTTTTGTCGCTGCAGTTCTTCGACTGAGGAGTCCATCTGTTTCCGCTCAGCCACGATATGTGCGTAGGTTTCTTCACTCTCGAACACCTGCGCTTTAGCATGTTGCTCCGCACGAGAAGCTTTAAATACTGCAATTTCTGCATGCTCAAGCTTATTGAAATATTCATCCGCCCTGCGCTTGTAAAGATTTAGATTTGCTTCTAAGTCATTCGCCCGGGACGCTTCTGTGTCGAAACGAATGTTTAGATCCGAATGGTCTGACAGGATGCGACTCTTCGCTGCCGACTCATGTTCGTGGGCTTCAGAGACAGCCTCCAGCTCTGATCTAGCGTCACGCAATTCTACCTCGACAGAGGCCCGTGCCTGTCTGGCGCTGTCAAATTGAGACTTTGCGTGGGTAAGGTCAGCGACTGTGCCATCATATGCTCGCAAGAGGGACCTCCGCGAGTCTTCCTGTGAGTTGATGAGGTCGTACAGTTCCTCGTGAGACTTTGCTTGTATGTCACGTAGTGAAAGATCTCCGGAGCGTATCGATTTCTCAAGCGCAGACATTTTCTTTGTCGAATCATCGAGCTTCTCGTTCAGTCTTCCATTTTCTCTCTCAAGCTTTTGAACCCTCCTAGCTGTTGGACTCTCATCATAAGCTAGACCTCTTGTTGGCGATAAGCGACCAAGCTGGCTTTGTAAGTGGCGATTCTGCATTTCGGTCATTTGCAATTGGGCTTGAACCATCTCAAGCTCTGCGGCGACATCCATTCGTCTATTATATGACATTGTATCTACAGTCCGATCAGAGCGCCCAGAATCGTGCGATTGAGTGCTTGGGTGCCTTCGATCGGGTGTGGAATTGTTAGAATGATGTTTCGCGTCGGAGACCCTCCGATGTTGTTTAGGGGATTTCCTTGTGGGTAGGATATTCTGATTGATTTCCTCAAGCATGTGACGCTTTGATGAGGAATGACGAGCATCCATATCATGGATCTCGCCTTCAAAGCGTTGTCGCATATCTTGGATCTGGAGCTCTGCACGAGAGCACTTTTCGTTTGTAATCCTTAAGGCCTGCTGACACGCTTGAAGCTGTCCAGCGAGGTCAGTATATTGTGGAAGGCGGGGCGCTACCACCTCCCATGATGGATTCTGTTCGTTGGACTCCGGATGGAATACTTTATGAAGAAGGGCGAGCTGTCGACGAGTCTCATTGACTTCCCTATTAGTAGCGTCGAGCATGCTCTGTATTTTCCTCGTATTTGCTTGTGCTTGGGACCGAACTTGCTTCTCTGATTCGACAGTCCGCGTCAGCTCAACTACCTGAGCACTACAATTGGCAGAAGTCTTCTCAGCATTTCGGGTTGCCTTGTGCTCCCTTTCAATCTCGTGGTGGAGATCCTCTACGTCTAGTTTCAATTTTTCCTTTTGCTTCTCAATAGATGCCATAGATACCTGTAAATCATTGAAAGAGCTTCGGAGTTTCTTGCTGTCTTCGTCGCCTTTTGCTTTCTCAGCCTGAAGTTGCAGGACGCGAGATCGTTGAGAGTCTCCAGCTCGGGAAGTAGACCTGGCAATATCTAGGTTCTTCTGCTGAATCTTATTTAAAAAAGCTCGATTATCATTCTCTGAGGCGTTCAAGCGGCCCTTAACGGTCACAAGCTCCCTCTCAAGGCGCTCTTTATGTTGATCATGCTGCAGACGGAAAACATCTGACTCATTTATCATTCTCCGGAGCGACTGAGCTTCTTCTGCAAGGCGGGATCGATCTGCTGTGATTTCTTCTAATTGATTGTCTTTGTTTTCCATCTCCTTCATGAGACTTGTGTGTCTTTCGTTAGCCTGTCGTGACATGCTTCTTTCAGCAACTATCTGGGCCTCAATCCTTGATGATTCTGCATCCGCGTACCGCTCTCTGAGCTTCTTGAGCTCTGTTTGCAACTCTTTGCGGTTTGCTTCGGCAATTGTTCGTGCTTCCTGTGCGCGGCGAAGTGTGTCTTGCTGAATGTATAGCTCTTTCTCAATAGTGATCTTGGACTCGTTGAGATTTACATACTCCCCTTTGAGCGTCGCCAACTCGTGATCACTAAGCATCTGTACGTCATCTCTTGATTGCCTCTCACGACTCAATTCAGTCTGGACTTGAAACAAGTCTGCTTTGAGTTCGTCAACATGGCTTTCAAGAATTTTGCGGGAAGTTCCAGCTTGGGCGTCCTCAGACAATTTTTCGTTCAGGAGTCTTTTGGAATCGGCAGCCTCACGCTCGAATTGGAGCCTCTGTGACTTTATAGCGTCTGCTTCTGCTTGCACTTCACGAAATCGTTTTTGCAGACTATCGTGACGCGAAGCAAGAAGGGCTTTCTCTGACTCTAGTGTTTTGCGCTCCTTTTCGAAATTCTTCTGGTCTGCTTTCAGGATTGCGACCTCGCTTTCCTTTCTTCTTAATAGTGATTCATAGTCCGTAGACGTGGAAGAGAGGTCATCAATTTGGGCCCTTATGGCGCAATTCTCTTCTCGCAGGTCCCCGAGCTGTCTCCTAGAGATATGTAGGTCTTTGGTGGCAGCTGACAATTTGACTTCAAGGTCCTGGTCTGTTCTGAGCAATTTGCCTTCAAGATCCGATACTTTTCTTAGCTGTAGGTTGAACTGACTCTCAAGGAGCTGTCTTTCTCGTATCACCTCTGAGTTTTCACTTTCTTTTTCTGACCTTGTGCGTTCTAAATTAAACAAGAGCGTATCATTCTTTTTAATGCTTAACTGCATTTCGCCTTTGTCTGCTTCTAGGCGTATGATGATCTGCCCGGCTTGCTCTAATTTCTCTCGCCATCTGTTGGCCTGATCCTCCGCTTTTCTCTTCGCGTCCACAAGATCGTCAAGCTGATCCTCAAGTTTCTCCTGGTCTTCAATAGCACCTGCTAGCTTTTCATTCAGCTCGGTCTCTCGCTTCTGAAGGCGTTTGAAAATTTCTTCCTTGTCAAGCGCAAGAGAACGTTCACTTTCAAGTGTCTGCTGGGTACGAGCTAGGTCTGCATCAGCTCTCCGTCGTTCATCCTCAAGCCTAACCCGATCCACATTTTCTTGTTGCACTTTGAGCTCAAGGCATTGGATCATTTCATCACGTTTCTTCACCTCGACCGCGGTTTGTGTGGCACCGAGAAGTGGTTTCATCTGAGCGAATAGCCTCCACCACGGGTTACTACAAAGATCCAAATAGACACCGAAATTATGCCGAATAATCCGAGTCGCTTCGGCTCTGTAGAGACGTTTAGCCGCAATCTTTCGTTGCATGAAACCACGAGAGATAGACTGAAATCTGGAAACGATAGCTTTGATAAGAGCATCACGCTGTTCCTCGAGGTCTGCCAGCACACCGGCTCGAAAAAATACTTTAGTCAACCCGATCCGGTAGACTGCTTTGTCTAATCTCAGCATTTCGAGCATGATATATACTGCCTTCTGCCCTTCATGATGTCCCCTAGGCAAGGCTTGACAGAGCACCTCGTAGCGTTGTCGAAACTCTGGAAAAGGAAGTCTGTTGGGGAACCCCGTGCGTGCTATTCGAATGCCCTCTAATACACCGTTGCAGCGTAGTTGATCCAACACTAATGGAGCTTGGAAAAGCTTTGGGCGTTTCCTGTGATTCGGCAAAATGCAGCGTACAAAATGAGGGTGAGTAGAGTGAAGCTGGGTCATCAAACTTGATAATTGCTCCTTGTGTCGTTGGGCTACTGTGCGGAAGAGACCTTTCTTCACTCGATTCCTGACGACGATCTTATCCTCATCAATGTCGCTACAGTCTTGAAAGAGCGTTGCCATATGCTCATTTCGAGATGCTGCTAGGAGTCGCGTGAGGTTATCGTTCAGTGGATCCTTGTTTTTTTCAAGCCAACCGTGAGTAGAGTATTCAACCTCAGCGGCATAATGTGTAAGTATAAACCCCTGAGACAGTCGAGATGCACGATACTTCGGTGTCTTTCGATCCCACAGCGAATGTAGTTTGTCAGTGAAAGTCCTATCTGTAGCCTTTGGCATAACAGAATCTTCGTCGAGGCATGAGAATATTCCGATAGGATTTGGAAGCTCAATAAGTTCGATGGTTGGTTGCAGGTCTTTACCAAAATCAATGAAATTCCACTCAATTTTTTCTCGCGCATATTCTTCCTGCTCTAGTACGAACATGTGATGGTTGAAAAACTGTTGTAATTTTTCATTCGTGTAGTTGATGCATAGCTGTTCAAAGCTGTTCTCTTCGAAAATCTCGAAACCAGCGATGTCCAAAACACCAATGAAATGCAAATCATCAAGACCAGAGCTTGTAGGCCCCAATCGTCGATTGACTCGAGAAACCAATTCTCCAAACGCTCGCTCATATATGCCCTTCGAAAGCGCATGTAATGACGAGCGCACTTGCTCTGGAGTCTGAACCTTTTCCACCCATTCACGACCTGCTTTGACTCTAGGGTGTAATAGTCCTTGTACAAAGGCGTCCGTGTCAATACCAAGAAGCTGACAAGCTTTTTGAGCCTGAGGATATGCGTCTACGGCTAATGTAGCTTGGTCTGCTCGCAAGCTCTCTCTCATGATTGAGATGTTGCCTAGCAGCAATACCGCAGCTACCGTTCGGAATACGGCAATCTGCTCCTCGTCTGTGAAACCTATTACTTTGAATGCGTCAAGTAAGGAGTCCCACTCTTCCTTATCAGACACGCCAGCTATTGCATGATTGCCGTCTTTGGTATAACAAAAGTCCTCTGGACCACTGTCATCAAGTAGTAATTGCTTCCTGAGTTGTGTATTGGCACCCCGTAACAGTTGGTAGAATATGTGATAGTTTCGCTCGCTCGAATTTAATCTGACGACTCGAGACTTCTCTAGGAGATACCAATCTATGAACGCTCCTACAATCTGGCCAGAACGTGTGAACTCAATACGGATAAATTTCCCAAATCGAGAAGAATTGTTGTTCCTCACGGTCTGAGCGTTACCAAAAGCTTCTAAAATGGGATTGGCCTTCAAGATTTGATTTGAGAGGTTTGGAAGCTGGTACCCGGTAATGCGCTTGTTCAGATTTTCCGGTGTAGCGACTGCAGCAAAGTATTGTATGACTTTCTTTGTGTTCTCGGTCTTACCAGCCCCGGATTCCCCAGTCACAAGTATACTCTGATTCTCCCCTTCTTCAACCAGGTTCCTGAAAGCGAAATCTGCCATTGCAAAGATGTGCGGTTTCGTATCTTCTCGGCTTTGACCTCTGTACATTCGCACATAATCATCGGTGTATATTGGTAGGGTACAGTAAGGATTGACAGTGACCAAGAATAGTCCAGAATATGTATAGATAAGGTCAGATTGATATCTCGAATGAAGGTTATGAATGACCGAAGCTTCGTTGAGATGGGTCAGTTCGGCCATATCACTGGCCCTGTCGAACTTTGCCGGGTTGACTTTGTCCACCTCGTTACTGTCGACACGCCTTTGACTTCCATCTTCACACTCAACAAGCAAAGAAGCTCGATCAAGCTCTTCGAGAACCCATCCCTTGATGAAAGCAGTTTCTGGGTCGCATACCCATACATAACGCTTTCCAGAGAAGTCGTTTTCTCCCTCAATTGCGCCAACCCTTTCACCCCCGCGTTGAGCTTCATCAGACTGTATAAAAGTAGGAGCAAAGGTCATAGTAGAGTCATGAGTGTTTCGATTGGAGTGAGCTCGCTGTCTTGATTGCTCGAAAGGAATGTCATTCGTGGCATTAGAAGGTGTTAAGGACTGGTGGCGGGAATGAAGAGCTGAGGGCGAGTCGCCAAGTGATCTATGGACAACTTCCGACTTAGGCCGAGGGCTCGACAGTAATGGTCCGGGAGACGGCGATGGGGAGCTTCTGGAGAATGGATTACTGCGTAGCCTGGAGCTACCTAGAGTTGCGCTCGACATTGTTTACTCTTAAGGAGGGTTCATAATGCGATCAGGTCGCTCCATCATCATTTTAGTATTGACATAATGAGTTGGGGATGCTGATCGCTCAATCACGACGCCACGAGATGGACAGACGTTGGAAATACCTAGTATCAGGTCATTTGCTATGGAGCGCAAACTGCAGAAAGTAAACAGACAGGGATCTTCTATCTCCGAAGGTGCCTAACCGAATACGGTTGGCTCCATGTATCCTCCTTTCCTATATCTGGTATCAATTCTCGACTCTCATGCTTTTCTCTATCCACTTTTCAGCACAGAAATCTTGTAGCTTTCTGACAAGTTGATCGTCTGCCGACTTCTGTACCTATTGACGTGTTCGCGTCTTATGCAATGCGTGCCATGTGCTGCAGTTCTCCTGCATCTTCCACCACATACTGCGCTCTCTTGGACACAAGTCGGCGCTCCCAGCTCTTCTACCTTTGCGTTGGGTCTGGGTGTCGAGCTGCGAGAGCATGACTCATTATCGCGCTATGTATGATCAACCAACCTTGGATTTTCCAACAGGTGATTACTCAAACGTTGAGGCGCCAAACTTTGCATATCAACAACACAATTCCAGAGTCTTCTTGCAAACCCAGGTGCCTCCATCCGAAGATCTTCCTTTTCGAGGCTCAAGCCTTGAAATGGACCGCACTGATGCGCAAGATCTTCTTCTACACAAACAGTCAGGCCAGCTAAGTCAGCCGGCTTACATGGTCTCTGACGATTCACTCGCCTACAACCCTCAAAATCCCACTATGTTACCTCTCTCTTCCACACTCGCCGGACCTCAAGCTTCATGGACCCAAAAATCTGTTGCGCAGCCAACCATGAGCTCATTTCAGCCTACGCTTCCAAGTGCAGCGCTCGGCGCTTCGGCGACCCTACGAGATTTGGGCGCAAATAAAAAGTCCATGCCACCGTCAAAGGGATCTTCTGACCTAGAGGATGGACAGGTGAGTAGCGGAGAAGTGAGTGAAGAAGAGCACCAGCCAGAAAGCGGAATTATAAATGGCTACATTTCACGAACGTCCCATCCTGACGATGGTGAGACGGGTCGTCGTCAATCGCTGATAGAAAGCCGTGTGATCGTTGGAAGACTGGTCCAAGAGCTATATACTTGGGGACTCGATCTCCAGGACATGTTAGGAGAAGTTACAAATCCAGGAGCACTTCGCATGTTCTTCGAAGAGCTCGGGCTTCCAATTTCAAATGCTTCTCAGGTAGATTCAGATATCCAAAAGCCAGCTGCCTTCGAAGGAGCTGACAGCCAATCTTCTCGTTCACGTCCTGAATTGTCCACATCAATACCGAGAGCTACTGAGGGCGTTCTTGCAAATCTCTCCACCGCACAGACCCCGTTCAACTCCGTGGAAAGTCAGAACACGCAAGCGTCTAACCCCAACCAGGGAGCAAATCGGAGTACTCCCATGGATCGCAAAGCACTCATCGCCCAAAAACTTGCCGCCAAAAGCTCGAAGGGATTTTCAAGCTCAACCAACTCCGGCATCCAGGCTACAAAAACTGGAGACACTCAAGAAGTGCCTCAAGCAAAGGTATTTGGGCAAGCCGGATTGTCTACTTTCCAAATTGGCGCCGAAGGGGAGAGTGACAATGTACCACAGAAACCAATTACGGAAGGCTTCTCCGACCTTGAAGCTCGACGGAAAGCCCAGACAGAGCTAGCACGGAAACGACTTGAAGCACTTAAACACAAAGCAGCAGCAAAGGACCATTCAGAGGGACCAAACAGCAGCAAAGCTCTTGTCCAGCTACCTTTGCCGCCTGACAAGTCTATACAGAAAGATTTCGATAGTGTGGCAGCGAGCCCTAATACTCCTATTGTGCAGCATGTTGGGCAAACGTCAGCGCGTAGATTGTCATACTTCTCGCCAGTCGCACAAAGTCCAGCATTCAATATTCCAGGTCTTTTCTCAGCAGCACAAAATTCCTACACCGAGCTACCCCTGAATGGTGTAAATAGCGATAAAAATGAAATTGCGCCCGCCGCTACTACTCCAGCTCCAGATTTGCAAGCTCTTTCGGTTCCCGTGGAAGAGATGGAAAGCGTGGGCATGCAATACACGCAGGGTCCACATAGTCTGCAGCGTTCCGTTGAGCCTCCACAAAAGCGGCAAAAAGCTTCCGATTTCTTGGAGTCCCCTCTGTCTGGGCCAGCGAGATCACAGCCACGCGATGACGGCGGAGTGATTATTGACATTAGTGATGATGAGAGCGATCAATCACATCAATACCTTGATGTCCCAGACGTTGAGCGCACAGATACTAGTGTTCAGGACGTCGATCAGATTGGAGAACCCTTGCCTTTCACAGGCACCTTGTCGCCAGAAAAAGAGCCTTCGTCAATCCACACCCAGGCTTTACCTCTTGCCTTGCCAGCACACAAGAATCAGGATACAAAAGGATTGAAATCCAAGGAGATGGAGATAGAGTCGATGAACCGTAAAATTGCTGAACTGGAAGCGAACATCAGGGCAAGAAAGGCTAAGCAGATAGTATCCCGTCCTAGTAGCCCAAGCTCCACCGCACAAGACTCATCAGTAAGTGCTCCCTCGCTTTGCTTCTGAAATTTCTTAAGATTTTCAGGATATCTCTCGCTTGATCACGACAAAAAAACTTGTGTTAAAGGAGAACCAACTTCAAAGTGATACTGCGCCTCGTCAAAACGATCCTAATGAAGAGCACCAACGACGAAGTCCGGTGTCCACTCAAGCGCCAATATCCCGAGCGATATCTGAGGTAGAATGTGGATTCAAACAAGTACGATCCATCTCAGGGTCTATCGCTCCATTACTGGAAGAGGAGATGGGACCCAGTGAAATGATTCTCGGTCAAGAGCTGGGCCATTCGCAAAATTCGCAAGTCCCCACTGGAGTTGCATACCGCCCTACGCCGAAAGAGCTCGATCAATTCCCAAACGGACAATTGGACTTAGAAGCTCGCAAAGTGTCTCGCCGGGCAGAGATTGAGTCAGGTCTTCCGATACTAAATGAGGAAATTGAGAAAGTCAGGCTGAAGCTACGATCACTAAAGAAACAAGAGTCGGAATTGGAAGCTGAAATTCAGAGAGGAGTCGAAGGAAGAAGGCTTCTCTTGGAAGAACTCAAACGCCTCTCGCAAGTCGCCGATGCTATGCAGATCACTGATGAGCCCGAGATGTCATTTGAAGGCATAGAATCACGTCGCGCACCTTCTGCAGTAGAAGGACAAATAATTGACAAGGAATTACCGATGCCAGGAGATGATCAAGAATTCCAAATTTCAGACAAAATACTGCAAAATTCGGATACCGAGGAAGGCGTGGCTTTAAATGGTGAAGCTGGGCAATTAAATATTGGGCATCCCCGTGTCTCGGGAGATTCTGGGTTCGACCGAGCCTCACAGAGCAACTTTCAGCATCACGATAAGCAAGATGAGGACGTGATGGATATTTCACGTAGTGACATTGATGAGGGTGAGATCACGGATGGCGCAAGTCAGAGTCATAACGACGAAGCAGATACCAATTGGTTTGAAATGGGTCTCGAATCAGCCCAGAATGCCGCGCACCAACAGTCATCGAAAGATTCTGAAGGCGGAAGGTGGTTTGACTCGGCTGACAACGAAAGTCGAACAAGCGAGTTCACGAATGATGTATCTGACTCTAAGCGACAGTTTGACCCGACAGAAGAGGTCGAGGACATGGAAGACGAAATGGCCTATGAGCCTCCAAATGATTTCATGGCCATCGATCTCGACCCAAACTCATACACTACAAATGGCGAAGCAGGCACTAATCGCGTAGACGGCTCTGATTCAAACGAAGAAGGGAAGTCCATGTCGAATGCGAATGCCACAAGTATATCACCCTCTCGCCAAATGATGGGAGATGGATCGGCGCAAACAGAGCGACAACCCAGTTCGGCAAACGAGCCAAGTCCTCCTAATGTCGACGAGGACTCTGATGCCGACTATGAGCCACCGGAACCTCCAAATGCCTCAGACATCGCTTTCACAGAGCCGCAGTCATTAGCAAGCCATGCACAAAGTCCATTAAATAGCTCCCCTGGCGCCCACGAGAAAGACGCAAACGAGGACAACAACCTTTCAAAAGAAGTCACAGACTATAAGCAGAATCCATTGCCCACGAATATTCAGCAAGAGAGCCGCTTCGTGCCTTACGAGAGCCTGTTGAAGCAATTCAAGAGTTATCGATCGAATCCTGAGTACATCCATGAGTTTCCTGGTGGCGTCTGATCGTGAACTAATAGTAATGCTATTCAAGCGAATATAACGATAAGTCTCCACAGTAATAATATCTGGCGTAGGGCTATCGTGATATAGCGTTGGGTAGCAAGTATATTAATAATTTGACTTTGCGCCCACCCTTCTATTGTTACCCCAACATTCCAACCTGCTAATGGAACCTCCGAAACTTTCAGGTCTGAAGCCTCCGCAGCACTCTGTACGCATTCACACAGGCTATTGAGAAGAAAATGCTGGTTTTCTAGCGTCCAATGTTGATCACCAGGGACACAACGCTGTTGGTAGAGTGAGCGACGTGGTGGCAGCACAACGCCGAGAGTTTGTGACAGGTGACTTCAGCCCAAACACCTGACCGGCCGTAGGGTGTGAGCAGCAGCCTGAAAAGGCTCCAGTGCTGAGCTTGAAGTCCGCCACTGTGTGCTTTCATACGATCATCTCAACTTGCCTGCCGCGCTTTCCGCAGGATTTTGTCCAACGCCGCCAGCAGGCCTCCAGTCCTCCCTCGTAATGTAGCACTAGTGCCTGGAGCGAAGAGACACCATTTCAGGTCACGTTGACATCTGTTGCTACTGTTCACGAAGTCGTAAGCATCTCAAAGTCAATTTGATGCAAGAACTGAGGCCATGGAATCGTGGCAACGCCCCTTGTCATTGTTCTGTAGGTGGTCATTGATTGGTTGTAATTATATTTGCAAGGCGTACTGCAGCTCATTGACCTAGCACGAGGCTAGCTTTTCTTGTTTAAAAGCATCATTGATGTGCAAAGCCACATGCATTGCTGGCACTGCACTCCTCCCGTGAATTTGATAGTCCTTTACTACCTGAGTCTGGAGCTTGGGGATTCGACTAACCTGCGCAACTTGCATCAATTGTAAATGGCTTTGCGAATGGCTCACTGAGAGGTGCCGCCAGTTGAATGGCAAAAAGGATGTCTTTTATGAGACAGATTTCCTCGTAATTACAAGCACCTGATATAATAAATATCAGTTTGCCCTGCTGATGCCTTGACTTCAGAGCAACCCTGCATGTTTGAGGTCTAAAATTTTGAAGAGGTTGATGTTCGGGCACACAGGGCATGTTAGTATAGCGTCTTTGGCTCCTCTTTTTCGTATAAGATTCGGTGGCGTGTGCTGGGATTATGACAATGACTTGGGACTATGCTTTCTGGCCGCCTACTCAGCAAATTTGCTTGATGATGCTGGCACATTATGACCCTGAACCCCCTTTGACTTCTGGACGGGAGTAGGCACTGCTCAATCATGCTGCCCCATTGTGTTCATTCAAAAACAAAATGAGGCTAAAAATGAAACAATGAAGTATATAAGCATGTGACCAGGGGAACAAATTCATGACAACTCTGATTCTTTAGTGGTAGTGGCCTATCTAGCACTATGCTAGAGCTTGAGATCCTCTACAGGCTCATTTGAGAGAAAGAAGACGCCTGTGTCCGTGTTGTTCGTTGAATTGGTCGCGACGGTCTTACCTGACCGAAGCACTCCGTTGGCTACCACACCACCCCCGGTGAGGAATCTCGCTGCAGTGCATTGGCACCACTAAGCACGGTGAAATTCGCCAGACTTATCTCGTTCGGATTACGATTGACAATCGTTGGCAATCCGAAGTATTTGGCGTTAACCGCTTGGTGGCTGATCCGTAACTCGAAATAGCCCCGGTAGTAAAGCTCTGACCATTGCAACTCGCGATTCTCTTTGACTAAGTAATTGCTGGCGTTGTTGGCTCTAGCGATAGAGATGTTTTGGCCTGCTGGGCTTGGGCTCGACACCTGTTGGAGTCAGAAGATTTCCTAACACATACTCGAAGTAGTGGTTCGACTTTCAACTCACCGCTGTCCCAGCAAATTCTACTCCTATACTACCGCTCCCAGTGGCAGGGTCATAAGGATGCTCATCCAACCAGATCAGATCGCTCACCCAATTTGCGTGCGAGTCTCCAGCAATGACAATGTTGTTGCCGATATTGTGCTCGTACAGCGTCTGGTACGTACGGTTTCGATTTGCCTGATACCCGTCCCACGCATCATAGTCCAGCGGATCCTCGTTACCGTAGCTTATTGACTCGTTAAGTCGGGAAAAGACAGTCTGGCTGCCAATTACCCGCCACGTTGCCTTTGAGTTTATCAGATTGGTATAGAACCAATTCTCCTGACGACTACCCATCATCGAACGTCCAGCATCGTTTGAGATGTCGTGGACATAATGGGTATTCCAGTACAGATCCGTGATAGATCGGTCATACTGTCGAGTATCTAGCATGATCAAGTCGAAAAGTGAGCCGAAAGAGAAACTTCTCCAGATCCGAAGATTATCATCCATTGCCACCTGCCTTAGTGGCATCCATTCCCAGTATGCGCGTACCGCATTCTGTTTCCTCTGATCCACACTGACCCCACCATCTTCTACGAAAGAGGCTTCTGTGTTGTTTAGCTCCGACGATCCATCCCTGTAGGTATTGTCCTAAATTTGAAAATTATCAGCGGGTATTCGAGAAAGGAGCAACAAGGGGAGTCGTTTTTCGTGAGTCTAATGAAGGAAATTGTCACATATGCCCGGAACTTCTGCGGAACAGGGCACACTGAGGATATCCAAAGATATCACTTGGAAAGTGAATAGATGCTTTGATTCATGGTGATGAGATGAGCTCGAAGTTGAAGGCACATTTGTCTTAACTTACCGCCACCTCGTGATCATCCCAAACGGAAATCCACGGATATGCCTGGTGGCTTGACAGCAGGTCAAAATCCGTTCGGTAAGTGGCGAGACGTTTACGATAATCGTAGAGTGTGAATATAGTCTTGTCTGGCAAGGGAATCCGTCCGATACTGTCGCCATGGCCGTAATCTCCGTTTTTGTACTCATAAATGTAATCTCCGAGATGTATCACATAGTCTACGGAATCTTTGCGGACTGGGTTGCCATAGGCATTGAAAAAGCCAAACGGGAAGTTGCTGCAAGAATATACTGCCAGTTTTATCTGGGCCTTCTGGTCTGTGCTTGAAGGTGTGGTTTTAGTACGGCCTAAGGGGCTAATCACATTGGAATTGCAGACGTTGAATTGGTAGTAATATCGTGTGAAAGGGGTGAGACCCGTCGCTTCCACCTAAATCCTCGATTTAACAGAGTAATCAGACTTGTGTATTGACAGCTACTTTACCTTCAAGGTGTAGTCTACATCTGAGCTCGTAAATGCTTCCCCAGACGTCACAATCTCTGACAAATGGCTGTCCAGGCCGACTTTGTATTCCACGCATATGGGGGACTTGGAAGGGGGGCCGAGCTATTGCCGTAGATAGGCACTGGGTTGAACAACGGGACATAACCCGAGACTGTACTGTTGTTGTCTACATTATCCTTAACGGGAGCACAGCGTGTCCACAAGATTACCGAAGTTGGATAAGGATCCCCAGAGGCAACGCCGTGTGTAAAGTTCAGATTGTTCGGATCAACAGGAGGGGAGCCCGCGTTACGTTTGTTGACTTTGTGAATGGATATTCCTAGGCCAGGATGATTATGGGAAGGGCTCCGGTAATTGAGATTACCAGCATACGAAGCTGAGACCGTAGCAGCAGCAGTCGCCACGGTTATCAGGCATAGAAGGAACATGATTGCAGAGATGGCTCTACCTCGAAAGACGTGAAGTCCAGAAACTCGAGGATCCAGGCCTCTTTATGCAGACTGGATCTTAATTCTTCGAGGCTCATGCTAGAAAGCCATTGGATTCGCTCTGCCAATGGCAGATGTCCTGGATCTCACATGGCAGTCATCCGTCATCCACCATACGGGCAGCTGTTTGCCCGAATAGGCAGTTCAGAGGCATACCGTTACTGCCGAGCGTGCCTTTCTTCCTCGAGCCGATGGGCAGCATGCAGGAATGGACGGTAATCCCACTGCGACACCAGCACGTGTGTTCTAGCTCGGGATTGGATTGGCCATGGACTGGCTCTCGGCCACTAAGGGCAAGCAGGGGTCATAGCTTTGTTTTAGCGTCCGCCTTGCCGTGCTGGGATGCTTTCGAATACCAAGTTGTACGCTCGATCGATGCTCTAGAAAATAGGTAGGCGAATTGTAGAGCAGAAGGCACCGGAGGCTTTTTGCTGTTGACTGCAGGCTTGGTGAGGAATAATGAAAATACACGTGGTTATGACGGTCAAGTGCCTGTTTTTTAGTTGCTGTACTTGGCTTCGGCGGTTTGGTGGTACTCAAGCAAACCATACCATTTGGCTTCATATTCTCCATGGTCCCCTGGATTTACTGTCCTTCCACCTTGAAACTGAGAATTCAAGCGGATGTTCTTACTCATTGCTACCCGGCGATGATAAATTCAAGCTTGGGAGCGTACAGAAAACCGGAATTCATCAGTTGTAAGGGTACGTGCATCGATGATCTCCAGGCTAATAAGTTCATGGAACCATGACGCCAAGGCTGGCCCTAGCGCTAACCCCGCTCAGGCGTACCATGGCGGAAGGTGCCGCACTGTTGACGAACGTAGGGCTATTGGGGTAGTCAGTAGGTGAAACTACTTCTCGAGGAGCTGACGGTCTCAGGGAATCAGTGGGAAACGTGCCAATGCCATAAGCGTTGCTCCTTCTCGTAAGATCCGAAGTGAATCTGCACTTGACACCTTGATCCCATGTCATTAGTACCGTACATATGTCTGACGATGAATTTTACTATGATGACATTTTTGAGTGGGAGGAGGAGCCTTTCAGTGCAATGGTATGTCAATCAGCAAGTGTAAATACATGAACAACGCAGTGACTAGTTTCAGGATGACATGGCCGAAAAAACAATGCACAGTCCCGTTCTGATCGGCTACGATCCTTATTTCGACATTCTCGATTACATCGGCGAACAGGATGACTCAGCAGATGAATATCATGACTTTCCCCACAAGATTCATCGGGCAAGGAAGACAACTACAGGGGTAGCCCAGAAACACTGTGGTAATAAGTGGGCAAAGATTGACCCGACCGAATCAAACAATCCAGCAGCTCCCCGTTCACCTGTTCTATGGCAGTCGAAAAAAGATATGCTGGAATCCAGGGAGCTTCCTGTTTTCGTAGAAAACCAGGCACAAACAGTATCACTTATGAAAGATTGGAGAGAGCTTCTATCAAATGTAGCCACGCAGGCTCCATCCAATTCCAAGAAGACCCGTGGCAGAAAGACGAAGAAGAAGCAGAAACAGAGTCAGGTCAAAAGCAAGTTATCATCTCATGAAAAATTTGTTTTGGATGTGCATGCATTGGAAGCCGACGGATCTATTGACGGAACGCTTGATGAACCGACCGCCGAACTTCCACCGACTATCCTGACTGAGACGTCAACCATCACTGCGTCGGAGCAGAAATGCTCAACTCGTGTGAACAGTGCAGATTCGAGCCTAGCAAAGAAACCATTGCGACAAGCTGCAAATGAAAACTCGAGCACGCATGATCTTGATATTGAAGAAGATGCACCTCAATCTGAAAATGATGAAGAGGCATTTTGGAAGTTGGACGATACTTTAGAGAGCCAACAAGATGCGAAGCAAGAAGATAATGCCCGCAAGGAGCCGAAGACGGCAGAGACGAAGAAGAAAGTGGGACGACCGAAAGGCAAACGGAAAGGCCTATATGACGAAGAGCAGCCGCCAGCGAAGAAGGCGACGACCACCAGAAGGCGGAAGACATCTACTTCGGCTGATGTGTCGCCGAAGGTGACCAGGCAAACTCGTAGCAAAAACCAGCAAGATTTGCGCCCTGGTTTTCCAAGTATCCGCTGAATGCATTGATAAAACACCAGAACGCTTACTTATCAGTAAAAATTTGATAGTCAACCAACGATTGACATCGGGGTGTTATGCCTGTTGCAAGGGACCAATGAAAAGCCGCGACTGTCAGCTTAGCGAGCCCAAGGTCTCATCTGAAGTCAAAAGCCGCTTAATACAGCGGAGGCCTATGAATGCAATCATATCTCGTCTAAGGTTTAGGAAAAAGATGCGATCTTTACCTCCCCAGTAAAGATCATAGCATCTTGCCTTATCATAGTTTCTTGCAAAGTGGTATCTTACATCAATGCTGGACGCCACAACGGACAAAACGAACCATCGTTCAACCAGACCGCTAATACAATTAGAAAGTCTCCATGTTCCCTTTCGCATCTGTCAGCCTGAAGCCAATTTTCAACATTCGGACCCTCATCTAGACAGCTGCACGCCCGGTGTGCAGGCTTCTTCCACCCTTCAACGAAAAGAAGGCGACGGTTGCCATGACCGCCGTGACAAGCCAAAGTAACATGTTTACAAGGTCAATCCATACGGCGTTCTTCATCCTCTTGATGCCCCCATTTCCCTCTGTATGCTCATGAATATACATCTTACCGAAGATGCCAAAGACTGCGGCCCAGAGGATGCTAGCAATGCTGAGTTAGTCTGGCTGATCCTCCAGGTCGAATAATTGGTATGGAGGGAGGGAAATGCAGTGCTTACAATAAGATCCAATCCCACGCAAACGCGAAGTAGCTCTTCAGTTTCGGCACTACGTAAACCAGCGCGGTGAAAGAGCTCAAGGAGCCCACCGCCACAGCATACGCCCATTTTGAGTCGGAGCCTATGCCGTGCTTGCGTGCATTGTTGAGGTCGGTGGCGTAGAGGCCAATGACTGCGATGCCGAAGATGAATTGGAGGAAACGGAGGGTGAGGTTGAGGACGACGAGAGGGAATGGAATACTGCTTCCACTAACGGTTGAAGAAGGTTTGGCTTTGAAAAATTTGGGATCCATGCTGGACCCAGTTGGCGCGCAAGAGAACTTGGTGGAGAGAAGGGCGACAATGTATGGGATTGCGAGTTTAAATTAACTCCTGCTCAAGAATGGAAGCTACGCGTTCATGGTCATATGTTAAATTTGGAGAGAATTGCCAAGTTCTATACAAGATGGGGAATCGTGAACAAGAGAAAGGGAAAAAAGGCACGCTAAATAAACCCCCACATGCGACTACGCGAGGAAATTCAGAATATCGTGAGTCTCGACCGTCATGTGAACGAGAGGAAGATTGCCAATTAAAGCCGTTGGAACTAAGGTAATTTAAAACTCAATACATGATGACGGCATTCTGGTCTTCTACATCGCTGGCGGAAGATGGCTTGAGAACCAATCCAATTATGATTACGTCGTAAATAGCCCGGGCGCTTGCTGAAATGTCGGCCGCCGTTTGAAAAGCGTTTCCCATTCCACCTCAGGAGCTCAAAAAACCTGTTCACTTTTGGGCTTGGTAGCCGCCAAGAAGTGATCAGGTCTTTCTGCCAACAACCAAGCCATTCTACAATCAAACATCAAACTTTCATCATCAACCCCCAGTAGCACATAGAGCTTGTTATGTTCTTGTCATCTCGTTGCTGCATATTCTTTATTGAACGCTCGGCCGATCACGACCCGTCTGACTTCGCTCGTACCTGCACCGATTTCATACAACTTTGCATCCCGAAGAAGTCTTCCCGCAGGAACCTCGTTCATATAGCCCATACCACCCATGAGCTGTACAGCATCAAGTGCACACTCCGTAGCCCGCTCTGCAGCGTAGAGTATAGCACCAGCACAATCTTGCGTGATTGGCCGATTGTCAGGGCTAGCATATGCGGTATCGAACGCTTGAGCGACTGAGTAGGTATAGGAGCTAGATGCCCGGTACTTGGTATACATATCCGCCAGTTTTCCCTGGACAAGTTGATTATGAGCGATCGGCATCGCAAATTGAGTGCGGTTGTGGGTATATGGAAGTACAAGATCCAATGCTGCTGACATGATACTGTATCCAAGATTAATATTGTCATCCAAGTATTGGAGAGATGGACATGCCCTAGTGGACCAGCACTCAACACCAAACGCTCAATGTCAAGACCTTCCATAAGCACTCTGACACCCCCATGCACTTGGCCAAGGATGTCCTCTTCTGGTACAAAGACATCCTCGAAAATCAGCTCACCGGTGTTGGAGCCACGCATGCCCAGTTTGTCCAGCTTTCGGGCGACGGAGAAGCCTTTGGAAGAAGCGTGGACGATGAAAGCCGTAATACCTTTGGAACCTAGTTCTGGCTGCGATTTTGCGTAAACGATGATGTGGTGTGCGTCCGGGCCCTGACACCTTTCAGTGATAATCTTTCCGAAAATTTCCATTTTCGTGATACATTCGTGATCCACATCTTAGTCCCATTGAGAAGATATCCTCCACCAACCTTGGCAGCTTTCGTCTTCATGCTTACAACGTCGCTTCCAGCAGAGTGTTCTGACATCGCCAGAGCACCAATCTTCTCTCCGGAGACTAGCCCGGGCAGAAGTCGCGCTTTCTGCTGCGCGGTCCCATTCAAGGATAGTTGATTGACACAGAGTTGTGAATGTGCCGCGTACGATAATCCGATACTGCCTGTTTAAGTCAGCGTACGCTACTCAGCGCGAGCAGAGGCGGTAAAATTGAGTTGCGAGTCAGCATCATACCTGATGCTTTGCTAAGCTCCTCCATAACAGTCGCATGCGCCTCGTAGCCAAGGGCAAGCCCGCCATATTCCTCATCCGCAGTTATACCCAAAAAGCTGAAAAATCATGAGCGATGCCCATATAAGCCTGTAGATGAGAATTACCCAGCCTCACCAAGCTTTCTCCACATCCATATTGGGAACTCATTGTCACTGTCCGTTTTTGCTGCCAAAGCTTCAGATATCTCACGCTCTTATTCAGTACTCAGCGAAGTAAAACGAGACCTCGTAGTAGACAGTTGCCTACTAGTAAATTCCTGTACTCGCTCCCTCAACTCGGCTATGTCCTCTCTTGAGGGTGGGGTGAAGCCATGCGAGTGCTTCGAGGAGGCTCCCCGCTTAAAGGTCACTTGTAACTGTGGTGTAAGGAATTGTAGACAGCACAACGCCCCAGGAGGCCATCTGACGATTTTGCGAAGAACACAAGATGACATTGCAAGCGCTGCATCATCAGATATGTTGCGCAAGTCTCCTATCATCAACGCTTCGCAAAGCAATTTGATCACCAGAGGGTCACTTTGTTCGGAAATTCGCGCTTAGCGTCGGCAGGTCACATTGCTAGAGCGAACGACTCTGCTCTTTCCTCCTGCAATGACGGCGTGACTCTTCATTCAAGTAGCAATACAAACATACTAGTGTTGAATATAGGTGGCCATGCATCGGGGTCAGTCGGCTGTACGACAGAGTCTAAATGACTGGAAGTACACCTTGTCCCGTTACGGAAGAAACCCTCGTTCGAGAGCTGCTTATGCAACATTACCTCAAAAGATTCTTACTTCGATATTAATTGCTAATCGTGGCGAGATTGCATTGTGAGTGCAACTATGAGACAAGACTATAGTGTTGTGTCTGAGTGATCTAGACGTGTTGGGAAGACCGCGGCTCTGTATGGCATTAAAACGACAACAATCTACACAGATCCAGACGCCAAGTCACAGCATGCTCTCAGTTCGCCGTATGCAATCAATCTTGGGCATTCTTCGGCATATCTTGATGGCGACAACATCATCGCAGTAGCCAAAGACAACGGTTGCGTTGGCATTCACCCAGGATATGGATTTGTTAATGATGGTTACCACCAAATGCATTGATACTTGGCTGACGAGATGCTGCAGCTGAGTGAGAACTCGGTGTTTGCGCGGAAATGCGCAGAGGCTGGTCTGGTGTTCATCGGACCTCCGTGGGAAGCTATGGAAGCCATGGGCAACAAAAGGTAATTGACACGTTTCCACACTGGGGCGTGCATACTAAATGTGAGAAGTCGATCCAAAGAGATCATGACAAAGGCCGGTGTGCCTTGTGTACCAGGTTATCATGGTAGTGATCAAGGACCTGAAGTTCTGGAGGCTGAAGCGGAGCAGATTGGCTTTCCAGTAATGCTCAAAGCTGTTAAAGGGGGTGGAGGTAAGGGAATGCGGATCGCTTTGACTAGCGATGTCTTTCAGCAACAGCTAGAATCTGCCAAGTCAGAAGCAACGAGCTCTTTTGGGGATGATACAATGCTTGTGGAAAAGTACATAAGTACCCCTCGACACATAGAAGTTCAGATATTTGCAGACAAGCATGGTAATTGCGTAGCTTTGGGCGAGCGCGATTGCAGCATCCAGAGAAGGCACCAGAAGGTCTTGGAAGAGTCACCAGCACCCAATCTTGATCAATCTGTTCGTCAGGACCTGTGGACGAAAGCCCGCGCTGCTGCCTTAGCGGTCGGATACGAGGGAGCCGGAACGGTCGAGTTCATTTTTGATACTGATACAGGAAAGGCCTTTTTTATGGAAATGAATACAAGGCTTCAAGTTGAGCATCCAGTAACGGAAATGGTCACTGGCGAGGATCTGGTGAGATGGCAGATTATGGTAGCTGAAGGCCAGCCTTTGCCTCTTACACAACCCGACATTGAACAGAAGATTGGGCAGATGGGACATGCAATCGAGGCGAGAATCTATGCGGAGAAACCTGCAATGGACTTTATACCAGATTCTGGCGTACTAGCCCATCTGGCAATCCCACCCACCTCTGATACTGTCCGTGTCGATGCAGGCTTCGTCGAAGGGGATGTAATATCTGCGCATTACGATCCTATGATTGCAAAATTGATCGTGCGAGGTCCAACTCGGGAGGTAGCGGTACGAAAATTACAAAATGCGCTGGAACAGTATCAAGTTGGGGGTGTAGTCACTAACATTGAATTCTTGAAAAGAGTCTGCAACAATCAAGTCTTTCTGGCAGGCAACGTCGAGACAGGTTTTATTTCAAAGCAGAAAGAGTCATTATTTAGTGAGAACTATGTAAGTGACGAGACTTACGCGCAGGCCGCTTTGGCATCATTATTCTCGGATGCTAGCCAGAACCATGCAGCACCCGACCTTGTGACTTGCTTACAGTCTGGTTTTGGCAGCAACTTGCAGCATCGCCGGTTTGGGTTCGTGGTAAGCACAAAGGATGGCCTCACAGCCGGGAACCAGGTACTAGTCGATGTGCGAGCTGTGGGGCCACATTTATTCGACATTGACGTGGGCAAGAGGCCATTCCAATCTGTCGCGAGCGAATGGAAGCCATCTTTGCAGACCATCACGTCATATTTTCCAAGCAGGAGGATTGATAGTAAGATCTACGATGGCAATGGACGTTTAACAATCTTTCAGCAAGGACAGCAATTTCACCTTCAGCGTTTGAAACCGGCGTGGCTTGAGAAAGCCTTGGGCGTCAAAGACACCACTCACAGCGTTCTAGCTCCTATGCCATGCAGAATATTGAGGGTCGTTGCCCACTCCGGTGAGGAAGTGGAGAAGAATCAGCCATTAATCATCATTGAAAGTATGAAGATGGAGACGATAATTCGATCTCCTCAGCAGGGTATCATCTCGAGGATAGTGCACCAAGCCGGGGTAATAGAATTCTTCTAGTAAGAGCAAGAACATTTGCTGACATTAAATAGGATATTTGCAAAGCGGGGACCGCTTTGGTGGAATTTGAGGAAGCTCCCAACTGACATCTTTTACGAAGTACGAGGTTGCTCTCGAAGATCAGTAAACAAATCTTTGTTGTTCAATGTAAGTGATTACGGAGTAATGATGACAAACCGTAGGTAAGAAGTGGAAGGAACAGCCGAGGCTGACGTCTTCAGTTCTACCGCGGTGGTCATAGATGGTTGCGTATAAAGAGCACGACCCTCAACAAGCGAACAGCGATGCCGACTGACTTTGAAGAGGCTAAAAAGCAAGTCATGTCAGTGAGAAACTCAAGGTCCGTCGCCCTCAGTCGCTCGCTGCCGCAATTAATCTGAAACCAATAGTCTGAAGGATCTTGCTCTGAAATTGTTGAAGGAGGGACCCCATAAAATCGAGAAGACCCCTCGTCGTGTGAGGGGACTCTTTGATGGCGATTATGTGTTTGATACTACCCAAGCTAGCCATGTTTGGGGTGAGTAATATCCATTTCTACCCCGATTCCTCAAAATATAGACATGAGAAGAGTCTGCATCCGTCCTGCAACCAATGATCACAACCTGGTGTGAAGGCAAAGCCTTTTTCAGTCTTCACAAATACTTTCCATACAGAGGGCATAGGGTTTACAATCCAATGACCTCACAGAAAAGGCTCCCACTGATTTCGATCTATCTCAGAACATCCATTTTACCCACAATTTTACGTGCCGGCCTCTGCATTTCGAGGTGGGACTTTGATCAAAGGAAGTGCTGTGAATGATGAGCTTTCGGCTTTTCTATCTGCATTACGAGGCAACAACAGGTCTACCGACAGAGTCCTGAGTTTCGAAAAAGGGCCTTTAGCCGGGCTTGTCAGAGTTGAAGCAGGCGCTATCGGTAGGTTTAGTAACGCTCTTGGAGAACATTATTTCTAATGGCCCAGACGCATGGTTTGAAGAGGATGCTCGCATCTACGGACATCCTAAGGATCCGTACAAACGCATCGATATCCTGCCCTCGGGCAGGAAAGTCACCGTGAAGCTTGACGGCATTGTGATAGCAGAAAGCAATTCCAATATGTTCCTTTACGAAACCCTGCTCAGGCCTCGATACTACTTATCGCCCAGCTCGGTGGGTGTTGTGCAACACAAGGCCCAGTTGAATGCTAATACGCCAAGGCGAATTTTCAATATCTCAGACCGAGTGAAACGACTACTCTATGTCCATATAAAGGAACAGCGAATTGTGAGTCTTCTCAGTCCCTTTCAGACAGTCTCTAATTTAGACTCAGATTATGACGTTGTTGTAAATGGGAAAGAGCATAAGGTCCGTTGTTTCTAAGCGTCATCTCCCCACTCTCTAGGCATCTGTCCATCCCTTGCCTTTCTCATTGAACGACACCACTGACCGTGGAGTGCTTAACAGGACCTGGTCTGGTGGTATCAGTATCCGACTGTAGAATCAGCCCCGATTGCTGGCCATTTGTGTTTCTACAACGAAAAAGTTGATATAATAATCGACGGCGTTGTGGAAGCATCGTAGTATAGTGTGTCGGAATACCAAGTGTTCTCTATATTCATTCCAATCTTCTGTGATCTTCAATCAAAGCGTCGACGTCTTCTTAAACAGTTAACAGCCGTTTTAAGTATAGCGTTAGGGCCTGGATCTTGGCAAATCACGCAATTATCACTAAGAGAGCCTGTATATTTTTCCATTTCAAAGCGTACATCATGGGTGTTCCCCACAGAAGGCCCGCGGGGGACCGCTGTGTTTTGTCAATACTTCAAACCTCTTTTAAAAGATATGTCGGTGCGTCTCAGCAAGGCCATCACCGCGCTGACCTCGAAGACCACCGGTCAGTCAGCAGTCTCTCGCCTCTGGACCCCGGCTCAGATTTGCCAATTGCACTTATCTCCTCTACGCCGCGCTGCTGCTATCCCTAAGCCTCGTAGCATTCATAATAGTTCAAAACGTAAAGCTCATCCGGCTCTAGCGGAAGTCCTAGAAGAAGACCCTCTCCATCCACCGGATTCGTCAAATCCGGCACTTTCGTTCCCTTGTCTGGATGCCTCGGAGGCCAAGACTGCTTACTTGAACAACCGATCCCTAAGCTCTGGCCCTGAGCCATCCTATACGACTGGAAAACATCGGAGTTGGAGAAATCATGAGCCTCTGATGCTGGATTGGGGTGGTGTCCTACCGGAATTTGACGTTGCCTTTGAGACTTGGGGAACCTTAAACAAGGACAGGAGCAATGCCATTATGCTCCATACTGGCCTCTCTGCTTCCAGTCACGCACACAGCACTGAAGTAAATCCCAAGCCCGGATGGTGGGAAACATTCATTGGTCCAGGCGCACCGCTGGACACGTCCAAATACTTTGTGATTTGCACCAACGTAATCGGAGGATGCTATGGCAGTACAGGTCCGAGCTCTATTGATCCTGCTGATGGCGAACCGTACGCAACAAGGTTCCCGATTTTGACGATGGAAGATATGGTCCGGGCGCAATTCAGACTTATGGATGCTTTCGGCATTAGGACGCTCTACGCCAGTGTTGGCTGTAGTATGGGCGGAATGCAAAGCCTTGCGGCAGGTGTGTTATATCCTCGAAGAGTCGGCAAGATTGTAAGCGTGAGTGGATGTGTAAGAAGTCACCCTTACAGCATTGCAATGCGGCACACCCAGCGCCAAGTCCTCATGATGGATCCAAACTGGAAACGCGGCTTCTACTATGATAGCATTCCGCCGCATGCAGGGATGAAGTTGGCCAGGGAGATCGCCACAATTACGTATCGCAGTGGTCCTGAGTGGGAGCAAAGGTTTGGGAGAACACGAGCGGATCCAAGTCGACCACCGGCTTTATGCCCAGATTTTCTGATCGAGACGTATCTCGACCATGCGGGCGAGAAATTTTGCCTGGAATACGACGCCAACAGCTTGTTGTACGTTTCTAAAGCCATGGATCTCTTTGATCTTGGTCGTAAACATCAGGAAAAGATGGTCGAACTCCGAAAAGTTAACCAAGCGAGATTCACAGCCAACATTCGGCGTGAGGGTGCCCAATCATGCAACTTGACCTTACCAGAGATACCTTATGAGGAGCAAGACAAGATCTCTTCGTCATTCTCGGAGCCAGTCTCAGGTACCTCGACTGAACCACCAGTGGATTTAGTCGCTGGCCTTAGGCCTTTGAAGGACCATCCCACCTTGGTCATGGGTGTTGCAAGTGACATCCTATTCCCTGCATGGCAACAGCGTGAGATCGCGGAAACACTGAGAGCAACTGGGAATAGGGCTGTGACTCATATTGAACTAGGAGAAGACACTTCGTTGTTTGGACATGATACATTCCTGCTTGATCTCGAACACGTCGGCGGAAGCATACGGACTTTCCTAGGTTGAAAGGCCGCCGATGATGAATAGAGACACTGGCATGCTTCACAATCAATGTGTTTCCTTGATCAATATGAAAATTTATGAGCTCTCACTAAGCAATAGGATTCAGAGTGTTGAGGTCGAAATAGATTCCACGGATATGATCCCATTCATGCGGATCTCCACTTGCTATGGAGGTAGATTAGTGATTTCTCAGATTCAATCTAAGTAAAACAGTTCGATCTTTTGTGGAGGCATCCAGTCGAGAATTTTTTTGACATTCTAATTTTCTTGAAGACCCATTCTCTCTCACCCAAAAAGTTTCCAGCGTCTACTTAATTCAATTCCCTCTGCCAAGGTCCCCACTCGAGCATCTATCGCATAGCCTTTTGCCTCTAAACGTCTGCATGCAGCATAGAGATGCTTTAATGGAACAGTGAAAACTTCAATAAATTCATTCTCTTCCAGCTCCGGCTTTAGGTTTTGGTTCTCATTGAGGGACATATCGACACTGACGTGTACCATGTTAAGATTTGTGTTGCAGAAGCCAGGATCTTAGGAGCACTGCTTAGCAGACCTCAATTAAATGGGGAAGGAAGAAATCAAAGGACATCACCGAAGTAATCGGACGTACCATTGAACATGATTGGACCAACCTGCCAATCATCTTGTCCGCTCACCGTCCCCACGTAGCCAGTCTCCTCCCTCAACTCTCTGACCGCGCTTACGGCTGCTGACTCATTTTCATCAACTAGACCGGCCGGCACCTCAATGACGACTTTGTTAATGGGAGGTCGGAACTGCTTTTGTAGAACGATCTCCGGGCCTTCAGGCTTTTGGAGGATCGCTACAATACCAACGCCGTCTATTGATGAGTTCTTGGGCCGAGTCTACGAGAATACTGTCAAGTTCAAGGTCAAAGGGTGAGTCGAGAAAATTTACCGAGCGTTCTGCTGACTCCCATGTTCGCTCTTTACCAAGCGGGTCTTTGTAGGTAGTCAGAACAAGTCTGGCCCAGCGGGCGTCTTTGTTTTCCTATGGCGCCAGCTGTTAACCACAGTCATGGCGGATCAAGCAAAGCGTCATACCAATGGCCCGGTGGACAGGACCTTTGAGTCCGCGGGACTTGGATTTGTGGACATGGTACGGGTAGATGTAAATATCTCTAAATATCTCACAAACACGACGGAATTCGGCAAATGACGTCCAGCCAGCCTAGAGAAGGTCCGGGCCGCCTGGAACCACCCGGGCGTGCAGCATGGGATATTCCGTATGAGGTAGGTACGTCACCTCAACTGTACGCAATCACAATAGTCATACCAACTTTTACGTATGCTATATGTTGGCCAGATATCGACTGACTGCTCACCATATTTCTCCCTCCTCCTACATCCGACTTACCCGAGCGACAATGTCAACATTTAACCTCCCCGCGAGCAACCCCCCCATCCCGGTTAGCCTGACTTCCGACTTGACGCAGGACGCCCTTCTATCCTTTCCAGCTTTTAAAACATGGCTCGAAACCCTTCAAAATTCACTCTCAACCCAACATACTTCCAGTCACCCTTTCCACTCCTGCCCCTATCAACTCCGCTCCATCTCTATCCAGACAGTGGATTTTTTTGGTGGCGGTCGCATCGGTTTCCTTAAGTTAAAAGCCGAAGTCAGCAACGATGACGGAGAGAGATTGCCTGGCTCGGTTTTCTTGAGAGGTGGTAGTGTAGCTATGATGTTGATACTGCAAGCAGACGACGCGCCCTCCAATTCAGAGACGGACAAGCATGTGATCCTCACACTTCAAGCGCGGGTTCCGTCTGGGTCGCTTGCTATGACGGAGCTACCTGCGGGGATGCTCGACGACGCGGGGACCTTCGCTGGTGGAGCGGCGAAAGAAATTGCCGAAGAGACTGGGCTAGAGATTTCGGCCGAAGAGCTAATTGATATGACAGCACTGGCTATTACCGCCTCAGCTGAGGGCACAGAGTCAAGCGAGAAATTGCAGAGGGCGATGTATACATCCCCAGGCGGCAGCGATGAATTCATTCCACTGTTTCTTTGGCAGAAGCGTGTGCCAAGAGAGACATTGAAGGATTGGCAGGGGAAACTTACAGGATTGAGACAGCACGGGGAGAAGATCACGCTGCAGCTTTGTCGGTTGGAAGATCTGTGGAAAATTGGAGCAAGAGACTCTAAGATTCTGGGCGCTGTGACCTTATATGAAGGATTGAGGAGGGAAGGCCGGACCTGAAAAGAATATACTACTCACCCTAAAATCAGACTTGGCGAACACACCGTTTGTCGGCTATCCTGTTGATCACGCTTTGAGACCTTGCATCATATTATGAATAGCGTCAATGACGACTGGGAATATTGCTCCAACACTGTCCGCAATCAATCCCTCGAAATGCCTCATGGCCTCCTCTTCCGTCATTTCTAAATGGAATCGTTCGCGCACTTTCTCGACCACCACACTACCTCCAGCACCCTCGGCGCGAGGATTGTTCCCTTCCCGATTCATGAGCCGAATATCGGTGATGTTAGCATCCACCATGAGTGCGAAAAGGTTGAGAATTAGATTACTGGACTTTCGAAGTGCAGCATATGCCGTGAAACAATAGGACTTAAATGCTTGGTAGTGAGCAGAGGTCGAGCCGCCCATACCTTCAACCATCTCTCGGCATAGCTTCATCTGAGGAGCAAACGGCTTAGGATCACGTCCCAGGATGTAGCCAAAGTCCGCATGGAAGAAATGGCCGTCAGGTGCAAGAAGGAGGTTGTCAAGGTGTCGATCGCCGACGCCAAGGAGATAGGTTATCACACAGTATCCGGCGCAGGATTTTATGTAGGTATCCATTGTGTCTTTTCGTATACCAAAGTCACCATGAATATCAGGCCGATTGTCTCGCAGATATGCGAGGATGCTGCCTTTGTATTTCGCCGATGCCGCAGCAAGGGAGATCGAAGGGACGAACTGAACAGCGCCCGCTGTAGCTGACGTTGCAAGTATTCGGTAAGGTGTTAACTTCAAATCGAGATTCTCCTTCCGAAGTAATCGGTCCATTAGAGAAATAATTTGGATAACAAGCTGATCCTGTCGGAGGTCATCACCAGTTTTAAAGATCACTGGATATTTCGCTCCACTCGTTGTTCGAAAATTTATGAGCAGTGGGAACAGCGACGACTTGAAGACCATTGATTCGTCTGGAAAAATACCGACAACAGACACCGATGGATCTAAAGGTAGTGGTAGAGGTGGGTCAAAAGAAGTCAGCTCATTTTTCGGGTCAGCCAGGGATTTTTTCAGTCGAGTCATCTTTCGAGGACGATCTTCTCGAGAAAATCGAATCTCTTTGCTTATCTTTGAGAGCACGGTGATTAGTTCGCCCTGGCGCAGAAGAGTTTTGCGCCGGTCTGGTCCCGGTTTTGTTTGAGTGAGCGAGGCCATGAAGTCAAATTCTACCTTTGCGAAGAGCTTTCGAATCTCCTTCGATTGGTCAGGACTCCGGTCGTCACACTCTACCATAAGATACCAATGGAGAAAGTTCCCAAGCATCAGGTTGTTTGTTGCGCGAGAAATCAAGAAGCGAGCGAGGGAAGAGTCTCGGGTTGTGCTTTCATCAGGTTCGGGCGAGATTTTTTCAAATTTGAGTGCTTGCACAAGTTGCAGAAGATACAATAAAAGCTCCTCGTCGTCTGCTTCTCGCAGCCGATCAACAGCATAAGCCCTGACTGCTTGATTATCAAAAGTGGGACCAAGCAGCTCCAAGGCGTCATCCACATCTATCTCCGTCCATTTAGGAAGCAATTGCACAGCCTGGCGTGCTTCAGTGGGTTCGTGCCACGCAACAGATTTCACGAACTTTGTTAGAGCTCTCTTGTCGCGGGTCAAGTGGTGTCTAAACCTCCAGATGAGATCTTTTTCTTCCGCGTTCAGTTCCTGCGAGGGTCCATAAGCCATTATGGTATTAAGTTCATCTCGAATTTTGGCATTGGGCTTCAAGTCACGATCCAGAACACCGGTGCGGGTACTACGAACGAGTCTTCGGTGTTTGCTTTCAGCAGGATTGTCTCTGACACCAACCTCGGGATCGTATATACGTATTAACGGAGGTGTATTCTCGTCGTCTTCGCCGGTCCCAATCCCGGCTGCATTAATACCGGGACCCAGTTGAACCTCGGGTGGCGGCTTTAGATTAATATTGCTCGAAATTTGTAGATGTTGTGAAAACGATGATACTGGGGTTGGCGTATATTCATGATCTGTGAAGACAATTGGGAAGTCGAATCTAGGAAAGTCGATGAAAAGTATGTGTTTATCCTCAGGGTCCTCGTCTTCTGATCCCGAGCAACGTCCTTCATTAGCTGGAGCAGTGCTGTCGCTGTCAGCTCGATCTTCCTTGCTACATACATCAAGCTTTCTTCTAGCCTTGGCTGCAGTCCTTGCAGATGCCTCAACTTCACGTCGTTTCCTCTCTACCAATTTCACCACTAATCTATCAAGCCAGGCAACCTTGGGGATTTCTCCAGCCTCATGCTTTTTCAGAAGCTTCTCGAGTCGTTGAAGTTCCTCTTCCTCGGGTACTTTGGTGGTTTTGCCCGCTGAATCCTTCAACACTCTCTTTCGACACTTTGAAGGTGGTGCAGCAGGGGTTGAGGGTGAAGAGTTACCATCTGCTGCCTTGTGTCTCCAAACACGACAATGTTGTCTACCTTTTTGAAGGGTATCATCCTTGTCGAAAAGAGCGATGGTGGTCCCACCAAATGGAATTGCATGGTCTTTGGCGGTAGGTCCGCCGGTTGGTGAAACATCCCATACTGTGATGGCTAGTTGTGCGTTCTGGGGCAGCTGAGAGATGTTGATTGGAAGTTCAAGCCATTCATTCCATAATCTTCCAGTTCGTAGCGATTTATATCTTGTCTGAGCTGGTACGGTCAAGGGTTTTGAATCCGCCCACGGTTGAACGGTCACATAGAGATCGGAATTCGGACTTGTATGGGTAAGCTTGTCAAGCTCTTCAAATAATGAACAAGCCAATACCTTGTATTAGAGCCAATATATCTCAGATCAGGCCGTTTGAGGAGTGTGGAGAACGGAGGAGGCTTGTAATGACCTTCAAGGCTTCCTCTTTCAATCGGTTAGTGAGACTTGACAGAGGCAACTATGACGATGACAGACATTTTCACACTGACCGGATGATCAAGAGAGGTTGACGTAGCGAACGAGTACTCTTCCATTAGTTTCTGTTCTGCAAACAGTGTCGCAAAGACTCCCCTCTCGGATTGTTCACCAGCGTTAGGTTCAGTGCATGATCATGGACAGCTAATGCCAAGGCCTCGGGCATGTCTGTATTTTGATGACTAAGCTCGCATTCGGGACGTGACTGACGAGTATTTCTCATTCTCCAGCTCCTCATTCTCGCACTCGTTCCTATTCATCAAACGTAGAGTGTCTCCTCAAGTAAGGATCTGTTCGCCTCCCAAAGCTCCGAATTCTCAGCCTACCATCGCATAGATTACATGACGCTTTGGGAGCAGTGATGGCGCGAACCACAATATTTTCCAATGACGATGAAGATGATGATACCTCACTGTTCGATGCTGAGACCTCTCGGCAACCCCGAAGAGACCCTTCAGCTAGATCCCCCAATGCCTCGTTCGCGTCGGACAAGGAAAATCGACCCTCTGTAGCTGCGAAGGGGAAAGCTAGAGCCATGGGCCCACCCTCAACATTAGCAGCGGAGAGAGAAACACCACGTCCAAACTTGAAAAGAAAGCTGGCCGATCGCAGTGGGCCTCAAAATGCAACGCAAACGTTGCACCGTCAAAAGCTGGACGAAGCAGGTGACAGCGACTATTACGATCCAGAACAGAGCATGGAACAGCGTCGAGCTCTACGAAAGGACTACAGAGATCTATCTCGCGAGCTAACAGGTCAGGACGCGCTTTCACTCCTCTCTAACAAGTCAAGATGCTAAATCGTCCGTATAGACTCGCGCTCTGAGTATTTGGCTCCGGGCTCCAATGGTCTCATTCAAACGCTCAACCGCTCGAACGAGCTGTTTCACTCTGTCAAGCAAACTTCAGACGCAACACTCGATTCTAGGCTACTTGTTTCCACCGCAGATCTGTCCATGAAAAGGACGACACAGCTCAATCTTGGGGATAACACGACAGGTATTGATATTGACGATTTCGTAAGTAAATGCATTACCTTCATGCGGCGAGGGCCGGCTCTGGGCGACTCTGCACAATCTCAACGGCGCAGACGCATGCGAGATGACAGCGACGAAGACGACAACGCAGGCTATGACGAAGGTGACGCCTTCAATTGGGAACATTTAGGTCGTCAAGCTTGCTACCCGCACAACGTACGCCCACCAGCTCCAGGCTTCCTACTTGGTCCACTTTCCGTCCAAAGGCGAGTTCGGAAGGCAACACAGCGCACCGCAAGGTCGCAAAAACTAGATCCACGAAACGCGACGCGGCCAGAAGAAATACAAACCAAGGATCTCGAGCAGAATGAAAGCTCAAACCTGAAATCAATCTGCGATAATATTCGTAACATCCTCTGGAAGAACAGCGAGGAGCGCGTAAAGCTAGCAGAGGACGAGATTGATCAAGACACAATGTCAGACGACGAACAGAGTTCGATATTGCAGAAACACGGCCTGGGTAACGACGGAGGCATATTACTCTTCAATTTCGTCGTGAATCCCAAATCTTTCGGACAGACTATTGAAAACCTCTTCTACGTGAGTTTCTTGATTAAAGATGGAGGAGTTGGTTTGGGGCACGATGGAGACATGATGCCTACACTTCGTAAGGGCACACAGCGATCAATTCCCTTCGTTCAATCAAGCTGACAGGCTTTACAGACTTAGCTCATCCTCGGAACCCCAAGGACCAACGTGAGCAAGGTGTTCAGAAGCATCAGGCGGTTTTCCATCTAGACTTTGAGACCTGGGAAGATATAGTCGAGGCTTTTAAGATCCGGAAAAGCATCATCCCCCACAGACAGCCCGACCCGCACGTACAGATTGGAGCTACTGGGTGGTATACCTAGCCCATAATGTTCGGAAATTGCGGCATTATATATCGAGGCTTTTCGAGCGGCAGAGTGGCTAGCGATTGCGTTCCGGTCTTGCGAATACCTAACTTTCTTACGGTGGAGAAGTTTTGGGGGGTCTTCTGCAAGAGCGGTTTCCTGATACATGTAATATGTTGTCAATGTGTCTGATCGAGCATACTCGGCTTGTTGGGGAGGCACATGAGTGCATTCCCACCTTTAGTTATGTGCATGATGGGCTCGTTCCATTCTCGATTGCCGAGGGTGCATCGAATATTCTTTCATCCAAGATTGAAGTATTGGTAGCTAAGCTCAGACTCACTGGATCGGTCTGAACCATCTGAAGCGATTCACAGAGTGCAGGCAGGAATCATAGGCAGATCATCCCCAGACCCTTTCGAGCTTCTAAAGGCATAACATAGGGACTGGAGCTGGAAGTGGAGTTTGAAAGCTTTATTGTCCGCAATGTCAAGTAATCTCACGCCGAACCTACAAATACCATATTCTTTAGCCTGCGCCCCAATATACCCATCCTTTGGCCATGCTACTCTGTAGAATCAATGCATTCCTGAATGCCGCTTCCCTTTTTCCCGCTAACCTGAAAGGAACATTAAATGTAAATTTCGTGGACTCTGCGCGGAGCACAAGGTTCAGCACTTGAAACTTTGTGTCCGCTTGCTGATTTGGAGACATCCCTGGGTCTCCGCATCTTTGTGTCGTGACCTGCGTGTATGGAGCGAAAATGAATGGTCTATTGTCGTAAGCTGTATGTTAGAATTTTGTTGTTTTCAGATAATGAGGGATACTAGGCCGGGTCGTGTACTACCTATATCCGTGAATTGACTGCGTGAGGACGGTGATTGTTGTTTGATTGTGTGGCCGACTTGATGTGAGGTGAAGGTACGCAGATGGCCGACTTTAGCGTTCAAGACGCCAATTCCTCGGTCGCATCTCGTTCAGGATGAATTCTTTCAGATTCGGGTTTCCAGGTACCTAGGATCATGTCAATTGCAATTGTAGACTAGCTGGTGCTTTGGCTTACCCTCAAAATCATGGTGAACAAATGCCATGGGGTCATCCGGCTCTTTCGCACCCATTTGTTGTACACCAGGGCTGAAGCTTGTGATTGGAAGCACAACGACATCGCCGACCTTTTTGGGAGTATCGATTCCGGTAAAAGATTCCCATGTGACATTTTTACCCTCTACGACATTGAAATACTTAGGATTATTGAGGTAGCTAAAGACAGCATCGGTCCACACAGCAGGCCCTGTCCATTCGACGATACTTTTCTCAAGCTTTTTGGCCGAAAGTTTGCCCTGCTTCTTGAATCGTAAAGTATCTTCGACGATTGTTGCGACCAATTCACGCAGAACGGGGTGGCCAGGTTTCGCCTGAATGGTCCATTGACAAAACTGTATGCGACGGGAAAACCAGTCCTTCCAGTCTTCTCTGTCTGGGTCGGCTTCTATACCGATGACCAGGCCAACGTTGGATCGAGGGATGTCTTCGGGTAGCCAGTCAGCTGCAGATTTCAGTGCAGTGGTATCAATATCGGTATATATCCCTCCTCGAGCAAGAAGAATGAGATAGCGGAAGAAATCTGCTTTCATGACCGGAAGTGGCAAGGACTCGTATGTCTCGATGACATCGGGCACGGAGGCATAGAGCAGCTTGAGCAGGTAGAGAGCATTTTGGTCTGTTACGACCTCGTGAACAAAGCCTGGGTGCAATTCAGTCCAGCTCGCTTCTGCTGGTCTGAAAACATCTCCAAAGTCCGCCTCTGCAGGCGTGTACTTCCAAGTTTGCCAAATGTAGGCAGGGAACTTGCCTGCCCTGTCATAATCGAATTGGTACGCTAACTGATCTCGAACGTTCTTGGTGACGACTTCAGTCATTGGCCTCTGGACATTCTCTTTCTTGCTAGAAGCAAGCTTGGGTGGAGGGTATGGCCTTGTTGCCGTCGAGTCAATGACGGCGGTTGTCTTGGGTGGTGCACTGTCATGGTCGCTCTTCGACTTTTTGGCGGTGCTTGTAGGAGGGTGGTTTGAGGCGACAGGTGGATTGGACGATTCGGAAGACGAGTGCAAGAGGTAGATCATAGTTAGGATGAAGGCTGCGATGATCGCGGCTCTTCTGTAGGTGAGCATGGTGCGATTCTCTTTCAGGGCAGAAGTCAAGGTGGGACTGTTGAGACTCATGAGGGATGTGAATGGAATTGCATGCCCGGTGGTTGATGCATTGGAGGTAGGAATTTCTCAAAGATCGAAGTTTGCCATCCGACAAGCCTTTCGTTGCTGAATGCTGATTAAGGCCCGTACGCGTATGCGTTACGAGGCAGCAGACTCAGCTTCCACCAGAAGCTTACAAGAAGATCGGCTGACGTGGGCTCGAGCCGGAGTTGTACGGTGAGGTGTGAAGAAGGAAGGCGTTTCAGGGAACCAGAAAGCAGGAGAGGAAGCTTGGATGAGTGGAAAGGAGAGAGGAAAATGTTCGGAGTGGAGTGGTGGGAAGAATTATTGATTCTGCTAGCTGAATGTGGAGGCTTGACGCTTTTTCCAGCACAATGGCGTTCAGTTTAGGCCTAGAGCGCCCGGGGATCTACGCCTAGGGAAAGAGCCGTTCAGGCCATACGAACTTACGAAGCCACCTTGTTTCTTTCCTTGTTCTAGTTCTACGGAAAGGATCTTCTGCATGCTCCGTCACTCGAGGGAATCGAAACATTATTTGATGCTTGTAACAAAGCAGAGGGCAATCTCTCATGGCAATGATAACAGCGGAGCGTCATGATTGTTGGAGATTACGCGGCCTTGCGGCTGGCCTGTCCAATATGCAGTACGCAACTACGACATCACAGGAGGGGAGTGAGACTTTGTGAAGCTACCCTGCTGAAAGCCACCCTCCACTTTAGCTTTCCCTTCCTATCTCCCCAGGGACCCCCTGGAGAGCGCCCAGTCCCCAGCTATTCGGCACCGGACTGTATGGCAGATGCAACGGGGGCCGGCAACCGATTGTCACTATCAGCGGAAGGGAGGGGGCCTCGCATATCATGCCATGCAAGCTGCTGAGAAGAGCATGCCGCCGGTGCTCATATCCTTGCTTCGGCCAATCTGCTCCGGTAGCCTGACCCACATGTCTGCATTAAGAGAGCTCGTCTCGACCTCAGGCAGTCAGGACTAATCTGCATCACCAACAGCTGCAGGCTTTTTCGTGCGCAAGAAGCAAGGCACTTTGGTCGAAGAGACCTGTAATCCAGCAGTCGTTTCGAAACACCGGGTTCCAAATCGAAACTGCGTGTAGTCCCTTCATCGGGGTTTCAGAGCAAGAACGACATTTGTTGGCCATTTCGGCCAGCCAGTACTCCGTAGATGCAAGCAGAATTTGAATAATAATGACCGCCCAATCTTCTCCCTGATAAAGAACTGTCAAAGGCGCCCTGGCGCGTGAATTTTCGCGCCAGATGGTTGAATAATTGAGGTAGCTAGCAATACTTTGTCTCTATCTTAAAGTTTTCTGATATGACGGACTCTGACCTGCTTGGACTGTCCGAGGCAATATGATTGACCGTATTGATTGTGCAGCAATGGAATCTCGGATTCCTGATTTGAGGTGTACTGGTGAGACTACGTTTCCTGCTTCCATGATGAGCTACAATATTGAAAGACCTCACTATTCCCCTATGGATTCCCATACGAGTTTCCCTATGTATTTCCCTGTCGTAGGAATAATATTGTGAGTCCGTTTTGCCTACTGCCGTGGACGATGTACTACCAACTCAACGAAGGTCTTGCTACTACTATTGGTGCCCGTCTTCGTTGGTATGCTACCACATGAGGAGAAAAATGTACAAATAATAGATTTCCCAAGGGATTTTCGTGAACGGCATGCCCATTGCTTTTCATGTCTAGGGCAGTCCATAGATGTAACATGTGAGCGTACGGTGTCAGAAATGGCATGCCCAAAGTACTCATTCCAGTAGGCAAAAGCCACTAGCAACAATATCAAGGCCTATTTCAACAACGATATATCTCAAGATGCTCTACAAAAGCGTAATGACGACATGGTAGCAGCGTTTGCACCTCAAATAGTGTAGGCATAGCTGGACCTTTGTCGATTGTTGATTGGCCCGCGTGATCCTTCCTTCAACGGCCCAGCCCAAGAAATCCAGCTCCCGCCATTTCCCCCGAGCTCTGCCTCGTTCCTTTCCTCATCATCTTCACATCCATCCACCCATTGACGCCCGAATTGCCACTCTCACCGAACACAATGTCTACACGTAAGAGAAAGCAGGATGAAGAAGAGCTCCAAGCACTTCCTAGCGACGAGAGTGAAGAGGAAGAAGAGTAAGCCAACGACCACCTTGACGTCATAGCTGGCCTCGCTCGTCGCATCACACGTTGGGAAGCCCTCGAACACGAGGAATATCCTCTTATCCGTCGTGCGAGCTTCAATTGGCTATGACGGGCATACCTTAAATTCTCTTGGCCTGTGTCAAAGTGAGGAACATATGCTGACGTATCTTGGACTAGATATGAGGATTCGGATGTAGGTGAGGACGAGGTTGACGACGAAGAATCCGAGGAGTCAGAGGAAGAAGACGACGAGGACGAAGCTGTCGCTGAAGGAGCTGCGGGTGAGCTTCCAAGGACGTGCTGCTGTGTATACTCATTTTAATCTGCGACATAAGCTCCACCTCCTGCCAAGAAACAAAAGACGTCCTCCAAACAGAATGATGCCTCCGAAGAAGTTGGGAATGATGACGAGCCAGAAACTGCTGATGGCGAAGACGACCGTGTCGCCGCTGCAGCCAAAGACGAGGATGAAGATGAAGGAGATGACAATGACGAGGTTGACGGTGCTCACGAGACCGCCAACAGTAGTGGCCCCGCTGCCAGCGCTAAGAGAACCAAGGGTGGAATCGTACCAAAAGAGGATGATCTTGCAGACGTTGCTGGCGATGACGAAGAGTAAAGTCACGTGTGAAAGTCATGTTTGGGTATTCAAATAGAAGGATGGGGGAAAAGTCTTATTTGGAATCTTGCCAGTGTAAGCTTTATATGAAGACTGATAGACTACTATTGGCATCTCGGTTGGCGGAATATGTCGTCGTCACAATGGCTTCTGTCGCGTTACGCAATTCTCCATGTCACGGAAGATCGGAGCCTTATACGACCTCAGAGGACAAAGAAAACGTCTCTCTTCGCTCTGCTTTTCCCCCGCAAACGTAACGCTTGCTTTCGTCTCCTAAGCTAAGGTATCAAGAAACCATCCCGTCCTTTTAGTCGTCCGGCGCTAGGAATTTCGACCGAGGTCAATGACGTTGATAAGCGTAGTTTCTGCACGGAGCTTACTGAACAAATTTGGAAGCCCTCGTACGTTGGTGACTAAGTCTGGTTCTTGCTATAAAAAAGCCTGGAATCTCTTCAGAGCGCATTGTGTCAACGGTCATAGCAGCTCGAACCCCCGAAGAACACACCATATCGCCGAACATGACTTCGAAGCTAGTTCCTCCCCATCCCGAATCCGTGATGTCTATACGGCAGGTAACGCCGAACATCACGACTTGCTCTGCTCCATTCTACCGATTTGGTAGGATAAAGGTTGGGGGACGTGGCACACTAGGTAAACACATGCTCATTCAAACTCATCGTTGGGAGTGCGCTTATCAATAGCTGTCAGTCAAGCTTCAATCCGGCGCATTGGCAGTATTCTCCCCCACTGCTCTCACCCCTGAAGTCCGCTCTACCGTTGAATCATTGGGCAACAAAGTCTCCTATATCGCAGCATTAGACTTTGAACACCACATATATCTCGGAGATTGGGCTAAAGCGTATCCTAACGCGAAATTGATGGGTGTAGAAGGGTTACCTGAGAAGAGAGAGAAGAACCCGGAGACTAAGGGCAACATCTTCAAATATGTCTGGACTAATCAGAACAAGGACCATTTGAAAGTCGATGAGGATTTTGACAAGGAGTTTGATTATGAATATGTTGGCTCACACGCGAATAAGGAGCTAGTATTCCTGCACAAACCAGACAGAACCTTGATCGAGGCGGACATGATGTTCAATCTCCCTGCGTATGAGCAGCATAGCAAGGACAAAGAAAACGCGGAGTCTGGAATTTTGACGAAGCTGTTCACTGGATTCCAAAACACGAAAGGAACGGCACTTTGGCAGAAGAGATTCCTGTGGTACGTGGCTAGTTCGGCGAATCGGCCAGACTTCAATACCAGCGTTCATAAGATCAATGGGTGGAATTTTGATAGAATCATTCCTTGTCATGGGGATGTCATCGAGACGGGTGGGAAGGGAATATTTCAGAAGTTGTTTGCGTGGCACCTTCAGGCTGGAAAGAAGGACTCCTGAACAGAATGCTTAAGCTTATCTTGAGCGCACTGAATCATTGGGCGATTTGCGTGTGAGCGAGTCTCGTATTAATTGCTTCGTGCAGCATATTCGGACAGGAATGATAATGTTGTTGTGTATTTAATGAATTGGCTGTACATAGCAGTGCTCAGAAGCAACCGAAGGCTCTCACTACGAATGTGGAATTAGTAATGCACCTCTCAAGATTTGAATAGGAAAGAAAGCAACGGAGCCGTGGGTTCTTACGATTAGCTCTCTTAGGTTCTCACCGACAACGCTTGCATCGAAAAAAATCTCCGCAGGCTGCCTGACAAATTTGGCTTTTGACATCTCACGTATCTCATCACCAAGCCTTAGTTGATCTCACAACTCCGCGACATCCATCCCGAACTATAAAGTTGCGTCGTGGCGGCCGTGACGGCGCATAATGCTCCGATTGAAAACTATATTATCGACTCATCACCAGCGATGCCATTCTTCCACCTAGCTGCCTACTAAGTCATAGACTATTCAGTAGTCAGATGGGACATGCCTCCGAGAAGAAGGGTGTCGTCATTGCGATGCTGCACGTCACGTTGGTACCGACGCACGCCCCACTGAAGGGCTGGTGTACTCTCAGATTTCTGTTCATATGCTCAGTCACTAGCCGAGCTGTTCGCCTTGGACTCAAGCAAAAAGATGATGCTCATCCTAAGGCATGTGACAAGCTCGACTTGCTGTAGCTCTTGTGAAAGGTTTCTTCACAGAGTCCGCGGAATGTGCTATCATAATTTGAACAGTGAACCCAAGCATCTTATTAAGTGCACCTAAAAGCGGATGCGCCAAGACCAAGTGACCGTAATAGGACTAGCTTATATTCAAATGACCACCCCTTTGATTCCTCCTATCTCTCCAATAATGCACCCTTCTACTTCCACCTTGTCCCAAGCAGTCAGCTGAAAAGTAGCTATGCTCTTCAGAGAGGATATACAGCAGCCACCGGGTGGCTTCACAACATCATGTTCACCTCACCTCGCAACGCTGCCGGGCAAAAGCAGGTCGCCGTGTGCCCTCGAGTGCGTACCTGCATAAGCGCTGTCGGCATTTCTTCTCATCCAATGGTGTGAGCGCTGACAGTGCGACCAGAATTGGAGCCGCTTTCCTCGCATTAGCGGCTGCTCCTAGCCTGCTCGTCAGCAACCCAGATCCTAGCAAGAATAGAAAGAATAGACCCTATCACCAGCACTACTGCTGATCCTGTAGTCTTTCAACATCAATGTCAGGATCTTTGCCGCCGTGACCGTTTAGCGGCGTAGGTTGAGGGTGGGTGAGCAGGTAGGCCTTCAAATGTGTATACCTCAAAGCAACATCCCTTTCGCAATCATCTTCGCAATGCTCATGCTGCTCTTGTGATGCTTTGCTTTTCATCTTTTAGTTTGCAGTGTCTGCAGTGTTTTCGGTGAAACGCGTCTTTTCAATGGTTCCTGCGAAACGACTTTGCGCTCACAGTACCTGCGACCTCGTCTATTGACATGCCCACAATGGCTGCGGAGGTCATCTCTTCAGGCGGTCACCGTCCCATAATCTCGGTGAAAAAGCAATTCCCTCAGCGGAAGACAAGTATCAGACATACTTCCAAGCCACCATCACGCTTGCCGGAGTTTGAAATGATCAAGCCTCCTAGTCCTATGGCGCCAGTCGTCATATCAGTCACAGAAGCCACACCGTCCTCATCGGATTCGTCGAGGAAGACCTCAGCAGAAAGCAACTCCGAAGATCGAAAGAGCAAGAACCGCCCCCACCGACCGACGATAACGATTCCCCCGAAAGCCTACAGAGCGCCAGACCAGCAGAGAACTGAGACGCCTCCAATCCCTTTACCACCCCCCTACTCGGCGACCTCACCATCAGCCACATCCTCCGGAAGATGTCCCATTACCAAGATCATACACTACGACACCTGATCAGATGCGTAGTGATAGCCGAGCAACGACAGCGGTGCAGCCTGAACCAACGCCCGTGATGAGGTCCATGTTTCCGACCTATGATACAGAGATGCCTCTTGCAAAACAAGATTACTGCCCGAATCCGAGCGTATTGCCGGTTTTGACGAGAATGAGAGAGTTCACTGCACCTTCATCAGTCTCGCGTATGGAGCAGCAGAGCTTGAGTACCTATCCAGCATCTGGGAAACAGTATTTGGAGAAAAAGGAGTCTCCGCTGCGCAGATACGAAAGCCTGAAACGGCCGGCTGGTTATTCTAAGCCTGAGGAAATCATGGATCTCTGGAGCCTGGCCAACGGACAAGCTGCCGAATTAGCAGTCGGAGTATATTCTCTAGAGCTAAGCTGGTACTTCCCCGCCTTTCAGCTGTCTGTCCTCATCTGCTAATGTGATGCCAGCGATGATTTATCCCTCAACTCCGAGATCATTACCTTTTCTACAAGTACATCTACTATTTACGCATTAGCAGCCGCAAAATCTAGTCAGATATCATCTACTAGAATTCATCCTCTCGATACCCGTACACGGATACCAGTATGCTCTACCGTGCTCAATCGTCCAAGTCGGCAAGATCCCCTTATTGCTTCCATCTTTCCAAAAGCTGCTGGCTTGATGGCGCTGGACCAGTCCTCCAACATGGCTATTGAAAAGGGTCTAGACCGACAAGCAAGTGCTCTATTGCAAGCAGAGGCCATTAAGAACGCCCAGGAAAAAGAAGCAAGCATGCTTCTATGGGATTGTGATAGTGGTAGATTCTGTCTCCTGCATCCGACTTTACTCGATGACATGGCGACCACAATGCGTATAGAAATTACACCTTCGCCAACTGCTCCTCAGCAAATTACAATCTTTGCCCCTGAGACGAACACACCGCTCCTCGAGCTGGAAATGAGTGCTCTTGCTCTGAAGATTCATGTGGAAACAATAAAATCACTCCCGAGCCTCTATATTCTGGACACCTTAGTGACGTCGATGCTAACCCTCCTATTACATCTCCATCGCCTGTGTGCTGATCCTTCGAACCGACACTCTCCACAACAAGCCCATCGGCCGGAAGACGACCCACTTTACTTTCCACCTCCACCACCCTCGTTACATTCGACAGCCTCACGCCGCGACCTACGTCGTCAGCGCGCTGATTCTCGACATTCAGCTTTTCGCTCTGTTCGCTCAGTCAAGTCATCCCGTTCACTGGCCTCAGGGTACGAAAAGGACATCGAGCTTGGTGTTCTCGATCCGGAAACAGCTCGGATGAGCAAGGACGAGCTGAAGCTGCAGAAAAAGAAGGCGCCGAAAGGTGTCATTGATGTTGACGATCCTGCATTGCCGAAAGGCACACGAGCAGCGTTACGGTTTATGTATTGGGTTTTTGAAGTGGTGTATTGGATCCTTGGGGCATTGGTGCAATTTGTAGCGCTTGGAGTTGTTGCAATGGGAAAATTCGTTCAGAAATTGTAACCCCTTAAAATCCGGGTCTTGTAATGAACTTTATTGAACAAATCATCTTGTCTAATGCCAATTCTGGAAATTTCTTGCTTGGATAACTTCTGGCTTCATAAATGTACATACATTAAGTTGATAATACTTCAGACAAGGATGCATTGTTGACATCAATATTGCTTTTTGCCTTCGACGCCTAGCACTGTAAGACTCCTTTGCGTTCCTCGATTCAGAAAGTTGTCCAGCGGGTCCACCCAATATCTTCTGAGTCTCATCACCCCATGTCCTTTTAGAGTGATGATCCACAGCAAAAAAAAATGTACTCCTTCGCCGGCTCTAATGAATAAGCACCGAATGTTGTTGGCTTGCGAGATTTAAGACGATGCTCCTCGGGAGACTCTGTGTGCGGTGATTGGGATCCCGTTTTACTAGGGTGGTACCACATTCTCACGACGGACTTCGACTACCTCTACCTCTGCCAAGACCTGACAGGCCGCCCCTTAGAAGGCTGTTGTTGGGTCTTTGCAGCTTGTTGGCCGCAGAGGGGCTCAGAGGTGATCGCATCGCATCGCCATCTCCATTCACCTGAGTATTATGGCGAGGCCTTTTCCCCCTAGCCACATTGTTCTTATGGACATTGGTGTTGATATGTACACCCCAATTCTTGGAGGTCACCTCTTTCGAACATAGATCACACCGACGCATGGGCCCACTTGGGGGATTACGGCCACGTCTTCCAGGGCCACTGGGTGGAGCTCGGTCTTCTGCTGACGAGGCGCCGGCGGTTGCGTCTATAGCTGTCGCGGAGAAGCGGGAACCAGCGTCCTCCTCTTCCTCCTCCTCTTCCCCTTCCTCGGACGAGACTTCCGATTCGGATACTTCAGCCTCATCTGAAGATGCTACATTACCATTTACAGGACCATTGACAGTTGTCCGTCTGGACTTTTCCAGGGCATCGCGTGCGCGAGCAGTTTGTTGCCGTTTACGCCCCTTGCGAGGGGGAGCAAGGCTGCCGTCGCCAGTGGAATGTCTTTGAGAGTTTTTGACGGTACCAGAGGCCCTTCGCTTCTTTGGACCGCCTGCCCGAGCAGTGGTACTGGCTGCGTTAGTGCGATTGGTGTGCGCCGACTTTTTGTGGGAGCCTGGAGACGGAGACGGAGAGAGATTTAGCTCCTTGTATTCTGAATCCATTCTCTTTTTCAGGTCACGCAATTGCTGTTTGATATGTGCTCGCGCTTCGGTGTGAATCTTGAGCTCTTGCATCAGCTTTGTATAGTTCTCCCCAAGGTCAACATTGACTGCCCCTGGTCGCGCTCTCTCGAGGTAGGACTGAATGTCCACGGAAGAGGATGAGTTGGAGAAGTCTTCGAACACACCATCATTGTTCATCTTGAAGCCAAGGCGCAACCGCTCATTCCGTGTGAGTTCGAGAGGATGAATGCCAATCTCGTCCGTTTTCTTCGCTACGAATTCCATGTTTTGATAGTGCTGTAAATTTGCCTCGCGGGGTAAGACCGCTGTCATGAATGAAATAAAAGGAAAGTCTTGGTCATCGCGGACTGCACCAAAGACAAGATATGCGTCGTCGTCTGCCTCGACCTTGTTTGGCGTCGAATTATGAGCCAGTGATAGTTTGGTTGCAGGTCCCTCGGTGTTATAGTGACCTCTATATTCTAGCCCCCATTGAAGAAACCTAAGCTCGACTGATATATTCTCGTTTGGAGCCTTCTTGCGCTTGTCCGAGGGCTCAATCGAGCGTATCGTGACGCCCATCGCAAGAAGCGCATTTGACTCGTCGTAGTTGGTGGTACGCTGGTTTCCGTCGACGTGAGCCCACATGATGTGCCACTCGCCCTCGATGAAATCAATTGAGTGGGAATTTGGAGCTACTTTGAGCCCTACGGTAAGGTCCCCATCTTCGAAGAAGCGCATGGTGACAATGAATGCGATATGGTCTTTTGGTAAACCAGTGGTGAGAATCGCGAACGATAAAAAGTATCTGGTCAGGCTGTATATATCAAGCGTGGTCTAAGGCGCTCTGATGTACTTTATTCACTGTACTTGCATGTCGGGCTGTACTACCTTACTGTAAATTCACAAGCTGGGACCTGCTCAAGGGAGGAAACACCAGAAGGGGCAGGGCGCCATTAGTTCTAAGCCTAGAATGCTATAGCGCCCGCATCTTACCCGAAAAATGCATAAATAAATCCAATACTTTGTTCGTACTCTGGAAAAATCCTCACCATCCCTTAACCTCTGTCAGTGCATCCAGGTGACATCAGTCTTTCAGCACGCGTACAGCACTTGATTATAGTGCATCAGTGCATCATCAATCGCATCAGCACTATCATCACCATATATGGGTCCCCTCAAAAATTCAGCATCAACGTCTTCCCGAACCACAGCTTTCGCTTTCGTGTGTCCAGCCAATATCAGTATTGAACACGCTGTCGGATCCAGATTGACGGAGGGAACAGGCGTGCTGTGGCTACTGGCGCAAGGTCCGCCCTGATGCTGGGCGGACGGTAAATTAGATCGTAGAATTTGACTCACTGTGTGATTCACCTCTCTTCTCTAACGCGGGCTTGACTTATTCGCTACACAGGAGAGACGCATCTTCGAATTTTGATACTTTGTGGTCCATGCAGCTTTCAAATCGGTGTCAGTATGATGACCGATACCATTGCACGAATGGTTACTTCTGATACAGCCTATTCGCATCCCAGTCTTGATGATCCATCCATCGAATCTCCTGCAAAAGAACTTTCATCGTTCAAACCGGGTCTAGAACACGGCAACAACATACTTGAAGCTAGTTCTGCGAAACCAACCCAAGCCACAATCTCTGGCTGTGCGACTCGGCCCATTCCTATCGTCGGTCGACTACCTACTCCGCAAAACTCCCCAAAGTTGGAGCCCGACGCGACACACGACCTGACTCTTCGTCTACCATCAGCCGCTGTCGAAAGGATTAGAAACAGAGCGTCTCGTAGGAAGAAACGGGCCAAGAAGCCAGCGTCTTCTGTGCAGAGCGTCCACGGCTTTACGCCTGTCGCGTCTGGGGACGATGACTCAGACTTCTCCGTGAGCAGCTTTCGGGGAAGACAAGGCTCCAGTACAAACCGAGTACCCAGTGTCGTGAGGAAAGACCTGAATCTGGGCGGTCTTAGTGGGACAGGAATTGATTTAGAAGGACGGTCGTCGTCGCCATCTCCTGGTGTGAGCTCTCTGACACGTCAGCTGGATGAGATGAGTTGCCGATCCAGCTCTGAACGGCCTCCCACAAATAGAAATAGGAGCAAGCTCGCACAAGCCACTAGTAGCGAAAGCGCAATTTCGGCGACTAGTAGCGACGATGACTTTACTCAGACCACAAGCTACGAGATTCCATTACAACATGACTTTGTTAGCTCGGATGTTTCTGAGAAGGAGAAGCGCGACGCACGACAAAATTCTGTCTTCAATGGTGGTGTTGTTCGGAAGATGCAGGCAACCGACTTCTGTCCTCTCCGTTGCCTTGGCAAGGGAACATATGGGACCGTTCTTTTGGTCAAGCAGGAAAGTACAGGAAAGCTTTATGCGCAAAAACAATTCCGCAAGGCTTCTTTGACTATTCGTAAAAAGTTGGTGGAGCAGACAAAGACGGAGCGCACCATTCTCGAAAGTGTCAATCGTCACCCTTTCGTCGTGAAGCTGTATTATGCATTTCAGGATCACGAGAAGCTCTACTTGATTCTCGAATATGCGCAGGGTGGAGAGCTCTTCGAGCGAATGCGGAACGAGCATATGTTCCCGGAGGGTACCGCAGCTTTCTATATGGGTGAGATGGTACTTGCACTCGAGCATTTGCATAAGAATTTAGGCGTTGTCTATCGTGATCTCAAGCCTGAAAATTGTCTTCTTGATGCTGAAGGTCATCTACTACTGACTGATTTTGGTCTCAGTAAAGTGGCCGCCGATGATGGGCAATGTCGTAGCATGACTGGGACTGTTGAGTATATGGCACCGGAGGTCATTCAAGAACAACAGTACGGCACTCAAGTGGACTGGTGGTCATTTGGGATCTTAGCTGTCGACTTGCTCACTGGAGCGACCCCGTTCCATGCCAACAATGACATGAAAATTCGGGAGAAGATTGTCAAATCGAAGCTTGTGCTTCCGTATTACCTCAGCCCCGATGCAAAGGATTTAGTCACGCGATTTCTACGAAAAGAGCCGAAGAAGAGACTAGGCGCTTCCATGCCCAAAGATATGCAGACAATCAAGACCCATCGTTTCTTTCGGAAGATCGATTGGAGGAAACTGCAAAAGAGAGAAGTGGAGCCACCAATCAAGCCATTGATCACGGACCCAGAACTTGCTGAGAATTTCTCTATAGAGTTCACGAGTTTGGCCGTGAGCCCCGTGACGCCAGCGCCCTGGGATCCACTGATTCATGGCGAGCACGACCCTTTTGGAGGCTTCAGTTTTGTGGGAAGCCGAAGTTTGCTTGAAGAGGCTCTTGGATCATAGAGATGTCTCCGCTTGTTTAGGTTTCCATAAGATACACCAAATCAGCCATGTTTACGTGCTTGAAAAGAAGGCCTGAGACATGATCAACAGTCAGCTAGCTTCAATTTCTCCCTGGATCACTGGGTTTCAATCGGTAGGAAGGATCACGCATTTTTCCTACAACCCAAAACGGATGTTGAAAACAAGCCCGAGTAAAGCTACGCTCCAAAATGCCAAGGGCCAATGCCTCTGCTGACTCCAACTGTCTTGACGCTAGGACGTTCGAGGAAGAATGACCATAGATGGACCGCAAGCATTATAGGCAACACTCGACGACCTCACAAGAAGCGCTACCGAACGATCAACATGATGTCATAGGCCTTCATCTGCCAGTGCTCCGTATTACATGGCAGCTTGGGCGGGGGGCTGGATTTCATTGGGCATATGTGGGTTTAGAGTGGCTTCGATTCGTTGGGATTCTGTGGCTCCGCGAGGCTTGACATAAAGTCTGAATGTTCGGCATCTGCTCGTGTGCTTTCAAGAAGAAAAAGCCAGCCAATGGTCGTAAAAGAATATAAGAAACCGGGCTTGACGCATGGCGGGAAGCCATCCACCCGCAGCAGCAGATTCGAGCTTGGGCTATTCAATGTTAGCAGTCCCAAGGTCATATCAGCCATGTAAACGCCCTGTGGGCCTTGAACTCTACACGATGAGTGATTCTCGATAGTCAATACATAGTTTTGTGAGCGGAAGTGTACTCGTAAAGACTCTTCCGGCGTAGATGTTGTGGAGTCATGCTGGGGGGCAGAGACGCCCATGTTCTCACCGACTCTTTGCAAATTGGAAAAAGTGATTTACCCCACTTAGCGCCAAACTCAGAGCACTGATATGATATATCTTCGCCGGCCTCTGCCATTTTTTCTTCCTCCCACCCAACACCAAGACAACCACAGTCACCCTACAGAACACCCAGAAACACATACAAGCAATCATTATCATACCGTCGACAATCAGCCATGCTCCAGGCTAACGTGTAGTCGCCTGACCAGGGGACTCCCTCCCCTGGTTGAGGGCCCACGTATTTTCAATCGACGACGGTATATTGCCAGTAACATCTCTCGTTGCTCTGCGCTCTGCAGTCGCCCTGAGCAACCAGAGAATTTTACACCAAAAGTATTCGGGACGCACTTCCAGTCTGTAAAGGCTGTCGTGCGGTGTCTGCTCTCCTGACTCATTCTCGTGCGACTCACCTACCTCCACATCGACGTCTTTTCCAGGCAGAACCCATTCTTCGACAGTCTGAACCCATAATCATATTGCTCCTTAGCATCTACCAATCTGGCCTATCTGCCATTTCCCAACTATATTGCTGGGAAATAGGAAAGCTTAACCGCGTCTAATCCCTTAACATCTTTACTCAACCTCCATTACTTGTACCTTTCATGATGTCTCGCCGATCAAATCGAAGTATCGCTAAAACAGGGAGTGACTCGTTGCCGGCTTTTCAAACCGAGAAGAAATTCGAGCGGAATGGTGAATACACAAATCCACACAGCGCCTTGCATACCCAATCAGAACATTCGACTGGCAGTACGTCTGGTGTTGCAAGTACCGATGTATGCGGAGGAAATGCAAACGAGCAGGCTGCCCTCGGCGACGATGAAGAGAAGGCAGATAGCGAGGAGGAAGCTGCAATTGCCCCGTCTGATCTAGCCATCTACGATCAGGCGGGGCGTACTTCCCTACCAGCTAACACACCTATACACGCAATCGAATCTGTGGCGCTGCCAAATGAACATGATCAAATGTCTGACGATGAAATCTACAACGCAGTTGATCTCATAAGTGAATCGGATGACGACAACACTGAAAGACAAGAAGAAGACATGATCCTCGATGACTTTACCCATGGGTTTCTCGAGCCATTTTCTGACGATTTTATTGATGAAAACCTTGACTCGACCCTTTCGCAAGACTTCTCATCATTCGATGGGCCGATGATAGACCCTAACAATGATTTTTCCGCTTCAGCGGGATTGAGCTTGGATCATGTATATTCGCCTTCGCCTTTTCAATCACTACCTGTGACTCCTACATCACGGAAGGTACGGTTTGATGACCCCAACACATCGCTCACGGACCCTGCAACAAATCAAGAGCACGGTCTTGCTCATTACGCAAGTAATTTAGAGAGCGAAGACATTGAAGACAGCTCTGGCGTAGGCATGAGTGGATACGAAAGTGGGTTCATGAACAAATTGCCTGTACCATGCTAATTCAGCCTCTTAGCCGAGGGCGAGACTACTGACGACGAAAGCATCCCTCATTTCGTGACCAAATCGCCCCGGGCCCTCCTCCACCAGCCTTCCTGGAATGAGGAACGTTTGTCGTCACCAATTTCTCAAAGACGCCGTAAACGACGTTCCGGCCCCAAGCTTGGAACCTTCACGGTTGATCCTAACAGGTTTTTGGGGCAAAGTAACGAGCATGATGAGTTTGTTCTCCTCATGCCTGACAGGCAGACAGATCAATCAAAGGTGCCCAATGACAACCCTAAGTTTCAAAATGTTGAAGGAGCACGAATCTGTCCTCCTCACCTTCAACCCATTCCAGTTGAGACTCAGCCTGCCCCCGCGGGTTATGTTGAACTTCCTGGCGCAACCAGTAGCGCAAGCACTGACGGATTCATGGCGCATATACTGGAGAGTACGGGAAATAGCGACCACCCAACTCCTAGACCTTTTGACGCGATGTCGGCGGATTTCATTGCGACAAGCGACCTCGACGAGATAGAGTTTGCAACAAATGCCATGGCAACGAGCGATCAAGAATCTGATGACATTGGGGGAATGGATATCGCCAACCTCCTGGAACTTACCAATGATTCCTCGGAGTCAGGCGGCGAGGCGGAGTGTCTTAAGCTTCGCGACAGCACAATGGATGACAACGATACCGGAGGCAACGGTCTGCCAAAGTACAAATTGGAACCTCTGATGACTCCGGGTCCTTCACAACCTCGACGATCACCTCTCGGTGGATTAGCGCTGACAATACCTGACACAGGGCAAAGCAGTGGATCAGGGAGTAGGAAGCGAACTCTGAGTGATTCCCTACATACTACTCCTCGGCATGCTGTACGAGTATGTCGGTGAGGTTCAACCATCCGATCTGTCCACTAACGTCCGGACACTGCTCAATGTTCTCCTGCCTAGATATCCGGGAGACACGACCTTCCTCTTATCAATACAATGAACAAATACGAAATGATGACGCCATGCCTGATGGCACAATAGGCGTTGAGGCGACACACTGACGGGCTGCAACGTATCCGACATCCCACTTTTCACTTTTCATAATCGGCGACATCATACCATTCTCCTTTACTTGGAGTCAGGCGTAATTAATTCTGGGGGCAACTAAATGATCACATAGCGATTCAGCGCTTTTGGTTCGACATAAGATACCACCTGTCAGATGCTACAAAAGTTCTCTTGATTCGAATACTATTCAAACTTATGACCGCGTTTGGTTGGGAGTGAGCTATTTTTCCTACAAGATAATGCAGAAAGAATCCCTTCTCGGGAGGAGCACACTAGAACGCGCAGGCGCAGGCTCGTTCTTTGAACAATGTTGTGCTAAGCACGCCAGAGGTTCACGTTCACGTTCATGTTCATGTTCACGTCCCCGAGTGCCAGGAGGGATGTACATAGAGAATAGACCTAGTGCAGATAGCACCTTCTCAACCAAAAAGAATTATCTCTACATTACGTCAACATGAGTCAAATATGCGTCTACCTATGATATGACACCCTTGGTTCTTAGTTGGGCTACCTCGTACTCACTGATTTCCAGAATTTCTCGCAAAATTTCGTCAGTGTGCTGACCCAGCACAGGCGGAGCACTTCGTATGCTTGCCTGAGAAGATGAGTATTTCACAGGCGGAGTCACCATCTTCAAAGGGCCGCATTCCAGGTGTTGCACCTCCTCAACCAAACCTCTAGCCTGAACATGTGGATGTTGAAGTGTTGCTTGTATGTCATTGACAGGTGCATATGGTAGACCAGATCCCTTGAAAACCTCTAACCACTCCCCAGTCGTCTTCTTACTCGTCTCCTCTTGAATCAACTTCTCTAACAATTCCCTATTCTTCACCCTCCTGCTATTCACATTGAATTGCTCATCCTTCGCTAGCTCTGGTTTCCCCAGTCTTTCGCACAATATCCCAAATAACCGATCATTTCCCCCTCCAATCAAAATATCACCATCCGTAGTCTTGAACGCTTGATATGGTACAATGCTCGGATGAGCAGTACCCCACCTTCTCGGATTCGACTTAGGATCGACCAAGGCCGAGGACGCGATATTCGTCAGCGTAGCGACCTGCACATCACTCAGGGCGACATCAATGTGCTGCCCTTTCCCGTCCTTGCCCCGTTGTATGAGCGCCGCCATTACCGCATTAGCCGTGTATAAGCCTGCTGTCAAATCCGTCACTGCGACGCCGACTTTGACAGGCGGGCCGTCACGCGGGCCAGTGACGTGCATAAGTCCGAACTCGCCCTCAACCATTACGTCGTAACCGGCCCGTGAGGAGGCGGGGCCGTATTGTCCATAGCCAGTTATGCTAGCATAGATCAGAGATGGGTTAAGTTGCGACAGCGAAGTGTAGTCGAGGCCATATTTGGAGAGGGATTGGGGGAGAAAGTTCTCGACAAGGATGTCACATTTGCAGGCGAGCTGGTGAAGTAGCCGCTGGCCACTAGAGGTAGCAAAGGAGAGTGCAAGGGACTTTTTGTTACGGTTGACCTGAAGGGACTTGTGAGAACTCGAAGCATGCGAACTACTCAAACATTGACAGAGCGTACGGAAAGAAAGTAGGCGCTTTCTCCCGGTCCTTCCTTTCGTAATGTCTGGCTATATTCGGCAAATGGTGGACCCCACGCCCTGGTATCATCACCACGTGTGGGATGCTCAATCTTGATTATTTCTGCTCTGAATCGCATCGTACCCTGTCAGCGAAAGGCTCTGCTGGAGGAAGTGTCCTGTCTAAACAGGTTGGTGGCCGTGGGTGATTCGACATACCTACCCAAGGTCTCCGAGGATTTGTGTGCAATATGGCTTGAAAAATCAGTTCCCAGTCATAAGTTTCGTTGGGAAGGGAAGGCCCACACCAGCCAGCACTCGGGTCATATCAAGAACTCGAAGACCAGCCAAAGGTAGACTGCGTGCTGTTATGGCAGTTGACAAGCCCTTGCGAATGCCATGTTGCTTTATAGTATCGGCTGTGGGTATTCTACGACGTAAAGAATGCTTAAGGATGCCAGTGATGAGCATTGTTGGATGTTCGAGACACCGAGATGGAGGCGAGTCGTCATTGAGCTTTGCGGCCTCGTGCCTCGACAATCGATAAGAAGCGGACAACCGCCGCTAATATACGTCATTGTACAGCAGCCGAGGGCTATAGGTTAGCTTCCCCGCAAGTCACTCCTTGTCAATATCCAATATCCCATCTATCCACCATGTTCACCGGCATAGTAGAAACCGTCGGTAGTAGGTTTTGACACGGCTCATCGACACCCCGTTCTGACGTGACTTCAAGCCGTTCTAGCCACTAAGTCTGAACATGGCGGTAGCACAATCTTGACCATCTCAGAGTGTGGCGCCGTTCTTGGTGATGCTCATGACGGCGACAGCATTAGTATCAATGGCACATGTCTCACCATTACTTCCTTCACACCCGAACAATTTGTAGTCAGTGTCTCACCTGAAACATTGCGCCGAACAAATCTCGGTAATCTCAAGGATCGCGGTCATGTCAACCTCGAGCGCGCTGTAAGCGCATCAACTCGTATGGGTGGCCATTTTGTCCAAGGTCATGTGGATACTACCGCGGAGATCGTTACCGTCCAGCCTGATGGTGACTGTCTGACTTTCAGGCTGAGGCCCAAGGACTCCGGTATCTTGAGATACATCGTTGAGAAAGGTTATGTCACGCTGGACGGTGCCAGCCTAACAATAACCAAGGTCGATGATCTCGCGGGAATTTTCGATGTCATGTTGATTACATACACGCAGGACAAGGTGGTCATGAGTCAAAAGCAATCTGGTGAACATGTCAATGTAGAGGTTGATATGGTTGGGAAATATGTCGAGAAAAGCGTGACAGGATATTTTGACGGCATGGGAGACGGGTCAACTGGCGGAAATGGCGTATTGGAGAAGCTGGTGGCACGAATCGTGGACGAGAGGCTAAAGAAAAAGGCTGATTGATTGATTGACTAAGGCTCCTGGTGGCAAGCATTGTCCTTGACTTTCGCAAGAGAAGCTTTAGACCATCCTAGACGTTTTATGGCTATGTTGTGCAAATACTCGGCCCCCCAGTATAATTGACTGCTGATATCCGGCCAGTGCTAGCGACGAAATCATTTTCCATTGCCCATATTACTTATTGTGTTATAGGTTTCTGGCAGGAAAGGGTGGCTATATATATCGATGTCTCACGAAAGGTGATTTACGTGGAGGCAAAATCTTTACGAGAAAATTGAGGCTATATGAACATCCTTTGAATGTCCTTTGATGCCGAATTGTTCGACCAGAGTACCTTTAATAAACCAAGAGATATCTTCGGAGAGCCGTTCTTTAGCATCTGATAAGAATCGTGTGTCAGAGTCTTCTGGTACCAATTTCAGAATACTGAAAAAAGCAGCTCTTACCGGACGTGTACTCAAATTCTCTTCACAGACTGAAGAGTGAAGCGACATGACCCCGCACTTTGAGTGGCATGGCTTTCAGACTATTTTGCGTCTCGGAGATGATCGGCCAACACGTCAGGTCGGCGGTCGCATAAAGTAGACACATCCTGCATCCGAGCGGACTGCATTTCTCTTTACTTTTCGTGTGGAAAGATGATTATCAAAACGACCTGCTTTATGTTTTTTGCCTTCCACTCCCTCGGAGCTCTGTCGAAGTGTCTTGAAATTGACTCCAGTATCGCCGCAACCTGGACTAGAGCAAACCAACAAGTCTGTACTTGGACTGGAACGGTGGGTTCAAATTTTGGCATGAACGTCGTGAACAAGGGTGATTACAGTTGCAACGGCAGGTAAGCGCCTCACTTTGTCCCGTGGAGAATATATACTGACTAGAGATCAAAGGTGTGGTGGCGGCTGTACAGGCTTTGCCGTTGGTAACGTTTAGTGCGTCACCTTCGACAAAGAGCAATCTGACAGAGCCCTAACACCATCATCTCTCAGCACTCAAAATTGTTGGAACCACGACATCTGCTCATGGTTCGAGAACGCTGAAGGAGGCGCGTCGTGAGCCAATGAGCGAGACTCGATCCGTTTCCAAAATGCTAACTTGCCGAGTGACCCCAATTGTGGTGATGAATTTAAGGCAGCCCAAGTAAGTACAATCAGACCTCGCCTTACATCAGTTGAGACCGGCTCTCAAGCCTGTCCAAATCTTTTTCATTGAAGCCTCCGAGTTTTGTCGCCTCATACGATTACCGAATATCGAATAGCCTGATTTCGCCTTTGCTTTTGCTCAGGGCTGTGGTAGGCAGAATCCAACCATTCAGCCGCAATCACCTTTGGAAAAACCAAAATGCATCTGATTCAGTTTCAATGGGGAAGGACGTGAGACTCAAATGTGTTCATGCGAGTGTGATGATACGTAATACACAATTTACTTTTTAAACATTCTGTAGGTTCTTTCCTCACACATGAAATGAAAATCCTTATTGAGCTAGAAGATGTCACGGTCGTATGGGGTATGCCGTCCTGTAGGCGGGTGGCATTGGGCCATAGGACCGTATGAACCACACGATCTGCGATTTTGTAGGCGGCAACTATAGACGCTGGGCACAACCATTTTCAGCATTATTTTCATAGATTTACATTGATGTTGCAGGCATATTATTCTTCGCCAAACGGATGAGCAATCCCTCGGGTACCCAAATAAATGCACACTGTAGTAGTCTTGGCAAGTATTTTGCAGCTCGATATCTCAAGAATATCTGCTCTAATGAAAAAATTATTGCTCTCAAACTTATAGAATTAATAAGTCTCTAAATATCTTTTATACAAAGTTTTGTTAAAAACTTCTTTGTTAGATAGATATTGCTGGTTTTGAAAACCAAGCATTGTGCATTAATTATGGTACCAGCTAAGGCAATGATAGCTCCCAAAGTCTGACATATTGGCTGCTTAGTAAGCAAAATATCTAGCACCGTCGCATTGGAAATCAAAAACGCAATCTATAAATTCTCTCCAGCAATTCATGAGCCATATCATTGATGAACGATGGAAGTCGAATCACGGCCCCTTTTCAGGAAACGAGGACTAAAACCGACTACGCGTAAGCGGCCTGCAACTCCACCTCCAGCTCCAGACTCCCACTCGTCTGGCTACACATCGTCGGAGAACGAAAGAGGCGAAAGGATCAAGCGTCGGAAGAAGGCAGCTGTAGTCGCCAGTAACGCTGCGAATCGCTCCAATACTGCAGATGCTGAGGGTCTTGCCACATCAAAGTTTGCCGCCGACCGCTCTGCGACGATCTCGGAAAGCAATGACGCTACTAAGCAATCGAACTGGTTTGATGAAAAGGATCCTAAGCATCTACTTGGATCCGCCCGAGCAAAACCTGATGCTACGAATACAATAGCACAGAGTGATAGCAAAGAAGGATCTTATAAAGGCGCTTCAAATTACCATTCCTACGTCAGCAAGAACCCTTCTGCGCCGTCCAAGCAAGTCGGTCCAGTGAAAGCCCCTACAAACATTCGAACCATCACTGTTACGGACTTCGCTCCCGATGTCTGCAAAGACTACAAACAGACCGGCTTCTGCGGTTTTGGAGATTCTTGCAAATTTCTGCACGCTCGCGAGGATTATAAGCAAGGATGGGAGATCGACAGGGACTGGGAGATTAATGGCAAAGGAAAGAAGAGGCCGCAACAAGATGACAGCGAAGATGAAGAGGAGGCAACGCTGGAGAATATACCTTTTGCCTGTATCATCTGTAAGGAGCCTTACACGAACCCGGTCGTGACAAAATGTGGACATTACTTCTGCGAGGCATGTGCGCTGAAACGATATCGTAAATCACCAACGTGTGCGGCGTGTGGAGCCGGCACGAATGGTGTGTTCAATGGGGCGAAACAGCTGAGGAAACTATTAGCGAGGAAAAGGGAGAGGGCGAGGCGGAAAAAAGATAGGGCTAGAGAGGAAGGGGAGGATGTTAGTGAGGACGACGACGAAGAGGGATAAGATCATGGGCATGATTTGGTCCTCTATCAAAGATGTCTAGCATTCTTCCATATAACATATCAGTGTACTACGCTACGGAAATGTTTCGTCGCAGCATAGTCAATCATAGCCATTGAGGCTTCCATCTCAATTTTCCACAAATAAGGCGTCTTCGTTTAGGTAGCCTTGCTTCATTCGTATATGTTTCTTACACCTGCTGACAAGTATTTCAGGAGGCTTTCCTTTCAACACCCTTTTGGAAATCGTCTTAGTCCTACCTTTGACACTTATGAAGCAAAAAGGCGCTGGCAAAAGACCGATCATGCGTGGACCTCATTTTTGCTCAAAATATTCTTCGATTCTCTCAATCAGGTCCTGCTTCTTCCCTTTGACAGCAAGGCCTTTGCCGTTCAGCCACACTTTTAGCGTCTCAACTTTCATTTTCGAGAGCTTTTGTCGATCGAAAGCTTCCTTCATCTCCGGATCGGTAGGGCTCTCACTAGGTCCATCGCTGGCTTTTAGCTTCTTACTCCGCTCTGGCAAGTCAATCTCGTCATCGTTCTTCCTTTTTGTTGGGAGAACAGATGGATGTTCGTGACTCTCACTGTACTTTTGGAATGATTCTTGGAGCTCTGCGGCCCAGTCCTTGACGTAAGGCCCTGCGCGTTTAGCTATTTGCTTGTACTTGGGGATCGTCTTATCCTCTGGCTTTTCTGGTATGTCTTCCTCCAAGGCGAGTGCTTGGAGAATGCGGTAGTGCCATTGTAATGCCGGATTCGGATACTTTAAAGGATCATATTGTGCCTTTGGTAGCTGAAGTTGTTGCACAACATCTCGCATGATATCCACAAGGCGATCTGGTGCTTTGATGAGTGTTGTCTCTGGATTCTGTCGGATGTCGTCTGCGTATGGAAGGGGAGCGAGCCACAGACCAGGGGGCATAAGTTGGCCACCGGACTCATCTAGACGCTCAGGTCCAGGATGTAGGCTAGCTATTGCCGGTATAGCATTCCTTCGGGGTATAAACCAGGTAAGTCCTATGAGGTTATCTTTCAAGAGTTTCTGCTGCAGAGCGGCGAATACGCGGGTGGAGCCAATGTAGTCCTGCTCGGTTGGATAGAGGAAGGTTGCCGGCTTCGTGTTAGCCCAGACGGGGAGCATCGAGGCTGGCTTGAAGCCTATGATTCGGATACCTGGATCACCAAAGTACCTCAATGAGGCGACTTCTTCCGGCGTGAATGTCACCTGCTCTCCACCAAACTTAAATGCTTTTCTGATCTCGCCCTTTTCTACCGTCCGACCAGTATCTTCCGCCATTTGTGCCGTTGTTCCGGTAGCGATCTGGGCTTTCTCACCATCGAGCCAAACATAGCAGCTTCTTTTTGGCTCTTGTTTTTTAAGAATGATATAACCTTTGACAGAAATCTTAAATCCTGGGCCTATCTCCATTGGCATCGAAGAGAATTGAGCACGTCTTGGAACAGCTTTGGAATTAACGGCGGAGAGCAGGGAGTGCAGAAGCGAAATACCATCGGATGTTGATGTTGGAGCAGTGCCACCTGATATAGGTGCAGGAGCCTCAGGGTCTGTTGGGAAATTATTGTAGATGATGTCGTCGTAAAATTTAGAGCGGTCAAATGTACGACCAGGTACTGAGATGGGAAACAATTCAATGGTGACTCCTAGGTCATACAAATCTTTGGCCCTCACAGTGGCAGCCGACTTCAACCCTTTGTCTCTCCCATGTGGGTCATCATCGTCGGTAACTATGAAAAGCCTTCGCGAGGCGAAGTTGGCTGCTTTGATTGTAAATATCTGATTGGCGCAAAACAGAACGTTTGACATAGGAACTCTCTCCTTGGAAGGTACGAGTAGCTTGTGGAACTCCTCTTCATCCCCAACTAAATCTCGCAATGAACGAACGTCGCCTGCCGCTGGGACGTCGAGGTCGGTTAAGAGGTAGCAGTGAGGGTACGACAATGTATCACGAGAGTTTTCTTCGGACTGGAACTTCGTTTGCTCAGTCCCATAGAGCAATACACCCATCATATCGTTCGGGTTTGATATGATTCGCTGTTGCATCAAAGCAAACGCACACCTTAATGCTGCAGACGTTGGCGTGTCTCTTTGAGCCTTCTTCGAGTCTGTGGGCGGCGGCGCGACCAACATGGAGTCGCTCACTTCAATAGCGAACAATACTGCATCTTTCGCATGCTTGTACGCCTACAACATTGTTAGCGGCTCAATTCAGCTGGAGTCTCTTTTCTACGGGGCCTACAGTCTCGTCGATTTCCTCCTCCTCCTCATCCTCTTGACCTTCAGGCTTCCACTTGTTTTCTTCCGACATTTCTGCTCAAGCCTGTAAGAGCGATGACTCATTTACATTGTTGCGTTAGGCTCCAGAAGTTCTTGCCCAGATATGAAATGGAGATGGGCACCGGAAACAAGTGATCCAATCAGAGGGCAAGGAATCAGCGTAGCCCAGAACGCGCAATCACGTGCACGTCGACGTCAATGATGTGCAATATTCTTTCGCTTATAAAACGTGGACACCAGCAGAGTTGGGAGCAGACCCAGCAACATCATGGCGATCACTCCTCGAGTCCGTCTTCTTCCAAGACATGTGTCGTCCTTCAGTCCCTCATGCAGTTTTCCACTCCCTAGATATAGCCATCATGTCCGCAATCTCGCCACTGTTGTCACGCCCGTTACTCAATCCGATACCTCATCCAGCGGACCAACCGCTATTGTCTTTATGAACATGGGTGGTCCCTCTACACTACCAGAGGTCGGACCTTTCCTCTCCCGACTCTTCGCCGACGCAGATCTCATTCCTCTGGGACGGTTACAAGGCTATTTGGGCCCTCTAATATCACGGCGGCGAACGCCAAAAATCGAGAAACAGTATGCAGCAATAGGAGGCGGCTCGCCCATATTAAAGTGGTCAAAGTATCAGAGCTCGGAAATGTGTACAACACTGGATACATTGAGTCCGCAAACAGCACCGCATAAGCCGTACGTGGCGTTTCGATATGCTGACCCGTTGACTGAAGAAACGTATCAGAAATTGTTGGATGATGGATTTGGAAAGGGAAAAGGAGGCAGAGCAGTGGCATTTACACAATACCCACAGTATTCCTGCAGTACTACAGGGAGTTCTCTGAATGAATTGTGGAAATGGCGGAAGAGGCTAGAGGGGAACGATCCTGCAGGGGGGATCAATTGGAGCGTCATCGATCGATGGCCTGCGCATCCTGGCTTGGTAGAAGCTTTCGCACGGAATATTGAGAAGCAGCTTGCTACTTATCCACAAGAGAGGAGAAAGGACGTCGTGTTATTGTTTTCGGCACATTCGTTGCCCATGAGCGTCGTGAACAGAGGAGACACTTACCCAGCAGAAGTTGGAGCTACAGTGTACGCCGTGATGCAACGCCTTGGATTGAGCAATCCTTATAGGCTTTGCTGGCAGTCACAAGTAGGCCCTTCGGCTTGGCTAGGTGCTCAGACCGATCAAACGGTCAAAGAATATGTAAAGAAGGGTCAGACCGATTTAGTGTTGATACCCATTGCTTTCACAAGCGATCACATTGAGACGCTTTACGAGTTGGATCAGGAGGTCATTCATGACGCAGGGCATCCAGGTGTGACGAGAATAGAGAGCTTGAATGGGAGTCAAGTGTTTATTGAGGCTTTGGCAGACGTTGCACACAAGCATCTCGCTTCCGGCGAGAGTTGTAGTCGGCAATTAGGCTTGAGATGTCAAGGATGCGTCAGTGAAAGGTGCTTGGAACAGAAGAAGTTTTTCCTTAGGCAACAAATTTTGCTTCCTGCGAATCCCTTATAGCATACCAAATGTGAGAAATAGCGAAACAAACGACAGAAATGACGACAGTAAATCCCCAAACCTTGTGAATTCTTTCATTTGAGAATTTACATAAGGTATTTTCATTTTGAATGGTATGTAGGGACGCATCTGAGTCAAACGTCTCGTCATGAGAGAGGGATGGACAGCTAGTGAAATCACTTTGTCTGTCTGTGATCGGTAGTATTCGCCCTTGTCATTTTTGGTAGACAGTGCCTCGATCAAGAGAGGTCGCCTCAGTGTCAAGGTAGAGGACTTTGTTCGTTGGTGGGAATCCATTGAAACTGGTTGCGGTAGATTGTGTATAGGCCCCGAAATCCTCGAAGAAGAGCCAATCGCCGATCTCCACTTCCTCGTCGAAATCACTCTTGCATGAAATCAGGTCATTACTGTCACAAGTAGGCCCCCAAATTGAATAAGAGTGCAGCCCTTGCCTAACTATAGCACGATCTGCCTTTCGTAGTAACTTTGGGTTCATTTCAGGACGCTCAAAGGCCAAATTCAGAAAAGAAGAGTAAAGCCCATCGTTGAGGTAAAGCATGCTAGGGCCCTCCTCGCTAGGGGTTCGGACTCTGCGCCCAATTACGTTACACGCCAGAGTCATCGATGACTCTGACATATATCGTCCTGGTTCGGCAATTATGAAGAAATCTGGGGAAGAGAACAGCTCATCACCTTCTAGGGCGGTGTTGATCTTTGGGGCGATTGCAGGAAACGAATCTATGGTGAAGCCTCCGCCAATATCAAGAATTCGTACGCAGAAGCCATAAGCTGCTCCTTTGTTGATCAGATGTTTGGCTTCCTGTATGGCCGTGATGTAAGCCTGCACGTTCGTGGCACCGGAGCCTACATGAAATGCGAGACCGATAATTTTCAGACGAAGCTGTTGCGCTACGGCAAAAAGCTCTATGGCCGTGGAGGTCGTCGCCCCAAATTTAGAGCTCAGCCTCGTCAGCGCTTCTGTATCGTCTGCTGCAATGCGAAGGTAGAGATTCGCTTCGGGGCAAGATCTAGCAATCTTTTGCAGTTCCTCGGCGTTGTCAAACGTCATGTTACGCACCCCATGCTGTTGGGCGAAGCTGACAGCTTTTGGCGCTTTCACAGGGTGAGAAAAGATTATACGTTCCGGGGAAATGTCCAAAGATAAAATTAAAGTGATTTCCGTGATAGACGCGCAGTCAAAGTTGCAGCCCAAGGAGGCGAGTCGTAGAATGAGCCCAGGGTCCGCGTTACATTTAACAGCATAATGAGGATGTACTTGAGGAAGATACCTCTGCCATTGTCGATAGGATCTTTCAACCTCGCCTAAGTCTGCAACATAAAATGCATCTTCTTCGTTGCTAATTGTCGCGTGGTTCAAGATACAATCTTTGATCAGTTGTCGAGGACTCAGCTTTTGTGACGAAGCTTTGACAAAGAGAGAGGTATCTTGAATTTGAATGTCAGGTCTTTTTTCCCAGCGAGAGGAACTGAATGATGGACTCTTCATGATAGTCAAACAACATTGTGCGAAAGAGATTTCAAAGGCACTTTGCAATAGCCATAAGCCGATGGAGGTGGATCACTGAACCGAATTAATCCGCTGTTGCTATTGAACCCGAGATTTAAGTAAGTCGATCTCGTCATGAGTAGACGAGCGGGCGACTCTCACCGCCGAATCGGTCTAGGAATCTGGGTGAGTGGATAGTGCGTTCCCGGGTGGGGCGAACTAGAAATAGTGGCTCCATATTCCTTAAACCATGGTAATGAAATATAGAACGACCTGCTACGCCAATTAAAGCACTCGTTGCCAAGTTTGCAGGCACGCGTGCGTTGACAACTGAGCTTTTCCACATACCTATCCGCTGTCGAGATACGTGCCCGTAAGTAGGCAAATAAAGAGCGCGGAAGGCCTTTTGAGTGTCAAAGGTTTTGAATCTCGAAGATCAAACATGGAATTTCATGCTGAAAGTTACTCCCAATGAAGAACAATGTTTCGGTATTCGAGACCGGAATAGTCTTCTATAATTTGCACAATATTATCTCACTTTTTGTGTTGAACAGTGCTTGTAGACATGGCAGTAACAATCCTCTTGCGCCGGGCAGCTACATGGACAAATCAGCTTACTTGAATATATGTGGAAAATACCTAAGAAAACTCACTAGACCGCACTCATTCCGAATACTACATGCCACAAAAATTCCATGACTCTCCCACTTTTAGCATCACTCAGGCTTGTTCCTGTGACCCAAGCACGTAGACTCTCATAGTCTGACAAGGGGCGTTTCCGAGCTTGGTCATTACTCACGGCAAATTGGGCACAGCAAGCAGCCCCAACTAGAGTTGGTGCCTGGGAGACGTGATCGATTGCTGTACTCGTGCCTGAGAACACTTCCTTGTATATCGCAGGAGTGACGTGTGCATTATGAGTATCTTTCTCCAAGCAACCGGGGGACTGTTTGCACCGTAGATTAACGTAGCCTTGTTGCTTCACGTAGGATAGATTTAGCATATGCATCGCGTCTACGTTACTGTGGAGCGGAGTATCTGTGTGCCAAGCTGAGAAAAAGCCATCTCGGTGCGGATGTAAGAAGGCGATGATGGACGGCAAAGTCGAGTAATTGTCAATGATGTAGGTCAGATAGGCCATCGCTTCTCGCCCTTTATTGACTGGAGTCGTCAAGATGAACGGGTCCTCTTGGGTTGGGTTCACGGTATAGATAGCTGATTGCCAGCTAGTGCACTGCTTTAGCACTACTTCTAATGGATCGCTAGAGATGAGCCTTACTCTGAGAGGTCTGAAGAGATAAAATTGATGTCATCCTTTTCCAGCTTTGCCATTACGATGATCTTATCTCCTGTAGCACCAGGCAAAGCAGGAAGGTAGTCCAGTGTTCCGTCTTTCAGACTAGTCTTAAGTCGTGTCTTGATATACGAAGCAACCCCATACTGATCCCAGAAGTTGGTTATTGGTCGATTAAGGAGGACAAGAGCGATCAGTAGTCCTGAACAAACGGCGAGCCCCAGGCGAAGTGCTAGCCTCATGATGCACAGAAACTGGAAGGCGAGACGAAGGCGTCATCATCTCGCGCAATGCATTGAGCTACAGCTTTGCTATGTCTTCACGCTGGTAGCTGCCACTAGTTGTTCCATAGAATACTTCCTGTGACAAGTCAATAGAAGGAATGACCCAGGAACCGGACAAATCCAGGTACCGGACAGTTTCAAAAGTACGCAGTTTCAGGTATCACAGGACAAAACATACGCACTCCTCTCAGGGGACTTCCACTGAATTTGAAGCCTAAAACTCTAAGTTATAGGGGCCCTGTAATGCGCATATTTCATTTTGGCTACATATATCTAAGACTGTCCGGTACCCGGATTTGTCCGGTTCCTGCGTCATTCCTTCTAGGCGTAGTGGAATAAATTCGCCTGAGGTTTCTGCCTCTAGCGCATGCTATGATCCTCTACTAAATTTCATCCCAAGCAACCTCGAGTAATTCTATTACTGTGGGACTCACGATCAAGCACAAGTGGCAGGTCTGGATGGAAATGATATAGCTCTAAGATAGTCCGTATATTATGTCAGGCGTCTATGTTACCTGCTATGCCCGAAGATTCTATGTCCGTGTCATGTACCCAACCCGCGCTCCTGAAATGCAACAGTCCCAGAACGATGCTCGCTCGCCAAATGCTAAGCTTTTCGACCTCTGGATTTGTTTCCTTGTACAATAATACGCCCTTCGCACAGCGCAAAATGCGAGCAAGATTACCTCGGTATTCACGATACCATCTTTCTAGCTCCACAACTCTTCTAATCATGTCTAACGGGCAAAACAGGCGGCCGTGGCAGCTGTTTTTTACCGAAGAATATGTCCTCAGCGACTTTCGTCATGGCGCCAAAATGCGGCTCGATTTTATTTGCCCATAGGTGTGTAGCAAGGAAGAGGATAGGGAAAAAGATTGGGAAGACCACAGCGAATGTCGTCTTGCTTGGTAACGGATAACGCATGACCACGTATGTATCATTACCGTTCCTTTCCTCCATTTCAATCAGGGTCGACCTAGAGAACAGAAGCCAAGCCAGGAGACTCCGCATGAAGGATCCGTGTAGAAGGTAGAGAGGGAAGGAAATTTTGCCCAACCAAAGGAAGGCTCGGTGACTTAGTGCTCTTCGGAGGTGAGGTGACATGATACAAGTGAAGCATAATAAAGCACTTCCCATGGTAGGCCAGGTCCGATCAATGAAGGCCCCGTTCGGAAAGATCTTGTAGTGAACATTGAGGAGGAAATGTGCCCACGGGCACATCCGTTGATATTCAGCAGGGAACGACATGAAGACCAAAGAGGCGACGAGTAGTGGTGGGGTGAAAATGGGGGAATACCGAGCGAAACGTAGAGGTATCTCGGAGTGGTGTAGCTCTGCGAGTAGGATACCAGTAAAGATACCGACGGCTACCAGAGCTAATCGCAGGATTGTTAGCATGGATGCTGCTGTATGAGATGACAAGACGTACGAGCGCCAATTTTGACATCCCAATTGAAACCCCAACGCCAACAGGCCAGGACGACGAGGACGCGGTATCTTGATGTCAAATTGACAACAGTCAACAGACAGGTAAAGCAAATCATGCTACCCAAGAGCAAATACAGTAGTGCCCATTGTGGCTGATCGTAGCTATTGTTCGGATCAAAGGTCCATGTGTTTACCACAGCTCTTATCAAATCATCAATAGCTGTACCCCAGCTCTGACTTCTTTTCGGACTTGTGATGGAAAGCCAATATGCATCACTATTCCTAGCGGTCTCGTATGCTCCCATCTGGCACATAACCCAGCTTCCCACCGTGGCAGCGAGAGCCGGAAGGAACAGTCTGAAGCTCCGGCGGAAGGCGCTGGTTGAGAGATTGGACAAAGCTGATTCCACCTGTCCTGCTTTGGCTAATTTGATAGGACGAAGGGAGTTGACGAAACCAGAGAGGATGATAAATGAGGCGACCCAGGCAGGGCCCTGAGCGACGAGTCGGAATATAGGTTTTTGCATGAGGTGCGATGGGCCATTCTCCGATATGCAGGGGGCGACGATATAGCGGGCAAAGGCGAGGGTCATATGAGAGAACATCACGTAGACGGCAGCGATGCCACGGAGCCCCTGACTAGAATTCAGCAACGGCAAAATGCCCAAGAAACATTCGAGCATACATCGGCCCAGGTGCTATCCTGCATGATCTTGCGGTAGACTTCATTCTTTTCTGGAGTAGGCTTCCATTTAGTATGACTATTGGACTGCAGCAGGCCCACCGTTGCGGACGCCATGGTGCCTAATATTTTACAGCATATCCCTTGGGTGCAGCGTGTGGGATAGGGCGATCAATGTGGTCAAGGACAAGATATTCGTGCTGGCGAATTTTCCAGGGGCGAGAATAACATTGCTTGGAAGAGATCCGATAGACACAACGTCGTGCATGAACCCTCTCTTGGCCACAGGAAAGCCAAAAACAATGGCCTTCGCTACAAATATCTTTGCGTTTCCTGAAATGGTTAGGGTGTCTGCCAAGCTCTGAGCCCCTAGGCCACATAAAGTCTAGGCCTCGGGTAGCCTTACTGGTGCTCGATATATTCAAGACGCAAGTTGATAAGCTTGCCAATCAAATGCCAGAGCGCTGGCAAGCGGGAGACCGGACATGAATCCAGGGCAATTCTTGTCTCGACAGTCTAGTTGCATTCGTATTGACTACTCATCTAGTGACGGTGCCAGAAGCACATGGCGTTCCTGATTGAGACGCTCTCTGCGATTTACTTCCAACCAACCAAACTAAGCATTGGCATTCATGCTGAGAATGCCTCAGTATACGAGCACCGGTAGGAGCAAATGCGATAACAATCAGAGACTGCGCTTGCTGGTGTTGGGTTGGCTGTCCTCAACTGAGTATCGGATGAATGATGGCCGCAATCTGTTCATAAACGGTAAACAGTATACCGCCACTGAAGACCGTCCTCCCAAGCCTCATGGTTGTACCCCTCCAGAGAGCCTTAACGCCATCGTCTGCCAAGATGCTTCGGAGCGCCTCCATTGTGCTCGCCCCTTTCGCACTTTGCGACCTTGTTTTTATAGTATCAAATGGCTGAGTTGCTAACGAGCATGTCAATACTGTTTGTCTACGTTAAGCGCTAGTCTTACCATAAGTTGTGACGGTTCCTGCAACCGCGCCATTGACAAAATTCGTCCACGTATTTTGCTCAATCTGGCGACTCCTTTGGAAATCTTTGAGGATGTTGTATGTTCCCATCCGGAAAGCGGTAGCGCCAGCTTGTTTCAAGGTAGTACCCACGAAGCCGCGGTACAAGCCCATGAATCCATCTTCCTGAAGAATAGTGCGGACAGCTTGAGGTGTCGACTTGAAGCGTTTGGCCTTCCGCGCATCATCGATCATTGCGGTCTTCATCCTTTCAGTAGGAGTCACTGCGAAGACGCTTGCTGTTATACCAGTCACCATGCCTGCAAGAAGGTTGTTTGCAGGGGTCAACGTGCCCGTCTCTGAATCCGCGAACACGTTCTTGATGGAATCGAACACGAGGAACCGAACGCCGTCTTTAGCTACTGAACCCTGTGGGACAAGGAGTAAGTAGCGGCTTTCACCCTGAAATTCGCCGAGGAAATACGAGAATGGTGATTGCCAAACCACCAACATACTATAACGAGACTGGAGCAGCCTTTGTACAGAGCGCGAAACCCCTCCTGACGCAAAGTCTGACCAACAATTACAAATGGATTGCGAGGGACGGGACAGCCGCCTTCGCTTTGAAGCTGGACACGTGTCTTTGTGAATTCAAAAGGATACTGGAATACAGCGTCAACTTCCTGGGCCATTAAGACAGAGCGTGGCATCATTCACCGTAGCTGCAGCTTCAAAGCCACCAGCAATACCCCCTGCCACTACAGAGACTGACGGAGAATACTTGGCGTCCTGTCATAATGATGAGTCTATGGTTACAACGTTCTTGCGAGCGAAAGATCTTACCCCCATGCTGGTGCGCGAACGCGATAGATAGCAAAGGAAGATCTGACGACTAAAACGACTTGATTGTCAAGGCCTTCTAGCTTGAGCTCCGGCCTTGACAAGGTTGGTCTTGCTGGATAGGAGTTGCAAAGAAACCATGTATTTTCCTCCTCTATTACCCCATGATGGGATAAATTAGGGAAGGAAATACTCTTTCGACGCGAAGAAAGACCGACGATGGACCGAAGCTGAAGTCTTCAGACTATCTTTTGTGCAACATCTGTAGCAAAGGCATGGATTGCTGGGCAATTTTGTCACGTAGGTGCTTCCCTATTTGACTTCACAGTAGCCCATGAAATAAGGGACGCAGAGATGATGGTCATCAAATCCTGTAAGATACACCGACAGAGCAGATGACATAAGAAATTTAAGCCTTTTCAAACCTGGGTATTCAATATTGAATGTTGTAATGACGACTACCCTGTCAATGGAAAGGTTGTTGCGGGCCTTTCCGCCCATATTTCGATAAACTTAATCTTCCTCTCCATCTCCCTTATCTACTTTGAGAGGAGGCGTCCAGCAATGTGCCCGGTATATGCGTTCAATTCATATTGACATTACGGCAGAGTCATGCCGTAGTCATCTGCATCTCGCGGCTTACCTGCCAGAATACTGCGTGGGCCGTCTTGGCCAAACTTCGCTTTCGCAGCCTTGATTGGGATAACAGCGCTAAACAGCGTAGGCAACAGTAACGGCGTTGGAAAAGCAGTCTTTGTCTAGACACAACACAAAGGAAGTTATCTCGAATCAGTCGGCTCAAGCTTGTATCCCTGGGGCTTCAACCCAGAGTGGCGTTCTATCGACCGTATCAAAGGGGAAGTTTTCTAGTAATGGCTCTGGAACTCTGATGAAAGACTCGATGTTGCAGGATCATAATTGACCTGTCAGCGCAGAGTTCTCTTGAAGTGCCGAGCAATACAGAAATGACGGGTTGAGAGCTACCAAATAAAGCTGGGAGGCCTATTATCGCGTCATGGAAAGGCAGGTAGATGTTTCTTTTAAGCTCCGCTTTGTGCCCCTTGACTATTCCTGTCTTCGATCTTGGATCATTTCCATCCTCTGATATACGATTGAGAGCCACAGTTCATGATGCGTGTCCTTTTTAGTCAGCTTCTTGCCACGTGAAAATAAAGGAAGAGCCACTACGAAGCATTCCTGACCTTACTCTCTTTGTCTTCCACCGCAAACGTCAGGAATGGCTCCCCACGCTTTGTTTCCTGTAGTGTTTTCATTTCCTGCTCTCCCAACTCCTCTCTCATCATCCACTGGTATCTCTCTGCCTCCGGATCACCACATTCGTTTGTACCCAATAAACTGATCATGCTCGGTCACACATTTGCCTGCCTCCTTGCTCTTGCAGCCAGCATAAACGCCCAAGCCTTTGGTCTTCCCGACCTCACTCAGCTACCAACATGTGCAGTACGCCCTCATGCCCTCCCATTTTCACTTCTCAGGCATATAATGAAGTTACTGTCTCTAAACAATCTCTAGATTAAATCCGCCACCTCTGGCTTACAAGCCACCGGCTGCGAGCTGAGAGACCTCACCTGCATCTGCAAATCCGATGCCTTCCTCCGCGCCCTCGGAACTCAACTTTCCTCAATATGCAGCCCAGACGAGCAGAAAAAGACAGTCGATTTCGGCAACACGATCTGCGAGCCCCTAGGTATCAAGATTCCTTACGATAATCTTCCTGGAGCGGACGATACTTCGTCCTCGAGTTCTGCGGCTGCTCCAAGTGCAACAGCAAGCAGCGAACCGGCTGAGGCAAGCACCTGTTCAGCGCCTATTGCGGGGGAGACAAGTCCTCCTGTAAGTAGACAATCCTCTGACGTTAATTCGGTGTCGATGTAAACCGAAGGCTGATGCTGTATATAGTATCCTGTCGCTAATGGAACGAATGGAACGACTGGGACGAATGGCAGCTATGTGCCTTTCACAGGCGCATCCGCGACCCTCAATGTTGGATTTTCTGGGCTCATTGTGGGTGCTTTGGCCGCGGTTGGCATGATTTTGCTCTGAAGAGATGGTGCAGGTGACGAGGGAGGGCTTATATGCTGTGGAAACGGCGTTCATCTGAAATAATTCTCCGAATCATCAAAGGCAATTCTTTTCTTCCTTTTATCTAGAACATTAGAGTCTTGTTGGAATAATATCCTAATAGGATCACATCATGTAATACCAGGTAGATTAGCTACGAGCATACCAAATTTTGCTTCAGAGAATTTCTGTTCATTGCCTTATCATGTTCTTCTGTTCTACACTGTGTTGCTGATCAAGCGATGATGTGTTTAAGCAGCAAAAGCTCGCACGCTACATTTCCATACACGTCCTTTTTCCAGACCCACGTTATCTTACAAAATTCCCTGGCGCCTAAGGTTTGCTAGAACGCTCTTTTTCCGTCGCAAACCACTACCTTCCACGATCTCCTCATCTGGGAATTTTTCCGTGATAGGGTCAGGGTTCTTTGCTCGCTGCTTCGCAAGCCACATTCTTCTTTCTCCTCTCATCCGCTCGACCCAGTCAGCACCTACCTGACCTCTCCTACAGATCAGGTCCATGAATTTTCCCGCATCAATCATTCCTCGCGGCAGACTCTGAACGATCTGAAACATCTCCATGGGGTCGTTCACGCTCTTGATCTTCTGCTCGCCAATTTTGAAAATATTGAGAGCAACCCGGAAAAGGGTTCTGCTACCTTCATAAAAAAGAACGTCCCAAACTCTGAGGACCGTCTCGATTGGTAGCGTGCCTATGAAAAGGCTCATAAACCAACTTGTCGCACAGAGACTGATTGGCGGTAATCTCGACATTCTGCCCTCCTCTCCAGTCAGATCTGCGCCGCCAACCTTCGTCCATACACTAGGCATGGTGTTTCTCAAGGCGACAGCAAGAACCCACAGATCGACATTCGCGCCTTCAAGGGAGACCTCATGCGTTGCAGGAAGATAGAGTACTGCAATGATGTGAAGCATCCAGAAGGATTTCTCCTCCGGGAGGAAAAGAAGCAGCAAGCCAGCGACAAAATTCAGTGATTGACAATATCCGATTTTTGGATTATGTAGGGCGAAAGCTTGGAGCACTCGCCGGAGAGAAGCCAACAGAGGCGTATCACAAGTCGGCGAAGCTGCCGGATCAGGTTTGAACCCCACATTATCTGGGAATGTACGGTGGAGGTCACGTTCAATGGCCTCCTTTTCACTCTCTGGAAGCCTTGCATCAGAGAGGTGGACGAGGTTGTTGTAGAGCTGTGGGTGACGGGACAGGTATGTGTCCCCTCCAGCATAATAGAACCATGCAGCACCTCTGAATGCAGGAGGAACACCTTTTCGGACATAACGTTGTGCTTTCGCAGATCGTGGCGGAAATTTGGTTGGATTAGTCGTCGATAGTTTATGTTCTTTCATATACTCTGTCCATTTCTCCAATCGATGAGCTTGGGGAGACGCATACCCAGCATACCAGGCATCATAAGCGGCACGACTGATATAGTGATTTGATTTGAAGAAGCCGTACTGATCACGAAGAGACTTCTGGTCGAGAGGCGAGGCTGGCGAAGATTGGATGGCGCTGTTACTTCTGAAGAACCTAGACCGCGATGAGCCGCTCGTTGAAGGCCTTGTAGAGAAAGAGGGTCTGTCGGACATGGGCGAGCCCATGTTATCCTGAAAGGCTTCGGCAATCTTCATTGACCTTCTGCGTTCTTCATCGCTCAGAGACGTGTCTCTCGATTCTTGAGGTTCTTCCTCAACATCATCTGTGAAGCCAGCCACATACATATCGATTGCTTCATCTACAGTCATGACCCCTTCACTGTCATCTTTATAGGATAATTCAGCCGGACCATCAGTCGTGGCATCTGTAAGTGCCGTATCTTTCGTTACAACACTGCTTCGGCTCGTACCCGTTCCAGTCGTCCGACTGGTTGCAGTCGTTAAAGCAGAGCGAAAGCTTGACCTGACCTCCTTGGGGCTATAAGAAGCCTGCCATGGTCTTGGTGTGCTAGCAGGTAGATTGAATGGTTCTGGCATGACCTTTGACAGACCGTTCCGAGGCGAAGAGTTGGCCCTACTGCGAACAGTACCTGCTAGCCGAGGGGACAGGGGACCTGAGTCAGACGTCCCAGGTCTCGACAGTTGGGGCGAGGCTGATATACTCTTCACACTTGAAGCGACAGTCGCGGCGTTAGGCGCCTCCTTTGTCGATGGGTTGCCTGTGGATAAGTGGAGGCTCTTCTTCGGCTTCGGCTGCTTCAATTGAGGCTTATCGGTCTTCACTTGCATGGGCAAGGGGTTCTGGTGACCCGCACTTGCTGTCCTTGGCCTTTGCGCATCGTCACCCTTTGCCCAGCTATTCTGTTTTGCATGTCTCAAGGATAAATGTCTGATGCTCTTCTTTTTCTTTACCTGCGGATGGTGCCCGTCATCGAAAGCCTTTGCTGTGCCTAATCCAATGGCCCCTTCGGAGACACTCTTCTGGTCGTCTTTGTCGTCAGTGGCATGATGAAATTTGGCGGTGATAGTCCGAGGGGAAGTTGGAGCTGTGGTAGGCCTGAGCTCTGCGGGTATTTGAGGTACCAAATCAGGAGGTGGAGCACGCGATCTGCTTGATTTCCTGAAGGCGGCAGACAGCGACCTCGTCAGGCTCTTCCTCCCCTTCAGAGCGGTCACTGCTTCTCCCCTATTGTCTGTTGGCAGCAACTCCCCCATCGCGAGCGCTAGATCTGAGGCTCCACCGATTGAAGAGTCGAAAGCAGGTGAGGTTGCGATTAGGGTCAACTCAGGGACGAATTGATATCTCTCGGAGCCGAGCGAGGCCCCAAGCTGTGCCGTTCGTCATGAAGCAGTCCGAATGGTTTGCAAATGACAGGGTACCATTGGCGGGCATCACGCGAAAGGGTGTCGTCGAGTTGCGCAGTATGAAAGGATGCAATAATGCCGGGCCCACCCTCCGATCAGATCCTGTGGACGATGAACATCAATCTGGTCCCCTTCCCTGATGTTACGGTGTAAATGGTCAATTGGCCGTGTTACTGTGCTACGCTCACGCACCCGTCATATTCTTGCCGCAAAAATGGCAGTGAAATGAGGACCCTGCAAAACGCGCATGAAACACGCTGATTGGATATGAAGAAAGGACGGGAAGCGCGGTCGGCACGATGCCCTTCTAATGAAAGCTTGTCATCTGTGGAAACAATTAAACAGTTGAACAGATTATTTATCGTTGCTTTTCACCTTTGTGGTCCTTGGAGTTTGGAGCCCTGACTTCCGTAACCACCAGAGCCTTCCTCATCTGGAAGCTTTCCAGCCGCTCCCTCTCACCCTCAATCTTCCTTCAATCCATCCAGCAAATCCTGCCCACACTCCTCCATCGCCTGCACCCATCTTAGCCTGACAATAGTTTAAGATTGCCATATATCTATCGTGTTTCCACCTCTCGTGGTCGTTGCTAGTGCCACAAATTGCGCTTCTCACTTTCTCGAGATCGATGGGACATAGATACAATGGCTGACGTAGATCTTCGGCCACGGAAGCCGTCCCTTGCATAGCACATGCATAGTAAACACAGTGATCGAGCCCGAGGCAATGGCCCAGTTCATGCGATGCCGTCCGGCAGATGCTTGCGAGCCAGCTCGACACGCTCTCTGCATTGGCCGTGTAAGCATGGATGGCAGCGTGGCAGGCTGACTTGGTCTCCTGAACGACTGTTGCCGGTGAAGTGGGTGGCGATGACGTTAAGTCGATCACTTCCGGCTTCGTTTTCTTCTTCCCTTTGTGGTCCCCTTTCCGTGAGTATTTCGTCTGGCCCTCCCATCGCTGACCACTCTTCGCAAGACTTTCTACGTAAGCCATGCAGTGGCTTGCTGGCCAAGGGTGCATCACATCCAATCTCGTAATTTGGCTTTCTAATAACGTTGGGTTGTATCTTGCATAACTGACCACGGCACACCTGGAACCGCCGTAAGCACGTCCACAGCAGAAATCATCATCCTCATCCTCGTATAAATCCTGTCCGACTAAGAGCAAAAGACAGTACGCATCAAGGGGCAGGATGGAAATTACTACGTCCAGAAGATCGTTGAGATTGAGTTGATAAGGAAAGCCTCCATCAGGGCATGGGCGACATCGAATCCGAACAGCTTCCGTGCTTGTCTCCAAAGCGACAGCTTTGTGTTTCGGCGCGCTTCTCTGGCCATGATGACTTTCCAGAGAATCCTCCCAAACTGTGTAGCGCAACGGCGATTGGTGTGGCTGTAGCATTTTGACGGGCATGCCGTGATAAAACACTGACAGATACTCTGCGACTTCTCGTGTGTCCGGTACTGTGTGAAGTTCACTCTGGTTTCCAGTCTTAACGCCGGTAGGAACATCCCAACTCCGCATGTGCCTCATCTCATCCGAAATCGCGGGCGGACCTGCAACGTAAATTGTTTTGCGCCCTGGCGTTACCGCATTCCTGTCTTTCTCGCCTTTCCAGGACCGTAGACTTTGTGCTCGCCAACGAGGATCAACGGCAAGATCATCTCCAGGAACGACAAGTGGGCCCGGGAACGAAGTTTCGTCAATGAATTGACCTTTACGGAGGCCTGCCGCGGTGGCTCGTTGCTGTTTTTGTGGACGGTGGAAGCCTACTGTTTCTGCATGGTTAGACGGTTCGAACGAAATCCTTGCGTGCTTGCAGTCGTCAAGTGGTGGCAGTCGAGACATGTTTGCCCATAGTTCAAACAAATAAGCAGGGCGGACAATGATCAGAGCATTTTCTGTGAGAATTCAATATCACGGGGCAACGTTCGTAAATGTGTTGACAACTATGAAGACATGAGTCACTTAAGCAACCCGGCATATCGTGTAGATAGCTCGACGGAAGCTAGCGATACCCATACCCATCCAACGTACACGTAAACAGACGAAATCGTCTGTAGTGATCGTATATCGTCTTGGCTGCCTATCCATCGCCTAGCAGTTCTCAGGCTCCACATCAAAAGACCCAAGCGTAGTGCGGAGGGGTCATCGATGGAAGGCAGCAGAGAATCCCGCAAACTGGGTGGCTCTCGGCCAAGACATGACGTCGACTGGTAGCATAGGGCTGAGAATCCTGGTCCCATTTTGCGCCTTGGTGGTGGCTTGAGCAATGACAAAGTCAGGGCATCCTGGCTTCCAGCCTCCCAGCCTTCATCATCAGGCGTCTGCTCCTGGACCACCACTGGAACCAGGAGGGTAGAGTGTTGATCCGCTGTCATGTCGCGTGCTAAACAAGTCAACTAGCTTAGGTCGGTTGTCTGCGCTGCAGCTGACCAGCGGAGATTCGATATGGCTACCCGATCTTAGAGAATTCGCCCCTTGGTCTATTAATCGAGAGTCTTTGACCGCCACGGAAGTGTTGTCCCCAGAAGTCATCTACCACGTGGCTTTTGAAAGTCTAAAAAGCTTCTAGAACTAGACATGGCACGTGAATGTTACACAATGCACCTTGTTCCCACTCTTTTCTCTCCATTTTCCCTATATCACATCCCTGCGTCCTGTGGTCCCCCAACTTCACTACGTCCTCATTGCAGACCGCTCGTTGACCCCCAAGAAACGTCTTGATTATGTGTCTTCCGATATTCCACTGTCGTACATGAACCCCCGTTAAATATGGCACCATACACTTCTTAGACGCAGTAATCTTGAGCAGTAATGGCAGGGCGCATACCTGAAGGTCTAATAGAAACCAAAGAAGGCGTGGCAGGTGATATCAGCAATAATGAGCGTGTCAACTTCCAGGATATCAAAATATTGTGGACAACTTTTGCCACCAATCGTCAATATTCGAGGGACAAGCTAGTGGGAAAACGACTAGAAAACCTTTTCTGGCGGATCATGTCCAGCGAACGTCTTCTGCGAAATTTGAGCGGTGAGCAGATTGCCACACAATTCAACGCTATCCACGAGGACGGCGAGATCAGAACCACACCACAAAACTCGCCTAGATCTTCGCGGAATCTGGAATCTAATGCTGGGTCAGGGCCATCGAAAGAGCCTGTACCACGGTCAAAGACCCAAATTTCACTGCTTGGCCACGGTCTAAGTCCCCAAGTAACGAACACCAGTTCGGTGCCGTTAGGTGTTGAATCACAAGACATATTTGTGGGTCCAACTACTGAATTCGAAGATGACGGAGATGCACCAACTCCGACGCCTTCGAGCCCTTTGGCAAAACTAGAGAATCCTCGCTTGAGGACACATAACGGCAGACGAAGTTCACGAATTTCGAAACCCACACCTATATTAAAGAAATCCAGCTCTGGTAATTCGGATGACCTCGCTTATGAAGCTCAAAGATCTAGATCTCCCAATGATAGAGGGCACTCAAATTCAGGGAGGGGCATGCCAGTACCGCAGTCCACCCGATTCAGTGAAGAGGTGACCGTTTCTATCCCAAAGATTTCAGTCTCGCTGCCTAGGGCCAAACCAAGACGAAACACCAATGAAGCCGCGCAATTGACAAAGAAGTCAGGACCACCTTTCATTGCAAGTACTGGTGCAAGTAAGCGAAAGCCTTTGACGGTAAGACAGAGATCCTCGCAATGGGCTCATTCAAAAACTTCAATAAGCCCTCCTTCGTCCAGGCCCGAATTGAAGGCGAGACTGGCAACAACACCTCCTATCCAGGAGATTGCCACAGAAGGAGGCCAACGGTCACTGACAACGTCACATCAAGACTGGGGAGGCGAGTCATCGAGTGAAGACGAAGATTCAGCAGAAATGGACAAAGGATCTCGAGCGCTGAGCGAACGAAACCATCAATCAAGATCGTCGAAGCAGCCGTCTATTCAACAAAGGTCTTTCACCAATCTCTCTTCGCTTGGGGGTAAGGCTGCTGCATCTGCAACATCCGCTCCTTACCATGCCTCCGGTGTGTTGAACTTCGGACATCCGTTGTCGGCTGGGAAGGAGGCGTTTCGGCATGAGACTGTGGCCCTTAAAAAGGCTCGGACTCTAACGGAGAGGTCCATTTACCAAGAACAAAGAGTCAGCTTTCTTTGATACTAGGGAGAAAAAAGCACAATGTAAATGTATCGACGCAGGGTACGAAGCCAGGCACAAAGCAGTGATAGTACTGTAAAAGTATCAGGAATTTCAAGCCAATGAGGCTGTCATAATCTGTATTTCTAGGGATTGCACTACATGAGACATATGGCATAGCGAGGATATTGGCATGGGCAGAGGTGAAGCATCATCTCAGATAGAGGTGAAAGGTCTTGCTTGCAGGCACTTTCCATCGGAAGTACAAGAATGATAATAAAAATAATAATAATAATAATAATGACGATTATTAAATCCCAGCGGTTATTTTGGGGACTTTGCCGCAGCATGTAAAACGACGGTCCAACGAGCTGCGGCTATGCAATGGAAGTCGTTGGACGAGGGGGAGTCTTTGATGGTGAGACAGCCAAGCCTCTCTCTGCCTTCCGCCCCCTCTCTCACCACTTCTTTGACAACCTGTTCCTATCCTTCACCACCCATCCATCAAACCCTACAGTATGTATCTACTCACTGCCCTATCACTAGGGACGCTGGCTCTCAGCGCGCATGGCTTTCTCATTCCTGGAGATATCGAAAGTCTAGACACCAAGGCAACAAATCCCTCCATTACAGCCGAAAAAGATGTGTTGGTATCAGTTGATTGTACATCGTGTCCCTACGCCCTGAACAGCGAGAGAAACGGTGGTCACGAATGGACAAATGATATTGCGAGTGATTTGGAATTCAAGATCGACTCGGACGGGAACACTCTTCGATTGAATGGAGTTCCTTTCTACCCGATCCAGACACCAGGCCTCCCGCCACAGCTTCACGTCTCACAGAAGAAGAAGGAAGGTGAAGAGCTGACAATGGAGGGATTCCAAGGCAATCTGAGGATGAGTTACAGTCTGGAGTACGAAGAGAAGAGGGCGGACGATGGCAATAGCCTCCTCACCGTTGTCATGACGATCATGGCACTAGATGGCCAAATGGTCCGCATCGACGACGTGGTGATCAAGACTATAAAGGATCAAGATGGCAAGGTATGGACTCTCGCCCATCCTCATCATGCGACGGCCACTGACATCAAATTCAAGCTTCTACTCCATTCGGCCAACACCCAACCCACTACGGCATCCGACGCCAAGTGTGAGAATATCCTTTGCAGGGTGTTCTCGAAGATCATCACCAGCATCCAGAAAGCCAAGGAAGCCACAAAGACGAAGGTGAAGAGCACCTGCAACAAAGTCAAATGTATTTGCCAGAAATGTTGGCAAGCTGTTACCGGGAAGTTCAAGCATATCCATCCAGCGGCACCCAAAACTCCAGAGGAGCCTGCTCAGATCGACGAAGATATGGACAAACTCCCCACTCATCACAGATTCCGCCCTGGCATGTTCGGTGGCCGTCCCCCGCACCGTCATCACCGCCACCATCCAGGCTTCTTGCGCCATATGGGCCATGTCATGTGGAACACCATGAAGATGGCATTCATGCCCGTATTAATCGGTATTGCTTTTGGCATGGCAGCTTCCGCTATCGGTATGCTTGTTGGTCAACTCGTCGTCTTCTTGTGGATGAAATACAGGAAGAATGAGCAGGTTGTCTATGTTCCCGTGGACACCGATGTCAAAGATTCACTGCCTGCCTATCAGGATGTCCCCACTTTGGAGATTACGGTCGAGAAGGAGGGTGAGGATCAAGCTTAGTTGTAGATAACGGGGAGGAAGAATGACGGAATGCTGCGGCGGAAGGGATCGTGCACAGAAGCATCAACGGTGTTAGCGGCTTGGACATGGCATGGGATTGAAAATTTAGGTACCTGCTATGGGCGCCTAGGTACGGTGAGGCTTTGAGGCAAGCGTGTCACTCTTTTGAATGTGTAACGAATAGATGGTTGTCCCTGCGAAGTGTACGCATATTCCCGCTGAAGTCCTTGCAAGTTTGTATTATCCATGCGTTCGTCCTCAATGCTGTCATCATCAAGTGCTGAATTGTTATACTTTGATGAAAGCCGACACCGTTTCTTCGACTTGTCTTTACATGGAAACTTAAAATTCAGCGGGGACGCTTCAAAATATTATTCCTGGATCTTTTCGAATATCTTGGCTTCTCGAACATTAATTGATCAGATATGACTGAAGTCATAGGATCTCGATAATAAACTCTGTTTTCATTACATGTCTATTCATCCTTAACCACAAAGGTTCCCATAATTGATTCCCAGTTTCCCACTCTGCACACTCATCTTCAATCTCAACATTTTGCCAGGCAATGCCACCTTCAGATACAGGCAAATTATGGGGCGGTCGTTTCAGCGGATCAGTCGATCCACTCATGGTCGAGTACAATCAATCGATTTACTACGATCGCATCTTTTACAAGCAAGACATTGCAGGCTCGATTGCGTGGGCAAGAGCAAACAAGAACGTGGGCATTCTATCGGATGATGAGTACAAAAGGATCGTTGAAGGCTTGAAGGAGGTAGAAAAAGAATGGGAAGATAATACATTTGAGATCAAACCGGGCATTGACGAGGTTTGAAGCTTCCCTTGCCATTGCCTGGTTGGTACTGAGATGGAGAAGGATATTCACACAGCCAATGAGAGAAGATTGTCTGAGAAAATTGGAAAGCAAATTGGTGGCAAGCTACATACGGGGTTGGTTCGTCGGTCTAGTGACGATTTGATATTTGCCGTTAACGGTCGGGGAATAGTCGATCAAGGAATGATCAAGTCGCTACTGATATGAGGTAATGCACTCAGGCAAGTGTTCGTCAATTGAAAGACTCAAGGTCCGCAGACTATGGCTCGTTGCAGAACTCCGCAAGATCAAGACATGGCTTGAAGACCTCATCAAGGCCATGGCTCAGAGGGCAGAGCGAGATATCGAAGCTATTTTGCCAGGCAAGCATCAATTTGCTCCTTACATTTCAGATACTAAAAACTCATGTGTATGTGTTTAGGCTACACTCATCTTCAGAACGCTCAGCCCGTCCGCTGGTCACACTGGCTGTGCTCTTACGCCCTCGCCTTCGCTTCCGACCTCGAACGCCTCCTTGAAGTCACCAAACGTGTCAACAAGTCTCCGCTAGGATGTGGAGCTTTAGCTGGCAACCCTTTCGGTGTTGACAGAGACGCGATAGCGAAGGAGCTAGGCTTTGAAGGCCTATTGATGAATTCGCTGGGAGCGGTAGCGGATCGTAAATTCGCTTTGGAGACAATGCAGTGGGCTGCGGAACTGATGACCGACATTTCGAGAATAAGTGAAGACTTGATACTGTACGGGAGTGCGCAATATGGGTTTGTTAGGTTGGCGGACGCGTACAGCACGGGAAGTTCCCTCATGCCTCAGAAGGTGAGTTAGCACATTTATTTGCATATGTACGAGTTATGTTAACATTTAGGCAAATCAGAAAAATTCCGACTCCCTCGAACTTCTTCGAGGCAAATCGGGTCGTGTAATCGGGCAGATGGTTGGCTTGAATTGCACAATCAAAGGCCTCCCCAGTACCTATAACAAAGATCTTCAAGAGTCTGTCGAGCCGCTGATTGACTGCGTAAAGACTGTCTCCGACTCTGTTCGCATTCTTAATGGAGTCATCTCAACTCTTGATATCTTCCCTAACAAGATGCTCGCCGCACTAGAGCCAGGAATGCTAGCCACCGATCTCGCGGACTATCTGGTCAAAAAGGGAGTGCCGTTCAGGGAGGCACATCATGTCAGTGGGCAGGTTGTATCGCTGACAGAGAGTAAGGGGATAGCGATGGATCAGCTGAGTCATAAAGATTTGCAGGGAGTTGATCGTAGATTAGGTTCGGATTTCGTCTTTGATTATGAGAGCAGTGTGGAGATGCGGACGTCGAAAGGGGGTACGAGTAAGTCAAGTGTGAGGGAACAGATAGAGCTGCTGAAAACTTTGGTTTCTGAGAGCTGATAGTACATATGAGATGACAAACATAATATAATAATCTGTGACGTTGAATGAACGCTGTCACATTTTCGCTCGGTCATTCTTCACTGCTTGAATCCTGAAGTTCCATCTCGGATGGTATATTCTAACGCCCAGCGAATTCTCCAACACACACTCGTACTCATTCAATCTCACGAGGTTTCCACGATCCCTGGATTTGAACCCAGTGTCAATGGGCCAGCTCTCCACTTGCGCACCATGTTTCAAGTGGGTGGGGTCACCGTCATCTACCAAATCGCCTTCGCGATCGATCGGTGATACAGATGCAGAATTTGTGACCTTCGCGGCCTCCTCACCACTCAACCTCACAGGTTTGTCCATTTTCGCTTTAGCAGTCGCCACAGCCTCACTAAAACGCTTCACCCATGTGTACACCTTTGGATATATGTCTGGCGAGAATTTGTCTTTTGGCAACGCCCTTTTCAGATCGATCATCCAATGGAAAGGCCATATGGCCTCGATGTCGGCCAATGAAGGCCCCTTAGTGTTAAGGATCCATTCCCTGCCATCGGCCAAAAGCCCCTTCTCCAAAAAATCAAACCCCTGCTGAATGTGGACAATTGCCTCCGGTCTGAGCGCCTTGACTTGTTCCTCGCTCCAACTACGACCAGTGTAATTCTCTCTATCTTTCTGGAACTTTGGGTCCTTGAGCAACGGGAGTTCCGGCGGGATCATTTGCGCAGCCCGCATGAAGATGCCACCGTCAATGGTCCAAGTTGCGAGCAGCTGCCTAACAGCTTCTTGTTCTGGGTCGATGCTCTCTAAGTGTGAATTGGGGAAAGCTGACTCGAGTTTCTCCAAAATAAGGCGCGAGTCACAGTAGATTGACCGACCGTGGGCGAGGATGGGGATACGCCTGTATGCAACCCCCAAGCGCTCGAGATCGGGACGGGGAAGGATGGCCGGTTGGAGGCATTCCGCATATGGGATCCCGCGGAGAGTAAGATACCATGTTACCTGTAGAAAAAATTAGCGAATTGCAGAGGCGCATGTTGTTGGTGGTGGTTTACCCTGCGGGCAAAAGGAGAAAATTGGTAATGGTAGAGGATAATATCGTTAGGGGCGGACATGTTCGTGGTGTTTGTGTGGTACGTTGACAAAAACAATGGCGATTGAGAGCCACGCTGGTTGATGGTACTTTTAAGATGCGAGACATTGCGTCAAAGATCGACAGCCGAGGCCCGTGAATAACAACTCCTCTAAGACAAAGTCTATTCCACATATCATAAAGTCTTGGGCGAAGGTTTCTCATTTGATGAATAAAGTGATATCATTGCTGTTTCTCGTCCCTGCCTCTCTTGCCGTAGTATTCATTCCTGGCAATCATTAGTGAGATCATGAATTGCCCACCCCAAACTTCTGGCTCACATCTTCATTCCCCTGTCAGCTTCTGTCCCGTTGCCTTCTATCCGGTCCAAAGATTCTTCAATCAAGCCAATGTGGCCCCTGAGAGTACCCTCAAGTTCGTCCATGCGCGCTTCGTGTTCTTCCAAGTTATAGATGTGATGAGACCGAAGTAGGTATGTTGAGCCGGCTATCGCGGAAAGATTGACGCCAAGGAGCAGAAAAGGATTACGGAGAAAGGACATCTTGATCGATTTGTTCGTTCAATGGAAAGGAGGAGAGTCTGTTGGTATTTCATGCAGAAGCAGGAGATCGTGATGATGACATGGATCTGGATGTGGCGCGTTAAGGTACCTTAGTAAGCTTAGTTTCCCAAGATTGGGGGCGCGTCGGCCCGTTTGGAGCCCGGGAGATGCATGAAGGGCAAGCCCAGAAGGAGCGATATGGTATCACTTGTCCTCTATGATCATTGCGCACAGTGAAGACTATGTATCGTTCCTGCACGGCACCACGAAGGACTTTCACAGCTTTCCTGCAGTTGGCTGAGCTCTTATCTTCTCGAGCGCTGGTAAATAGACGCACGCTAGCATACGAGTAGGGACGCGACGCGCTTCAAGGCGGATATTTCGAACGATCGAAAGTCTTAGGAAGTCGTGGCAGGCTCGCGAATGACCCTCTGCATTGCATGATACAGTGCAATGTAAGTAGGTCGCTATGGTCTGGATGGGACTGTTGCTGGCTTTCTCGACTTCTATAACATGAGTTCTCCGTTGTTCCAATCCTCTCAGCTGTCGCAGCTCTCACCCAATAAGAGAAGTCGGCGCAAGTCAAAATACACTTACAAGCATCTAACGCTGCTGAGTCAATCATCGACTGCGTGCCCACTGAGAGCTATAGCCCATATAGACCTAGATGCATTCTACGCACAATGCGAGGGTGTTCGATTGGGCATTGCAGAAGACCAGCCGCTCGCTGTTCAGGTCCGCATCTCCATTCATGATAATTACGCTCTCCTGATATTCCTAATAGCAATGGCAAGGGCTCATTGCTATAAATTATCCAGCTCGAAGTTACGGTCTAACGAGATTCTTGCCTCTAAACGAAGCGAAGAAGCTTTGCCCAAATCTGATTTGCCAGCACGTCGCTACGTGGAAGGAGGGTGAGGAGAAGTGGGCGTATCGCGATGACGCGGCCGCACACATAGGAAATCAAAAGGTCTCTTTGGATCCTTACAGGCTTGAGTCTCGCAGAATATTTGCTTGCATTCGAGACGCTCTGCCACCGGTGCCGAAGCAGAGAGTTGAAAAGGCAAGCGTCGATGAAGTCTTTCTAGATTTGTCTGCGCAAATCCATGTCATCTTACTTGAGCGATACCCTGAGCTTGCGGGCCCACCGCCCTACGATGACCCCACAGAAAAGCTACCACGTCCTCCGACGACCACCCTCGACTGGGACACTGATGCTCTTGTGGATCTTGATGCGTCGGAAACAGAGGATGATGATCCGGACTGGGATGATATTGTCATGCTCATAGGGTCTGAGATCATTCGCCGGGTGCGAGCAGCGATCCTTGAACATGTGAAATATACTTGCTCTGCTGGAATAGCGCGCAATAAGATGATTGCAAAGCTGGGTTCTGGTCACAAAAAGCCCAACCAGCAGACCATCGTTCGTAATCGGGCTGTCCAGCATTTTCTTAGTCAATTTAAGTTCACCAAAATCCGCAACTTGGGTGGCAAGCTCGGAGAGGAAGTCGTTGCCAAATTCAACACAGATCAAGTGACTGATCTACTCCGCACTTCTCTCGAGCAAATGAAATCTAAATTAGGAGACGATACCGGCTCATGGGTATACTACATCATTCGAGGCGAAGATACAAGCGAAGTCAACCCTCGGACTCAGATCAAGTCTATGCTTTCTGCAAAATCGTTTCGTCCTACAATCAATAGCACCGATCAAGCTCACCGCTGGCTCCGAATCTTTGTGGCTGATATCTACGCAAGGCTGGTTGAAGAGGGCGTGCTGGACAATAAGCGAAGACCTAAGATCATCAACTTACACCACAGACAAGGTGGTCAGCAGAGGTCACGCCAAGCTGCAATACCGACCGGTAGGCCTATTGATGAATCTTTACTTTTTGACTTATCGAAGAATATCTTGGCGCAAATCATCGTTGATGGGAGAGCCTGGCCATGCAGTAATCTCTCGCTTAGTGTGGGTGGCTTTGAAGAAGGACCGATGGGGAATAAGGGCATCGGCGGCTTTCTCATTCGTGGAGATGAAGCAAAAGCCATGACAGCAATATCCCGTGACGTGCGTGACACGACGCCCACAGGCGCAGATCATCCAGCAAAACGTCGCAAGACAGAGACTCAATCACTGCCGGCTTTCTTTGCACGGCAAGACACAGAGCATAGAGATACAGAGGAAGACGCAGACGAATTAGAGCATTCTCTGGAGTCCAGTAGCAGACCACACTCATGCGAGCGAACATCGAATGGGTCCCTAGATGACGCTGTCCGGAGCACCGACGCAAGAGCTGATGACGCAGGCGGTACTGATCGGGCTTTTCAAGTCAGCACATCTACGGAGCAGCAAACGAAGTCACAACGATCCCTCCATCAAACTTCGATTGAGGCTTACATCTGTAGTCGCTGTCAGGCGTCCATACCCGTCAATGAGGAGAATGAGCACCAAGACTGGCATTTTGCCCGAGACTTGCAAGAGCAGGACTCTGTGCCAACCCAAAATCCAGCTCTTCCGAAGTCAGGGTCTGGACACTCTCCCGCTCTCAATCTGCTACATAACAAAGTGGAAAAGGGTCAACGTCGCCTCGCATTCGGAAAGTGAACATTGTCGTCGTACCCTAGCGAGGCAGCCACCTTTTGACACCCAGTAAAGATTTATCTACGTCGAACGCATGTCCAGAAAGTTTATATCAGTGCAAGGGATGGACGACCCTTCGCACTTTTGCTTCAAAACCTGCTGCCTTAGGCTTGTGTAGTTTAGGCAAAAGGCAGGACTATACCACCATGGGTTCCAGGTCTCGACATCTTTCGCATCAAGCTCGCTCGCAACCTTGTCGAGACGTATTGTTTGGAGAGAAGTCATGAATTCAAGCACTCGAAACTATTCGTCGATGTCCCGAAGGTTCGAATGTTTCGAGGGCGCGAAAGCTTGTGCCCGGCAGAGACTTTCAGACTCTCATGGCTAAAGGGAGTCGATTGATAGGGAAGCTCGGCCCATCGAGTCGAGTACGTTTCTAGTAGCAAGCAGGAGGCTCGCAAGTCTGATCCCTGCGGAGGAAATCAGAATCACGCATCCAATGACAAATGGATCACCAGACACAACGACATAAATCACCAAGGCGGTTTCAACGTCCGATCAACGGAGATGAAGTTGCCTCTGTAGGAATCTGTCGATGGTTCAGACCTTCTGTGAGTGGGATTCTGAATCCGGCCTTAGCGGGTACTCAGGCCACCATGCCCTAAATTGGCCAAGCAGGTCTACCTTTTCGGGCACTTGTAGCATTCGTGGTCCCTTTGCATGTCTGCTTCCTTCTTACCACCGTAGGTTACGTCGCACAAGCTAGGTATTCCAATTCATATAAGCTACTCGTCTTCAGTACGAATCATTCTGGTCATTATTTGTCGTCTCAAACATCGAGCAGGCCCACGCTCAAAGAGTCTTGCTCCTCTGACAGTATCTCATGAGACCAATCCATTGAAGAGGTGATGATGTAGGCGTCCCTTCACAGTCACCATGCGAGGAGACATCGTTGAAGCATCTGGAAGGCTAAGTAGCTATGTCCTTGGGTTACTCATTTTTGGCCTGTGCTTCCTTGTTCACATTCACACCAAGCACAAAAGAGAGTATCAGGTATGCAGCGTGTTTGTAGAATTTCACCAGTCTGTCTCATTGGTTCCAGGTCGAGACAATGTTTGGGGAGCAACATGGGTGCCAGCCCGTCAAATCAAGGTTTCCACATAAATGGCCGTTTGGAATTGATGTTCTCTACGTCCAGTACAAGGCGAATGCTGAGCAGAGGCTTCTGGCTTTTCAGAGGCCGTTCCTCGAGGCTATGGGGCCTAGCCACGAGTTGAAGGTTCTTGGCGCGCTTGGGTATACTTCTTTTGAGCCCAGGAACGTCGAAACCATACTTTCGACACGGTTTGAAGGTGTGCTTCTGGCAGCAATGGTGACCGTTTCGCAGGAACTTCGTTGACTCCTTCAGATTATGACCTAGGCACGAGGCGTGATGCCCTGTTTCCCTTTGTAGGGGAGGGTATTTTCACCCAAGATGGAGCGGCTTGGAAGCACTCTCGAGAGCTTTTACGACGTCCATTCCAAAAAACTCATTATCAGGATCTCAAGGGATTCTCCCAGCCGTTAGAGGATCTTACCGCCGACATTGCCACTCCTGGAGGTGTGGTTGACTTGCAACCATTATTCTTTCGCTTCACCCTGGCCACTACTACGGCACTCATCTTTGGTCAGCCCGTCACAACTGATATCAACGTGAGAAAGTCGTTTGCTAGTAATTTTGATTATGCATCATTGATCAGCGCACTACGGACACGTTTAGTAGACTTTTACTGGGTATATAACCCTTCCGAATACAAAGCCGCATGCAAACATGTCAAAGCATACGCGGATAGCTTTATAGAGCGGGCTCTTGGAGAAAGTAATCGCAAAAGTGAAGCAATTGAGGACCGGTATGGGTTCGTTGAAGACCTATACGAAAATTTGGAGGACAAGGTACTGGTTCGTAATCAGCTAGTCAACGTTTTACTTGCTGGAAGGGACACTACTGCATGCCTTCTTTCTTGGACGCTGTAAGTATGTCTGCTTTCAATGTCAACCTTCTACACAGCCTGGTGTCTCACCAATATTGACCAGTAACGTTTAATAGTTTCCTTCTTGTTCGCCATCGCTCAGTTCTGAAAAGCCTACAGGCCGAAATTCAAACTGTCATGAAGAACAAACAGGAACTTACCCGACAATTGATACAGAAAATGCCATACCTCCGGTGCATTTTGAACGAAAGTATGACATCCTGAAAAAATTGGGACCCAAACTTGCGCATGCTGACGATACTCAGCCCTCCGGCTTTATCCACCCATTCCTATCAACGTTCGCTTTGCCAGGAGAGCAACTATTCTACCGTGCGGCGGTGGTCCAGATGGTCAATCTCCATTCCTCGTCCGCCGTGGACAAGGCGTGGGAATACCCTCTTACTACCTGCACCGCCGGAAGGACCTTTACGGTGAAGACGCCGAGCAATTCAGGCCCGAGAGGTGGGAAGGTACAGAACTTGCAGACATTGGGTACGGGTATCTACCATTTCATGGAGGGCATCGGCTATGTCTAGGCAGTAAGCGTAGTCTTCAAATTCGAGAACGAATCTTTTGCTGACAGAAATCAGAGGATTTTGCACTAACGGAGGCCTCCTGTGCGATTGTTCGCATTCTTCAGGAGTTTCCAAACATCAGGATACCACCAGAAGCTCTTGTCTTACCGACTGGAGATGAAAAACAGGAACTTACAGTCTTTCTCAGACCGGCTGAAGGTTGCAAAGTCTTGGTCTAGTAAAGGTGTCAATCGACAAGCAAGATGTCTGATATATGTGCAAACAATTACTTTGTAAAATATTTGAAAGTTGTGACAAGCTCGAGAACAAGGGAGAACTTGTATTGATGGTCCATTGACATGGCGTCTAAAGACTTGTGAGGCTATTGTATTGAAGTTTGGGTGCCTCTCGGACCACGATTGTCTCATATGTCTAGAAATTGAGATCAGTGCAAGCTCAGAGAAGTCTAATCAGCCCTTTAATTCCTGAGGAATAAGCCAGTGTACATATTGCCAAACGACTTTGCTGCCTCATTCATCTGTCTGCTTAAGAACCTGAGCTGATGCACTAGCATCGCCTTAAAGAGAGAATCGTTTGGGGATACGGTCGACTCGTCTTTGTAGCAAAGACCTTCACTGTGCATGATACATCCCATGATCTTGCTGATCTCTCTTGCCACTCTTCTCTTTACATTCGTTGATAGATTGCAACCTTGAAGTTGCTTAAAAGTCAAGAAACATAAAAACTTTTGCACGCATGCTTACAAGATCCTATGGGTTTACTTCCTGTATTCGATGGAATGGAGATCACAGGATGTCTCCTGCGATGCTGCAGCACGGTGACTACAATGATGACAGAGGAGCAAAAAGAAGCAGTGGTCGACGGAGGTCAGCTTTCGCTCTCTCCCACCGCTCGAAAATGGTGACTCGCAACGAACTTATCTTGAGGTGGCCAAATCTCATTACCACTACGTTACATCATACTAGATACTTGGCTCTCCCAAAGCCACTGCCTGAACAGCGAACTACGCACTCGGCGCAGCGAGCAAAGCAAAACAAAGAGGGTATCCTATGCCAACTGCAATAACCGACTGCCACACATAGGGAATATCCTTGTCGATTGTCGTCATCCGTAAGCAAAGACTTTCCGGAGATTGGGGAATTAGGTGCAAATTGTATCTTCCATGTTGAGCCTGATCCCCAGACCATGAAGGCCAAGGGGCAGGAAACAACAAGTAAGCTCTCGTTGAAGATGGCATCATCGATCAATCATTAAAGCGAATAAGAGCCGAGTCCAGTCGTATCCAGTGAAGGAAGACAGTGGGGCTCGACAAACGGGTTGGCCGACCTCAGGTTTGGTAAGAATTGGATTTAAGGAGTGGTGTCTCAATCTGATCAATAACGCCGTTCCATGTGCAGTGGGGTCATTTGATGTGCTGGCAATCTGATTGAGGGGGCTGAGTCCGTTCCGCAGTCCAATTTACGCATGCGTGTTCTCCTAGACGAACGATCTTAGGTCCATGCGAATCGAAGGCGAGCGACTTAGATGGTTTTGGGGGATGCCTTGTTAGTCACCTCCACAATGTCATCTATGTGCCTGCACATCGATACGAATAGATCGAAAAACCTGCAAAACGGGTGAGCACAAACTTCATCAAAGATTTGAAAAAGGAGACCTACAATTTACTTCCACCAATCTCCATCTCCCTCTCCATTCTCCCACTCCTCTTGAAAAGCTTGCGACATCTGATGATGAGCGCTAAGTAATGAGCGCGGAGTTGCGAGTCTGTGTCTGGCGTGTTGTCATATGCGTACCGAGCTGACCGCAAGATCACTTCGACGTGGATGCCGGATTGAAGGCCTTGTTTCCGAAGAGCAAGACGCTTCAACTCGTCCAAGCCAAATTTCTCAGCAGTACAATAGACGACGGTGTCCCGTAGGACCTCTCCGCCCACGCCAGAATGTTGTATTGTAGACTTCACACCTCCTGCTGGCTTGCCATTATTTGCGCCATCGAGCTCCCAAGAGTTCCGACGCTTGTTGAACAACAAACGTGGTGCATAGTCACCCTTGTAGAGATACTCGAGGACGCAAGAGAATATCTCGGGTTCCTCGTCAGGCAGAACAACCCTCTTCGCATCGGATTCGAAGAACTGGCCCCGAAGAGCCGCGGCGAAGAAAGGGCTTCGAGTTAATTGGTCCTCATGAGCGGCGAAAAGACGCCCCTCACGACCTACAACCAAAGTGATGATAGGGCTGGTCAGGGGACTAGGCGGCGACACCAATTAGTGGTTTGAAGTCATACGTGCGTTGCTGCTCAGGCATGTCGCCTCACCTCCCAACCTGCGGACTATCCAACTTTTGCTGAAGCTTCTTCTTCTGATGCTCGCTGTACGATTTCTTGGTCTTGATTGGCTTGACCGACTTGCCCGCACGATCCCGAGATGAGAAGGAGCGAAACATGCTTGCCAAGTCAAGAGGTATTGTTGTCGGTGACGGTACGGCGAGCACTTCACGCAAAGAAGCAACCGACGAGGGGACAACCGAGGATGCGATATCCAAATGAGCGTGACAGTGGGATATTAGGCGTACAAGGAATGACGCTTCATGCAATTGGCATGTGAGACCTTCGGAAGTCGAGCTCAGAACTCTCCCCTCGAGCGATGCACCACCGAAATGGTACTTCGGCACGAAGATCGACGAGATCCTGAGACGACTCTACGCACGAGGAATCTGCAAGAGCAGACCAACGTGGTGCTGTGATCGACCGGCTCTGAGCGTGAAGGAAGGAAGATGCAGTTATCAATAGCAACGCTTCTATAGCGGCGTTTCGGCGCTAGCGTTGGCCAATCATTTGAGTTACTTCTTCTGCACGTAAGAGTCACATATTAGCGGCGATGAGAATGGCCGTCGTTGCCTGAGGCAACTGATAAATTATATTGACCAGGCTGCTACTTGATTATGACCTCCTCAAATACCACGATTTTAATGCACGCATATGATAATCCTGCGTCATGGTATCACTGCTGCTTCATTTGTCTCGCAGTGCGCCTCCATCTGGAGTATGCGCTCCTCCAAGCAACTTGCCTAGCGGTCTTCTCTAGACAACTCCAATGCGGCTTGTAGTTCTTCGTCCACCTCGCCTTGGTACTCTTCCTTCCTGGATTCCTCAAGCGCTTTCTTCATTATCTCATCCTCAACGGTCGCCTGTCCCTCCCTGCTACACATTCTCGTTCCATTAGCCTTCTCATCGTGGACACCACCGACCTCTTCCTCTTCCTTGATCGAGTGTCGCTGCTCCTGCTGACTTGAGACTCTTGTCATGATGTGTTCTTGACTTCCCTCGTCCGTACGAACCCCTGCCAAAAGTCCGAAAACAGGGTTGGCCAGATCGCTGTTTTGCATGACCTGCACCATTTCTTCTGTATGGTGACGAACCAAATCCCAGTAGTGGCTTGCAAAAAAGTCGATGAGGTATTGCCTCAGATCCGGTGTCGCTGACTGAAATGTTTTCTGAGCCAAGCGGAGGACTGCAACAGGAGGGAATGGATCTCCAGACATCGTCAGCGCCTTTATCTTGCCATACGTCAAGCTTTGGAGCCCTTCCATTTCCATCATCCTGGCTATGCTGTATATTTTACCGCATCGAAGTATCTCATCGCCACGCTCCTCAGAAGTGAATTCAAGCTCCAAGCGAGCGTAGTCGGTAAGGTATCCGAGAAGTTTCGGATGGTACTCATGGGTCTCAAGGTAGGCCGCAACAGGAAGGAATTCTTCGGGCTCCAGTTTTGATAAAAAGGGTGACATAACATACCAGCCCTCTTCGGGATCTCTGAGCATCAGTCGATGCAGGAATGGACTGCATTCAAGGTTCGAGCGTGTGATCTGGATCTTGGTGCGATCCTCTCCTACATAGATTGAAACTTTATCTTCCCTGAGTATGAATTCATTAGCCAGTTGAATTTTTAGGAACGATTCAATTCCTCACCTGCTGTTCATCAGTCGTTTCCCATCCTTATCCGACATATCGAGTGAGGCAAAATTGCTTCGCTCTCGCTCACACGACGCTTCACTCAAAATTGATGTCCCCTTATCAAACAATGTCTTAAGCTTTTTGCATGAGTATCTGCTGCCCAGTGAAGCGTCTTTCTCTGTCAACTTGCAGTCAGCGTCAAGCTCTCGTTTCACTCTAGGCCCTTCGTTACGTGTGAGGAAAACATTGTCCTCTTCGTCGTCCACTCCAGCCCTTCTAGGTTCGCTAGATTCGATGTTTTTCGTCAATGATCGCTTCACGGAAATCTTACTTGACATATGCTTGGCAAGCTTTTCCTTCCAGTGAAGCATGCCAGGGAGCCCTCCATTGCCTTCGAAACACTCCAGGGCCTCCTTCCAGGCTCTGGCCTGTAGCTTATTGATTGATTTCTTTTGCATATCACGTACCACCCGTGTCGAAAATACATCTAAGTGACGCCTAGCAACCCATACTCTAATTGAATCAGAGAATATCAAATGAATTCAAAGCTGAGACACTTACCCTTTGAGACTCGCGATCTGTAGGCACGCGTATTTTCCCTTGCTGACATACGCCTCGCCTAGTAAGGAAGGTGCTTTCCAGGTACTCTCTATTGGTTTAGATGTCTGCAGATGCCAATGCTTGTAGTTCTGAAACACAACTGATTCGTCGCATATAATGACTGGCCACTGACAATCACCCGTGTCGTGAACCCAAAGCTCTCCTGCTCTGACCGCCTTCTGGTCTTGCATAAAATAATCAACATCGGGCATGGAATCATCGTCCTCTGCAATGAGCCCTTCTAGATTCTTCTCTGCCTGAGACACGCCTGTAGCCATCGAGCTGCCTAATTTGGTGTCAGATGCGCGAAAACCCTTAGGAAAGCCAGAAAGTAGCTCTCGTGGACGCGTGATATTCCCAGTGTAGGTCGGTGACAAAGATCGGAGAGCTGCCATTCATTAACTTTCTGCAAGAAACCTTAGCTGGCATCTGTGAAAGTGGTTGGTAATTGAAAAGATAAACCTTTTTTGTCAGCTTGAGAAACGGGGTTTGGAAATGGTGGTGTGGCCCTCACAATCCGGGCTACACTTGTGAAGTTGTCGTTTTGCTGTGAATGCAATAGCCTGAACTGATGCAGCTTGAACTCATATCGTACTAGCAAATAACGCGAATACACGTGTTCTAGGTTTCACCAAAAGTGAAGAATGTCAATGAGTGATCAAGATGTTAGCTGCAAAGGCAGAGAATCCAAAGGCTGCAGACTGGAAAGCACGACACAAAGCTCATCACTGTCGCAATAAATTACTTGCGCTGAAGGGACTGAAGGCCGCTGATTGCTATTGCGGCACCGCGACATGTAATTCAGGGTAATTTGGGTTGACACTCTGTCTGTCGAGCGAGTTGACAAAAATAGACGAGGAACAAAGATTTACAACTTGATAGTCTTTGACTGGATTTCAGAGGTTGAGGTGAGAAATCACGCTTGCAATTTGAATGAGACGTCAGATGATATCGTTATTCATAAAAGTTTGCGACCCAGTCAAAGTAAGCAATTGCAGTAATACCGCGGCTTGAAAAGCAAAGAGAGCAACAGAGATTGAAGAGATCGCGGCGGCCAGGTCGTTCAAGTCCTCCACAAGCCTATGTTGTCGTCAGCTTGGAGTTTTTGATTCTACCGGCCTCAGTGAGGGTAGCCGCCGCTTGTGCCGTGCTTTGGAAGTAGCATCGTAGACTTTGGTAACAGATCTCTAGTCCTACGCGCTGAATGAGCATGCAATCGAGAGACCTAGCCGTCGTGCGTTCACGAGGGCAGCGTTGTTGTGAGCATGTAATTAGTATGACACGTCAACCATAACGTGGTCACACATGGAGGCGACGTCGCAGCTAGCCTAGCTCTTCAATATTGATCTGTACACAGGAACACGAATGCTTTATCTTGGGTGTATGATGTTTTATCAGTACGAAATTGGTCGGAGGATTCCTGACGAAAATTCCACCCGCAGGCGGAGGTACATTTTAGGGAGGCTTGGCACTGTGTCTAGGCGACGTGTCGGAAGCCTACGCTGCGCTTTGCTCTTCGCTAGGACCACTGTTGACCATCGTTCACATCTACACATCGGAGCTGAATGCCCTTGCAATGCCTCAAGAACAAATTTTCAGCATGCGGTATTGAGCTCGTAGCCAGGAGCTAAAGCTTGACAGTACCTGATTCTTCAACAGAGCTTCGCAAAACCCAAGCGCATAACCTCGTCCAACATGTTCTCTTCTTTGTCCAGTCTATCACCTCGTCAGCTCCTTGGTCAGGCTATGAACTTTGCGCTGGTACTATCAACGGCGTTCATGCTATGGAAAGGATTGTCGGTTGCTACCAATTCCCCGTCACCAATTGTAGTCGTGTTGTCAGGTAGCATGGAGCCTGCGTTCCAGAGAGGAGACTTGCTATTTCTATGGAACCGGGGCATGGAGACAAAAATTGGGGAGATTGTGGTGTACAATGTCAAAGACAAGGACATCCCAATAGTACACAGAGTCGTAAGGCGATACGGCGGAGGGTGAGTCAGCGTCCTGAAAACAAAGTCGAAGATCACCAGAGCTTACACAGATCTACAGTGACCAGCCATTGCAGCTTCTCACTAAGGGAGACAATAACATGGCTGACGATACGGAGCTCTACGCGAAAGGCCAAGACTATCTGACGAGATCAACAGACATAATTGGAAGTGTGGTGGGCTATGTGCCATTCGTTGGCTATGTAACAATATTACTCTCAGAGCATCCCTGGCTGAAGTCAGTCTTGCTAGGCATAATGGGTCTCATGGTTGTTCTGCAGAGAGAATGAAACCGAATTGCATCAGCACTTTTATTGCTTGCTACGTATCATGCTTGCTTTGTAGAATAAGTTTGATCGAAGGTTCATCCACGGCCAATTTGGCTGCAGAGATCCTACGGTCTTTAAGTACGAACCAGGCTTCCGAACTACGCTCGTTGTGCTTTTTTGAGGTGTACTACCTCATAGTGCAAGCCGGTGCCTGAAAGTAATTTATCGATAGCCCTCCCGCGTCATTTCATCCCACCTTGTCATGAAACGTTGTACCCAACCTGTCGAATTCCTATGGATCTATATTCTGCCCCTCTAGAATTGCTTCAGCCATAGTTGAGGTGCATACAACCTATCTGAGATTTGTCTGGAACATCAATCGCCTTCGAAATCAGCCATCATCATGTCTCAGAAACGAATTGCTAAGGTCCGACGTCTGTCAGCACCTTCAAGACTACCGCTAAATGAATAACAGGAATATGGCGACTTGCAGAAAAAGCCTCTTGAAGGTATCAAGATTATTGTGCCAGACGAGGCAGATATGCACCTTTGGCACATCGAAATGCAAGGCCCAAAAGGCTCCGCTTACGAGGTATATCCAAGCCCGAAAAGATTTAAGATGGATTGAGATGGCATCTAACAAGTGTGCAAGGGAGGTGTGTTCACTCTGGTTCTTTCGCTACCCAAGGAATATCCCTTCAAGCCTCCGACGCTTTCATTCAAGACAAAAATCTATCACCCAAACGTTACAAATGACGACAAAGGATCCATGTGCCTCGGTCTGCTCCGCCCTGACGAGTGGAAACCAAGCAGCAAGATCGACAGTGTCCTAGAATTCGCTAGGGGGTTATTGATAGAGCCGCAGCCAGATGACGCCGTGGAGCAGGGTATTGCGCGAGAGTACAAAGAGAATAAGAAGGACTTCCTGAAGACGACGAAGGCTTGGGTGAAACAGTACGCTAAGAAATAGAATGTGGATCTCGATTGGTGGGAGAACATGCTGTTGACACTCGAGGAAGGCCAACTGCAGCCAAATATTGCAAATGGCGATAGTCCGTGCAAAAACACAGTCTGTTGGTAAATGTGCGACGGCATGGATAGGCCCCGACAGCTGTCTAGCTATTGAGTAAGTTTCACAAGAGGTTTGTCATACGGAGAAAGCAAAGAAAACAACAAATGCCGTCTGAAAATAGACGACTTAGACAAGCACATTCTTGAGCCATGGTGCTGTGTGCGACGGAATACGCTTTGAGTGAAGGGATTTTCCAATAGTTGAGAAGCCACGATAACTCATGTAAATACTATGCTTGCCGAAAAACCAGAACTCGAGATCATACTCGCTTTGCCAAAAGGAATGGGTCCCATGAAAGTCGGTCCAAATTGTCATCAATGACTCGTATTACCAGGCTGTCGTCCTTCCTAGCGATTGCTCAAGCCATGAGGTGAGAGTATGAGGTCGAAGGTGGTGATTCCGTCTCACGTAACGAACGGCTCAGCCCTTGTCCCGCTGTATTTCTGTTTCGAAGGGACGCCCTACGCATATAACCAGCTGAAACAGATCTGACTCTGGCGCCTACTCGGACGAACTAAAGGGAGTTGGGGGCGAGTCGGCTCTTCGAATTTGCAAAGCTAGATACGCGCAGACAGCATGCAATCTCATTGGCTATTCAGAGAGGCTTTGCTGAACCGCAAAGAGGCGTAAGCAAGTGCGCAACATGATCCTTCGTGCCTCACCCCCCTGTCGAGAAAATCGAATTTCACTCCTCTACGACTTTAGAGCCTCAACTACTTCTGCGCAGGTGATGACAGCCCTACATTCCTTACCCAACGTTCGTTTTTGCCGAGTATGAGGACAGGAGGATGGTCAAAAACAAGAAGGTCATAGATCCAGTCGTTGTCCCACCTAGCCAAGCATGGTGTTTAATCCTCACACAACCAGTCGATTTGTCCTCAACTAATTGTCCTCCAGGGACGGTAACGATGGACCCTGGTCGAGCTTTTCTATCCACGTCGGCACGCCCCCTCAGGCCACCCGAGTACTCGTGTCGAGTGTCGTAGGGGAAGCCTGGGTGATTAGCGATAATAAAACGCAAGGAGGCTGCTTTGATTCAGACTCGGATCAGTGCCCGCAGTCAAGAGGTGGCTTAATCAACGTAAATCAGTCAAGCACATGGCAGGATCAGGGCATCTACGGACTAGGCGCAGAGATCAATCTCCCAGATTACACCACTGGTTACGACAACGGTGATTATGGCTTGGAATCCTTGGGAATAGGCTTGCCTGGATCAGATGGGCCTACCTTGAGTAACCAAGTAGTCGCTGCTCTTGCGACGAAAGACTTCTATCTCGGAAGCCTTGGCGTCACTTCGAGGCCTACAAATTTCACGGGATTTAATGACCCTCATCCGAGTTTCCTGTCATCCTTAAAGAATCAAAGCCATGTATCAAGCCTCACGTATGGTTATACAGCTGGAAATCAATATAGTCAGTTGAAGATACCTCCATATTCCACCTTGAGAGAGCTGACGTTGTAAAGGGCTAAAGAAGGTATTCGGAAGCTTGACACTCGGTGGCTATGATCAGTCGAAGTTTATCCCTAACGACGTCTCCTTTCAATTCGCAACCGATATTTCGCGCGATCTCGTTGTAGGCCTTCAGTCAATCACTTTCAGTGATTCGAAGAACACAAATAAGCCGCTGCTCTCTCAAGGCATTCTCACCTTCGTTGATGCCTCCGTTCCTCATATATGGCTCCCCAACGACACCTGCACAGCTTTTGAGAAGGCTTTTGGCCTTCAATACAATTCTACTGTCAACAGGTACTTAGTAAACGACACTCTCCATGACCAGCTCCAGCAGCAGAACGCCAGCGTATCTTTTGTTTTGGGTAATGCGATCAGCGGCGGTGCAACCGTCAATATCACACTGCCTTACGCGGCTTTTGATCTCTCTGTCGGCCCTCCGATTGTCAATAAAACTCAACAATATTTTCCCTTACGACGGGCAAATAATGAAACTCAATTCACACTCGGACGTACGTTTTTGCAAGAAGCGTAAATACCCCTCCTCCAGTTGTTGTTGATTGTCGTGCTGAACTCGAGGCTAGGTATTTAATTGTCGACTTTGAGCGCTCTAATTTCACAATTTCCGAATGTCTTTTTCAAGCCAACACCCCTTCGCAGCTTGTAGGTATTGAGTCCGCAAACACCACAGCTCCGGGTATGACGAAGACTCAATCATCTGGCCTGTCAACCGGCGCGATTGCGGGCATCGTCGTCGCTGCGGTTGTAATTCTAGCTCTTGCTGGAGGTCTCTCATTATTCTGCATCCTTCGCAGAAGGCGCAGAAGCAGAGAACAAGCAGAGGTAAAGAAGGTGCAGGAAGAGGCGGCTGCAGATCCACTGGCCCAAAAAGCTGAGATGGAAGGTTCCACTAAGCCTCCCTTGGGTGAGCTTTTTGCACCAGGAAAGCGGGGTCTTACCAGCGACAGTCACGAAATGGAAGGTACCAATGGTGGGTTCTATAATGCAGAAAAAGCACGGGCTGAAATGGAAGGCGATAAGGGAGGTGCAGAGATTGGTGGAACCAAAGAGCGACATGAAATGAACGCGGGGCCTCGCATTGGCCCAGTGGAGATGTGGGCTGGTTCACACGGATTATATGAACTATCTTCTACGCAAGTCGATGAAAGCTCCAGACCATCACCACCCAGTAAGATACATTCCTCATCTGGTGATAGTCGGCCCTCCCCGAACAGCCCTGGTAGCACCAGGAGAAGCAACCGCTTTACCTGGGGCAGAAGTTCCCGCTCCAGCGTCTCCAGACACCGAGACCAAAGCAGCGGCATCTCATCTCCATCTCCAAGTGAAGGCCCAGCCAGCTTGAGGGAGCGTGGAAGTGGCCAGGACGGTTGGAATATTGAGCACAACCCCGAGCCTCAACAACCGCCTCGAGCTCTCACGCCTCAGGATGATTCGAGCTCAAGCTACAGACGGGAGCGCGCGAGGCGCGGTGACGACCTCACACGCCGGTTGCAAAGCTCCACCAGTGTAGGAGGGGAGTCTCACCTATCTGTTCCTTCTCCTTCAGGTGACAGTAGTCCAATCTCTAAGCAGAGCGGCGTGGATAGGTGGAATGAGCGGTTTGGTAGTCGACCCCGCGAGCACATTGCTTCGCAAACGTCACAAACCTCTCCCCACCAATCGATCTCATCACCTAGCAGTGACAGCAGAAATCGGGAGAGACGAAAAGTAGCGTCACCAGGACACTTTCCACATTCAGAGGTTTTCTCATCCAGCTCGGAAAGCTCTGGGAGGCTGCTGAAACCGAAGAGTCCGCATCAATATGACTCGTGGACGAGCCGGGTCAGTTCTGAAGGCAAACCTAGCAGCCCGAGTGTGAGCAGCCCAAGCTCGGAAGAGCGAAAGAGTGAGCGAGTGCCAGGTGGCTTCTTTTAAACATGAATGACGCATGATGGTTGGAGTAAGTCACTTTAGATGTGGAGCATATCATTATCGGATGTGGCATCAAGGCCGCTGATTTAGGAGTCACGTGTATGTAACAACCAGATGGCCAGCGAAAGATGGGTTCCCTGGGCCTCTCAAATGTATGCAAATTCCCCGGGTGGCCAGTCGATCTCTGGTCAACGGTTCCCATGATCTCCTCCACCGGCCAAGCTTGACCAAGGCAAGCAAGACTACCGCACTAAGCTGACTTTCACGCACTATTCGGCACTGCCAGACGTACCATGGGACAAAGAACGGAAGCACTTACGACAGCCTTCGGCGAAACCAACCTAAAAGCCCATGCACAATTCCCATTTCCTATTTCCCCTTTTGCCTAATCTCTATTCTCTTGTGCCTCTTGTTCTCGTGGGTTTCCCATCTCTCAGTCTCACGATTCCAATGATCTGGGGTGTACTTAAAGCCTTCCTTCCACGTCGCAATTGAGCTCACAGAATTGCTGCTGCATTCCTTGCCAATGGTCTTGACGCCCACAGCAGCTTTCCTCACCCCATTCTACGTCACTGGCCGAGCTAGAATAAGACGTCTAAGACTTACGTAAGTTACGTCGATTTTACGGTAGCCCCGCGGAAAGTTATTTTGACAACCCCCCCCAACCGTCTATCTTGGAACAAAACATTGACCGGAAATTTCTTCCATTGACTCTAGATTTTGCAAACAGCATATCCGACATGTCTACTGCTAGGCTTCTACGCCGGTTCGGCACCATTTCGAGCTCTCGCGCCAACGTCGCTCGATCTCCTGGAGCTCCGCACCCCCGGGTGCCCACCGCTCAATCTCGTGTTCGGCCAGGCTGTCGAAGGAAGAGAAAAAACCGCGAGTTGCAGAACAAGCCCTTGACAAGCATAACGACCATCATGGCGCCTTCTCGCGAACAGATAACACCGTCCAGATAGAACATCCGGAGCCTGCCGACTATCCACAGGAGAAGCATTACCAAGGACGGGGTGGGATGCATTTCAAGAGAACGCTGCCCAGCTTCAGTTTGGATGGCAAGACCGTTGCGATCACCGGTGGCGCCCGAGGTTTAGGTCTGGTCATGTCGCAAGCATGTCTTTTGAGTGGTGCCAACGTCGCCTTAGTGGATTTGAGTAGTAAGTCAAGAATGTACCATTGAATGAGAAGCTGCTGATGGTCTTTTGCAGAGGAGGAGGGTCAGCGACAGGCCGACAATATGGTCACTCATTTTCTGCAAGAAAACCCCGGAGTCGAAGAGTATGTACCAAAGTCGCCAGAGCCCATATCCAGGCTGACTGATGCCCTGTAGAGAACCTGTGGTCACTTCACATTACTGCGACGTTGCCGATCCCGAATCTGTCAACGCGACCCTCGGCGAAATTATCAAGGAGCACGGAAAATTGGACCACCTCGTCACATCTGCTGGCTTCACCGAGAATTTCGATGCCATTGCCTATCCACCAGATCGCCTCAAGAAACTGATGGATGTTGATTTCAATGGGACATACTACTGGGCTTGCGCCGTTGCGAAACATCTCATGGAGCGCCAAGTCAACGGCAGCATGATCCTTATCGGGTCCATGTCTGGGGCCATTGTCAACGTTCCGCAGCCGCAAGCACCCTACAACGCAGCAAAGGCAGCTGTCAGACATTTGGGGAGCAGTCTCGCCGTGGAATGGGCGCATGCAGGAATTCGTGTCAACACCATTAGCCCCGGTTATATGCTGACTGCGCTGTACGTCTGTTCAAGTTATCCTGTGCGAATGTCGCTAATTTGTCAGCACGGAAAAAATCCTCACTGATAATCCCGAGCTTTACAAGCATTGGACTTCGCTTATCCCCGTCGGCAAGATGGGCAAGCCAGAAGATCTGATGGGCGCCGTGGTCTACCTACTGAGTGAAGCGTCTGGATACGTGACGGGTGCCGAACTTCGCGTAGACGGTAAGTATTTTCTTCCAATCAGGTCCGAAAACTTTCCGAAAGCGGGTACACTGACAAAACTGCTCATGTAGGCGGCTATACCGTGACATAAGAAGATTTATCGACAACGGTACCCAGTATGATGAGTACACCCTTCAGCAAGCAATTATCTTTTGTCTTTATCGATCTTAGCGGTTTGTCAGACTTGCAATTACTTAAATCTAGTCCTGAACAGTACCAAGTTTCTGCGAAGAAAGCATTTCGAAGGAGTGATTGGCGTATTGTGATATGAAAGGCGACAAGGAAGACCGTTTGGGGCACGAGTTTTGGTCCAGGGATGAAAAATTGGCGTTTGGTAAAGAGAGCAGCGGTGATATATGAGGCCCCGGTATCATCATGCGGGTATAGATGTCAGAGGCACCAAGGAATTTCCGTAGCCTCACATCTGAAAGTACAATGCCAAATCCTGATGTAGCAAGGTTCTGGGAAAATTGGCACCAAATTGATGAACAAAATAGACATGCCGGTCAGATTTCTTTCTTGTTCGTCTCTCTGATTCATCTCACAAAAAAAAAAAAAAAAAGGATGCACAATGGCACTGACCCAGATTGTCAGTGCCTACAGATTGTAATATGCACAATGTTGAACTGATATTCAGATGGCTAGAAGGTCCAGGTATCTCAAACACCCACCGCTTAAAAGCCTTCATACGCCTCCAATTGACTTTCATCCATCAGATCCCACTTCCTGGTTGTCAACTTCCTCACCTTCTGCCCCGGCGTATTCGCAGCCGGCGTCTTCGGCAGCTTCCTTTCATTCTCCTCTCCCTCGCTCGACATCAATCCTGTGGGCGGCCCCGTCAAACTCAACCCGTTCAATTTGAAGCTCGCCTCTTGCAGCACATCCCTCCTCGAATCGAAATTCGGCTGCTCCTTCTTCCTCGAATTCCGTTTACTTGGGCTTTCAGCTCCTCTCAACTGTCTCTCGACCTGTTCAAGTCTACCTCTCAAGGCCTCATTCTCCCTCTCCAGCCCCGTCGCGTAGTCATTTTGAGCATCCTCATCCTCATGGATCTTGACGCCTTTGGCGAGGATCTCGAGTTTGCGATCAAAGTGCTCCTCGCTTCTGCCGCCTTCCTCCGCAAGGTTATCTTTCCATCTCGCGCTTTCCTCACTGACTTTCCGTTCCATCTCCGCTGACAGCTCTTCACGGACTTCCATCTCAACTTCTTCGGCTCGCTGCTCTGCATGTCGCCAGCCAGCTTCGGCTTCCATTCGTCGAGTTTGCTCTTCTGAAAATCGATGTGATAGGATTTCAACTTCTTCGTTTAGGCGTGCGAGCTCGGAAAATGCCATTTCCACAACGGTCTCATCCACTGTACTGGTACCATTAGTAGACGCGTTGGGAGACGTACGGCCGCTGACTGCGCGGCTGCCTGGCATTCCGGCTAGAATAGTCGAGGAAACTGAGGGGATGCGCGGTACGGTAATTTCGCGGGCGAGAGCAGAGTAACGGAGCATCTGTGATGTTGCATTGAAGTCACCCAAAGGATCTGCGGTGACGATCATGACCGCTTTCTGTGGATTCCTCGGTTGAGCTTGATGGTAATTATGGTGAGAGTAAGTGGTGGCTGATGGAAAAGAATTCGAGAAGAGGAGTTCGGTCAACTTGCACTGACGGAAAGGCACCAACGAGGGCTGCACTTTGGTTAGTCATTTGTCTCTGCGGCCCACGAAAAATTGTCTTTTGGATAAGCGCTTACCTTTGCGTTGTCGTGATTGTCGCTTTGCATCTGGAGACACTGGCCCAGGTACATTAAACTTTCATTTATTTTCCCAGCTTCTGCCAAAGTGGCACCTGCTGTCTTCGCATTTCGTGCTCGCTCAGATCCTTGTTTCCAGACCTATCAGCAAAAGACTTGAAAGAAATGAACCAAAGCCGACAAAGCTCACCCGCTAAATCTACGACCGTCAATTGGGTGGTTTGCCATGAGTTGGCCATGCCACCTCTCGGTCGCCTCTTCACTTCAACGCAGAAGAAGCCATGGCTTCGTGAGCTCACACTATTGCTCCCAGTGCCTGCTACTCTTCTTTCTACCAGACCTGTTTCAAGAACCCTTAACGCCTCCTCATAGCTGCCACAAACAATCTTCCGAAGACCAGCGACGACCTTGCGTCCTGCAGATGTCTCTGTGGGTTTGAATAGAAGAGCTCGTCGCCGAATGTCTTTTTGGTTGCTTGGCAAGGAGAGCAGATCGTATATCCTGTCATTGTACACTTCATACATCGATACTACAATGACAAATTCACATTGGGACTCGACATGCAAATTGATGTTCCTGATATCAGGAGACTGTGGGAAGGCCTGAAGTAATCTCCTTCTTGGAGCGCATGGGGTCTGTAGGTGGTCCTGTAATACGTTACTAAACTGTTCAATGGCTTGGGTTCCTTCACCCGTGCGTTGATAATTCTTCAAATCGAGGGCTCGATTAATACAACAGCAGTGCGTTGTGATAGGAGATGGAGAATCAGATGTTTTGACAACTCTAATAGTCTTAGGGATAGAAGGGGTCAGGGACCTCTTCTCGAGGCCCATGATAACCCACTGGCCTCTCGGGCCGTTGGAACGGGGGACCAGGGGACAGGAACGAAAAGATTCGCCTACCGTCATAGGAGTCTGGGCTCGCGAGGACAACCCATCGCCGTAAACACTATCGAGGAAGGCATGGGCAGAGTAGATCTGGGCCTCCGAGGGGTCTGACGATGTAAGGGATCCTATGAGGGACGGGCTCTCGCAAGGTTGAACGATTCTTTGGCCAAGTGAGCGGTAGAGAAGGTCTAAGGACAGCTGAGTGAGCCCTCTCTGCGTCTTTGATCCCAAGATCGTATGACTCTAAAAACACATCAACCTTGAAATGTCTCGGACCTGATTTCCATTGACATACTTTGCCTGAGCCTGTAACTCCTAATGTTGCAACTAGTCCATCTCTTCCTCCGTTCAGTACGGCTTCTACTAGAGGTATAACGCCAGTGCCCTTGAAAATGTCTATCTGCTCCGCTTGTTCCTCATAAACTTTAGTGAAAGCAAATCTTTCAATTGCGCGCTTTCTCGTCTCATTGGGTGGATTCAGCGTGATGTGAGTTGGCAACCCGTCTTCTGATTCGGGGCTAGGAGGCTCGACAGTAAGGTAGCGTTCTAGCGGTGGGAGGTTTGGATAGATCGACTGGGGTGTGAGTTGCACGAGAGGCGATGGCGGAGGGCGCAATCGGAGATAGACTTGGAAAAGAGAAGTAGATGATGGCTTTGGACCTTGATCCATGACTTCAATCTGTTTTGATATCCGAAGCATGTATTTTAGGCCTGCTTCTCTTAGTACAAGACTGCATTAGAGGTGAGTCGAGGTGATGACGCTTGAAAGCGGAAAGACGCCGTAAACAAAAGCCGTTGGACGGCCAACTCAAATGGGTGGAATTCTCTATATTCCCAACTTCACATCTCGCAGACGCTATGGTCATGAAGTGAAGAGTTTAGGTAGCCATGTTGAGAGACGCCTTCCTAATAATCAGGCTGCCTTTGCTTCGAATATACCTTAGAAGCGCTAAACGATTCTCATCTCGTACAGCATTGTGAATGTCCCTAGCGTCTACCCTGAATGCAATTGAACACTGCGCCCGCGTCAGGCTCTCGCCTTGCGATCCGTGTTGTTGAGCAATTAAAAACTCTTGGGCTTGAAATCTACCAGCATATAGGGACTACGAGCTAGGAAGACATCTTCACGGATTCATCTCGCAACATGGAGGGCCATTCGATCTACGTCGTCTCTTTCAATTGCGGCCGCACACAGATCAGTGCGAATAAATTTGCGTCCTACATCTTTTACGCCCTCTCAGACTCGTCCAGACCTCCTCAATTTCTCGTCCTTTGCCTTCAAGAAATTGCACCTATTGCACACTCATTCATTGGGGGCTCGCTTCTTGAGCCGTACCTTAAGAAATTCGAACAAGCAGTTGATATTGCTGCTTCTTCTCTTCAAAACTCGTCTTATGTCAAGGTGGCAAGCCAAAATGTCGGGATGACAGGTATCTTGGTCTTTGTACTGAAGGACCAGATTATGAATATTGAAAGCCTAGAAACGGCCGAAGTGGGCGTTGGGCTCTGGGAGATGGGAAATAAGGGAGCAGCGGGGGTACGAATAAGCTACAATGTGGGCAATCATACTAAGACTACAATGAAATTTGTCGCAGCTCATTTAGCGGCAATGGAGTGGGATGTAGAGCGTCGCAACGAAGACTGGAAGAACATAGTCAGACGCCTGGTCTTTGAGCCCGTTGGTCGGTCGAAAGCGCCTGCGGAAGAGCAGAACACCGATAATGACCATATGGATTCGGAGACTGCACCCTTGATATCGCAGAACGTTAGCTCCGAACCAAGGTCTGAGTCTGCACAAATCGGTATGTATGAGCCTAGCAGTCACCTCGTTTTCGCAGGCGACCTAAACTACCGCACTGCATCGTCCAGCCCAAGTCTCACCGATACATTTTCATTTCCACAACCGAGCGAGGACGAATCATATCCGCGGCACTACTGGCACCTCCTGTCTTCAGACCAGCTAGCAGCGGAGATGAAAGCGGGCAGAACATGCCATGGACTTAAGGAGGCACCCATAGACTTCCCACCGACCTACAAATACAGTGATACGGCTCGACAGAAGATAGCAAGTGCGGAAGTGAAGTCGGAAGATATGGACAGGGTGGACGAAGGCAAATGGTATTGGTCTGATCACCGGTGGCCAAGTTGGTGTGATAGGGTTCTCTATCTTGACTCGCCGCCCTGGTTGAATGAGGGCAAAGTGGTTGTCAGTGGTTATACAGCTTTGCCGTTACTGAGCTCAAGCGACCATCGGCCAGTAGCCTGCGCGCTCGAAATACCAGCAGTCGTGATAGCGAAACCCAATGAACAGCAGGAGGACGTGAGGTACAATCCGCCTTTTGAGATTGATCCAGCTTGGAAGCAGCGGAGAAGAATTGCTCGACGTAAGGAGATCTTGATCGGAGTTTTTGCACTCTTGACTACTACTCAGGAAGCACTGTGGATCTTCTCTGTGATAGTCGTCTTCCTGATCCTTTTGTGGACGGGGCTGTTCTTTGCTGGGTCTCTCTAGAGGCTCCTCCGGAATTGTTAGCGCTCTTCGAGGCAGGTTACTGTCATTTGTGTGAGTAAATTCGTCCGGATCGGACTTAAATTGCCTCGCGCATCTTTTGAACATGTGCGTAACAGGTGGAATATTTTGCTTTCGCATGTCAATCGTAATTGATTGTCCTTGTGTAGCAGAGCGTCGTGTTGACCTCTGGTCAACCAAAAAAAGAAGAAAATAGTGGGCAATCCATAAAAAGCTGCGCCCTACATCTCAAGAACGTGATTCGTTCGCGAGATTATATCTATTCGAGCTTGTCACTATCATATATCAAGACATTAAGTTTTCACGGTCATAATTCATGCTTTTCATGACTTTTGGTGTTCCAACCGCCGACGACGCTGAGCCAAGATGAGAAAATAATTCTATTCAAAGGCTTTTGAGGGTATTTCTTCGTCTTTGCGTCGAAATGTAATCAAATGACCACCCGATATTTCCGGTGGAACCTCGCATATTGCAGCAGAATTCTGTACAGCCGAATTATGAAAGCTATTCAAGAAAGGTGAACAGTTCAGTGTGTACTATGTTGAGCGCCCTATATAGATTGAGCAGTCAGTGCAGCCCCCGTCATCGCTATTTTGTTTCAAACCCATAATCAATGGAGTGGCATCCGCACAGGTTTCTACTTACCGAAGGGCATCTCGCTCAGTAATCACACAAGAAATATTTATCTAAGCTGATGAGCTCATTTGATGATGATCCTAGGCAGAGCACTCACTTCGCTTGCACCTTGCGATATCATTTCGATGTTGATGTTGTTATTTCCTAAAGCGGAGAACATCTTGCCAGCCATGCCGAAAGACCTTTTGAGTCCCCTTCCAATTAACGAGAGAATGGCCATTTTGTGCAAGACCTCGACAGACCCATAGGCCTTCAGTTCTTCGATGGCGGAGTCGAGATTGTGGTGCTGAGACAAATCGTCCTCGCGGTCTTTTTGGCCTACCATTGTGATTAAGGACGACTTGGAGTGAACGGCTAACGAGACATGAGTCTCATTCAATCTAGTGATCAATTCAGCAAAACAGGACTGTAATATGAGCCAGGTAACAGACTCAAAAAGGTCGACGGACAATTGCCACCTGGCAAGTGTCGAGCAAATTTCTTGGAGAAATTCTGGAGATCCTACTTTTCTGTAGGAATGCACATTAACGATTGTGATGTTCTCTTTGACAGTCACTGCAGTTGGCCGTTTTGGTCTTCTTTCGTCCGGAAAGTTTACGGTTCCCATTTCGTCTGTGTGAATTAGAGTCCCAGGTCGTTGTGGTTGCCTAACATTCTTTATTCGAATAGGTATATTAGGTATGCATTGCTCGATGGTGAAGTGATGTATGACTTCTGAGCCATAGAAAGTCAGCTCGTTTGCTTCCGAAGGGTGTATGGATGAAAGCAAAGTCGCTGTTGGGACTTTGCTTGGGTCCGCAGTGTGGACCCCTGCTATTTCTTTCCAGACCTGTAACTCTTTGGCATCGACGCCCACAGCCACAATGGCAGCCAAAAGATCAGAATAACCTCTACCGCAATTTGTCAGCAGGCCACCCGGAATACCTCCAAAAAAGCCCGTTATCACCTATCGTCGATATGAGCGTAGTCGATGCATGGTCTATATGACAAACCCTACCGGTACACTATCACCACAAGCTTGAATCCTTTTGCTAACAAAGGTGGACAGATCTCGGAAGACTTCTTGCGACAATGTCTGTGACTCTCGGCGTTTGTCGATAGGTGCTATCTCTGAAAGATCAACGTAAGAAGCAGGAGTCCCCTTCTCTTCCAGTAAAGCAGTCATAAACTGTGCAGACAGTCTTTCTCCAACGCAAAGCACCCGGTCTTCTGATTCAGCATCAAGCCCTCCTCTTCCCCAGAGCTCCTTTAAGAAGTCTATGAGATTGTCACATTCTTGCGTAAAGTCTCGAACAACCTTTGCGGCAGCCTTTGGTGAAAGAATTGATGTGCCATCTACATGTTGACGTAGAATGTCCGATACAATGTGAATATATTCGTTCGAGCCGGGCTTCGAGGCTTCTCTTGCTGCTTTTAATAGGCTTGACGGAACGGTCTCAGCACTAGGGTCCGGTTCATGAGTTCCAAGGACCTACAGATTGGTTGTCCCTTCGACTTTGGTTTTTCCACTCCTGGCAGAACAAACGACAGCAATCGGACCCTCGGACAGAGTAGACCTAGAGTGGATTAGGGATGAAACTATAGGGCTTCAAAGCATGTTCGACTATACAAACAAATGTCGGCCACTTCAAGCGGTAAACGACCGCAGACTGTTCCTCCAAACTGATTCTTAGCGAGAGACACCTTGGGTGGAAATGCTGTGGCCTACCTTCAGTACCACCCTCTTTGGGTGCTCATGACCGGCCTTTGGCGGCTGTAACCCGTTACTGTAAAGTTCTCCCATGACATAAGCATTTTCTTGAATCGGGACATCTGCAGCCATGCCATTGTTCTTAAATTCTTTCGATGTTGAGTCATTTTCGGATTGTGGGACGTCTATTCTTAGCGCATAGTGGGGTGACACTCTAACGGTAAACCCCCCCTCACCCCTCCACCCCGCAAGGCCCCCTGACAGCCTGTTCTGCATACGAGTAGAAATGGCATCGACCCATCGAGGCAACCCCTTTTGGCCTGAGACAAGACCATTTGGCCAATCCAGATCATGCGGATTCGTGTGGCTAGATCTGCTGGCATGCTACCGCCTATCGTGCAGTAACCAGTAACGCGGTCTCAATGGTCTGCTCAGCTTCATTCGACCATCCAATGGACCAAGAATCTTGTCAACATAGAAAACGCATTATACCTAGGGCATGCAAGCTTTGCGTGGGGACAAGCCAATGGAGCTCGTGTGGACATCAAATCTGCGTTCGACTGGATTGCAAGATGAGATGGACAGCGACGCTAGAGCAGGTGGCAGATGAAGGCACACGCCAGGCACGCTCTTACCCTACCAGACGAAGGCATTCCTTCGGTCTGCAAAGGGCAACTGTTGTCTCAGCGCTTGGCATCAAAACAGCCGCTGCGTGGAGTGACCAGGCTTGCAGTCTTGCAGATAGCAGAGCAGCGGTCACAGACCAACGGTGGAGACTCAAGCCGGCACAAGCAGTTTTGCATCGTCGCGGTGCCTAAGAAGAAGATGTCACATCGTAGTATCTCAGCGGCTTATGCTGCAGGGAGGATGCCACCTCGCTGATGCTTGCTCACTGACTGGGCTGTGGATGGGATTGATTGGTCCTCCGTCGAGTGCTTGCTGCCCTAAGATGTACCGCATTCTCCTCGGTTTGGGCAGCAAGCTCTAGCAGGAATCTAAAATTTCCTGCAGACCGAAGGCTGTGGCAAATCGGCCAGAAGACACGCTGCTGATTGACGCCTGGTTTGTGTGCGTTATAAATCGTGTCTATCATTTCCCTCCCTATCTGTCAAATGTTGCGCTGGCCATCATTTCCGTCAGCCTCATTGATCTTCATTCATTCGTGATCCTTGAAAGCGGCATCGAATCGTTTAGCTTCGCCTGTGCAGCAGTGCTAAAAGCCCGCCTGCCTAGTACCACTTATTAAAAGGCTCCACCCCACTCGCCCATCGCGGATCTTCAGCGTTTGCCAACCTGCCTCCCTTTTGCGCGGTGCTGAACAAAAGGTGTCTCTCCTCTGGTATCCTAGGGACTCGTCATCTACCGCATCTCTGTTCGCTCGGGATTTCGCTATTCCATTGGGTCCCAGTCCAATAGTAGGGTTTGACGAATTGAAGCTGCATTCCCAATCCACTGGGAGAAAACCTCGGACAAACTGCGTGTTTTCTACCTAAGTATACACCATCTGACTGCGGGGACATCTGTGACCTTCTACACATGTGCTCGTCTTGACACGGACTTTTGGCCTCTTATTTCGCACCCTTAGGAACCCGACGTCTTAGCCGCGGATATGAAGCATCACAAAGGCTTCGAAAAGTCCCACCGGGAGGCGAGGCCGCGAGATTCTCCGGATGACCTGCCTCCAAGCAGAGAAAAGCCCAACAGGACAGGATTACAGGATTACTTCATCAAAGGTGAAGGCATTCATCGGGACGTGCTTCAGCGACAAATATGCTTCATGCTTGGTAATGAAGCAAGGTCAAAACCCTCAACATACAAAGTTCGCCTGCTCTACTCCATGTCTTGATTTTGATGTTGACGGTACCAGGGTGTCCCAGGCTTTCTTATAACAGCAGTGCGACCTTTTACAGAGGTGGGTCTTTTATTACACCGTTTCCTCTGCTGAGCTGAACAGTCACTAGAACCAACTCGAGGATCTCATCGACATATCTCGGGAGTATTTAGACGAGAAACGACAGTATGAGCATACACAAAAGAAGCACAAAAAGCCTGTCGGAGGTGAGGAAAGCATGTTTGCATTTTGGAAGCCGTCTGATAGATCCCAATAGAGCTTCCTTTCGAGCAGTCTGAAACGGACCGGCGTCACCGCCATCAACAGGAGCAATCGAGAGAGCATTCTGACAGAGCCCCCTATCCCCCCGACAACTATCAGGTGTCAAGCCCACCAGGACCGTTCATTGATTCTTCCTATACACCGCAACCCGGACAAGGATATTCACATAGGCCTGGCTACCAACCTGGACCACCGATGCCTAATCCTACTTACCCACCTTCAGGACCCCCAAATCCCCGGGCATTTCCACAGTACGATTCAACGGGACCGTATGCAGATACTAGAGCCCCACAGAGAGACCCATACCAGCAGCCCTATGGCAACCCACCTGGTGGAGAATACGTTGTAGACCCCAGGGATCCAAGGAACCCACGGTACATACCGCCCATTCATGAGATGGGCCGAGGACATGCTCAGATGTACCCCGCGGCAACCATGGCGCCTGTGGATGAGCCTATGTTTGATGCATATCCTTCACACATGGAGATAGACCCCAATCCGTACCAACATCAAGCACGTGGACAGGCAGGCGGCGCCTACCAGCCCCCACGCCGAGCGCCTACCGATGATGATGATCCTTATTATCCTAAGCCAAGGTACGAGGTCGTGCCGCCCAGAGATGATAAACGCCGCCGAGATGGACGTGATGATGATTACCACCGTCGCCCAGGGCGATAGATCCCATCGGTCATGCATGCATCTTTGGAAACAGTCCAATCATCCTGATCCCATTTTCTGGTCCCAAGGCTCCGGCATGTCTGCTTCAGTGGCTTATGACTTTACCTTTCGAGGCATATCTGTATCTGCCGTTTCAATTGGTGCCAGGACCCTCTCTATCGCCATATAGAATAACCATCTACCAACCCTGGCTCCATGTGGAAAGGTCTCTATCTCTCGTTCGCGTAGCATGCTCCTCCGTCGGACTTCCAGGCTCATCTGCAACTCCTTATAAGGGGCTCATGACCTTGGAGGACCCTTTAATTTATTCTGGATCCATCCTACTAGCAACATAGGGATTATAGGCGCGTGATCTTGCACAGGCTGTGACTTTACTCAGGCTCTATGGCATGTTTTCGTACTCGGATATCTCGTGATATCCAGAGCGGGGCGGTGTTGAGCGTTTCAATTACAAGTCACAAATGGGCTGTTTGTATAAATCATGTGGTAGGCGTACAGCATCTGAGCTGAGGGTGGCTGACTACATTTTGGATTTTGGAGCTATTGCATGAGACACGAAATCTACGAAGGAAGATGGGAAGGTAATTTATAAGTTTGTTGTGGAGACTTCCTAGCAAATTTTCTAATCTCGACCCTTGCTGCCGTTGGGAAGATTTGATGACCTGGACAAAACTGTGGCCTCCCTAGAATGAGTACCATGCCAGACGGTCCCGCGAGATGCCAGTGACCTTTGGAGATTTGTTGAGGGATTCTCCTAGACCTGTTCGTACATACCTTTCCTTTGCCAGGTCCTTCTGGTGTCTTACCAAAGCTTGTCCATCCAACTTTTGACGAACAGGACTCAGCACCTCCAGCCATTGCCTAGGCTATCGTGAGTGTTTCACTTTTAGCTGAGGAGCTGCGTGCCCTGGAGATTGCACCCGTGGTCAAATCACTCACTTCATCCCGGAAGTCTTCAGCCTCTGGTATCTATTGGAGGTAATCCCTAGGACACGTGTGAAAATGAAATACTCCGTCGAAGGCGTGTAGATAATGTCGTGTGTATTGCTCGTGGCGCGGCCGTCCAAACAATCTTTCAAACCGTCCTCTAGACAGCCCTTATATTTCACATGCACGCCTTTCTTTTCATTGCCTTGCCCGAGTGATATCGTAGACGGCAATTGCGTAATATCGTTCAAAAATTCAGTTGGGCATTAATGCAAGTGAAGGTCTGGGCCTCAGCCTAATTGTAACCCTCCGTCCTCAGTGGCCGCAGGTGACCCCCACCAGTCGTCTGCAAAAGTGAAGTCACGCACGTCAATTCTCGAGTCCTTGCCGCATGAATGTCGTCTCTCACTATCAATTATACATTCAGTCCTTCACTAGGTGCTGCTCTTAGACAATATTTGAGTCTCATAGCTTGTTTTTAGCCAACACGAATCCTGAAATGCCAATCTGATGCCCTGACGGATACAAAGGACTAAACATGTCACGTCGCTCTCACGCAGGAGGAGATGTCTATGCAGACGAACGCGAACGCTATCCTTCGAGGAGGGAACCGTCTCGCCGCCCTCCAGCTGCAGTCTACGATGATGAAATAGACATTCGTGAACGCCGCCGCACACATGCCGCCGAGCCTGATTTCTTGCGTGACGACCATGGAAGAAGCAGTAACGCTGGGCAGCTGATCATAAGAGAACGGTCAAGATCACGGGACAGAGCACCCTTGAGCAGCGTTGGGAGGAGGGGTGAATTGGAAGTGAAAGAAGACCTAGTGATAAGAGAAAGGTCTCGGGAAAGGCCTAAAAGAAGGGAAGTCAAGGAAGAGGAAGTCATCATCTCTAAGAAGGACCGCGAGAAGGAGGGTCCTCGGGATTATGAGGAGGTGGTGTACTACCCCGAGGCCGATGTCAGACCTCAACAAATCAGAAAGGAGCGAGAAGATTTCTACTACCGTGAGAGGGAGAGGGAGCGGGAGCGGGACTATGACGAGGTCTTCGTTCCTCCTCGACGGGAGCCAAGAGGCCAAGACATACGATATGAGCGGGAGGACTATGAGTTCCGACCTCGAAGAGAGCCTAGCCCACCCGAGACTGTCAGGGAAGAGATAATCATAAGGGACGAAGAAAGGCGCCCAAGATATAGGGAGGAGCGAGATGAAGAGATCATCATAAGAGACAAGTCCAGAGAGCGGGAGAGACCAAGATATCGGGATGAGATCGATGAACAAATCATCATTCGGGATCGATCGCGGGAGCGGCCAGCCTACAGAGAGGAGAGAGACGAAGAGATCATCATTCGAGACCGTGAAAGGGAGAGACCCAGGTACAACGAAGAAAGAGATGAAGAGATCATCATCAGAGACAGGGAAAGAGAGCGGCCAAGGTACAGGGATGATAGAGATGAGGAGATTATCATTCGAGATCGGGAAAGAGAGAAACCGAGATATAGAGAGGAGCGTGATGAAGAGATCATTATCCGAGAGAAGGAACGAGAGAGGGAGAAACCTCGATACAGGGAGGAAAGGGACGAAGAGATTATCATCAGAGACAGAGAGAGGGAAAAGCCTAGGTATCGGGAAGAAAGAGACGAAGAGATCATCATCAGAGACAGGGAACGAGAGAGGGCAAAACCAAAGTACAAGGAAGAGAGGGATGAAGAGATCATCATCCGGAGAGGTGAGGGTCCTAGAGACTCGCCTCGTGCGAGAGACCACTTCGACGAGGAGGACATAATATTCCGAGAAAGGGACCGCGACCGGCTGAGGCCTCAACGGAGCTTTGACAGAGAGACTTTGACTGTGCAGCGGGATAGATCTAGGCCGGCAACACGTAACGACACCAGGAACGAAAGTAGAGACGATGAACTCATCATTCGCCGCAGCGAAGGTCAAACCCGTGGACCGTCCCGTGGCCCTTCAGTCAGGAGAAATGACTACAGAGACGATGAAACGATAATTAGTCGGCACGAAAGAGAACGAGAACCACCACGACGTCGAGAGAGGTCGAGAGAGCGGGACGAAGACGATATCATTGTTCGACATAGAGACGACGGCCACGGTAAGCACAGCGACCAGATCATCATCAGGCGTAACGAGCCGTCACCTTCTCCTGAACGCGCTCCGACACCTCCACCGCCAGCTCCCCTTCCTCCACCTGAGCCTGTTCGGGCGCCCCCTATCCACCAAGAAATCATCACACACCACCGGCACATCGATCACGGTAAGGCATACCTCTTCACTCGCGTGCTGGATGCGGCACAAGCATTCCGCACTATATCCACTTGCATGAAGACTTGTTAATGCCCACTCCTAGGCTTTGAGCGAGCACCCGAACCACCCCCAGCACCCCGCCCGCGCAGTCCACCTCGTCCACGCTCCCCCTCGCCAGTGCGCGAGGAGCGCATCGAGATACGTCATAGGTATGCATACTCTTGAGGTACTGAATCAGCATATGAGCCCACTAACGCCGGGTACTGTAGAAGCAAATCTCATGGTCGTGTCTACGACGACGACATCGTCTTCGAACGCGAGCGTGGCGAGCGTCGTCAGCTTCAAGGAGTCCATCGAGGCCATGGCGGCAACGAAGCAGAGGGACGAGAGCTTGCTCTTGTCGACCAACGGGACCAACGGCGATATGTAAAACAGACTGATCCTCGAGATAAAATGTGGACAGAAGTCACCAAAGACCTTGTCAGCAAAAAAGCAATTGAGGAGATGAAGTACGAATATGAGGAAACGCCTGAATTCTACTATGTCATGAAATTTTTGAAATATGTAAGTCAAGGTTTGCCTTCTGCCAGCACGAAGAAGTAGATTTGCTGATCATCCTTCGGTATAGGAGGACGTACTAGCCCTTGTGGAGCTCACCGATGACATCAAACACGATCGGCGCAACCGCATCAGAGACATGCAGGCTGAGCGCGAGTTTTTACGAGATGGGCCACCGAGGCGAGCATTAGGAGCTCCACGTCAGGACTGGGATGAGGAACGTATTGTGGAGAGGGAGATTGTCTACGACAATGGTCAAAGGAGGAGATACTAGGGAAACGCGTCTCGGGGGGTGGTGGAAAGTTCAAGGCAACAACGACTTAGACAGACGCATAACGAGACAAGGTCGAGGCACATACAACAGTAACGGTCGATACATAACCAGGAACAAGATATGGGAACAAGTCCAACGCCTTCATGGACTGAACGCGGAGGCATGATGTTAGCGAGCGATGGATCTCTCCCTATTACAAGTTTGCTCTGACGAGCCGTGTTCAGACGGACAACACAGCCTAATGATCAAGCACGCTCTGTACTTATCCACTTAGATATATGATGAAATGAACGACTTCTGCTGAGAGCGTACAGCCACGAGCGACAAGATCACTGGTCTATCTAAGTTGGATAAGACAACGACTTCCGCGAGTGTGGGGAGTGTATTGTTCTTTCATTCGGGCGTGTGTTCACCTAGTCTTCGTTATCTACTTCAACCTCCTGTTCCAGCCTGACGAACGTCCGCCGAGTAACTCAGCGCGAAACGTACAATGCATAAGCATCCTCCTGGCAATCCCACCGAGAAACTTCATCACCGTTCAAATTCCACCAGTCCTGGCATCTCCTTCCCTTCTCCCTCCTTCCCCTCCAAATCTCCCAGTAAATCCTGCTCCCTTTTTCCACCAGGCCCGTGCCCACTACCAGCCCCGCCTACACTACCAGCTATCGCCTCCGCCCCCTCGAGCAAATCCCGATCCCCTTCTCTAATACTCTTACGATCACTATCGGCCCCAGCGAGCCCGCCTTGTTCCTGCTCATGCTCCTCCTCATCCATCTCATTCTCCCGCTGCAAGGCGCTCCTCTCGATCTCCCGCCCCACATCGTCAACGCGTCGCCGGACTTCGGTGGCTACACGCATACCGTCTTGTACTATGTTGTCGAGAACGCCCCGGAGGCCTTTAGACGGTGGCACGACGCCGCCAGCTCGCGGACCGACTACGTTGGAGACAACACTAGAGGAGGTCGAAGAGGCAAATGTGGTAAGCTGAGTTATAGAGGGAGAGGAAGGTGTTGGCGCATTGGTCAGATAGAAAGACGCGGGAAAGGAGGATTCGAAGAATTGTTGGAGGAGCTCGTCGGCAAGGATTACCATCCGGAAGGTAGGGAGGGTGATATGCAAGGGACGTGTAGGATCCAGAGCGACGTTTGCGGCGTGGGTGGGACAGTGAATGGAAGCTGTGCGGGTAGGGTGGTTTGGAGGGTTGGTGGGAATAGTAGGGGAGGCTTTTGGTGGTGTAGATTTAGCCTGCTCGTTTCCCAGGTCTAGGAGGTCTTCTTCGTCATCGGATTCTGAATCTCCTATGCTGAAACTCTCCATGTTTGGTTCAGATGCTGCTGAGCCCTCCTGATTGTTTGGATGATCAGGGTCGGCATATTCAAAGCAACGTCGGATGAATGCTGAGACGCTTCCAAGGAAACGTTCGTTAGTGCTGGCTGATTTGGGGTCAAGATCTTCATCAAATCCATATCCCTGAGACGGTGTAGACGGAGTGGGAGAGCCTCCCAAGCCCCTTCGTGACAAGAAAAGTAGAGCTTCAGATATTCGAAGGATGCCCTCGCGATCAACCTTGCCGTCTTTGTCGTCGTCGTATAAGTCGAAGAAATAGCTGATACTTGTCATGATGTCCCTCGTACCCTTGACATGGGCAATACCAGTGACAACATCTTGCAGGCTAAGCCCGTCGTTGTCATCTCTGTTCCACCTGCCATACAGCCTTTGCATGAAATCGTGATCCGCTGGCTCAGGCCCATTGCCCCACGGAGAAACAGATATACTGCGGCTCCGTCCACTGTAGTTAGAGTAGATACTTCCTTCCCTTTCTAACTCTTTGATGGTAGTGGAAGGAGAGTCGGTGATGGCCCATTTGGTTATGCCAGCCAAGAACTCTCGGAAGCCATCATAGTTCATCAAGGTAGGACTAGGTCCGAGACCTACGCGACCAATTTCGAAGCTTTTGTTACCAGGCAATCCCGTGACAAGTTCAGTAGCCTTGACACTACCAGCTTTGGCTTTCCTCTCGGATTCATCTCGCATTTGTTGCATTCGCTGTTCTCGTTCGTATAGGATGCTGTAGAAGCGGTCATATAAGAAGCCAAGATCACCAAGACTCAACTTCTTGCTCTCTGGCCCAAGGTTACGGATTGAAGTCCTCTTGGCAAAGCTTTCTATATTGTCTAATACGGAGTCTCTGTACTTCATCCGCTGTTCCGAGATCGTGCTTTGAGTGATGCCGGCAAATTCCTTGAAAGCCACTACCATCAATTCCTGGAATTTTGTGATATTTCGTACCTTTTCGTTCTCCGATTTGGGGTGGGCCGATTCGTCAAGGCGCGAGAAGTAAGTTTTGAGAATCGATATGAAGCTACCGTCGTCGATGATGTCCAGCAATTCTTCCCCGTTAATTCGCAGTATTGCAAGTCCTACCTGGAACAGGACCTTGGGACCTTCCAGAAAGAAAACATCTAAGACTCGAAAAGCGAACACGAGAGGCATGGAATTGATGTACAGTGACAGAAACCAAGGCAGCGACACGACAGAGAGTTGAACATCGGATTTTACTAAATGGTCCCACAGAATAGGCATGGTCCTTTCGACAAGGGATTCGAAGACACGCTGATCCAGCAAAGTGCCGTACATGGTTGTTGAGTAGTAGCCTGGAAGGAGGCGATCACATAGAACTGATAAGAGAAAGAAAGCTTGAGTTTCTGACATATAGCTGGCCGAGTCAGCAGTTGTGCAAAATATGAAAGGGGCAGACCTGCATTAGAAGAGCTGCTACAACGATATTCATCGCTTGACAGTAACCAACTTCTTCATTAGTCCAGCTGTAAGCTGTCAAAACACGCCTTAGGCGGCCAATGCCCTCTTCACTCTGAAACCCTGGATACTCTGGAAGACTTCGATTCAGGTCCTTCTCGATCTCATCAATAGCCATGGATTCCATCCCGATAAATTTCGTCAGAGTATCAGAATATAGCTTTGGCTTTTGGAGGCGCAGAAACATCGATCCAGACGTCAGCTCCCAAATCTCTGAGCGTAAGCGGTTCGGCAACCCCACTCTTATCAGCTTGTGAAAGGTTGGCTGTCGAATGAGCGTAGCATTTCGGCCATTCTCTGCAGCATGTCAGCCATAATTCCCCCTTTCAAAATCGTATAACCTTTCAGGTACTCTCTCCACAAACGGATCTTGCTTTGATCTCTTAGCTTCTTTGCGTCTCCTGGATACCGAAAAAGCATTCCTAGACCTGTGTCTGGAGGCTCTTTCAAACCGTTGGCAACCAATGCGGCATCTCGCTCGGCCTTTGTACTTCCAGACAGTAGGAAATCAGAGTAGCATTCCCTAATCAAGGCCTTCAGGTGCTCCACCTCTTTAATGCCGTCCCTGAGGCCCCGCTTCAACCCATCACAGAACCTTTCCGATGCCTGCCGACCACCACCAAGCTCGATTCGAAAGCGCTGTGCATCACTCGTATTCCCTTGCTTTCCAGACAAGGCTGTCATGCCATTCCATGTCGTAATCGCCAGAGAGAACAGGCTATTTTCTGATGGGAGTCTCTCAACTCGTCGAATAGCACACAAGGGTAGCGTGAAGCCATTTCCAGCAGGACCTGCCCCTTGTGTCTGACCAGTAAAGATACTTGATGCTTGTAGACTTGCATTTGGGTGGAAGCTGGAAGCTTGCGTTGAGAAGCACAGGAAGCTTTCACTTAAATGTAGCTTGCCCACGTACGAAGCGCCGTGTTCTCGGCTTCTATGCTTTTCAATTGGGGGCTGGAAGGTGGGTTTTGAGGCATGGGCTGCATTTAGGATGAGTTCGGCTGTTATCTCTTGTAGCGGTGTCTGAGAGTCTGGGAGACGGAACTGCAGGCGGAAAAGAGCTTCTTTCGATGGCCTGCCATCTGCTTTCGGACCTTGAGAGGAGGTGGCATCAATGATGGAGTGAGCCTTTTGCACAAGAGACGTAAGATTGAACATAGCTATGCTATGTAGGGAGGCATTGAGGACTCAATGTACGGATTGTCGCTCCATTAGGGCCCCCAAAGGACATCACACGCATAGCATACGAAGCTGAGCATTCTGGCACTTCACGAAGCTCGACATGGGATTACGATTCTACTCAGCCTCAGGGTAGCGAGGTATTCTAAAGCTACATTACCGTAGTATTTAAGCTAGTCATCTTTATAAGTGTAATTTTCTTGCGAGTTTTCGAATCTTCCTTCCTTCACTAGCACGAATCGCTCTTCTTGAATAATTTTCCTTCTATCCATGATATCCATCGAGACTCTTGTGCGATTGTAGTTGATATTGAACGCTTTGTTATGATACCTGCAGAATGTACATCGGATCCAATTTATTTGTAGCCGAGCCTGACCATACAAAGTTGGAAAGTGAGATCGTAGCCGGCATTAATCTGTGAGATTAATCAAGGCCTTAGTGCTTGATAGCAAAACCCTCGATGAAACAGGTGGGAGACCGTGCAATCAGATGGTATGCAGGTCACAGGAAAAGTCATCGTTTCCAAGGCCTTTAGAACGTAGGTATACTCCTTTGAGGATCTTAAACATATCCCTCTCGCTTTTTCTTGCTCTTTTGGTTGTTCCTGCGAGAGGCCTTAAGTCTAGCAATTTTCCAGTAATGGACAAAGAGATCAATTTCATGTCTATGTACTACCTTTCAATGTTAAAGACCCACGTTACTTCTTAGTATGACATACGATCAATGAGTTATCTGGTGTGTGTGATCTGTTAGTGCATCGTCTCCATATTGTTATTGACGAGATTTGGTGTCTTTGGTTTGAGCACCACAACACACCAGTCATCTCCACGCCTTGCCTATTCCGGCCTCCATATGCACATTGACCCAAACTGAGTATGCACTTGGCCGATTCCGGCTCTCAGGCACCAAGAGGAAGTGAATTAGGAGGTTCGTTGAGTGTTAACCCCGCTTTCTTCAACACACAGCGATGGCGGCAAACATGGACGACACAATTCAGCCATCGCAAATGACACGAGGGGAAATTGACGAATTCTTAATGCAACAACAGCAAACTATCAAACATCTCACATCGCGGCTGGACAAGGAAGCAGAGCAGCGACAAATCAACGACAAGAAAAGCGAAGAGCATATCGCTTATGCGGAAGCAAATAACGACACTCTCAAAAAAGCCTTAGAGGAGGCTCACGTATTGCCCAAACATCAAAGTGATACCGTCAAAGCTGTTCAGAAGAAGAACACCGAGTTGCAAACTGCTCTACGAACAGCACGGAATACATCAAGCAGTCTCGAGAGAAAGCTCTTATCGCCATTCGGCCACAAAGAAAGTCGCTCAATTTCTTGTAGCCACAACCAACGATCACAAGCAAACCCAACACACGCGTCACAGACGAATACTGCGATGAGTGAAAATCTCGCTGGACTACGAACAGACCTGACCGAGATGGAAGATAAACATTTTGCAGAGAAGGAAGTCTTAGAGGCTGAGGTACGGAGGTGGAAACTGCTTTGCAGGTCGTTGTGGATGAGCTTCAAGTCTCGAATGGAAAACGCTGGTCTGGAGGCCGGTGCAGAATCAATTTTTCAGAACCCAGATCTAAGGAAAGCTGCTGAGGAATTGAGGATATGGACTGGACTGCCTCCACTGGGTCACTCCGGCAATAGAGTCACACATAACGCAGCTGATGATGCCCCAGCGAAGATGAGCACAGGTGCAAAGAAGAGGCAGAGGAGGAAGCAAACTAGAGCTAAAGGCACCGCTTTGGAGGACGAGGCAGAGGCTGAAGCGGGTGAAGCTTCGAAACAACCAACCTTTCATACAGCTGAAGATCTTCAAGAAAACCAGCTTCTCACGGCAGTACAGCCCGAAGAAGGCACTAAGACTAATAGCGAGCTTGATGAGATAGCACGAATCCCAACTGGCGAAAATAAAGGTGGCACTGCAGATAATGACGGCAGTTCAACGAACCGTCAAATCTTTTCTGAAGAAGGTAAAGCTGCCGCGGACAAGCCAGAGGTGGACGCAGAAGTCACTGACGTCGGGGAAGGGAAAGGTGAAGAAGCTAAGCTCCTTAATGAGGCACATGTACAGACGGCTGCAATCCCGTCCGTGGGAGACGGGGAAGCCGTTCCAGAAGTAGGAAAGGACGTGGAGAAGGCTAGTTCAAAGGAAGAGAAAGGCGGAGAAGCCACTCAAAAACAAAAAGTCAAGGCAGAAACGGCAGTGATCCTAAAGGACGAGAGTACTCAAACCACCCAGATGCCAGAGAAAGAGGCAAAGGCAGAGCGAGCAAAAACGGGCGATGACAAGGCTGTCCAGGTACCAGAAGCAAGCAAAGAGGCAAGACTACAGCAGGTCGAATCCGAGCCTGCAAAGGCACTTGCAGCAAACTTCGCCTTCCTAAAAGGCCGATACTGGATCCTTGCCATTGTGCTGTACCTTATCTTATTTATATGTACAGCGTACATTGATCACGCAGCTAGAGAAGAACGCAACATTTGGCTAGCAGCCAACGACACGAGTAGAGTCGCGGTACATCGAGTCATGCGTGCAAACCAATCGGGACAATCAATGGGCTGGCTCAGCCATAGCAGCCTACAATCCAGCAATTTGTCTACCGGTATGGGACGACGATACAGCATGGGGTACGGGGCCACAGGGTACGGGGCGACCTTCTGAGAGGGGGTGGGAGAGTGGTATCACTCGATCGTCGGATCGAATGCGCCTACTAACATTGCACAGTCACCATTATGGTGACTGTCTGTTGGTGCTGGCAGCGTTCGAGGGGACGATTAAGCAGATCAGTCCTGTTTCTGAGAGAGGAATTTTGTGGGAAAGGCGGGCTTCTTGTGGGAACCTGGTTTCACTCGATCGTCGAATCGAATGCGCCTACCAACATTGCACGGTCACCATTACGGTGACTGTCTGTTGGTCACGGCAGCAATCGAGGAGATGATTGAGTGAAACCAGTCCCAGCTTGGCAGAGATGCGCTTGCTAACATTGCACGGTCCTTGTGACTGTCTGTTGGTATAGGCGGTGTCTCTGTCAGGCAGCAAGAATGCAGTGGCCAAGTGCGGTGGACTGTGACTTGTGGTTTGTCTGCATTTGTATTTAAACTGAGTGAATTGTCTATGCAAGTAAATGCTATGATATGCTGCTGCCATGACCTTCAAGAGTACGCCCGTTGCCATTAGAGGACTCTGCGGTTTCCCCGTTCAAGTTCCTATCTACCAGTTGCACTGATTGTCTTCGTCTTCGTCGTCGTCTTCTTCTGTGACGAGGCCTTTCCTCCAATGGCACGATACCCGCTTCTTGTTTCATCCTCTGGACCGCAGCACCTACAGCAAATTGGCTGTCTAACCTATCGTGTTTTGTACATGGACTGTATTTAAGAGGTAGCAACCAGTCGTACCATTGCTCTCCCATAACACTCTTGAAATTTCCAAAAGCGCCGAGGTCCCATGGGTTGTCTCCAGGTCTACTGTGTAGAATGGCAAAGGTTTTAAGCCCGTGGCCAGCGATGTCAGTGTAGGCTGTTGGCTGAGTTACAGGAAACGAGATTGTAGGAAAGGGTGGCCGTTCTTGTGGCGGACGAGGTAGGTGAATTGCAAGCTGGTAGACCACCGTCTTCCTCGACAGGTTCTCGATCGTGGTTGTATTTACTAGAGCAAATTGCAGCGAACTCCCTGTCATCCCGACCGTGAAAAGCCCAAATAGCGCCGCCATTGCAAGTGTGACCACCCAATGCACATGTATTTTATGATAAGCCTTGACGTATTCATGGAGCAGGACAGCGACCAGAATCAGAACAAAGGTACAGTAAATGGCTGTGTAAGCGACGAATTGGACGAAGAACTTGAATGAGGTTTCAGAAACTACCCCTCCGACCCATGGGCAGAAGTGGTCCATTTTATGAACACAGCGATCGACCTCCCGACAATGATGTGTGCGATCGGGCTTCCAATTTTGGCATTGCGAGCACCATATTGGCTGGCCGTCCCCCTGGCATATAAAAAGGTCACGCTTGATGAACTCTTGCAAACCAGGCCGTTGATGCTGCGGTATCTTCTCCTGTCCTGCTGTCCGTTCTTTATGGTCGGGATTAACTTCAGTGTATCCGGGATTGGCTATGACCACGTAGAGAAGGCGGGCATAGGTGAGGGTCATAGAGAGGAAAAGGACGACGTAGCAGACAAGCATGCCCACGGCCAGGCCATGACGGGGGGCGTGGAAATCTGGTGGGGGCTTAATTAGATAGTTGACTGTTCCCATCCGTCAGCTCTTGTATATACATCAGATTTCAAATGCCGACCGCAAAGTGAAACTATCACCCAAGTGACATATATTATGATGGCGGCGATGAAGAGAGGAATAAATCTGGAGACCCAAAGGTTTACGGCTTTCGTATTAGGCGCAGAGCGCTGCATCTAAAGGTTACAAGAAAGGAATCGCATAGTAAAGCACCAGAGGCGTAAAGGGCGGGACTGTTGACAGGGTAAGACAAGGATGATGGAGACTAAAGCCTGCCTCGTGGCCTTTACGAAGCTAAGCTCGATTTGGATAGCATGAAAATTAGGCTCATTAGCGTGACATCAGCCCTATTCATAATCCGTTCTCCGTCGTCCCGATAATTCATCTGGGAACGCCCACTAGATACCAGAAGTTGCTGCAGTACTTCTATGATGACTGGGGCACTTGACCTGAGGGCTATGCTGAGCAAAACAGGATATCACAGCCCTGATACAGGATCTCTGATTCCTTGCTTCCTTTTTAATTGTCTTCCTCGGTCAAGTCGACTGACCACCGGTGACTTGTTGTTGACGTTGAAAAAGAATGTGTGGTCGTCATCCTAGCAAGCTTGACATGCTTGTGCAGTACCAAAGTGTGTTGATTCGCACACCATAATATTTGCCTGAATCATCGGTAGACAGGCCATGACCAGGTCGGTGCCTTGCCCCCTTTCCCAATTCCTGCTACCGATTCATGTAAGTCATGCTATGGCGGTGAGAATGCACAACTTCACTGCCATTTCAGCTTCATCTCGTGCCTTCAGATGATATATAATGCCCAAATCAGGTCGATATGTCTTTCTTGATCGCTTTGGCTCTATCAAACTTTTCCTTGAAAATACATTTCGGGCTTGAAACCTGTGATTAGGATTGCAAGATTTCTTCGACAGGCGATCGTTTCATTGAAGAAATATACTCCTTTCACATTTCGGAATGGCCACAATCAGTAGCAGTACGCCCGCTCTTGCGGATTTGATAGTCTTTCGACAAACTCTTGCTGCCCTATCTTTCCAACCGTTGGCAAGCACGGCTTCACTATGTCTAGCTGCCTCAAGTACCCAGGTGAGTACTTCCATGATATTACCTTCCTCCCGCCATCCTCTGACAGTAGTAGGTGGCTTCCGATCCACCCTTACACCTCGATAAACAGTTTGAAGCCATCCTCTCGTCCGGCTTGGCCGGCATGCGCCCAATATCACTTCCCACCAGTTGGTATTGCCACATTTGCCACTATGGCCCTATGCTGATTGCTACCACGCCATCTTGCACGAATGTGCTGAAGGATGGCCGCACGTGCAATCATCCCAGATGTGATGACTGCACCACCGAATAAGTTATAGCTTTTTCAGCACGGCTCTAGGAAACGAAGAACGACGATTGTAGGATGTTGTGATGAAGCTTAAAGCTCTTTGGCGCGGATGATATTTCTCAAGTCTACAGAATTGTTTCACTATCGGTGTATGTCATTCGCTTCGTAGTACATAGTATTTTCACAATATTTGCAATCGTGGATTTTCGGACTCGATTTACATGTTTATTGTGGCAAGGTACCTGACTTCTCGGCTATAAATTCAAAAAGCTCGGTGCTTGGACAATTTTGCTACTCTGTTCTTCGCAGTTAAAGCAATCACAGGGAACATCAAGCAAGTACCTTGCTCGCGAAATATCGTCAGCAATCTTCTCTAGAAAGTAAGGCTTTCCAGTCAGTTGCCAGGTCGACAATATTAACGATGACGGCAGTGTTCAAGCTCACGAGGGACACGTCGATGATTAGAGTACCCCGTCAAAAGTCTCTACTAAGCCTCTTGGAGGGCGCTCACGCTGTGCCAGGGACGGAGTGGACGTCACGGACCCTTTGGAAAGTCCATTCCCATAATGTTGAGCTGATACCCAAGGTGGTTTGCTCTCATGATTGTCCCCAATTCACAAGGACGATCCTGTGTACGCGGACTGCCGGAGCCCGATGGTCTTGTTTTCTCCTGATAAAAACATTTTCTTGCTCTGCTATGACTGTTGGTATACTTTCCTCTGTTGTTCTAGCGCTCTATAATAACGTCATTTCTTCCTGGCGTGTCCGATAGTACAAGCTTCACCCTTCGGGCCCTACACACCGCGCCACAATGATCAAGCTTAGTTTTTAGGTTCACTTAAGGATTTCGGCCTCATAAATGGCACGGGCACGCTGAATGGTGGAACTCCTCACCGCTCTTTCTGACGTTATCATACTCAATTTATAAAAAGGGCGCCGCCTTTCGGTACGCTTTACTTCGCCACAAATCTGACAATGAGCAGTATCGCTACCGACCGAACCGAACCGCAACATACTACCAACGATATCAGAGGTCTTCCACGTGGCGAATAAGGCTGCAGGAAGGGCCATAGGGATGAAGATCGTCACATCTCAATCTGAAACCATGATTGACTCCAGACAAATTTCATTTTCTTTGATACTTTGTGACTCATTAAAGTCGAGACTTTTGAGAATTTTCTGCATGCAGGGCGTGCTCACCGACATAGCCCTGCAATGGGCAAAAATGCACCGCCAGGAGAAACGCACATTTGCTGGCTAAGGCACCGGTGCAAAATGCTTCTGAGATCACGGGGCGGCGACTCGACTAGATCTGATTCGTTTTGCACGTGACACTGCCACCGAGCTCACGTTTGCTTCTCTCTAATAGTCCGGAGGCAATGACACAAATGTACCATTTTGTGTCATACTGAACCGGTTATTGTGCACCGTTTGTCGAATGCTCATCTCGGTCTGGCGACATCAGGGTGACAAATTGTTTGCCTGAAAGTAAATTGCTCATTCTGCTGAAATGCACGGTATGAATTGACACAATGATCGAATCAATTGTTCGCCCTAAAGGGGCAGAGTCGACGTCTACCGACTCATGACAGGTGAGAGAAAGCTTCGTCGACCGCCCCACCGAGAATTATCATCCTGCGTTGGATATATAAACACAGAGAAGGACCATAACTTTTGCTCAACGCTAGAAGCAATCTATCTTCGACATCTAAAAGCGATCACAGTCATTCAGAAAGAGCCCATTCACCATGCCATCCACCAAACCCATCGCTCCGCCCAAAGGCGCCACAAAATTCACGTGTGGCAAATGTGAAGGGAACCCAACGATGAAACTATCCCAATATACTCATTGCATCTGCTGCGAAGAGAAGTACGATGCTTATTCAACGTTTTATGATGCTAGAATGCGCGAAATCCCACTTCCTGGGTAGGAAGATCCGGGGGCTGAGGGGCGAAAGAAGCGTTGGGAACAGAACGCACGAAGACCAAGTACCGAGTTCGATTGAGGCAGAAATTATGCTTCGATGCTGATGCAACACAGGTTGACTCAATCCGTCGTCACAAGTGTAGGAGCACAGAATGCGCAAACAAATCGACAGAATCAGAGGAGCGTACCCAGCCGCCACCAGCCCTTGGTCAACATGATCCATTATCAAAAACCTTCGCTCGATTCATTTCTTTTGTAGATTCTTGATCTTGTATTCGCTGGAAAGCTATTTACAAACACTCTTTTCTCGGATGAATGGGTGGATAGCGTTGACATTTTGACAAACGATGTACAACAGGCATTACCTTCGTTTTTGTATATATTGCGAATATAGACTGCTTGTAAGAAATAGAAAAGGTGCTGACGGCTGGCCTACCGTCTCTCAATAGCACGACTATCTGTTTCCTCTCCTGCATCTCTTCGATGATGCTCAGTGGCCCTGCAGTCACTTTCTGCAGAAACGTCGACACTGGAAACTTACCAGGCATCCACTAACTTTTATTTTTTGGGAATTCTATTTCAGATCTAACAATATAAGACTCCCTTTTTGCCCTGCTCAAACTCTAACATGGCTTTTGTATGAGGCGGAGGGAAACAGGCGAGTGTGCTCAGCACTAGAAGGCGCAGCTTTACTATGCCTTACGCCCTTCTTCATCTTTGACCAAGATGCGACCGCCCCGCAGACTATGTTGTGGGCTTAGGGTTAATTGCAAATGTTTGTATGACTTTCTTTCAATGAGTGGTGAGGGCTCAGGAAAAGCTGTCGTGCTGAAAGAATCCGACTAATGAAACATGATTCGAAAGGAGAAGAACGCTACAGAGGATTGCAGACGACGATAAACATGATACTACCTATATCCTCTTCAGAAGCTGTTGTGGCAGAGCGGACATGACAGTGCGTAACATTTTCAGCGCTTCCCCGAATCAAACTAGGGAACTAGGACACCTGGGTGCGGAAAACGGACACGTGTGGCGATTTGAATCGGTGACACCAAATGACTGATGTAATTGTTACCTTATTTCATTCTGCTGAAGGCTTTGACTCCGTGGTCTGATCGCTATAAGGCTGTATCAACTTTTCTCACGCCTACATAGACTCATAACGTTCATGTCATCATTACATGAATGACTCTAGCCCTCGTCTTGAGGATTGGGGTTAAGATTGTGTTCCTCACGACTGCGAGATGCCAATGACACCGCATGCAGGACGTCCGCCAGCATTGCCTGTGGTCTTACTATGCTCATGACCGCCTTTTCCGAGATCATCCGTACCGGCGTGCACGACGATGGTGCGGCCAAGGACGCTATTATTTCCGTATAATTTGACCTGACTGTCGGTGACAGTGCCCTTTGCATTGCCTTGTGCATCGGTCTCGAAGTTCCCTAGATCTCCAACGTGACGGACGCTGTCATCTGGCGCACCGTGTTCTTTACTGAAAGGATTGACTGGATGCGGACATATGTTTGAGTACGTTGAGGATGGTCATGGGGCTTCTGATGACAGGGCCCAACTTACAGTGCGGACCGGCAGATGTGCAGCCATTGGTATTGTCACCAAACTGGTGGACATGCATGCCCCGCTTTGCAGATGCGTCGTGGCCTGTAATATCAAAAGTGATTGATGTTGGAGCTGATTCGGATGCTTGCTCGAAAGTCACTGTTCCCTTGACATTTGAGTCACCCCGAAGGACCGCAACTGTGGAAATCGAAGCGGATTAGCATCGAATCTTGCAACATGGCAGTCCAGGAAAGGTTAAGAGATAGGTTCGGGAATGGGGGAAAGCCCCAAGACCAAGTGGAATCGTCCGAGTCGGACCCGGCAACGGACTTCATGTCAAGAAGCAATCTGACAGCGCTCTTGTGACAGGTGGAGGAGGAGGGCAGATCGGGGGCATCTTGCTCAAGGGTACGTAGAGGACCCAAAGGGCGGGAAAGCCGCAACTTACCTGCTTTGACGCCCATGGTGGCGATGTGATTGATATTATAGGTGAAGATTATTGGAGGATATGTACGTATGTTACGTTACTCTCTGAATCCAGTGCAGATGGTGAAGTTCATATGTCAATCCAGACGCCGAACTCTCGGAAGTCTGAAGTGGGGTCATCGACGTCACAAACCCGGTGCCTCTGCCTCTTATTGCCGAACTTGCCAATGGAATGGCCCAACCGTCACGAACTCGAGCATAGAGTCATGGACATACATTTTGGAAAATGCGAAGAATGATAACTGCCACCAATTTTCACACTAGGTCTTCATCATTGTTGGCATGACTGTCGCTGCAGCTTTATGAGACTCGGATGGCAGGGACGCAGACCTTTCCGCGGAGCAGAGAGGCAACGCACTGGCGTGGTAGCATAGGCGCGTAACGGCGCAATAATAATGAACATATCGAGGGTAAACAGCTGTCGTGTGGGGGTGCTCCAGGTGTCTCGGTGGCTCTTGTCACTACTTTGAGACCTGTTGGCCCTTGCTGATGAAACCACCACGCGAACATAACGTGGTTAGCATGGGCTGACCCGGCTACAAGCATAACATCGACTTCGTGGCGGTGCTGTGCGACATACCGCCGGAGTGAACAACGGTTGGAAAAGAAAAGGAGACAGAGAGCAGTCGGAAAGCTCAACGATTGGGCCTCTTAACATGTGCCATCGTTCCCTATGAAAATCTTTGAAGAGGAATGAATAAGGCAAGGATCATAATTTCAAGCTCTAGTTCTAGCCTGGCCCGGCGCTTCTTCAGGAGGGGGACCAATTTTAGAGAAGACTCGCTCCGGCACATCCTCATCTCCTGCACGACTATTATCCTTTCCACGCTGTGTTCATGATTCCTCGCATTCCTGGCCCTTCGCTGTTTGCCACGGGCTTGATTTGGTTGGCACGCATTGCTGCATCACCTCTCGAAGGCAGGCAGTGGCCAAATTAAAGTGAGTAATTCCTGAACGCCAAGCCTTAAAAATTCAATTGTGACCCTTCTATTCGAGTCTCGACACACACATCTTCTAACATGGCGTAAACAGTAGCTACAGCACAATCTTTCCCCTTGGCTCGGTGGTTCCTGGCTTCGGATCTCTCCTCCCACTCTCCTCGCGCCCTCGCAGCCCGTGTAATGTCATCTTATGATCCTCAATCATGGCAAGTGCCTATCAGGGAGGCAACTTGGGAACAGCCCCCTCCCTCGGCCGGCCTGAGTAAGTGATGCGCCGTCGGTCGTGGTAGAATCACTTGGTCTGATCGGTATCCAGCTACCAGCCCCTCCATGCAGCACCGAGAACAAATGGCATTCCACCAACAATTTGAAGGTGCGTCGATCTCTGCACAATCTGCTTTCACTTCGCATCTTTTAGCTCCGTCAAAATCCTAAGCTTCTGCTCGAGGTGCTGACGAGTCATTAGAGATTGATCGAGGCATTGACAACCTAATGAAGAGCGGGAAACTCTACCCCATGCAACCAAGGCGAGATTCGATGCCTATGATGGGAATGCCACAGCCCTATGCCGAATATGGTCAGTAACAAACCGTCCTATTTTTAATGTAGGCTCATGATTTGTGGAAGGCCCCCTCGAGTCTCGCAGCGGCACTCTCTTGACTACGATTCGATGCGCCCTCATTCAGGATCAAATGCTCAGAACTTTTACGCAAACCAACGGCAACATCCCAGAGCAAACGACAATGAGCAATTAATGCAGGCAAAGCGACGTATGGCAGCTCAACGGGAGCGGGAGCTTCGCAATTACCACCAAGAGCAACAATACAGTAAGGGTGTGTACTAGCGCGGTAGAGGAGAAAGACATCTGCTTATCATCATAACATAGGCTCAACCGTACAAGCTAGCTCTGACGGGGCGACAAGTCCTAGTGGTATGAATGAAGACGACCGCCGAGAGCTGATCGCTCGCCAACATCGTGCACTCTACGGCAACGATGGACCATATTACGAACAGGATAATCATACTCCAAGACCCGCGAATCCCACATCTGGTCATCCAAGCTCAGCTGGTGGGAGAGGTCCATCACCGCGTACTTACGACCCCTTCAGTTTAGGGCAAGGGCAAGGACAGCATGGTCAAGATGACGCTGGGCAGCTAAATCCTAGTGAGCAAGCTCAGCAGGGTCCTAAGGGACCGTCTCCGAAACCTCAACCTGGGAGCTCGCATGAGAATAGCACCGCTTCACCGGCGTCGAACCCCCCGAGTCAAAATTTTAGCTTGTTCGAGGGTACAGCCCAGCAGTCCAGCCGCACATCGACATCTTCCCCTGGCGGCTCTCCGCCACGTCAAGGGAAGGCTTCTGGTCCCGGTGTTGCACCGATCGGCACGCGTCCTACACAAGCCAGCAACCCAGCGCTTGCCAACAAGCGATCGGGGACTCCCTCTCAATCCCCGTTGAGCCATGGCTTCTCTGCGACTAATGACAACTTGAAACCACGTGGTGGCGGTAACGAAAGGTCTACTTCATCCGCATCAAATCCATCTGGTGGTGCATCCAAGGAGCCAACGACAAGCGCCTGGGGTTCATCCAGCGGAGTTTGGGGAACAAGCGGAAACAACAATAAATCAGTTGGTGCTGTTTGGGGTTAGGCATTGTGAAAATAACCTTTCTTCATTTGGTACGGGAGTCGGCTTGATGCATTTCAAGGCGTTTTCATCCTGGGCTTTCGGTCATTCATTGCATCAGTGAGGAGGTGTTGTTTGCATTGCGGTCCTGTTTTGCATGGTAGGCGCTTTGCTAAGATACCAGCTATTTATTCCTGAGTTCGTAATTGCGGAAAAAGGAGGTCGAATGAGCATGTTTGAAAGATTATCTCGGGTGCAAAGGCCGTTCTCGGCTCATTATATATATCCATCGGACAGGTAGGCGTGATGGCTTCAAGCATATGGGTGAGAGTATCAAGAGAATATCATATGGCAGTGCTTCTCTCTATATCTCCATTGATGTCCGTCCCTGCAACTTATTAACAACCTTTACTGGTTGAACAAGATACCCGGGGCAGGTGGCTGGCACAGCTTCATTGCTGGGCGATACCAAACATTCCAGAAAATTGAAATATATCATGTTGAGCGTCATCCTTTCTACTCCACGTCTCTTCAGTCGTGATTAGAGTGTGGACTCCGTATGACGTTTGATCAAAAGCTGATAGCAGAGGCGTTATGAACGGATCTCAAAATGCCCGTTCTTACGCATCAACGTTTCGTGTTCGGCGACGTTCCCAACAATCGTCTCATGTAAAACTTATCCGAATTTTTAGTCATCAATCCGCCCACTTCCGTCATAGTGGGGTCGTTCACGGGCATTGAGATTTTTCTCACGCACTGCCCAACACCACCCTCACTTTCACGACTCAAACATCGCACGCAGTAATAGCAACATGTCTTCTTCACTTGATCAGTTGAAGGCTTGCGGGACGACCGTCGTCAGCGATAGCGGTGATTTCGCTTCAATTGCCAAGTACAAGCCGCAAGATGCTACTACGAATCCGAGTCTTATTCTCGCCGCAAGCAAGAAAGAAGAGTATGCCAAATTGATGGATGTGGCTGTTGATTATGGCAAGGATAAAGGCAGCTCGATGGATGAAAAGGTCGATGCTACCTTAGACCGCCTCCTCGTGGAATTTGGGAAAGAAATTCTCCAAATCGTTCCGGGAAAGGTGTCAACAGAAGTTGATGCCCGCTTCTCCTTTGACATCGAAGGATCAGTCAAAAAAGCTCTCCATATCCTTGATGTAGGCCCGATCTACTCATATGCAGCAAAGCATCGCTGACGAAGTGCAAGCTGTACCAATCGATTGGCATAGATAAATCCAGGGTTCTCATAAAGTTGGCCAGCACCTGGGAAGGTGTCAAGGCTTGCGATATTCTCCAGTCTAAACATGGTGTCAATTGCAATATGACGCTGATGTTCTCCATGCCTCAAGCCATTGCGGCCGCGGAAGCCGGTGCCTTCTTAATCTCTCCTTTTGTGGGTCGAATCCTCGACTGGTATAAGGCTGCGCATAAGAAAGAGTATGCTGCACAGGAAGATCCAGGTGTACATTCCGTGCAGCAAATCTTCAACTACTACAAGAAATTCGGATACAAGACGGTAGTGATGGGCGCAAGCTTCAGAAATCTCGGCGAAATCACAGAATTGGCCGGCTGCGACTATCTCACAATTGCAGTAGGTTTTATGCCTACGATCGTACCCATTCATCACTGACCCTGGTGACAGCCTAATCTCCTCGAAGATCTCTTCAACAAGCAAGATTCGGTGCCCAAGAAGCTCGATGCTGCCAATGCTTCTTCGCTAGATATCGAGAAGAAGTCTTACATCAGTAACGAAGAGAAATTCCGCTTTGATTTCAACGAAGAAGCAATGGCTGTTGAAAAGCTCCGTGAAGGCATCAGCAAATTTGCGGCTGACGCAATTACACTCAAGGGTATTTTGGCAGAGAAAATCAAAAAGGCATGAAGTACGTACGTGAACGGCGTTGAGGTGCATCCAAGTATATTATGGTAGAAGTACGTCACATGCAAAGTCCATAGCAGCAATGAAGTCTACTCAGTCTGACATACTCACATGCTCGATATCTCCATCCGTCTTCTCATCCTTTCTGAGCAAGCCTACCTGTGCCTAGAATGAAGCGGTTCGGGAAAGCCTACCCGGCGATCAGAACTCCCCCCACCTCCACCCAGCCATCTGTTGCATCGGGTTTACTGCAGCGTAATGGTCAAACATGTAGGCAATGGCCTTTGATGGCCTTTGGGCTCTTCCATCTCTGTTCTACTTCTTCAATCACTTACCTGCCAAATAATGGCTCTTTCTTTAGCTGGTAAAACAGCCATTGTGACCGGAGCCGGGTCAGGTATGACTCCGGCTTGCACTGCAGTTGATTTCTCATGACTCGAGAATTGACGATTGAGTTGTAGGCATCAATCTGGCGTTCGCTCGCAGTCTCCTCGCCCGACAATGTAACGTCGTCCTCGCAGACGTTGCACTCCGTCCGGATGCTGAGGACCTGGTCAACAAGCACAGTAGCCGAAGTAAGCTGTCGAATGGCCGGGCGGTATTCACCAAGACGGATGTAAGGCATTGGGGCGACCTCGAACAAATGTTTGAAGTTGCTAGTAAGGAGTTTTCAGGCGCTGTCGATGTCGTGTGCCCTGGCGCCGGCGTTTATGAGCCCGTGAGTCAAGCGCTCTGCGATATCAGATCTGAATACACTTCTTACTCATGCCAATCATAGACATGGTCTTCTTTCTGGCACCCACCATCATCTCCTCTTTCCAAAGACTCGCCCACGTCGAACAATTACGACTCCATCTCCATTAATATCACGCACCCAATCCGCACAACCCAGCTGGCAATCCAACATTACCTCCGCACCCGGCCTCGACCGTCACCTTCAAGATCACCAGAATTTCCAACTCCGATGAATATTGTACACATCTCAAGCATTGGCCACCAGATTTCGCCCTTTGCACCCGCTCTCTACTGTGCAGCTAAGCACGCCATCTCCAGCTTCGCCCGTAGCCTTTCTCCCCTTCACCAGCGTCTCGGAATCCGTGTGACGGCGGTCGCGCCAGGAGTCATTCGCACACCCTTATGGATGGACGATCCCATCAAACGTCAGTGGCTCACTGAAGACGATCAGCTCGTGACCCCAGAGACAGTAGCGGACTGCATGCTAGATTTGGCCAGCGAAGAGCAGATTATGGTGCAGGGTGAGGGCTCTGAGTGGTTCCCCGGGGGAAGGAAATATGAGATCGAAGGTGGGATGATTGTAGAGGTCAGCGCAGAGGGAAGAAGGATCGTGAAACAGGTCATGGATCCAGGACCACAAAAAAGAGCAGGCAACACGGTCAGTGGGATGGCGGATGAACAAGAAAGAATTCTGCAAAGACTAGAGACGGGCGACTTTTGAGCAGAGGTGATTTCGTGTTGCATTCATCCGGCCAGTTGGATCTCTTGTAAAATGCCTGATATAGATCTCCCGCGTCGAAAATGATGTTTACAAAGCTCCTTGGTAACGGGATCCAACTGATTTTGCCATTTTAAAAGTTCTTAGGGCTGACTTCAGGAAAGTCTAAGCGGTGGTTTGGAGTTCAAATAAAGACAGGAAATGAGAATTATCGACCTGACATTGATCCTGTACACGCTACACGGCTCGATGATGCACACAAATCGAGTAATAATTGCTCTTCATGCGACGAAGATCTTTCGCCCGAGGGCCGCTAAGCTTCCCCGCATATGACCTCGGCCGCCTGCCTGGAGGAGCTGGAATGCCTCGAGTCCATACAGTGTCAAGTTGAATAGCTGGTTCAAGAGATAGACCTCAGATTATACCACAACGTTTTTCTAGGACTGTCAAAATGGTCTTCCATCCGCCGTCGTGGGTGCCCCCACTGCCCTTCGATCCACCGGACTCGATTCCAATTAGCGAGTTCATGCTCAATGAGCAATATGGCCGTCATCCTTTCCGTCTTTCAAGGCCACCGTTCACGTGCGGGTTGACTGGCCTCGAGTATTCGTGGTCTGACGTGTGCAATCGTGTGAATGCGCTTGCATCAGGGCTGTCAAAAGAGCTTGGATTCACGCCGAATGAGGGCACCGAATGGGACAAAGTGGTCTGCGTGTTCAGTGTGAACACGGTAAGCTTTACAAAAATGTATTCAGCTTCTGAGCCGACGAAACAGCTGAAGTAGATCATCATAGATCGACACCGTTGTCTTCACATGGGCGCTTCATTATCTTGGAGGCATATCCTCTCCCGCAAATGCTGCATACTCTGAGGATGAGCTCGTTTACCAGCTCAAGTCATCAAGTTCAAAAGCCCTGTTCACCTGCGTTCCCCTCTTAGAAACATCAATTGCAGCGGCAAGAAAGTGTGGCATTCCGAAGGATCGCGTCTATCTCTTTGATGTACCGAAACAATTGACCGGCGCGAGCTCAGATTCTCAGGGTTTCAAAACAGTCAACCAGTTGATCGAAGAGAGTTCATCTCTTCCGCAGGTCGAGAGGTTGCGATGGACCAAGGGCGAAGGAGCAAGACGCACGGCCTTCCTTTGCTACTCAAGTGGTACATCTGGACTGCCGGTGAGATATACTCCTGTTCCACTTGGTCTGGAAGAGGCCTTGAGCTCATGTGTCGTAGAAAGGCGTCAAGATCGCGCATCGCAATCTCATTGCCAACGTTCTGCAAGTAGCAACCTCGGAGAATCCCCACCGTGCAAAGAAAAAGAAGCCCGGAGACGAATACAATCCAACGGAAGTCTCATTGGGCATATTGCCTCAAAGTCACATATACTCGCTTGTTCTGTTGTGCCATACCGTGCCCTACCGTGGGGATCAGGTCATAAATATTCCAAAATTTGATTTGCCACAAGTTCTGGCGGCGATACAGCGATTCAAAATCAACAATCTTTACCTGGTATGTTAACGCTTTGTGCCTTATGAGCTCCACCAGATGAAGGCATCCTGTCAACTTTTTGGAAGGCTAAGTTTCTCCGATAGGTACCGCCGATCATTATTGCCATGAAGAATAATCCTGAGGTGCTCAAAAAATTTGATCTTACTTCTGTTGAAACAGTCTTTACCGGAGCAGCCCCGGTAGGCCCAGAAACTGCGGAACAAATGCAAAAGCAGCACCCCAAATGGCTGGTTAGGCAAGGTTACGGTCTGATCCACGCACGTTCCTATAGCAAATCATGCGCTAAATCCTTTCAGGCCTCACAGAGACGTCGACTGTGGTTTGCTCAACCGCGTTTCATGATGTTATGGACGGTTCTTGTGGTTCTCTGCTCCCAGGCTTCGAAGCTAAACTCGTGTCCATCGAAGGCAATGAGATAAAAGGCTATGATCAGCCCGGTGAACTTGTTGTTAGATCACCTAGTGTTACATTAGGCTATCTCAACAATGACAAGGCAAACCAGGAGACTTTTGTTGACGGATGGGTGCGTACTGGAGACGAAGCCGTGGTGCGGAAAAGTCCGAAAGGCTATGAGCATATATTTATCGTAGACCGCATCAAGGAGCTTATCAAAGTCAAGGTTCGTGGATTCCGATCGAACGTGCAAAGTAGGAACATCATTGATGTTTTCTCATAGGGGTTGCAAGTAGCGCCAGCGGAGCTGGAGGCGCACCTACTTACTCATCCCGCGGTCGCGGACTGCACTGTCATACCGATTGCAGACGACACAGCAGGGGAGCGTCCGAAAGCCTTCGTTGTTAAATCATCATCGGTGGGCTTGGAAGACAATGACCGGATACTAGTCCGAGAAATAAAAAAACATGTGGAAAAGACGAAAGCTCGGCACAAGTGGCTTGCAGAAGTGGTTTTTGTCGACACAATACCGAAATCACCTAGTGGCAAGATACTAAGACGCTTGCTGAGAGATAAAGATAGGGAAGAAAGGAGGAAACAAGGCCCAAGGTTGTGATTTGGACTGCCGTCCACATATACGCGGATGCTGTTATTGAGGCTTTCAAAATTTCAGTGCTTGCTGAGGTTTACGACGCCATAGCTTTACAACTAGACATTCGGCTTGAGAAGGTTGTGGTGGCTGTGAGACGACTAGATTCGGCGGCATTTTTAGGATGGCTGTATATCCCAAATGGTGGATGTTGCGGAAAAGGGGCAAAGGGGTCTCTAGCTCGAAATTCGATCGAGCTTAGTCTAGGGCTGTGACGTCGCTCATACGGATTTCTACGCAAGTGGACGGATTTCTCAGCAGGAGGAAATAAAAGATCGCGAATTCTGACCATTGAACATGTATCATTTGCATTGATCACCTCCCAGGAACTATGGCTGCCTCCAAACCTATTCAAGATGCTCCAGAATCTCTCGAAGCCGAAGAAGATGCTCTTCTCGACGCCGCCGATGCAGGAGAAGAAATACCCCAGAATGAAGATGAAGATGAAGATCACCCAATGGACTCCGACCCAGATGAACCATTAGACGAGATTCAGCTCCAAAATGACTCCATTGCCCACTTCGACTCCCATAAAGATTCAATCTTCTGCATAGCCCAACACCCCACTGATCCCTCCATAGTCGCAACGGGCGGCGGCGACGATACCACCTTTTTGTGGTCCTATGACCCTACCTCCTCTTCTTTGCCTACATCTAATTCATTACGCGAGCGCCCCTCCCTTCAGTCTCTCGCGAAAATCACCGGCCACACCGACAGCATAAATGCCCTGACCTTCACCCAACCCGATGGCACCTACCTCCTCACCGGCGGGCTCGACGGCCAAATTCGTGCACATCTCACCACATCACCATCCTACCAGCTTGTATCATCTGCACAAGAAGTCCCAGAGATAAACTTTCTCGCTCCTTGTCCGGCCCCCTCCTACCCTGACACTTTCGCCCTCGGCGCCTCCGATGGCTCTGTATGGGTATATACCATATCTTCCACCCATGAAAACGGTAGTGAGGCAGAACTGCAGGTCCTACAAGCATACTATCTCCACACAGCCTCCTGCACAGCTGCTGCGTGGACACCAGACGGCAATCTTCTCGCGACAGTGGCCGAAGACGGAACATTCTACGTCTGGGACCCCTTCGGCGCTGCGGCAGCGCAGGGGGTGACTGGTAAGAGCGGTGGCCAAACCATAGTAAGCTTGACGCCTGAGGATGCGAGGTTTGCGGTCGAAGGGGGATTGTACAGTATCGCCATTGCGCCGAGCGGGGCCTTCGCTGTCGTTGGTGGTGCGGGGGGAAACATAAGAGTCGTGGGGCTTCCAAGACTCGGCGTCGAGGGGGCTAGTAGTGCTCAAGGTGAGCGGAAAGGTGCGAAAGGCGGTGGCGCGAAGGATAAAGCTGGTGGAGGCAAGAGGAGTGGAGGGCCGGCCTCAGGGTCGGACGGAGCAACAGGACAGGTGGGGCAGATACTCGCGAGTTTCCAAGCGCAGGGAGATAGTGTGGAGACACTGGCATTCTCGGAGCCGCCGCTCACATTACTGGCGGCCGGGAGCGTGGATGGGAGTGTGGTGCTTTTCGATTACGCGCATATGTGGGCTGTGAGACGGCAGATTAAGGAGGCGCATGACGGTTTTGCAGCCGTGAAGGTGGAGTTTCTGCCGCAGAGAACGGGCCTGGGTCATGTGTTGACGAGCTGTGGGATGGATGGAGTGGTGAGGAGGTGGGATGTTAGAGGAGGAACGGCGGCTGGTGGGCAGGGGTTGATCGGCGAGTGGAAGGGGCATAGAGGGGATGGGGAGGGTGGTGGTGTGCTTGGATTCGTGCAAGGTGGGAATGGAAAAACAGCCATCACGGCTGGGGATGATGCTGTGTCTTTGGTTTTTGATATGGCAGCTTGAATCATCACAGCTTGTCACCTAGATTTAGCGATGGCGTTGGGCCCAATATAGGACAGTATTGACTCCATTGATCACGGCTATGGCCTTTTGGAATGAGTACGCCTATCTACATTCAAGAGGTCTCTTCCTGCGATATCCTTCTTTGCCATCTAGACAAGCCTTTTTTCCCATAATGGCTTGAAATGCGTGAACCACGATATCTCCATTCTATCCAGCGGTTTCTACTCTCCTCCCTCTCCTAGTCCTCACTAATATCTCCATACTCCCACATTCCCCTCTTTCCCTCCTTCGCGATCTCTTCTCTCTTTCTCAAACCGTCCAACAACTTTCCCTTTCCCCTCCTCCCTTCCCACGTCCGCAACTTCCTCCCTATCATCGCACAACCTTCCTCCACAACTTCGGCGTTAATGCTCTCTTCCTCGCCCCCCTCTTTCTGCGGATCGAATAGCGTTACCCATAATGTCCCTTCTTTCTCCTCGGAATCAACAGACGCGACCAATTGCTTTCCGTCCGTGAGATCCTGCAACAACCTCACTGCATCCTCCATATACTCTTTGCTGGTGGGGAATTGTAGGTATGACAACCCCGCGTCGACTGCTTGAGCTTTGAGTTTCTGCACACTGAAGGGCCCTTGTGGAACTAATGGCCGCAACTCGTTCCAGGGCAGTGTCTCACTGTTGCCGTAGTCGATGAAGACAACTTCAGCTTTTTTGGCTTCCCGGTCGTTGCGTCGGATGCGGGCACGGTACCACTCCTGATCCTCGGAGAAACGGCCACTTACATATTCACCCGCTTTGGGAGGGTTCGGTAAGGACTTCTCAGAAGAGGGAGGGGAGCGATGATGGCTGGCGAAGGCGGACATGAGAGCTGCGAGGGCCCCTGAGGTGGAGGTGCCAATCGTTTGGACTTTGAGGTGGAGATTTGTGGGATCGATGTGCGTGACCAGGACGTCTCGGTAGTCCTTCTTGAGGACGGTCTCTTCATTGGCACCATTGGCATCTGGTTGGTCCGCTAGAGAGAGGTCCTTCAGGTCATCGCTGACAGTCGGATCGTAGTCCTGCCAAATACCTTTCTGGGCTTGCTTGGCACTTTCTTCGGCGGCGAAGAGATCGTTGGAATGACCTGACTGTTCGGCAGAGTATGCATGCACACTTGCTAGGCCTTCTTCGACTAGGAGTTTGGCGAAGTTTTCGCGATTTACGTACAGTGTGCCGATAAAGCCACCGACTTTGTCCACAGTTTCGATATCAACCTCAGCGTCTCTTTGCATACATCTGCGAGTTGCAAAGTCATGTGCTTCTTGACCGAAGGGTTCGGATTTCTCGTTTGCATTACGGGCTGATCGAGGCGCACGAATTCCAGAAAGTACAAAAGTGAGTTTGGCGTTCTCTCGAGGGATGATCACAGTGAAGCGCGAGCCACCTTTCACGTAATCCACAATCGCAGGAATACGTTTCTGCCTTGAAAGGACCGAAGACTGAATCTTAGCTTTTTGAAGGGACTCCGAGTAGTCCTGATAATTTTTAGCAGCTCCTGGCTTCTCGGACCACATGCCTTTCTTCTCCGCTTGGGCAGTCGCTTCTGCGGCCAAAAGGTCATCATACGCAGGACTTCGATCCGTATCGTCTTGCCGATGTCGTATGACAGAGGCGTAGCCGACTTCGACGGCATTCAAAGCAATGTTTCTATCGTTCAGCGTTATAGTCACCACATCCTTGGCTTCAAACCCCTCACTCGCTTCCTTTCTACCATCGCTCTGCACCTTTACGTGCTTGCCAATCAATTTTTTTCTCATGAATTCTTTGGCTTCTGCTTGAAAAGGTGCTTGCTTGGGGTCGGTCGGCTTAGGTTGCCGTATGCTGCTTAAACTTACTCTCCTATCCTCGTTGGATTTCTCACGTATATAGACCGTATCAGCTGTCTGTACCCGCGTGATAACTGCGTCTCCTGTAGTACCCCCTGACTTCGCCTTCAAACCTCTGAATAAACCTAGCTGGGCGTCCCTGGCTTGTTTCTCGGTCTTTCTGAGTGTAGCCATAGTTCCTCCTAGCATGGTAGAGTGGAAGTCGACGCATCTCGCGAGACCAGCCTTTAGTAGAAACTCTGCGATACTGCCATTGGGATGTATTACATTACAAACGAGGCCACCCTGAGGCGTGACACCAAGTACCTCCGTTCGCACAGTACGCTGGGTAAGTCTTTGCTCCACAAATTGATACGCTTCATTTCCAAATGGTTCAGCAGCTTGTTCCTTTCCGTCCGTTGGACTTATCCGCTTAGTCGGTGGCGCTTTAATACCAGCCACTACGACCATTGTCTGTAAATGCTCGGTGGCAGATATCATCAGTCTCACGATCATTCGATCGCCAGAGATGACTTTCTCCACAATTGAGTCCAAAGACTTGCCCTTCCATCTGTCGGCGAACGCTTTGCTATCTGGTAATTCGTAAGATGTCGCGATGCTCTCTCCCTTCGTAGACCACAGTCCCTTTCCAGCTGACCTTGCTTTCTCTTCCTGAGCGATCAACTTGTCGAGCAAATCCTTTGACTCATCTGAGTCGTTCTTTCTCGTTGCATCATCTCGAAGTTTCAACCATCCCTCAGATACAGCGGCTTCTGGCAAGACCTCGCCGCTCTGTAGGAAGACGCAGCCATAGTCTCTTTTAGCTCCTGTTGGTATCGTGTACAAAACCGCAAATTGGATCACTTTTCCTACCGTGAGGCGACGCAAATAATCTCGCGATCGAAACGCGAAAGGCTACAACAAATGTAAGTGGTGGAGAGGTGGTATGGGTACGTCACAAACCTCGTCGCCTTCCTTTCTAAGTCTTGGAGCGCTCACAAATGCTAGGCTCAGAATTCTTTCTTGTTCAGGGTTATTGACACTGCTGAGAACTAATGTGTCACCCGACAAAGTACTCTTTACTTTTGCTTGTGATACAGGCATATTATATTGAGCTTCGAGGAAATTAGTACTAGTCGACCTCGAAATGCGGATTTTGCTCGATTGAGTGAGCTAAATGAGACTTTAAGTAGCCCGACAAAGAGCACGGCGTGTTGAAATGATGTCGAGTGTAAATGATGTAATAATATGAGATCAAGTGTAAATGCTGTTGGAAATACGATGCTAAGTGACCATGTCGCTACTGAAATCGATAGCTGCGGTGTGTAAATAGCTGATGGTGTGGGTACTGTTCTTAGTAACAATGCTCGAGATCTGTAATGATGACCACTCAAACACACCTTGATGGGTTTACCGTTCCTGGTTTAAAGCTCACAGGCTCGTTCGTGGTAGGAATCTCGATGTTCTCTGTTGTGGGGAGATGTGACTTTGGGACTTGCACCGCCACAGCCGCCACAGGTCTCGAGACAGAAAAGTCAATTGATAGTCTGCTGCTGGGAACAGGCGTAAAGACAGATCCAAGGATTCGGATTCTCTGGCTGACGTAGTGGTGGAACGGATAGAATTGATCATTTGTCGGTTGTTGCAAATAGCAGATTTGCACTGAATATGCCTTAGCAATGCTCTTTTCATGCTCTCGTCTAGAATTACCAGGTTAACAGAGGATGGTTGCTAGACGCAAGCTGTGCGGAAATATTCAATTGACGTGCAGTCCTCGATAAAGAGAGTGACATGCCCAAGCTTGATACTGTGGGTAAATGCTGCGTTCAACTGAACGATTGCTGGGTGGTGCTGGTCGGCCGAAGAAAGGGAAAAGCCGAAGCCTCGGCCGACCGCTCGGAAGACTTGCCGAGTATTATTCCGTACTGTATTAGAAATGCGGGCCCGAAGGTTAGAAGGTTATGCATCTGCACAGTAAAAGCTGCCTAAGCAGCAGACCTCAGTCCGCGAGACGCCCGAGAGCCTGGCTCTCCAACCTGGCCGAGGACGCGAAGCCCCTCCGCGTCGACGACCCCAATGCCGCACCGGCTCGGAGAAGGTTGGTCTATAAAGAGCCGACATGGTCCTCGTCAATTCTACAATTCACCTCCATATCAAAACATTCAATTGTACCACATACTTGAAGCCCAAATACTCCGCTATCAGATCAATTGAAGAAACAGTTTTTAACAATGTCCTCAGAATCAAACCATAGCGCCCTCGTTACCTCCTGGGGTTCATCCCCCACTTATACCTCCACCCCCACCCCTCCTCCCCCTGGTGCCAATGAAACCCAAATCCGCCTCCTCGCAGCCGGTGTCCACCGTGTCGTCCGCTCTCGCGCCTCTGGACAACACTATTCCGCCAGCATCCTTCCCCACACGGTTGGTACGGACGGTACGGGGCTCACAGTCCCAGACAATAAACCAGTCTATTTCTCTGCCATGGGTCCTGCGGGCGGTTCCATGGCGGAGGTCCTCAATGTGCCGACTACGAGCGTGGTGCCGCTTCCCGAGGGCGCGGATGCGGTACAAGTGGCCGCCATGGCCAATCCGGCCATGAGTTCGTGGATGGCGTTGAAGACGAGGACGGACGGGCTGCCGAAAGATTTTAGTGTTGTGGTACTGGGTGTTACGTCCGCGAGTGGGAGACTAGGGGTCAGCGTTGCAAAAACCTTTGGCGCAGGCAGGGTGGTGGGGGTTGCGAGGAACGAGGGGGCTATGAAGGCAATTGGAGGTCTGGACGAGGGTGTCGTACTGAAGGAGAAGGCGGAGGAGACAGATTGGGCGAAAGTGGGAGAGGTGGACGTTGTATTGGATTACCTGTATGGTGCTCCGGCAAAAGCCTGCCTTGAAGGACTTCCGAAGGGAAAGAGGGTGCAGTACGTGCAGATTGGAAGTCTGGCGGGAGAGGAGATGCCGCTGCCGAGTGCGGTATTGAGGGGTAAAAATATTACGATGAGAGGTGCGGGACCGGGTGCTTGGAGTTTCCAGGAGTTGGGAAAGGAGATGGGCAGAATCGTGGGGGCTGCGGCAGGAATTGAAAAGCAGAAATTGAGGGTAGAGAAGTTGAAGGATGTTGACACAGTGTGGCAAGAGAAGAGCGGAAGTGAAAGGCTGGTTTTCGTGCCCTGAAAAGTCAACGTAGATAATTATGACTATAGCCTCAAGACCGTCCATCAGACACTTCGACCTTAGTCTCCCTTACTCCAGTATGGGTGTGCTGTTAGAGGCGCTATCTTGGTGTTTATGCCCGCATATATGGTCGTATTTATGACAATGTACCGACTGTCTGCTCTGCTCACTTGATCAGATTGTGTATCTGACGTGCCCTGCACTTTGTGTCTTTCCCGTCCTCGTTGGAAATGGAAGGATAGCGGGACGAGTACCCTGAACAGCCCGCTCTCGAAGAGGGGCGCGGATGGGTCCATTTCCTTCCATGGCTTCTTATCACGTTTGATCGATCATGTTTTGGCCTGCTTTGAAGCCAGCTCCCAGTATCGCCGCATTGCTGAATTTGGCTTGTAGCTTCTTCGCCCACGCAGCGTGCTTCACAGCTGTCAACACTTGCTTCACCGAATCGATGGCATCCTGCCAAACTTACCTCAGGGTGATCAGGATGTGCTGGATGATTCGGATTCTGGGCAGCCTGGGAGATGGCTGAGGCAAAATTGTTTGAATCTACTTGCGAAGCACCTTCTGGCTGTGCGGGAGTACTTTGTTGGCCTTGCTGGCCTTGCTGGCCTTGTTGGCCCTGGTTGTGGTTGACATGCCCCTGAGAGCGTGCTTTAGCCTATGAAGACCAGAAGCGTGGAGCAAGGCATACCGGCAAAAGCGCAATGATATTTTCAACCTGTGCACGGCTTACCACATGCATACTCTGCAGATAGTCTAATTCGACGCGAATGGTATTTATCGAGTGCTGGCAACTGGCAGCACCGTCGGGCATGTTGAAGGTGAGTTGATCAAGACTGTCTTACGGTCGTGAACTTGCCAAAAACAATCCATTAGAAGAAGGCATGCGCAATGGCGTCAGCCGCGCCTGAAATAATCCGGTGCGATGTATCGGTCTATCAGAGGGCGCCGTTGAGATTATGTCATATGGGTGGTCCATCCGTGGTCCGCCTGTAACCTGTAAATCCGTAGGAGGGGAAGGAGCGTAATCAGGAGGGGGCGGAACATGACAGCATGGGAAACCTTAATGCCAACATCGCAAACCCTAATGGGTATATGGCATTCTTGATTCTTCATTCTTGAACAACTGGACCAACGACCGTGCAATCTTCCATGTTGGAACGCTCTAATGCTACCGCCAATATGACCATCCGTTCCCACTATGCATGACAAGCGCTCCCATCAAACAGCCGTCCAGCGCGCTATGCAGCCCCCCTGCCCTTTCAACTGCGGAGCTCGGAGAGAATGTACGGAAATATGACCACACAGGCTTTGTAAAAGATACTGATACTCGACAACAAGGTCCATGGAAGCATGTACAGAGGCGACTGCGATGCATGAATCCAGATCGCAAGAATGGCCACCGAGAAGAAATGGTAGAAAAGCACGAACGGCTGACGTATAATACCTGCAAGCAGCCCGACCGGCCCATCCACGCATCGGCCCCCTCTCTGGAAATACTTAAAGCACCCCAACTGAAGGGCTTTGAGATGAGGATCTGTGTTGTGTGAGTTCATGTTACCATCCCATCCAGGGTCGAGGACATACCGTTGGCAGCAAACAGCGAGTAGAGAGCTTGTGCTAGGATATTGATCACACTCGTCAGATTCTTTCGCCTCCAATGGAACTTCTTCATCTGCATAAGCACATGATTGGAGTTGCCAAGGTCAGGAACTTTTTCATGGCTAAGTAATTCGCTGAGTAGCACCACGTCATTGAAGGCGACAGTCATACCACCTCCTGTGAGGGGATGTCGCATATTCATCGCGTCACCGAGCAAGACGAGGCCAGGTACTCGACTTACACTCGGAGGAAGGAAAGAGTTCGGCATGCTCCGCAACTTTCCATCGTCAAGAGCTCGCTCGAAGGCAGGCTTGACGCAATTTGGTAGACCAGGCATGACTACGTCTCTGAGGTGTCCCTTGGCTCCTCCATTTCTTGTGCTTGCAGTCTCTGTCCCCTCCGGTATATCGACCAACACCCTAGTTTCTTTTGTGCCAATCTGATATAAGAGGACTGGCGCGCCGTCTCCCAGGATCACGTTGCCATGAAGGGATCTTGGAAGCTCTGCATCTATGAGCTCAAGCCCCCAAAATCTGCTTTTGCTAGTCACGGTCCGAGGGATGAAGTCTTTGCGGAACTTGCTGGCGTACCCATCGGCGACGACCGTCAATTGACCAAACCAAGCATCTCTATCCCCTTGTGTCAAGCATTCAACTCCTAGGATCTGGCCTGTGTAATCGTCCTTGATCGCTTCCGTCGCCGTACTTTCCACAACAGAGATGTTCGGCTCCTGCGAAGCGGCCTCACGTAGTCTTTGTATAACTCGTCCATGGTGGAAACTCCTACCCTCAGGCCGCCCTGCATTTGCTTTTGAATCCTTCTCAGTCACAGTTCGGCCGGCATTCTCAGGATAAGGTATCTCGACTCCCTCTCCATAGTAGATAACCTCATAACCTTTCACTCGTATGCTATCGATCCCTTCTAAACACTCTTCCAGGCCTAATCTTTTCAGGGCTGAGACTCCGCCAGGCTGTAATAGTTCACCCACTATGCGATCTGGCTGCTTCAAAGATTTTTCTAACAATGTTACGGAGCGATTGTGGGGCGGTCGAGCGAAGGTAATGGCAAGTGCAGTACCGAGGATGCCGGCGCCGACTATAAGCATATCCGACTCATGATGTTCAATACGTCTACGCGTTGCGGGAGAAGGTTGCTGGCTTCGGGATTGTTGCTTTGAGTATGGAGGCGGCGATGGCGTTCGCGAAGGAGATGTTGACGGTGGCGTGTCGTGGGCATGGGGCATTATAGGTAGGCGTGGGAACCTCAAGTGATAGCTTGTCTAAAGCTATGGTTTATCGCTAAGTCTTCGCGAGGGGAACGAGAAAATGATAGACCTTTGTTCAATAGATTGAATTTCCCAAATCGTCAAAATGCGCCAGTCCACTTTGGCTCTAGCGCACGATCCCGCGAGATTAGCGTCGATCTGCTCCTTTAAAACCGTTGCATCTGAAGCTGGCAGTCCGCGCTGCGTGGTCTTGACTTCTTCGTTAGAATATATGAGGCCTGTAATATCTATCCATAATGATTCATCAGCAAGACATCGATCACCGCTGCTCCCAAGGCGAGTAATTCACCTACTTCAACTAATCTATTAGACTCTAAGTCCTATCTTTCCTGGGGCCTTTGGCTGCTATTTCTGGATCGCAAACTTGGGAGAGGGGTACTTTAGATGGACTGATCGATGAAGTTTCTAGACATTGGAATCATCAATCACTCAATGTATTCGAGGACAAGTAGCAGACTGATCAGCTTGCCAAAGGGCTCTGGAAAGTCGGCATCTCATTTCCCTTACTATGTTCAATCACGGCATGTATCTAATCTGCAATCACTCAACCAAGATACTTCACCATCTTCCAAACAAGAAACCATGAAACCAGATCAGATAACCAAAAGGATTGACGAGATCATGCGCCTGAAACCCGCAAAGGACTTCAACTCAAAGCTGGATCGAATCATGCGTCTCGGCAACGTAATCTCCACTTTCCAAGTGAACTGGAACTTAACCCAACAGCCTGATATTCCAATGAAGGAGCGTTATGGCGAAATGCTCCGGATATTGGACCAGCGCATCGCACAGGATGCAAAGCAGGAAACGCCTCGATGGACATCTGAGGAAAGGCAACGATTTCTACGACTTATGCGTGGCCATGGTACCTTTGGTTTCGTTAGTAAGACTGCGATGTACTCGATGGCGGCATTGGGTGCCGCTGGTGCTTTTTACTGGGTTGCGTTGAAGTTCGAAGTTCCTGATGACTGACGTGCACAATCAGAAGGAATTGGGTTTGAGTATAGGATACCCGATACCATAGGCTCAAGGTCTGGTCCGATTCCGATGTCACGCTACCGTAGAATTTCGAATGGCCCTTTGTCAGCGGCATAGCAATTGAGCTCGGTGTTAGAGATCATGACTCGACTAGAGGTGGCCCCCAGGTATTCTCTCATTCATCTCCACTATGATTTCATCAGCGGAGACTCGAAGCGTGAGTGCATTTCGGTACTTCTAACCTCCTTGCGAGGACAACAGACGTCTGATGAGCATCTTTGGCCTCAAAATTCCATCAGGTCAGGTCTAAGAATTCGATATTACGTGCATAGCTACCAAGAAACTTCCGCTGAGTTCGATATGAGTTGACAATGGTGGCTCCAGCTGTAGTCAAGTGATGAGCTTAAGAAGCTAGAAGTTGAGAAAGCCAGATAGAGGCTTGTCGAGAGCTTTATATTAGGATTGCATGTAAAGCACACTTTGAAGGCGTAATTGTACGCAATCGACAGTTGTCTCTCAGTATGTGCATATCAATTGTATTGTTATTATATACACCCCCACTCCATCCACATTCCGCATAGCACAGCAATGATCGCGAATCGCACGATCATAATGCTCTTGCCCTTCAATTACGAGGCAAACAGACCCACATGCAGAAAGAAGAGCAGAGCAAACCACCCGACATCTGCGTGGGAACTAGAGCTCCTTTCAACGCCCGCTTTCCCAATTAACCAAGAACATCAACATCGCTCAATCCATCATTCACACATGGGCATTCGCAGCCAAAAAAACAATATCCATCATCCACCCCTTCTCCTTCATTCCTCACCGTTCTGTCCACGCTTCAGAATCTATTATCACCAACGCCGTGCCCACCCCCAAGTTCCCGCTCATCCTCCCCCTCTCTCTCCACTGATGCTCTTGTTCCGCGCTCCTCCGTCCCGGCGGACCGAGGGGCATCTCATCCGGCGGTATTGCAGCCGGTGTCACAGACCTAAGCCCGCTTGCGCCATTACTACCGCCAGAAATATTCCTGCCATGCGCCCCAGATCGTTGCGAACGGTACGAGGTGTCCTGGCTGTCGAGGCTGCCGCGCTCAGGTGTCGTACCTGCTGATGAAGAGGCTATGCCATACTGCTCCCCAACCCCAACGCTTGGAGCAAGATGCCCTGAGCTATCCTGATAGTAAGGCGATTTGGCCCGCGTATAAGGGTCGTAAGGGACGGCGGTGCCAATTTCCCCAGCAGAGAGGGCTGGATCGCGGGGTGGGTGCCGGGACATGGGGCGGGGATACTCGAGGTTGGAGGAGGGGTTTTGGGAGGAGAGATAGGGAACATTAGGGCGGTGTTGTGAGGGATTGGAGGTAGGATTACTCTGGGCATGTGCGAGGAGACGGGATTGGTCTTCTTCCTCTGCTGAGGAACGGGAGGTGGTGAGGGTTCGGTAGTGGCCGTGGGCCTGTTGCTTGCCTGGAGACTTCGGGGGAAGATAAGCTGTGTTGTCATTTGCGTGACTGTCATAGGGATCGGCATTTGTGTTGTTCGGGTTGTTGTCGGTGGAGAAAGCGGTGAGTTGATTTCTGGTGGGCTCGAGACCCGCACCCATTCGGGGATTTTTGTAGGAGACGTCGTCCATGCGTTTCCGCCGGCCGACGGTCATCCATTTGAAACCTCGACCAACGGCTTTGATGAGATCCCAGGGGTTGAAAGCGTCCATCAGGGCGTTTTGGCCGAAGCGACCACCCTGATAGGCGGTTTTTGGATCAGGCTCGAAACCAGGAGCAGACTCGGAGGCTACGATTGCGGATCGTCGGATATCGTAGACTTGCCAGGGAAAAGCCCATAAGTGGAAGACGCTGAAGATGGCCATTTCGATGCAGAGGAGCATGGAAGGAATGCCGATTTTGATGTCAGGTGTTTGAATCGTGGCCGACGGCTTGATTGAGCCGGAGCCGGTGAGTATCGAGATGAGGATCTAGGATGATTAGCAAGGCAAGTATTTATTAGTTGGAAAGAAAGGCTTACTGTCTGCCAGAAGGAAAGGAATATGACGAGTTTAATTGCTGCAACTTTGAGGAGTGGCTTATGCTCCGCTAGATCTTCTCTAAGCTGGACATAGAACTGGATCAAGCAGTACATCGCGACGGTAACGCAGCCGCCTTCTATGACCATGACCTACCACGTACCGAGTAAGCAATCCTTCAAAATGACAAGACTAGACAATGTGGCAGTGACTTACCCATATGTGTGCAAAAGCTGGACTGAGAGACTCCAGGCAGTAAATGCCAATCGCCTGAGTCACGACCGCCACACAAGTCATGAAGACCCTAATGAAGCAATATTGGAATACCCCAAACCATATGATCTGCGTCCTCATCAGCGATTTGCGAATGGAACCCTCCATACATACGCACGTTGAACCAGGTCAGGCCGCTTCTTGGAATCTTGAAGAACCCGTGCTGTCCTCCAGTACACCTCTGTAACCAACTGATAGGTAAGACCCAATTCCTTGGCGTAGCGCCTCTGAAGTAATCCTTCTGACTATGCAGGTCCGGCGCAATGTAATGGCATAACAAGGAGAAGAAGCTTGCGATCGCAAAGGCTTCGTAGCAATCGCGGATGACTTCGTAGTAGACGGCGTGTCTGTAGAAGAGGTAAGACATGAAGGAAACAAAGGCGTAGACGGGGACCATGAAGAGGATGCGAATGATGCTGTATTTGGTCAGTCCCAATGCGCTCCATATGGGAGGGCCATGGTGGGGCAAGAGGGGGACACACTGTTTCTGCTCCCACGGCTTGAGATAATGGGTGCAGTGTCGCCATACTAGGTACCAAGAGAAAAGTATAGCTATGCTTCCAAAGAGAGCTGAAAGAATCAAGCCAACGTGGTGAAATTGCACATCCTTCCATATCCTCGCCTCATCAACTGCAGAACAACCGTTAGAGAAACACACTGAATCCGGGGCAAGGCGACTTACTACTCTCATATTCCTCCGTCCTATTGCACTGTGGCCAACCCATTCTGCAGTCTGTACGAAGCTCCTCTGCTTTCCTGGCGCATGCGCGATGAGGTTGGAGCCGTACGTTATAGGAGTTGGAACTTCAAGGGTGCCGACGCCTGTTCCGCAGCGTCATGATAAAGATCTCGCTTGTCCCTCCTCAACGATTTGTTTACACTAGACACTAGACGGGGATAAGCAAAGGATGTCCTTTGCAGTCTTGAGGTTGGCGAAGCTGAAAAATGTGGGCGCTTGACCCCTGCTCAGTTTGGCTGATGCTTATGTTGCGCTGAGGTTTCAGAGTATTCACAAAAGGGCTATTTGTGCGACGCGCAGGAGGAAGAATTCGGCGACAGCAATTTCATCACGCCTTTCTCTCTAAGCATTGTGTTTCTAGCTCGCTCGAGTAGTCTTTTACATAGGCATTGGCTTCTGACCCTTGGCTGTACCTGCCTAGCGCAAGTACTAGCCACAGATGCGCGGTGGCGGTGTAGGACTAAAATAAGGGAAAATAACGACGATGTGCGAATCCTAACAGGCAGCCTCGGATCCATGGAAAGATGCAAAGGGAATGTTTCCAATATTTCATATTCAGCTGATGCGGGGTCCTAAATATCCCGACAGATGCCAACCCCAAAGTCTATGGACTTGTCATATTAGACGTCATTTATGTTCCACCTTCTACCTCTAGGTATTGGGGTCGCTGTCGCCGATTCAGTAGTACCAGAGCCTCCACTAGTACAGCCCGAAGTCAAGGTAAACGTCGAAGAATAGTCCGTACTTGTTTCCGTCACCGTACTGGTGCTAGTTGCGTGAACAGTTGAGGTTCCGCCTCCGCTGTTACTGCTGCTGCTGCTACCACTTCCGCCGCCCCCTCCTCCATTTGAAGCTCCGGTCGTAGTCACTCCATTGACGATGGTCAAATCCGGAGGGCCAAAACCTGCATCTCTCTTCTCTAGTGGGGCAGCCGTGGTACAAGGTGGGGGCGGAGGCGAACTCGGGCAAACTGTGGTTGTCAAAGACTCTGTGATCGTTACCCATATCTGCTTTGTTGAGACCTCTGCAGGCGATGCTTGGCCTGTCGGTGCTTGCTGACCTGCAGGTGTGGCGGGGCAGACAACTGTGTATTCCGTGGTTGTGGCAGTGATCGTCTTCGTAATGACGGATGGAGTCAAAGAACTCGAATAAATTGTACTTGATCCCTGGGTTGCGATAGCGCTGGAGCAAGGCACGTATGTCGTGATTTCGGTTGTAATGGTCGTAACCGTAACATGCGTGGACGTTGATGTTGTGGAAGCCCCGGAATTAGTGATTGTGGGTAAGCTAGAGGCTTCACTTGCTTGGAAAGAGGTGGTGGAAGAGCTGTAGTTCTGAGCTGAGACACCTGACTGACCCGAAGGTGACAGAGACGGTCTGCTCGATGGAAGTCCGCTTCCTCCTGGAGAATTGATTCCCGAGCCTGAGGCTTTGCTACTTCCCGATGGCCTGATATTTCCAGATGGTGAGCTAAAGCCTGATGAAGGCGAAGTTGGCTTTTTGGTCCCTGTGCCAGATATGGACAGGCTTGAGTTTGATTTGGACGTAGGAGCAGTTCCTGATGCCGACACCAAGCCCGAAGGGCGTATCGAGGACGTCCCTGTGGGATAGATGGTTGTGCTGTTCGATGAGGGTTTCAAACCCCCTGTAGATACAATTGATTTGGATGTGGAACCTGTGCCCGTACCGCTGACTGTGCCATTTTGCTGACCTGAACTCGAGGGACATTCACTCAGGACAGTCTGTGTAGTCTTTGGCAGAGTTGTAGTGACCGTGCTTGTTTCAGTAACCGTAGTGTCATAAACGGTTATGGCTGGTGCAGCTAGTGAAGCAAAAGCAAGACGCGCCACCGGGGCTGGAGTTTCCGCCGCGATGACTGAAAACGCATAAGCCCCAGAGTAATAACCCTGCGTGACAGGATCGCCTGATGTGAAAGCTAGGGAGACCGTCCCCGGGTAGATTTCTGAGTTGTGAAGGCCAGGGCACAGAACGGATGCTTGGCTCACTCCAGCAGGAAACTCATTGCATGTGAAGGTCCCAGGTAGTGCTCCATCTGTCGGGGCGGCAGGGACTGTCACCACAGGAGTTATGGGTCCTGGTTCGCCTATCAAACACAGAGTATCAGTAGAGGCCTTATCCGCAGCTCTTGATCTTGATTGTACCTCCGTATGTCAAAGTCGCTGTGATTCCGAAATCATTGGCATTGTCAGGACTGAAAGCGTAGGAGGTCGCGAAGTCATACGTATCGGCAGAGGTTTGCGCGCCTTCGAGCTCGCTGGAGGCGAAGGAGATGACGTTCCCCATTGAGAGTCGAAATTAAGGATTATAATTAGAAGTTGGAGTAGGAGGTGATCTGAGACTCGTAACTTTCAATAAAAAGAAAAAGCAGGTGCCATAGAGAATGAGCACCGAAAGGAAAGGAACGTCAGAAGCAAAGCAGTGAGGCCCGGAAGGACTCGTAGAGCATTAGTACAAAAAGCGCAGAACGAAGTGAGAAGAAAAAGATGGTGGAGCAAGGTGCAGTCAAGTGAGTAGTGAGTCTGCATCTGGGGGCTTGCCCCTAAAGTACCCTTGTCATTGCTTGTGCACCCACAGCGCGTTGAAGACGGTTATTGGCATAAGCCGCGTGGCTGTTGGGCCAATGCCGCCTATCACAGCATCCCGCAGCACTCCGTCAGACCCGAATGATGGACGGCACTTCTTTCCTGACCAATTGGAGTGCCAGAGTAATGGGGCCAAAGGGCGTCGTATAAATTTCGGACGGTTTGTCGTTGGTGTGTGGCCGGGTGCAAACAAAAGGGGCCACAAGGGGAAATACAGGATCGACGGCGGAAACGCTAGCCCTTATTCACTCTAGTGCTAGTGGTGGGAAGTCAATTTACGAAACATTGGATATCAAATCCTAGGAGGCCTTGGAGGCGACCTCTTACGAGTCACCAGACACAAAGCCAGTGACGGAAATGCCACGGCTGCCGAGACCGATACACAAGGAATCAATGAGATCTCAACAATGTAAAGGCTTGGGATCCGTAAATGAAATGATGGGCGTAGCTGGCAGTGAGAACGAGAGACTTGAAGAGGCACTTCGAAGACTCTCACAACCTCACTGAACATATGCAAGGCACAACAGCAAGGAGGTCCCAGTCAGGCGAACACAACGGTTCAGTATAGATTGCTCCATCTGGATACATGGACATGCTACGGAGCTGGTGGTTTGCTCCAGAAATCCAAGCTCGCCACGACATCCTCCCCACCATCGTCTTCATAAGCGTACAGGATCTAGAAAGGCATCAGTCAGCTGGAGTCTCGTGAGCATCAACAAAGGGCTCGCCAACTCACCTCTCTCGTGCTGGCATGTAACATTCGAATATTCTTCGCAGTAATGATGTGCACCAATGCGCTCGTCTCCAAATGCCGTATTTCAATAAACCCAGGTTCAAATGCTAATAGATACGGATGGCTGAGGGCAAAGCACGTCGGCTTGCCCTCCCAGTCAATCTTCCAATCCGGTCTTGCCCGCCACCCATTGCGGTTGACAAAAAAGGAAAACTCGTTGTAATGCAAGAGGAATTCCCCATTAAGCCGCTCAATCGATATTGGTACCACGTCCTTACGCGTCACAAAATCCAGAGACGTATCTGCGTGATCCAGGAGAGGTTGCGTCTCAAGTGTTTCAAGGCTGACAACTTCGAAGCCGCGAGAGCAAGCGACACAGAGCTTGCTGCGGAGGAAATCCACCGAAGTCGACTCCGCAGGAACGTAGAACTCCTTGAAAGGTTTGAGGGCATCTTGATTGCCCTGGAACATGCGTCCGATTGCGGGTTTCTTTTTGTTTTTGGTAATTGCGTCAGAAGGTTCGTAAACTTTAATAGTCGTGGAGATGCCCGACATCTTGGCTGAGCATACCAGGTGGCGACCCATGCACACTCCAGCTTTGAAGAAATTCGCATGATTCTGGATTTTCTTTGGTCTCTTGAGCATAGGAGATTGGCTGTCGGCAGTGTCTAGAACTTCCAGAGGGTACGAAAGCAGGCTCTTGGTAGCAAGGACGAGCAGTAGCTGATACTCCTCAAGCACATCAATCTGCGTGACAGAGCCAGCATCAAGGACTCGCTTGGGTTTGGCGCCTGTTGACTTGGGTTTCCGATCCATGACATACACTCCAGTATCTGTGCCGAAAACCAATTTCCGGCCACCATCTGTTCTGTGTTAGTAGCAATAGTACAACAACTTGGAGGCCACTTACCGATAGGTACCAGGCAGTTGACCTTGTGAGCGCTTGTAAAGTAATCATCACACAGCACGGTCTTCGTGTAAAAATTACCTCTATCCCGTAGTTTGATTTGCTGTGCTTCTACAGCCTCCATCCACTTCCTACGCGAAATCTGTGACATTGCATACAGAGTCGTTTCGAAGCCTCCTCGTCCAATGTGTCGGAAGGTAATTGGAAAGCCCTCCTTCGCGCCGCCTGCGGCCTTAGGGTTGTTCGGAGCAGCCTTCACACCGGGTATCAGACTGGACGATGGGCGTTTGGCTATGCCGAGTTTGGGAATAACCTCGTCCATCTGGATAATCATCAGAAGCTCAAGAGGAATTGGCTTTTTGTAGACACGAAGCTCCTCCTGCCTGTTGTTGGTTTTTTGCCTCGCAAAAAGCAACGCGTGATTAAACAAGTACACCATGATTTCACTTGAGTCTGTTGGGCTCTTCTTCAATGGCCCCCGGAAGACGAGTTCGCGGTTCTCCTCGAGGAGTTTTAAGTCACTCTTCTGGCCAGGGCCCCATATCAGCTGTTGTTGAAGCATCCTCAAATTGAACTGGTTCTCAGCTTTTCCTGACTCGGCATTGACCTTTGTAAGGAAGTCCTTGATAATGACAATGGCTTTTGGAATGTCTTTCGTATCAGGATTTTCGCCCGAGGTATTCTTTAAGATGCCTTCCAAGAGTAACGGGTATCGAGCTAGTCTCGTCGTTGGTTTGGTGAGGTAGCCATTCAATTCTAGTTTCCGCGACTCTTTTAAACGTTCGGTTTCGTCTACGAACTTCTGGAAGGCTGGGTTGTGTGCGCGCTCTCTCTCGAACTCATATTTCCCCCATAATTGATTTGCACCATACTTAATGAAAGGATCAAAACGTGGCACGAATTCGACAAAAACATCTCCAATATTCCGAACCACCGGATTGTCTTGTTGCCTTCTTGTCAATGCCTCCGCTAGCTTTGCGTTGACCGCATGAACCTCCATGCAGTTCGAGAAAACAGTTCTCACAAACCGCTCTCGATGTCTTTCAGGAACAGGAGAAGGATTCGAAGGATTGGTGGAGCGTAAGGGTCTCATCCAGAAATCCCGTAAATATTCAAGATCTTTGACAAAGTCTCTCTCAGTATACGCAATTTCAGATATGATCTCCTGACGTTTCTTCTCTTTGTCATCCACACTGTCAGCGACTTCTTGCGAGACGGTGTTGATCCAAAGCTTCTGCTCATCAGGCTCATCTGCATGCAGACTGGCTGTCGATTGCTGACGCTTTAAACCGGGACGTGGCTCGAGTTTCAGCCTTGATTGCTGTTCGAGACGCCTTGGACATGCAATAGAGTAGCATAGCTTATCTTTCGTGCATGTGGGAGAATAGCACTCAGTCAGAAGGGTGAAGACGCCGTTCACGTGGGTTGATGTATCATCCATCAGCTGCTCCCTAAATTGATATATTTCGGTTGGGGAGTCCCTGAGGCGATGATCGTAGGTTACATCATGGAAAAACTTCTGTGCGTCCAGGGATCTCCCTAGAAGAAGTGCAAGATTCCTATCTGTAGTCTTAATAATGTATGATATCAAGTCTACCGCCTCAGATCCAGTGAAAGCAAACGTATAAGACAACTCATTCTTTTTCCGGTCTCCGGGCGCGATTCTCTCGCGAAAAGCATCCGCCACTCTAGACAACAATGCTGGATAAACAAGCGGTGCTCTATTCTGAGCTGAAACAATCGCATTACTCGTTGTGCTCGAATTCTTTTGTACAGACGGGCGATGTACAAGGGAATTACTTCGTTCTGAGGTCGGGACGATGGTGGATGCCATGGACATCGTTCTTGACGGCGCACTTTCCGGACTCACTGTTCTAGACCGTGGATCGGGTCCAGTAAGGGTTGATGTTCTCGAAGGAGTCTCTCGCAAGGTAGAAGCATCGTCAGGCAGAGATTCTGCCTCAGACTCCCTCCGTCTATTTGGAATGACCCTTCCGCTCATGGTTTGGCTATGGTCTCTTTCCAAAGAGAAGGAATTCATTGACATCGCTCGTTCGTCATGCCTCTCTGGTACGATCCGACCTTGGGCTGTTGTTCTTGATATGGAGGATTGGTAAGGTTGCTGCCGGAAAGAGTTCGCAGCAGCTTGATTGTAGTTGTTCGCAGGTTGATGGTTGCTTGGAGGCATGTTATATGAAGGGGCTCGAATGTTAGCCATGGATTGACTCCGGTACGGATCGGTGTTGAGCGCTGGCTGTGAAGGATAACCACGATTTGGGATCGGTTTGTAAGAGTCTGCAACGTTTTGAGGGTACCCACGGTTCGGAATTGGTCTGTTGTACTGCAAAGATGGCGGTTGGCGTGAATCAAGTCTCTGTGGTTGAGGGTAGGGCCGGCTTGCAGAATTTAGGGGCTGAGGCAGATATTGCGGTTGTGGTTGGGGCTGGACCAAACCGCTGCTTTGTCTTTGTGGAGGATAGTATCCGTTGGCACTGGGAGGAGGATATCCATTCGGCTGATGCCGATCTTGAGGTGAAGGTCGTCGCGCGGCAGAAGCAGGGTTTGAATATCCAGTGGAAGACATTTGAGAGCTCATGGTGGTGGTACGCTCTTGAGAAGGCTGAACGGTTTGAGAAGTCATAGTCTGTGATCGGCCTGGGGGAGGAGCAGAGCCAAAGATATTTGAAAATGCTGTATCTCGCTGATAGGAGGATGCATGGCCGTAATTACCGGGCCGCATACCTCTATCTGCCTGTATCCCATAATCTGTCATTTTCTAAGTCCTGGATGTGCTCTGGTCTTTCTGGAAGTCCTCGATTTCAAGTCTCACCGGGTGTTAGGGGCCAGTTGAACTGCTTTTGTGTAGAGATCCCAGCATGGATCTAGGGCAAGTCCATGGAGCGACGTCGTCTCGCGAAGGGTACAGATAGCGTGATCTCGCAAGTAATAATGCGACTACTGACATGTCATTTCGTGACTTATCGTAAATTGTAGAACCGACCTCAGCAGTGGATAATATTGCTGTCGCCGTGCTCTCAATTGGTTTTAAGACGAGCGAGGGACGGTGATCCAGGGAAAGAATGGATTTGGATCTGCGATCAATGTGATGTCAAGTCCTTAGCCCGTGAAGCTGTCGAACATGTCAGAAAAGGAGTGGAATAATCTGCCGTCAGGGATTGACGATAGAGAGTGGATTCTGGGAACGGCGGCGGCGGCGGAACTAGAAATTCCGCCTCTAAAAGCTTGTATGATGTTCTACGGAGTACAGTAGGCGCTAATACGTGCTTGATCATTATCAAAACCACCACCTCCGCATCTCATGACCTCTTCTTGTTGGGCTTTCCTATTCAATGATACGATTTCTGCCATAGTATCCTGAGAATTCGTTTTGCGCCGAGAGTCGTCTTCACAAGCTTCTACAGCTAGCTATCGCCGCGTTCGAGCAGCAAAGCACAGCATGTCAGAATCCGAGTCCGCACCCAAATTTGCGCCCTTTATAGGAATGGTACGCCATTCTTTATGAGATTGACCAAAACACAGCTAAAAGTACTGCTCCAGGCAGGAATCGCTTCGGCCGTGCGTGAACAACTTAGTCTGAAGAGGATACGACTAACTCTACTCGATTACAGATGATATTTGGATGTGGGTCCCATAAAATCAATAAAAGACTGTTTTGGAATATATACTTATGCTTATTGACAGGTGCTGGTGCTGCATACGGAACTGCAAAGGCGGGGATTGGCATCGCAGGAGTCGGCACCTTCAGACCAGACCTTATCATGAAGGCGAGTTTCACAGTTCAAAATATTGTAGGGACTTGTACTTATGGTCGGGGCCTCACAGTCTTTGATACCCGTCGTTATGGCTGGAATTATTGCGGTCTACTCGCTTGTCATTGCAGTCCTGATCGCTAGCGACATGAGTCCACCTCCAGATCAGCACTATAGTCTTTTCAGGTGGATATGGCATCAAAACACTACAAAATCAAATATCTGACGCATTGATAGTGGTTTCATGCATTTAGCGGCTGGGTTATCGGTGGGTCTGACGGGCCTAGCAGCAGGATACACTATAGGAATTGTGGGAGACACGGTAAGCTTTGACCTGAAAGGTGGGAAGAAGACAGTTGAGACTAACGGACCAACAGGGCGTTCGGTCGTACATGCAGCAATCTCGAATATTCGTAGGTATGGTTCTCATATTAATTTTTGGGGAGGTGCTGGGGCTCTATGGGTAAGTCATGTCACTTTCTCTGCGTCGAAGTTGCTCACCAATTTTGCAGCCTCATTGTAGGATTGATCCTGAATACTGGTACAGATTAGGTGAAGCGTTTTACCCGATTCTATACGCATATATCCTTCCACTGAGCAGAATTCTTCGTCACGTCGTTTTCGTTCGCGAGCTGTTGAGTCAGTGCTTTTGCTACGGGCCCCATCCATCTGCTTTTGCCCTTTAATTTCACCACTCTTGTTGCAGAGTCACGTTAAGGCGTCTTACTCTTGATGGACGAGGCATGAGCATACCGCGCTGAAGATGGGCACCGATCCTCACCGAAGGCTGCCTGACTCGATGAGACCTGTCAGGTCCTGCCATATTTGCTAAAATGCCTAGGTATTTGGGCCTCTCCGTGCATATATTCTCCACGATCTAGGAAAAACAACTGCCCGCTAGGCAGCGGATACTTCACTGACAACGGATTCAGACCGCGGAGCAGGATAATGAGCAACTCGACGATAGTTCATTCACGAGGATGATGTTAAATCGTGGACCAGCAGCAGCGTCCTGTAGACGTCTTCTTTACTACCTCAAACAAACAAGAGAATTGATCCGTCCCAGGCAGGATGAGGCTCCAAGGCGGAATGATTTCCGATGGTGAGATTTTGGTTGTCTGAATCGGGCACAAGAGGGTGTCGGTGACCCAAGCAAAACAAACTCCCCCGGGTTCCTGCATCCGTTTCCTTTATTCGTCTGCGTCATACCCCCATCAGCTGCCTTCATGATCACCCTCATCGCCTCGTCAGCTCACACTCGGAGAGCGGATTGCCTTGGCAAGTGTGCGACCCGCAGAGAAGTGGTGGGTGGTACAGCGAAGGGCAGCAGCAGCCAAGAGCACTAATTGGCGGTGAAATCGTGGGGTACAGGGCCAGCGATGGATTTCATGCATGAAAGCTTCTAGACGAATCCATCCGGGCAGGAGAAGTGACTAGAGAGCGAGCCATGTGATGCTAGAAGGCTCTAAATGGTTTCAACGAGGTTGCGATATCGCCAACTACTGGGATCCAGCAGTAAGATCATGGATCCTTATCGTACGACAGACATATTACTCAGGTATTCCTTTTCAGGACACCAGCCCACCGTGCGCCGTCTTCCTAATAAAAGCTTGTAAGCTGCCCATCTTGGCCCATAATTGTCCACTATTCCCCGAGGCCGAATTGGAGGTGTAGCCTTGCCAGCCTTAGGGCAGTCGAATTTGGGGGTCCTGGCACCAGCTGGTGGGCCGACTTTCCCTTTTTCCTCTTGAGTAAAGTCGCGGCCAAACCGCAATTTCCGGCCCATTATTCATCACCAATTCACCCACTTCTACCACAAACTACTGAATCAATCTCTCCAATTACTAAAACCGCCCCCCCAGCGATCTCGCCCTCCCCAACAATTATTATTCTCCCTCTTACTACAACGACGACGGTGGCAGCATCCATTTTCCATCATCTTCATCGGCTAAAGAATGGATAAGAACCCCCCATTACGCCTCCCAATAGTATCTGCAGGCCCGCACCCTTCTCTACTCCGCCCAGGCTTTTAGACTCTCTCGGTGCCGCAAATCGACGGGATCTAGCTGCTTGTTCCACCCCTACCAAGCAATGCCACTTCTCGCTCTTCATCGCGCAACAACTGATCCTCTTCCTAAAAATCCTCAGCAATGTGGTCCTCGCGGAGTTCCTGTGCTCTCTCCGGAAGCAGTCACCAAATTAGAAGCCTCACCCAGCGTCGTACCCCGGCGTAGCTCTCATTTCCTCGAAACGGCTAGGATGGCGACCGCAAAGCTGAAGCAACATCTTCACAACCATCATGGTCCGCATCGTCTCTTTAGAAACCACAGTGGCACCTGGAGCGAGCCTCCAGTAAATGAGGAGGGCCGGCAGAAGGAGAGGGAATTCATCTGTTGCTATGATTGCAACTCCGAACCACTCTCGCCCACCGAGATTGGCGATACTGCGAAGAACAACCAAGTGGGTTGCGCATCGAAAAATTTGAGGGTAGGGGACTTTGAATTGATGAAAACAATTGGCACTGGTATTTCCACCCCTGTTGCCTGTTGCGGGACGTTATCTTGATTTATACATGAAGCTAATGCAAGTCACTAGGCACGTTCGCAAGGGTTTGGCTGGCGACTGTTGCCAATGCTCCCAGCAATGAGGGCCAAAAGGTCTTCGCGTTAAAGGTTCTCCGCAAGGCTGATAGTAAGACCACTCGATAATTCTATGAAGATGGACAATTTGCTGAGCAGATCCACACAGTCATTCGGCTCAAGCAGGTGGAGCACATCAAAAATGAGCGCAATACGTTGGCTACAGTCGCAGGCCATCCATTCATCACAACAATGATCACCAGTTTTTCGGACAAGGACTGCTTATACATGCTTGTTCGCAGATCCTGTCCAACAATCCAATGGTGATGCTAACACGCGCGAAGCTTGATTATTGTCCCGGTGGTGAGATTTTTACCTACCTGCGAAGGGCAGGGCACTTCGATGAAGCGACCGCACGCTTCTATGTTGCTGAGATGGTACTCGTCCTCGAATTCCTCCATGAGCACCAGGGGATTGCCTACCGTGATATGAAGCCGGAGAACATGCTCATCGATGCCGAGGGTCATCTAAAGCTGGTTGACTTTGGCTTTGCGAAGAAACTCATGCAGCGTAAGCCTGACGTATGCGTTACGATCATTCGACTTGGCTCATGTATCATAGGGGAGACATATACCTTGTGTGGGACCCCAGAATATTTAGCTCCAGAAGTCATTCGGAACTCAGGTAAAACTAAGCTGTTCTTAGGTCATTCCGAGCCCACTCAATGCTTCTGTTCTTTGACACATACTGATCGTTTGATGATTCAGGCCATGGCGTTGCTGTTGATTGGTGGTCTCTCGGAATCCTTCTCTTCGAATTTCTCGTTGGCCAGCCTCCATTCTGGGACAATCAACCAATCAAAATATACGAAAAGTATGTCCATCAAGTGTAATTTAAGCCCCGTCTAATGTCAATCGACAGGATTGTTGAGGGCAAGATCAAATACCCTTCCAGCGTGCCACCTGACGCAAAGGCCATAATTAGTGGGCTCTGTACCGTCAACCCTTCTCAACGCCTCGGGTACATCCAGCAGGGTGAACTCAATGGTGCTGAATTGGTCAAGGCACACCCATTCTTCAAGTCGATTGATTGGCATGCCTTGTACCACCGTAAAGAGAAGGGTCCAATTATCCCTAAATTAAAGGGCGTTACGGACAGCAGCAACTTTAATGACTATGACGCTCCTTCAACACAGAACAGCATTTACTCCAGAGACATGCAACAGAAGTACGACCATGAGTTTAAAGACTTTTAGGGTTGTTTGTTGCTTGGTTCCACAATAGGTTCTTTCTTCTGCTTGCAAAAAGACAGCAAGGCGCTTAAAGGCATCAATTGGGTTGATAAAAAGGCGTCTGTCACCGGGTGCTTGCATCGCTGAGGTGCTTGATTGCATGTGACATGGGAAGCATGGACTGCAGATTTTGAAACGACGACGATGTAGATTACATTTATATAGCTATGACACATGGAAAATATTAATATCCACCACCCTCAGTATCTTTTGCTTCCCCACATCGGACAGGGACCCCTCAGACATATGTCAAGCCCCAGATTTACTTTACCCTTGCGGCCCGGGATTTCAGTACGATCTGCTGACTAATCCTTGACCGGATGCAGTATAGTCGCTCGTCTGCCCTGGTGTCTTCTCAATTGCAGCTTCGAGAGGACGCGTCATGAGTAGGATCGCACCAGCTGTACAATGCAGGACTACAGCAAGCTCACAGTAGCGAAGCTGAAAGAAGAGCTCGATAAGCGAGGCCTACCAAAAGCTGGCTTGAAGGCCGCGCTTGTGCAACGGTTGGAAGAGGCGGACAAGGAGGCCCAAGTTGAACAGCCAGATACGGAACAGCTGGTACAAAACAACAAAGATGTGAACAGCCAAATAGACCAAGTTGCATTAGTCGCGAATGCCTTTCCAGAGCCCGAAGAAATCTCCCCTGCTCAGCACGAAACGGTCAATGAGGGCGAAACTGTGTTCAAGGCTACGAACGGGAATGCTGCTACAAGAACGGAAAATGAGCAGACCAAAGAGGTAGCCGCAACACAGGAGCAAATGGGTCATGAGGAGCCGGCTGCGCCTGCCTCAGAGGGCGAAGAAGATGTCCTACCTGGAACGATTACCCATCAATCAACTTTCAATGAATGTGTGACCGAAAAGCAGCTCCCAACACCAGTACAGACTCAGCCAGAGTCATCGAATATGATTCTCCCAACGTCAACCCAAACGTCTGTCGCACCAGAAGAGCTCGCAGAAGACTCAAGAAAGCGAAAGAGACGAAGCCAAACACCGCCACCTTCGTCCGTTGATACGTCGAAAAGGTTGAGATCAGAAATCATGTCAAACGGGAGGCCTGATGTCAGGCTTCCGGAAGATTTGACATCGCAAAATACACCAAGGGAAGCAGATTCAGAGGCTCTCGTGGGAGGGAGTCAGCTCAATGGGCGAGGCGAGCTTGCCGAACCAGAGGAAACAAGTCAATCTGGCGCAACAGGAGCTGAACAGAATGGACATGCGTCTCAAAACGAAGTCATAGCCTCTCCTACTTATAAAAGGCCGTCGCGTTCACGTTCACGATCACGAACACCACCAGCATCCAACAGGTCCGACCAGCATCAAAAAGCCCCAACCTCAGATCGCCGCTTTCACTCCCTCACAGCCCCCTCAAGCAAAGCCAAATCGCCGCCTTCATCTCAACCGGACACCGTAGACCGCGATATACCGCCATCTGTGCACCCTGCGACCAGTGCCATTTACATCCGCAACTTGATGCGCCCACTCAACCCATCCTCCTTGAAAGCCCACCTTACCTCCCTCGCAAACTCCACTTCCACCACCTCCTCTTCCCCTGCAAATGAAGAAGAAGTCATCACAACCTTCCACATTGACGCAATCCGCACTCACGCCCTTGTAAACTTCACCAGCACATCCTCCGCCTCTCGCGTGCGCGCAAATCTCCATGATCGCGTCTGGCCAAACGAGCGAGATCGAAAGACCCTGTGGATCGATTTCGTGCCGGAGGAGAAGCTACAGACGTGGATCGAGGTTGAGAGCTCGAGAGCAGGTGGTGGATCGCGGGAAGGGAACAAGCGGTGGGAGGTCATATATGAGACGGAGGAGGATGGCGTGAGGGCGTATCTACAGGAGGTGAGGAGTGCTGCTCAGCCGGGGCCTCAGGCGCCTCCATCGCAGCCGCAACGACCATTTGCGGCCGCAAACCCGAGCTCGGGCAGCAACGCGGAGCCCAAAGTGAAGAGGGTGGAAGCAGAAAGTAAAGAGTTCAAAGCCCTGGACGACCTTTTTCTCTCGACCATGACCGCAAAACCGAAGCTATATTACCTGCCTGCTACCAAACCAATTGCTGAACGTCGTTTAGAAGTTTTGGCGCAAGGCAAGGGAGGAGGGAGAGGAGGCGATGAGATGAGAAGGTTTAGTTTCAATGATGAAGGCAGGATCGTGGACAAGGGGCCAGAATTTGGATGGAAGAGAGGCGGAAGAGGCGGTGGTAGGGGCGGTAGAGTGACTGAAAGGGAGGAAAGGGGCGGATATAGTGGGTACAGGGCCAGAGGAACTGGCGGCTATGGGCGAGGAGGTGATAGATGGGGTGGAAGGGGATACTGATGCTTTTCTGCAAGATTTTTAAACAGATCAAGGGCCCGAGTAAGTGTGGCATTTAGCGCGGTACGGAATGCAATGTGAAGGTCGAGCCAGCTTTTGAGCACCTCGCTAAGTGAATTTTATTTGAGATATCCTGAAACCCGCCCGGTTGCGCTCAAGATCTTGAAAAGCAGAAAACATCAATGCCAGGGCTTTCATGGGTATCAAAAGAATAAGTCCCTCCAACGCTATCACAAACGCATAAACCAAGCATTTCCAACAATTGCTTGATTTTCATCAACATTCATCTTACCCAGGTATTCATCACAACAACGTCTGTTAGCTCTCAGTAAGACTTCTATACCGACACATCCTCTCGAGCGCTCTGGAGTAGTTCCTTCTCTAGATGTCGATAGTCTTTACACGGCACACTGACCGTTCTTGGCTCCTCAGTGGGATGTCCATCGAATATTATCGCGGTGAGCCTCCCGCCTTTGAAACAACCTGTATCAATACCCTTACTCCATTTCTTGATCTGCAAGCCCTTCTTCGAGTCATGCCCGTAAACCACGGTCGAGCGTTTCTCAACTGGTATGAGAGATTGATACTTATTCCAGAGCTTGTGCCATGGAGTGCCTTTGGAGTCCTCGCTAGGGACGTGCGTTTCTAGATCTACGGTTCGCATGTGCATGACGCTGATGGGGTCTTGTTGCTCGAGACGGACGCTTGGTATCAAGCCGGCGTGAACGACGTGCAGGTCGCCGAGACCAGGCACTTGGCCTATGTCGAGGATGGTGGGACAACTACTGAGATACTGAATTTGCTTCTTGTTGAGCTGGCTGGCTGTAGCTCGGTCACGGATGTCGAGGCGTGAGAACTCTTCAATACTTGTGTCAAGGGCAACTTCGTCTATAAGTTTTAATTGGTCGTTGACGATGTTGGGCAATGCAGCATCTGCCGGAACACCGGGTAAGGGAGGCTTTTCACCTCTGATTTTGGTAGGATGGCTTGAAAGATCACGGTGGGTGAGAAGCACACGATCTTCGTGGTTCCCGCGCACACACGATGCATTATGTTGGATTGCGATATCGACAACGGCAGGGGAAGATGGCCCTTTCGAGATGAGATCGCCGGTAAAAATGAGATGGTCGGTGTTGGTTGAATATCGAGCTTCTCCAAGGAGCGCCTCCACTGTGGTCGCTGTCAGTAAAATCACCACCTGTTGAGCGCAGGAGACGCCTTACGCTCTTCGGCACATCCATGAACGTCGCCAATGACAACTAGTCGCCGATGTCCGGGCGCTTTGCCATCAATGCCAGGCACGAGTTCGTCGTCAAGCTGTTCGACATGCTTCATGCCGACAAAGTCTGGCCTTAGATTTGCTCCAAACCAGCCTTCAGCATACTGCATTCTCTCTTTTGTTGACTGGCGAAGACCATATTGCTCACTAATCTTGGGGCCAGCCCAAGTCCACCAATTGCCCCATAACAAGAACAAGCATAATACCAAGACCAAGGCACTGCGCTGGAAACGTGGGGCGAAGAATATCTGCATCCAGTCTGGCTGGTCGTAGTGATCAGATGTGGGAGATGAGGAGTTTAGGGCAGATTGCTGCCACTCGTTCTTGATGTAATCAATGAGGGGCCGGCGTCGTGGTCGGGGGAATTGATGTGGATAGGCGTGTGACTTTCGAGTTGGAATGCGATGTGGAAGAAGGTAGTAGTCGAGCTGATCGTTACAATACATTGAATCTCTGTATCTGAGGGAGGCATCTCGTATAGGAATGCTCGTGGTGTCGAGGGCTTCGGGGTCTTCCTCATACTTTTCGGGCATCGTGGGAAGGTCATAAGTCGGTGAAGAGGATTGTTGCAGGTGGCCACGAGGAGAATAATAGGTCAAGTCTCGCTGTACATTGTAGTCCGTGTTTAACATATTCAGGTCACTGTCTGACAGTTCCTCATCCTCGGAGAGGTATTCGTCATCGCTGCCTGCGTAACGCGGAGCACGGGCCATGGCTGCGGTAAGGAGAGTGCTATAGCTTTTAGGAACGGCTCACGACTAGGAGATCCTAAGCTCATGCGAATTGAGACTCAGGCGAAGCCATAGGAGGTTGTAACCTCACGTAAAGCTGTGCTTCCATTGGGAGATGCCAAGGGATGACGCGGCGAGCTTACGACTCTTATGGACCGCCGTAATCGATCTCAAGAGACTCGCTCATGCCTCCTTTAGAAACATATCCACATCTTGACTCTACAAATATGCGATCCGCCTAATGTCTCGAGGCTTGCTGAAAGTCATTGAGCCCAACAAAACGAGAGCCTTCTTAGGTCGTCTTGTTGAGAGCTATAAGCCGCTCTGCGTGATTGTGCACCAGGTTTGCTGCTGTTCATATCCGACTGACTTGGTGATTAAGTCGTGGATTTCAGACTTCTTTGATCAACAGAAGTAGGGTTCGAGGTGCGGTATGTACGCCTAGACAACGAAGTAAGTGTAGTCACACGAAGGAGAGACACTGTGTTGTGTTGTGTTCATCTACTGCTCCAGCCACAAAGCTTGTGGTTTATATGTTGGCAACAAAGTCAGCAAATGTACGAAAAAACAAATGTTCTTTAAAAGTCTTCAAAGTACCGAACAGCTCCGAATTAAGTCATAATTTTGTTTGGTCCATTTGCTTGAGATGCTACGTCAAGTGATTGCATTTTGCGTCCTCCTGTACTTACTCTGTTCAAGTATTGCGTTCCCACTGGAATTACAAAATAACACATCCCAATTGAGCGACCCACTCGTTGGAAGGTGAGTGGCCCGTAGAGCTCTTTAATCATCATTACCCAGCGTTGGATTGCTGAAGTACACATAGCGTCACTTTCACGGATGGAAGCGAGCTCTCACTTCATTCAGCCAATACCGCAAGCAATTTCTCACGAGCCGTGAGGCACCTTGCATGGGACCTGGGCAAGGGCTGGCAGGTGATATACGACCATTTTTTGATTGAAAATGTCACAGACTTGGGCACCGCCAGGTCATTCGCCAATGAGTTCAGATCTACCTATGAGGCACAAATGCGACATCTCGGTGTTGGCCCTGACACCAAAGTACCTAGTCAACATATCTTCGCACAAGACTTCAATCTTGTTTACGAAATTGATCTTGAAGAGGAGATAACATTTGCTATGGTTACCAACCTAGTCAGGTCTTTCGAGAAAACGGCAGAATTTTTACAACCTAACGTGCCTGGCTGTGTAATTCAACTCGAAGATCATGAGAAACTTCATAAAGGGGCTGGGACGTTCGAAGTGATCAATGCTGTTGAGAGCGTTGCCACCGCCTGAAAGGGATACCTTCTGTTAAATTTGTAACGGTGTCGAATCTATGGAAGAGTTTCCGAGAAAAGGCATTGCCTCCGTACATCTAACTCGTGAACATAGTCAGCTTTAACGAAGACTTCTTCAAATTTTACCGACGCATTGGGTGTTCCAAGAGAGCAGATGTGGAAAAGGTCATCATTGGCTGCGTAAGGGGCTTTCCCTTTGGGATCATCGATATCTATGATACACCTTGTCTTCTTCTTGTCTTTGCTTCACCATATTCACAATATTAACGTTGTACACCTCTTCCACACTCTTTCTGTCTTTCAGAACCTTCTTCGCATGCCTACAAGCCTCTTCCTTCGTCATACAAACAAGCTCATTCAACTCCAGCTCCGTGATCTTCTGTCCCTCAAATTCCTCCATAATCTTGAATCCACTGTCGGGCCTTCTCCACCGCACCAGTGTCAACCTTGTTGGTAGACCACTAACCACACTCTTCCCCTTGTACACTTCCTCCACAAGATATCCTACGTCCTCCTTTGTGACCGGCAATCTCAGTCCTAGCGGGTCCTGCCCCTCAAACCGTGCCATCTGCTCCTCCCTTCCCTGCAGATTCGAGAGGATCGCATCATACATCTTCTCCCTCGCTTTGCCCGCGGCCATATCATGCGGATAACCCGTAATCTCCATGACTAAGAAATTGGCCACCGCGTACCCGAAGACTGCTGGCATGGTACCTAGCACGGGCAATATTCTTGCCCTGAAGTCGGGTAGGACGCTGAGCTCATTGACACTACCCTTCTGAAACTCTTCTTCCGGCAAAGGTAATAGCTGGGCCTTCCCAGGGCCAGGCTTCTCTATAGAATAAACGACAGGAATACCCTCTGCGACACCTACAGCTCGGAGTCGTCTCCGCGTGACTCTGCTCAATGGGTCTTCGACACTAGCACTGATATCTCCGACAGATATCTTCGTAGGATCACTCTTGCACCCCGCCCCCATTGAGCTCACGACCTTGATCCCATTTTCATGACAATACTTCAAAAGCGCTACTTTACTATCAATATTATCGATAGCATCAACTACATAATCTGGCTGCTTCCCCGCGTCCCTCCCCTCCGCAGACGCCCCTAAGAGCACACCTGCCCTCTCCACCTTCCAGACCTCGTTCCAGCACTCCCAATCCACCCACGGCACCACTCCTCTCAGCTGCTTTTTCACGCAGTCCACCTTCGGCGTACCTACATCGCTCAGTGTAGCCACCGCATGTCTATTTAGCGAACTCAGCGTCACCTGATCGAAATCCACCAGTCTGATCTTGCTGACGCCCGATCTTGCAAGCGCGGAAACACAGTGGGATCCCACGCCCCCTAAGCCCACAACAACGATAAAGGATTTGCGGAGGCGGGCGAAGCGGTCCGGACCAAGGAAGGAGGAGGTACGTGTGAGCTGTTCGTCAATTAAGGTGGGATCGTAGGAGCCGGAGAGGGCGAGGGAAGAGAGGCGCGCGGATTGTGCGTCTTCTTGTGCAGTGTTGGTGCTAATGAGGGGAGGGATGTAGGAGGGAATTTGCTGAGGTTGAGAGGGGGTGTGGGTGCTAGGGGCGCCGAATTCATTCAGCTGTTACTGGTGCGGTCAGCTTTAGTGTCTTGATATTAGGGAGAGAGGCTGAATAGCAAATGAGAAGTAACAGGAGTCTGGCTGAAGGAGGGGCATACTAGATCAGCTTTATGATCCTCGCTCAACTCTGGTATTGATGCTTTCAGCTCATCTATTCGCTCTTTTCTCCGGATGGCTTGCACGCTGAAGATTGTCCCTGCGACAGCGATTCCAGATATGAGAGCTACAGCTGCTAGCTGGACATTATGATTTGAGGCATGTCGATCGATCCAGGACATGGTCGTTGATTTCCTGGTGAGTTGTGTGAGGCTGGGTTTGAAACTTTATCACAAGAGGGTGTCAGGCGATGGGCGGGCATTAGATTTTGGTCGGATGGATGAGCACATTGTGACAGAGCTTTCCAAGTTCCTCCAGCTTATTGAGCATGGAGTGAAGGCAATTAAATGTATAAATAGAGTTTTTGCACCGGGCCCTTTCGCCCAAACTTCCACTTTCCATAACCGGTGATTGGACATACCGCGGAGGTTGTTTCAATGCTTAATACGCGTCTGAAATAGGAAGTCATGTCTTTTGAAGTTGGACCATATAGCGCGAAAGACACCATAACAATAGGTATCCAAACTCGTATACCTTTACAGGCTAAAGCATTTAATCTATTTTAAGTACTCGTGCTATTTACAAAATTCTCGGTGCCCCAAAAGACTGTCACGTTCTAAATAACACAACTCATCGATCAAGATTGAGAGCCCACTGCGCTGACACCGGTGTCTGAAGGCAATCCTTCCTCATCACCTGGCTCCCTGTAGCCACCACTTGGTGCAGCACCTCGAGTGCGTCCACCAATGATATTGCTTTGATCAATGGCATCGGCATCATCCTTAGCTACGAACAAAATCAATAAGCACCCGCTACATCACTAAATGACACTGCTCAACTTACCGAGTGTTGCATCTGAATCTGCAGTGGCAGCATCAATGTGATCTTCAATGCTGGCCTCATCCTTCTGGACGGGAATGTGAGATTGACCGGTACGGCTGGCGTAATCGTTGTCGCCCTTCACCCCAGAGGGCACGTCACCGCTGGTGACATCGTTCTGTTGCTCATACTGATCGTCGGCTGAGGCAGACATGTTGGAACGTTTTATTGTGTTTGAAGATGCTGATAGTTCAATAGAAATTATTATGGAAGTGGATACTGTGAGAATACTGTGAGAATTGTCGTGGAGAATGATAAATCAGTGATACCACGACGCCATCTTATACACGTTTGGACATGACTGTGACGGAACGCGGTCAAGAGTGATTGCTCCTGCCCCTGGCCATTCATTGCCTCATTGACTTCATGATATCACCATCTCAGCCACTAAAAGCGAGCTAATCTCACATCCGTTGATAGTGCCGTCTACGAAACTGCATCCGAGTGGTTGACATCAGCGGTATGTTCCTGAGTAGATCTGGATCGGCTTTATCCTGAGCATGATTCGCATCATTGATCTGGAAATCTCCCACAATCTCCTTCGTCTCGTGAGATTCTTAGCCGTCGTGTCAATCACGATGTCACGACATCACGCGTTCCTAGCTAAGCTTCATCCTCCCCAGAGCAGCCATCAATCTAGACGTCATCTCACGTTGGGTAGCCCTTGCATCCTTGTCAAAACGCAAGGAAGACAGATATCATCGGGCGCTTCAAGGACGGCAGCTTGATTGACAGTGCGCGGCGAAGCTTAATCTTTGGCTACTCCATGGTCTATGCTAGTGAGAGCTGAGTTCGACTGATCTATGCAAATTGTACGATACCCGAGCATGTCTACATCTCAGAACCAGTTACATTACCTACTTCATACTCCTTCCGCTATTGCTGAGTCGTGATACGTCGCCTCTTCCCACCCTACCCATGGATCCTTGGGCTTCGGCTTATAGTTGGGCAATCCATACGCACTAGGGTCAAATTTGTTCTTCCTGCGTGCAGTCTGGTATGCATTCATAAAATCCTGTCCCACTAACAGGGTACCGGTTTTTTTTTTTTTTGGCACCTTCACTTCTTCTGCTGGACCGCATTCGAGGCAGTGAGCCATAGAAACCCCAGAGTATGGGTGACCGTTATCACAGCGAAGCAAGCTTCCTTTCACATGCTTTGTCCAGCTCCACCAAGCGTCTTGCGTTGCCTTAGCGTAGATAGGATGCCCTGAATTTCGTTGTCGACCTCGTAGATGTTTGTTGACCTGTTCACAGCATGGTTGAAACAACCCCGCCGTCAACGGATAGGTCTTACAAATCTGCTCCGCCAGTTTTACAGCATTAGCCGCCTCTGTTAGGGTTTCGTTGGGTTCGATACCCTTAAGGAATATTTGCGTTGCGGAATCGACCAGGTGTAATTCAGTCTCAAGACGCTTCAAGCCCCTAGCTTGACAATCTTCTATACTAGACTTAATCTTTTGGAGCTTTCCAGCAGCTGCAGGAATAATGACGTGCTTGAGACCTTGTGCAAGCAGCTCTGAGTGCGCAGATTGCTTGCCTAAGTCTCGAACGGGTGCTAGCATTTGAATGTGAAGTTCGAGTACGGTCAGTTGGCACCGATAGATTAAGGACTCTAGCCTCAAAGACGAGGCAAAAACGTATGGCTCAAGAATGGTATCACTTTTCAAAAAGTAGATCAGCGAGGCTACTGCTTGCTCGAATCGTTCGACAAGATCTGCTGAAAGGAACGTTAATTCATTGGACTCCATATTTGACATTTGCATACCTTTAAATTTCAGGATTGCCCCCTCAAGTCCTGATAATGCGTTGCCACGTTCAAGCACAAGTATTTCATTATGTTTTCCAGCCAAGGGACCAGGCTTCAGCATGCTGCAGAATGCGTCGAATGAGCTAGCCAATTGACCCCTCGTTCGATTCATTTCACCTAAGAAATTGAAGATGCGCTTGTTGAAATGCGCCAACGCCCAATCGACATGAGATTTGAGCGACCGAATCTGGTAGAATATCGCGTATCTCCTTAGTCCTGCACATGTTACACCGCATTCTGGGCAAAATGTCTCCAGTTCTAGTAGATCAACGAGATTCACTGTTACGACACCCCGAATGTTGCCGTCACTGTCCATCTCATAAATCCGTCCAAGACCCCAGGCCTTATCGAGGAATTCGACATCAAAGTGGTGACCGCACTTGAGGAACATTTGCACAGTAGAAGTATTTTGACTTGTGGTACACTGCAAACACTTTGTCGGACAAAGCTCTCCGCAAAGGCTCGGACAAAGATGACCACATTTCAGCTCCTCGTTACAAGGTTCGTTGCACGGTAGTCGATTGCAAGGTAGACAGCATAGTGTCGTGCAGGGTTCACGATGCTTGCAGCTAATCCAAGGACAACTCTTTAAACAAGGTTCACATTCCGTCCCACAGGTCTTCTCACAGGTTCTGTGTGAACAAGATTTGCCACACTGCGCCTGGCACGGAGGACAGTTCTGGTCATGTTCATGACATTTCGACTGGCAGAGATGACCACAAGACATTTCCTTTTCGCATTTCGACCTGCAGCTATGCTTTTTGAGGCGTCGGCATTCGTAGCATATCCCTTCACATTTGTGACCGCAAGAAAGCCATTTTTCACAGGATTCTTGACACCGAGAGATCTCATGTTGTGAGGCACAGAGTATTTTCTGTTCATGGCCACAGGATAACGTCTTGCTACCAATCATCTCCGTACATTTGAGTTCAGCTTCTCCTTGACCTTTCTGATTCTCTCCACAGGTGATGGCTGCTTCGTGACCACACTTGAGAGTGGTACTTGATATCTGCTGTTCGCAGTCCCCACAAGGACTCCCGCAAGTCTTCGAACAAGGATGTCCACATGGATGGTGGACTTTTTCACACGGCTCGGAGCAGCCTTGACGCTCGTGCAGTATATCTGCGTGACAAGAAAGGGGACACTTGTGCCCACAAGCGAACTGGAACGTGCATGGTTGGTGACATTCCGGCGTCGTATACCACTGCTCAGGCTTTCCCACACCATATATTACGTCTGGATGTCTGGGACAACAGGTGCGAAATTCAGCTCCGACGTTGTGTGTCGATACGAGCTCATTGAGCACCTGATGCCACATGGGTATTTGGTCCATTAGAGACGCATTTCCGATTATGTAAAATCCATCTCTGGCTCTGCTGCATCCTACATTGATCCGATTGGGCGTCTTCAGAAAGCCAGGTCGGCCTTCGCTGTTGCTTCTCACGGTACTCAAAATTACAATCCTCGACTCAGAACCCTGGAAATTGTCGATCGTCGCAATCTTGAGCATGTTCCCGATCTCAAGGATCGTCTCACCATTATTGGACATGTCTTCCATGGGATCAATGTATCCGTTCATAATCAATGCTTCGCGGTCCTTCTCGCTTAACCAGAGGGAACAAATCGCTCTAAATCGTTCATTAAAGGCAGCCAGCTGCCCATTGTAAGGCGTTAGAACAGTGATGTCTTTGTAATCATATTCGTTGCTTTTGACAAGGTATTCCACAAGGCCGGCGACCATCTCTACCTCAAATTCGTTCGAGAAAGAGTTTGGGTTTGCTGACCTGCTTATCAATGAATCTTCGGGCACTTGATGGTTCAGCCAATACAAGCGATCGGCCATTCCAGGCACGGGTGCCCTTGTTTTGGTTGATTCATGATCCTGCAGAACATTGTCTCAGCGCAGCTTCAATGTTGGGGGTCAGTGACATACTTGTAGATACGGGTATAAAGTTGCCCGCATGAGATTTGCAATCTCTGGGTGCATTCGTCTTTGCAGGCTGAGATGGGAAGAGGGAATCGGTTGGGAATTAGTAGGAGGGTACATCAACCTTTCCATCAGCGACTCGTCCAACCTATATTCTGCACCAACTTCCGACTCCAATGATAGCGACAGCTCATTCACTTGAGGCCTAGGAGAAATGTCAGCGAAGAATGCTCCTCCAGTGTGCGTAAACAATGGCTGTACCGGAGTTGTAATGGATCTCCAATCGAAATTGAGTGCTGGACTGTTGGTAACAATGAGCACATGAACTGAGCTTCCATGACCTCAGCTGCTTCTTCACATATCACGATTTCAATGCCGAGCCGCTTCAGCTGGTGATATTGCCTTGCACACACGGTCGTCGTCATAGCTATAATGTCTTCTGTAGCTGCATTAGCCAGTAGCTTCTACTTTTTGGAAATATACGTACGATTTGCGAGGCTTCTGATTTCGACTTCGTTAAAAGCATCCCTCTTCCGACTTACAGCTACTTGATGTCTTCGGTGAATTTCTGCTGTACGGTCGAGGATCGTTCTCGGCGCTATGTCCTCCTTCCATTCCTTAAACAGTTGCTCGCGTTCTACGAGTGACAGCCTCCAAATATCCGCCGAAGCTGAACGATCAGCATGTGTTCCTACGCTTCGATGGATGTTAGTTTTTAGCCTCTCCATAGCTGATTGCACTTCTGGATCGTAGGTCTGAAACCATGGATCACTTTGCACAGCCGTAATAAAATGCTTCATCAGGCTTTCTACTTCTTTCAGATCGCCCCCAGAACACCAGTACTCGAATGCAAACCCACCCGCCTTCCGGGCTAATCGAATATCGGAAAGTCTTTGTTGATCGACGCTTTCAAGGTCCGTAAAGCTAGATAGAATCGCAGGGTTCTTTTCTGCAAGATGCTCTCGCACGGCTGGCCAGCTCAGAGTATCTGAGTTGAGCGATTCGCTCCAGCTGACTGCTTCTGTGTACAACGCTGTAGAGTTCAGTAGCTATCATCTCCGAGCAATGTGCTATTGACTCACCCTCTACCTTCAAAAGTGCCATCGAGGTAGCACTCTTCTCAACGACTGACTTACGAAGCTTTGAAGTGAGCTTTCTCAAATCATATTCGTGAGTCCAAGCCTCCTTGCTCTTAGAACCCAATCTGGCAAAGTTGACAATGCCAGCATCTTTCAGATCAGCGAGGAAGCTGTCTAGAGCATGATTCGTCAAGCATACGACAAGGATGGGCTTCATAGAGCTGATACCTCGAGACGCTAGGAGTACTCTAGCTAATGCCACTCCAAGAAATGTTTTACCGGTGCCGGGCGGACCCTGCGTAAACGCTAACCCACGACATAAGGTCTCACAGAGAGCCTCTGCCTGGCCTCTGTCTAGAGTCGTACGATTGCAGAGCTCATCAATTGTATTCTTGAAAGACTGCCCACCGGAGAGTAGTGCAAAGGGTCGAAGCGCATAAGGAATGCCATCCTTGAGGCCAGATGTAGTACAAATTGAGTTTAGCTGGAATTCAAAGTGATCCTCTGTTGCATATGCTGGAGGGGAGCTTGGATGGTCCATTCCAATTGTCAGTGGGGCGATAGAGGACAGAAACGCAATTTGGTCCCGGGAAGCAGATTGGTCCTGGAGCCGCTTAAGGGTATGGCGAAATCCTGCGTAAAGAAGACCTGACACTTCAACCAAAACGAACTTTTCGTTCATGACGTTCTTATAATTGTATAGCAATCGTCTTACAGCGTCTATGTCACTTGGTTCGGCAAACGAGAGGACCAGAGCGGCTAAGTATTCAATTGTTAGTAGGATTCTCGTCTTAGCAGACGTCTGAGAGAGAATCATACCCCTCAAATTGTTGCCAGACCTTCGCCTCATCGATTCCGTGGTCTGGCGCTGATCGACCTCCATGTAAGTCACCGACAGCGTGCCTTGATTGCAGAACCCAATTAACGCAACCAACATGCCTTCTTCGAGGTGCTTCGAAAGGCCCATCGCCTTTCCGCGTAGTGCTCGAGGGCAGGCATAGCTGATTCTAACCATCATCCCACGCGTAGGATTGAATTGTACCTCTTCAAAGGCAACATCTTGGAACAAAGAGTATTGTAGCCTGCGAGGCGTGATCATGCGGTCGTCGTAATCCGCGGTCTGTGGCTCTGATCCATTGAGGACTAAGTGCTGGCATGCATGATATGACGCGTCAATCAGCGGTTCAACCTTTTCATACCTTGATTGTCGGAACAGAACATCGAGGTGGCGTTTCTGTCCAGCTGGTAGGTGATGAAATGCCTGAGGGCTTTTCCGAGGCACAAAGGGCGGTCGTCGCGATAGTATCTCGTCCATTGTTGGCAGAATCTGTATGCGGTGTATTTCACCATGATCGTTGTCATGTCTGATGCCATAACTGGATAGACTACCGGGACCTTCGTCGTCGAAGGGTGACTGGCCCTTCGGTAAGTCTCGACGATCGAAGATCAAATAGTTCGGTGCGCATTGAGACTCTGTATTAGAGCTTTCGGCGTCATGTGGGATACAAATTTTGTGATTCAGCTGGCAAGTATCGCCTCGCCGACAGAAGCCTGCGATGAAGTCATGACAAAGCTCTTCAGCTGGAATGGTCGGAAGTGAGGATTTTGGTAGGATGTCTGCTTTGTACGACGGTGGGTTTGTAATGAAACTAGGCATCTAGAAAAACAAGTCCGAGACTTGACAACAGCCAACGTGTTATGCAATCAAGACGCGTTCTGATGACGAATATGTGGCGATACTCTCCTCAACTTGGACGTCCTGTTCTTTGTAGTGAGAAGTCAGGATGTTGGCAGGGCGAGTTCACTGTATCCAGAGCAACGTCATGCTGATTGGAAAGTGCATAGTGGAGGGGCGGATGAAAATAGAGTAGGAAGTGAATTAATTTCACCGGATAGGAAAAACCTATAGGGCGGACACAAAATTAGCCCTGACACATCACCGCCTGCTCGCAGTGGCAAAGAGCCTATTGGAGCACCTTACATGATATACAACCAAATCCTGGGCGTTATGGCACTCGCGGGCGCGTTGTTTCAGGCTTTATTTTATTAGCATACCTTGATTCTGTTACCCTGATTTAGTATGTTGAGCTTTCATCCGCGATCCATATGATAGGAGAATTGATATGTTGTCTTCGAGCACTCTTGTTTCTCGTACCAATAGTAGAAAAAGTCACGTTATGATGTCCTCGCTTGAGCAGTTTCCTAGCTACTTTCCTAACCTTATTTTGTCTCGTCATTTGCCTGCTTTCTTACCCCTTTTGGCTGTCACTTTCACTTGCCCCTTGGAGACAAAGGAAGACTTCGGCTAGGAAGATGTTAGTTCCATTGAAATGCGTCTGCAACCACTCGCGGCACGCTTACCTTGACCGTAGAGTCGTTTCCCTTACTATTATTACCCGTCACCTTTCTAGCGTTTTTTCGTCCTTTCTTAGCCTTAGGTGCATCAGAAGCGGACTCTGGCGGAGAATCCTCGGCTATCATAGCATCATCGGCGCCGTCATTCTCAATTAGTCCAGCATCAGGATCGTCAGACTCTGATTCCTCCTTCATCCTTTTGGGTGCTGCCTTGCGCGGGGCGCGAGTCTTCCTAGCAGGATAAGGGATCTGGACCGATTCGCTTTCGCTACCTTCTCGTTTGAGATTGTCGTCACCATTTGGCTGCATTTTCCCGTGCGGACGTCCTCGCGGCTTAGGAAGCTCTTCAATCTCGGCGTTACTAGCCTCAGCCTTTACTTTTGCAGCCTTTTTGCGGCCTCTCTTAGGCGGACTGGGGGCTTCTTCATCTTTCTCAATTTCCTTCTTTACATTCTTGCCCTTCTTAGGTGCTGCTTTTGCCTTCTTTGGTGAAGGAGTTTCATGACCGATGTCCTCCCCACTTTCCTCATTCTTGGCTCGAGAACGCTTCTTGCCTTTCGGCTTGCTCGGTGTAGCTTCGTCTCCTGCCCCAGCTTGCTATTTTCGGATCAGTAAGGTTACTCATCATAGTTTCCAGCCCAAAGATACAGATCTTACATCGGCTTCAGCAGCCTGCCGCTTCTTCATTGAAGCTGGCATACGAAAACCCTTCCTACCAGGCCGATTGACTTCAACGTCCTGAAGAGTATTAGATTGAGAGGAACTTCGGGCTTATTATACTTACACCCTTCCAGTCCTCATCAGCGACGTGGCCATCATCCAGAGCCATTCTTACGCGAGTCTGTTCAGCTTCCGGCAGCTCATCGTAACCATCAAGAAAGTCATAGTTCCCTTCGAGTGCGTCCTTCATATGTTCAAGGACTTGTGGCGTCACACAGCCCCTTTGAAGCTGGTCAGGAATAGTCTTGATTGCCGGTAAGCAACTTACCAATGCTTCCATTTCCAACTCTGGTAGTCTTTGATAGTCACAAATACACCATGGCGAAGTTCTCCCTTCTGAATCTTTATGCCTGCTTTCTTGCATTCACCGTTCTGGCAACCAGCGCGAGATTGAGAAGCAATTTCTATTGAGTAACCGCAATTAAATACTATTTCTCTGTATCACAATACAAACCTGACATTTTGAGACGAATATTCAAGAAATCAATGCTCTCGCTGACACAATCTTTTAAGATAGAAGAAATGCTACGTATCAGAAATGGACTTACCCAGACGATATTGCCCAGACATTGCGAAGGGGAACTTAATGAGTTGGAGTCAAACGCTGTTGTTTTGGCAAAGGTCAAAAGGCGATGAAGATTCAGCTCGATAAATGAAGAGAAAGGGGGAAGACCGAATTATCAGACGTGTTGAGTGAAGGAAGCGCGTGACAAACAAAGCCACAATTTTCAGCCCTACGAAAATGGGAAGGAGCAAAGTGACGTTGACTTCCAGGACCACCATATTAGATTTATTTCTCTTATGTTTGCTCTCGACAAGAAATCCTATCTTCGTCACCATGAATGCTTGAAAAAACCAGCAAGCAGTGCCTGTGCAAAGCCAATTCGATTGTACATGAATCATGGCTAAAATATGCTCTGGAAGTCGTTTCGATGTACTCTCAACTTGAACTCAAGACTGCAATCTGACACATTAACAAGAGGTCTGTCTGCCTCGAAGTCTATTGATTCATCGCTTCATTGTGGCCTGCTGCGGCAATGCCCATGTCCATACACACAATCAAGTTTCCATACCTCAAGTGCAAGACTCCAAGCAGCAACTCGTCACAACACCCGTTTTAACAGTCTGGGTTTTGAGTCGCCAGAGGAAGATGTCTATCGACTGTCGCGCTCTTCTCAACGACATGATATTGATGCCTGGTTAACTCTCCTCAACCGCCGGCTCCCAGAGGACTTCCCACACACGTCAATTGAGACTCTTGATCATGGGAATGTGGCAAAGGATCTCGATTGTACGCGTGTACTCGTTGAAATCCTCAGAGGAGCAAGAGACTGTACGCAGTCAGACATCATATCACACTTAGGTGTCCATTGTGGACGATGGAGTGCTGTGAGTTGGATCGTGCATGCATTGCTTGCAATTTGGGGTCGGCATTACCGATCCATCAAGCCAAGCGAGCAGCTTCCAGTAGAATCCCCGTTGCGTCAAGCACCGTCGTTAGGAGATTTTTGCGAGGATCCGACAATGTTCGACTGTCCACCAGCGTTTGCCGTACCTCTGGACAAGCTAGACCCGTGGGGTGAGTGTATTGATAAAGACAGCGATGGAATCTCTTTGGCAAAACAATCTTTAGCGCAAGTCTGGCAGGCGTTAGGTAGTATGATCCTTCATGCGGGAGATCTGTCTGAGGATCGCGTGGCTCATCAGTCGATCATGTCACAAGTATTGGACATTCTTGCTCAAATGCACCATGTTGATGCTTTACCCTCCACTATCTACAACTATGTCCCCGCAAAAGATCCTTCCGTCATCCAAAGACCGCCTACAATACATCTACTGTCATCGAGAATCATGACTTTGCTTTCAGACGTTGCGTGGAAAAGGCATTGGAAGTCTGAGATGGCGAAAGCACAAGAGTACGGATATGAACTACCCTCGCCTAGAGTCCAACCTCAGCTTTCGCAGGTTGAAAGTGGTGTCTGGCTTGACCTTGTGCTCTGGGCTTGTGTTGAAAGTGATTTAGTCCTGGAGGCTGCTTGGATTGTTTCGCAGATGCAGAGAAGGTCTCAAGACTGGGCAAAGAGGTGGTCCGTTATCAGCTGGGAAGAAGTATGTAGGACAAAGGCTCCAAAGCTTGCGTGGACCGCAATTCTAAAGTTGCAGCTTGACAAGGCCCGCCTAAATCAGTCAACGGGCATCGGCATCGCAAACGGTGGTGTCTCAAGTGTAACAATGGGAGAACGTACCATCAGTCGCGAAGTCATCGAGGCAATTATAGACGGCACCGTAAACAGCACTTGCAATACCGAAGCATCATCCAGCTACCCCTTCAACCAGGCTGTGCGTATGACCCAAGTTTGCAAGGACTTGCTGGAAGCAAATGATGCGGGCTTGGATGCTCGAGCGTGCAACGCTTTAGTGTTACGAGTCATCGAATCTGGATCTGTGAAAATGCGAGAGTCTGCCCTTGCAATCGATGATCTTCTTCATTTGACTTCAGTTGTCCCTAGTGCAGAAGGCCCCCTGACATGTCAGCTTTATCACAAGGAAACGACCCAGAAGATCATTCGGCTAGCATCTTAGGATTGCTCTACTCAGTACTCTATACTGACTCAAAGACCGGAGAATCGCAAAGACTAATGAGCACTCTTGACAACATTACGAACTTGATTGATGGCAATAAAAGAACTTATATTCGGGAATTTGCAAGTGAATTGAGAGAAAGACTTCTGCGTGGCCCCAAGAGATTGTCGCAATCTTCCCAACCATTACTCTATCCCGAAACTCCAGATTACATTGTAGCTCAACTTCTAGATTCTACAACGGCAAACAAATCGAAAAGTCTTGGAGAGCGGCTTTTTGATAACAATGATATTGACGGAGGCTTTTTACGTTCTCACGTTTACAAGTCTCCCAATCTTCAGCCTGCTCTATTGCGCTATGCGACTGAGAATGCAGACCATACAATAGTCACGAGAGTCCTGGAGCAACTGCAGCCGCCTTTGTCGGAGGACATGCTACATTCGCTACTTCGCAGCCAGGTCCTCATGAACGAATGGAATGCCACCCAAGAGATTCTTGATCACTTGAAGTCGTCCGAGGGCACCAGCTGGAACGCTTCGGATGCAACCTCTTTGGCAGCAGCTGTCCTTCGACTCTCGGGTTTGAAGCAGCGCAAAGTCGTCGAGGGAAGCAAAGCTGAGGAGATTCTCTCTGGCATCTTCGCTGGTCGCTATGACAATGCATCTGACCCGTCTCGGCCAAGGGACTTCCAAAGAATTCAGCTAGCAAACCAGATCAAGCGAATGTTGCGCACAATACCCGGTAATTGCTTCCACTGTTTGAACTATAACAAGGATCGGGAAACCGGTCGTCTATCAGCGAAAGCGGAAGTATCACCTCAAGCCTTTGGTATACTATTGGAAGCAGTGGTAGAGCGGTTCGGCTCTGCGGCTGGCATGACGCTTTGGAAGCAATGGTGTCGTGTGCCGTCGAGCAGACGTTATGTTCATTCCGGCCAGTATTTGGTCGTATCTGGTGTCGTCAAGCCTGAGCTTAGGTTGCTACGGATGATAATGAGACCAATTATTCAAAAGCTTCCCCTCTTTATGGACTCTAGTGATCAGAAATCTGGGACAGATGAGACTCAAGCTACAAACGAAAATTCTGCTTCTGCTACAATTGTTCTGACTCCGATCGAACGTTCCGTAGTGAGGTGGACGGTATCAGTATATCAAAAGTTTGGATTGAACGCAGAGGACATTGGTCGAGAATTTCCCAGGGTTTCTAAGCCTGATCTGGGTCTCGCCTCAATTGTATAGTGAAGATAGACTCTCATAATATTCAGATCATGTGCCAACGAATAGGCCTCATGCTGATGGCATCTCCTCCCTGACTCAATCAGCATGAAGTAGAGTTCCTATCTTCCAAATATGCTATTGTCACTCGTCTGTCTTCAAGACGCTCAACGTTGCACACGTCTCAGGTAATCACAAAACGTGTTACTCATCATGTCTGGATCATTCGCACAGACAGAATTGTAGTATCTCGTATAGAGCTGGCGATGGCTCCTGATTGGCTCCAACCCGGAGGACTTATATGCGCTAATCTCCCTGCGCGCTAGAATCGATTTCGTCAACAATTCCAAACACAGACATAATCGCACCTAAGCTTCCTAACTGTCCTTTTGCGCTGCACCGAAAGTTATCCATTAGCAACGCCGACAGTCTTTCTTTTCACCTATTCCCTCTTTCTTACAGCCACGACGCTTCTTTCTTACTTTGACAATTGTTCGTACCCTCTAACGCGTGCCAAGGAACCGTTGACCGTTCCACTACCCAAAGGCCAACATCTGGACAATCAGTATCTTGGAGAATTGAGTGCTTATACACCGCTGCCCGGGGACTTTCAGGAGAGTACGACATTGGCACGACTATGACCCATGCTTGAAATTAGGCCCTCCAATGCCCAAAGCACCCTGAGCGTACGCATTCGATCTGAAGAAAGCAGGCACAAAACATGACTGAATTTGTGGGCTCTTTGCCGCGGCAACGAACTGATCCCGAAGATATGAATGGCCTCAGTAGCGAACATGACCCTTTCTCCCTCGAAACTCCACCGCAGCAAACAGGCCAGCATCGCTTCTCCGCATTCGATACACAGCTCTTCGCTTTGAACCATCCTGATTCTTCTCCAGCACAAGCCAAGAAAGCACTTGAAGCTCATTTGGCTGAGACTGACCGAAGGATTCAAGAAACGTCGAAGCTTGGATCGACTTTGGTTCAACAGAGGGTCAATTTGTCAAATAGGTTGCGGGAAGTAGGATCTCGGGAGGACGACAGGAAGATAAGTCCTGAATTGCGACAAAAACTCATCGAGATTGAGCGAGACTACAACGATGTGGGAAGGCAGAGCGCAAAAGCCTTCCTTGGTCCAAAAGCAGACGGGCAAGGTGCGGAGGGTGCTGCTACTCCCTTCGCACGGGATGGGAAGCGCCCACCAAGTCCTGCTAAATTTTCTAACCAAGCTGTGGAATCGCCGTCCAAGATGAATGTGCCACGGAAACAGCGTAACCAAGCGTCGAATGCCGATAATCTTGAATTTGCGGCGGAAATCACAACTTCTCTGCTGGGTCAGGTAAGACACTTACAAGCTGTGCTTGCTGAACGCGACGAGAATTTGAAGAATGTCAATGTGGAAAATGCACGCCTAGGAACCGAGGCTGAAGGCTTTATCCAGCGCTTAAAGCATTTGGATGATGGGGAGCAGCGTTACAAAGATGAGAATTGGAATCTTGAAACCCAATTACAAGAGTTGCAAGCGCAGCAGAAGGACGCCGCAAACAGAGAACAGAAGTTGCAACAAATTTTGACATCTATGACATCTGAAAGGACTGCATATGAGAAAGAACTAGAAGACTTAAGGCAAAGCCATGGTAAAGCTTTTGACGACCACACTGCTCTTCGTAGACGACATGAGTCAGAACTTGCGACTCTACGTAAAGATGTCAAGCTCGGGGAAAGCGAGAAAAACACAATGCAACGGCGTGTTGATGAGCTGACTTCACAGAACGAACAACTTGCCAAAGGAATTGCTAGTCACTTCAAAGACGAGGACTCAGAGCCAGAAACAGATGCGGGGAGCCAAATTCCTGACTATAGCCTTGACTTATCTGAACGGGAGCATTCTCCGCCGCCATCGCCCAGTAAAGGCCAACGTCATTCTATGCTAGAATCCGAAACTTTGAAGAGCTCTCTGCATCATGCTCATCGAATGATTCAAAATTTGAAGAACAACGTCCATCGCGAGAAGTCAGAGAAACAGGATCTGAAGCGCATGCTACAAGAGGCAAGGGATGAGTTAGAGATCAAACGTAAAGACCATCCTGAGAAAAGGCTCAAAACCAAGTCTCAAACGGATTTGAGGAAGGCTGGTAGGCCGGGGCTTGGCGCACCACGAAGTAGCACAATGGATATCATGACAGACGAGCCTCAGGATCCGGAATGGGAAGATCATGATGGCTTAACTCCACAAAAAATAACTGTGAACAGGACCGAGCCAAGTGATGCATATCAGACTGCGAATGAGACGGAAGACGCGTTTGAGACTGCGAACGAACGGGATAGTACGGATAATGATGCTTTCCAAACCGGGGCTGAGTCAAATGCTCGCGATAGTAGCGAGACCGAGACCGAGACTGAAGCAGCTACCATGCGATCATCAACCCGACGGGGCATAGAAGCTACGAGATCTCTATCTAACAAGCCTGGTGATCGGAGATCGATTCAAAGTACGGCTTCAACTTCGGAAGAGGAAGAGCATGGCATGCATACACCAATTCAAGGACAGCCGCAACGCTTCCGTCTGAAAATGAATCGTCGTTCACACGTTGTGAGTGGTGGCTCAGGCAGTAGTGCTCCATCATCAACCAAAAATTCTCCAGCAAACTTTGTCAGTGCTGGCGATGAAGGAGGTCAAAGCTTATTTGCTGAGCTAGAGAATATTAGCGGAGACGAAGCTGAGGCCACCCCAAGCAAAGATGGTACGCGAACTCCAAGATCCGTTCGTTCTACACGGTCTGTAAGTAGAGAGATTGGCGGGAAACGCTCATCCGGAAGTCTAAGAAGAGCCAACGGTTCACGTTCTTCGACTCCGGGTCTAAGGCCAAGCACAGTCATATACAGCGGCGGAACACCACCAATACCAAAGATACCAACCGTAGATTCTAGCACAATGACTGAACCCATCGACGAGCCACAAGAAAGCACCCTTCTTGGCGCACTTTCCGGCGCCAACAGCGAGAGGAAAGGCCCAGATTCTCGAGCAAGTGACGCTGTAAAAAGCCAACCTGGATCTCGCGTTGTGTCAGATTCGACTACTGCCTCGACTCCTCAACGTCCTGTTTGGGATCACCCACTAACCGCACTTTCCGGGATATTCCCAGGTTTCAAGGACAGTGCCAACACCACTCCTATGTCGACCAAGTCGGACACATCCCAAATTCATCAAGAGCCAGAGAAAGCCTCAGCAGGTCTGCAATCACGACGAGAGTCTCAAAGCTATCCAGCACCTTCCTTAGCTTCGCTCACTCAGAGTGAGCAACATCCTCCTACATCTCCTTCGATGGCTTTATCCTCTATCCAAACATTAGAGACTGCTCCAATCCAACCAAGGCAGAAGTCGATTGGGGTTGAACCTGTTGAAGCTGTCCAACCATCTGATACTCCCACCAGAAGAGCTGCTGAGTCCGCCACGGGAGGCATCTTTGGCTCTGTCTTTGGTTGGAACAGAAGGTCACGTGCTGCATCAATATCCAAGATTGTGGATGACGACACAAGTCAACATCCAAGGGAAGCTATTGAGCCTAGCACTCCCGACCACAAGGCCCCGCTACAAGAGGTCTCAGCAAATGCAGTCTCTCGTCGAGCCTCTGGACAGTACGCTGGATCGAAGGAGCCCGTTCAGACGAACAGGTCGATCTACGATCAAGGCTCGCAGACTGTCCTGTCCTCTGAACAGATTGACAAGCTTTTCGAGAAGCAAAATACTCTAGTCGACGCTCCAGCGCCCCCAACCCCAGCAGCCATGAAACCACTTTCTGAGATAGGCGCTACTCCACCTGCCAATCGTGGATATCAGGACGACACCACTCCCAAAGCGAAAGCCCCTGAGGTCAAAGTCCCAGACGGTGCTTCCTTCAGAGACGCAGTCGGCAGAACAGTTCGTCGGCCCACAAGCGCCACGAGTTCACGCTCTCGAATTACGCAGTACCCACCGTTACCTAGTGACCATCAAGAAGCTATTGCTGCAGCTGCGCAGAAGGCCCCAGAATCGATGGGCCCACCGATAGCTCCAGCGTCCGCTTACGCTCGCTCTTTGCGCTCCAGAGCGAGCAGCCGCCCCCAAACACCGTCGTTGCAAGGGCTACCCAGTCCGTCATCCAAAGGAGGCACCACGCCTCGGGCACCGCGTTATTCATCGACCAGATCTCAAGTTTCTCGTCGCACATCGGTCTCTTCTTTTGCTTCGGAGCTTGACGAGAGGTTTAACATCCGTGTTGGTGATATGAATATGCCACAGGGCATGTCGCCAAACACAGACCCACGGATGATCCAAGCCATCACCCAGACTATGATCGGCGAAATGATGTGGAAGTATACCAGAAAGGCAGGCCGTGGCGAAATGTCAAATACCCGCCATCGCCGCTTCTTTTGGGTTCATCCGTACACACGAACTCTTTATTGGTCTGACCGTGACCCTGCCAGCGCGAATCGTGCCGAGCTGAAGAGTAAAAGTGTAGCCATCGAGGCTGTACGCGTAGTCACCGACAACAACCCATCGCCACCTGGCTTGCACCGTAAATCACTGATTGTAGTGACCCCCGGTCGTTCCGTCCAGTTCACAGCGCAAACTGGCAACCGCCACGAGACCTGGTTTAACGCACTTTCCTACCTTTTACTCCGCACTGGGGCGGACGGCAATGTTGGTAATGCCTATGGCGACTTCAGTGAAGCAGAGGCGGAGGAGTTCAATCCACCATACAACCGCAATCGTTCCCGCGTGTCCCTCGCAAGCTTCAGAAGTCACCGAACAGCGGATAGGAACGCACGGCACTCCCTCGCTACTCGTCCAGGTTCTTCATACCCTTCGCAAAATCAGCGCGAATCACGGCAGCTCGAGCAGCCTTTAGACCCAGTCGAAGACAGGCTACAAATGAGCTCCCAATCAATCCGGCAGCGCATCTCCCGCTCCCTCTCTCGCTCACGGGGTTCGAAGGTTGCGGAAGCTACGAACACGGACCCTCCTAAATTAGCCGAGTCCACGAACGCAACCCCCCATGCAAGTATTTCTAGTCGACTTTCAGGATACTGGCGGCAGCCGCCTTCGATCAGGAATAGCATGCGTAGCCGCTCGAGTATGCGTGCTGAAGACGCAAACAATGGCGCTGAAGCAGGTATTCTAGAGGGTGGCAGGAGCGTGGTAGCGCCGAACGGTGTGGCAAGGGATAGTGCTGAGGATGTGCGGATGGTGATTGAGGAGCGCGAACGGGACGGAGCCTTAGAGAACGTTAGGGCTTGTTGTGATGGTGAGTCTTGTCTCTCTTCTGCTCATGTCGCCTGCTTTCGGGTAGGAAGGAATTGATGTTGATCTATTCATAGGGAAACATGATGTTGGCTCCTTACACAAACACGGGCCCCATCATCACCATCATGACCACACTAAGAGTACGCAAAGTGTGCAGAACCCAAGGAACAACTCGGCTACTAATGTGGCACACTGAGTTGAGAGTCATTCATTGTAAAAGGGGTTTCTTTAGCAATGTAGGCAAGGCGCAGACAGTCCTTTTCGCGAGGTGGGTGGTGTTGATGAAGAGGTGGAAACGAATGCCCTTCGAAGTCTTTTCATCACGTTGAAACGTTCTTATTGCTTAAATTAATTTGCTGTCGGCTACTTTGCTTTCTGAAAGCATCTATTAGCTTTCTGCTCTTGGACACAGGTGTTTGTCATTGAACGTTCAATATACTGGGAAGACATCACGTCATTATGCTAAGTTTGAGTAATGTATACATGAATAGCTGCTATACTATTTTACCATTTAATCTCCACTAGCCACATCCTTGCTTGTCTAAAAATTCTTTATATCCGCAAGCGACACCATCAGCACCACAGCCAAACAAATCCCATACTTCTCTGCTCCAGGGGTTCGCTATTTGCTCAGTCGAATCCCCACCTTTTGGCTTCAATGCTTGCCGCGTAGGGCGGGCAATTGCTGAGATAGGTGCCTCTGGCGCGGGACGTATACTGGACATGTCTGAAGTTGCCTTCTTCAACGGAGAGCGACGGGTGGGCTTTCTAAAATTGGGCAGTGGTTTCTGCGGTGGAAGAGATGCGTTTTCAGGGGCTTCTGGCTGTGGTGGCATCGTTTCCTGCCTTGCCATTACTGGCGTGCTGGCGGGATCTTCAATCAGCTCGTTTCGTATGGACTGTGCATTGAGAATTTGTGGAGGACTTATGGTCGGCAAGTCAGGGGCTCCACTTGGAGGTGGCTGAGAAGAGATAACGATGCTTTCATTTGCCATTTCACACGCCGTTGGTAATGTTCTCACCTGAGCTGGCTGGTTGTCCTGTGACAGTGGTACCTGAGTCTCAACATGAGGAGCTGTGGGCTCCATAGAACGCATCGTCGCCACAATAGAAAGATCGGGAATCAACGTCGGTGCATCCGTAGTCTTTGTGAGAAAGGTTTTTACGACATGTTCTTCCCTTTGGATCGGTGGGCTCCGCCGAGGGACGGCTAACATGGCATCCATTCTTGACAGAGCAAGGTCAGTATTGTGAGTTGATGGCTTAGGCTTCGGTATCGGAAGCTGGACTGCTTCCGCAAACGGATGACGAATATCATTGTGGTCATCAACTTCTGCTTCGTCAACGGACACCCTGCGCTTGCTTTTTTTCATTTCATGAACGTCAGCTTTCGTTGTCTCCATCGTTTCTTCATCTTCTCCTCCGCTATACAAAGCTCGTTTTTTAGGAAAGTTGCTAAGAGCGCCTGCTTGCTGCGGGTTCTTATCAAGGTACCCTGACCGATTACAGCTCTTTTCTTTGGAGTTGCTTTTAGTCGCAGGAATACTGCTGGTGGACGGCCTCCGTTGTCCTGCTTCTTTATGGTCCTTTATGAGAGGAGCAGGCTCTAAGGGAAGGAGTTCTCTATACATAAGCTTTTGGCGCGGTTTTTGAGCGCCTATCTGAAGCTTCATTCGTTTTCGCTGCCCTGTAGAGCTTTCAGCCTCCTCTACTGTCGAGCTGCTTGAGCCTCTCCGACTTATTCTACTAAGCTTCTTGTTTACCTTTTCTCCGACGTCTGGAGCGTTACTGTATATAGGTGTTGCGCTTGAAACTTCTTCCAGGGACGGGCTGAGCTGCTTTGTGTGGCGATCCGAAGGGTTAGCCTCTTCTTGAGAAGAAAGTATCTGGATGGGCTCGCAATTGACAGCCTCATCCTGCCATCCCTTATACTTTCCGCATTTCCTCGAATCAGTAGAGTAGTTATTGGAATAGCTATCCACTTTATGGCGTTTATGGATAGAATTTCTCTCGTCAGATCCCCGAGAAGATCCTGACGGCTTTTGATCTTTATGGGTGGGTTTCAGCTTGGCCGTCTCGAAATTCTCTTTGCCCGCCACACGGCTTGATATTAAGATGGCAGTCGGATAAGCAAGGCTCTTCGCATTAGAACGGGTCGCCATCTTCTCACTTTCGGCCTCCGTTCGCCGCCTTTTCGCTGACCTCTCGCCTTCCTTGACTTGGTTGTTAGCCTCACTCCGCAGATCGTGTGGTGATTTGGATGGATCTAGGGCCCTTCCAATCTGTCCTCGAGGCGTTCCCAATACAGCAGTCAAGGGTCTCGGTCTCAGCATCTGGGTTGGGCGCGACAAAGGAGCGATTGCAGTGTGGACAATCTTCTGAATGGGCAATGAGTCGCCATTCGAGGGGATCTCTGTTGCCTTCTTCCTCTTCTCCAATAATGCCGTCAAATCTTGCTCTGTACTTCCAACAATTTCGCCAACCTGGATCAAGACCCCTCTATCAAGTTCAAACTCATCACCATCCTGCACAGGATCTTTGTCTCTCCAGTGAGTATCCCCAATGTAATTGCGGGGCACATCGTAGACCATAACCCGTTTGTTGAATGTATGAAAACGTAGGAGGCCATCTTGCCATCTTTTCTGCTTTCTTCTGAGATCGTGAGTATAAAGACAGCGGAATTCGATGATTGGAGCTGTATTCTGGGTTGTGGGTACAGAAAGTGAAGGATAGGAGGCGGGGTTCGATGTAGATATTGTTGCATTCATGACAGCTCATATCTTTGGATTACTCAAATGAATTGCGTTCCTTATTGAACATCTGACCTTCAAAAGCATATTGCGCCAGATAAATCAAAATTAGGCAAGAGTAATAGAATGTGGTTTCGCGCCTGGGCGCGAAGTCACGTGCGAAGTCGGCCTAATGCAACAACGACTATTCTCCAAATGAGTATCTATCGCTATTGTACTATCGTGCAATCCCAAAATTTTCACAGTCGTCGTACCTTGCAGCCATGGTGAGCTCATCTCGATAAAGGCTTCTGTATAGTATAGACAGGCTGACATTTATAGGCTCGAAATTCGGAGAAGGCGCAGTCCATGCTCTTTCGCTTTCGGGCCCAACAAGCTGCACAATTAGGTATCATAGATGCAGGTCGAACTCGTCGGCCGAAGATGATTACGGAGGTCTCTCAGATCCCTGCTTGCGAAAAATGGCGCGGCCAGGTGTTGAAAGAGATATCAAGAAAAGTGACCAAGATCCAAGATCAAAGCCTTAGCGACTTCCAGATTAGGGACGTGAATGACGAGATCAACAAATTGATGCGGGAAAAGCACATGTGGGAGGTGCAGATACGCAACCTTGGCGGCCCAAATTACATGAGGGGGGAGGGAAAGTCTTTGATGAGGAAGGCAAAGAGATACCAGGAGGAGGGAAAGGCTACAGGTAGGCAATGAAATCACAACCTACAAAAATGGCAATCATGCTGAAGTACCCGCAGGTATTTTGGAAGGGCTAGGGAGTTGCCGGGCGTAAAGGAAATGTTCGAAGCAGCAAAGCCAAAAGCACCGGACAAAGCCTTGGAATCTCGGGCAGACCTTAGGAAAAACGTTGATGCCAGCTATTATGGCTACAATCTAGACGAGGAAGATGGGACCTTGCTTGCGTATGAAGCTGAAAAGGAGAGGGAAGCATTTGAGAACCTGAAAGCCCAGGGACAGAAGGGCGAGGATGGTTGGGAGTCTTTGCCGGGCGACTCAGGAGACGGAGTTGCATGGACGCTGCCAACGCTCGATGAAGTGCAAGAAGAATTAGTAGACCGGCGGAGGCGAACGCTATTGGATAAACTCGGTTGATAATCAGTGAAGTAAGGAAGGAGTCTGGAGAATCATTCTATAGTTGCAAATTGTGATACCCCATGAAGCAGAACTTGCTCTGAAAAGCGACTGCTATTAAGCTCAAATAGAGATTCAGAGATTGCCTTGAATTGCACTTGTAAGAATTGTTGTCGTTTAAATGACTACTTCCGATGATTCGAAGTGCGGAAATGCTCGCGGTCCGCAAACTGTTACACAAGCAACCACATCAACCATCCACATTCTGGCGCTCTGCCACAATCAACTATGGATTACTCTCAGCTTCCCAACGACCCTGACCATCCGGTCGGAACTTCACCATGGCAGAATTCCCCGGGTCCCAACCGAAGCACCTTTCCTTCAGAAGACAGCACCCCCTCTTCCCCAGAAGTATCAAAACAATCGCCCTCCCTGCCTGCATCGAGCCAGCAGCAAGAGCAGCAAAACAATGCTCAAGTAGAGCGACCGTCGTCCACTCCTCCAGATCGCGATGCGCCGCTGTCACCGCAACAAAATGGAGCCGGAAGGCAGCCTGCGAGAACGATCAGTCAGAGCGTGCCAGATATACGATTCCAAGGCCCACCAATGACGGAGGAAGAGCTGCGTCAAGAGTCAATGCGTCAGCAGAGGATTCAGGAACGTCATCAACAATCTCTACACGCTCAACAACATCAAAGAGCTCCAGGTCCAAACAGGTATCATGGCAAGCAAGGTCAAAGACAACCTCCAGCCTACATGCTGCAAGCTAGAATCACGACACTGGAAAGACTCGGAAAGAAAGATCCTGCGATACATTTTGATGTTCACGTACGTCTCATTTGCGCCGCCAAGTAGCTATATACTAAATTGCAATTTAGACGAATCTACCGAAATTCCGAACTACGCAGGTCAGAGACATCAAGCGCACACATTCGGAATTTGTCAAGCTAGCGGATCATCTAATCTCGTCGAATCCAGAGGCATTCGTACCTGCAGTTCCACCTCCTCTGACTTCTGCCGGAGCTGGGACGGAAGAAGACGAAGTCCGCACGAAGAACGCCATGCAAAGGTGGCTCAATTACGTTTGCAGCAACGATGTGTTGATGAGAGATGATGAGATGGTCTTCTTTGTGGAAAGTGATGCTGGATACAGTCCTATGATGAGGATGAAGCAACCAGCTACTGGTGTGAGGAGGAAAGTCATCAAGCAATTTGCCCCGCCGCCGGACGACTCGCCTGAGCTTCAAGACTCGAGGCCGACAGTCAAAGCATTCTATCTTGGTACAATGGATGCAGGTCAGAAAGTCGATCGATTGGTAAAATCTCGCCGGGGTAAGAAGCCCGCCCTTAGAAATCACCACCCAATCTCCCATTGACATAAATACTAGGCCTTGGATTAGCAGAGTCCGACCTCGGCGTCAAATTTGGGCAAATGCATGTACAAGAGACTCATCCGGGTCTTAGCATTGCCTACCGCAAACTTGGAAGAATTATTCAAAGCACAGGTGACTACCACGCTGCTCAAGGAACCGCTGAAGCAACGACTCTCGCGGACCCACTGAATTACCACTCCTCCGATGCTTTCATCGTTAAAGAGACCCTCACAAACCGTCATATCCTGCTGCGAGATCTCCTTTCCGCCCAACAAGCCACCCGCAGCAAGCTCTCAGCTGCTGATAGGCTTAAGTCATCCTCCTCCGTCCGCCGAGAAAAAGTGGATGAAGCAATCAATCAGCTTGATGAGGCCCGCTTACACGAGGAATATCTCGATCAAAAGACAAAGCGCGTAACATCCAATCTGCTTCAAGAGAAACGTCGCTGGTATTTCCGCACGGCGGCAGATCTTCGCACTAGCATACGAGAATATGTACTTCGCGAGATCGAAGCTGAACGCCGTGCCCTTGCCACGTTGGAGTCTGTTCGTCCTGACATTAGAAATATCGACGCTTCAGGAGGACTTTCAAGGCTAGGCAGAGAAGCTCACCCTTCAACGAGGAGAGCGAATATGCAAGCTTCCCAGGGTCCGAGAGGCGATGCATGGAGTGGTGTTCCTAGACGTGAAGGTGCACTCGACAGATCCACGAGTGGATTGTCAGCTACAGGAAAGGTAGAGAATGATGCCGTCAATGGCGAGGGTGGGGGGCGCAAGAGGGCTGCTAGTGGAGCGGGCAGTTTGAAAGGGGCCAAGGAAGATGATGGAGATGAGGATAGAGTGGACGCCAGAAATGCGGCTAGCAGGCTTGCCACTAGTACATTTTGATGGTGAGCACCTGTATATTCACTCTCTTTTTCTACCTGAGCTAGGATCTTCCACGGCAAAAACATCAATACTCCAACTTGGAAATCGAGATTTCTCGTTTTCGCATTACTAAGACTCCTGAGTTCTTTAGCTATGTTCGAATCCAACCCTAGAAGACGTCTCCGGCCCTTTTGTGCGCGAAAAGGCCTGACACGTGATGTTCTCGCCGTCACACCATTCACTCCTTAATCATGAGCTCTCGCCAAGTAAGATTGTCGATAATGGATGTCGTGAACGACTATGGCGCCGTCCACGGACGATTTGACTCCCTTTGAGGAGCTGAATCCGTATTTCTAATCTTCGCTCAAGACAAAGCTGCTCACAATTCGTCTCATAGTTGCCTCGCAAAAACAAGCTCGACGGATGATGAGCTATCGCCACTTCTCCCGTTTGAACGGGCATAGCATTCAGAGCAAACCCAACTGTACTTTCCTTCCGAACCTCTTGTCTTTCTCGAAGACTGTCGTGGTCAAAATCATAGAAGAGACCGTCCGGTCTCATTAAGATATATAATCAAGGAGGGCGCCAAGGAAAACATGCTACTTCTTCAAGCCTACAGTGGTTACCACCGTACCAGTGTGGACAGTGCGCGTAGGCGCTGTAGAGTACTGCGGAGCACCATGCGGTCTCAGGCCACTTTTATGGTCGTATCTCCAGATTTGAAGTCTTGGGTAGTATGTTGTGATTTGTTGACTGAGAGTGAGAGTCGTGCACATCTTGATATTCAATAATGTGATAAAACCTTTCCGCCTTAAGGTGACTCAGACTGTTCTAGTCGTCCGTGCACAGAATCATGGTCGCCATGCCCGTTGACTTCAGTAATATCTTCATCGTCGTCATCTCTATCAAGCTCGTCCAGCTCCTCTCCCAAAGGGCTCTCCCGAGGCTCTAATTGATCCAAATCCTCCAGTATCGTTCTTGGTGGCAGCTTTCTCAGACTGGTAGCACAAACACGATCTTTCGTCAGAAGATCGTCCACGAACTGGTCTATGTAAGTGAGGCTGTAGCTTCCGTCCCGCACTCTCCTCCTCAGCTTACGATAATCGGCGAGTAGAGGTTCTAATGTAGTGTAGACTTCTTTCGCAGCAAATGTCAGGCGGACATAGAATGCAGCAAGGGCTGTCAAGTATTTGAAATCACGTTGGTGAAGGTATTCCAGAATGATGTCTCGCTCCGGCTGAAGCTGTAGAAGTTTTAGGATAAGGCAGAGGAAAGGTGCTGGCTTTTGTTGGCCGTATGTGCCACCGAAGAAACTCATATCAGCTGCACGGTCGCATAAACTTGCTTCGTTGATTGCGAAACACTGCTCTTTCCAGTAGTAGCTGTCCACGATACGATCGCGGACGGCCTTCTCGAGCAGATGAGCTGGGTTGACGTCGTGAATGGTTCTTCCCACATATCCCCGGTCATCGAGCATGCGCTTGGCATCCGCTTGATGCGCCATTGCAAAGCGTGTGCTAGAATCATTTGGTGAAGGGAAGCCCTTAGTTTCAATAATCTCTTTCAGGAAGAGAGCTCCATTCGAGCATTTTGATGCTTGGCGTGTCACTGTCTGTGGAAGCGTGGGTCTCTCCCAATCCGTCACTAAGATAATCGTCTGGGCAACCGCAAAAGTAAATACCTCTGAACTCATCAATTACTTTTTGCAATGTCGCGGAAGATTAACGCAAGGCCTTGTGATGCTTGTGACAAGTGGTCAGATCTCCGTTGCGATCTCTTCCGGCATAGGTAAGTTATTCACAAAGCCCACTATTTCCGAAGGCTCACGCGCGTGTTCCTAGTATGCATATTCACAACACTACTGTTTCTCTCGGGCTATGTCCTCCAACAACAGACTATCCACTCGCTTCAAGAGGCGATACATCCAAAACTCGCAGCTTCTCCTGTACAGACATTGAATCCGAAGCTAGCGAAACATTTTGGTCGTCCTCCAGGCCACTCATTCTACGATAAGTACCTTACATCAAACCGACCAAAAGGAGGATGGGCCAAGGTCGCATACGTGCAGCTCTTGAGGAGCCACATGCATGTTTGCAACTCGGTAATGATATTCGCAACGTTTGAGAGCCAAGAAAGTATGGCGCAGCGGATTCTGATGTACCCAAAGGAGTGGGATGATATGGATGAAAGCGACAAGGAAGTCGCTACAAGCAAACGCCTGCTCAGAGAGGCTGCCAGCCGCTACAAAGTGATGTTGCAACCCATCAGGCCAATGGCATACACAATTCCGAAGGAAAGTGAACTGCCTCAAGGATTCTCCGATGAAGAGCGTTATCCTCTCTCCAACCTCGTCTCCCTTATAAATTTCAACCGCATAATCTATTTCCAACCCTCTGGCATGGTCTTCGATGCATCACCCCTTGACCTACTCTTTACCCTCCCAATGGAAAGCAATAACTTGCTCGGCCTCACAAGCCCTATCACGTCCTCCGCCGACCGACCTGCAATTCTCCTCATCGAACCCTCCAAGAAACTCTACCAAGAAACGATGGCTGCCCTCCCGGAAGGCACCTTTCAGGATCTTGAGTTCCTTCAATTGTTGCATATTACGCACGCGCCATCCACTGCCAGTGACCCCGATCAGAGGAACCCAGCTATGCTCCTAGCTGAATCATCCTCTCTTCATAGCGTAGATGCCGGCTTCAATGCCACCAAATTCCTGGACACGACAGGTTACGTGCATTTTCAAGATGAAGGGGTGCCAGGACCGGAATATGATCATATGCAAGGGGATTTTGAGAAGGCCGCGCCGAGTAGAAGAGAAGCGAGAAATGCTTGGACGGGAGTGTACGAGAAGTTCAGAGAAGGCAGGATAGATTTCTGTGGCTTGGATTTGGAGCCTATAGTATCGAAAGAGGAGGAGATGGTGCCGAGTGACGAAGTCGAATTACCTGAGAGTAGGATGGTGGATGATAATCCCGAGGAAGAATTTGAGACGGACCAGCAATACGATAGCGACAACGTTGCAACGCAATTGGAATTGACTGGGGACAGCCCGGAGTTTGAATACAAGAAGGACGATCTTCGATGATCTGTATGTATCGTGATACCCAGCAACCTACGTTTCATCGCCCACTACCACCACCTCCGCCTCCGAGCTTTCCCAGCCTCGCCTCAGCAGCTCTAGCTCTTCTCTCCCTCTCCATTCTCATCCTCATCTCGGTGCTCATACCTCTTCCTTCTTCCTCCCTCTTTTCCTCCGCTGTCTTCTTAGCCTCCACGAAACCCTTGCTGCCTTTTCCTCCGGCTTTTCCATCCTGAACGCCCATATACTGCCCTTCATTTCTCAGCCTTTCCTCTTCCGCCTTCCTCCGCTCAGACTCTGCCTTCGCCGCCACCTCCTCTCCTCTCCTTTCCCTTTCCTCCAGATCCGACCTTGACAAGGCAGCTGGAACATGCGCGGCGCCCCAATTCCATTCCTCTTCGCCCAGCTCGTGGCGAGCTACTCGGAACGCGTCGCGCGTAGCCCGCTCACCGGAGAGATCGAAAGGAGTTCTACCGTCGTCGTTTTTGAGTGTAGGATCGGCGCCGGCCTTAGTCAGTAGGGACAGTACAATGGCGGGATTATTTGTGGAAGCGGCAAGGTGGAGAGGCATGGGTGCGTGATGGTTCGCCTGGGCAGAAGGCGGATGGAAGGTATAACTGGAGGAGATGGCGTTGGTGGTCAGGTAGGAAAGGAGAGCGGGAGCTTTAGAACGGCGTATCAAGGCTTGAATCTGTGAGGTGTGGAACAGTGCCTCTTCTTCCTCCTTTGTGGGCTTGGGAGAGGAAGGTTTTGCTGGCGTAGGAGCGGATTTAGAAGAGGCCTGAGACTCGGCTTCTGCTGCGGCGGCAGCAAGGGCTTTTTCGTCGACATGGCTGGTCTTCACGCGGGTAAGCTCGACAAAGGCGCGCATCAACTCTGATTGTGTGGCCCGGCGAGTACTGAAGGGAAAGACTCGATTTCTTGGGTCGTTGTGCCGGAGAACTTGTCCATCGTAAGGCCCGAAGAGAATGTGGCGGTTGGAGCTGCCGGTTGCACGGACGAAGATTAGTTGGGCATTCTCAATCATACTCCTCCATTCGGAGAGGAGGTTGTGTATGTCTTGCCCGAGAGCGATTTCGTTGTACCTTCGGATTGAAGAGCCTGCCGAATGAGCAGCACCTTTGGCGGCATCGTTCGAGGATTGGGCACCTCCCTGCTTTCGGCGCGTTGTATATCGATGGAAGGTCTTGTGAGCTATAACAATTGCTTGTCGCTGTTCGGTGGCCGAACCATGGCCGCTAACCTTGGGAGCGAGGGAAACGATCATGCCTGCGAAATGGCCGCCTCCAATCATACACATGAAGATGGAAGGGCTGGTCATGGTCGAGGGCAATGGAACGCCATCTGAAGAGTCGGCCGGTGGCGATTTTGTAGGGACCGGCCTTAGCTGCTTCAGACGCAGCGCTCCAACCATATCTGGAGATACTTGCTCCTCATTTGTGAATAACGCCCTATAGATTCCTATTGACGTATTTTCTGGCAGGGTAGATGCTGAAAACCACAACAGAGGAGGCTTGCCGGCCCCACGCTTCCTCTTCTTGCCCGTCAAGGCTTCTTCATCGACTTGTACGTTACTGAGCTTGGCATTTCGCTTCAGCAAACTGCTGAGGAGGTCCTCTTTCGGTGGCTCGCCATCATCTGATTCCGATGTAGAGCCAGATCCAGACAAGCTTTCGTCCAGCTCGCCCACCAGCTTTTCAAATTCGTCTTCTGATACTAATTCGCCTCCTCTGACCTTTTGCTTGAGGTTGTAATTGTGCAGATCCGATTTTACGTGGTGTCGTTGTTCCGCAACATACAGGTATTTGACTCGGCATAGCTGACAGGACGCTGACTTGGAATTACTTTCCTCCTCATAGGGCAAAATGGGCGTCGATATATCTCTTGTTTCAGTATCACGAGATTCGAGAGTTTGGATTGGATCGTCAGAAGTTTTCAGCAGTAACGTGGCCAACAAATCGTGTGGTAAGTCAAAAACTAGATATTTGTCAGAATTAACAGAACAACAAATTTCAAGAAAAGCTCCACGCACCATACAGCGGCTTCTTTAATAGTTCTTCGCCGCGATCAGCCATGTCTAATGATGGTTCAAAGGTAACGAATAGTAAAGATTGACGATGCGCCCTTGGTGGAAGTCACTTTTGCATAGTTACTTCATTACATTTCATTGACTCATCCACCGTAAATACGTGTTGAGAAATTTATACGGAGCCCAATTTAATGTCTAATGAATACCGCTCCCTTTCTGTGCAGCTTCGGTTTCCCAGCCCCAATAATGCATCGCTAAATTCGGAAAAGTCTATACAGGTCGGCAATAATTCGCAGGAAAGCTCCCTTTGACTCCCTTGAGGTCACCCTCCCACCACTCGTCTGTGCTGTCAGTCTTTTTGGTGACGCGTATCCTATCGCCGTCTTTAAAAGAAAGGTCACCATCGCCCTCGCCAGGGTAATCGTACATGGCTACCACCCAATCTCCTTGTGATGAAGGAAGCTTCTTTGGTGGTGGGGGCGGAGGTGGCTTCTTCTTCGCCGCTATTGATGCCATCGAAGAGTTCGAAGCCAATCTGTCCCTGCCAAAATAATCTGCTCTTGGACCTGCTGGAGCATGCGCGCCTGAGTCGCCTGGCGACGGACTCGTGACTGCAGAGGAGCTGTAGTTGGGTGTGGCTAACGATAGTGAGGTTTGAGAAGGTACAGAGGATATCCTTGGTCTTGGGTTTCCTTCCCCAGATGGTGGTTCGGAAACTGCACTGATTGCTGGAGACGGAGGCATCGTAGGGTGACCACTTGGTCGTCGTTGGTTGGCAATGCCATTACGGATGTTCATACCGGTCGTGCTTCCATGTTTGTCCTCTATGCGCATCGGCCTATGCACCGCTTTGCCCGTGGCTACACAAGCTATCCCCGTCTCAATCTGATGCTTGACTGGTTTTAGATCAGCGTCCCATGCAGAGATTATCTCAGAGGCGGAGGTTGGAGGAATGCGAAACCCCTCCTCATCGCAGTATTCATGCAATGATGTGTAGTACTGGGCAAGCAATGAGTTCTGGATCATGATCAGAGCTGCTAGGAGATGTGGCAGAATTGAAAAGGCGGCATTGATGATCGGTGGAAGGCCGGACCGTAATCGTTCGTCTGCCACAGCATATTCCTAGTAGGCCAGATTTATGAGTAAAAAGATCTAGATTGCAAGTCATAAGGATTCCGCTTACTTCTTTGGCTTTGATCAGCTCTTGTTCTGCCTTCTCTAGTGAAGCATTGTCTCGCTCTGATCGTTTCGTCTTCTTCCGGTAGTTGTCGACTCTGGTTTGGTATTTCTCGAAATCCAGCTGGTCCAATTAGCTACATACCCGGAAAAGTTTGTCTGCGCTACCTTCCGATCTTCGCGCCTTTTTATGACTTTCTTCAAGGGTTGAATCCATTCTTTGGCGTCCATTGCAGGCTTAACGATTCGTGTGTCCACCGCGCTCACTTCCTCCAGTAGATCCGTACGAAGCTCGTCATAGGTTGTTTGGAGCTTTGCGGTCCTCGCGTCTGTTGCTTCGTCGGTCATGACGGGAACATGACCCTCATATTCCTCGTTTGCCCCAATGATTGGAGCATAGATGCTCTGAAAACCATGAACTAGCCTTTGCTGGGTTCCCAGGATGTCCCTCCAAGAATCTCGCCATGCTTTGGACGCGTCAATAATCTATATGCTGGCCGTAAGCTGAATGGTTCAAGCTTTACGCCCTTAGCAGCAAACAGACCCTCATGAGCATTCTATCCGCATCTTCGAAATCTTTAAGCAGCACTGAAACTTGAGATTCGTCGGCGGTACGGGGCAAGAATTTGCCAAATCGCCGCTGAACCGACTGCATTCTGCAGGTGGGCGCCCGTCTTCATGAGTAATTCTGTAGAATGTGATCCGCTATAAATGAAATCGACGACAATTGACAAAATGTAGTAATTCAATTAATTGAAAATGACAGCCTTCACCTCAGCCAGACGGCCGCGTAGTCGCGCCGCCAGAAGCTTCCCAGCACGCAGATTGCCCCGGCTAAAGCTGCCTAAGAATTTGACCCCTTCCAAGCCCCTTTTGCCCCCTAAGGCACCTTAGTCGCCGCCCCTCCTCCCCCCGCAACAGGTACCCGCACCTGCAAAGAATAATAATACGCTTGGGTCCTCGTCTTCTCATTCTGACTCTCTGCGCGAGAGCCTCTCTCCATTCGCATGAACCTCCAAGGGAAAATTCTCCGCTCCGTGGGTCATGCAGTGATGCAGTGACGGTTTGGAACAAGCTCGACATGTACCGGCTTCAACTGCTCACGGCATTGGTATCGCACGCAATGGACTCGGAACCTTAATGATTTCAACGGTCAAACAGCCTTCTCCATACTTCGACCACCTCGCAGGTCTGCACATCTGCACGTATCGTGCGCAGGCTCCACAATGACGTCCAATCTGCTGGAGAGCTTGGTTGCTTTCCTCCGAAGGCTTCGCTGCACGAGGGGATCGCCACAGATAAAGTCTTTCGACTCTTACATATTTACCATGTGCTGCCGTCGCAAGGAATAGGGAGGGCTTGATCGATTATAAAAAGACATGCGGGCCGCTCCATTGCTCGTATCCTGACGTTTTGAAGTCGACGGTCGACGGGGTGTGACAGGCTCAATGCTCGCCAGCTCATGCCGATCCTGAACTAGGCCGCAATGGAAAACGAGGACCGTTGATCGACTATGCAGCTAAGGCTTGTCTAAGGTGTCTATCTAGAATCTACATCTATACGCAGACCCGTGAAACACGCCCACGGTTGTCAACATGCATAGAGTTTCTGCATCGATTTCTTCCTTCGTCCAAATGCGTCCTACAGTAGCCGGTTTTAAATTTCGGCAGCCGTTATTTCCCCACTAAAACCAATACATTTCATACACTAATATATTTCAGTTTTCGATCAAAATTTCAGCTGAAATTTTTAGATTTTATAGCGATTTGATTAATACAATAGTCCCTCAACTTTGAAGTTTTAAATCTTAGTATATTTAGCGTAAAATACTCTACTACTAAGAGAAATTTAAAATCTCAATTTTTATACTAAAATTAAGCGAGATTTCAATAACTTTAAGTTACTTTAAATTTTTTTTATTTAAAACCTATAATATATATAAAAATCTAGTTGCATAAATTTTCTGGGAATTTTTTATTGCTAAAGATCAAAAGTTAAGGTCCTTAAGAAAAGCTAGGGTTTTGGTGTAAGAAACACGGGTGCCGAAATTTTATCACTTAGTACTGTAACGACGTCGACCCTGCCTAAAACGGATCGTTGCTGCCGCTCAGACTATCCAATCAGCTCCCTCAGTCCAACTTCCCACAGCGCTCCTTACATGGCCAGGAAAAGGTCCATGGCAACTCACATTTGCAGCCGCGTGCTGCTTCCGCTGGGGCAAGCCAGCAAAGAGAGCAACGTGTCGTACTGGCCCAAATGCTTGCACCCACCGAAGTACTCCAGATTTCCGAGTGTTGGCACATGCATTCAGGCGTAGGTCTGAAAATTTCCCTCTGTTCATAGTCCACGTTTAGGGCAGAAGAGAGATACTGCAGCACGTTGATTGACAGATGGCGCTATTTGGCAAGGGACGATAATAGATTAAGCAGCTCGTGTCTGGAGACACGCCAACAGCTTGACTGATGATCCCTAATTTGGCCTTGGCTGGCCGTGGCTATATTCATGCATCTTGCCATTGGGCGGCACTTGCTGCTGTCAACGCCCAGCAGAATGCTCTGACCGCTCAACCGCCAGGGATCCCTCCTGCTGTGAGTTAGCTTTCAATGCTCTGGTCAAATGGCTTCCGAGATGTTGTCATATTTCGAGAGTGTTGTTGAGCTAGGCGCGCTCTATCTGATGTAACGTATTTGCCACTCTCAGAAGTGTTATTCATATATATCCGTCTTAGCGAACTCAACATGTGGGTCTCTATCACGTTCTCTGTATCAAGTTTTTGCATCCTAGCGTCTTTCGTTCTCTTTTGTCCTGGTGATCTGCTTCTTGATTATGTATCTAGTTTTGATCATACAATTGCTTTTGGCAGCAATTAGGACAGCCGCAATCCGCTATGACCCAGAACATATATTGTGGAATCTTAATCAGAACAAGACGGCTACGAGCCCTGTGGATTACTGGGGCCAATGGGATAACCACAGTGAGTCTCGACTGTCCCAGTTTGTGATTGAACCATCTGACAATATCTCAGACTTCACCCCATCTCCAGACAATTGGCGTTTTCCTGTATATACTATCATCCTAGATCGCTTCGTCAACGGAGACCCAAGTAACGACAACACAAATGGCACTGCATGGGAACAGGATCTCTATGGCACTCAACTACGCCATGGAGGTGACATCAAAGGCCTCCAAGACACGCTCGATTACCTCGAAGGAATGGGGGTGAAGGGAATCTATATCGCTGGTAGCCCTTTCATCAACCTCCCTTGGGGCGCGGACGCCTATAGCCCACTAGACCTCACGCTTCTCGACGCTCACTTTGCTACCATTGATGTTTGGAGAGATTGTATCGACGAGATACACAGTCGAGGAATGTATGTAATTCTAGACAACACCATGGCGACTCTGGGCGATTTGATCGGGTTTGAGGGTTCGCTCAACGTGTCCACCCCGCTGAACTATCACGAATACAACGCAATGTGGAAAACCTCGAGACGCTACCATGACTTTACGTTCGATAATTACGAAGTGGATAAATGCGACACCCCTTATCCTCGGTTTTACGATGATTTTGGTGAAGAAGTCAGCATGAACGGCACAGAGCACCTGATTGGCTGCCGTCAAAGTGAGTTTGATCAATATGGTGACATTGCTGCATTCGATGTCTACCCAGAATGGCAACGCCAGCTTTCGAAATTTGCTTCGGTGCAGGATCGATTGCGTGAATGGAAACCATCAGTCCGTGAAAAGATCGAGCTTTTCACTTGCATGCAGATTTCGATGCTGGATATTGATGGCATTCGCATGGACAAAGGCCAGCAGATCACGGTAGATGCTCAAGGCGATTTTGCAGACGCTACCAGACGATGTGCAAAAAGGTTCAATAAGTCGAACTTCTTCATTCCCGGGGAGATTGTATCCGGCAATGCCTTTGGTTCTGTGTATCTAGGACGAGGCAAGACGCCGGAAATGGCAGTCAATGATACCGACAAGGCTATACGACTAACGACAGATGCTGCGAGTGATTCGCTATTCACTCGCGCAAAAGGCAAGAATGCTTTTGACGCAGCTTGTTTTCACTACTCAACATACCGCGCCCTTCTCAGATTTCTCGGCATGGATGGAAATATTGGGGCAAATTCAGAGACCCCCGTCGATTTTGTCGACGCATGGAATGACTTCATAAAAACCAACGATTTTATCAACGCCAATACAGGTAACTTCGATCCTAGGCATATGTTTGGTGCACAGAATCAAGACAACTTCAGATGGCCAACAATCGTCGATGGCACGCAAAAGCAGCTCCTTGGCAATTTTATTACCACTCTACTGCTACCCGGTATTCCTCTTCTTGAATGGGGAGAAGAACAAGCATTTTACGTCCACGATAATACAGCTCCTAATTATGTCTTCGGTAGACAAGCAATGTCGGCGACTACCGCCTGGCAAGACCATGGCTGCTACACTGTTGGCAACAACAAATTTGCCACTTGGCCACCAGGAAATTATTCCAAAGGATGCGAGGACGATTGGAATAGCCTCGATCATCGAGATCCTTCTCATCCCGTGCGAAATCTGATGATGTCAATGTTTGAGATGCGTCGGCGTTTTCCTGTGCTTAATGACGGCTTCAAGCTTCAGACGATCACAAAGCGAACACATCCCATTCTTTTGCCCGGCTCTCTGGGCACAGACACCGAGACCGGCCTCTGGTCGGTACGAAGATCCGGCTGGCCGGATCTGCAAGACTTCACTGATTCCAGCCAGAAGACGCAAGATGTCTGGATACTTTACCACAATGAAGATCATCAGATAAACTACCAGTTCGATTGCACTCACGGTGATACGGGGCTCTTGGCTCCCTTTCCTGGTAACACTAGGGTCAAGAACTTGCTCTATCCATATGAGGAAATCTTGCTCGAGACTACATCATCTAAGCTTACGCTCGACCAAAAGACAAGTGTCGACGGATGTCTATCGAAATACACTATGCCTCCGTGGGGATACAAAGCCTATGTGCCTTTTGAGCAGTGGCTACGGCCATCACCTGTTGTAACGAAGTTCAATCCTGGCCATGATTATCGGATACTGTCAAAAGCTCCGACTTCATCAACACAGACAATCCCTGTCGAATTCTGGTTCTCAGATGAGATGGACTGCGATAGTGTGCTCAATGGCCTGAAATGCGACTCGAATACGGAGACTGGTTTAACAGCAACTTTTGACAAGTCCAACTTTCGGTGCCATTCCGAGGTTGACGACACGGTAAACGTGTCTGAATTTGCTGGCATTGTGACAGGACAAATGCCTGGCTTATGGAAGATTGCTGGGAATTTGGTCAACGTCTCAGATGGAGTGCATACTTTGACTGTTGGTAATGTGACCAACCAAGTCAAAAATGCTTCCACAAATGCAATAAATCACTTCCTTCTTCGCGTAGGGAGCGAACAGAACCCGATGGTATTCCCTCGAAGTGCTAATTACTCGAAAACTCTCCTTTACCGTAATGCAGACGACAGTCTCCATGTTTCGCACACAGCAGCTGGGGCCGATATGTTCAGATACTCTCTCAATTGGGCATCAAGTTGGAGTGAATGGCAGCCATACAAAGGCGGTAACACAACATTAGAGCCTCAACATTGGTCTGGCACTCATCAGCAAGCTTGGTCTGGAGACCACGTTCAAATTGAATACTGGAGCAAAAAAACTGGCGCTCTCGTCATTCAACAGGGTGACCGAGCTGACAGTGACAAGATTCCACGAAGATTTCCTCACATCTTTCTTCACGGCAGGTGGAATCAGTACGGGTATGATTCCGGGCTCAATCATAATATGAAGCAGGATAAAGACGGCCTTTGGAAATTCAACCTAATGACAGATTATCCTTCCGAGTTCCAAGTCAACGTGTGGGGCAGCAATCCTGATGGACAGCCTGATCTTTCAAGAGCTTACGGTGACGTGAATGTTGACGGTGTACTCGACCTTATTTCGCCGGTATCCTTGCTCAAGAATGTCGTCAACATCACGAACCCCCGCCGTCACGGTAGCTTGGGATATCGGATCCACGTTGATGACGCAACCCTCAAATACACTACAATCCCAATTGGATCGGACCGCATTCAAGCTTGCTTGCTCGCTCTGCTAGCTGTACTACCAATCATCACTGGAGTCATTTGCGTCTTGTTGTACCAGCGGAGCTTCTATGATATTAAGTTCAACCGACTCGGCAAAAGGGAGAAAACCCCTTTCCTTCCTATCGCTATGAAAGAAAAGATGCACTTCGATCAATGGGCCAGTCCTGGTGCGTGGGCTATCATGAAGAAAACTCAGCCTGATAGCGCTGCGTCTCCGCCAGCTCAGCCACGGCGGACCGTGCTCATTGCAACGATGGAATACAATATCGAGGACTGGGACATAAAGATCAAGATTGGTGGGCTCGGCGTAATGAGTCAATTGATGGGACAACACCTTGGTCATATCAATCTAATTTGGGTAGTACCGTGCGTCGAGGATATTCAATATCCGGTCGACCAGCAAGCCAGACCCGTTAAATGCATGATCATGGGTAACGAATATACAATCCAGGTTCAGTACCACCACGTTAGGAATATAACATATGTGCTCTTAGATGCTCCTGTCTTTCGCCAACAGACAAAGGCTGAGCCTTACCCAAAACGAATGGACGACATTGATAGCGCGATCTATTATTCGGCATGGAACTACTGCATCGCTGAGATCCTCCAGCGGTTCCCCGTTGATCTGTACCATATCAACGATTATCATGGTGCTGCTGCTCCGTTGCACCTACTGCCAAAAGTAATCCCATGCTGTCTTTCTTTGCACAATGCCGAATTTCAAGGTCTGTGGCCGATGCGGACCTCACTGGAATTTGAGGAGGTGTGTCGGGTCTACAATCTACCAGCAGACATCGTCCGGAGCTACATTCAATTTGGAGGCGTCTTCAATCTGCTCCACGCCGGTGCTAGCTACTTAAGGATGCATCAGAGCGGATATGGCGCCGCAGGTGTTTCTACCAAGTATGGGAAGCGTTCCTTCGCTAGGTATCCCGTTCTTTGGGGCTTGAAGAAAGTCATGGGTCTGCCAAATCCAGATCCGACGGATGTTGAGGCTGTAGCTACGAGCTCAACGAATGCGAATGACGTGGTCGTCGACGAAGTTTTCGAAGCTGGGAGAAGCCAACATAAGCAGCAAGCTCAGAAGTGGGCAGGCCTGAACCAAGATCCAGAAGCAGAGCTGTTCGTCTTTGTTGGTCGTTGGAGCACACAGAAAGGAATCGATTTAGTCGCTGACGTATTTCCTTCTATCTTGGAGCAGCATCCTAAAGCGCAACTAATATGCGTCGGCCCCGTAATCGATCTGTATGGGAGATTTGCAGCTCTCAAACTCGAGAAACTTATGGAACTATATCCACGCCGTGTCTTCTCGAAGCCGGAGTTCACTGCTTTGCCACCCTTTATATTTAGCGGAGCTGAGTTTGCCCTTATTCCCAGCCGGGATGAACCTTTTGGGCTTGTAGCAGTCGAATTTGGTCGGAAAGGTGCCCTTGGTATCGGTGCTAGGGTTGGTGGCTTGGGTAACATGCCTGGGTAGGAAAAGCCTCCCGTTTGTGAAAGCGATTCACTAATCTGTGGATAGGTGGTGGTTCACCGTAGAATCAACGACCAGCAAACACCTAATCAGCCAGTTTAGATCTGCAATAGAATCTGCGCTAGCAACTAAGACAAGCGTACGATCCAAGATGCGAGCAAGCTCAGCAAAGCAACGATTTCCCGTTCCTCAATGGAAAGCAGATCTAGAAATCATACATGATACAGCGATCAAAATGAGCCAAAAACATCCACAAAAGCAGAAAGAATCGACGCCTGCAGCTACCAGACAAGCAACCCCAGTCAGCAGTTTCACTAATCTCGCCGCCCTTTGGCAATCCAGACAAGATAATAACGCAACCCCGGCTTCAGGTATGAGCGAGCAGGGAACGCGCACGCCAAGCCCCTCAGGGGCTGAGATGACTCGGGCACTCTCGCTGGGAAGTCGTCTTGGTCCTGGGCACGAAGCGGATCATCAATCTCGTGGCCGAAAGAAACTCAGCAAGCAACGCCCAGCGTCGAGAGACAGCTCTTTGCCAGCACAAGCGATGAGAAGAGCATTCTTCCTCAGAAGTGGCCGATCAAGCCGAGCTAGTAGTGTTGATCGAAGCACATCCAACGACCTCCAGCCTCCACCGTCGCTGCCTACATTGGTGGCTCCAAGTAACGCTCCTGGGAATCGAGTATCTCGGATCAGTGAAAACATTGCAGAGGATCACGCAGAACATGAAGTCACAGGACAAGACAATCCGAGCCAGCTCGACTTTTCCCAACAACATGTATCAACAGAGAACGGAGCTGAGAGGGATGACCATGATGATAGCGATAGGGAGAGCACTGCCGAAGATAGCCCAACCGATGAGTACATCCTTACATCCGACCAGGTCGCAAACGAACGGGACAAATTCAGGGTTGCCTCTCTACGGAGGCGCCTCGAAGAGAATGCAGGTGAAGGTCCGTCTTCTGTAGGACGTGGAGGCACTACTCCTTCGCCACCTGGCACCCCTCCAGGAGAGAATAGACCAATGATTACTGGCATCAATGAATCACAGGTAATGACAGATGCTGGCTCTGCACCGAAAGAGCCGTATCTATCTCTGGGGACAGTATTACAAGGCAAAAAGGACTTTAAGCTTCAGAATGTTCAGCCTATTTTTGATGATCCTACGGGGCTCTATGCTGAAGTGTTTGAACACAAACTACGCAAGCTCAACGGCAAGAATTCCGAAAATACGCTCTGTATTGAGGAGTACCTAAGAGAAAGCGAGAAGGATTGGTTCAATCGGTACCGAAGCGTGAGGTTGGGTAGATCGCCAGCTTCAAGTCGAGCATCTTCCATCTTCAGGGTTGAATTAGACAGGCCAGACCAACGGAATGTCAGCAATGCAGGTTCGGGCGAAACTCGTTCGGACAATGATTCCGATCAATTCTTTTTGCAAGAGAACTACACGCCTCCAAAAGGTATTAGAAAGTACGCTCTTCGAAGGATAGGAACCTGGCCTCTCTACACTTTCTTCCTTGCCTTTGTGAGTGATTACCAACTCCCCCAGTCTGAATTACCACTAATGAAGCTCAGGGACAAATCATTTCTGCCAACTCCTACCAAATCGTGCTCTTGACCGGCGAAGTTGGCCAATCCGCCGAGAAACTTTATATCGTCGCGACCATCTACCTCGTCTTCTCCATAATCTGGTGGCTCGTCTTTCGTAAGTTTCAATCGAAATGGGTCCTCTCCCTTCCTTTCCTCTTCTACGGCCTTGCCTTCTTCATACTCGGTCTCTCCCCTTACGCAAAGTCTCAAGTCTCTCGCGGCTGGGTTCAAAATATTGCCACAGGCTTCTACGCTGCTGCTTCTTCCTCAGGCGCCTTCTTCTTCTCGCTGAATTTCGGGGCCGAAGGCAGCGTTCCTGTCTCTACCTGGTCCTTCCGCGCCGCCATAATCCAAGGAATCCAACAACTCTACGTCGTGCTCCTTTGGTACTGGGGTTCCCAACTGACGCGCCTCACAATCTCCGGCGTACGGACTCGCAATCTCATAACCTATGGCCCAGGAATGACCGCCATCACGACGCCCATCGCGCTTGTTATGTTCCTCATCGGCACTCTCCTCTACATCGGCTTGCCAGACTACTACCGCCAATCTCCCGGGCACATACCCTCGTTCTACCGTTCCCTCACCCGCCGCAGGATCGTCATGTGGTTCCTCATCGCTGTCATCCTGCAGAACTACTGGCTTTCGGCCCCTTACGGGCGTAATTGGACATACCTCTGGAATTCACAGCACGCTCCGGGCTGGGCGATCGGATGTCTGATCCTCCTCTTCTTCGTTGGCGTCTGGGCCGCCTTCCTCGCCGTCTTCGCCTACCTTAGCAAAACCCATACGTGGATCGTACCTATCTTTGCCGTTGGTCTTGGCGCGCCAAGGTGGTGTCAGATGCTTTGGGGCACGTCCAATATGGGATTGTACATTCCCTGGGCGGGTTCACCTATAGCGCAGGCTATGGTCGGACGGAGTCTTTGGTTGTGGCTGGGGACGCTAGACACTATTCAGGGTGTTGGCATTGGCATGATCTTGCTGCAGACGCTGACAAGATTCCACGTCACGTTTGCTTTGGTGTCGGCGCAGGTCTTGGGGAGTGTAGCAACGATTGTGGCAAGGGCAAGTGCGCCGGATGCGAATGGGCCAGGAAGGGTGTTCCCCAATTTGGCACTCACGTTGGCGGGGTTGAAATATAATGAGTTCTGGATCGGATGTGTTTGTCAGCTTGTTATCTGTGTGGGATTTCTGTGGTGGTTTAGAGGCGAACAGTTGATGAAACCATAATGATGTATGCGGAAAGGAGTAAAGGGAGGATGTAGGACGGCTGAAAGAGTACAATTGACGACGAATTCGACGAGGTGACTTGACTACAAGGGTATATGGGCTATGACAGCCAACAGTAATCAGAAAGGACGATAGATAAGCATGCATCAATATGCGGGAAGCAATAGATTTTGACATTACAATCTACTTACCTTGGTTTTGCGCGATTGCTAATGAGCCCGCTATATGACCTGTTCTTGTATGCGTCGTCCAGCCTGTAAAAAGCCCATACCTTCTTCCTTCAGCTTGAATTTTTGGATCTTACCACTAGCTGTCTTTGGGTAGTTGTCGGTCCAGAAGATATACTTTGGTACTGTCACCTCATTGTCAGAGAGATATCAAGCCACTCATGTACACTCACTTACTAAGATGATTACTCAAGCGCTCTTTTACCCATTCTCTAACTTCTTGTTCCGTAATCAGCACCCCAACTTGCTTGATGATGAAGGCAGCTACGACCTCCCCATACCTCTCATCTGGGAGGCCAATAACACTGACTTCACGTATCTTCGAATGAGCCAACAAACAGTTCTCTACTTCGAGAGGATGCACATTCTCGCCCCCTCGGATAATGATATCCTTAATCCTGCCAGTGATCTTGACGTAACCTTCTTGGTCCATCTCGGCTTCATCACCAGTATGCATCCACAGTTTCCCATCACCATCCGCCGCGAGAACCTCTGCCGTCTGCTCAGCTGCGCCGTAGTATTCCTTCATCACTAAGTAGCCTGACACTGCTAGCTCGCCTCGTTGGCCCACGGGGAGGACCTGAGAGCGTATGGATGGATCGACGACCTTTGCTTCGACATGAGGAAGAAGACGGCCTACGCTATCGATTCGTTTGTCAAGCGGGTCATCTATGGTAGTCATACAGGATACGGGAGAAGTTTCCGTCATGCCATAGCAGATTGTGAGTTCAGTCAGATTCAGAACTTTGTGAAGCTTCCGCATCAGCTCAGCTGGAATGCTTGAACCTGCTGCTATGCCTGTTCGTAAGTACTGAAAGCCCTCGTAGGGGACTGTGCCGTTTTGGAGAAGCTCAAGCTCGGCAAGAAACATGGTTGGGACACCGTAGAGAGCCGTGCACTTCTCTTTTTGCACAGATTTCAAAACTGCTACCGGATCAAAGGCTTCTGAAGGGAAAACGATGCTGGAACCGTGCGTGGCCGTTGCCATATAGCCGAGGATGCAGCCGAAGCAATGAAATAAAGGAGGGGGACAACAGATGATATCTTTCTCTGTGAGAAGCATTCTGTCGCCGATACTAGCGCCATTGTTAAGAATTGACCGGTGGGAGAGACATGCCGCTTTGGGAAGGGACGTTGTGCCGCTTGTGAACTGGATGTTGATGATATCGTGCGGAGCCAATCCAGGTGCAGAGAATGGACGAATCGTATTACTCGAGTGCAGAACATCATCGTAGAGGCTGACAGATCGTACTTTGGACACGTCTACCCGCCCATCAGAGTTGTCGACTAGCACTATTTGTCTCAGAGAGGGTACCACCACTGACTGAACATTTGTCGCTTGGAGATCAAGCAAGATATGTCGGAGGAGAGTAATGTTCTCTCGTGGCTGCTTCCTAGGAAGATGTGTCTCTGCCCCAATGATGAGATGCGAAGCTTGAAGATGTGCTAGAGCTGCAACCACTTGGGGAGCATTGAATCCGGGGTTGAGTGGAACCTGGACGTATCAATTCTGGAGTGGGGTTTCAACATCGTATCGCCTCACAAGTATGGCTCCAATCTTGAATATTGCATAGGTCGCCTCTAGCATCATCAGCATCACCCTTCTATTTGATGCTTTTGAAGCCGTACAGTAGCATACTCTATGTTGTTCCCCAAACTGACTGCTACACGATCACCCTTCTGAACCCCTCTTTCGGACAGTCCAGTCGCGAGGGTGTCACTCTTGCGATGTAGTTCGCCATAAGTCAATCGTGTTCTTTGATGATGTGAGACGACGCTGTATTTGTGATCAGAAAGCTTTCCATCTTCCTCCGATTGAGATGGTCTTACGCTGTCCTATCACCATGTTGACCTACAACGCTCTTGAAATGATCGCCTACAGTTTGCTCGAGCAGGGGCAGCTGTTCAAATTATCAATTACGCAGTCGCTCCAGGAAGGTAGACTATGCATACGTTGGTCGAACCTTGCGTGTGGGATTGCGTGAGGAGAGTTCGACGAGCAACGATTGGGAGTGGAGAGTGAAAGCGGCTGAAGACCCGTATGGCCCAATGCATTGCTTCTGGACATGGATCAATATGCGCCCATTGAATTACAGACTCTGATCGCTGCTTGCATCCATGTTACGCTGGCGAGTGCGGTCTCTGGAGGTACATGCTAAACCTAAGGTTGAGGTACAGATACCGCTTTAGGAGTTGGGAACAGCTGTGCCTTACATTTCGCCATTAATTGAATCTCGAAAAGACATCAGCAAGGCTAGAGGCATGCTTTGGACTAAATGATACACAAGATGACCGTTGAAGATGCCTACAAGCCAAAATGAATACCGCCTTCCCATGGGGGCTGCGCACTCAACTGCGCACCGAAGTAACACATCTGAAAATGCCAGACATTGCCCGTAGTACATTGATAACATCCCGACAGCTGACGCTGTATGCTTCATACGCCCGCCATGGACTCATGCCTCAAACGCCTCGCTAAATCTCAAATCATGCCATCGCTCAAGTCTCTTCCCTATTTATCGTCAATTGGGGTCTCCTCATCAGGTTCGGCAGGCGGTGTCTTCGTTCCGCCGATTGAAATTGCTATCTTCTTTTTCACTTCGCCAGAGCCAATCTCGTTCACCGGAGGGGCCTCTTTTTCTTTGGACGAAAAAAAGCTTTTCCGGCGTCGAAGCACGTTGTTGGGTGAAACGTTGTTTCCACCGGAGCCCGGAGAGGATGAGGCAGAGCTTCTGCGTTTGCTTATCGTAGATAATTTGCCTAACTCGTCCTCATCGTCATCATCTTCTCGTCTCCTCTTCTCAGCAAGACGCTCTGGTGGAGTTTGAATCACAGGAGAAGGAGATAGCTTTGGCCGCCGGTTTCCTGATTGTAAGTGATGGACAGGCAAGGACTCTAAGATGTTATCCATGTCTTCATCGTCATCTGGATAGTCGACCAGCGATTTAAGCATCGCGGAGGGCGCTAGTCCGTTGGACATTGGCGCACCTGCTGTCTTGACTCGCTTCATACGAGGTATCTCAGCCTCATCCTCGTCCTCATCGTCCGATGTCTCAAAGTACGCCGCTTCTTCTGCGTCCATCTCCTTCATACCTTGCCATCTATGCCCATTGACCAAGTTCTTTCTATCATCCGGTACCTCACCGTCATTACTGAAAAGCGTCATATCTCCCTCCGGTGGAGGTGGATTCTGATATTGATCGTACCTCACTATCAAGTTATGGAAAGTATCGACGTAGGTTATTTCTTCAAGTTTTGGTCGCCAGGTGTTTACAATATGTTCGATGAGAGATTTCACGCCCATGTGCCGGATCGACTCAAAGAGCTCGAGGCAGGCACTGTTGAGGAGGTTATCCCTCGGCATTGTATTATAGACAATATCTAATATCGAAGCGAAATGGTTCTGTTGGATGAAATGAGTGTTGTATGTCTCGTCCTGTAGGCTTATACAAGAGCGAAAAAATTTGAGGGCGACTGAGGGGGTCAGCGAAGGCACGGAAGAAATATCAGTTGCACCTACTAAGTTTCAAGTGTTTTTGTGGAGATGAAAGTAGCTGTGCTATGCGCGATACCAAGTTTTCTGAAAAAAGGTAGTACCGACTTCTTTGTTGGTGAGTCCTTGTAAGATACATTATGATTTCGATAAGATGAGTATAAAGTTGTACATCATTGAATGTCAAGTCGTTGACTACAGATCGGCTGGTCAGCTGCTACCTCAATCAAACGATGGTATTGCAACTTACGCGTTTCCCTCTTCTCCAGCTCCCTCATCGGTCTGAAAAGTTTCTCAGCAGAATGTTCGTAGAAGTGTTGTATATACGATTCGGTTTGTGGGTTAGGTGCTAGATTGTTTCGGAATTTCGACATAATCTCCCCATTTCTCGACATAGCATCTTGAGCTTGAGCTTGAGCCTGCGCCTGCGCCTGCGCCTGAGCTTGCGCTGATTGTTGTGCTGGTTCAAGGAGAACTTTGATGGCATCGGCAGCCTGGGCTTTAACGCCAAGATCAGATTCTACAAGCAGAAGTTCAATGAGGGTGTCAGTGAGGGGTGTCTTCTTCTCTCCTATCGATTTGAGAATGTAACCACGGACCATACTAGGGTCATGGTCTATCATCGCCACTAAGATATCTGTGCCCGCGACTCTGAGGGAGGCTTCTTGGTTTAGAATAGCAAAAGTGATGACTCGGAGTAAGCCATGGTTGATGAATGTGGTATAGAGATTTGCTCTCGCTGGAGCCTGGAGGCTTTTCGCAATAGCACAGCATGATTGTATGAATCCAACTGCGTCTTTCTTCCGCTTTAGCTCGATCGTAGTCGAGTCGATGATGCCAAAAAGCTCTTCTAGATAACCGGGGTTCGTCCGCAAGTAGTCTATTATTTCGACTTGGTTGAAAAATATGAGAGAATTAAGCACGCCAAAGGTGGGATCATCCAAAATGCGGGCTAGTACAACGTCTTTCAGGTAAGTCAACCGCCATGTCGCGTGAATCTTCCTCGTTATGGCTGGATCTGCAATCTTCACCACCTCTTTATACCTCGAATGATCTCTAAGGTATCTCCGATGGTTCGCCTTGTGGTTGGGAAAGTCTGGATCATCTGTAGAGCAATCGTCAGCTTTCATATGATGGTGTGAAACAGCTACTAGTCTTACATTCAAGAGCTCCGATTACCCCAAAAACGACGTCCTCGTTGACGATATGCTCGACAATTTGGTTGTCATTGAGTAATATAAGCATCTTCATTATGTTGCATAAGAGGTGCAAATCCTTCAGCGACTCAAGATCTTCAGCCATTTCCACAAGTGGAATCAATTTTCGGATATAGTCTTCGCTGATTACGAACTTCGCAAGTGCATCTCGGCCTTGAGGAGTTGAGGCGACGCTTCGCATCGCGTGCTCGATATCTTCTAAATTCCCGATCTCGGGCTGTGGTAGCACAAGAGGGTTGGAGGCGAAAGCATCCATAGCATCGTCGGAAAGCGCGTCGTCTAGTGATAAGCTTGAGTCAACAATGTTGTCATAACGGGGCAAGCAATTTATGGGCGTACCAGGAGGTCCCAAAGCGAGTAACTGCTGCTGTACATTGCTAACAAAATCCCTACAAGCGCACAGTCAGTTTTCTTACCACCCGAATCGTCTTCTCGGAGCCTCTGCAATCTAAGAAACTTACCATATAGTGGCGCAACCTTCAGCTTCTTGAAAACTGAGCGCCATGTCTGTTCCGCCAGGCTCAGTCCACACAATCAGGGTATCTAGTGCGATACTGCTTAGCCACTTGAGGTGATTACCATCTTGCATTTGGCGTATTTACCTTGCTGCTTCTGGTAGCCATCATCTTTTCCGATCCTTGTCTCAAGAAGTAGTCGGTCTGGTTCATCTTCCGATTCGACGTAGATCCTGGATTCTTCCTGTGGTAGGATTAGCGCTACCCTCTGTAACGGCCGCTGAATTATCTCCATTCTTACATTCCCACCAATACTCATGGCTCGACCCGTACAGAAACCTGTACCTCTGTCGAACCAGTCATTGTTCTTCAATTCATAGACTTTGACCCTCTTCCGCTCGTTTGTAGGAGGGATGAGGATGGTCGACATCTTGCGCGTGCAAGGACCACTCCAGTGTAGACCGCGCTGCTGATGGTATGAGCCTCCGTTCCAGTCTCGATATTAAAAGACCAGCATTTGTGAACTCTCATCCAAGGGATGAGGCCGGCGCGGAGTGAGATTTATGCCTTCTCCCGTCAATGTCGCGTGCGTAGATTGACTCGAGCGGCCAACAAGCCGATGGCGATGGCGATGAGGAATCAATGGTTTCTAGGATTCGTAGTCCCCAGAACATGAGGAGCCCATGGTGTCGGTATGCAGGCAAAGGGTGTAGAGGAAGCGCGATGGCGTCAGGGGGCGGATCCGAAGACTTCGCGCAGGGTCTGAGGCTCCGCTTGCCGGTGGGCTTCACTCGAACAGGCGTATGAGTGACAAAGTGATGGATGAGTTCGCAGCATGTATGCTCGTATCGTGGTGGACGTCACAGATGTCAGAGGAGCCGCGCTTGTGTGGTGTTAGTTGAAAGTCACAGATGGGGTGTGAAACAACTGTCGCCGGCCTGGGTTGTATCAGATCAGCCGTAGGGCTGATGGCAAAATATTAATGTCCTCGGCTCCAGCCCGCTAAAAATAACATCAGGCTCCAAATATTATACATACATGGCAATTATGAGCAACATGCAAAGAGTAAACGAGGACGTGAATTGAATACATAGGGTGTATAAAGCGTGTTGTATCACCACATGTGTTCTACAAAATCCGTCTAACTTGACATGTCATTCTGAGACCGTACGTTGAGTCCATCGCGACGTTCGTCATTACTCGTAAAAGGCAATCACCAATGTGCTCTGCCATCAGTCATCATCCTGTCTTTCCAAAGCACCATCACTTTGACCATTTGAGTCTTGCACCGTCTCTTCATAAGGGTCTTCCCAATAGACTAATCGTTCTTAGCTCTTTTCTGGGGGAGAATCTTTAGATTTGCTTACCGTTAGGCTTCACGCACCACGCAAAAACAAATGCCAAACCAAATGTTGCGGCCAAGCACACAAAGACTGTTTGCGCAAATTTACCCACGGTCTCTGCATATATCAGGTTGAAGATAAGAGGAGAAACAACTCTAGCAGCAGCATGTAGCAACCCCAGAGCTCCGAGAACTTGGCCGGTGCGGTCTGGTGGAACGTGTTTCGTCAAAGCTGATTGAAGCGTTGGCGATACCATGCCACCAAGGGACGCGAGAGCGCCACTAACGATAAACAGTTCGCCCGTCCGAACGGTTGTATAGCCTACATAACCCAAGATGTCAAAGAGGATGCCAAATCGTATGATCCCAAGATCAATTTGATCACAGCCTGAAGCTTTTTGGCGATCCTTGCTAGGAGGACCACGAAGCAGCCGTGTGAGGAGTGGTAAGACGACAAGTAGGACTGTCACTCGACACGTGTTGACGACCGTGAGGAAGACATTCGTCTCAAAATTACCCCACCCGAAGCTGTACTCCGAATACAGCAGTATTACAGTCATGGCTCCCATCGCAACCCCGAACATGGTAGTGTCGACCGCAGCCAGGAAGAAGAGATTGCGGCGCAAAGCAGGATTGGTCCCGGGCTCGGTAGGCCAGAGGATTGCCAGTGGAGCAAAGAAATTTGTTTCTCTAAATAGTCGTTTCACAGCGGTGGTAATTTGTTGAAAGGAAGTATGCGAGACACCTTCTTCAGGCCGATGAAAGTCGGCTTTTGCACGAGCAGCAAGCTGCCGCGCCTTTGGAAGGGATTCCGGTACTACGAGGAGGAGGGAAGAGAAGAATATAAAATGAGCCGCCAGGGCAAAGTAGAAGACAGAGAGAATGTTGCCTGTGGCCTTAACGACGGTTCCACCAAATATTGGACCAAGAGCAATGCCACCGAAAAGACAACCCTGGTACCAGCCGAATATGACGTTGCGCCGCCCTACTGGTGTACAATCGGCAGCATAAGCGTAGCTGACTGCCATCGCTGCAATGAAGGAGCCACCTAAACCGTCGAAGACGAACCCTACCAGAATCCAGTTCACAGATAGCATGTCCGGATACGTAGCCACAAGGATGAACGCTGTCTCACACATGATCATACCGCAGGTCGTATAAGCAATGACTTTTGTCCGGCCATATTGATCTGACAGCTTTCCCAGCTTAGGACTGACAATGGCAGAGAGAATACCAGAGATCAGGCTGCCATAAAGCATAAATTTTGTGACCGCAGATTGGACCTCAGGTGTTTGACATTGTGGGTTGTCCGCTCCTGTCATGACGGGCAACATGTGGAAGGTAGGATCATCGATCGCCCGCTCACAGTAATATTGCCGACAGACGAGGGAGAGTATGACGTTGATTTTCAGCACAATCGTGGCCCCGAAGGCCATTGTGAAAAGAGCAAATGACGGTAGCAGCCACCATATCTATGCGCTGTAAGCTTGGAGCGAAATACAGTGTACGCTGTTGCGCAAGCTTACAGAAGGTGTCCGGTACCATGGCACACCTTCAAAGTCCTTATCGCTCGAACATGTTGACGATTGCGAGTCGTCGTCCGAGCTGCGGACCTTTCTATGCCCAAGCAAAGGATCATTTTCACCGTGCTCTCGGCCGGAGGCACCAACAGAGGTTGCAAGGAAGGCATCTGGCGCTGTAGATACAGGTCGCTGCTGATGTCTAGCCAAATTGAGGGTCTCGGCTTCCACCTCAGCTTCAAAGGCTTCGTTGTTCTCCATATTGAAAGCCCAGAGTATCCAGACGAGAGTTGCGCGATACAATGGATAAGGAATGTGCTACCGGGGTAGCGATCGAGAGAGGCAGCTCATTGTCCCAGCAATGTAGTTGCTAGGCGCCAGAAAAAGCCGTAGGATTGCGTCGCTCTTGCTTGACAACATGCTGATAAATACCAGGGTCCCTATCAAATGAACGAGCCGGTAAATATAAGCGTCATGTCATTCAGTCCGAAACCCGACGATCTAAAAGATGATGGTATCAGATTACTCTAACCGTGTTCAGCTAGATGGAGTCTTGTTAGACAGCAGCTGGGGTTGACAGATTAATCTGACTGTTTAGTAGGTCGACCCTCGCCCCTCCAGTCGATTATCAACCTAAACATTCAATCCAATTCATCAATGAAGCCGACAGCTGTCCGTTCGGAGTTATGGACATTGGTATCGTATGTGAGTTCACTTTTCTATTGCCTTGATCTGACAGTCCCTACCAAAAGATGATCAGGGAACTCCCACGGTAATTTGGACGGCTGCACATTGCGTAGCAATTAAGGGTTGCAAAACGGTTTCATGCGGACCAGAAGCATTCACATTCACAGTCGAAGTGAGAATCCTCCGAGAACGACCGACAGCTTGTAGTATGTAAGTGCGGCGTATGGATACGAATTAATGCCAGGTTGACAATCGTGAATGGCACCTTGAGCTTGGGACTACTGAATGACGACGCAGAAAACGTGCGATTGAAGCCAAACACACCAAGCTAAGGTCTGGCAGACGGCGCAATGCCTTTTCAACGTTACTGAGCACATTTGCCCAATGACCTTGCTCCGTCGCCGGAAATTTCCCGTTGTTCTGCTCCCAGAGATCTGGCTGTGCCACTCGCCTTTAGAAATGCGAGACTGAGCCCGACCTAGTGAAGAGAGAGAAAATGTACTTCTGGGCCTTCTCGGTCACTCTAAATCGAACACATGCGGAGAACACTCCACTTAGTCAACAGGAGGGGCAATTCTTCGAACAAAGTGAGCTATACAATGCGTAACGCCGCACGAAAGGTAGGTACCATAGTGCAAGTACCACGTTGTATATAGTCTTTAACGCTCTCCACCCTACTTGCGTGTTTTGTTTCCTTCATCAAAGTAATACCTCTTGGACAAACCTCAACAAGACTTGAATCCTTGAATTGCGAGTCTTTCATCATTGCCATGTCCTTTCCCAAATCATCCCCACTCGTGCTCTCTACCAAGCAGCTCAGTCAGTCACGAGTGACAGACATTTATGTCACGGTCTCAAACTCTACCGTAATCGCCACCACAGGGGTAATACTACGCTTGATCTCCAGACGCCTTTCTCGCACGCGGCTTTCGTATGACGACTATCTCATAGTTGCCGCTTGGGTTTGTGTGCCGGTCATGAATGCGCACGCCACAGCTGATGCACAACTTAGGCGCTGGTGATCGCTCATAGTACTGTATCAGGACTGAACGCAGCACATTGGGGACTCGGTCATCATCTCCCGGTCGTTGCAGATTTATTACCTTCCTTCCAAAAGGTGGTCGGAGAACCATCCGATTGTAGTGGCATTTGCTAATGCGCTCAAAAGGCTGCTCTCGTCATTTTACTACTATTCTTCACTGCGTCTTTCTTTACGAAAGCGTCGCTGTTAGCTCTCTATTACCGGCTCTTTTCTCCAATTCGAACATTTCGCTATGCAGTATACGTCGCTATAATCATCGTATGTGGCCAGTGGATCAGCGTTTTTTTTGCGACTATCTTTCAGTGCGTTCCAATATCCGCTTTTTGGGATCTAAGCATCGAGCACGCAAGGTGCTTAGACCTGCCAACCTTCGGTCTTGTCTCTGGAGTTCTCAATCTAGTGAGCGACGTCATGATACTCTGCTTACCTCTGCCCATGGTCTGGAATTTGAACACAAACACGGCACAGAGACTGACTCTGACGGGAATATTTCTGCTGGGAGCCTTGTAGGCCTCCACGGTATTCTGGGTAGGCATACTTACTAATTGTCCGTAGCGTTTGTGTTACCTCAATTATTCGTATCACTAAACTTGCGGAGGTCAACTACAATGACCCAACCTGGCGAATCGTGGACGTCTACCAATGGAGCTCGGTAGATGTTGGTGTCGGCGCTTTTTGTGCATGCCTGCCGACAATGAGTAAGATGATACGAATCATCGTTAGTCGCTCTTACAAGCTGACTTGAAATAGGGCCAATGTTCTCGTTCTTAAAGCCACGGCTTTCCGTCAAAAGCAAGTCTAGCAGCGGCAGGGATACAAGCTCGGCGGGCGTAGGAGAACATACAAAAAGTCGATTTGCTAAGCTTGACGAGGAAGCTGTAGCCTGCTTCGTTGATCCAGAAAACGAGCGGAATCAATTCCCAATGAAGAGCATAATTGTTCGCCACGACATCCATGAAGTGCGGGGTTCACAGGGAAAACCACTTCAGGATGACCCGCAAATTAGCATATCCTCCTCAAACAACTCGGACCACGAGACGTTCTCTTTTGATAAATGAGATCGTCGTACGGCACTTGGATACGTCACAGGTCGTTCCCCTCGCAGCACGCCATTCGCTGCATGGCAGTGGATATTCCAGTGATTATGAGCCGCTGAAGAATGGGGGAAAATAGCGCTCTAAGGACAATGGTCTTACACCAGCGAAGACACAGCCTGACCCACCGCCCCAGGATTAGGTGCCATCTATCGAGAAACTCTCCGCGCTAGTCATTGGTAGGACGGATAGAGAAAGTTCTCTGGAAGTCGTTCGAGCACGGTACTTTAGAAGCAACTTGCAGAGGCGCTTCAGTCGTACGTTGATGCGAGATGTAGCTGCAAGCTTCATACAATGTCAAAGGTCAAAGCGTGAACAAATCAATCCAATCTCTCTCGAATTAGGAGATAATAGGAGATAATAGAGGAGAAGGGCCAAAAATTTGAAGGCCGCAAGTGACGACGCGATTCAGTCATCTTATGCTAGGGCATTAATAGGTCTTGGCTTATCCATGGGTCTACATGGCAACGGCTCAAGTAGCTACAGTATGAACTGATGGCTTGCGTGACTGATCATACCACTGTAGTATCGAATGGAGATTCCACGACGCACTGCCATAGCCAAAACTGGAGATGACATGTATTCCCACCCCTTTGGCATTACATTGAAAGTGTTCTGAGCGAAAAGGCAAGAAGGAATGCCGTAACTTTAGCGCAGAAATTACAATACGGTCGACTTTCCAGACCGATTTTGTTCTATATATCTGGTTGTTCTAAAACGAACAAGTAGTTGCTATAAAGTCTGCTATGCATTGTTCTTGGTATTTACTAATGGTGGTCGATGGACTGGTGGCCAGAGCCAGGTGCGAAGCGCTGCAGAACAGCCGAACCCCTATTGCTCTTGCTAAACAGCCTCGTGCTACGTCTTCTCCACCTGTGCCACACCAATTCAGCCTTGCGCCAATGATGCTGGCAATCTTTCGAAGCCAGCCAAATAGTACATTATGAAGACCGCCTTCAGTGGGATCTGAGGTGGTGAATATGCGCTATGGCAACTGCCCATCCTATGCAGAACCCTCAGCAGTGAGTTTCCCACCAGCACGAACCATAACCGCTCTGACACATGAAGCAGCTCCGAGTGTCAGCAGCGGGCGATAGCTGAGGTTAAATCAGCATACTCTCACCTTCCTCATGGTGATCGGATCTTTCGACAATGTGTGGAGGGGCAGAACTCAATAGCAGAGGTCTTGAAAGCAAAGGATCCGGACTCGGCGGGAATCCTTAAAACCGAGAGGCCATCGAGCTATAAAATCGAACAACCCTACTTGTCCATTATTTCAGAGTCACATATCTCCACCATGTCAATCGTCAAGACAATTCTGATCACAGGAGCCAACACTGGCCTCGGCCTAGAAGTGGTCAAATCACTCTGCCGCTCTACAACAAAGTACGACATACTTGTCGGATGTCGGACACCTTCCAAAGGCCAAGCCGCCATCGATGAAGTGAAGAACGAGTACCCATCCACATCGTCCACGCTCAGCACACTCCAGGTCGATCTCGAGTCTGATGACTCACTGCAAAAAGCAGTCGAGACCATTTCCAAAGAGAAAGGACATCTCGATATTCTGATGAACAATGGCGGAGTAGCCTACGATCCGCAAATCTCATCTGGTGCCATAGGAATCCGCGAAGCCTGGAATAAGTCATGGAATGTCAACGTCGCAGGGACTCAAGTCTTGACAACCCTGGCGGTCCCTCTGCTCCTCAAATCAAGCGACCCCCGCCTCATCTTCATAACAAGTGGGACTGCCACGTTAACAGAGACGGAAAGCACAGCGAGCGAGAACCTGAAGCGTTTAAATGGAAGTCCTGCGGCTGGTTGGCCCAAAGAGCCTGGGTTTTCGACCACTTCCTATCGAAGCAGCAAGACCGGGCTTAATATGTTAATGCGTGAATGGGTCAGAATTCTGAAGAACGATGGTGTAAAGGTTTGGTGCATTTCGCCTGGCTTTCTGGCTACATCTTTGGGTGGTTACGGATCCGAGCAGTTGAAGAAGATTGGAGCTTTGGACCCTGTGATAGGTGCAGACTTCACTTTGAGTGTTGTTGAGGGCAAGCGTGATCATGATACTGGAAAAATTGTGAGGAAGGATATGATACAGCCGTGGTGAGAATGAAAAGCCGTGGAGATTTCACGCCTTACGATGGAAATGCCAAATGGTTTCCTTCAAAGAAAACAGCCACTTGTACAAGGCTACGGTAGGTAGCAATACCTGAAGATTTTCATATCCAGTCAATGAACTGATGCCTCCATTTGGTGACTCATCTTGGCTGCTTTCAACTTTCCTGCAATCACGATGTGTGGTCTACGTTTTGTTATTTTCGATTTATGGAATGTTATTGAAGCTGCTTTTGAGATATTTTGAAACAACACGGAGTACCAATCTAAAGCTTATCAGAGTCAGGCCTAAGAGAGGCTAGCCTCAGGGCTCCTGATTGCTAGTGTCCGCATGGCCAGGCTTTGGTTACGATGCTTGCTGAGTTTTGACCGTCTTCCATGCTGTTTCCAATGTCTTCTAGGAGTGCTCATTGAATGTAAAATTTGGGATGTCCGCCATGGCACCAATGACAACTCCCGGCTCTCTCTCAGCTCTCGAGAGCCGCCTCCGCCGTCTTGAGTACTACATCACTGGCCAAACTTCTCAATCTCCCACCGCCGAGGCTGCATCCTCAAAAGAGAAACCCTTGAATGTGCGCGCCCGCCTCTCAGATCTCGAGCAGAGCCTCAATGATCTCATCTCACGCTCTCAAACCGCACGCGAACTCCTTACAACCTGTGCGTTTTATATTCTCACCCAAAGTCTAGCATCACTGACGCGTTATAGACCACAAGCACCCCTCACTCTTCCTTCCTAGTCCCGCTACACCCCCCACCAGTTCCGACCCATCCCTCACGAATCGCGAAAGGATCTCTACAATACTCGCCCTCGCTCCTTCCTACCAAGAAACAGCATCTCGCCTCACCACGCTCAAAGACCTCCCCATCCCACCTACTTCAGCCAGTCGAACACTCATTTCCCTTCAACCAAGACTTGAACAAGTGGAGGCTGTGCAGCGGGAGCAGGCGAAGGAGATTGAAGGGTTACGGGCGAGGAGTGCGCATGTGCTTCAAAGATGGTACGAAGTAAGCGTGATAGGGGGAAACGAGTGCTGGGCTGAGTGGGAACGAAGGGTCGAAATGGTTGAGAGAGGGGTTCGACAGAGGGAAAGGGCTAGGAAGGAGGAGGAGGTGCAAGGGGAGAAGTATGGCGGGTGAGAAGACAGTGCAGTGAGTCGACGGTATCAAGCAAGAAATGCTAAGACCGCGCCAAAAAGAAGGCAGGAAGCACGGAGACCAGGCGCGAGCAGAAGTGAAGCGAGAGTGCAGCAAAGGACAGAGGTCCCCTGGCTGAGATTGCAAGTTGGCTCTGATGGAAGCAGGACGGCGTGCGATCAGCCGGAGGTACGTTCGCACACGGATCGACAGAAGTCATGCGTGACTTTCTAGGCAGCCACGTCGTCGAGCGAGTGAATGGACGGCAGGGACAGCCATGAAGGACGCGAATCCAAGACATGCAGGACTTCGCCTCGGGACGATGATGAATCATCAGGGCTGCACAGTCATTTGGGTCCTTTAGGTCCTTTGAGCGAATCCAATGGGCACTCTTCATCACCATAGGATCTGTCTACATAAGGTGTAGCACGAGTGAGATAAAATGTGAATATGCGTAATTTATAGCGTAATTAGAGCAACAGTAGCGGTAGCCAACGGTTCTTGGCAGGGACGGCACGAGGTAATAAAATAATAGAACTATCTAATGCGCAGGATTCAATAATAATAATAATGGACGCTGATTTGTTCCATTTGCCTTAGAACTAGAACCCCCCGGCTGTTGTTGGCTTTCGCCTCTTTTCAGCCCTTTGCGCCCTTTTCATCATCTTCCTTTTCCCTTTCCTTCAAATCCATCCTGTACCTGGCCCAGGCGCGCCGCAGAACCACACGCTGTGCCGTCAGGTACTGGTGCACCGTGATTGACTGGGGCTAATCTTAGCTGCGAAGAGGAACAACAGGAACAACAGGCGGCGCGCGTGCGAATTTCTGAAACCTGGCCTACGGAAAGAGAGCCCCTTCACCCTGGGGCCTGTCGCTGTCTCAGCCAACGCCCTCCACCGGTCACTCTCTGTCTCGAACATTCAACTTCATCTTCATCTTCATCTTCAACGACAGAAACATTCATTGACATTGATTTATTTAATCATTCACGCTCACTTCGCCGTTCAATTCATTCCTTCGGATCCCTCTGCTATTTTGGGTGCATCTGTACTTTGTCCGACCAACAACAACGAGACCTCTAATCCTCATCTCTATTCCACCCCCTCCTCCCTCCTCTACGGTGCAGGTCACGACATTTGAAATTAAAGACGATCCTTGACACCTTGCAGCGATCGCAACAATCTACACTTGACTCCACATCTGCCATTGCTCCTTCGACTTTTTACCATTAAATCAGCGCAAGAGCGGCTGTGCAAGAGTTGGGTTGGTCGTACGCGAGAAAAGCAAGTCATATCAGGAGGATTAATGCACCGGTCTGCTAGTTCGTCGCCGACTTTTCGCAAGATGAACGGCAATCTAGAGGCCAACGCCGGCAGGCGGAGACGTAGATTTACCTTTGGTCAGTCTCTCTGCTCCAGCGACCGATATGAAAGAGCATCGTCTGACGTGGCGCAGGGCATATCGTTGGAGATCCATTTGCACTTGCGACAATATCAATTGCAATCGTATGTTACTTGCCATCTCATTCATGCAATGAAGACTGACAATGAGCAGCTTGCATGGCTCATCACCTTTATCGCTTCCGTCATTGCAGATTACAAAGGAGATTTTCCCAATTTTGCGTGGTGGGCAATTGCATATATGTTATGTGTCATTGTTGGCGTGTTTGTGATAGTGGGAGCGGACGTAACCCAAACATACCAAGTTGCTGTACGTCTCGCGTTGCGGCCCTTTCGGGTCCGAGACTGACTGTGCTTGCAGGTCGTTGGCTTTCTGGCAGCAGGCTTGACTTACGCAACAGCAATAGTCAACACCTTGGTATATTCGCCAGATGGCGCTAAAGAAGCGTCGGCAGCAGGTTTCATTCTACTCTCAATGGTCATGGTAGGCGTCTGAACCCCGACTTATTGTCTCCCCACCTGACAAAGTAGATTGTTTGGATATTTTATTTCGGGTCAAACCCACAAGCCACACATCGTGGATACATTGACTCCTTCGCCTTACACAAAGAAGGCCAGCGCACATCCACCCGCCAATCGCGACCAATGTCGCCGCCATACGGCCAGCGCGACCGACCCGAGACAACCCTTTCTAACAACCATCAACAGCAGCGGGAGCCTCAGATGTACACTTCCGCGCAATTGAACGGCTTTGAGACGAGCTCTCCAGTGACAGGCTACCCCGGCGGCCTCCGCGGGCAGCAAGACAATGGCTCAAGAAACAACTTTGGCGCTGGCAAACGATCAGTCTCACCACGTGAGCATCAACAATCGCCCGGCCCGACTCCTGGCACTAATGGGTTCGGCGCTCCACCGCAGCCAACGGGGCCGCTGGGAGGCGGTGCCGCAGCACCGCATGAAGATCTCACAGCAGCAACGGAGTACCCGTACCGTGCGAAGGCGATCTACAGTTATGAAGCCAATCCTGACGATGCGAACGAGATAAGTTTCAGCAAGCATGAAATATTGGAAGTCAGCGATGTGAGCGGACGGTGGTGGCAGGCTAAGAAAGATAATGGAGAGACCGGCATTGGTACGTAACGTTACACACCCTGTCTTCTTTGAAATTGTGGGAGATACTGACAGGGCCATTTCTAGCTCCATCCAACTACCTCATTCTGTTATAAACATCTTCTGCTTTCACAAATGATACCCATCTTCTTTGAAATCTGCTCTTCTCTCGAATCTTCTCTGGTAAATGACTTCGACGATCGACTTACTTACCACATCTAATATTCCCTGAAATCGCAACATCTCGCCCAACCAAGGCTACCCGTCTCGTCAACCTAATGCAACTGTCATGGAAGCAAAGACCATAAATAACAATACCAAGGAAGTGGGGAAACGACTTTGTAATATGAATATGGCGTCCTGATTTTGATACTTTCGGCTTGAGGAAGGGACAATACGCAAAACTTGTTGCATGGGGTCGGTGATGAATCCAAGATTTTGCGTCATGGCGAAATGCAGGCATTTGGGGAGAATACCGTATAGACTTGTCCTGTTTTGCCTCCGCATGACCACGCGATGCCGATTGGGCTTCGTGGCAGAGCGAAGAGAGGGTTGAGAAAGGGACAAAGTTATACTCTGATACGACAATTATCTGTACAGTAGAAATGACAAGAAAATCCGATTGAAACAGTCGCCACTTTTGCATGATTCAAAGACCTCCGATCTTTTGCTGCTTCCAATGCCACACCTTCTCAATGCGTCCTGGGGACTTAGCCAATCTTGAGGTGAGCTGTTGTAACACACAATCTCTGGAGATGAGCAGCCTTGCCTTTAGTGGTAGATTGGATCTCGGATCAACCTCAGGGCTGCATCCTTCATGCTAACTATCCTAATATCATCGGTACTCCGTCCGCTGACCTGCTTATTCTGTCAAGGAATGACCACTCCGGACGTGCCCCTCAGATGAAAGTCTTGATTATTATCCTTGTATGGATGATAATTCGCAAATATCTCCAGCTTAGTATTTCGTAACTGAATCATGACAACGTGGGCCATTCTCATTGGCATCAATTTCTATGTACAGGACCGCCATCTGCACGGGGCAGTTCAAGATGTCAGAGATATGGGTGCTTACCTAGAAGCAAACCATGAGCATGTAAAATTGAGCATCTTGACTGCAAGTGCCCCTCAGAATTCCAATGATAAGGTACCAATCGAAGAACCTGATGCTTGGCCCACTTTCGAGAATATCAAAGGACAATTGGACCATATTGAACAGGCGGCTAATGAAATGGATTTTCTGTATATACACTTTTCTGGTCACGGCACACAGCAACCGGTGGTTTCCCGCGAGTACAAAGAACGGGGTACCAGCGATGTAGCTCTCGTGCTATTTGATCCAACTACCGGATCACGGTATCTGCGAGGAGTCGACTTGGCACGATTGCTGCAGAGATTGGCCAAGAAAGGATTAAAAGTCACAGTTGTACTGGACTGCTGCTACTCAGGGGGTGTGACCCGCCGCGGTAAACTCATGCCTTTGAGTACTCGAGGGGTGGAATGGGATCCTGCCATAGCTGCTCAATTCCCTCTGGAACAAGTCCCACATCTGTTTGAGTCGCCTACCGTTACGAGAGATGCGACTTCAGAGTTCAAGTGGCTTGAAAGTGCTCGAGGATATACAATCATCACAGCCTGCGGCCCTCATGAGAAGACCTGGGAGGGGGATATCAATGGCACAAAGCATGGCGTTATGTCTTTTTTGCTTCTCTCAGCCCTCAGCCGGGCTGCCAGAAGCGGCTTTCATTCCAGTCATGAGTCAGTATATCAGTATCTTCGCACCAAATGCCATGCAAATTATTCATTTCAAAATCCAATGCTTTTCGGTGATCGAGCGGTATCCTTTCTTGGGGGACTTCGATTCCCATCCTCATCTCTTTCAGAAATATTCACTGCGGAAGGGTCCTTACATGTGAGCGCCGGACGAGCGCATGGTGTCTCCAAAGGCGACGAATATGAAGTATTTCCATTCGATCCAAGCATGAGTATACAAAACCTGGCCATAACGACATCAGCAAGAGTCATGGTCAATGCTGTCCACGGTCTTACTTGTGACGTTGATGTTACTCAAGCATCACCAAGTGGTGACGACATTAGAACAGGCTGGAAAGCACGACCCCTGACTCACTTCTCGATTCAAAAAGTCCACGTAAAGATAGCGTCTGGTGTTGACGTTGGGAGAGATTGGAGTTATGCGTTAGCGAGTAGCAAATTCTTGCAACCTTTTGCAGAAGACACGGACAGCCCAACCTCTTTATGTCAGGTGATTTTGAATGATCATGTAGAATATGAAGTCTTAGACATTCTGGGCAATCGACTTATGAATGTTCCAGCAATATCAGCTCGGATTTCTGGAGTAATTCCCCTAGTGGTGAGGATTCTGGAGCACGTCGCCAGATACCAGTTCATTGAAGCCCTTGAAAATGGACTGGTGTCATCTTGGCTGGAAACGGCATTCACTGTTGATATCCTTGACTCCCAGCAAAGGCCTCTTGACGCCAATGGCGTGGTCGAAGTCCGAGAACACGAAGTCATAAATTTTACTTTTCGTAACCACTCTCACCATCCTCTTTATCTAACGATATACGACTTGACGCCTGGTTGGCAGATCCAGGGTGTTTTCTCTACGGGGGCGGGCCAGATTACTGGGTCGTACAACCAGAAGACCGCGCAAAGTACCACACAGGTTACAAAAGCATATCGATGAGAATGGTCATTCCTGATGATCTCAAGCAAAAGGGCTGGACTGAATGTGACGACGTTATGAAGCTCTTTGTTACTACTCGGCCCACGTCGTTTGCAGCGTTGAATCTACCTAGGATGAGGATGCTAGACGAGACGCTTTCGCGAAGTCCCATAGACGAATTAGATGATTTGCTTGCTAGATTAGCATTGCCTCACCGAGGGCCCGATGTAGACGGGGCTCATAATGAAGATTGGGCTACCCGAAACTACATCATTCGAACAAAAGCCGGGCTTGTTGGGGAGAGATAAGCAACAACGATACATTGAACCTCAATTCATTCAAAATTCTATGGCCCAAGAACGTCTGATCCACCATATTAGGATGGACGCAAAAAGTACCTTAATCAGCACACGCCTTCCAAGGAAAGCCTATTTTGGAGGCTTCAAGTCATCCTCATTGACCGTGTTCCCGTCCTTCACTGGCTCTCCATCCTCAAGGCAAAGCGTGTACTTTCCAGCAGCTGGCAAACTCGCAACGAAGTAAGGTCCATTCTTTTGCCAGACAGGGTGAGGTAAACCTTGTCGTTGACTCGGTACTTAGCATTCTTCTAGGTTGTCAGCGCGGAAGAAGTTCGAGGACCTAGTAAAGCTTGCAAGATTGTAGGCTTTTACGCCTGGGCGGCTATCATCCTTGCCTACACGAAGCTCTGGACTCACAGAACTACAGTTAGGATCAATTAAAACAGCCTTGGAAAGATCGATAGTGTTTTACCGTTCTTCTCCACCCATATTTGTAGGTCAAAAGGCTGCTTTGACGATTGAATATCAATTAATTGGCTTCGAGATGGAGAAAGGGATGTGTATCCAACTTTGAAGTGGTATATGAAGTATTCATTAATGGCCATGGAAGAAGCCTCACAGATTGCCTCCTTTTTCGAAGCCTCGCCTCACTTTTCGGTAAGGCGGCCAAGTTCAATGGCCCCTCACTTTTATTAGCATTGATCTTACTGAGATCACGCGAGCAGGGATAAACCACGATCTTCTTGAAATGTTTCTGACAATAATCTATACAACCTAGCACAACGATGGCCCGTGCATATCCTGATATCGAGCTCGGTACTTCGAGTAGTGCTCTGACGACGAATCCTCCACGTAAGCATTAGAGCTAGCTACTATTATCGTCTGGTGACTGGATATACGTGGCAGTTCTAGACTTTCAATCAAGACTCGTTAGAGGAGTGTTCATCGGCGCCAGCGCTGTCTGGCACCTGATTGGTGCGAAGCTGAGCAGGATTCCTGCCTTCACTCTGGGCAGCAACGCCTGCGAAACAGTGTCTCACCAGAGTACGTTGACCTTCAATGGTAATCAAAGAATTTTCTGAGTATGCTGGTCTAGTTGAGGATTCGCCGCAAGGATATCCAAGATTTTCCGCCCTCATCGGAGCTCACGACTCCTTCCATATCTGTCGACGATTCTCAGCACTTCGTACCCGCCTGCTACTCATGAAGCAAGACAAGCTCACAGCCCTCGAAGAAGATCTTCACGAAGTGGATCAGAAGGAGAAATGTGGATTGTTCCTTGGTAGCTTCCGGAGCGATAGGAATTCGAGACGCAAAGAAATACTCACTCAAGTTGATACTGCGCTCGCCGAATACGGTATATTGACAGCCAAGACATATTGAGCTTCACTAATGATGGAATCTACCTGCTTCGAAAGACGACATCATAGCTAGAAACCGCAATATCCTCATGTTCGAAGCCCCTAAACAGAGAGACATCTCGAGCCTGCAGAATTGGATGGCTGGAAATGGTTGTATAAGCAGAAAGGAAACGGCGTATCTGGCGCAGAATTCCGACCTGTTCTGCGTTAGCACCATCAGCAAAGATGCCATTAGGCGAGTCGAAGAATTCGTCGAGGCGGGCTTGATCCGTTTCTACCATCCGTTCCGGCAAGTAAGTGCCCCATCTCATTCTATACTGCCCCCAAGAAAGTGCCCCCCATGGCCTACCTTTTCATCGAATTCTGGCTCATAGATACATAGAGTGCCCGCCTCGACGCCGTCTCAAGGGACCCAAACGTATTCATCTATTCAGGCCGGGCGCTGCGACGCCTCAGCTATGTGATTGTGACCTTTGTCATCGTGGCGCTCATACTTCTGCCGGTGATTACCATCACGATCCTTGAGAGTGGGATCAGCCGTATGCTCGTGATTGTGGTTTCTTCGGCGGCGTTCATCATGACGCTTTCGGGGTTGAGCAATGCGAATGCGAGCGAGATGTTTATTGGTGGCGCAACGTAAGTCCTTAATTTTGCGAAAAGGTGGTTAAAAGGAGGCTGCTGACTCGAATTCGGAGCAAGATATGCTACTGTCCTTGTGGTATTTCTTGCTGGAAATGGCGTTGGTGGGGGCAATTGATGAGCCCGAGCAGGAAATGGGGCTCAAAGGGCACGAATGTCAATATGGTGTGAGAAGACGTAGCTTTTGTAGGGCAGGATCGAGTCAATGCGTTGTTGACAATATCGTAGGCCAAGGAGGATGGGATACGCAGGCGTGTAGGACCGATTAATTTTGGCTGAGTTCCAGAGGCGCTTTGTCCAATTGTTGGGCCAGTGGTCATTCTATTATATCCAATTGGAAAGGTCTGATCATCATCTTCGAGATTTCAGCGTACCAGTACTCCTATAATTCATATCCCGGGTCAGGTCATGTGTGTCCTGATCCCAGCCTCCACATTCTAAGGGTGTATAAATTATTGGCAGCACCAAAGTATCCTCACTTCTCGTCTTCGTTGAACGCACCTTCTATTTCTATCCTAGCCTCCTCTCATTATCAAAACCACGATATCTCTGGATTCCGGAAACACGCCCTCACACCCCCACATGAATCCACGGCCCCCAATGTAGCGCTCCCTCCCAATCTTCCCCTTTCCAGTCCACCTTATACTCCGTCACAGCCTCATGCAACGCCCCTGCCACATCCAACTCCCCCTTCCCCCTCCCCTCCTCAATCTGCCTGCTCAACCGCCCATAGAATTTCGTTGCAATCACCCCCGCGCTCGCGTCACTGGCACTCCATATGGTGCCAATCACATGCCTAAACCCGAGCACTTGGAAGCAGTTGGCGAGATTGATCGCTTCGTCGATGTGACGCCCGAAGGAGAGTTCGGCCGTGGAGCAGGCCGAGAGGAATGCGAGTTCGAAACTTGAGGAGGGGGAGGAGGAGGAGGTGGAGAGGGAGGTAGTAGGGGGAGAGAGCTTTTCAATGGCAGAGATGGGAAGAATGGCTGTGGTGGAAGGGGATTGGAGTGAGGGGGACATGAAGATGAGGCCGCTGGAGGAAGGGGAGCGAGGAAATAGGTGGCCGTGACAGGCGAGGTGGATGATGGGGTAGTGGGGGAGGAGAGCAAGGACTTCGGAGGTGGTGGGTTGTGGTTTTGCGGTTAGTTGAGCGCCGAAGTGGTGATTGAGGATTTTCTCTTCGGCTTCGACTTTGAGAGGTAAGTGGCCTGGTGTGTTTGCCATTGCGAGGAGGAGGAATCTTTGTGCGGGAGGGGGAGAAACGGGGATAGGTTTCTTACGAGCATAGGCTAGGGCTTTGAAAGAGGATATATAGGAGCTGATGACGTGGCTAAGTGTGTTGTCTCGCGAGCCTTTTGCGTGGTTGCCAGCGGCGTGCAGTGGGGCCAGTGCCATGAGACCGTTTGTCATCCACCAAATCCTCTTTGACTCGGTCAAGGTCGTTTTGTCAAGGACCGGCTTGACGGCGACATCCCATAGCCATTGGAGGATGGACTTGATATTTTGCTGTGGTTGGATAGGCTCTACGAGGACTATGTCTCGCCTTCTGGTGCCGAAGCCGAGGTCTTTCATTGCCTCTATATTCTTTTCAAGATCCTCATACTTAAGATCTGAAAGCTGGATTGAGACGATATCCTGACTTGTAACTATGAAGGCATCGCTTCGGTAATGCACAACATTGAATACAATGATGGGCCCACTTTTCGCAAGACTCTGCATTTCACCTGCCGAGAGTGGAAGTTGGAAGTTCTCGAACCCTACTTGCCTTCGGATTTCGTTCTCGACCCTGTTCATGTCGTCATTGACTTGGGAAAAGTTGTTTTCTTGACTCAAAAAGTTTGCATATGCTGCTTGTGGGCCACGAGAGAAAGATTGGCGGAGGTCATCATATCTCTCGCAGAGCTGTGGATGAGCTACTTTGAGCTCGGAGACATCATCCTTCACGTTCATAGTCAATCCAGCTACAACGCAGCGACCAGTTTCAAGTCTTTTGAGCGCTTCATATGGGTCTTTGTCTAATTGGACGGCAGCAGCGGCCGCAAGACCAGCGATACCAGAGCCTTGTGAGAGTAAATGTTGCTGGTCTGCAGAAGAGACCCAGCGAGGACTAATCCTTGGCAGGAGATGTACAGCTGATGACAGCACAGCATATGAGGTGTCAAAGTCATCGTCAGCGAAAGAAGCTTGTCCTGCCTTCAAGCTGGCCGAAACGCGAACTACAGGTAGGGCAGAACTGCAACCTGCAGCGGAAAGCCAAAGTCCTTTTGCTTTTTGAAACTCGTCTTCATCATCATCATTCAGTAGAGATAGTTTGGCGTGCATTGCCGCAAGGTTGAGCATTCTTTCAGCATACCGAGGGTCAGCTTCATCACCCTCACTAACTGCAGATGTTCCAACTTGAACTGCCCGTTTCAGATACTCTAGAGCTTTGTCACGATCTGTGTGCTGGAATGCGCCAAAAAGAGCATCAAGCGTACACACTAGATTGTTGAGTACTGTCGGTCTCTCCCGATATTCAACAGGCATGATTTGCAGCGCCTCCTCAGCAATTTGCACTCCGGCTTGCCCTGATAGGACATCGCCAGTCAGCTTGACTTTCAAACCCAGCCATGCACACAGGCAATCGAGCATGTTTACCAAGTTATACTTGCTCCAGTCACTCGGAGTGATGTCGATAGCCTCGTTGGCCATAGTAATGGCCTGTTCCATGTATTCCAGGGAGAGTTTTGGATCAGAATTGCGCACTCGCTCCGAGTAATGAAAGAGGAACACACCATGGTTCAAGATGATGGACGGACGGTAGTCATCATCTTCAGGTACAGTTTCAAGAGCGTGCTGTGATAATCTCATTACCTCATTAAGAACATCTAGCAGCTGAGTGCTTTCATAATGGTGCATAACCGCCGCAGGTAGGCTACTAGCAACACTGCCGTAACCTGGGTCTGACGGGCTACAAGCATCAAGAGCTCGATAACCCTCTGCGATGCCTTCCCTCAACTCGCTGATAGATCCTTTGACTTTGGCTCGTGCACAAAGAGCTGCCGATCGAGCCTGACGCGTTTTGATGATCGGAAGGTTGCATTTGCCTTCAGTTCTCAGGTCGAGTAGTAGCTGCGAAGTCTCAATGACCTCATCAAGAGCTCGCATGTCCCTTAAATACCTGAATCTCTCAAGTAGAAGTAAATTCAAATTGTCCCGTCTGTTTACCCACTGCGCACTATGGATCTTTGATGCATTGAGAGCCTGCCTCATGAGTTTTTCGGCTTCTTCGAGATCAGCTCTATTGCCAACAATCTTGAATCTCCTGAAAAGCAAGGTGTCGAGGCTTTCAAAAATATTTGCGGGGTTCGGCTCTGTTGGCAGCATGGCATCAACTGCATGACGACCGACTTGGATTGCTTGATCGAGGTCGGACTCTTGCATTGTCTTTCGGGATTTATGGAGCCATAAATCACTCAGTTTAGAAAGCAGATAAGCGTGATCCACATGCTGAGTCCCGAGAGACTCCAATTGCTCTGTTGATAATTTGATACTTTCCTCGAGCTGTGGGATTGACAACAGTGCCAAGTCTCCCATTTCTCTGGCAAGGCGCTGTGAATGCTCAGATGCTGCGTATCAGTCGGACAGAGCTATGTTCAGCGTGCTCCGCGGGGTGGCAGGCTCTTCCCAGCCTGAGCCTTGCGGCATGACGAATTCAAGGGCTCTTAAACTCTTCCAAAAGAAAAGAAATCCTGGACACTGGGGCTGTAGAAGCGAAATGGCTCAAGCAGCAGTCATCTCCCATGACTAATTTTGCAAGAATGTAATGATGGGAGAACATGGGTAAGCAACCAATGATACATTATTCATACAAGCCAATTGCTCGTGGACTGCTGCCTTGTCACATTGAACAGGGTTGGAAGCAGAATAGATGCTTGGCACTCAGGGGTATCAATGGCGCTAGTGCTCGCTAGAAATAGCATTGGGCCACTTTGGCAGCGTTGACAGAGGTCTTCAAGGGAATTGAACTTTTCTTGTGGTGAGATAAGGCTTTAACCGGCAATTTGGTAGAGCTGGGTGCTGTTAGATAGAAGAAAGAAATAAGTGCCATCACTACATTATATATATTCTTTCGCGTCCTCTATAATTTCCCTGTCATCTGCACCCTCAAATGACCCCAAAATCTCATCACGCTCTCCTACACGCTCCATCCTATAGCCACGTCTTGGACCCGATCTCGTAAAGACTGTCTCTGCTCTTTCCTCCGCTTCTTCCTAAGCTTCCTGATCCCTTCCTCCGTCAGATTTTGCCTGAACATCGTCTCAATAACTTCCTTCTTCCTCGTGCGCTTCCCGCCGATCGATATTACGATGCCCCCCGTAATGTTGACCGTGATACTCAACGAGAGAATTACCGCTGTTATCCATGAGGGCCGAGTGTGATATGTCCAACCCCATGTGAAAGAGCCGAGCATGATCTGAAAGATGGAGTGCATATCCAGGAGCACGACGGCCGCGACAAGAAAGCGGAGAGGAAACGCATGGTGGGTTATTGACTCGTGAGGTTTGTAGAATGAGTGGGAGGCTGCAAATTTCTGTTGGTGGTGCTCAAGCTTGCGCTGCTGGACGGGTGTGAGCATGGAGACTTGGAACTTGTTTGGTGGGTATGCTGGCTCGATGTCCTCGCCATCATCAATATCATTGGGCTTCTTATCCTCAGCAACAGAGGTGTCGACGTCGAGGGCAGTCGATCCATTGGGTAGTTCTGGGAATACGATCTTTTCTGGTAGGTCGTTCTCATTCGGCAGAGGCTCGACGCCTCTTTCTCGCCTTAATCTCCACGTGAGATGGTGGTAGTGTGCTATGAAACACATATGGTATGTGTCTACGGCTCGGAATGGGGCAAGACCGTCGCCAACGACGGCAAACAGCGCAACGAGGACATTATCGACGATATTGGTAATGTAAGGTTGTCGCTCACCAGCGGAAATCCAGCCTACACAATGTCAGCTTTTGATGAATGCGCCCACGGATACGGCGAAGCATCAGCTTGCGAGAAGTACGAACCAATAAGGAAAAGGACCCAAACAAGTCCGAATATGGTAATCAGAGTCGCATACAGGGTGACAAAGAAACCTAGTGCTAGAAAGCCGTCAGCACTATAGGACATGAACAACAAGATGGGTGAGAGTACGCTTGGACACATATTTCCTAAAACCTATCATACTTCTCTTGAACCTGGCTCTTCTGGAATGGAGCTGGTGTCTCACGTGCTCATTAAGTGCCTTTACATCCTTTTCTTCCCATTCGTCGACCGAGAACAAGTGGGGCAAGACCGCATAGTGCTCGTCATCTAATTGAGACGAAATGCTGAATCTCCGCCGTTGCTGCGATGACGACTCTACAGTCAAGCCACCTTCAGTTGCCGCTTGAACGTCCTCTGGCTTATGATCTGTAGCTACCGTACTTACTCGCGGTAGCGTATCGCCATCATCACTAGAACTTGAGCTATCTGTGGATTCTTCGCTGTAGCGTGGAGTAATGTCATAGGTAGGCCTGCGGTTAAGAAATCTACCTAGGTTTGGCACGAAAAGTGAATTCTGAACATTTGTCAGGGTCGTCAAAGTAGAGACTTCGGGGTCTGGCGAGGTTTGTCAGCGCTGCTCGCATCACGAGATATCTCAAAACGGGTTACATACCAACGACATCCAATAGATCCACTGCATGTGATTGATACTCCTGCTCTTGGGCATCGGAAGCAGAAGGTGGATTCGAGGTTCGCTGTCTGCCCAATGCAGATCGCGCGGCATTGCTGAGACGTCGAGACGTAGATCTTGGGGGTGGAGGTTGTAATGTTTCTCCATTGGCACCTGGTGGCTGGGTGGCTACAGGTTGTAGATAAGTCCCGGTATCTGTAGGTACGCCCTCCTCAACAATAGGCATCTGCAATGTTCCCGTCCTCTGCCTTCTCATCTCATTTCCGGGTAGGTTCAAGTCTCGGTTGCGCTGGGGATCCGAGGGACTCCGCCGGCGTCCATTCTCATTGTTTCCGACGACCCGAAGGTTGTCTTGGGAGGTCAACCTCCGTAGTCGTATACTTGAATTGCCATTCAGGCGATTTTGAGGGGCTGGCGATTGGCGGCCAGGCGACCTCGGTCTGCTCTGTTGCGATTGTCCTGTTACGCTTCTAGAAATATCATGGTCACCGACGGGCGGTCTAGCCAAGTCTGTGCTTGGTCGCTGGACTGACACAAAAGGTACTGCGGTCACATTTTGCTGCGGATTGCCAAAGCCTCGAGAGGGATCCATTCATGTTACTGTTGCAGGCTCAACGCTATTTACGGCTTCGCCGGATGTCGGCGGGACGGCGACCGCCGGGTAGTGGAAGTGTCGGTGGACGAGGCGGAGGTATATTATGGGGAAGACAACTACAGGAGCAACACACCCTGATCTGTTCTCAGCAAGTTGGACGCAGTCTTGAAGGAGAGACCACAGGGTTGTACACAAATATAGCTTGAAGAGACAGAGATGGTCTCGAGAGTATTTCCACTAAATGAGACTGATTACAAAATCTGCGCTACGGTTACCAATCCATCGGCAGAAGGAAGTAGACCCAACCAAGCGTTCGATTAAGGTCAGTTCCTTGATCAGTGGCCTGTCCTGAGCCCTCCAAGGACTGCTCGTGTGATAGACTGAACAAATTGGTCGAATCCTCTACAACACAAATTGTCTAAATCGCTCCGTCGTGATGAACTTTTTTAAGACAGTGAAATGCCGCTTCAGTTGTAGATTCATGAGGGTGATATAGGATATCTTTGATGATATCTGCCTAACTCCTATCAAATCATTCCAGTATTCCTGATAGCCCTTCATTTACAGGATCGACCAAGATATCATCAGGCCTCATCTTTTTGCGCCCTGACTCTAGTATCGTAAATACGCAACCCAAGTAAAGAAGACCAAACGAGTCCAGGGTATCCTCCGCGCCAGATCACATATCATTAGATCGAAAGCGAAAAAAATGTGCTCCTGCTGACTCTGTCGCTTCATAACCTCATCATTCTTTCAGACCCTCATTAACGATCATTTCCAACACGATCTGACTACGTTCCCACTCCGGATGCTGCATGCATATTTTGACTGTTTCCGGGCTCCCAAATGCACCCATCGTGGGAGTGCCTGGCGCCCCGCTTGCCCGATTATTCTGATTTGGCGGTCCTCCGTCGTCCAGCAGTCTCACATCCTTTCCGCTAATCACCTGTCTCAGGCGGCCATTGATCGCATTTCTTACTTCAATATAAAGGCTATAGTAATCCACCAGGATCAGATACATGGCGCCCACAAGACACGCCTGCTTAGCACGACCGACATACTCCATGATCACGCCGCGGGAGACATCCCCGTGTTTGTTGACGTACACCCCGACTTCCTCATACGCAAGGAGGAATTCTGACTCAGAGAGCCGAAACATGCCTAGCGGCTTCATGTCACGAATGCGAGCTGCAATACTAGCGACGCCCGGAGCCTTGAGGTCAGGCACCGAGATCGGCGTTTTCTTGTCTAAAGTCATGACTTCGATCCCTCCACGGGCTGTTGCAATTGCGAGGCTACTATGAAATAAGTTGATGGCATAGGTATCCGAGCCGATGTAGAATTCATCGAAATCTCTGAATGATTCTGTTGTCCCTGCTTTCGCCAGACTTCGCATGCCACCCATGAGTCTACTCCTCATAGAGCTCGTCGAGCTGGCAGAGCCAATGGAGGCGGTTCGTTGGTAAACGGGCTCCAGAACCTTGAAAACGGACGTTACACCTTCTCGCTTTTTGTAGAAAATCAATTGCCGGTCTTTCATTCGGCCATGAGCGAAAAATCCGATGTCGCGCGCTCCGCTTAATTTTTGAGGTGCATGTTGGTGAGATGAGGTATTGCTGTTGTTGGCCAAGTGATTGGGTGACAAGACAGTGTCAAGATGGTGAGCGACCAGAGTTTTCTCCGCTAGGATGAGCATTAGACTGAACTCCTCGAGGACGGCGATTTGAGTAACACGCTGTGCAGCTATAATCTAGTTGAATCGTCAGACAGAACTCTCTTTGTACAAGTCAGTATAGACTTACTCTAGACCAACCACGGGAATTATGATAGTCTGTCATATAGACACCGTAGTCGGACCCTATAGCCAACATCTTGGTCCCGTTAGGATGAGCGAAAGCGGTCGCGCAATTCACCGTAGCCCTACAGACAGGGTTCGGCCGTTGCGAGCCTTCAAAATCCTTTTCCACCTCTCTGATCGCTCTATCAAGTGGAGTGCCTTTGATTGCAGTGCCCCTCCCTGAAGCCGTCATGCCGTCGTAAGCGAAAGCCGTGTCTGCAATGACGCGAAGCCGGAAGGGTTCGGCGTTCTGTTTGTATAGTGATGCAGCATGTCGAGTCTTTGCCTCCAGAATTTTCTTCGCCCACTCTTGCCTATTCGCCTTCGTCGCAGCGTACAACGTGAACCCTTCGTTGCGACCTAAATGTCGGACCTTAAATGGCCACATCAAGTTCTCAGTCTTTCCAACGTCAAGGTTGGTTGAGGGAACCATTGTTTTGACAGAGGCATTTGATGCGACAGACGAACTTGAATCTACATGCCCCAAGGTCCCAGGTCCAGCTGTACCATTGGGTGCTGACTGCCGCCCGGCACGTGTGTCATTAGAAATGCCTCCTCTCGGAGCGACAGCTGTTACGGTGCCCATTTTCGACTTGTTGACAGGATCATCATTTGTGTTCTCAAGAACGAGTAGGTCCATAGGTATAGGCTCCTTTGAAACATCGAATCTCACGCCCTTCTCACCGCCTGTCGGATGTTTATCTTCCACTATTTTGGCAAGTACAAAGTAATGGTCGAAAAGGATGGCATGTGCATCTACCCACGATAGCTTGGTAGAACCAAGTCTTTGTAAATCGCCATCATAGATGATCTCTCGCCCTAGATGGGTGAGGTTGAGAAGCGTTTGATCCATACCTGGGCGCAATTTCAATTTCGTTTGCAGGATTGCTAAGTCCACAATCTTTGACATTTCCTCAACTTTGGTGTCGCATTCAAAAGTTACTATCTTGATCTCTTCTATTGCTATCGCAAGATTGCGTTTTTCTTCCGATTCTTTGATCATGTGTTTGTGCACCGTAGATAGGAGCAGGCCGTATCGCTGAAGTCGTGTGATGGGTGCTTTGAGGTAGGTGTCCCATCCTAACCTCTTCGAGCGCTCGTTATCTTGCATTTGTTGCAAAAACTGATTGAAAAGGAGGTTTCGAGTTTGTTCTTGCTTCATAAGATAGACAGCACTGGGGTAATTAGCAGCATAATCAACATATGCGGTCTTGGCCTTCCGAATCCATTCTCGAAATACATCACTAAAGCCTGTGATCCAAGGCCCTTCTTCTTGCTGGCGATATTTTAACTGAGCAAGCAAGTGATCTTCGTTGACCTGCTTGATTGTATCCACGTTACTGAAAACATCTTTCATGAACTTGTCTTTACGTTGCGGAGCAATTATTGGAGGCTGCCACCTCACCAATTCGTCTCTGTATAGCACTCGGAGCACATTCAATTGGTCGATGAAGTTGTCTTCGGTCGTCACAATCTCGTGTAAGTTATTTTGCCGTTCAACATCTTTCTTATCTGCTCTTTCAAGATCCTCCTTCTGAAGCTTGTAAAAAGTGAACCAGTCCTCTTGTTTGCGTTGGGGCTCTAGAACCTGTGTTTGCAAATTTATCTTCTTCAGGGTTCTCATACAATGGTGCGAATAGCATCGGCCTGGAAGTGGCTCAGTGTGTACTCTTGTTGAATAGCACCCAGTCCCCGTTAATTGATAGAAGACGCCTGACATCTCTTCGGTCCCAAACTTGACCCATTCCTCGTCCTTGAGAAGCGTCCCTGAGTCGAACATTGCGCATACGACCTTTGCACCAAGGACTTCTGCATCGGCTGTGTTCATTGTTGGTACTTTGTGAGTGAAAAGGGCAACTATTCCGTCGACTACCGCAGTCTCTTTAAGATCAGCCTCGCCCTCAGTCATCTCTTTCAACCATGCAACGACTGAACTGAGCGCCCAGGGCTCGAGGCACTTTTTGAAATCATTCGAAGAAAGCTTGGCAGGATTGAATCTCCTGCGTTTGCCGACAGGTATCGATGGAAGGTCTAATTCGGTACTTGCGTAGGCATTTGGGTCAGCAAACGAATCAGGAGTATATATAGATGCAGAACGATAGCCGGATTGTTGTGATTGCTGGGACAAAATCCTTTGCCGATCAGCGTCTGTTTTGGAACGAATAGGTTGCGCAGCTTGAGGTTGACTACCCCGGCTGATTAAGGAAGATGAACGTGGGACAGGAGTTCCTCCAGGAGTCAGAGTTTGGCTGTAAGCATCAGGTGCCATGGGATATCGAAGATGGCCAAGCTCGTCATACTGAAGTAACTTTTCTGGATCCTTGTACGTTCCCGCAGGCATGAGCTGCGGGACCGAATGATCAACTGGCGCTGCCGGTAGAGGTCGCCCACCTCTAGAGCTAGGGTGGAAAAACATGTCTGGAATCTCTTCTTTCGAGGGACTTGGAGTGCCGGAGGGATAAGAGCTTTCTGTATCCACCAAAGTTGCTTCATCACCATCCTCGAAGCTATGACGTCTTGGGTGAGCTGAAGGCTCTGAAAGTCCTCCTGTCCCTGAAGTATCTACGCGCGCAGGTACAAATGGTTGCTGGTATAGGGGGAAGTCATAAGTCTCCGTGCCGACTGGTAATGTGAATGCGGAAGTATCAGAGCGTCTGGACAGCCTGTCTTCGGCAAAGGCATCATTTCTGTTTGTTGAGGGGCTTGCTTGCTCATTTGAAGCAACATTGTCCCCATAGTGGAAACCGCCTGGAAAGTCACCTCCATACGTGCTCATGTCCACTGAAATACCATTGTCACTGTTCCCCGGAGATCCGCGGTTGAGTCCAACCAGACGCTGAGAGCCTTGTGATCTACGAGAATGTTCGTGGCTCTCTCTTCGGGCAGCATCCGCAGCGTCTTGCTCATCAGCTGAACGCATGGCAGCTAAGCCAGCTTCCGCCTCCGCGTCACTGTCGTCGCTGTAAGCGTCATAATTGAAATTTCGATCGTCGTCAGCCTGATCAACATTACCGTTTACTTGCTCGTAAGGGGTCGAGTGCTGAGACGACACCTGTGATGATCTCGTATCTTGTCTTACCGGATGCGGCAGTGCTCTTGAGTCGCTCTCGCTTCTTCGTGCTCTAGAAGGCGGAGCTCTACCCATCACAGCAGCTTCCACTTCCTGCATGAGATCCTCGTAGCCTTGCTGTTGATCATAATCCTCGTTGCTCTCGGCGGCAGCATGCCCAAAATAGCCATCATTAGCGGAGGGCGCTTGGGGCAAAGGCCTTGAATGGGGATGGCGGCCAAGTGTATTATTGCGTTGTGGAGAATGCGCAGGTGGTGTTGGTCCTGGTGTCTCTGGTGTTGGAGGTAACGGACCATTATTTCCCACTGGTCTTCGATGTATTGATGGTGATGGCATTGGCAGTTCTCTGGGCGGATGGAAACCATCTGAGGAGAGCATTTGACTTTGGGGACGCGACGAGGGTCCTAGAGAACCTCCTCGATACTCCGTCGGAGATGTGGATGCAACTTGTTGTTGAGAGGAAACGGACGAAGGTGTCTGTGGGGGAAATGCATCACGTCCAGGAGAGAAAGGCGGAGCGGGAGGAGCAGGTGGCGTATATGAGGTGTAGGTGGATGGTGGTTGCGTGTGGCTAGCGATAGCAGGCTGTTGCTGTCGATAAGGTAATTGGTTGCCTGGATTGGAGAAGTGAGCGCTCGAGGCCGATGGGGGAGTTATTCCGCTTGGATGATTCTGTCTATAGGGCCGAGGAGGGGGAGGAGGGGGTTGATTTGCATTGTAAGCAGCCTGGTTTTGCTGTACAGCTTGGTGATAAGCGGCAGGATTGTATGTTTGATAGCTGGGGCTAAAAGGTGCGCCGAACGAGCTGCTTGGCTGAGGCGGACTTGGATGGGATTGGGCCGCCCCGTAGTGCTGTGGATTGTAGGACTGACGCGGTGGTGGGGGGGAGGAGCAGCGTTCGTAGGCTGTGAATAATAAGTCGAGGATGTAGAGCTACCATATGAAGTGGATCGTAGTGGGTAAGACGGGCTTTGCGGGTTCAAGTGAAGTTCATTATTCTGGTAATCTGCGGACCCTCTCGTTTCGTAGCTGCCGGAGTACTGACCAGGGGATGAGCCGGGTTCAAGACGAGCAGAATCATCACCAGGGTCGAAGCTTGGAGTCCGGCGGATGACCGTATTTTGACCGGATTGTAATGTCGAGGAGTGCCCTTGCTGGTATGGTGGCCTCGGCGGATTTTGGTTGTATTGGCCATATTGGCGCTCTAAATATTGACTCCCATGATTGTAGGACATAGCTTCTGATTTCTTGTTGCTCTTGCGCGGCAGTGCGAGCTCACCTCGAGGTTGAACCTGATTGTGATCAAGTGGAGAGTTTGCGGCTGAAGCACTCAAGTGGTGGAGGCCGCAGGTCGTCGATCGTCACAAGCTGGTTCATGCTTGGTGAACTAATCTTCGAAGGCGACTACTGGCGCTGTCTGACTCTTGCTATTATGTTCCTAGTTTCCTTCGATACCCTAGTTTTAGATGTTCCAGAGCAGGCCGAAGGCTTAACGGTGAGGACGTGAGTTAACATATACGTCGGACTAAGCATGGATGGTGGAGCTCGTTCTCGGCACTACAATGTGAGTTGTATTGCGACTGTAAATCAATTCGCGAGATGCAGCATAATGGTCAGTAGCGACAAATGGCTTGCTATGAGCTTGATCTTTGTCGATGTCGGGACCTTCATAAGGCTGGGTCGAAGCCACACGAGCACAGCCTCCTGCACTTATCTAATCTTTGAGACAATATACATTGTGTCGTCTGGTCTGTTCATGGCCGCAGCATCGCAGTATATTGGTCTAGATGTTTCAAAATATGTTCCCTAACTACAAATATTATCCCAGGAAGCCCCAATACACTACACTCGTTCCCACACAGAAGCCCCCAGCAAGATTCGAGATGACATCGACATGAGGTTCAAAAACAATCCACCAGTGCCATGCTTCGTCCCTCAAACGCCATAATATGTATGGAATTTGACATGACAGGATCCTCTACAACGCCTGTCCTCCACCAAGGCAGGCAAGGCCCACTCGAGCCTATTTAAGTTCCCGAATGACCTGTTGGGAGCTTTCAAGATAGTCGACGAAGTCAAACACAGGTAGTGTGCGGTACTCTTCGGACAGGCTCTCGTCTCCAAATACCTCAGTCATGTTTGACGATCCGCCGCCATTCCACGCGAGGACCTATAAGCAGGGTCAGACACACCTCTAGGCATTACAAACCGTACAGGCTTAGCATGACTTACGTTTTCGGTGTCCTTAGGCACTTCAGTGAGACTTCCAATGGTACCGATAGATATAATGGCTTTCTTCAGCTGCTTTGGTGTAATCTCGGCGACAGAAAATGCAGAGTCTTGCGTTGGTTGCAGGGAGAGAAAGTAAGCAAGTAGACCAGCGATGTGAGGAGAGGCCATTGATGTGCCAGAGATAGTCTTGGTTGCATATTTGCTGCCAGTCCACGTTGAGAGAATATTCAACCCAGGTGCAAAGATGTCGTTGCATTTGCCGTAATTTGAGAAGTATGCACGCTCGTCCTCCAAGTTTGATGCCCCAACGGTGACGGGGTTTTGAGCACCAGCTGGAGAATAATCGCAAGAATCGGTGTTGTCATTCCCAGCGGCAACAGCGAAATGGATGCCTGCGTCGACGGCAGCATTGACTGCCAGATCTAAAGTGGTTGATTTGCCCCCACCCAAACTCATGTTGGCTGCACTACCCTTAAAGCCTTTCTTGCCTTTGCCTTTTTTGGCAGCTTGGACCTTCTCCGTGTGTGAGATTGCGGCCCACTCAACTCCCTTTACAACATCGGACATTGTTCCAGATCCGTTTGACTTCAAAACTTTGACAGCGTAGACACTAGCCTTTTTTGCCACGCCAAATTTCTTGCCCGCAATCGTGCCAGAGCAGTGGGTGCCGTGGCCGTTGCCGTCCTCATCTGGGTCACCAGCAGGGATGGTCTTGCCCCAATGAGCTCGACCTTCAAAATCAACGTGCTCAACGTTGGTTCCGGTGTCAATCACATAGACATCAACGCCTTCTCCACCGTCCTCTGAGTAAAGATATTTATTGAAGGTCCCGAAACTGAGGCTCTTCCGATGAGATATCCTAGCCAAACCCCATGGAGCGTTTTTTTCAACTTCCGAATTGTCCATCGTGTGAACTATCGAATCCTTCTCAATGTACGCCACCTAGATGGATGACACTTGATTAATGGATGGCAAAGCTGTGGCTCAGACATGATTTACCTGAGGATGCTTGCGAATACGCTCAATCACTGATTCATCGAAGTGGCCTGAGTAACCAAGTATCCCACCTGGAATATTGTAGGTATGTTTCAAGCCCTCGAAGGTGGACGTCACCCAGCCGGAAAGGTCCCTCTTCTTCGCCTTGGTCGACTCAACTTGAACGTGCAGATCCTGGACCCAATCATGATGCCCAGCAGCATCAGTGTGTGATACGTCTTTTTTGAAGACTATCATGTAAGAGTCAGGAACATGCTCGGAGTTAGAGGTAGAGAGTATGGGTGCGGCATCGTTGGATGAGTCGAAGGAAACGGGGGACGCTGAGACCAGTAAGGGTATCAAAGCGAAAATATAAAGACCCCTCATGGTGTACAGCTATAGTTTTCGATGACTAGGTGTGAAGATGATGATGTATATCCTCTTCCTGAAGATGGAGAAGAGGGGATAGTGATGAGGGTAGTTGGGAGCTCGAAGAAGATAAACGGAAGGCTGGAGAGATAAGCATATGCGACGCTGACGCCCTCGACTGCCTAGACAGTGCCAAGCCACCGGTACAACGATGACTACGGCAGGCAAGAAGTCTCCTGAAGCTCAAACGCAAGACTTCGTGATGCGCAGCGGGGATGCCAGCTTTGCTTACCGAATTGTATTAGAAACCGGCAGCTGTTCCGCTAATCTTGGCACGCTAAATTTCGAGTCAGAATAACGTCTTCCCTTTGGTCTCGCCTGCTTTGAGGTGGTGCCTCTGTCTAATGTTCACAATTGGCGCTTTGCTAAACCTGCCCGTGATTAAAACCTGATAGCGATTTGTATAGATATCAGGTTGCCGTGCTCGTTCTGACAATCAATCATCCCTCTCTTCTGCCTCTTTATCATAAGCTATACCCCTCTGCGTTCTGAGAAGCTCCTATCAGCCGTGCTCTAAAGTCAGGTTTATTCGGTTAAATTCCATATCAAAACTGATAGATACATTTTCTGCCTTGGGTTGGCAGAAAACACTAGCAATGCCCGCGGAAACAATACCAGAGGCTTTCGTCGAGGAACTAAAGAAGAGAGAACTGGAGAGGGATGGGGAAGATGACGAAGGACGCCAAAGGAAGAGAGTCAGAGCCGACACAATCACGTTACTAGAACCAGAAGATAAGCACACCGAAGTAGAGGAAGTCACAGTCATTCAACCGGAGAAGTCTTTAGACCTGTACAGTCATAAACGCCTCCAGAGGGGTCTACGTTACATTAACGCTGAAGTCAAACGTGATATTACACCAAGAACTAGGGAAGTACTCAAGCTTGCAAAGGACGCCTACAAAATTGCACTTGAAAGCGAGGAATTGGATCTATCAGCCTGTGCCGTTGTCCAGGCATATGATAGAGTGTACTATTCCCCAGCGTTTTATCTCAGGTCTGATACATCAGAAGACAAGGAAAGATCACAGTTATTACTTCAATTAAGACGATGGGAATTTCTGGCCAATTACGGTGATTATGCAGCCGAAGATTTGAAGAATTTCCGTGATCATTTAAAGACGGCGGCGGGGAGAGACCAAACCACCGAACTATGGAACGCATCTAGAGCTCTTAGCTCTAAGAAATCATGGCAAGAAATGGCAGATGAAATCGCTAGAGATGTAGGCGGCTTGAGAGGACAAGTTTTCATCGCTTCTGATGCCTTGGGATTAGACCCCAACCACATGTTATGGTTAATCAGCGAGTATGGTCAAAGGAACGAGATGTTCCACAACAATGCCTCAGGCTTTATCAAAAAATGCCACTGGACAGACTTAGCGCAGCAACTCCACCGAGATCTGACAGAACTACCACATACCATGACTGACAACGCTACTATCGAGAACTATACGAAGGTCATAAACAGAATTATGCACGAGTACTTCTTGAACGCCGACGTCACAAGAGATCCCAAAGAATGGTTCCCAAACAGCAAGGCATGGAAGCTAAGCGAAGACAAGAGTAGGTTAGAGGATAAGCAGAAGGGGAAGGAGAAGCAGTGAACCTTCCCAATGCATATGAGCGCAAAAAGACCAAGACTAAACATGGAGAAGAACTACTTTAGTAAAAGGCTTCACTCACAGACGAAGATGATTTTGACATCCAGCGCACATTCCTCGAATTGCTCCTTCTTCAAGCACGTGCGAAGGTCGTCTGATAGAAATAGGCCAACGTATCGCAAGCTTTGAGATGAAAGCACTAGATATCTGGCGTGGGGAGACCTATGCAATGAACGTGCGGGCAGATACATCCCTCCGGCTATTGAACAGCTAGAAGTCAATAGCTGCACTTATTTTCCTCGTAGAAGCATGTAGCTCGCAGCAATTGCGTGTCCTATGATCGTGAAGCTCGAGTACCCCGCCGGCTCCGGGGAGCTGGCGCACGTCTTTAGCGGGTAGCTGCGCCTATCATCCGCCCGCGGGTTCCGCCATCTGCCCTGTAGATCTATGTTCGAGTTGCCAAGTCGTCCTTTGTAGGAGAACGTTACTCATCTCATTGTCTCGGAGCCAGAAGAGGGCGTCTCATTGGTCGCGAATGAAAGATGAATTAAAAGGTGTGAAATACCATGATCGGTACTCACGAGATGCGCAGACGAGTCGTCGGATCAGCAGTAGGAGGACTTCGCCTCCGGCTGATTCACCCTAGACCACAGAGGAGCTGGCACGCGACTCCCTGCCACCGTTTGCAGATGATACCTCGAAGATGACCTAGCACGTACTTTAGTACTTCGCAAGATGGGACCAAGACGACGAGCATCGACGGTCAAAGGCTCGAATGAAGAAATTGAAGAGCTGCAAAGGCATTTCAGAGACTTATCTTACGCGGCCGAGTCGAGTGATCTTATAAGTTGGCTGGCAAGTCGGGTGCAGACTGCACAAGCAATACAACAATTCCTTCTCAATGACGCCGAGAATCGCCATCCCCAAGATGCGTTTCGACATTTGGGAGGATTTCAGATCTTATTGGGCATTATCAATGAGACAGTATCGGAATGCAACAGCCAGAAAACAAGCTCCGGAGACTTCGGTCGATGGCTCGACTTGCTTCAGGCCTCATTTAGGATATTAGCAGCAGCTTTACGATCTCACATGGGCAATCAAAGGTACTTCCAAGAGAAGACTCAAGGAAATGGGTGGTCAGTCTTGCGTGACACAATGGCTCGAGGCATAGACTCGCACTCGGAATTAGAACCTCAAGCCCGTCAAAGCTTCGTCGACTGTGGATTCGCAGGTCTTCTAGCCTGCGCTCTTGATTATGAGTCAGTAATTCGATTCTCTGTCAAGCAGTTGGATAAAGAGCACCCTAACGGACGCTTTGTCACAATTCTTGGGGAGATAGAATCGATTCCTCAAACATCAGCAGAGGAGGGCGCGTATCAAAAGATAATACAGTCGATTGAAACAGGACTCGGCCCCTCTCCTTTGGTGAAAAATGCGAATGCTCTCTTCGTCTTGTTTGAGCTTTGGATCCGCTCTGAGGAGCCTTCCTGTGACATTCACTCCTGGCCTGTCCCTCGGCTGCTGATTTACTTGATCAACTCGTCGACAAACAATCTAGCTTCTATCCATGACACCCACATTCTGTCACTTGTCCTCTCAAGAATATGTCAAGCCACGGAAGAAGAGAAATGGCGGCAAGCGGAGCTTTTCACACTGGCTGCCTGCCTTTTGTGTCTTGGTATATCTAAGCTTGACGATGCTTACTTGCTTTTTCGATCTTCAAGAGCTTCGCCGACCATCGCAAAGCTTCTATCGTCGGCTCTCGAAGATTTGCAAGTGTCATCATATGTCCATTTCGACCTCTCGACCTATGGCTATGTCTCTGTTGAGCTTCCAGGCATGGCCCATGACTTTCCCCCAATGTCAAGTAGCAATGGCTACACCTTGACCATGTGGTTCCAGGTAGTGCAATTCGATTCGAATTCGCATACCACACTTTTCGGTGCTTTCGACTCTAGCCAGTCTTGCTTCGTACTAGTCTATCTGGAAAGAGATACCCATCATCTGATTTTGCAAACCTCAATCAAATCCTCAAGACCGAGCGTGCGTTTCAAGTCCGTCTCGTTTCAGGAAGGCTGCTGGTACCACATTGCCTTGACCCATAAGCGACCAAGAACAACGTCTTCCTCTAAAGCATCTTTGTTCGTTAATGGTGAGTTTGTAGAGCAGGTGAAGTCGCAGTATCCTTCTCTACCATCAAGGGCGCCGAACGAGCTTGGCATGAATGGGCGTACAGATATCACTGGTGCCCGAAATCCGGTACAGACTTTCTTTGGAACTCCCCAAGATCTGGCCGCTCGGTTAGGAAAGAATTTAATATTGACTCAATGGCGACTGGCAAGTGCACAGCTCTTTTCCGATATAATAAGTGATGACCTGCTTGCTGTATACTATAGACTTGGTCCAAGATACAGCGGTAATTTCCAAGACTGCCTTGGATCTTTTCAGACGTATGAAGCCTCAGCACAACTAAATCTTCGAAACGAAAGTCTACATCCCGGTAAAGAAGAAAAATCAGACCTAGTTCTCGCTATACGGTCCAAAGCAGGCGATCTGCTGCCTGAGGCTAAGATTTTACTCAATATCTCTGCAAGCAATGTTTATGTCAATACGGACTTGTTTTGTGATTCTAGTCTGCAACGCTTAACGTCGCTTTCTCGAAGTGCAAATCGAAAATTGCACGCCATTACACGTGGTGGCCTGAATGCCATAGCATTGAACGGCAGTTATCCACGCATCGATCAAGCAGTGCTTAATACTTCTGGCCATGCTGTGCTTACAGGAGATCCTACGCCTGTCAATAGAAGGCTTCTCGATGACGCCGCCTGGCAAATTGGCGGATGTACCGCAGTTTGCTTAGCCTTGGTAGATGGCGCAGAAGACGAGAAAACTTTCACCCAGTCCTTGATAATCTTGACATCAACCTTACGGAGCCACTGGCGTAATAGCGAGGCTGTCGAGAGGGAAAATGGATTTGGAATACTAGCCAACATAATTGCTTCAAAGCTCAAACAGTTTGACTCGGTGAGTATGTCGCCCGGTCCTAGCTCTAGCTCCAACCATGAGGACACTATCTCGCTCTCACCATCCCTAGAGACACTCTACATTCTACTTGAATTTGTTGGCTTTTGTAAGGACAGACCGGAAGACTCCGTGATCAATAACCCTCTCGCTTATCGCACATTAATCGTCGACCTTGATGTCTGGCGCAACTTGTCAATGCAAGTACAACGACTGTATTATGACCAGTTCGTTATCTTTGCGAAGAAGAGCAAATACCATCAATTCAACTCGAAACGATTATCTAGGATGAGTAAGTCGTCCGGACAAAGATTCCTGATCTCAGCTTACATGGAGACTCTCCAGGAATCGTAAAGAAGTGGCTAGAAGTACTCAAACACCAACAATTCACGGCCGTGACATTCAAGTATTTTATTGAATGCTTTGAGGTGCTTTTGACCAGGAACTTCACAGCAGAAGTAATGCGCTCTTTGGCTCTGTTCATCACTTACGCAGTTTACCAACCAGAAAGAAGGGTAGAAGATATATCCAGAAGGAAAAGTACAAGGTTAAGAGCAAGTACTCCGACTAGGCGGAGGACTGTATCGGCTTCGAAACCTGGCGATGCGACGGCCTCGAAGCCTGATACGATAGTTGACAGCGATACGACACAGCTTAAACTGCTCCAAATCGGTGTTGGGGTATTGCAACTTTATGCAAATATCCTTCTCCGACCTAATGATGTGACTAGTATCCAGAAGTTTGCGAGGACTGTGACGAATAAGGCATTCCAATCCCCTGTATCAATGAATGTGCGCTTGCTGACTGTAGCAGTGGCTACTGTACCTAATTGCCGAGTCCCAAAGCTCAATCGTAATTGAAGCTGTGAAAATTTTCAGCCGACTTCTGACCCTGAGCGGCTCGAATTACAGGGAAAATTTTGCTAAAAAGAAGGGAGGTCTGGTGATTATGCGTCACAATCTCCAGCGCCATTGGGACATTCCGGCTATATGGCTGGCTTGCTTTGCGACTTTATTGGGAAAGGATATTGCCAACATAAATCTTCAAAAATTTGATCTATTTACCTTGATTGAGACTTTCGGCGCGGGCGACAAGATAGATGTAGTCGCTCCTGAAATACTTCCCTTGCTAACTACTCTTCTCCGTAATGGATTTTTAGCTCTTACTAAACAAGAACCTGAGCTGGCTTCACCAGTACTTGCGAAAGACCCTGTGACACCAGCTCAGAGCTCTCAGTCCACGCCGCGCTCTTTGACGGTCACTACTGCAACCACCAAGTCTCGTGAGTCCCCAGCTCTACTACAGATAGAGTGAAGTGCTAATAATGTACAGCGACCAAATCCACAGCAGATAGCCTTTACGTCGAGAGGTCTGCCATTATACGCACTGTGATAAGATTCCTGGCTGATCTTCATACAAAATCGCAAGCTTTCCGCGATCTTTCAGCCAATTCCAGCTACATCCAAGACCTCTTTTTGATGCTTTTCCCTGTCGTCGTGAGCGCCAATGCGGTCTCAGCAGAGACTGAGCTAAATGCGCGAAATTCTGCGCTGACATTCAATGGCGGTGATGTTGCGATGAAGCCGGTCTCAGCCGACCAGAGGGGTACTCTCATCGTACGCACGACTGGAAGTCATCAACAATCTAATTCGAGGCCTGATGCCCCCAAACGTATGTCGTCGTATGAACTCGTCACATCGCAGGCAGTGCTCGAAACGCCAAAATCAGAAGCTTCTGGCTTGCCCCAACGGTCGCGTTCCAGGTCGAATTTGAGCGACTCAATGGTCCAGGAAATACTTGAGCTCGTCCTCGCTGTCTTCTATGACCAGATATTCGCAAGAAAGGACTTTCCAGGGCTCGGTCTGTTTATGCGAGTTCCTCCGGGATTCCAGGAACATCAGGCCTATTTTGAAACTTTTATCCTACGCAATGCTCTTTCTCAACTCAGCAACCACATCAAGCTCAATCAGAAATTACTCTGGGAACCTCGAATTCTCACAAATCTAAGTCGTTTGTCGGTCCACTTAGCCGAGGCGATCTGCGAAGGCTGGTTCATCAATGGTGCTGATGTAACCTTCGGATTTCTCGCAGATATCTTAGAATATCTACAACTTCCCGAGATCTCTATCATCAAATCGGTCAGACTCTGTAGTGGGACCATCGCCCACATCAGAGCGATCTTTTTCCGTAACGTGCTTCTAAGGCTCTCTGCATTGGACAAGACTAATTCGTCGAACGAACTGATAAATCTACTTGACAAGCTTGCATACTGGCAAACAGCATTACTACCTAGCCAAGATCCTAACGAAGACCTTCTCCGACAGTTCTGTTATCTCATATATGCGCAATTTTCAAGTCCTCAAGACCAAGTGAGAATGGCAGCTGCAAACGTTTGGCGGCTGCTTCTGGTTCATAAATATGCTGAAATTTCAGCAGTCTTGATACAGACAGCAGATTCTCGGAGCGAAGGGATTCTCAAAGGCTTCAAGAGCATTGTAGAGCTTGACAACGAAACCTTCCTTGCTTGGGTCGACAATCATCGATCAGATCTTCATCATCTGTTCACACCGCTTTCTAAGGACTGGTCTAACTTCGTTACAGAAGAGGATCATCGAACGGAACATACTGCAAAGGCAAGAATTGCAAAGAGAAGAGAACGACTAAAGATCTGGGCTGCGGATGAGTTCAAGATCGAAGAGAGTATCCGACGACATGAGACCAGTGGTAATAATTGGCGTTCAAATATCTATCACACCGAGCAATTCAAGCGGCAGAGGTCACTTCAAGATCAGCAAGACGCTCGAATCTTCGTTAACTCCGCGTGGAAGAGAATGCAGCAAGAACTCCACGGTCCCTGTGGCTTGCTTGAGGACGACACAACATCAAAGTGGCATCTGGACCAGACTGAGGGAAGAAACAGGATGCGAATGCGTTTGATACCTGACAAAGAAGTTCTTGGTCAAGAATTCCAGCCCAAGCGCCGCCAGTCTCAAGGTCCGGTAAAACATCGATCTAGTTTGAGCGCGTCATCAACGCCTGCTAGAGGCGCTTCACCGATACCTACTCAAAAACAGCCAAGAGAAGCTCTGGCCAATGGCCGCGTCGTACACGATGATCCTTTAGGGCTCAACATGACAGGTGGAGACGGCGATGATCAACAGAGCGAAGACGGCTTTGAAATGGTAGACGATCCAACAGCGGAGCTTGAGGAGTTTGAGGACAAGAACCGCAAAGTCATGAGGAGCATAGAACGTGGCGACCAAGTTCAATTTGTCCACAACGCATCCAGAATTGTGGGCCTCGAAGCTGTTGAAGGTTTGCTCATCATTGGCAAGCAGCACCTCTACATACTGGATAATCTGTTCCAGAGGCTCGACGGTGAAATTGTCAATGTCACTAATGCTCCCGAAGACGAACGTGATTCTTATTTACAAATGACATCAGGGCATAAGAAGAGTCAAAAGGAAGTCGCACCGGCGAAAACTGATTTTGAAACTCGACACTGGTCATGGGACGAGATACTGAGCATCTCCAAGCGGCGGTTTCTGTTTCGAGACGTCGCGATCGAAGTCTTTTTTGTAGATGGGCAGAGTTATCTGCTTACTTCACGTGATTCTAGTTCTCGAGATGAGCTCTATCAAAGGTTGCTTACGAAGGCGCCTATTTCTGCTGCGAATGGGACGACTTCAAATGAAGAGGAGAATTGGAGAGCTGACTCCATCCGCAACACTGAGGAGATGCATCAATCTTTGGGCGCTAGATTTACAAATGTCTTCGCACAGCAGATCTCAAATCCCGCAACGCGAAAATGGGCTAAAGGGGAAATATCGAACTTTCATTATTTAATGCAAATTAATACCATGGCAGGACGTACTTTCAACGACCTCACACAATACCCGGTCTTCCCGTGGGTGCTTGCAGACTACACCAGCGAGAAATTAGATCTTTCAAATCCGAGAAGCTTCCGAGATCTGAGCAAGCCGATGGGTTGTCAAACACTCGCAAGACAATCGGACTTCAACGAACGCTACCAATCATTCGCCGAGATGGGCGATGACAAGGCTCCTCCATTTCATTATGGCACTCACTACTCTTCAGCTATGATCGTGACGTCGTACCTGATCCGCCTCCAGCCCTTTGTGCATTCCTATTTGCTTTTGCAAGGAGGGTATTTCGATCATCCAGACCGACTATTTTACTCAATCGCAGACGCCTGGAATTCAGCCTCACAAACAAATATGACTGATGTGCGAGAGCTCATACCGGAGTTCTACTATCTACCCGAGTTTCTCTCGAATATGAATCAATACGACTTTGGTGAGCGACAAGGTGGTCAGAAGATTGACAAAGTCAGTCTTCCACCGTGGGCAAAGGGTGACCCTAAGATCTTCATTACCAAGCATCGAGAAGCACTAGAGAGCGACTATGTCCGTCAAAATCTTCACGGATGGATTGACCTTGTCTTTGGGCACAAACAACGCGGTGAGGCTGCATTAGAGGCGACCAACGTTTTTCACCATCTTTCATACCATGGTGCTCGTGACCTCGATACTATTCATGATCCTGTGGAGCGACTTGCTACAATTGGTATCATACATAACTTTGGACAGACGCCACTTCAAGTATTTACTCGACCCCATGTCGCCCACGAGCCCACCAAATCGCCACCAAAGGGACTGGACCTTGCCGCTGAGGACTTGACCCGTCTGCCATTCCCAGTATTAGGTATGCGATGAGGCTTCAGATTCAATTGCGTTTAGACCTAACATGCGATAGAAACCCAGGACCGCATCGCATCACTGCAATGGTCCGTTAAACAGGAAAAGGTTGTCCAGACCGGGCCCTCAAAGCTTCATATGGGACCAACATTCGACAAGTATATGGAGTGGGGGTTCTTCGACGGAGGGATCAGGTTTTACATGTCAGAAAGTAAACGAGTAAGCACGATTCTTCTTTCAGCTCGACCGTGCACACTGACACAATTCAGCTTGTGGGTCTGTTCGAGCACATTCACATTGGTGAGATATCGGCAGCTCTCTTCGCAGATTCTAAGACCTTAATTACGGGTGGCAATGACTGCACGATCTCTGTCTGGTCTGTGTCATCGACTGCAAAAGCTGTAGACCTTCAGCCGAGGAAATCGCTATATGGACATAGAACGGCCATAAACACTCTTGTGGTTTCCAGATCGTTTAGCACGCTTCTGTCGGCCTCTTCCGATGGCAAGATCATTCTGTGGGACCTGAATCGTATAGAGCTTGTGCGAGTACTAACGACTGGCAAATTTGTTGAGGTAAATTCTTTTCGCAGGTTTCTGCAGCGTTCTGAGCTTAATTCTCTGATAGTGTGCGCGGATCAACGACGTCACTGGCACTATTGCTGTGTGTCGGGGCAGTGAGGTTTCGTTATGGACTTTGAATGGTGATTTCCTGCTAAAGCAAGAAATACAATCGGATGGGGACGATTCGATAACTTCATGCGCATTTTATGAAGGCAATGGGCACGAATATTTGGAGCGGCAACTCGTTTTCACTGGGCACAAGCGAGGCGTTGTCAATGTCGGTGACCATGCTCCTATTTCATGAGAGCGAGCTAATCGCCGAATAGATATGGAGCATAGAGATCAGGGAGGGCTTCTTCGTCTTGAATCATATCAAAAACCTGCATCATATGGATCAGGCTGGCTTCAACGTCGGGGCTGCTATTACTGCCATCCTACCGACAGCACAAGCCGTGCACACGGGCGATGACGAGGGACGAGTGGTATGCACCCGTCCTTCTCTTTTGAATCACGATACTGATTTCGGATAGTATGAGTGGGATTGCATTCAACGACAATAGAACATCCAGGGTTCATGTTACGATTATAGGTCATGCTGCACGAAGAACAAAATCAAGGGAACTGTATTATAGCTAGACAGGTCATGATCAAGACTAGATAGTCACCCATGTGTAAATATTTGGATTCACCCACTCTCCTGGCCCCCAATGTCTTGGCGCGTGTCCAATGACGTAGTTGTGTACAAAGTTCGCTATTGAATCAGGGAAGTCGCCTTGTCTACGATATATCTCTTGTTCTCCGTCCCATCCACAGTATGGTGCCTCCACCAGGATATGTCTTCCGAGACGGTGGCCCAGTGCCAGATTGTGATCTCAAAGATCCCCAAAATCAGACTGTCGGACAGCAGATGAATATGGAGCAAGTCACTCGCACATCCACGAGCAACAGCTCCAACAACATAGATACGCCCTCCTCCAGCGCAGGCGGCTCAAGCTCATCTGCTGAAGTTGCTACTGAGAGTCATGCTCTTGCGAACGCAGACCATGAGGAGAAGGGTGCTGTGCAGCAAAACCAGCAAGATGGTGAGGTTCGTGACATGGGCTGGAGCGACCCCAAGTCCCAGGTGCCAACAACGCTGGTCGGTGGCCTACCAAATGAAGAGCTTTGGACCCTAGTCAGGAGATTCAACAAGCAAATGTATCATGTCAAAGCTACAAATGCGCCATTGCTTGCTGGACTGGATGTCAACATCGTGGATGAGGATGAATTCTCCCCGGATAAGCTGCGAAGTAACGTGGAGAGACTATACATGACCGTTATTATTGGTTTAATGGGCTTTGGCAAACATATCGCAAGGCTACGGAGTTGGCGAGAGCCTAGAAGAACAGGCGCATTTTGTGTTGTGAGTAGCGACTATGTCCTGGGAAGCAAGGGTTCTAATTGAATGTTCCAAGACGTACGCCATTGCCTGGGTATTGAATATCTTGATGCCGCTTTGTTTCACCACTTTGGTGGTACTCATAGTCTATCCGCCATCTCGAGCATTTTTGTTTCCACCAGCCCCACTTGCTTTAGTAAGTGCTTCAACCGGTGGGGTGCAATCGCCAAAGGCTGGTGTGCTCGGTAGTCACGATAGTGCGACTGGAGCTCCCGAGAAGCATCAAGGTGAAGCGGTCGAGGCTGAAGCTCACAATTTCGTTACTGGAATTGGCTCGATCGCTCTGAGCAGCGCGGCAGGCAAGCACGATCAGGGTGATCCCGAATCGGATCCCGTAGATAGCACCGTTCCTGACCCGACAAGACTTGCAGCTGCTGGCGCGGAGGCGAAGGTGAACGCCGCCGGAGGTGAACCGGATGCGAAGCACGACAAGACCAAACAGCCTATGGAAGATGCAATGTGGAAGCAAATGCGACCTATCATGCACGTAATTGGTGATATCGCTGATGGCTGGGAAAGATTTGCAAATGCATTGTCTCCGACCAAGCCCTTTCCGCAAGAGAAACCTCGTGTGACTCTTGCTTCTGCCGTCGCGCCTTTGGTAGCCGCCTCTCTTCTCACATCCTCTTCCGTATTCATGAAAATGGTCACTGGCGGCATTGGCTTCGGCTTCTTCGGCGACCCCCTGATATGGCGTGGTCTCGATTTCCTGAACAAAAAGATTCCTGACTGGCCCAAATATCTGGAAATCCGGAACTCGATCCTCAAGGGCGTACCGACTAACGCCCAATTAACGGTTACCCTCCTACGCATTGGTGAGGCGAACAAAGCTCCGATTCCCCCACCCCCACGCTCTGATGAGCCACCACCATCCAAACCCGCCTCTATCAATGGCGATCATGTCACCTCAACCCTTGATACCGATCATGAAGAACTTCACGACGCCATTCACAAATCAGACACCGACAAGAAAGCTGACGCCGAGTATCTAGAACAAGAGCAAAGCGAAACCAAACATAAACACCACACCGGCGAGCGCGTCATAGGTTTCTTTAAAGGCACGACGAATGCGGGCGTGCAGACCAAATTCGGCCTCAACAAGACCAAGGCACACATTCTCGGCTCCGCTGAGGCTAGAGAGCGGTTGGGCATTTTGCCCCAGAATATGGCAAACGAGGAGCCCTCCGGCCCAGTGGACTTCAAAAGTCGGTACAAGGGCTCTAAGGGTTGGACGTACATCAGTACGATCGCAGACGTGCCCACTGTCAGCTTCTCATATCAGAGCACGGATGGCAGTGGTGTGCACCACGAGAGCAAGGCGAAGTGGAGCATACCAATCGATGAGATTTCCGAGATCAAAAAGATTGGTGGTTTAGGGTGGAAGGGCAAGATTGTCGTGGGATGGGCGACCGGCAAGCAGGTCGCGGATGGGATGGAGATCTACACGAAGGGAGGAGATACGTATAAGGTCACAGCTATTAGATTGAGAGATGAACTCTTCAACCGCTTGATCGCTATCGATGGGCAGAAATGGGAATGCTTGTGACGCAGAAAAGAGTAAGACTTTGGGTTTCGGAAGTCCAGCGTTATGGCGGTTAAATCAACGCGCCTTGTTATAATTGTATATTGACGATCTTTTTGGTGGCTTGGTGATCATACACAAGGCTTTACTCGTACAAGGCATTGCCGAATGCCAACTTCTTGATACTGATATATCCAAAACATGCTGATTTATTGTACAATTCTTGCTTCAACATTACTACTTACGCTTTGCCTATCACATGGCTTCTTCTCTTTCCTGCTGAATCCCAATGTCCGCGAAGCGATCACGCTTCATACGCTATCACCCCCATCAGCATCCCTTTCACCAACCTTCTCAACCTCAATAACCACCAGTCCACGATCCTGACCCATCGCCTTCCCCTCTCCAATCTTCGCCAATTCCCTCCAATCACCTCTGCCCTCCTCACTCGCAAGCCCATCCACCACAAACGGTCGCGCTGATTGACACACACTAGGTAACTTAGGACACCCCGCCTTGGCCCCATTCGTCCCGGTGTGGAAACGGCGCGGGGTGAGCGAGGTGAGCGTACATCGCACAGAGGAGCGTTTCAGACCGAGGGAGGAGGCGGTGGAGGAGAGGAGGCTGCGGATCGTGGGTTTGAAGTGGTTGAATACCGCGGCGGTCGCGGGCATGCAGGAGACGGCTATGCCGGCTGTAATCTCGACGTTGCTGGGAGAGGCAGTGCGTCAGAGAGGGTGCTCATTAAGGAAAGAAAAGGAAAGAGGCAGACGAGGCAAGCTGGGAGGTTGAAGGAGCACAAGAGGAGGAATATGGATGGGAAAAGGGGCTCCGGAAAGCTCACGCGTAGATCATGGCCGGAACGGCATTCCATGTAATGTCGCCTGTATATCCATGAGCCAATTCAATACGATTTTGTAGGCTGAGTACGGAGGCTAGACAGGCGCTTTCCCGAAATGTCAGCTCCTCCAAGGGCAGGGGAGAGAGTAAAGGCTTGCTTACACAGCTCCCGTAAGGAACATGAACGATATGCCTATCTTGCGTTTCCTTGGCAAATTCAGTTGCCATACAGCAGGTAATGGCAAAATCATGAGATAGAGATCGCTCACGACATTGACAGCACCCGTGGCTAGCATAAGCTCTGTTAAGTTCTTGCACTGAGGCGAGGCCCATGCCTTGACGTATCCAAGAGCAGTATGGTCGCCATGTACACTTGGGAGACATAAGCTGGCATAGACGATAAGCTTCGCGAAGTAAAAGAGTCCAGTAACGACGGCGCCAATCCAGCAACAATAGCGGACCCATCTGAAGGGGCGGAAGATTTGGATGAAGAGGACAAAGAGGGAAAGTTTGACGAGCCAGAACAGGGGACCGTAGCTCATTTGTAACACGTTGGATAGCTGGAACAGTGTGATGAGCCTGGTTAAATAGCCGTTATGCACATTGGTCATACCAAAAGTAGCTTGGCTGGCATATCTTCAAATGTGAGGTCCCATTGGTGGATACCAAAGGCATGCTTAACATTGACAACTATGCCGACAATCAGGCAAACGGCCGTCCACTTTCAGGGTAGTTCTTACCTGCAAGCCCCAACGAAAGATAAGTGATCCCAGCAATCTATAGATATCAGCCACTGACTCGCAATCTTAGAAGTCCTTTGGGGTACGAACAATCCCTAGGGTAGAGATCACTGTAGTCATGAAGTTAGTATCAAGTCGGGCGAACAGAGTCAGAGAGGGTTCATACAATCGTCCCAAGTTTTCTTCAGGATGAATGTCTTTGCACAAAGGCGTAGGGCTGCAAACAAGAGAATAATGAACATGCAAACACCGGAACAAGCATTGATATGACCTGCTCGGGTTTCAGGATTTGAAAAATTGGGAATGACTCCAGCTGGAGGGGCCATTAAAGGCGCCTTCTCCATTGCTTGATGCTGGGTAAAAGCCATACTTCGACTGGGCTATGCTGAAAAAGGGGCTGCTTGTACACGAAACGTAGGAGAGAATCCATTGCCTTTTCAATGTACAGAAGACCAACTGAATGCATACGCACGTAACTTCGCCCCCAAAGTACTAACATATCGTTTTCTCGTAATATGAAGCTTGATCAGTAGTTGAGACAAAACGGGCGGATTGTGACTCTACGAGTTCATAAGCATTGTTGAAGAAGCTTCAAGCCCATTCAACATCGATCAGCCTTAAGCGAATCAAGCTATCGGAGCAGATGCCTCTTGTGCGATGGCATGATGCAAAGCCTTTTACTAAGGGTATGACCGTGAAGCTAGCTCGAAGAATTAAGGCAGCCACACGATGGTTTTGGATGACCTGTGATGCGATCCATATGAACGCAAGAATGCATCGGTAAAATCCTTGTCCACTCGCTTGTGGTCACAAACAGTATGCAGCAATGCCACGTACGAGGAGAGACATGCACTGGCCGTCGCTTAGGCGTTATAGCCGCGGCCATTGCTCGGTAGGATGCTTTTGTCACTGGCTGGCGAAGGGGCTGCGCATCGTACTTATCTTTTTAGGCTTGTTTGTTCATTTTTAAGCGTATATTCAAGCTCTTTCCTCGTGTTGGCCTGCCGTGCGGCGGCATAGTCCTTGGGCCAGAGTGCTACTTCAGGGATTCTCCAAGGTGGTCTAAGGGACTCAGAATCCCATAGCATAGTATGGCCCTTTGGCTACTGCATCACTCTGAAAGCGTAATTTTGTGCTAGGTAGCGTATAATGGCGGGTAATGCCACTGGCTCTGCGACTCGTTCAGTGGTCTGGTACCTGCGCTTTGTTGCGAATGTATGAAGCATAGGTCTCTTCAAGCAGTACAGCAATAAGAAGCAAAATGGTCAGAGATGAGTCTGCTGGGTTTGGGTTTCCCTAGAGGCTGGGAAGTCATCGAAATAATAGCGACTGCGAGATCACATTGCGTGCGATAGAGGGCCATTTTTGAAGGGACTTTTAATGACACGGATGCCTTCGGAGACAGGCCACCGAATATTAGACCCAGACACCAGTACGACAGTAAGGGCTGAAACAGATATTCGGTAGATTCATTGCATGGTACAAAGGACGCAGTGATGGGATTGTGGTTGTAGGAATCAGGCCAGATGTGGATATTTATAGCAGTGCTGCCGTAGGGCTGAGCCGAAAGGGGAAAGTGCAACGAAGCTTCATTTCAACGAGGCGTTTTGTATACCAACGATATATTCTTGATATTGCAATGATGTCGAATGAAGAGTTTAACTAACCAAAGATCGATATCATCACCAACCATATAATGTCTTCGGGATCGGACACAGAACTATCAGAATGGAACAAATCCCCGGGTTCTCGGCCAACCAACAATCTATATCAAAGAGACTCAAATAGAGTCTCTTTCGAGTCTACATCATCCAAAGGATCGCCCTCAGCACATGGAACATCTTCAAGTGAATCGATCTCCGTGCGTGGAGACATATTATACCCGACCCCGGCATCTGCTCCGAATACTTCAACAACACCGAACTCTGCTCCGATAGGGCCTACCGAGATCGAAAAGAGTCAAGTATCATCAGGGCTCCAGAGCGAACAAAATATTGTAGAAGCTCAAGTCCCTCAAGTCGCACATGCCGGTCTCGGTTCTGCTCAGGAACAAGCCACACCCGAAAACCCATGGGGCCAATATGTCCCTTCCATGCCCAGCAGTGCCACCCCTTCTCGCGGTGGTAAGACTGGTGGTCGAAGAGGTAGAGGTGGCCGTAGTCAGCTGAAAAGTACCATTGACCCTGTGACCGGCGAAGCTATCCCAGCGTCAGCTAGTCGCGGACGGACAGTTAATCGCGGTGGTAGGCCACGAGGTTCGCGTGCCGGCGGCTCTACGAACAGAGGCGGTCGACCGAGGGGCAGTAAAGCAGGCGTTAGCTCTGCGACTTCGCGACGCGTGAGCAGCGGTAAGCGAAAGCGTAAACACGGTGATTCTGACGAGTCTGATGATGGGGGGAATACTTCTGGGTCTGAAGCGATAAATTTACCCATGCTGAGCAGTTCTGGCCGGAGAATCACGCAGGCCAGTAGTTATACGCCTGCAGTTTCGTTTGCGGATTTAGAAGACGAGGCAACGCCAGGTTCAACGGCGAAGAAAGCGAGAGTGACTTTCCACGGTATAGCTGGAGCGGTTGGATTGCCCTCCGCTATAGCGTCTTCGGAAAGGAGAAAGAAACAAAAGAAAGTACCTAGTGCGAGCGCCGTGTGTAAGAATTGTGGGAGGGGTCATTCGCCACAGAGTAATCAGATCGTCTTCTGCGATGGATGCAATACCCCGTGGCATCAGTATTGTCACGATAGGCCTATCACTCCGACAGTGATACTGCATGAAGAGAAGGAATGGCATTGTGCTGATTGTGCAGTCATGGCTAATATTGAGAAGGCAGGCGAGGGGAGGGTAAGCGCAACTGTGCTAGCACAGAGTAGTGGAGTAGAGCGGAGTCTGAAATGGCAGCGGGATTACTTGTTGGGGCAATCGAGGGAAGTACTCGTGAACATGCTGTTGAACTTGAAGGAAAAATGGGACGAGGATCTTGCACTCTTTGAGTACAACGCCTCCTTCATGCCAAATGCAGTAGCAGTGCTAGAGGGTAAAGCGGACGAGATGTCGTCTGCTGCCGGGAGAGTGACGATACCTGATGATGACGAAATACACGAGGAGCCTTTGCCATATCCTAAAATGGGTAATGGTTTGGTACTATCGAAAGGTACTTTGGAGGATGATTGGGATCTTATGGTTGACGAGAGCGTGAGTACATTCAGTCACTCTTGGCAGCAAGATGGTATATGGCATGGTCAGCTTGCCAACGAGTTGCCGGTTTTGGGAATTGGGACGCTGGGAGCTGGCATAACCATTGGTGTTGGTGCGTGAATCGTCCACAGCTTTGGTAGAGTAGCATCCATAGCATGGTCTTGGTTGTATGAATATATTTTTTGGGTGAATCATCTATTCAGACACAGAAGCATATCTGAACTTGCACAAGTTTACGGATATAGCTACTGAGTGTATATTCGATGCACGACTGAAAATTGGGTATCTTAACGTGCGTTCATACATTCGAAACCAGAAAGCCCTGATGCCTACAGGCGTCTCTCAAGATGCGATGCGATAGCTAGCGTACTCTCACATCCCAGTAAATATGGGCTCTCGTCGGTTGTTCAGATCCTTAGCTTCATTTCCGCTTTCACACCAAAGTTGTAATGTGTCCTCCACAAAACAAGTTCGTATTCATCCATATGGGTAACCTCCATCTTGCTGCTGCTTTAGCCATCACTACCATTTGATCTGAAGGTGGCACAAAGCTCGACATATCTGTGAGTCAGATCCAGAACCGGTTGAGGTAGGCTTGTGGCTTGGACAATGCTTCGGACCTTTACCGCACCTTCGCTCTCGATGAGATTGCGAACAGTCCGAAGAAGTGCTGGGGAGAACTGCAATGGCGTTTGTCAGTCTTTGTAGCCTCTGGCTTAGAAGCGCGACGTACCTCAGAATACCAACGGTATTGCCAGGCGATCAGCCTGATCAGACTCTGCAATACTTCGTGAACTTTCCCTTGTGCTTCACACAGTTTGAGGACGGCTTTCATGGCCTTTGGACTGAATCTGACTCTCAAACAATTCTGATATGCCTCCACGGCTTCCGGGAAATGGTGGAGTCTCTCTGCCAACTCGCCCAGTATCTCCCACTCCTCTGCTGATCTCTGGTAATTCCCGCCTTCTTCACTTTTAGCTCGAGCCATCTCCGTCCTCCATATCGTATATATCCGTAGATCTTCGTACAAGACCATAAAGAGGTTGTCAAGCCATCTCTCACAAAGTCGTTTGTGACGAAATTGTGCGTACTGATTCTGAGGCTGCGTATTCTGAAGATGGGTGTCAATAAATTTCGTCAATAGGAAAGACTGTCTGTGTCACCTACATCTTCATTTCCTGACTTGACTTGCTCGGAAGTTATCGTGTGATTCGGTTTTTCCAATGATTGCTCGGATACTTCTGTTGCATTGTTGGGACTGGTCGGTACTTCACCAACGGTTGATGGGGTGAATGGCTCAAGCGTCTCTCGTCCTTCACTCTCCGTCGACTCACCATCAACTTTCAGGTCTTCTGGCGTTGCACCGTTCAGCTTTGGACTAGGAGAATGCAATGCTACAGTGCTTGGATTTTGACTTGTCGTTGGCTGGGGGTTTGCAGTCTGTTTCTCGCTTCGATATTCCTCCTCCATAACAAACACGTGACTTCTTATCTTCAGCAGCTGATCCCAGCCAATCTTTGATGTGACTTCTGTGAGTAAGCTATAGGCCTTCAAGAATGTACCTTTGTAATTGGCGGCATGAAGCCTCCGTAGTGATGGATTTATCATTTCGCTATCGTATGCTTGTGATGATTCATCAATTTCATCCAACATACTTTCTGGCAAGACGGGGAGAAGCACTCTCGCTGGCTCTGGCATTCTTGGTGCATCCTTGTCTTGATATGTAAACATCGGACACGAGTTCAGCGTGAGAAGGGCTAAATCCCATTGCTCAAGGCCAAGATATACTTCGGCCAGCCTCGCCCATGTGCCAAATTCGCTGGGAGCGGCCGTTACACTTCGTTTGGCGCAATCGAGGGCCCAATCTAGCCGTCCTTTGCCCTGACAAAATGCAGATTGGCAGTCTAGCAACGAATACTCCATTGGTAACTCATTGATCGAGTCATGAAGCAGTTTGATTGCTTGGACCTCTTCATCTGCCGCCATGAGGACTTTCGCAAGGAGCGATGAGACCTCTATTTCTTTTGTCCGCAGCTTCTCAAAAAGATTTATGCCTGACGTGTAGCGTCCTGTCGTATGTATATAGTCGAGAAGGCCGGTTGTGAGATGGTTGGACACTATACTTGGAACTTGCACTTCAGGATCAGACCCAAGCTGAGGCCCTGTTGGTAATGTAAGCGAAGGGTGGTAACAGCCTCTTGTTCTGCTCACCTTTGAAAAAAAGTCGCTCTGCAGCGTCAAGAAATTTATGCTCCATCTCAGTGCTGGTGATAGGGTCAAATCTCCTCACGCCGATGATTTTCTTGATATTGTCTCCACTCCCATCATCCGCATAGGAATATGCTCGCAATACGGCGCAGAGAAACGTTTCCAACCATAGAGCTTCCGATGTTACTCTTTTATCTCCTCGATCGTCTATGCAGTAGGCCTCCACGCTCCCTGGAATCTTCACATCTACTCGCATGTCCACATGTGAGAAGGCATTGTAGCAGCAGTAGAGCCCTGACACCACCTTGTGGGTTTTGTCCATGGGCGTATAGACAAGGGTGTTGACGTAAGCAGCAAGACTGGCGGAAGATGAAGCGTCGGCACCTGTGACATGATGATAGACTCCGCTCTGACGACCGCCAGATTTGGATTGTTTGACTAGATGAACAAGATCTGGCGGTCCAAGTTCGCGAATGACCTGGAGAGCTTCATTTCGATATTCGATGGCGGTTTCTATCTCTTCTTCAACGATCCTGCTCTCTTGTTAGTACATGGCTCAATCGTAAGCCATTCTTCGTCGGCGTAGTGATGTGGATACCTACTCTGGGACAGCAGGCGCAAGCATCTCGCGTTCTGTCTGGCGATGTGTGCCTCCTTTGGCGCTAGTGAGATATCAATTGACCCATTGAGGCAGAAGACACTCGTATGACACGACAAGAGCTCACGATGATTATTGCACAGTCAGTTGTGAACTTTCATGTGAGGAGTCGGAAGCTGTTCTATGATACTTCATGTTTTAAAATAAAGTAATACGACAAGCTTCAAACAACCCTGCGGCGATCATTTCTTGGCAGTCCCTCACGCGATGCGCGAATCCGCCCTTTGATGACTTCCGTGACCAAATCCACAGTTCTCTACTGAAGAATGAAGATGATACCATTGTAGAGCTCGAACGACGAGACTTGATCCTGCGGTTTGTTAGATGGTAATCGTTGTCGATCTAGACCGAGGAAACTTGTACTGACCAGCTCAGTCTGCTTTCAAGCCTCTCAATATCATCGAGGAGGAGGACGTAGAGAGCGAAGAGGAAATCGACGATAGCAAGGAGCTTCAGGTAGAACTCTCGAGAGGTCGTCGTGTATAAGCACTAATTTGGCATAGATTGAGGAAGCTTTGAAACTCTATCAGAGTGCTCTTAAGCTCCATTCCCAGGGCCCCGGATTCTTTGACGAAGCGGCGGCTACTTACCAGGAGCTTTTTAAGTCTGAGATCTTCACTTATCCAGAGGCTCTGTCTGAATCTGCTTGGTTGGAACTGTATGGTGGCGCAGATGCTGATGATGAGCTCGAGGATCTGCCCGATGACCTTGATGGCGTTGTCCCCAGCACAGACGGCACGCCAAGCTCACTACCACAAATCTTGTATCTAGCTCACAAAAACTACGGACAGTTTCAACTTGATCAAATCAGATACCGCCTTTCCCGGATCGAAAACAACCTTCAACTCCTGGATGATTCTCAAACAAACAAAGACATCAATTCTACCGCTGTCACCGGGCTCGAGAACCTTGCTGAAGCACTCGAGAAAGATGATACTGACTTGGAGCTTTGGCGACGAGTCGCTCGCCTCAGTGAATATCTTGGCAGTCGTAGAGCAGCAAGATATTGCCTGGAGTCTGTAGTCAACGATGGACACGGTCCACAAAACACGCGAGATTCCTTTGAGCTAGAGGAGAGGTTTGCTGCGGAACAACTTGAACTACTGTTACCGAAACTGGGAGAGACGTATCCCGAAAGTCATTCCCAAGGTAGTGTCGGGCGCAGAAAGGCATTGGCTCCCCAGCTGAGACAGCAAATTGACCCTTGTCCGTACTTACCTAGTAATCACCTGCCTCGTCTCATAGACCAATACGATCACAGAGCGAAGGATGTAAAGATCGTAGTACCGAGCCAAAGCTGGACTGCTATCGGCAAAGCTATTCTCTTTCAGATGCAACAAGAGTCACTGGGTGACGTTATTGTCGAATCTGGTGCAATATATAGGCTTGAGTTGCCGGGATTCTCCAAGATATCCTCAAAAGCATCTCCAACTCCTGTGGTAGAAGGACAAAATGCGATGACTCAGCCTACGCCTATTCACCAACGGAGTCCTCCTGCGACAATGCTGGTAGATGATGATCACATTAAGGCAGTATCTCCTACAAGAGTTTCTAAGGACGAAGAGGACGCCGAGGTCATTGTGTCTGAGCCCCCTTCAGCTGGTATTGAAGGCGGGTTTAATCAAGAAAGCGCTACCGATGGCACTCTTGTACAAGTTGTTCCGAAATCACCAGTCCTTATTGGACCCGTTTCGCTCCCAACACGCAAGAGATCATCTGATGATGCAGAGATCAACGACGCGAACGATGCCATCAGATCTCGAAGCAAGCGTCTCAAGGCAAGAACGGATTCGACCACAGTGAGGGGAGAGTCTGCCGAAGACTGGGCAAAGTGGTATCACTCTCAACTCCAGATGTATGTCAAAGCTGATGACCTGGCATTTCAATCTGTGGACACTCCACTCGCGAGACTTAATTGCACTGGCATCGGGTCAACCGAGCAATTCATGCAGAATTTATCACCATCCCCTAATCCAGCCCAAGCTGGTTTACAATACCCTGAAGCAAGCGCCCTGCGGGCGCTTCGCAGGTTGCTTGACTCGTGGGATCTATCAAAAAGTCGTGCTTTCCTATCTGGTGGCGGACTACAGGATCCCACTAAAGGCTCCCAGGTCCTAGGTCTCACGACTTTCTTGGAGCACTCCATGCGGGACACCCAACAGCATAGCCGCCAGACACCGCTGCAAGATGATCACGAGTTGACTGCATGTGTGGACACAATCAACGAAAGCTCTGCAGACGGACTCGATAATCTAGCTCTCGGTTGGCTGGTGCAGCTTCTGACATCGAAGGACTCTACAGGATATAACTCAATCTATATAACTCACGTGTGGCCCGACGCACTCAAAGAGACTATCGTCCAACTACTCATACAGTCTGATGAGTTCATTTACGGCATTTTGAACGAACTTGTAGAAAGCGCAGATCATCAGTTGATACAATCTATATTTGAGCTACATCTGGACATATATGGGCGAATCACAAATCCAAGCAGTGTTGTCGACGATACAACTCGTACATTTCAGCGTGACAGACTCTGTCGATGGGCCTCTCTCGCTAGTACTATCGTCCACAGCGTACCGGAAAGGGGGGACGCAATCGCGGACCCGCTTACTGCCCGGTTCCTTTGGTCTATGATTGTGTGCAACAATTTACTTGAGCCAACGCTCAGAGAGGATACTGTGGCCTGCTACCGAGATCTCATCAAAACATTTCGGGAAGTGGCGCGGGGCGACGTGGAACCCTTGACGATAGGACTAGTCAACAATGCTTTGATGCCAGAGATATCAATTGCCGCAGCTGAAAGAGAAATTGCCCGACTGACTACGATGGATTTCTTCACGAGTATATTCAGCTCCGAGGATGAGCATGCTCTCACAGTGATTGAGAAGTTAGAGCCGTTCCTTGTCTTGACCACCGGTCGGAATAGCCAAGGAGATGATCCAAGCACACCAGAGGAAGAAAGCAATGCACCTGACACATTTTTACAAGCACTTCGCTTTCTAGATCAAGCGAGCGTCTCTTTGAAATTGTTCTTGTGGCAGAAACTCCGGGATGCCTACGGTGTCATCAATTATCCGCCGATGATATTGGCTTGTAACCTCCGAAGCATGAGCTTGATCGTCCAGCACTTGAGCTCAGACATGTACTCCGGGACCGTTCGTCAGGCGAACGCAGAATCTTACCTTCAATGGTTGCACAAGCTCGACGAGCTGCTTACGCAGGTTGTAGCAGTCATGTTGACTGATGCAAAAGCTTTCGATTGTATCGATTATGATCACTTGCTATCGATGTTGACTACTGGCGCCTCATTTCTCAAGATCCTCCACGTGTATGCCATGTGGGAAGACTCCATTAGGGTCGGCCAAATCATTGCTCCAGTGCAACCTACACCAACAGCTGCCAGACAACAGCTCAAGTCTGCTGAGAAATTTCGAGACATGATCGTGAAAGCGTGGACTTTACAGTACCTACTGTTGAGAGAGGCCACGGTCCAGAATCGTAGCGTCTTTGATCAGCCAGATGAGGCCCTCTTGAGCTACCTGAAAACCGTACACTACGCCTTGGGCCTAAAGAATTATTGTAGCCTTGCGAATAAAATGCTACTAAAACTCGCAAAGTCCGAGATGTTGAGAATGAGGCCAAGCGCAGGCTGGGATAGTGATCTGCCACAGATCATATTCGACCTCCATGGTTTGAGAATATCCACCAGTAATGAAGACATCCAAGACCACAGCTGCGAAGGGACAGATATTGACAGAAATACCGCTTGCGAGCTCCTTGACATGGTCTTGTTACAAGTAAATCGTATCAGTATGAAAGAGTTCCTTCGAAGTGATCTAAGATTCGCTGTGGACAAGCTACAACAAAAGATCAAAGTACCAAACATACTGAATGCCGTTGTCCGGTCATTCAACATGAAGATTGTTAAAAGATATCTTTCATCTGCCATCAACCCCATTGACCTCTTCAGGTCACTACGCGGCATTGGTGATCTATGCTGCACGGCATCTAAGCCTGAGGGATGGGAGCTTGCCGAGAAAGGGTGGTATTTCCTCTTAGGCCTCATTGCTCTTAGCAAATTTCGCTTCCAGAAAAGAACCTCAGCTGTTTCTACGGAGGATCTGCAAAACGCAATCATGTACTTCAAGCTTGACCTTGAATATGGCACGGAAAAGTGGGAAACATGGTATAGGCTGGGCCAGGTATATGATACACTTTTGGATGAACAGACCACGTGGTCGGCAGACAAGCTGGAGAACGATCAGTCAAGTCTTGTGGAGTTTCAACGACAAGCTATACTATGTTATATCATGGCCGTTGCCAATGCAAATCGACTTGAGGACCCATCCTTTGAAGACTCAGCTAAGATCGCTGATCTATACAAGGATTTTGGCATCCGCTTGTTTGCTTCGACGCGGGAGCCATTCTCTATGCGCGTATTTGCGTTGGATGAATTCGAGCGGCCATATAGCAGTCGAATGGAGAACATGGGCATGTATCAAAAACAGCCTTTCACGCCACTGAATCTTTACTCCGCCTGGAAATTTGCAAGTGCGCTGCTTCGAAAGGCAAGCTTGCAAAAGGCCGACGACTGGACTACCTTATACGCTCTTGGAAAGGTTCTCTGGAAGATGCACAGTTCTCATGATGCTGTCTTGGGTAGCGCAAAACGCATTCCGTACCGAAATGTTACCAACGTGTTTGTTCAGGCTGTTCGATGCGTTCCTGAGAGGAAAGACATTAAACATCCAGACAAAGATCCGATTCTTGAGCCCCACTACAAACTCCTTTCAGTCACGCACAAGCTTATTCGCCAAGGTGTTTGTTCAGTCCAGGATGGGTGCCGAATTGTCAAGGCAAGCTCCTACGCTCAGAAAGTGCCGGAAGTTGAAGATCCGGATGAGTGGCTCGAGTTCATGTTTGAGGTACTGAAGGCGTTAAGGTCTGCTGACAAGTCTAACTGGCACCATCGTATGGCATACAGAGCCGCTATGACCATCTTCGAGACGGACCCGAATGACCCTCGATCATGGCTAGGAGCAAAACATGAGCTGATGCAGCAGATTTTCACCAAGACGATGACTTACCAGGTCTGGAAGCCCGAGAACGAGCGATCCGGAAGACACTTTGTCTACACAGGTCGCTATGTACAGTTCATCATGCAGCTACAGTTCAATTTAAGAGACAAGGAAGGGATTGAGGCTCTTGCGAAGAAAGTTCGCAAGAAGAGCGGTGACTTCATCAACCACGCTGCTATTTGGCAAGATCTTGGTAATGCCTACCTTTCACTATTACGGCACCGCGTGGAGGAGCAAATACGGTTCCCGACTACAGATTTCGAAGCCAACACTCTTCTTAAGATGGATCCGCAAGGGTTCCAAGCAAACGCAGCTAGGATAGAGGCCTGGATCAACAGTTCAGCGGACCAGTGCCGACAGCTTGATATCATGCGAGACTGTTTTGAGTTCAAGAAGCTGAATCTCGGCCTACTCGACGTCAAGGTAATCGAACTACTAATCGCAGACATTTACGCCGTCATCTACGAGCAAAATGCAGAGAGGCTCAAATACGAGGAGAAAGAGCAAGAAAACCGCGTCCGCATGCGCATGGACAACATCCTCAGCAACGAAACCCCCGAGGGCTCCTCCGCCAATGCACCCATAGACCTGAATGGTAACGCAACACCAACAACGACAACACAAGAGCCTGCGCCACCAAAGCGCCGAGTCAATATCATCACGCACCGCGAAGTCCTACGCAAAGCCGAAGCATTGATGACCAAACCTCCACCCATCGCCACACCCAAGCCTGCAGCCAAGACGCTCCCCGCAATGGCAGAAGCCAACGGAAAGTCGCCCAGTATTGCTGTTCTCGTGCCACCGCCCGACGCGGATAAGGAGATCATCAGCGTGCCAGATTCGCCTCAAAGCGTTCATGACAGCGCTGATGACGAGAGCGAGCTCAGCGAGGTTGATGAGGATGACGATACGATATCCGGGGGCGATGAGCAGCCTGAGGAGAACAAGCAGCGGCCTATGTTCCCGAATCTTGCGAATGATGAGAATGAGGGGTTCGGAAATGGTGGGGGGGATGAGGTTGAGCGGTATGCGGAGGAGCTTGATCGGGCTGGTGATGCGAGTGAGGGTGGAAGGGAGGATAGTGAGAGCCCGGAGATGGAGTTTGTGATTGAGGAGAAGGGGGAGGGGCCGGGGGCGGGGCAGGCTGTGGGGAACAATTGGGGCGGGGAGGTAAATCCGGAGGCGAGGAAGGCGGCTGAGCCGGATATTGAAATGGAAGTAGAGGGAGAACGAGCAGATAATATGGAGATGTGAGTTGAATATCATACCATTATGACGCTTGATGAAAGAAGATACTCTATCTATACTCGACACATATCTATACCACATTTCTTACTCCACGACACAAACCACGCTTTCAGTTTTCTTTACCTCCTCACCTCCAAAACCTCCACCCCCCTTCCCGCTCCCCTCCCACCTCAAAGCAGCACTACTCCCCACAACACTGACACTACTTAACGCCATCGCCGCGCTCCCCCACACGGGCCCCAATCTCCACCCCTCCGCCCGTACTTTGAACAGCACCCCCGCCGCCACCGGCACGAGAATCGCATTGTAGATGCACGCCCAGGCGAAATTGAGCTTGACGCGGTGGAAGACGCGGGTGGAGAGGTCGAGAAGCGTTATCAGGGTCGTCAAGCCGGCTTGCTCGTGGTCGTTTGTGGAGGTTGTGGGGGTTTGGTTGGTGTCGGGGGCGGTCTGGGTAGGGTTAGGGACAGAGGTAGTGGTAGTGGTGCCGCTGTTGAGGATGATGAAGGAGGCAGAGGTGAGTGCGATGTCGGAGGCATTTGGGTGCGCGATGGCGATGCTGATGTTTGCGGCGCTGAGGGCGGGGGCGTCGTTAGTGCCGTCGCCGATGAATGCTATTGTGGCTTTCTTTGGCAAGGATGTACGCGGTCTGAAGTTGAGAAGGCGGGAGACAGGGTTCTTGTTCAACGTGGTGTTGGTATCGGTATTACTGGAGGATTGCGGAGTCAGGTTCTCCTGTAGCCAGTGGATACGATCGGCTTTCTCGCTGGGTAGTACCCCTGCGAAGACATGGTCTTGGGGAATGGAGAGCGTAGAAGCTACGGCGGAGGCGGTGGTCGGGTTGTCGCCTGTGAGCATGTAGGTAGGGATGTTTCGGGCTTTCAGAGCCTCGAGGGTCGGGATCGTGGAGGGCCGGATGGGGTCGGATATCGCGAAGAGGGCTGCGGTCTTCCAAGGATCTTGTGATGTGGATGATGTGGATTCAGAGGCGGCTTGACGGAGGGCCAATACTGCAACGGACTTGGCCTCAGTTTTCCATTTGGAGAGGGTGTTCGAGGTGAAGTAGTTGGATGGTGACTTGGGATTGAGAGATTCTACGAAGGCTTCCGAGCCGAGAGCTGCTTCGTAATGCTTAGTTTCTGATACAAAATGACCTCGGAGGCCTTTGCCTGGCTCTTCTGTGATGGCTTCTACCCGGAGAGCGGAGTCAGAGCGCTGAGTGGAAGCAAAATCGAAAATAGCTCGAGCGAGAGGATGTGTGCTTGTCTCTTCCAATGCTTTCGTAATACCCCAGGCGGCTTCTGCTTCCCTGTCTTCAACAAGCATTACATGGTCCGTCACGCTTAGATCGCCACCGTCAGTCAGCGTTCCAGTCTTGTCGAAGACAACGGCATCGACATTGCTAGCTTCTTGAAATGCTTCGCCGCCACCTCGGACGAGGATGCCATGCTTTGCTGCAAGCCCGCTTCCCACGAACAAAGCAGTAGGCGCTGCGAGGCCGATTCCACAAGGACAAGCAACAACAAAGACGGCGATCGCGAACTCGAGGCTCCAGAATGGCCAGCCACCCTTCTCAGAACCACGGAGGTATTCTTCTGGCAAAGCGCCTGATTGGCCGAGTGCGAGCCAAATCAGCCATGTCAATATAGCCAAAGCAGTGATAGCAGGCACGAAGTAGCCAGTGACGATATCGACTACTCTCTCGACTGGCGCTCGTTTGGCTTGGCCTTCTCGTACAACTGCGACGATTTGTTCCAGCATAGAGGCACCACCAACTTCGTTAACTTTGACCTTGATGGTATCGCCAGTGTTGATAGCTCCAGCGAACACTTTGTCTCCAGTTGCCTTCGGCACTGGCCTTGCTTCTCCAGTCAGAGAACTCTCATTGAATTTGGTTGCGCCCACAATTATTTCACCATCTGCTGGCGGCGATGAGCCATGACGTACGAGTATGATATCACCAATTTCTAAATGCTCGGCATTAATCGTAGTGGTCGTTTCCTGAGCTTTGCCTGTTGAAGTGGCCTTCACCAGAGAGTCTGAGCTTGCTGTGGAAGTCGACGAAGTCTTGCCCGGGATGACCAACACTGCCTCTGAGGGCTTCAGGTTTCCCAGCATTGCCACAGCATTTCCTGTCTTCGCTTTGCTATAGACTTCCAACCACCTTCCTATCAAGACGAAAAAGGTAAGAAAGACTACTGAATCGAAGTAGGTCGTGCTATGTCCCATGCTATCTGAGCTTGAGGTTGCTTCCATAGCCAGCACGGCTATCGAAGAGAAATATGCGACTGATGTTCCTGCTGAAACGAGGAGATTCATACTACCGAATCTTATGAATCGACGAAGTAGCGGGACTTTGCTACCCCTACGCCATAATGATCTGATTTCTTTTACGGCTCGGACATGGAAGACATCGGCTGCGAAGCACATTGTGACGGTAGCCAGGATGAAAAGCGCCCAGTCCCTGCGTGGAGCTGCACCTGACCACATGGGGTCATCGAAGTATGATCTGATGGTGTCAGTGCTAGGGACCAAGCTCATCCACACGACTCCAATGAGAAAAGTTGGAATAGCAACAACGAAACTTATTGCAAGTTTGACGAGTAGCTTCCGTTGCTCACGTCTTTGCATTGCCTGTGATCTTTCCTCTATTGATGGTGGATGGTATGTTGTGACTTTGAAAGCTTCGTGTGAGTCCTGCATTGAAGGGATGATATCTCTGAGAGTGAAATCAGGTGGACTCGGCTTGTATGTAAACTGAATAGTTGGGTCAACTAGAGTCGGCGTTCTTTGTACCTGAATAGAATTTCCCCACGTTTTCTCGAGAGCCTCCGTAATCGTTCCTGGACAGTGTTTACAGAACATGCCGTCAATCTTGAGTGTTATGGTCCTCCAATAATCTTTTGTTCCGGGTGTTGATGGCTGAGGAGCGTCATAGGGTTCTGTCCTTTGGAGATCGCAGTCATAGCCAAGATCTTCGATGAGGTTGAGAACTTCATCGACTTTCTCTGAATTGTCTAGTATGACCGTAGCGCTATTTGTCATCAAACTGACCTCTACATCAGTTGCGAAGGGCAATTCACGCAAGCCTCTATCAATAGCACTGGTACAAGAAGAGCAAGTCATGCCGCCAATACTTAAGATGACTTTACGTTTCTGCGACTTCGCAGTGGGTTTAGCCAAACGTGTTGGCGTTGTTTCTGTCTTCAGCTCTCCTGTGGTGTGCCTTGAGCCAACTGCTGTGGCCCATGGCACCTTTCGCAAATCGCCAGCTACAGCCTTCTCGAGATCAATGTGGCCATAATCTTTCTCCAGCTGCAAGATACTCTTCTCCGAGATGGTCTGGAGCTCATTCTTGCAAGCCTCGCAGTTGTCCGCATGAATGTTTTTCTTGGGAATGTAAGAGCAGCCAGCTTCTTGCTCTCCCGAGCTGCAAGATCTCACCATACGTCGCTGGCCTCTATGATGCTCTGATTTAGTGTCAGTCTTTTCTGATAGCCTAAAAGTCTCTTGTCCAATATCGTTTGTCGAGCTCGCACTGTGCACCTCAAAGGCGCCCTCGTCAAGGATCTCACAGATTTTCTGCGGCTGTAGACTGTCGTGATGTGTAATTCTAACTTCACCGCTCATTACATTGATTTCGAACTCCTGGATCGCTTGGCGATAAGGCTCCAGAAGCTCCCGTATGTACGACACGCATGATGTGCAGTGTATGTTGTTCACCAAGATGGTCGTCGCCAATCGTGTCGCATCTGACGTGGCCATAGTTTTCTTGCTGCAGGAACCAATGCAGGAACAAGCTTATCGCGTGTGGAAATGCTGGAGCAAAGGCGTAAAAGAGACGATTCGAACGGATCACGCTGAGTGGGGAGCGCCTGTCGCGCAGCCACCACAAGGTCTGCAGTATCGCAATGACCTCGTAACACAACCGAGAGACGTGAGATCTTGGACGGCAGAGGGGAAGTATTTAACAGAGAAGAAAGGGAAGGATTCAACACCATTAGAAATAGCACATTCCAGCACCAGAGAATGACGTTAATCAGGAAAAACGCACAAAAAGCGCCAATCAGAGGCGAGTCACGCACAAAACGCGCATTTACTTACCATCCACACAGGCTAGCACATGACGCTCATGAGGCTCTAGCTACATCACAGAGGCAGGTTTGCTGCAGCAATGCATGCTCGACAACAGACTGCATCCTTCTACGACAGGTTTCTGCAAGTCGCGTGAAGATGGATGGGCATGTAAGACAACAGCATCCGTACTGCTTGTATGAATGATTTGTCACTTGCGCTACGGCGTCCCATTTATCCTCAATACTCAAAACAAATATTTGTCAAAACTTGCTATTGAGCTTCGATGTTCAAGTAATGGTAATGACTTCTATGAGCTTCTTCGCCTTCCTAAATCTGTTGCAGAACAGCATATCTTCCCAAAGCGCTCATTCCTGAAAACCACTGCACGACTGCAAACCCTACCCTTGGTCCTTCCACCAGACTAATCGACCATCCAATATTCAGTCAGACTCAGCACCGATAGCTTCGTAAGGATCGTCATCGTCATTGTTCTGACTGACAACATCGTCCTCGTCGTTGTCTTCCGCCTCTTCGGTAACTGCATGCGGATCACCATAGATTCCTTGCTCTTCCAATTCACCCACCATACTATCGAGCTCTCTCTGCTGCATGTCCGTCTCTTCGCTTGCAGCTCTTCTCGTGGCCTGCTCGCCGTCTTGGCTCTCCACTTCCTCTTCCATCTCAACCTCTCTTTCCGTTCTCCCCGCTGTGGCTTGACCAGAAGTTGCGCTCCCAGCCGAGGTGTCTTGTGGACGCGTACCGCTGCCAGGACTCCCGGCACCACCAATGCTTGTTCTCCGACTTCCACTTGAGCTTGGCGTATACACATTACGCAATAGCTCATAGTTGATTCTACTGGAATACGCCCGTTTCTTCATCATCATTTCCACCGCCTCAGCAGTAGTACTTGCAAGCACCTCCCCAGCCTCAAGCCGTTGTTCCCAGTCGGGGCCAAGCTGCGATGCGTATTGTTTGAGATCACCAATACGCTGCCGTCTCCGCTGTCGCGTCTTTTTGGGTCGATATGTTCCTGCTGCCACTGCCATTTCGTACTTGAGTCTCTTCGCTGCTTGAGCGCGAAGCCAATCCGCATTGACCGAAGTCCAGATCCGGGTTTTGATCCGCACTTCTTCCTCGTTTAATAGACAATGTTCAACTTCAGCATCGTCCAAAAATTCACTTTCGTCTATTGTAGCTGACGTCGGAATTTCGCGGGGTGTCTGGGCAATTTCTGACGACTCAGCTTCGGCAGCGCACGCCACTTCCATAGTAGACTGTAGTGCATCGGTATCTAAATCGAACGGATCTCCTAAAGCTGTCGCAATTTGAGGATCAATCGTAGGATCTTGACTTCCTTCGTCTTGCTTGCGGCGCCTGCTTCTTCGCCGAGCAGTTGTTGAGGATTCCTCAGATTGCGACGTAATTATCATGGCTCCAGGTTGCAAGTTTTCCTCATATACCCCGGCTTTGCTTTTGGCATGGATATCTGATCCGGTGGGCTGACCACGAAGGCTAGTCCGCGTTGCTGATCTTGTCTGACGTCTTTCAGCACCAGCACTTGATAGACTTGGATTGAGGGAGGGCTTTTCATTGGATGGGGAGAGATTCGTATCCTCAGAGGTAGCATTGCTAGGGCTTTCAATACTAGCGGACGCCGCAGTATCTGCCTCTGCTCGCTCTTGGGTACCTGCGTTTTCAGGCCTGTCGGAGCTTGCCATCTGTCCTTGAGAGCTCTCTGGGGTCGGATTCTGTAGCTCGTCGGTTTCTTGTTCAGCGGCCGCCAACTTTTTGCGAGCAGAAGATCTAGTTGGTTGTTTACGCTTCCGAGTAATTGGAGGGCCCAACAAGCCTTGGCCCGTTGGGAGACTACTTTCAGGGGACTGAAGTGACCCAGTTGTTCCTGGTGTTTGTGATGTCATTTCTGCACCAGATATTGACGCAATACCTGGGTCGATCGGTATTGGAGGAGGAGGCATACTTTGACTAGCAGCTTGACCTTGTTGAGTATTGACTGGGGTCGATAGCTGCATGTTTGATGATAGGATGGCAGGGTCAGTCACAGCCCTTGAAGGCGACACATCTTCACCATCATCGTCGAATTCGAGACGCCTCTCTTTTCGCTTTCCCTTTTTCTTCTTCCTCATACCATCCTTATTCTGGTTAAATGCTGGTGGATCATGGGCACCCTCAAGATCTTTAGTTCGGAATTCTTGCACGCTCTGGCCACTACTCTCAAGAGCTTTGAATTCCTCCAGTCGCTTGAAAATAGTCACTTCGTTGACCTTCACTACGTATACCATCTCACGGGAAGTACGGCGAAAATTATTCATTCGCGCTGCTAATATTAGAGCAGCGCCACATATACCAGCTGGCCTTCGTCCAGGCGTCATCCAGTCGCGATTCATTCTTTGCACTATACGTACGGCATCGTTGGCTACCCTCATTGTCTCTGGCCCAAATTCTAGACGCTGAGCGAAACGAAAGATGAGATCTTCTGGGTTAATGGGGTTGATTAAGAACCCGTTCGGGTTTACTCGAAGTGCGTTTACTAGGTCAGTGTAGACGGTCCCCAGTGTGAAGACATTCAGCTATACACCTTTAGAATTCTTCGCGGTTGTTTATTTCGAGGCGACTTACGTTAAGAATGTCGGCAAAGTCAATCAGCATGTAGTGATTCGGGTTTTCTCGCTGGCACCGACATGCTATATATAAAGCAACGGCGGCAACACTTTTTGTCCTTCGTCCCTGGATGAAATTCATAGAAGCGGCTAATCTGAAGAATTGTAACCCAGCCTCCTGGAGTGCCGGATTGATCTGCAGAGCAGCGCAGATCTGAACAGCGTATCGTCTCCCTGTCTCTGTCAGCAACCACTCAATCGTCAAGGAGAAAGCTAGGTCTTCACCTGTGGCATTAGTCTGTTCCAGACCAGACATCTGCCTATTGATGCCCGCGACATCTTCACCGCGTACTTGACCTGAGTCAACGCCGACATGGTGTCCATGGACGACAGCTCGACCACCTTCGAGGCCGTATTGTAGGTCGGTGACTAGATCGGGTGAGTCGTCCGCTACGGTACCACAGCTCTCGCAGACAAGTTTCCCATCTTCTACAGTTAGGCTAGTCGGCTCTGTGCAGTCAGGATTGACACAACGTTCTGGGGTGGCTTTCTGGATTCGGGGTCTTGGGCGTGGTTGAGGGTTCTTGAGGCTGTCGAGCCGCTGCACCCTCTGACCAGGAGGTCTAGGGGGAATTTGGGCCGCACTGACATCTGAGCTTGATCACCTCTTTGTACGTGCAGGGTCTGACTCAGAATTGTGTGTCGGAGCCTTCTCTCCTGTGACTTGGTCTTGTTGTTTACGGTCAGTCTCCTACAGCATTCTCTAATGCTCCTTCGACGTCAGCTTCCACTCATGGCCTGGTTTCTCTCGCCATCTTTCGCGTTGCGGCACCAGAGTGTGAGATGGCGAGATTCCAAAAAGGTGGCGGAGCGGGAAAATTGCGGGGAACTCCCAAAATTTCGGCAAAGCTTGAAAGAGCAGTGTTCGAATCCCAATGCGACCTTTTCCTGCCAATTTATTTGCACGCCTCGTCAAGACGATGAACTTGTACAAATGATCGTAGACTACTTCATAATAATGGAAAATTCGCCTTTTTTGCATGGCGCAAGGCCAAACGCGAGAGCGATCAGATTGGGTTGGGTTGTTGGTAATGCAGAGCGTTTTCTCCAGGTGAAAAGAACAATTCTTCGTAATATCCTATGCATACATACATCTACTCAAAATAGAAAATGCTTTAAGTCGCGCCGGCCTTTGGGGTATCATACGCTTTCAAGTCAGATTCTGCCCATTACTCCCTCGCCCAAATATCAGCGACTTTTGTACTTAACGCACTCTTGATCGCATTCTTCCCCATCAGGCCCCCTAATTTCTTGTCCAGCATGCCCTGCTTCTGCTTGTCGGTCTCACAGCTCTCGAATGCTTCCACAAGGGCCCTTGGTGTTGGCCATATCTTCTGAATCGCGATAGCCTTTTCGCCACTGATGCCTCTCGTGCACATCAGCATCTTGAGGTATACGTCTCGAAGCGTCAGACTATCACTTTTAGAAGCCAAGGAAGAGAAGGCAGGGAATGTCACATTGTAGTTGAGGTGACACTCGTGCTTTCTTAGGTGGGCTAATAAAGGTAGGTAGTTTGTTGAAGTCAGCGCCGAAGAAGGGATAACGTGCAAAGGCTTCTTCTCGTATAGCGACTTCAGCAGTGTGGTCATGCGGTGAAGGTACCTTATTGACTCGTCCAATTTTTGTGTACGTTGAAGGAAATAGCCATTGATGACCTGTGTGCCGGCTATTGCACCTTTGATCTGTTCTTGAAAATGCTTGGCCCTTTCTTCCGACAGATGTGTCTGTTCGATCAAATAGACGACCTTCATTCCCGATCGACCCAATCGATATTTCTGCTCATTGAAACGCTTATCGATGATGCTGCTAACCAAGTCATCAAACCGCTTCCGTTCAACAATCCAGTCCAGAGCAATTTCCTGGCCCTCTTCACCATGGGAGGCGAGGAGGTTCCGATCGTGGAGCCTTGCAACCCAACAGATGTCCCCCAACGGTAGCGGACGCACGTCGCCCACTGTTCCTTCCTTGCCGAAGAGAACTTCCGTGCCCAATTGACTTAGTGTCTTAGCGATATATTCGCGGTCTTCCTTTGAACGAACTTCTCGATTATCGAGGAGAAGCCGAACCGAAAATTCCCCTGGACGAACAACAATGGGCTTGAAAGTGGGTAACGACTCTGCGCGCTTGGCTTCTTGATTAGTAGGCTTTGTTGGAAGAGAGTTGCGTATTTGACGCGAGTCTTCGGGTAGAACACTTTTGCTGCTCCTTTCAATATCCTCGGCCCTGACACTGCCTTGAACAGTGATCACAGTTTCCGGGGGCTCCGGACTTGAAAGAAGATCAACGACTGCCGCTTGCGTAGGTGCCTTTCTAGCTTGGTTCTTGGAAGATGGAATTTTCTTGTCTTTTGAAGCTTCATCTCGGTGAGGCTTGGATGACAAGCCTTCGAAAGGGCCGTTTCTTCTAGATAGATGCGCCTGGGCTGATTTGACGGCCGGATTTAATTCAGAATTACTTAAGTCTTCGAGGTCCACAATGTTCGAAGCAGCTCTCTCTGGTACACCAGATGTACTCATATCTGCAATTGAAGCGAATCCCTTTTCGTTTCGTGGATTGTCATTCAGCAACGTTTGGCCCTTCTCCACTCCTCTCATCTTATGCGCAATTTCCCACCCCTCTTCAGTCAGCATGTATTTCTCCACTGGTCTCCCTCTTTTGTAGACAAGGTCTTTCTCCATCAGAGTCTTCATAGAGTTCCAAGCGGTAAAGTACTTGGTCTGGCCCTCGTCAATGAAGGATGCGTCTGACAAGGGCTGCGCCTGGTCAATGAGCTGAGACTTAATGAGCCCCTGGCAGGATTCTTCCTGTGATAGGACCATGAGCAAGGCATAAGCTCCACTGCGATGTTTGGGCACGTAGGGTTTCTCTTTGCGCCGCTTTTTGGGGGCGGCGTGGGCTCTTCGGTCAAGTTCAGATCTTCCAAACCAGATCGTTTTTTCCCTCGAGCTTTTCTTGGCAAAGGTAGACCATTGGCTTCGCAGTGTTCCATCATTGTTTTCGTCAATCTCTCGCAGATCTTCTCTCCAATGCCACCTAATTTCTTCGCTTCCGAGGGGTGACTCAATTGGAGAGGGCATGCTTTCATCGACCGGTAGGCACGTTGGTATCTTTGGAAATCAGTCACTTGCTCGATTCGTGATTGAGGCATTATTACGATGATGCGCCTTTAGTATCGCGCTCCCTGGCCTCTTCCCACCACTCCTTAAGCCATTGTACAAGGAGAGGGTTTGCGACAGGCGTCGCTGGATCTGTGGGCATTGTGCGAAGTCAATTATCGTGCGACGTTCATACATATCGAGTAAGGTACTTTCAATGCTGGCGATTGCTCGTTGAGACGATGCAACATCCCTGCTGAAGTGTTTGTTTATTTTCGCGGGTGCGGAGGCTCCTGCCTTGCTACCAAATACTCAGGGCTTTTTTTAATAAGAGATATTCTAACCTGTTTGGGAAATGCTCTCAATGGAGACTTGGGTATTTCAACAATTAAGAGCCGCTCAATTAACTTCAAAAACTTAGAATCGACTCTTTGTATTAAAAACACAAAGCAGATGAGTTTGCAAATCAATTGAACCTCGCTAAATGGTTCAAATACCCACGTCTCTATTATGGGCTTTTCCCGAACAGGTTAGAATATCTCTTATTAAAAAAAGCCCCGAGTATACGACAGGTATACATGATACGTGTATGTGCTGATGTCTGCGCATTCATGCGCTCCGAAACCACTCATTGTACCTTGAAGTCGTAGCGGGTGCCAAGGCTCTGGCAATCATCCTCCCTTGCTTCTTTTTTCAGCCCGCTTTGCTCTAGCATCAGTGCATGGTTCGTACTTCAGCATTAAAGAGTTGCCCCATTGCGATCAGTCGTGGTAGTTACTTCAAAGGGAGCATGAAGTGAGTCAAAGCTTTGTGAAAAAGGAGCACTCCGTTTGTGTTTCCATCTTTCGTGGGGTCAAGCTACGACATTCCTGTCCGTAGCATGAGGTTGAACACCCTTTCGTGCGCGTGTCAATGTACAGCAGTGAGGCATAGGGTAGCATCAAGGACGACCTGTGGCCGGAATAAGCTTTACCCTGCAGGATCCTACTGCGGCTCCTCAAAAACCTGCGTTGTCAGATGCTTATCTTATGTCAGCAGCGGACGTTCTTACCCAGACGAGGACTAGAACTTTGATTCACTCTTAGCAATGGATTTTGTGTATTTGAATCCCTTCAAACTTCCAATCGTTCACTTGAAACAAAAGTTGTTGTAAAATTAGCAGGCTTTTGAGGTAGCTGAAATAGGAAGTGGCCACCATGCCTATCGATTTTCATCTTTCGCCCGCAGAGGAAGGCATCAGGAAGGCCGCTGCTGGCTTTGCTGCTGGCCCTCTCAAAGATGCCAAGAAGACTTACATGAAGTATCAGGAGCATTCTGAGCGATTTCAATCAACGAAACCCATCTATAGTCAAGCCGTGGCCGGCGGCCTGATCAAAGGTCAGATACCGCCTCACCTAGGCGGTGCTGGTGGCACCTTGACAGAAGCTGCAATATTGGTCGAGGAGATGTACGCTGTTGAGCCCGCTGCATCCCTGACGATTTTTTCCACTGGTCTAGGCCTGATCCCTATGAATCTTGCGTCGAAGCCTGAGCATAAGGAATTCATTGGTCCATTTCTCAGCGGCCAGGGCGAGCCGCTAGCGAGCCTTGTATTTTCAGAGCCGGGCGGTGTTGCAAATTTTCTTGAGAAGGGAGCTCCAGGACTAGGCACAACTGCGACGCTTGAGGGAGATGAATGGGTACTCAATGGAGACAAGGTATGTACCATGTATGATTCCAGAGCGAAAGGGCATCTTCGTTTTTCTTCGGAGACTCACGATGCTAAATTGTACTCCAGATATGGGCTACCAACAGCGCAGGTTGGGATTTCAAAGGCCCAGATCTCTCATGTGTAGTCTGTCGAACCACCAATCCCGCCACTGACGAGGCCGCCGACGCGGTCATGATACTCCTCGTAACGAGAGCCGACATCGAACGCAACACTCCAGACGCATTCAAAGTCGTGCGACACATCTCTACTGCAGGCCATACCGCCTGCTCAGGCCCACACATCAGATACACCAACCTCAGACTGCCCTCCAAAAATCTCCTCTGTCCACCTGGCACCGCTGCGCCAATTGTCTCAGCAGCGTTCGACATGACTGCCGTGCTAGTCGGCGCTATGAGCGTGGGCGTCATGCGCGCCGCTTTCGATGCTGCTCTGGCCTTTGCGAAAGGCGATAACCGCCGCGGAGCTTCCGAGCTGCTGACTAGACAAGCTGTAGCAGACTTACTGAGCGGTATCAAGATGCAGGCGGAAGCTTGCAGAGCGCTGACATGGAAAGCTGCTCATTCTCTGCAGAATGGACCTGGCGATTATAACGCTAGACGGGAGCTGGCTCTGGCGGCAAAGATCTATTGCTCGGATGCTTGCACTAAGGCTGTCACTGATGCTATTAATGTGGTTGGGATGTAAGACAAACCTTGATAATATCAACTTAGTTTACGATCATATTGCTGACTTGATGATCGTAGAACGGCATACGACGCAGATCAACCCTTTGCGGATCTTTTGAACACTGCTATGGTATTGCCAATCTTTGATGGAGGAAATGTGGGCATCAGACGTCGACATATGCAAGAATTGATGCTGTCAAAGGATTATGATCCTTGGGCATCAACATACGGTCCTACAGAGTAAAGCAGCTAGGGACTTCTTTGGACTCAGGGTACTACTGCCCTCTCTAGAATTACATATTTTAAGTTGAGCGAGCATGTCTATCAGAAGTAAGACAAGTTCTTCACAGGGGGAAGTTCACTATTCTGAAAATTTTGGCGATCCTTTAAGTCGATGGCGCGGCTATTGAAAGCCGACTTTTCAACCTGAAGTGGCATTGATTCGGCTTTTCGATCCCAATTTTTGAAGATTCTGTTTGGTCTCAAGTTTCAAATGTGTTCTAAGAGGTCGAAGAACCAGAAAAGCGGCATTTCTCAACTTTCTTGCAAGGATTCAAGTCCGGAGCAAAATTACCACGAACTTTTCTTCAAACGATTCTGACAAATACTACTATTCATTCACAGCGCGGCATTGAGACCTGTCACCCACATGCTCCAGGTCTAAACGCCTCTACCAGCGTACCAACCAACGCTACCACCCACTCCGTCTCTCAACCTCCCACTCCCCCTTCCGCTGCCCATACATCCCCCAAAAACCTTCGCCACATCACCCGGCCTCACCAGCCCCTCCTCATCCCCCACTGCCCCCCAACCGTCACCATACCCACATGCACCCCCTGCCCCTCATACATCCCCGCAAGCACCCTCACCAAACTCGCCTGCGCCGACTTCGCCATTGACAGCGAAAACACCTCCGCCAACGGCTGATGCACGATAAAGCCACTGGTCACAAACAAAGCCGGATGACTATCCGGCTTCTCCTTCCCCAGCTTCACCAAATGCGGGAGAACGACGCTGGCGGTCGTGTACAGACCCAGATTCGGGATTTTGAAATCCTCGACGATGTCCTCGGGCGCGTAGGTCGGGAATGGAGAGGGCTGGACGCGCGCGGCGTTGTAGAGGACTACTTCCGGGGTGCCGAGGTCGGAGAGGGCGGTGTTCAGAGTGGCGGTGAGGGCGGAGGGGGAGGTTACGTCGACCTCATAGGTGCTGATGTTGGTGGAGGGGGCGGTGGTTTTTATGGAGGTGCTGGCCGCGGAGAGCGTGGCGGCGGTGCGGGAGAAGAGGGCGATTGTGGTGAAGGAGTGGGAGGCAAAAAGAGTGGCGGTGGAGGTGGAGATGAGGGGGCCGGTGCCTATGATGAAGAGGGGACCTGCTGGTGCCATGGTTGATGTGAATTTGAAGGGTGAGATGTTTGGGGAGCGAGGTAGGATGAAGTATATGGGTTGGGGGGCGTTTTTATGTGGTGGGAAAGAACAATCTGATTATAAATGTTAGATCGGAGGAATGGAGTAGTACGATAGCTCGAGGAAATGATCCTTCTTGAGCGATTCAGATTCTCCGGTGTGTGACTAAGGCGGTGAGGTAGCATGAACCTGTGACTGCTGTAAGAGCTCCCTAAAAGTTATATCCGGACGAAAGAATTCTCAGCTCGCGGATTAGTCAGGTAAACAGGGTTACATCACGGTTGGCTTAGTAATCTTGAAGTTAAGGAGAATGCATCTCCGCGAAAGATTTGAATGCAATGACACTTGGTAGATGCATGACACATAGTTCTCACCTCTGCAAGCCGGCTGACATGACAATTGATAGAACCGAAAAAGGGCGAGACCATGGTCATTACATGTCAGCAAGATTGCTTCCCTTTAAATCAAAACTAGAATTAAATATATGCTCTGAAGAAAACTTTTGATATTAGTAGAGAGACTTTGCTTGAATGCCGAAGAAAGCCCGCTTGAGTGAGGGAGAAGAAAATATCGGCTAGTATATTTGAGCCTGTGTGCGAGCTGAGTTTGATTTGAAGGGCAGACTTCTGCCTGTGTGCATATGGAATGGGAGACGCGTTGACTAGATCGCTTAACCGTTGAAGATATCATTGGAAATCAATTGGTGGATGCATCTTCCATGAAGGAACGCAAGTCCGTAGATTGACAAGTTTCAAAATTTTCAAATATTCAAGAATGATTGCCGCTTATCAATCTCCATGAGTTCCATCGGCAAGCAAGGCTCTCGTGAATCTAGGCCAACACGTCGGCTACAGCAATATCCGCGTCGACAACTTTACCTGTTCATTGTATGAAGGATGACGTATGTAAGCCATCTTCTAGCAGCTAACAAGTCATTCAATGAACCCTAAGCTAGTCGCAAGACCACGCTGGAGCATTTGAGACCAGCAATGTATATTCGAAGTTTAAGGTGTCCTGGCGGGGTCGAAAGATCATTCAAAACTTTGGAACCATGCTCTCTCCAGTGGCATGAAGTTCATCAGGCTTGTTGACTCGATACGTATCATCTGAGTGAGTCACGAAGCGACTTGATGCTTGCCGACCCCCCGAGGCCAGCCCTTCGTTAACCCTTGTGATCCAAGAAAGGTTCAAAGAGGGCGATACATGCTCGGACCAGCGTTCACATGCCCGCAGCAAAGTCCTTGTTCATTGCCAGAAGCTCAAATTTCTCGAGACAACCCGTCCCGTGATGAGGCTGGCTCTCGATCATAATCATAATGCAGCTTTTCCACATTTAGTTGTAAGGGTTGACCCATCGAATTTGCTGTCATGATTCGGCTGTCTAAACCTCGATTCACACTGTAAAGATATAGAATGACTCGGGCGGTATACCAGGGTAGTAAGATCTAGGCTCACTACTTTAATTTTAGCCTGCGCAAGTTCGCGGGACATTTCCGCTCAACCTCCATTCTCTCAAAACATTTCATGACTGGGAAACGTTCTGCAAAGGAGGCAAAATGACGCCAGATCTGCAGCAACTGTATGCACTTCCACTGACATCTAGTGGTGCTCCGATTTTGTATCTGCCTAGTCGAGTTGGGACATCATGTGCAGCCCATCGAGAGGGAGCCTAGGATCAGCCCCGAAGGCTCATGGGAGGGATCACAACGATATATGCACGCCAAGAAGCACCAAGACTATCACAAGCCTATGACAGGCCTCTTGGGCCGAGACGGGGCCTTGGCATACGACCTCGACCCTATCTCTCGTGGGAGTCAGAGGGAGAAAGCTCGCCGTTGATAGTCGCTGCCCCTCATCTCACCCCTGTTGTTCATCTTAGCTGCACACTTGGTGCGGTCGCTCCATTACCCGTCCACGGGATGGGCTTGTTGCTGGTCACCTGGGCTAATCAAAGCTAGCACAAGCTTCAGTAATGTATGGTTGACGAGGCTGAAGCTTTCCCATGTCATGGCCGGTCCTGAGCGCTGCTTCCTACCTTGGGAGCATTTCCCATTTTTTATCATTCCTCCTCTTTCTTCTGTCATGTTGCTCATTGTCCGTTGACGCGTCTATATAACTCTCAATTCAGAACGCATTTCACGCGATTCTTAATATTGTTGTCAAGTGCTTCAAGATGCTACAGGGATGGCAATGCTTTCTTTTTGCATGTCTCGTTGCTTTACCTCACGCGTTCGCGCAGCAAAATCTTCCAAGCTTTCCCAACACCCAGAATGAATATGCCGCATATCCTGAGCCTATTGAGCCCGTGGTCCACATTCCTCACGAATTGATGAGGCGAGACGTAGTCCGTGAACCGCGGGAATATCACTTCAGCGACCGATCCACAGGAATAGCTAACAACTCGCCGGCAATGGCCAAGAGAATGTTGCTTGGACGACAGTACTCCACCTGCGACGCAGGATATGCCTATTGTAGCTGTGAGCACTAAACATCTCCTTCGTTATGAGATGTCTTCCTGCTGATACGTCAACAATCCCAGATTCCGGTCGCTGCTGTCCAGACACGAATGGCGCCGGAAGATGCTGTCCTAGTGGAGCGTGTGCAACCTCCTCCGATGATTGCTGCGCAGATGGTGGACTTTGCCATTCAGGATACAAATGTTGCATAGGCCAGTACTGTGTGCCTGACACGAGCGAGGTGGGTCTTCAATTTCATTTGCTTAAGCAAACCATTTCGGTGGATTTGAAGACCTCTTAAAAGCGTTCAGGGATAAGCAAAGAGTGCAAATGTCGATTTCTATGGTGGTCTCTCAAGTCTTATCTGGCTAATTTGACCCTGACATATAGTGTTGCTCCGACGGTGGATCTTGCAAATCTCCAAATCACTGTGTGGAGCTCAACGGTCGCATAGGCTGTTGCCGAGATCTTAGCTGCAGCGAATACGACACCTCTGAAACGACCGAAAGTAGTATTACCAGCAAAGAAATCACTCCAACACAGACTCACTCTGCCGTGAATCCTGTAGTAACGTCGCATTACTTCTACACGACCATCACGTGGTACTACTATTACTTCTTCATCACAACCATTGATATTACTATCGAGTCTCAAACCTCTACACGCACATCGGATAGCACCACTCTGTCGACATCTGCCGCGGACTCCGGCGCGGCGAGTGCTTTCTTCGCAAGCATTACATCGGTATCGCCGTTACCTAGCAGCAGCACCGCGTTCGATTACACGTATTTCACGAGCACTTCGTCTCGGTCGAGATCGTCGCCTACGTCCTCACCGTCCTCCAGCAGAAGTAGTGCTGGTAGCGGGACAGGTCCAAGTGCTGGCGGAGGTAGTGGTAGTAGCGGAAGTGGGAGCGGTAATAGTGGCAGTGGTGGCGGAAGCGGAAGCGGAAGCGGAAGTAGTAATGCAGGAAGCTCCGGAGGGGATATCAGCAGCTTCCCAAGCTCAGTTGGTGCAGCTACGAAAGTGGGACCGAGCGGTTCTGGTAGTCATTGGGGACTCGTATTCTATCTCGCGCTTGGAATCATCAGTGGATTGGGTATGATATTGCTTTGAATGATGATTAATGTACGAAAGGGGTGGTTGGATCGGGCGAATGATTGGATGGTGAAGGACGACATGATTGGACTTCTTTTTGATGTATAAGTATGATTTCAGGCTACCACATTAGGGCTGATCTCGCCCACAGCACATTGGTCAATCACTTGACTCTACCTGTTTATGCACGCGAGGCATCCATTCGCCCTACTGTTCCTCAGTCATCATCTGCTGGAAGTCCCTCCCGCCCCTTTCTCCCTCTCCCCTTCCCCCTCAACCTAAAATACATCAAAGCTCCACCCTCAACGCCGATCTAAGCAAAGCGCCCGCTTCCTGCGAAGGCTGTAATCCACAATCTTGCTTGAAGCAATCACCATCTTTCTATACCATTGTCAACACAGAAGCAGCTGGCAAACAATTCCATGAGAATAGAGTGCAACCACGTTTCAAGTTTGAATTCCTGGAAAGATGGGTAGTGTTTCTTACCGGACAACAACTTTCCGTGTTGGGGCAACACACGGCCTCCCTGTAGGGGCAACAGGTCCAGCTGCCATCGTTCATTTTACAGCACGTTTCGTAGGATTGGCAGTAGAGCTCTGAATCGCCGCAGTGGTTGAGGTCGTTGATGCTCGGGGTTTCGGAGAGTGTCAGGGCGGGATAGAGGAGGCTGAGAGCTAGCAGGAGGGACGGAGGGGCAAGCCTTAAGCGCATTGTGAGATGTTCGACGTATGATGGGAAGTTGGCAAAAAAAGAGAAGCAGACGTGCGATCACTGTTGTTGGCTTTGAATGGGGTTTGAGTCACGTTAAAAGATGTCAGTCTTGGTGGCAGGGAAGACGACAAGATCTTATACGTGAGGGATGTCAACCCTGACTTCTGCCAGAAGAACCAAACAGGCGCTATGTTCAGTGGCGTCTGCACTTGTGAGGTCTCGGCAGGTCCAAAGGCCGAATTGGGATGGAGCCACGGAGACAACCGTGCAGGCTAAGCCATGTTGAGCAAAGTTCGAGAGGGTGAAAACTGTCTGGAGACTGGAGCAGTGTCTTGGTGTTCTAGACCAGACACGAGTCCTCTTACACCTGCTCGGAGTGACCTTCAATTCGACGCTGAAGATGCTCAGTGCTCTTCATCAGAAATAGAACTTTCTGCTGTCCAATCGAGAGCTCACCATGTCGGAGCCTCAAGAGACTCCAATCAACTCTGAAAAGATCGTCGGGTACGCAGACCACCTTGAGACCGAGGTCGAATATCTCACTGCTGCCCCAATGAATATCCAATGGTCCCCTCGGTCCCGGGACCGGGAGTAGAGGTCTGAGCAATGATATTATCTCGTGCTCGAAGATGTCTCTCAAGGCGCGCCTCTTCCCACTGTTGAAGCGCAAAGCCATGACTAAAGTGACCCTTGACGGAATCTAGACCGTCACCGTGGTCGTCTGTAGATAAGCCAAAAATCTCTCGCCCAAGCTCAAGAGAACTCTCGATTCATTGATGGAAACCTGATTTCGTGGTGGGCCCTGACTTTCAGTATGGTCAGGCCAACGAAGAGGGCAAATCTCGCTTCCTAGTTCATCACGACAAGGGTGATGTAGCGTACCAGGTAAGTCGTCGCTTTGGAGCCTTTGTGAAAGTCTTCCTCGTACCCTGAGTATCCCACCATTTTCTTCATTGCCAAGGAAAGAATTCACTAATAGCTCCATGCATTGCAAAATCTCTTCAAGACCAGTCCGATGGACCTTCTTAATCATCAGCATGCGGATCAGAAAGATATGATCTATGTTCTACTGCTAAGTCTTTATTAGATGTCTTAAGAGAGCTAAAACCATTTGCAAAAGGCGTCAGGCCGCGAGCCTCTTCATAATTTCTTCCAGTCGTACTGTTAGCTTGATCCTCGACGCTCACGGGTTGGTTTATCTACAACTTTGTAGGGACCCAGATTGAAAATTGTATGGATGCGAATGATACTTTAGGTAACTGCGAATGACAGTTTTCTTCCCAATGTCCAAATGAAGTCTACTCATTAAACTGCAGAGCTTCGTACTTGTCAAGCTCATATGCGGGACGAAGTTCGCCTTTCTCCTACGCCCACTCACGTCCTACCTAAGAGAAGAATCAGCGATGATGCTTACTACTCGTGATAGACATTGCCAAGTTCCGTCATAACGGCTATCGTCAACGGCATTTTGACACAACCTTGATGCCGTAGTCTATACAATATACAACGTCAACCAACCAGAAGCCAGAGGACCCTTCTGTCTGTGCCAAGGCTGCAAGCACTATATCAATCTTTTCAAATTGTCCTCAAAGCAGGGTAGCCAATGGCTCAAGCGAGAGGGTTGTGCTAGACCTCTTTCCGCTCCTGCCTCAGCTCCAGTTGTCAACGCCACGGCCCGCCCCAGTCTGTGGAAAGCAATTTAGCTTGTGAGCACAGCTATTCTCTCAACGCATGTCGACTTTAGCTTCAGATTGAGGAAGTGATGCAATCTTTTTTTCATTTGAAATTTCCTTCATTTCAACCTTTGTCGTGAAGATGATGTGGGGACTGCTTCAATCCAAACCGTGCGACGAGTTGAGAACATAAAAAGCTTCAAGTTTTAGCTCTTGTCATGATTGTACTGGTGATCATCGATCCTCGCAGACAATCACGATGTAGTGTGATTCAATTCGGTTACACAAATTCGCTAGAGCGACAGAATCGTGATGGCCGGGCGTCAATTCCGTAAGTCTTCCGTACAAGTCATAACACGACTTGGCTCACCTTTGATCGATACCTGGATTGAATTAGCACAGTCTTGCTCCCTGGTCATTGCAATGATCGTCCACGCCATCGTATGCGGTTGGCTCCTCAAATGAACCAGACTCATTAGTGCAGAGGAACGCGAATTATTCAGGTTCCGGAAAGATACAAACGGCATTGCGGCCTGTGCACCCCTGCCTGAAGGCCAGCTTTAGTGCCACATAGAGCGATTGGCGTCGGCCCAAAAGGTCAGAGGTAGACTCTCAACGCTGCCGTGTGACGTGCTCACGCAACGTAAGTGGCAGACCAGATCCAATGAGAAGTACAATCAAGCGGCCGGCCTTTGTGATTGAATTCGTCTCGGTCTTGCAGCAGGCTCGAGCGCTCTTTTCTTATCAGCATATTACCTTTTTGTCATGACTTACTGCTCCTTTGGGAAGTTGGACGAGAAAATCGCCCATGGCTGCTAGGAATGAGCCGTCATGGACCATCGAATTGGGAAGAATGTTTAGGACAAAACCTTTTGTCTAAAATTGTCACGTCTAGATTGGGAAATGAAGACTACATTGGTATGAGGTGAGAATGAGATAAAATCTGCGGATTTCTCAAGCTTCAACACACTCTTGGAGCCATTGAATCAATACACTCCCTTGAACTCAACAGCATATTCATACGAAACCAGTCAAAATCTGACTTGCCCTTTGAGACTTTTCAATCATGTCGAAGCCTCAAGATACTCCAATTGATTCTAAGACTGTCGTCAAGAAAGGAGACAGCCTTGAAACCGAAGCGAAGCATCTGACAGATGAGCCCATGACGATTGAATGGTCCCAGATGTGGTTCAAGAGATCCGAGACTTACTATTACATTGTGTTCAAGAACGCCACTCAAGGTACGAGCTTATGAGTCTCCCGCCCCAACAATCCTATTTTGTCTCTGACTATTGTAGGGCATGATCCTGGGCGCCTTTGGGTCAGTCAGAAGTCTCTCCAGTACTTCAAGCATAACCCCGAATCCAAAGACGGGATCCTAGCCTTCAAGGTGGACGAAGATTTTCAATATGGCCAAGAGAATTCGGAGGGCAAGAATCGCTTCCTCGTCTATCATGACAAGAACAATACGCCTTATCAAGTGAGTCGCAAGACCAGAGATCTTGAGGTCTTCTCATACATGCACTAGGTCATCCTTGGTGCCATTCAAAATCATGCTTTACTGACGGGTACATGTGTCACAGCATCGCTTTGTCCAAGGCTTGTTGATCCATCTTGGACAAGCACTCGGAGACATCGTAAGCAGTATCGGGCCGGGAATCCTCAAGAAAGCGAGTGGCGAAGTGGAGAATCAACTCCTGAAGATTTTTGGCGACCCTCTCCACAACTTCTAGCTATGCTAAACCTCTCGACCTATATCGCAATTTGACTTTTCTCATGGGAAAGGTTCGAACCTCGCATAAGCACTGATGGGATGCTTGGGAATGGCTTTGAATGCCTGGACACTCTTTTGAATGTATTGCATATTTGTATTTTGTATCTAGTCAACCGGTTAGCTTAATTCGCGGCAGACGTGCTGCTTTGCATTGATTCTCCATCTGCGCGCCACCTTGATCTCATCGCTCGTCGACGTAGAGCTGCCGAACAGTAAGAGCCTTGACAGGATTTTGCCAGTACTTGCCACCTCAACAATTATGGTGTTACGCGTTGGCAATCATATTGAGTTCATTTGCGAGAGAAGCACAAGTCCTTGCTGCTTTGATCCACGTCAAGATCGGACAAGTGTTCTGTGTAAGTAACATGATGAATCCGCTGGTGATATCGGAAGGTAGAAAGCGAGACAAAGTTCTGTCACATCGGGCCGCACTCAATTAACCCAAATTTGAGAACAACCCAAGGGACCGCATCCTCTCGAAGGACCGACATCGAGTATCTATTAAGTATATTACATGTAGCACTGGCTCATTGTTATATCACAGTCATGCTATATTCGGGGAGAGGTCGGCTTGTAAGCTTTATAGACTTGCAAGGCAGCCTCAACGTCTTGGATGAGAGCAAGAAGCGCAGTTAGGACCAACGTCACGATCGCCACCCAGAAGGTGTAGAATTGAACTTTCTTACGCTTGTCATGCCTCCACTGGCGGAAGCTCGAAGGGTCGGCGTCGTCAAATCTCTGTTTCAGAATGACGAGTCTGTCTCGCCAGAACGTGAAATTCTCGATTCGGCGATCTTTGATCTTCAGCAATGGCAGTTGAACGGCTGTCACGTCGAGCAAGCCTTGTGAACTTCTCTGCTTCTTAAACCATTGTATGACGTCTTTGTTGTTCGGTGGCATGAGGAGCGCTAATGTTCGCAGTGTCTCGTCGATGAAATTGTTGGGGAAGATCTGTCGGTTTCTAATTTTGCGAACATAACAACTTTAGCTTTCGCATTCACTCTTGTTTCTCTAAGTGTGTACCTTGTCTCTATGTTCTGCAAAAAGCTTGCGCAATGGAAGATGTGAATGATAGCATCTGGATCGTGTTCAGAGTCCCTCAGAAGTAGGTGATCTGCAAGATTGAAAGTCCATCTATGATTTCAAGTCAAAATTACATCGAGGCAAGTGAAATGAATATCGTACCGGCCACTTACTCGATTTTCAGGCCTGCAATCCTGTCAAGGTTTCTTGCATTGAACAAAATGTCAAGCTTGGTCTGGTCTATGGCAAGTACGGTCTGCGTCTTGAAATTCAGGCTGAGGAAGTCTTTGATGGTTCCTTGTTCCCACAGAATCTCTTCGCACCGATTGAGAATGTAATGTGACGGATCTCCTACTTGAATCATCAGCAACAGTCGGGCTGCAAGATCGATAGCATTATCGACAAGCGCGTCTGCGTTATTAGGTCTCGGACTTGGTACGCGCTGTTCAACGTGTTGATATATCTCCTGGCGCGTTTTGCCAGTTACTATCATTTGCACGATTTCCAAAAATTCTCGATGCGATCTGTACACAATCTCGCGTCCGCCATCTTCGAGTGCTTGTCGCCCTTGGGTAGCATAGTACTGAAAGTAGCAGTTCAATTCTGCTCTACGCGTGCTGACGTTATGTATCGTAAGCTGTCGAGCCCATAATACGTTGAGAATCTGCCTCCAACAAGTGTCGGAATCTGGCGTCTGGTTAATCTGACTGTCCAAATCAACGTGTTGACCTAAGGGTGCATGCACTATATTTGCCATCTCCGCACTACCTTACTGAGAAGCAAAGGCCGTACGAATATACCCGCACGATGGTTCTATTAGCTTCACCTCTTCTGAGTCTTCGGGGACACAAGACGCTAGGCTTCGGGGGCCATACCTATTGAACTCATGGTGAAGCCAAATTTGGCAGGATTTGCACTGGCCCCCACCATCTAGGGCCGTCCCAGCCAAGCCTTATCTTCCGAGTCCCAACCATGACTTCAGACGATATTGTTTGAGACTGATTTGCTATCTTGTTCATGACTTCGATCGGAGCATCGCCGCGACTTCTGCGTGGATACTTCAAAAGTCCTCTGACTATGATGTTTCACTCTTGAGTTACGAGATAGGTGTTGGTATATGACCCCCAATGGCTCAGAACGTATCCACGACAGTCGGTAGATTGCTGCCTGGAAAGGTTGGCAAGAGTCGACGGAGTTGTTGGGAGCTTCCCGCAAACCTTCGGGAGACGTACGACAGAGATATATCGTCCCACATACGTGGCTCATTCCGCAACCAAGAGACTACTCAATTTCGAGATATAGCCTGGTCACCCTTTATGGTTGGACTTGTAGCTTCTATCGCTGAGCCCACAGTCGTTATCTTCCGAGGTCAAGACCGAAAAGCGCGAAGAGATGCTTGTGACTTAGTAAGAGACATACGAGAAATTGCTGCTAATGGGTTTCGAGTGAAGCACAACAAGACCTCGCCAAATACGGAAGGATTGGTTGTAGTGCTTGCGCTCAGGGATGATGATTTTGACTATCAGCGCAGATTTCAGGGTCTGCCAGTGCTCCATAAAGCATGGGCACCCATTTGCGGACAATCTTTGTGGATTAACCTCAAGGTAGACGAGGGTCGGGAGTCTTTGCAAAAAGCGACTGGAGGTGGTATCATTCGCTCAAATGATAAGTACTATTACCTTACTGTTGCTCATATCATCGACAATAGTATTTTGGCCGGTCTTCAGACACGGGATTCAGACAGCGAGAACAGTGATAGTGAAGACAGTGATGATGATTCTGTTCATTCAGAAGTCGATGCGGAACTAACAAGCCGTGGAAGTATTACACCAGAGCTTATGAAATCCAATCAAGATTCGTCATCTGGGGAGAGTACACAACAGGTCTTGTCTTCTAGTCTGACGAGGTCAGAAGAGATTTCAACCGATATTATCGATCGCGGAAGCACATCGATGTCAAGTTCCTCGAAACAATCAGATCTATTCCATTTGGGAAAGACAGCATTCTCATCTGTGGATGGAGGGTTTCCCAGCCTTGACTACATGCTCATTGAGATAAGTCAACCCACTCTCCAGAAGTCGAACAGGATTCCACTTCGCGATTCTGAGGATGGCAAATTTCTGTATCCAGAGCGCATCGTCAATGGACTTTTTTTTGAGGATGCCTCTATCATCATTGTTACTGGGTCAGGTGGCTTCAAGAGGGGTTTCATTTCAGGAACTGCAACCCATGTGGTTCAGGACAATAACCACATTCAAGAACTTTGGTCCATCAGGATTGCTGGTACATTCGAAAAAGGCGACTGCGGCTCATGGGTAGTTGACGCCACGACGGGCGACTTGTATGGTCATCTAGTTGCAGGAGAACTAGAGTCAGGCTTCGGGTATCTGATACCTGCTTATCTCATCTTTGACGACATATGGGCTAATGACAATCCGAATTTCACATTATCTTCCCGACCACCCCCTTACGAAGCAACGGTTTCGAAGGCAGATGTCGTTGCTCGCGCGTATAAGTGGAACGAGTTCTGGCCACCGGGGACAAGGGTCGTGCCCCTTTCAATGGCTGATTTTGAAGGTGGCTTTCAAATTCAAAGCTCAAGAACAGTCAGTTATAAGCGTCTCGAGACCCCTGGTTCCATTCGTTTGCTGTCTTTAAAAGCAGCTTCCGACTACAGTGTCGACATTGAGTGCACATTAGACGCGAAACTCATCACTTCAGAGTCATTTGAAGCTGTCTCCTGGATTTGGAGTGTAACAGCATCGACTGAACCATTAAGGATTTCCAATAGCGGTAAAGTAGAGACAATCTTCGTAAGCGCCGAGCTCATCATGTTACTCAAATCCTTGCGTCATCGATCGGACGAAAGAACGCTATGGATTGACTATCTTTGCATCAACCAGGCAGACTATGAGGAAAAAACTTCGCAAGTAGATCTCATGCCAGAGATTTTTAAGTCTGCTTCAAATGTTTGTGTGTGGTTAGGCGCAGCCGATGAGGATAGCGACCGCGCAATGAGATTTGTGCCGCAAATGTTAACCTTGTTTATGGATGACAACGATGCGAAATTTGACGCCAAAAATTGGCGTTCATTGGTGGCCTTGATGAATCGTCCGTGGTTTTGGAGACGATGGGTGGTTCAGGAATTGGCCTTAGCTCGAGAGGCAATAATATATTGCGGAACGCAGAGCTTACGCTTTCGTGACCTTCAGATCGCCATTGACCTATTTTCTGAGATCGAAAACGCTACAAACCGCTTGAGTGATATCCTGGACACCCAGGCAAAACCTAAGGAGGATATGTTCGACCCACTCATAGACGTGCACCAATTTCCAGCCGTCAAACTCATTGAGATATTGTCTAGGTCAATCAGGAGGACTGGAGATGGGAGTATTGTCCGGATGACATCGTTAGTGGATCTAGTCGTGTCTTTTGCCATGTCTCATGAGGTTTCAACGCCCTCGGATACAATTTATTCATTGCTCGGTTTGGCGGCGGACGGCAAAGATTTCTCAGCCGCACACACAATTGATTACAGCAAGCAGCCAGTGGAAGTCTTCATTGATTTCATCCAGCACTCTATGCAGCACCTTGACCCAGCAAGGGCTCTAGATGTGATGTTGATGCCGTGGGCACCTTTACAAAAGGATAGCCGAGAGGACTTACGTTACCCTTCTTGGATAAGGGATGTGTCTCACTTCACGTTTGGGAAGCAACAAAGCCCTTCAGGACAAGGTTCTTATTTGAGACGGATTAACGCAGAGCCATTAGTTGGAGGTCCGCGGCACGTCTTCTACAGCGCCGGTACGCGTCATGCAGCCAGTGCCTCATTCGTCGACGGGCGCCATAGGAAAAGTGTGCTTGCTGCTGGAATACTGGTCGACGAAATCGAAGAGCTTGAGGAGCCTGCGTACTCTGGATACCTGCCAATAGAATGGCTCAAGACAGGGGCTGGCGCTCGCGGGAGTCGTATGTTCCAGAGGTCTTTTGGCGCACCCTTGTTGGTGATCGAGGCCCTAACGGTCGGAATCCACCTTCTTACTATGAAAGTGCTGGTACAGAAGTCTTTAGACGCTGGCCACAATTCTCTCCTGTGTTAGACACAGGTAATAGCAAGCTTTGGGCACAGGACCACATACTAAAGCTTTTCCTACGGAGAGTACGTAGTGTCATTTGGGGCCGCAGACTAATGCGCGCACGTACCGGACGACTCGGACTCGCACCACGGAACGCTAGGACGGGTGATTTGATATGTGTTCTGTTCGGCTGTAGTGTACCCGTAATTCTTCGAAGACGAGCCAAAGACCAGAAGGAGCGGAATGCAGTCGCCCATTCCATCATTTTGAAAGCTTTGAGACAAAACAGACTCTTGTCCTTGGGGAGAAAAGCAGACAGATCTAGAAGGACAATATACAATTCTCTAGGATCCCCCGGGTCTGTTCCATTTATAGAAACATTTCTACTTCTCGGTCTAATACACCTATATATGATCTCAGGGTCACAATTCTTCACGGTCACTCTGAAGTCTTGGGTTGTGATATGGCTCTTGGCTATCTCGGCTTCCGTTGCCTCATTGCTGCTTTCCATACCCGAAGGGGATTTTCATTTCGGTATGCCGACTGTTTCTGGTCTCAAGTTGTTCATCTCAAGGATCTGGCATCTGCTACTCCGAAGATATCGAGTAAGACCACAACGAAGACCAGCTGCTGCAAAAACGAATGCAGCGGTTCAACTTTTGCGAACGTGGCGACCTTCAAGGAATAAAGTATCACGTCGCTTGATGCTTGACTACGACCATACGCTCATCGGTGAAGCCTACGTCCACGGTATCATGGACGGGGAAGCTCTGGATATGCACAAGAAGGGCCAATTCAAGGAGGAGGGTTTCGAGATGACCTGAAAACGGGATGACTCGATATATTGCAGCGTTGTCGGCTATGAGATTTACTCTCTCCTGTGCGATCTGGAGAGCTCAGCCTTCCAACGGAAGTTATTTATCAAGGCCATCTGATATTGATTATCTCTCACGAGAATCATATTCACAGTGAGAGACTGGAACGCTTCGATAAAGGCTCTTTGAAAGATGTCGACAGCTTGAGCAGCCTGAGAGTCACGGATGAGGGTGCTCGAAGGCTCTGAATTTGACCTACCTTTGGCCGCGATTTCTAGAGCAGCTCAGACATGGCAAGAACGCAACATTGAGACATCAAAAGTGACAATCTTCATTGATTGGAAGCGTTATCGAACATGAATTCGCCATATCTGGTGAAAGAGGTGCCAATCAAAATTTCCTTGCTCTCACGGCCTCGATAGAAACACGAATTATCGAGCTCGTGGCACCTCATCACCCGCAACAGACGCCGTAAGAGCCCATCTCAACACTACCCCATGAAAATTTCCTCAAATCCCCGAATCAGGCGCCATCCCCTTCTCCCCAATCCCACAACTCTTCCCGTCACCAGGCCACCAATCCCTACAATCGCCCCACCACTTGTTCCACCCATCACACACCCTTTGCGCCTCCCTCAGCGGCGCCGACTTCTGATAGCTCGGCCAAATCGTCTTCGCGACATCCTGACGCTCCAGGATCTGGATCGCAAGTCCGAACGACGCGTGGAAGGCGATGTGGCAGTGCATGATCCATGTCCCCGGGTTGTCGGTTTTGAAGGCGATGACGACATTGCCGCCTTTTTGTGGGAGCATGACGACGTCGCGGCGTGGGGGTTGTTGAGCTTGTATCTTTTGGGGTCGGGGATTTGGGTGCCTTCGTTTATGTCGAGGATGGCGAAGTCGTGGCCGTGGAGGTGGATCTGGTGGTTGGTTAGTGTTGGGCTGGGTTTGACGAGGGGGTGGGGGGTTTGCGTACGGGATGCGCGCCTGGGCTTTTGATGACGAAGTAGACCTGTAGTAAACTTAGCTCAGAGTCCTCACGAAGTGGGTTGGGACTGTGTGGGGATGAATGACGACTTACCCAATCCTTGTCAGTAAAGTGGTTCTCTGGGAACACGACCCAGAGTGGGTCCCACTTCCCTGAATAATTCAAATTCAAGAATATTGGATCTCCGTAATTGACATACATGGGGTTAAACGTGTCGCCTCCCAGCGAGAACTTGGCAAGTGGGAAGATATCGGATGAAGTCGGTGAAAATTGCAGAGTTAGGTTCTCGCCGACCTTGTTGACAGGATCATTTGCTGGCGGTCCAATCGTCCAGGGAACAACAGGTACCAGATTCGTATAAACTTCATCCGTACAATTGAGGGTCACATTCCATGCCGTTGAGGTTGGCTCGGTTGTAGATTTGGTGTATCGCAGAATTCCAACTCTGTCTCCGCCGTCTTGCTGATTTTGATTGAAATCGGTACATCCTATTGAATACACTTAGTACAGTCAAATCTAAGAGCGAAACTTTGAGCAGTATACCGGCTTGTTTGGCCCGGATCCAGAAATTATCGTCGCCTATTGGTTTTCCGTTAGGATCAACTTCGGCTTGAACGACTACATGATAGCGCTGCCCAATTGCGACCATCACAGATTTCGTGCTGTAATTATGAATTGGCACAAAGTCAGCACCAACCGGATTGAGCGTATGGTTGTCAATGGAGAAGATAAATGAAGAGGCAAAGGAGGTGTTGATTAGTCGCAATAAGTAGCGCTTAGCCCTGTTGTTGACGGGCTTCGGATCAAAGTATATCGTGAAAGGTGTCGGTATGTTGGACGTAACCGCAAGAGGCGTCAAGGTACTGTTGTAGCGAGTTGCGTTCCCTCTACCGTTTAGCAAGATGCTTGGGTTTCCAAAATTTCCTGTCTGGATGGACTCGAATGCGCTGTTATGTCCCCAATCGGTCATAAAAAGGGGATCTACAGCCTCGTCGTAAGGCATGATAGCTGGTCCGTGGAGTGTAAGTGGACCCAGGAGTCCGTCTGCATATTGTACTGAATAGTGGCTGTGGTACCACGAGGTACCATACTGTTGGACCTTCCAGCTATACGTAAAACTGTCGCTAGGAGCAATTGGGCATTGAGTGATGCCGTTCACGCCATCCATGTGTGTTGTATTTAGTTGCCGTATGCCATGCCAGTGGATACTGGTGCCGTTACCGCCATTGAATTTCATCCAATTGTTGATTTTGACGGTCACGGTGTCGCCCCAGCAGGCTTGAATCCACGGGCCAGGATATTTACGATCGAACAGCTTCGCACCCCGGAAAAACACACCATCCAAGTTGATTGATGTGTCATCCGTAATGTCTAGCTCATAGTACCGTTCAACTCCTGTCGGTCCATTCTTTTCGTAGTCGGTATTGATGTCAAATCTCTCACCGGTATTCTTGACAAGCCAGCAAGTTCGATTATCCGAGGTCGAGCATTCACCCCAATTGATCATTTGAGTGTAATTGCAAAAGAAATCAGAGCCATCGCCGGTAGCTGCACCACCGGGAGGCTTGAAGATAGGACCAGGCTGATCAGCGAAAATAGTGTCGGGGTTCTGAACGAAAGGTTTCTCAAGCCCCTCAAGCCCTAGGGGAGTCTGTTCTTGGATACCTGGCTCTCTGAAGGGTGCTAAGGTAAAGAAGCCTACGATGGAAGTGAGCGAGGCCCAGAAGTTTTCTTTAAAATGCATCTCGAGCTATTCTGAGAAGCCTGTTCTTTGAACGAGCCTATATTGTGTTGACCTGTTCGACTGGAAGAAGTTTTATATATGTCAAGGCTACCAGACGACTTGTGATCTTGTCGACTTTTGAACCTTCCAAAGTTGTTTGGGATGGGGTTTCATCACGATATGGGGGACACTTAAGTCATCAAGATTTCAGCCGCACGCTCTCCTGACCACAAACCTGCATAACCGTCTCACCTGCAGCAGGCTGAAAATCACTCACCGCCATGGATATTCAGTCCCCATGTCATAGCTAGAAGCGCAGGCCAGGGGCTATCCAAAGAAGAGATCCTGCTCGACAATAGCAAAGAAAAGCGAATGCACGATCGTTGGGGTCCTTCCGAACATGGTAATCTACAATGCAGTCATAGGACTAAAGAAGCATTTGATTCACAAAAAACAAAGACTTCTGGACGCTTGGGTCAAAGCGATCGAACATGCCATCGGGTGTAAGATTTTAGCATCGTGAGATTCCTCAGGTGAGACCCGCACCATTCGATGGGCTGCGCCAGAGTCAAGGCCATTGAGTGGTAGTACACTAGATTTCATACCATTGACCGAATGGTGGGATATCTAGCGAAAAGTTGTGGACGCGATTGGATTGGTGCTATCACAGACGGGATTTTCTACTGCATTTTCGTTGCCAAAAGCGAACCCTTCATCGCACTGATGCGTTGTTAGCCCAGCTAGGACGTCACAAAAGCTTAGTCCTTCGTGCCGCCGTCCAACCCAAATATGTTGCATACACCTTTACTAAGTAAGGTACCTTAAGGTATGGTGGTGTCAAGCTTTTTGTGGTCGGTTGTCTAAGGAAAGTCATCTTGAGTAATGGGCAAATGGTACTCTAGCGGCAACGCAGGTCTTGCATAAGCGCAGTGCGGGGTACGAGGCATTTACCGGTCAGCATTGCACGATCTCTCCAGCTCTTAATGTGGGGACATGTTGCGCCTGCAGCAACAGCGGGGGAATGAGAGGACATATTATGCATGAAATAGGGGTAAAGAAGGTGTCCCTAATACCTCTAGTCAGCCGTAATCTACGGCGGTCTGTACTGATGAATGGGCTATATTGGTAAAGATGAATTTGACAAAGAATAATGCAGACGCTAGTGATGAGCATGTATACTTGATAGGACTTCTGCTAGACTGTCATGATGATAGCAGCGTCCATAATGGAAGCGTGCACTGAAAGATGGGTTCTGCGGAAAACCAGGGAAATTGTATTGATGCTACCGTTCCATCAATGGTCGACAGCCTGGGCTCATTGCGGTGAACAGCTTGCCTGATAGGCCATGACTAATCTCACATCGTACTCTATTCCAGCACATGATCATGCCACTATGGTCGTGGTGGGTGGTAAGATTCAGCCCGGCCATTATGACTGCACTTAGTAATCAGTCCAGGCCACTAGTAAGGCTGAAGGCAACACCTCGATCGCCGTTGGCGAGTATACGATGTCTCTCCGAAAGCACTGTTGAAATCTTTGCTCCACTGTCATCGCTACACGCGATTGAAGTTTCTTATCATGCCGACTATGTGGGAGAGATTTCGGTAGCAAGAGCAACCCATGCTTGTGCCTTTGCTCGACGATGTCGAAATCATAGAAAAGTCTAAGCTCAACTTCTACCTGGCCAAGATACCGCATGTCTGACACAACCATAGCCAAATCAATCACACCCTCTCCAACCGAACAGTGTCCAACGTAAATCAGTGCACATTTAGTCCAGAACTCGTTGGGTTTCTCAAATCTGATCATCCTAGCTGATAGGGCGACTTCACTGCACGATTCCTGTCTTCTTAGTGTCGTCCTGCGAACTTGAAGCAAATCTCGAAGTCTTCACTCTACGTCGGCAACTTCGACTTCCGAAGAGAATAACTTGAATGGACTCCTCCATATATGTTTGAGTTTATTTTTTTGCAGAGGGCAGTCCCAGATATTTCTCAGTGAAAGTCCACTGTGGATTGAACTTTGCGGCTTTGCGTCTTGCACCCGGTGAGTAGTACGTAGGCTTTCGACATATCTCTGCACGAAGGCTGTGATGAGCCGCATCAGGGCCGTATAGTCTCGAAACTGCCGCAGAATGTATTCTCAGACCGCGTTCGAAGAGCCAAATCCAGTCGGCTGTGGTAGCAAGAAAATCCGCCAATAAGGCTCTATCAACGAATGTCCAGTGTCTGTAATCCAGTGCCTCAAGATCAGCGCCGTGTTCAACCAAGCACTTGATCATAGACACTTTCCTTTTTGTTGCTCCGGGACGTACTAGAAGTGCAAAAATGAGGGGAACAAAAGATGACGGCTCCTCGCCTACGGTAATTGTTTGGTTAGGGTCAGCATCATATTCCATGAGAACTGACAGTGCCTCTTCCAAATGGGCCTCATTCCATGAGCCAGAGATCATCATCGAGATAGACGATAATACTTGTAGCGAAGTCACTTCACCATACCCGTAGTCGTAGCGGTCTGCGACATTCGCACCATGACGCAACAAGAGTTTGAGCATTACAATATTCAGGGCACCATTCTCATCAGACTTCAACCAACTATCCGAGTATGCGAGATCAACAGCGAAGTGGAGTAAGGGCTTCCCGACAAGACGAGATATTAGACCTGGGTTCTCCTGAAGCTTTTGCTCCACATAATAGTACATACCCACTGAAATTGCGTGCGTGAAGAGATTGAGATTTGTAATTTCAGGGTCTTCGATTGACATGAAGTATAGCGCAGGCCACGAGGCGTTATTTTCCGAGCACATGATCCTATCGATTTGATCTAAGATCCCGATGTACGGCTCAAATTTGAGCTGATCGGCACCGCTGGCGTGCCACAGTAGATTATCGTCCCCGTACACAGGGGCACCGAAGCAGAGCTCCTCCCGTCGAGTCTTTGGTGTCCGAAGCCAGTAGAGATGAGTACGTAAGAAAATGAAATCCGCTTTGTCTTGCGCAGATACTGGCTTACCCTTCACATGGTAGAGAAGGAAGGTAAGGATCGAGGATTCGATCAGGTACTCTCGAACGGTTTGATGCAAGACTTGTACAGTATATCTGTTAAGCGAGATTGATTGTATTCTAACCTCGAGAAGCCCTCCTGAGCAGGTCTTGATACGCCTTTCGAGGGCCGATTTACTACGAAGAATAGAACTGACCTGATCGTCAGAGACTCCGTGAAGATCTTGTGAACAACTCTTTTTACGAGTCTCCAGTATGAGCCATAGGTCTAACAAGCTTATCGGCTGTCGGGCCCGAAGGACACATTCAAATATGACGTAAGCATCGAGCGTTGAGTCAGGTGGTATTCTCCTCAAAATCAGCACGTAGAGTTCACGCAGTTCCTGAGGCGTTTGTCCAAGCCTTTCTTCGAGATCATCAATACCCAAAGCGAGTCCATTGGTAAGAGAATCACGTAGATCCTCAACGATCAATCGTACCCAGAGAAACACCCCTTCAGCTTTATGCACAATACTTGCCATGAGAGTTCTTGCTCTTTCACTTATCGTTATATGTTGAGACTGAACTAGGGCCCTCATGGGAGGATGCTCGCCCAGCTTATCGCCTACATAAGCCTCAATGTCTGGCCTGGTCCACTCTTGCATTTTGAAGCCATTGTATGAGGAAAGAAGCTCGGACAGATCATTCTCAGGCCTACTTGCTGTGCAAATTTTGAAAATCCCATACCCAGCATCGGATGGATCACTTGCAAGCTGCATTAAAAAATTACTTACGTTCCTGCGAGAATGTTTGCTTTCGTCATTTTCATCGAGCGCATCAACGAAATAGCACATTTTGAATTCGACGATTTGTTGATTTTTGCAGAACAGAAGTGCTTGTTGTAGCGACAGAATACTCCATTCGTGAGGTGACTGTTCGAAGGTTGAAGTCTCCGGAGTCTTACCTCTTTTCCTTAGACTAAACGGTACTATGAGTTCCTGCAGCTCAGTCACCTGGGTCACAAGCTGATCTAGCAAGGATGCAAGTAAGCCCTTCCATGACCGCTCTACTTCGCTAAGTCTATCAGTGAAAAACACTCCGGCCAGTCTCCATTTAAGGGGTCCGGTTTTAAGGTTGAGACTCTTTACCGTCTGGGGGTGGTGTAAAAGGAACTTCATTGCAGTTGATTTCCCAGATCCCGGTCTCCCTTGGATCCAGAAGACCCCCCATTGGTTGCTGAGCCACTCAAAAAGTCGTGGAGAATCTGGACCTGTCCCGGCTCTCAATAACCAATATAATGTTTGACCATGTGCAGGTTCTACCTGTTCTTCCCGTATGTTCGTGACGGCGCAGTCTTTGAGCGCTTTCATGCAATCTGGGATATAGCCATCAATAGGTGACGAGGAACTAAGATTGAGCAAAAAGTTTTCGCCGACGCTCCTAAAAGTTATACTTGATGGGTGGACTGACTTTCTTGTTGCGTCTTTGATTCCTTCGACATGCGCTCAGAATGTCGCTGTATTTCCCGACGCACCTTGTCTCTGTACTCTATATGGCTACGACCGGTCTTAGCAAATTTGCACATTTCAATGTGATTGGCATTGATTCCCTGCTTTCGTTCGTGCTTGTGATCAAGACCTGAAGAGTCGTTTTCCACAATCTACAAGTTTCAGCGATTTCAGCCAAAGACTTGCGATACTGTCCTACCTTGGAGTCGAGACCTTTGATAGATCGGAAGCTCCGAGTCTCTTGAAAAGACGTTATGTAAAAAGCCTCCTAATCGAGCATTTTAGCAAATGATTCCCGGAGAATCAGAAGTATTTCAGAATTGGCTTGTAGCGCCTTTAGATTGTAATCATCAGAAGAAAACCCCAAAGCAGACACAGCCTTTTCGAGAAATTGACCCAACCCCGCCCAGTCGCTCCCTCTATGAGGCGTCCCAAAGAATATCGCAGCAAAGGTTGAATCATATATATCACGAAGATCTTTGTCTGTATCGTCATGTTCTGCCGATAAACGAAGAGCCTTGCAAAATCAGCGGGCAGATCAGATCACTTGTGTCACTTACCGATTTGATGATCAACCCGCCAAGAGAATGTGTTATTAGCATCAAAGGACGCCCGACTGCATGAGAACGATGAGCAGCAAGGCCGTTCAAGAATGTTCTTCCGTTCTCAGTCAAGTTTTCATGACTGGGCCTGTCGTTGCCGAAGAAGTAGCTGACTCGGGATGCATAGCCGTATGTCAAAATTCGGGCTGAGGGGAAATGTTCCGGTAGCATGTCTCTCGGCCAAAAGGTTCGGCTTTGTTGTTGAGTCGCCTTCTCATCCTGCCTAAAGAGGTGCAAAGCTTTGCTGAGAAATGTGCGTTGGATATCCTTGTTATTCGAGTCACTTTGATCTGCTTGTTGCACATATTCGATGTGTGTCCAAGTCAGTTCAGGATGACCCTGTAGTCCATGGACAAATACAATATCAAAAAGAGGCTTTGGGCCCCCAGAGGCGAGCAGCGTGAATCCCTCTCTCTCAACAAGATCATCTGTGATGCTCCCCGGTGACCCGACGGCCTCATGATCGTAGGACGTCATGCTCGAATGGCATAGCGCTGAAATCTGATGAGGCCACTCCACTTGATTCCAATGGAGATGCAAATTTTGCTCTTTAAGCCCGACCACAACAGACCATTCAACTGCAGGCAAGCTGCGCGACTGAAATGTACAGGCCGTTCGACGTGTCGATGCAAATCAATCCAGCGCCAGTATTACAAGCTGAACTCGTTGGAGTCCGCAAGTGAAAGTGGACAGTCCCGGTGAGATCTTTATCGAACGGAAACCAGGCTTTGCGCAGAAAGCAAGGGTGGACACCCTAAAAAGAAGGTGGATGACGATCGACGTAAGCCACCCTGGCGTTCTAGTCTGCATATAGTGTAGCGGAAGGCACCCACGGACCTCTCCTGCCTTGTATCGGAGACACAATTATACAGTGGCAGACTACTTGGAAAGGACAACATCCAATTATTGACGGGAGTGCTTACTTGCTCACTGTGGAAACCGTAGTAGAATTTGATCGTAGGCTTATTGGCTCCCACTATTGTTACTTCAAGTGGATCGATCAGCCATCAATGATTAGATCCCTCTTGCTCACACCACCGCTGACATATTAGGACGAACAAATGGGGCAATGAATCGAAGTGCAAATCAGTGCCATGCTTCAAGGTCAATTATATTCCATTGACGTTAAATCGGCGATTCCTCCCATGAGACTGTTTACCCTTGATCGGACACCGTCATATACAGCATTCTGGGTCCAGGGCAGGGCATCACTGCACACTTCATATCCTGTAGGTGTACTATGCGTAGGTGCGTTCGACCATGCCTTCGGCATGTCTAAGCAAGGGAGCTTTTTGCGCGCCAAGCTTTTGCACAAATTATGAAATGCTTGGCTCATGCCAAGATAATTGCATATTCCAAATCTAAAGATACTATCGTAGATCAACAACGCATTGTTCGATACTATTTACTATAGAAGATTTGATTCATGATTCCAAATGGATTTTACCGCGAAGATTTCTTTATCTTGTTCAATCTCGACGAGATATCGAGCTTGTAAAACATTGCCAAGACCTAAATATGCAACATTACTAGCACGCGAGAGACGTGGCATCCATTACCTTAGTGCTTATGCTATGGCTGATCACACCTGTCACAGGCGGTCCTTCCGCTAAACTACATCAACAACATGTCGCGAAAGTTCAGGCGGTGACTTCCTCCATTCTGGTGTCCATAAAAACAATCGTTAAAAACTCTGATCTGCGATTTGACTAACGAACAGCCCGGCTAAAGGTGAAACTTTTTGTCAGAATGCAGATATCTGTAGCACTCCTCGTTCTTCCATCATCATGGCTGATCTACTGCATGTATAACCTACTGACCAACTACCGCCAAGCTACGAAAATTGGTGTTCCTTGTTTCGTAGCTTTGATCAGCCCAGATAATCAGATCTGGATAGCCTTGCAGACTGGCTTTCCCACTATCTTTAGAAAGATTCCATGGGCGTCGATACCCCTGTTGCGCCATTCTCGTCTGGGATGGGAATTCCATGACCGATATCGCACCCATCAGAGGTTGGGGGACGCTTTCGTGCTTGTCACACCCGCCAAAAACTGGGTACTGGTTGGCGAAGCCCAAGCTGCTGACGAGATCCTGACTCGAAGTCGCGATTTTGACAGGCCGGTGTGGATGACGGGTGAGAGTCTGTGGAATGTTCAGGGACATGACTGATAACGTGCAGAAATGTTGGATGTGTTTGGGCGAAGTGTTTCCACCGTAAGCGATTCATTCAATAAACAACATCGGATAGATCTAACGATTCCACCCTAGGCAGAAGGACCCGACTGGCAGCGACAACGACGACTCACTGCTCCTGCATTCAATGAGCAAAAGAGTCCCCTAGTCTGGGCAGAGTCTCTTCGACAGGCCGGCGACATGCTACAGTCATGGCTCTCACATGATGCCAGTGGCTTTACGTCTACCTCTGACGACATCAGGACACTCGCTTTAGACGTCTTGGCCTATACAGGCTTCCAGAAGTCGTACGCTTGGCGAAGCAAAAAGGAAGCAGCCATTGTCGACCAGGCAATGACCTATAGAGACTCATTGTCGATTATTCTTGCGAATGTCTTAACGATTGTAGTCCTTTCTCCTCGCTTCTTCCAACTCCCATGCCTTCCACAGCGTCTACGACGTGTGGGTGTGGCTATCAAAGAATTCAAGAATTACATGCTCTCCCAGATTACGGAGGAAAGAAGATTAGAGGCCCTCGGGCACGCAGGCTCTGGAACGCTCGTTAGTAACCTCGTGCGGGCATCCTCGGAGGATTCTCAGGGGAAATCAAGTCAGATGAAACCTCTAACAATCGACGAAATCCTCGGCAATATCTTCGTCTTCAACTTTGCTGGGCATGATACAACTGCCATCTCGATGAATTATGCTCTAATGCTCCTCGTTGCTCGTCCAGACATCCAAGACTGGATCGGCGAAGAGGTAAAATTCTACCTGAAAGACGGTCAATCAGCCACATGGAAGTACGAAGATTCATTCGAAAAGTTGAAGCGCTGTCGCGCTATCTTGGTAAGTAGCCTCTCACATGACAATATTCATCTCTCACTATGACAGCTCGAAACTCTTCGTCTCTACAATCCTCTTCCTGGTATCATCAAGTATACGAGCACCGTACAAACTCTCAAGGTCAATGGCAAAAGTTTGCACATTCCAACAAATACACTCGTAGTCCCCGCTCTGCAAACATTGCATACTCACCCCAAATACTGGGGTGCAGACTCGCTATCTTGGCAACCAGAGCGGTGGATTCGCTCCTCTCCGCCATCTTCACAAACGCAAGGTGACACGCCAAGTATATTAAATGAAGAGCTACTTGAGCCCGAAAAAGGCACTTTTATCGCATGGTCAGAAGGCATGAAGAAATGTCCAGGCAAGAAATTCGCGCAAGTTGAGGCAGTCGCTGTTCTAGCAAGACTTTTCCGCGATCATCGAGTTGATCCTGTTCCCATGAATGGGTGCAGCACAGCACAAATGTTGGCTAAGGTGATGGCTGCTGTTGAAGATAGCGATGTCGAACTTCTCTTAGGGATGCGAGATCCACGATCTGTGTCTGTGCAGTGGAGGAAAACTTAAATATCCTTCATTACCAAGCGCTGCCACCCTAGTCGTCATCATTGTTACACTCTTGCATACTCTCGTCATCATCGCTATTTGACCCTGGAAAATCCGCCTCTATAGTATGGTGTATACCAAAATCACCGTCCTGTTGAGGGTTGAAGTTTGGACCGTACGAAATTTCGTAATTACCCGTGGGAATGATGTCAAGCGTCCAGCAGAGTCGGTCTACAGCAGCTTTAACGGACTCGATTTCTTGCGCAACGAGTGATTGGCGTCTAGTGCGTATTTCCTTCTGCTTTCTTATCGACCACGCCAAAACCTCCATCTCTAGAATCCCAATGAAGGCCCATTTTGTCTGTTGAGATAGGAGAGGAGCCTCATTGGTCCTTCCCTGCAAGAGAAAGACGGCTTCTCGCAAAACTTCGTAAGACTTGCGATCGAGCAACTTCTTGACGCGTGATGCTTTGATTGTCTGTTGTAATTATTTCGCCAATGTATTGACGTCCTTTGCAGTAGGCTGGGCTAAATTTGGGACTGTTAAGCTTAGTCATGACGTGTGTGATAGCCATCTCAAGGACGAGTATACTTTGGATAGGCTCGTGGAAGGCCTTTCTCATGCGACGACGCGCTTTTTCCCGACGGTTTTTAGTCGGAGGGCGGCTCGGCAGAGTTGTGATATTGGAGGGGAGGGTTCCATTTTGTTGAGCACCTGGTAAAGTACGACAGGGCAAGGCGCTGGAGGGAGGTGGGAAGACCGCAGACGCGTTTGAATTCAAAGATTGCGCCATTAAGTGCTCGGAAAATAGATAGCAAAGACGGATAAATTAAGGCGAGAGAATGTCGAGGGGCAAATGGATAAGCAATGTCACGATTTTGATACCGTAGAGAACCAATTGCGCTTCTAATGTTATGAGACAGACATCAAAAGGGCTGTGGTGACAGAAGGAGAAAAATTCTGGTGGCGAGTAGCACTCGATCTCCCGTTGGCTGCACCCGTAGGTTTTCAAACGTATATAGCGTGCAATAGCAGTAGATTCTTTCATAAGAGAACTCAGTAGCGTTGGAGGGGGAGTCATTGATCGCTTTCCCGATGAGGCTCGCTTTCTCTTTTGCCCTTTTCCTCTCAAAAAGTCTTGGCATTTTTGCCAGGGTTCGATCCTGAGCTGAAAAAGAAGAAATCTTTTACGAAAGGTTTTTAACAGACTTGAGGCAGACGTAGAAATCATATGAGGGTACTCAACCATTTTTGACGTCCTTAATCTCTCATCAGCGGGAGAACAAAGCCGACATGGACTGATCTTGCTCCAATTCTTTAGCAGGTACCATTCTCTCAAAATGGAGCGCATTGTGGGCAATGCTCTAGCAACGACATTGCTGCCTTCGCCCATTGGTATATGAGCTTTCCACTATCCTTACACCTCTAGTAGCTGGTCAGGAGTCTCTTTTCTAGAGATGCAGTTGCAGAATGATGAAGGGATGAAGTCACGAAATTAAAATTTAATCCGGGCGCGCCAGTGCCAAGTTCGGCTGATCCTGCCATACAAATTATATGGACGAGTCCGCCAACTCAGGCAGCTTGCAGGTACGCTCGAATTTAGAATGGAAACTTCGCAAATACGGAGGATGCGTAGCAAGTGTAGGTTTGCGACTTCACAAGCGTGCGATTTCCTAATCTCCAAAGCACCGAAAAGTCATACTTTCTACCAGAATTGGAAATAGGGCTGTCTCTGGGCGGATACCGCACTGGACATTCTGACATGGCCCCCAATGGCTCGCTGCCATAGCCCACTTACACCTCATGGGTTTCTCACTCTCAAACTGGTTCATCATATACTCTGTAGCATCTGTGATGAAAGATGGGTCTGCATGTCTCCATGTGTCTTCATAAAGATCATAGCATCGCAACTTTAGCGAACCCCCTTGGAAATCCCACATTCAAAGCTTGCCCACTACGGTGGCCTCAATCTCGAACAGAAGCTCTGGCAATGCCAATGCGGCAACGTAAAGTAGAGTATCTGGCGGTGGCTGCATACCCTCCCAGAACTTTCCCAACAATGACTTCCTGGCTTCTTCATCCGCCTTGACCCCTGGCTTGCCAACGATGAACAGTCGCACATGGACAATCTCTTCCTTCTTGCAGTTGGCAAATGCGAGACATTTACTCAAATTTTCTAGAGCAAGCTCAAACTGGCTGGCGTAATCTGGTGCGACATTGCCTTGGGGATCTATTCCGACCTGGCCGGCGAATGTGATCAGTCTTGCGGTATCAGAGATCGGAGTAATCGCTATATGGCTGTATGTTGGTACTGGAGGATGAATATCCGGTGGGTTATAGATCTGCCTCTGGGACTTTGACGTATCCTGTTCTGACTGCATTTTGGAGATATCGAAGCAGATATCTAGTATGTGGACACGTTATATCGCTGGAGAAGAAATATGAAAACGAAAGGATGGAAAAGGTCCATGCTGGTCATTAAACAGCTTCCACAGTGAGCGATTACTCATCTGTATTCCTGAAGAGGACTAGCGCATGGAGATTACCATATCTTTTCTTACAGGTATTACACCGAGCCCCTGAATGCCGATAGAATCTCCAGATCTTCAGACAGCAAGGGCTCAAGGGACTTGATCAGCGTCAGATCTACGTCAACATGCTGGACTATGGAAGGGAATCCGTCCTCCACTTCTTGCGATCTACCGCACAGCTGCATCGTTCAAAATTCTCGCATGAAGTTGGAAGATTGTCAACCCTCATCTGCGTTGCATGGAGACCCTCTCATAGGAGAATCGATCCCTTCGCTGGTCTACTCCAGTTGATAATGCAATAAACCCAACATATGGCAAAGTTGCCAGAGTTCAACACAACGTTACGCTCACACCCGCTTGGGCTTTTTCAATTATGAATGATGTTATGCTAGCAGTAAGCCAGAGAAACCCATGTCAATCATTCAGAAACAATTTCAGCTGCAACATCCAATGACCATCATGGCCAGGCGTCTGACTGAAACAATACCACATGGTAATCTCGCGTTCATGTCGTGAAACTCTAGTCGAGCGCCACTTCGAGCGATTGCGATGCTAGTGTTCCTGATATCAGGCGATCTCGAGGCTGTAAGACGGCCCAAGCTAGATCATCGACATCATTTTCGTCGCAAAAACGACTTGATTGGGAAGAGTCTTGCTGCTGTTCCCGTGAGCTTGGTCTCAGCCTTAGCTTGCAATCATCGACTATCACCTTCAAAATGCTGCATCAAAAGGCCTGAAAGAGGAGCTAATAGATCATTCGGTCGGCTGCCACGTTGATATTGAAACATCGATTCAGAGAACTCAGCCCCATAAGGCGAGCCACTACAATCTCATCTGCATTAGTCTCTGGTCGCCTTACGCTACATCGCCCAAAAAGACTATTCTGAGGATGACTAAAGAGCGCACTAAAGCTGCGGTGCAGCGCCTAGATCGTTATGCGATCCAATCAAAGGCAAATCGTTCCTGTAGAGCCCTATTCCTTTCAGATGGTATCTGAAAGCTTGAATTTTCTGATAGTGCTTATCGAGGCTTGAGCACTTAGTAGACTGTGTTTTATCACAACGCGCCAGGCACCATTTGTGATAGGTGAACGCCTAATGTTTCTCCTAGCGCTTGACCGTTGTTTCTATGTTCAAGTATCTGAGCCTCCACAAGTCTAGGCGACCAGCACTGTAATGTCGGCGCCGCCCCCTTTTCCCGCATGTGATGCTGGCCTGAGAGCACGTTAGAAAGCGGAATTCTGGCTGAATTTTTCAGAACCAACATGGCATTGGGCGCCTGGAGCATGGTATCTTCCCTTCGCTTTCGTATATACAAAGCATCCCCCCTTTCCGTACAATCCTCTCTATCAGCAAGCCTTTGAATCCTCAAAGAACGAACATTCAAGATCTATTGAAGTTAACCAGCGTCCAAATTGCCAAAGCTCATTTCCTTCAATTGATCACCCTCCCTAAACCATCCTCGTCGAACATGTATGCCACGTCAAGCATGGCATCCTTAGCCTTTGCGCTAGGTCTGCTATGGAGCAAAGCCAATGCCGTTCCCTTCGGAGGTGGCATGGGCAATTGCTACTCACCGGGGAACCCAGTGAAGCAATACGATGTCACAAACACCGCAAAGAACTGGCAAGGTGATCCAGTGGTTGGTGATTGGTCATGTGTTGGTACAGGAGGGAGTAAGCCATCTCTGTCTTTCCATGCAGAATATCTTCTGACAAAGGCTAGCCTGCAACATGGCAACTCAACAATCCTACTCAGTTGCTGTGACCGTTGAGGTCGGATTTGACCTAGGTCTTGACTTCGAGAAAATTGCCGGCTCGGCCGGAATCTCCGCCTCTGTCTCCACCACCACCGAGACAGGGACCACTCAGGGAATCTCCAAAAATTGCCCGGATGGTCCTTGGAGTTGCGCTCTTATTATCTGGCCAGCTGTGACGAAGATTGAAGGCATTCAGACCCCACTTACGGCTCTATGCACAGTGGAAACGGAGAATGCAAAACCATACACTGTCCAGATGCCAGAGGTGGGTCCTGATGGACTGGTTGGGGGACATGTAGATGTCTGCGCATGCAAGAACTTTGCGCATTGGGCGGATCCGGGTGCACCATCCATCGTGTGCCCACAGGATTGCAAGAACTAAGTATTGTGGCAAGAGAATGCTGCTACCACCGCCATGCGGCAGAAACCATACAGATCAGGCTCGAAGGAGCAGTTGTTAGGTGAGCCAGCGATGGCAAACATCAGATTGATTGAAAAGAATTTGTATTCTAATGTAGAAGCATCTTGAACTCTTCAGCATAGCGTCATTGGAAGGTTAGAGGCCTTGAAATTCTATTCTATTCTTATTCAATTTAACGCAATCAGCATTTCAACCCAACTCCAAGAGCGACTGACTTTAAAAAGAATATGTCAAGGGATTCAGTGCAGACGAGAAGCAATGTTTAATACCCCACGCCGTCCTTCCTGGCCTTCGACCTCTGATGCTAGGTCTGGAGCGGATCTTCCTCTTAACATTTGTATGGTCTATCATGCATGGATATGACGAGACAATGTTGCGTCGGATGATGAACACAGCGTATTAGAATAGAAGGGTTTCATACCGATCACAGAGTCTTCTTGAAGAATAGACTACAATTGAGCAAAAAGGTCGACTAGCAAGAGACTTGTCCAATAGCGGATGAGGTAATTTGCGTTATCTTCGCCTTCAGCCCTACGACTGCCGCGGAGCGAAGTGGCCGTCATACTTCACACCGCCTACAGAATTTTCACACAACCCACCACCTCCCACCATTGCTCTGCTATTGTTCTTGCTACAGGGCATATTTACATCCTCACCTTCGCCAAAACACTTCCACCAATCGTAGATGATCTGATACAAGCCCTCGGACGCCACACCCTTCGCGTACCACCACACTGGAACCTTTACACCCAGCCCAGTGCTGAAAGCACTACCGCGCCTATGCGTTGTACGCCATCTGTATTTACGTCGCAGGTATGCTTGTCACAACCTTGGCCACATGCATCTGTACCATGCTAATGTCCCTTCCAACAGGACTATATCTCAGGTATGTTCAGCCTAGAAGCTACCTCAAGCGACAGAGTAATAACCAAGCATAACGCAGACCACTTGTGGAAAGCCTCTGTGAGCTGAAAACAAACTACCACGATATCCACTTTATACCAACTTCAACGCCATTTTCTCGAAAATGTTCCTCCAATTACCCAAAACCTCGACGAGCCTCATGATCAAGACGGCCACTAGGCCAACCGCTTTAAAATTCCAGGCTCGTGGCTTTGCAACCGTGCAACACAACACCCCACGAGATGTGCCTCAGAAGAATGTGCGACGAACACCCGTCTCGCTTGACTCGGCCAATTTCACAATCAAAGTACGCACGCTCTCCACTTTTTCTCTGAGCTGGGACTGACAAGTCGCAGGGTGGACCCGTTTTCTCAGGAAAGTCATTTGGCGCAAAGACTAGCATTTCTGGGGAAGCAGTGTTTACGACATCTCTCGTCGGATACCCAGAATCCCTCACCGACCCTTCCTACCGTGGTCAAATCCTTGTCTTTACCCAGCCATTGATTGGCAACTATGGTGTACCCAGGAATACTCGGGATGATCATGGCTTACTGCAACATTTCGAGTCGCCTAATATGCAAGCCTCTGGCGTCGTTGTTTCTGACTACGCACAGCATTACTCCCATTGGAATGCCGTGGAAAGTCTGAGCCAGTGGTGTGCAAGAGAAGGAGTTCCCGCCATCTCAGGTGTTGACACTAGGGCCGTAGTCACTTATCTTCGCGAGCAAGGATCTTCCTTAGCCCGCATCACTGTTGGTGACGAATACGATGAAGCGCAGGACGAAGACTTCACGGATCCAGAACAGATCAATCTTGTGCGACGCGTATCTACCAAATCACCTTTCCATGTCTCCGCAAACGGAAATGGTGACTTCCATGTCGCGGTGATTGACTGCGGAGTGAAGGAAAACATCTTGCGATCCCTCGTATCTAGAGGAGCATCTGCGACCTGTTTTCCTTTCGATTACCCCATCCACAAGGTGGCTCACCATTTCGATGGAATCTTCATTTCCAACGGTCCAGGTGACCCTACACATTGTCAAGATACGGTATGGAACCTTCGACAACTCATGGCCAAATCCCAGGTCCCTATTATGGGCATTTGTCTGGGTAAGCATCTACAATGGTTTCATTTCCGCTAGCTGACTTTGCCTATGTAGGTCATCAGCTACTCGCCTTAGCAGCTGGCGCAAAAACTACCAAATTGAAATGGGGCAACAGGGCACATAACATCCCTGCCCTAGACCTCAGCACTGGACGCTGCCATATCACATCCCAGAACCACGGATACGCCGTCGACGCTTCCACTCTCCCTCATGATTGGAAAGAGCTTTTCATCAACCTGAACGACTCCTCCAACGAAGGCATCATCCACAAGTCCCGCCCCATCTTCGGCACCCAGTTCCATCCTGAAGCCAGAGGCGGCCCATTGGATAGCTCGTACCTCTTCGACCAATACCTAGAAAGTGTGAAGAAGTATAAGAAAAGCCAATCGAAGATGATGTTCAGGCCTGTTGGTAATGATGTCGCTGCAGCTCTGAGGGAGAACTTGCCTGCGGAACGACAGGGCGTTACGCCCACGACGGGGATGGTGAATGTGGCGAGAGCCAAGGAGGCGCTTGATGCTGCAGCAGCTGCTGCGTGAAGGGGTTGTCTCTGGTGAAGGAGGTGTGCTAGATTGATTTGTGGATGTTGATTTTCTGGATATTGCAAATGTTGGCACGTTGGTTTTTGCCCGTCGAAAAAAAGGTGGTGGATGCAGTGTGGCTCTACGGGATATAATGAGGGCAATCTTTTCTGATGGCATAGCAGATCTTTCCTTCCAATCTCCAATAAACTCCGTTTCTATCTATCCATCTATGCCGTGAGCAGTCAGGATTTCGCCCCCTCGTTGTCTCTTGTCCCACATAGGCCTCGCACTGCCTGCTCATTTTACTAAGCGTCGAGCACGTTGGACCTGCGCATCATGTTTTGGAAAGATGAGGAGGCTGTTGAAAGGTATATGAGGATCTGGGCCAATTTGTCGAGGGTGGGTTTCGTACAAATAGGTGGATGGTGTAGGAGCGAGATATGTCAGTAGCTGGTGGTATCAGGGAAGATGAACCCGCATTGCGGTGGGAGGGAGGAAGTAAGGAGCATCTATAAATGGGCTGAGGGTTTGAGGAAGTTTAAGATTTCGGGCTCTACTGGTGATCTGTTGCGAGGTGGTAGATTCTTCAGCTTGGGAGCTAGAGGGCGGTCGCTAGGGCTATGTTCGAGGTGAGTGGAGTATGAGAGAACCGGCTTGCACATGGTAATGGGTGCTAATTGAATCGTTCTCTTAGTTGGTGCGGATGTGGAACGAGGTTGGCCCTGAAGATCTTGGTGGGGATTGATCTTGGACGGGGAGGAGGATAAATGACTGAGAGACGTGTCTGGTGTGAACAGCAATTCTTGTGAGGGCTTTGAAAAGGGTCTGTGTTACTGGAAGAAACCCTTTGGACAGTTCTGCTGATGATGAATGCTTCAATTGATTGCATAAGTCTATGTAACGCCTGATCTATGTTTATCAACTCCAGCCCAACAGATCTGATCCTCAGAGACCTCGCAGATACACTATAAGTTTTGAGAGAGGGGGTAATGCTCAAGTCCCATGATCTTCCACTCGAATTCTCAAATGCTCAAGATGCGTCTGATTGTAACTTGTGTGTCGAGTGAGTCAGGTCCAGTCGCCGCCACTACCAGACAAAGAGACCTTCTCTCACAATTTCTGCTGTTCGTCAAACAGGCTGCACGATGGGCTTGTTGATTTACATAGGCTGGAGCTGGTCGTTGGCTCTGCACCTGGTACCAGACGGACGCTTCAGTCAACATGAGTGCAGCCATCGGATACGGGATCGCGAGATTGTCGTATTGAAGTAAGATATTGTTTATGTCCAGCAGATGTTGAGGCGAGGTTTCGGTGTCCGTGGCGTATGCGAATGCTTGGTTCAGTGGTCTCGGGGCCCAGTGGATCCTTGGTAGACACGTCGTTGCATAGCGAGCCACAAACAAAGCATTCCAAGATGCACGAAGTCCCTGGTACAAGGGATCTGTAAGCGCGCCGTGTTGACACACAGGACAACGACAGTAGAAATTCCAAGTGGTGAGCAGCTTGGTACCACGAGTAGCGTACGAATCGAAATTACCAGCCAGGAGATCTTGCGTTAGATAGTTCACAGTGATTTCCTCATTCGCAGCGATGTTCCTCGTGGCAAAGACTGTCATCAGATTGATCTGTGCGTTCCAAGAGTAGTGAGCATTTGGTACACATGAATGATTCATACGCGCAGCTTCTGGGAAAATTCCCTTCCTATCTCTGTCCATTGGCATACAATTGGCCTCAAATCGGTCACGGTCTGCATTTTTTTGCGGGTTAGGGCGGGCCAATTGATTGAAAGTCACAAGAGCCGCTGGATCAGGTATGGCAGCCTGTATCTTTGTTATGTTGATCTGGCCCCGGACGGAGAAGAGGCATCTCTCTTGCAGAATACAATTGCCCGGAATAAGGTCCCTTGTTGCCTGCAATTTCCAAGCTCCATGAACACCGACAATCGTGCAATTTGCGTTCGGCGACTGTACTGTAAAGGGAGTGGGGGCCTGTCTGCCAATACGGAGGTTTTGCAAAGCGCTATTCAGCTCGTTGAGGTGTGTAGGTGGGTATTGATATGGGAACGCAGGTGCACCTGGTTGTTGATGTTGATATAGTACTAACTGTGCCATCAGTTTCAAGTATCTAAAGGTTGATAAACGACGGCGAAGTGGTGTTCAGTTGAGTGGGATGTTATACTAAGCTATGGTAATGATGATTATAATGATGATAATGATGATGAGGTACAAAAGGGCAACAACCCCATATCTATACTCTCTGTGGAAGCACAGCATCGGCATTCTTCAAAACATTAGCACGGACAGCAAAACAGAAAGTCATTGTCTTTTAGGAGCAGATGACACCAGTACTCTAGACAACAAAGACTTGTTAAGACAACAACAACAACGTGTACACTGAGTACATACTTTTGTTGCAGCTTTCGGGCTGCGTCGACGTACTAGATAGAATAGTCAAACCCCCGAGCTTAGCCCAGCGTGCCTTTGTGATGATTCATCTAACAAAGAACATATCATGTTCTCTGAAAGGGGGTGAGGAAGTGCCACCGTTAGATTCTCAGACATTGATGGAGCGATCAGGCCCAGGCTGTTATGGCTTTCTGGTAAATTTCGGGTCTACGCGGCACCTTCTGTACGAAGATAATACCCTGATGAAACAGCAAGGATACCTTAGACAGACTTAGATCTTGATACAGGACACAAATTGCCATAGACTCCAAAGATCATTTTCTAGCGATCCCACTCATTCTTGGGTATCACTTTCCTGGACGATGGGTTTGGAGATATATTTCTATTATTAGGCTCTCTACACTCTCTTTGTAGAACAATCGAAATGAGTCGGCAAGGTTCCGATGGACACAGGTCACTTTCTCCGCACTTAGAATGAGAGTTAAATCTCACTGCGCGATTCATAACGAAAGTGGCGTTGTAGGATTGCTTGCGTCGGTGTAAGGATCTTTGATCGCCGTACAAACACCAGAAATCATCCACCTGTGTAACGAGAAGCGTGCATATAATGCTGTTCTTGGCCAAGTATCCAGGGAGATTGCCACTAATTTTCAAGGATAGGAGATTGGACGTTAATCTTGATGGAGGGACTAGTCCTTAAATATAGTGACACTAGCCCCATACGGCGTCGAGTAAGGATAGTTGCAGAAAGGGACAGAACGCTCTGCACAAGGGGCATTTTCTTCATGCTGATAGACGGACGCTGACATCTTAAGATGTTCTAGACTGCGGCATGAGAGTGACTATTTCCATCCACATTGTCGGAAATATCAGGCGGTCTCTGCCTTGATCCATGAATACATAAAGGGGAATCAAGAAAGCAAGAAAGAGCAGATAACTTCCTGTTATCTACAACTAGGCTGTGAATCATTTCAGTCTAGACTTTTGCTATTGATACTTTTAAATGACTACATGTTGCAATTCAAGGTTGGTCACAGACAATGATACTTTTTTTCGGTAGAGACGACCTGTTCTTACTTTGAGAAAGTATATTTTGGGTTAATAATGATCTTTTGATCGTCCTTGGAGCACATGATTGATCTAATAGTGAACCATATAAGTTGTTGAGATTAAAGAGCGCTGTCTTACTTTCTTTGGTCCTTTTGATTGATTGGTGTGACACAGAAAACTACACGTGCAATTGCTGGAGCCCCATAGCAAAAAGTACCTGAATTTTCGAATGTCAATGAAATCGACATGAAAGGAAGAGTAAGCTTTGCTCATGCTTCTGATCTAGCCGTCTCATCTGCGCGTGTGCGATCCAGCTTCTCTGAGGTTTTTGATCGTTCAAATACATACAAACAATTTGTCGCGGGCAATTTCACACCGGCATGCGTTGTGTGGAGTCAAACCCTCTGTGTTAGTCTACGTTCACTTTGCGGATGAGTCTTTGTTCGGTTTCACGCAACTGTGATAGAGGTGATACCCTTTGTTCCTCAGTGCTGTGTCTGATGAGACCCTACACACAGCGTGGTGGTGGGTATATAAAACCATGCGTAGCCAAAAAAATCTTCCATCCACATTGAAACTCCTTCATGATCATGTTGAGTGTCACATGAATGAGTGACACATTGCAAACGTGATACTTTCTCAAAGTACTGTGTAAAGGAATCTAGGAGTATATAAGGAGTCTCCTCCTGTATGTAATCATGACTCCTTAACCTAAGAACAATGATTACAAAATCATCATAAGTCTATCAGATCAAAAACTCCAGATCTTGACGCGAAATTTGGTTGAATCCAGTGGCTATTGAAGGTAGTGCCGACCTCTAGAGCCTCACCCTTAAACGTGACCTTGATTTGAACTCAGCATCAGTAGAAAGTTGAGCAGCAAGTCAAGCGAGGACCACAACATTTCAACTTCCAGGCACCAGCTCCTTAAACACTGCAACACCACGTCTCAACTTCAAAACATGGGTAGTCCAGCAAATGGATTCCTAGCCTTCTCTGTAGAGGTTCAGCAACGAATCTACTTTTCTTGTTTCAAAATGACCGCACAGCCTGGATTGCCGCCCGCCAATCACGAAATCCACACAGAAGCTGTGAAATATTTGAGAGGTCGAAAGACAACCTTCTACGATGTTTTCCCATGTAGAGTCGGCTGGAAGAAGTTCTCTCAGACATACTCCGGAATCAGGCAAGATCCATCAGTGACGAGTGTTGTAGGACATCTAATCATTCGTGCCTACCCTCCGGAGACTGACCATCCTGATGCCTTTCAATCATTTTGGGAAGCCTTTGGGACGCTGAAGGAACATATCTCCTCCCTCTGGCCTGTCCAGCAACTGACTGTGAGACTCATGATGCCTGAACAGTCAACATACGCCCATCTCCCATCAAATGGCAGACCCCGCTCTCTTGGAACTAAAGTCCGCAGCGGAGGAGGCTTTTGCTTAAATCATGTCGCTGTGATGGCCCATTTCTTTCACCTCCATATCAATGCTTCAGCTGAGACGAGGTTTGAGTGCCCGCTGGCCTGCCTTCAATTACGCGAGGGGACTAGTCTAGGGGCTCAAAAGTGGATAGAGGATTCGATGTCGCATTTGAATGAAGTTGAAACAGATGTTGCCAAAGTTTCTAGACAATCTTCGGAGCCTTCCTCGATACAGACATTTCACCTGCTATCAAATTCGATAAGACAAGAAAAGGATGAGGCTCAATAGCTAGGAAAGTCGATTCAAGGATGAAACATGCGCTTCAGGAAGATGAACACCCAAAAAATTCGAGGATAATGAAGGAAATGATTGCGTGCACCCAAGTCCAGCCTCTCAAGCTTTTCTTTTGCGGCGATTGATGTTTAGGAGTACCATGTCGTGGATCATAGCCGAAATGCCTTTCTGAAGAAGGTCCAAGCGTGCCAGGGGAAGAGACTAAAACTGTGGCCGTCATTCCAGTTGTTTTTTGCAGAAGTCAAGCACCATTCTTGTTTGATTGTGGCATTTTGATATCGAGAAGAATGACGACAACGTGCTTCGATTTTCAATCAATAGCACCAAACATAGGCAATCAATGGTCATGAATAGATAGTGTCATAACTCTTTCTGAGGTTCCCTCTTCATTGCATACCATGTTTGTAAGCCTGCACCATTGCCACCCTCAAATTTATCCAAGTCAACGCACGCTTTGCCGAAGTCTCGAAATCCTAGTCTCTCATACAGTGCATGGCCGGTCCGGCTAGAATCCACATAGCAGGGCAATTGCTCCTTGTCTGCTCGCTCAAAGATCCATTTGACGAGCATTGTAGCCGCGCCCTTCCGCTCATGCTTTGGATGCGTTCCTAGCAGTGCAAGTACTAGATTTAGTCAGTACCAAATCTTTTGGCTCCAAAAGTACTACAGGCTCCGTGGGGAAGACTTCGTGGCGAGACAGGGGAATTACAGAAATGCGGGCCCTTCCTCCCTTCATCATCACCCCTCACTACCCTAAGCATCTGCTTGAAATCCTCCACCACAGGCATATTACTGTCTGCTGGAAAGTCTGCAGTACTCTCTTGTGGATCCTTAGCATGATCGTATCCATGCGGCATATAGATCCAGATGATGTAGGCCATTATCTCGTCACTGCCATCACCTACGATCTTTAGGAAATGAACCTCACGATCTGGATCTAAAGAAGTTTGTTCTGTGATCAGATTGGAAACGCGCTTTTCGTACGTCTTTATGACTATTGCTTGGTCAACACCCGCGTAGATAGTGTGGTAAACAGGGCCTCTGGAGAAGATTGTGTGATGAGCTAGGGCGAGCTCCTTGGCATCTTCAGGGACGCAGTGAGCGATTGTTCGATGCATAGTGAGTTTCCTGCCTTTGGAATCTAAGTCGCTCGGTAGATTGCAAAGCGGAGGAAAGCTACAAAACCCAGGATGATACAGTATTATCTTGCTTGAAAAGCAGATCTCCCGCCCCTGTCAAATGTGTGAAGAATGCTTGAGACCCAAAAATCAGAGACCTACAATGGTCAATAGGTCAGATATCAGAGCGTTGGTTGAGTGTTCCTGGATGAACGAGTCATCTATGTGCAGATTTGGCTTGACTGAACAATGCTTAGACATGTTGTCACCAGTCTCAAGTCTGATCGACGTAATGGCCAAAGCAAGACAGCATAAAAGCGACTGCCTAGACAAATGAGGGAGGTTTAGACGAGGCAACCGAGAGCCTGAAGACCTTATCGATTAGAGGGGAAGCCTAAGTCAAAAGCAGACTAGCCCCGGCTGTAGTGTTGGTAGCGCCGGCTCTCCCGCCGATTGAGTTTCACGCTGCTGCAGTTGCTGCGAGGGGCTGCTCGGTCAGACCTCCACACTGCTCGTGTCTCGACTCCATTCCTTCCACGTCGCTTTCACCTTCTTCTCATTCTTGCAATGCGCAAACAACTCTCACGCGTCATCAATTCCATTCGAATGACTTGAAGTCATCTTCCACTCTTCAATTCTACCTTCATCTTTCGACGCGTGACGATGCGGCGCCTTCTACTTTCGACCTTCCTTGCTGTCCTCACCTCCTTCGCTTCCTCCCAACAGCTCCTTCCTACCAATCTTCCGCAATGTGCTGCGCAATGCACAGTCCTACAACAAGGTCAGACGGGTTGTGTGCCAGCAGGAGGAGCACCTCAAGCCAACCAGCAGACCTATCAGTCATGCTTCTGTCAATCTGCCCTCTTGACCCAGCTTTATCAAGATCAACCGGTCCAGCTATGTAACACATGCGATGCAGGGGATATGCAGACAATCCAAAATTGGTACAAGAACTACTGTGGTACGACTGCACGAGGATGGTGGTAGGGTGTCAATTACTGATGAAGCAAGTAGGGAAGGGCGGTGCCCCTCTACCAGGTGGAAGCCAGTATGCCCAGAGCAACACTGGCAACCAACAACAAACGACGACTACCAAGACTGGACCAACCCAAACCCCGACTTCCCAATCGTCAAGCTCACACCATGCCGCAAGCGCGGATAACAACGGATCTTGGTATGCTCCTCCATGGCGTGGGATCGTGGAGCTCAGAACGCTGAATGAATGTCTACAGGTTTTCCACCCATTGGCGCTGGGTCGTCATGCTCATCGTCATCTTCCTCGGCCTCATCGCGATTGCAGTAATAGGTTTCTTCCTCCACCGCCGCTATCACAGAAAGAGGATGTCGAAGTGGTCCACAGGGCCTGGTACTCAGCCTAACATTTCAACATGGGGGCCTGGCCAGTCGGTGCATGATCTGGGATTCCAGAATAGGCAGGAAAGTACTACGAAAGATGCGGAGAAGGGAACAGCAGCAGCAACGCCGCAGGAGCCGCAGAGAGCTGCTACAGGACAGGGGCGTGGGGAGAAGAGTGGGGGTCGCAGGAGTCGACCCTGGAGTAAGAACTTCTTCTGATGGGTGAATCAGAAACAAGGGGCTGGATGCCGCTGGGTGAAGGGTTGGATTTGGCGAAGGAACGGCGTTCAAGGGTTGGTGATGGCTGGTATGACGACCGAAACGCTTGCACACGGAAAATGTGGATATGCGGAGTTCAGGAGGACTAAGGCCTGGGGCGTCACTTGTCATCAGATCAGATATCTCTTATACCCGAAATATGCATGCCTTTTTGACTATCATTGAATGAGGGTCCTGATACGGAAGATCTCGGTTCCTACGGAGTGACAGCGACATGGCAGGATTGTATGAGTAGCTGGTCCCGCCCCTAAGAGCATCGGCACCCATGGCAGAGATCAATCTGGCTAAGGCGAAATACACATGCGGCCGGACTTTCGTAAACTCCTACAACAATGCAACCTCCCTAGGATCGTGAGTCACTTGGTCATCCCGTCGCTCCCGATTCCACCGCGTTGCTGTCCTGCACGTGGATGTAGCTTGGAACGCCTAAGCGTACCCTAGTATGCACGCTCCACTGTTTTGCTGACCACCACGTCACAAACCCCTTCTGGAGAGAATAGCTTGCAACATCAGAATGACATAAAAGGTAGGCCAAGAGCACACCCGCTTAACACATCCTATCCTCTCCTTCCACAAAGCTTGCAGTTACATCCTTTCAACCTGACCACACTACCTCCCTTACATCATCTCCCTTCCCCACACGCAAAATGGCCCTAACAATCCACCACCTCCAAACCTCCCAATCCGAGCGCCTCCCCTGGCTCTGCGAAGAACTCAATATCCCCTACACCCTCGTGCTCCACCAACGCGCCCCCATCTTCTCCCCCGAATCAATCAAAACCCTGCATCCCCTGGGTTCCGCGCCCATCCTCCAAGACGGCGACCTCACCCTCGCAGAATCCTCCGCTTGCGTCGAATACATCATCAACATCTACGGCGGGGGCCGGTTGGCGCTTAAACCGGGGCACAAGAATTACGCGGCTTACCTCTACTGGTTCCATTTCGCCAACTGTACTCTCCAACCTGCGATATTGATGCAATTGCAGCTGTCGCGTATGGATCCGGAGAGTAAGAGTCCGGCGACTACGAGGGCGAGGGAGAGGTTTGAGAAGTTGCTGGGGTTTGTGGATGGGAGGCTGAGGGGGAGTGAATGGTTAGCGGGGGAGGAGTTTACGGCGGCGGATGTTATGACGGTCTTTAGTTTTACTACTATGAGAGTGTTTTATGGGTTTAGTCTGGGGGGTTATGAGGGGATTTTGGAGTGGTTGAGACGGTGTGTGGGGAGGAGAGCTTATGTGAACGCGAGGGAGAAGGCGGATAGGGGGTTGGAGTTGATGGTAGGGAGCGAGGCGCCGAGGGGCTTTGTGGAGAGGTTGAAGTCCGAGGGGAAGCTGTAGGTAGAGAGAAGGTGGGGTATGTAAGGCGTTTGGTTATCGCAACTCATCCTTGGAATGGGTATGTGGGTGTTCGTCGCTTGTCGATGAGGGGACCTCTCGCTACTCATTTGATCGGCTCTTGTTAGATCATCCTGACACGGTCTCTTCTCGAGGTCATTCCTTTTTGTTGGCGAACGATGGAAGCTAATAGGAAGACACAAGCTCTTTCTGGGAAAAGAATGAAAAGCATGTAAGGCGTACAGGCTGTAATGGCTCGCCGTGGTTCTGGATAAGCGCCATCTAAGTTGACTATCATACTCGAGGTGTATGCCTAATAATGTTGAAGTCGCGGATGTTGCAACATGCCGACTTGCAGCTGTCGAGGCTTCCTAGCGGTAGACTCGGGTGCAGAAGGCAAGGAACTCCTCACCGCGACAACTCGTTTTCGTTGCATCACAGCAAGAACGCCCATTCGTCATGTATTTATCGCCGTGGCGTGGACGAGAAACTTCTAATCCGTTATCCGGCTCATATTCGTATCGACTCTAGCTTTTTCAAATCATCCCTTAATTATATTTCGATCCGATTCTCGAGTATGGAGCCATTAAGTCTTGCGGTCGGGCTTATTCCTTTGATCAAACTTGCCTCCACGGTTGGAACCTACTTGAGAGACTTCAAGAATGCCACTAAGGAGTACGGAGATATGGCTGGGGAACTCATGATCCTTCAATTGGTTCTTGAGAAGCTCGAAAAGCTGGTCAGCGACGAATCACATGAGGACGCCGTGATATCGCCTGGATCACCGTTCAGTGAGTTGAAAGGTCCCATAAAGCGACTGGAAGACACTCTCAAATTGCTTGAAAGCAAACTCTGTTCCGTGAGCAAATACAAAGATCCATGGGAACGACTGACGTGGCACTTCGACAAAAAGGAATTTGAACAAGCGCGCAAAGTCATTTCATACACCCAGGACTCGATTACTGCTCTGCTCGTGAGCGGCATTGCAGGACAAGTCAGGAAGGGTCATAGCGAGGTTATGAGCAAACTTGATTCGCTTAAAGATACCCAGGACCGAGATGAAAGAAAGCAGCTCTTAGACTGGTTGTCGCCCGCTGATTTCACCCTGCGACAGCGGGAGATCTTCTCCAAACGCTGTCCCGGAACTGGCAACTGGTTCCTGGACACGAAGGATTATCAAGCCTGGCGAGAAGGGACTGGCCCAAACACACTTTTCTGCCCCGGGATCCCAGGTGCAGGAAAGACCATCATATCTTCTCTAGTGGTGGATGACCTACGCCGCTGGCGGAAGAGGGATGACAGTGTCGTCGTTTGCCTATATTGCACCTACGGAGAGAAAAACGAACAGTCCTCACAGAGCTTTCTAGCCAACATCATCAAGCAAACCTTGCAAAGCAAACCTACCTTAAGGGCCCCTCAGGAGATTCTCCAATATCAGGAAAGGCGACCGACAAGCCCACCGACTTTTAAAGAGCTTGCTACACCATTCAGGTCACTCGCCTCGCAATTGGCGCCGGTCATTATCATTATCGATGCACTAGACGAAACAGACGAGAACAGTTCTATCCGGCGTGAGTTGCTGGATCTTCTAGGTGAGCTGGATGTAAAGCTTTTCGTGACATCGCGCGACATTCAAGCCATCCGACAGCGCTTTGAAAGAGTGCCTAACATAGAGATCAAAGCACGCGAGACTGATGTCCAGCAATATGTCCTTGACAGAATTGAACGGACGCCTTCATTGAATTGTTTTGTGGAGCCCCGTTCCGACCTTGAGCGAATGATTCTGGAAAGAGTAGTGTCAGAGACGCACGGAATGTGAGTCTATATGGTGCCGTAATTGGTTAGTGTTGTGAAATCTTCAGAACTTATTCGCTGACAGATCGGCTTGCACAGGTTTCTTTTGGCCAAGTTTCATGTAGACGCACTGGACAACCAAACGAGGCCAATAGAGTTAAAGAGGGCCCTACAAGCTTTGCCCCTAAGCATTTTTGAATGTTATAACAATATATGGGACAGAATACAGCGGCAGCCTAAGCCTAAGGCGAAACTAGCAAGTGATGTGCTGTTATGGCTAGGTTGTGTATTTCGCCCATTAAATATTCGGGCTCTTCAGCACGCTTTGGCAATCATGCCAGACATACCTTCAATCCAAGCAGACGCAGTGCCTGGGGTGGACATGATTTTGTCAGTATGTGCAGGATTGGTGAGCGTGCAAAAAGAGACCGGAACAATCCAGCTGGTCCGTACGTAGTACCTGTTCTCTTATAGTCTATTTCAAGCTTGAACGACAACTGACTATGTTTAATTGACACTGGAATAGACTATACAGCGAAAGAATGGCTAGACAGGTCGCGGGATGATTTGTTTCCGGACAGTCGATCCTTCATGGTTCAGAAATGTATGAAGTACCTCTCGTTTGACATTAAAGATACCCGAAAACATTGGACAGATGAACAGCTTCGGACTTGTCCACATCCACTCTTGCCATATGCTGCTGTATATTGGGCGGAGCACGCTCGAGGTTGTTTCGAGTCTGAGCATACAGAGGATATCGTGGGTTTCTTGAGACAGCCCCGCCCACTCAAACGAATGATTCAGGTCAAGTACAAGTGGCGCGAATATCATGAGGGGGCGGAAGGAGCCATCTTGAGAGAGAAGGTGTCTTATTCAAACGGCACCTTGGGCTTCCTCATTGCCGCAGCCGAAGGATTCCAGCATGTTCTGACTGCAATGCTGGATAGCGAACAATCTGTAAACATTAGCCAGCGACACGCTGCGACTGCTTTGTTCTTCGCTATAACACGTGATGATAATAATATGGTGAATATGCTCATTGCAAGAACAGGTGTCGACGTAAATTGGCTTTCGAAGACCAATGACCTCGCATTACAGCTAGCAGCAGCCATAGGCTCAACCGAGATGGTAGAAACACTGATCAACAACAGCGCCAATGTTAATATGCAGTGTGGGACTGGTACAGCTTTGCACACAGCAGTCACAAATGATGACACCGGGGTCGCGCAGGTTTTGATAAGACACGGGGCTGACATTAACTCGAAGATTCTATCTCGAAAATTTCCTGACGAACACATGAGTACCCCAATGTTCACCGTCTGTAACATAGGACCTTCCTCTGATGATATGCGTGAACTTATGCTCTCCAGTGGAGCGGATATGCACGCCAGAGATGCGAAGTCCTGGACTTTACTTCATGCCGCTGCTTGGAAGGCCGACTTCAAGAGTTTGAAATGGCTCATAAAGAATTCCAATATTGATTTGGAGGCTCGAGACTCTAAAGGTCGCACGCCCTTGCACATGACTTGGGGCAGAACAAACAATTATTGTGTTGAAGTTCTTCTAGACAGCGGTGTCAACGTTGATACTAAAGATGACGACGGCAGGACTGCTTTGGCTATAGCTGTCAAGAAAGCTCGCTGGAGACCCATTTCACCCGTGCTCTTCCAATATGGCGCCAAATTTGACACCTTCATCCAGAAGCATCCATATCTCTTGCACACAAGCATCAATAAGCTTATCGAACTTTCCCACGGTGAGACAAATACTGTAACAATCATGTCCAACAATATCAGACTCTGCGTCAAGTTCGGCCTGAATCCACATTCTGTTGATAGGAGCGGAAGGTCACTGCTCTGGTACGCTGCAAGGTTGGAATCTTTGGAGCTTGTAAAGACTCTTCATCAGGAATTTCATCTGGATATCCATCTTGCAGACATAAATAGCATCACGCCTCTACAACGCGCTTGTCAGCTTTCAAGCCTTGAAGTTTTGCACTACCTCGTGGATAATGGTGTTGATACCAGGGTAGTAGAGAAACGAGGCTGCTCTCTTTTGGATCTAGCCCATGAAGCCTGGGATAAGACGAAGGATGCACGCAAGAGACCTGACTCGAGAAGACTAGAGCAGCTAGACAACATAAGCAAATATCTCGAGTCACTTGGGATCCCATCAACAAAACACACAACATGGCAGGAGATCGAAGCATGGCAGGCTCTGGGATCTATGACCGCTCTTACATCTGATCCCCATTCACCTGTAAACCTGACTAAGGAAGTTTCACTAGCTATGGAACCCTCGCAAGAGGCATCGCCAGCTTCTTCAGACCTGACATCGACTTCAATCAAAGCAACTGGCTCATAGATTCCTGACTAACGACAATTTCACAGCCATGATGCTTGCTGCAACACCAAAGTCGCGGGATGTACGAAAGCCCTCAAGCTGAGCATCCGCTCCTTTCACCATTCCCGCAGATATATGATCTAAAACGCTGAGCTCTCAAAACCCATCGTCGACGCGCTGAAAGATACAATATGAGCATCACAATGAATGAAGGCCCCTTTCAATCTCAAAGCTTACATAGGCGACACTCATTTTGACTTTTGCAATTAGGGAGAGAAGAAAATCAAATATGTTTGAATCAATCTGCAATATGACGGCCTAGAGATCAGCGGGTTGAAAGTCCTCTTTCCACCCTTCAGGAGGGTAGCAAAATGGAAAATAGTTTCAATTTGAGAGGGAGAAGGGACATGACGAACACATGCTCAACGAGCATTTTGGAATGGAAAGATCATTGTTGTCCTCATGATACAGTCAGTCTCAAGCCCCGATTCATTTGCTATCTATATATCGCAACTCTAAGAACATCATAACTATCCTTCCCCCTTTCCACACATCCCAAGAACTTACCAATTTACCCACACCTCCCTCGGCAGCACGCCCCTCATCAACTCCCAATGATTCCTCGCATTCCGCTTCTGCGACTTCTTCAACTTCCCGAGTTCCTCTTTCCCCTTAATCACCACACCTTGCCCTGCCCCTTTCCCTTCCCCTCCGTCTTCCCCTTTTTCTAGAAATCTAGCTATATCGATTTCGTGCCTCGGCATCAAATGCTCCCTCCTCGCATGACTGCCCAAAAAATCCTCCTCCGTAGGCTCGCGAAACGTGAAGGGCGAGGGGTCACGGCGGCAGAAGAGCACCATGTTCGTCAGATCAGTCGTTTGCTCACCCTGGTTTTCTGCGGCTGCAGTCTCCCGAAAGATGCGGCATATGGGGAAGACGGACAACGCGGTTTTGACGACGGAAAGGGCGGTGGGGAGGAGGAGGTCGCCTGCGTAATTCTGGCGATGTGTGTGAGTATATCCCTCGCTATCCTGAGTTGGGAAAAGGGGGTGGGCAAGAACAAGGCTGAGAGAATGCGATGGGGATAGGGGGGATGAAGCTTACGATAGCGATCGTGCCGTCTTCAGCAAGCAGATTACGCAGCTGGATCAGGAATATCTGGGTGAAGAGCTCGAGCGGCTCCGTGCCGCCGGTGAAGACGTCGTGGATGATGAAATTGTAGCGGTCGCGTTGGGTGGATTGGGAGGAGGCTACGAAGTCGATGGCGTCGCCAATTACGGCTGTGTGGTTTGAGGGCAGGGAGAAATACTGGGCGGCGAAGCGGTGGACGACGGGGTCTATTTCGAGGATTGTGGTGGGAATACCGTGGTGGATGAATGCTGCTGGGGAGGTGCCGATGCCGAGGCCTCTGTGTAGGATTAATGAATGGGTGTGGCGGACTTGGGGGAGGGGGCGTACATGATCAGGGCTTGCTGGTCTTTTGCCGCTTTGATGGGGGCTTCCAAAGTCCGCTCAGTTTGGACCAGTCGAACGGCTTCTAGTGTGACGAAAATGGAATAGATTGGTTCCTTGAGCTTGGGGTCTATACCGGGGGGATATTTAGTCCATTCACCACCGAGAAGGCTGTGATCGCAACGGAGGACCCTAAACTGGTCTTTAAGATTGTCTATAACAGCAAGATAGCCTGTCACTGATTCCTGGCGGTCGACTATCCTGTAACCTGTTTTTGCAATGTTGTTGTTGAGGATATCTGTATTTGATCTGAGAAGGGGAATATGCGGGTTCGAGATGGCCATCAGCAATAGGGGAATGTTGAATAATAGAGCCAACTTTGAGCAGGCTAGATTCGTGAAAAGACATGCTAATATTGCTTGTAGACCATAGCGACCCACATAGTTCAGTGCAGTGAGGAAGTACTTGTACAATATTGCACGTATAAGCGGTTCCAATGTCACAGAATAGAGAATATATGATAGCACAACATATAAGAATAGAGGCCAACTCTCACGTCTAGTGAGTCGCATATCCTTCCCCTCGCCTAACAATCCAAGAGCAGCAAGCCTGAAGGTCGAAAGCACCAGCATGAGCTGTGGAATGAAGGTCGTAACGATGGCGCCATCGGTTGGTCCTAGGGGACCAAGTCGCAGAGTAAAGGCTGCTACTGTTGATACTGCGCACCCTAGGACGGAGATTACATTGGCAAAAGCGTTGGAATAGAGTCCTTGCAGACTCGATGGCCTCACAAGCCATATAAGGATAAGTGGCAGTATGATAAGTTGCCATGGTAGGGTGTTGATCTCAACGGCAGAGCCATAGACAGGGGAAACGCAGTGAATAGTAGCTTCCTTCGAAAGAGCGGATAGTACTAGGCCATAGCTGGTACGGATGACTGACGACGTGATTCTGTTCCGGGCTGTAGTTGGCTGGCCGGGTTGCTTGCCTTTGATTCTTCGTGACATTTTTGCCCGCCCGCAAAACCAGATAGAATATTCATCTACATGTTGTCGCTAGACTAGAAGGGTGTCCTTCAGAATGATATGATTTGTGCTCAGGGAGAACGTAGACAACGAGGCTCAAAGTCGTCTATCCGATGCCGTTCGGATCTAACGTCCTATTCAAAAGGCTGTTCTCCATGGGGAGTCAAAAAAGACTCGACGTGGAGTCTGCAACAACAATAGACCTGTTTCGAGGGCAACTTGCTCGCAGCAAAGCCCGTTGTTCAACTAGAAGAAAAAGAAAACATCATTGCGTTAACGGCGAATCGAACGCCGATCTCTACCTTACAGCTTCGTGGAAGGGTAGAATGATAACCATTACACTATTAACGCGATTGGATAATGTGGAGGAGGCTCTTTATCAAATATATATACTTTACTCTAAAAAGACCACCACCGTTTTTCGTGGGTTTTTATGCCCGTGTTGTCTTTCTTGTAATTTAGCCCCCGTACAATTTGGATGAGAGACGGATGAAGCTTCCAAAGCTGTGAGAGCAGTACTTAAAGATCTTAGGGGAGCAATGTTTAGAATCGACACTGTAATGACATAAATATGCAATTGGAACTACTCATACTTTGGTGTGTGATACTACTCTATCATGTCGTAAGACTTGTTTTATGCCCAATAAGCCAGAGATACCAGCCCCAGCGTAACGACTCCCGCTCCCATACTATCACAGCCGCATATAAAGATTTGAGAAGGGTAAGCAATCGATCATGACGACCCGAGAATCTTGCCTCCGCCGCCGAATATGTCCTTGCCTCGCTATGTATGCCACCACCGCCTCAATTTTCGATCGATAATGTGATAATGATTGACGTCAATAATGATGTGTGTTGCTAGACGGTATCGGTTTCCGTGGGTGCGATGCAATGATTGCGTCTGAAGCCAATCGTAATGAAATGTGTGCCATATATTCTCCCACCAGTTTGTATGATCCATGATAGATAAAGAAATAATGCGTCTTTGTTGCGAGCCAAGCAAAAAAAGTTCCTCCCGCGTAAACGCTGCAATAGATGTCTTCGTTGCCGAAGTGCTGGAAATGCACCAGTCGTAATCCGATAAAAGATGGCCGCCCAGGACTCCGTCGTCGAAAACCACTCAAACATGTGCAGATCCATCGCATCGCAGTAGGGGGAATCTGATAATCCATCATACAGTGTACGCCTCGTCCCATAGTACTCAATGAAAACTTCCCTTCTTCGGTAAAAATGAGATCCCAATAACACCGGCCCCTCTGGTAAATATTACTCGTTTGTGCTTTTCCTGTTCTTGAGAACCCAGTTTAAGCGACCACTTGAACATAATAACCTTCGTACGCCAACCACCTTGCCGTCGCCATCAATTCAAGCATGATTTCTTGTTGCCCGACTCCTCCCACTTTCTTCATAATCTCCATACCAACCGCCGCCACCGTTAGCGGCTCCGTAAGGACTCATTGGAGGCGCTCCATTCATCGCTCCCATTCCTGTCATTCCGTACCCCATACCTGTAGGACTCATAGCGTGCGTATTGAAGGGAGGGCTGGTTGGACTCATGACATTGTTTTGCGTTCCATTTGTCATTGGAAGGCCGGGAGGGGTCGGAATACCCGGAGGCGGGCCAGACGCTGTGGAAAAAGCTCCCATGTTTACTCCATTCATACCTGGAAATTGTCCTGTTGGCGAGAGAGGAGTCGGAGGCCCACCCATGCCGCCTGGCTGGCCTGAGCGAACGCCCAAGGGGTTCTTCGAAAATGACACGCGGATGCCCCCACGATTGCCCGAATTATGCAAAGGAATCCCGTATAGATCATTGAGAGCTTTAGTAGCAAAGGAGATGTCCTCGAACTCAACGAAGCACATGGGACCATTTGACTTCGTACGAAAGCAGAGGCGCTTGTAACCGCGGCATCGCGAGAACATTTGCTTAAGCTCGTCTTCCGAGGTGTCGATGGGAAGATTACCGATGTAAAGAGTATTGCAAGGCGGGTTCTGGTCTGCAGGATTCACCGGGGGCATGTGAGTTCGTTGAAATTGTTGGTGGCGCACCTGGTAGGACTGTGCAGAAATGCCGTTCGATTGCATGGTCGACACGGGACTGCGAAATCCGTTGCTTTGAGGCGAAGTGTAGCCGGGTAAAGGTGGAGACGATGGATTGCTAGTATTCAAGGACAGGCTGTTGTATTGAGTCGTGGATCGTGAACTTCCGGTGTTGCGTCGAGATAGTCCATTCATGCCGTTCGTGGCATACCCAACGGGGTCGCGCAGTAGATCCGAAGTCTCCTCGTCTGGTCCATCTTGACCAATGACATCTCTACCTGATACCCGCTGTCGACCATTTTGGAAGTAATGCTCACTGGTAGATGGCGGCTGAGAATAGCCATTGGGTTGAGGAGGAGAAATGCGGTTCATAGATTGAAATTGGCCACTGAATAGGGAACTAGAGCCGTTCGACGATCCTGAGTGAGCACGAGTTGCCGCGAGATCAAAACTTGGTCGTTCCGAGCCAATGCTGCCCGGCGACATTCTCAAAATGTCTATCATTAGGCGCGGCTTTTCGGGATCAATCTGCTTCCCATCCAAGATAGATTGCGCTTGTTGGGCTGCACCGAGGCTATAGAAGCGAGCTATCGCAGTCTTGAAACCTTGATCGCCTGGGGTTGTTGCGACGAATTCCGTACTCTCCAGCTTCTCCGCAAAGGTCAGCAAGGATCTCAGCTGGGCGTGGTCATAATTGTGTGGAAGTCTCCGGATTCGAATGCCTGAGAATTCCTGGTCTGGGCGCCCGCCGTTCTCAGATCCTTTGGGAAGGGCGTTCAGCGCTGCCGTCATATCAAAGGGATTGCCCCCTTGTCCGATAGGTGACATCGTCTGAGATTGAGAGCCATTCAACGGGCTTTGTATGTTCGTGTTGCCCACTCTGACCCGATCTGCCATACTGCGCCCTCGAAGTGGTAGATTTCTTCGATATTTCTTGTGTCTTGACACTGGTTCAACTCGATGGATGTTTGACGAACTGATCCCAGCTATTGTAAAATCGGAAATATTAAGGTGGGATTGGGGTGGGGATATCCGTGCGCGCAGCTTTTTTTTTTGCTTCCAAATCTGCAACCCCAGGCAGCACGAGCGCGGTGCCCTGCACTCAACAATATTGATGCATATCACGTTCAAAGTCTTTCTAATCCTTCAGCTGACCCGGCCTGCTGTACGGTAATTGAGGTTTCTGGTAGGTAAATGTCGAGAGAGTGACACGCGTGGGTGCGGCGCAGGAAGGACAATGCGTTACTCGCTAGGTTCGAGTTACTGAGACGACCTGGACGCCACAATCCCAGGGTGCACGTTATGGAGACTTTCTGGTTGCAATCAAGTCAGTTAAAGTCGCGACAGGTGCGCTTCGCGAGAAGGTGCAGAAAATTGGGCGTGGGCGTTGGAGCGCGGGGGGTGGAATGAAAATGAAGGTGGGACGTTCGAGATGGCAGACAAGGCAGGGATGGAGTATCCTAGTAGTAGTACTACGTTAGTCAAATAGGGCTCGATAACGAAGAAGATGGCGTGTGGGCGCTGATTGGCGCAAGGGGGACAAGGCAGGATCCTCGTCTGTGGTTGCTCTGCTTTTGCGCCTTTCGGTGTTTGAAGGGAAGGACAAGTCGAATGAAGTCTGCCGCAGGCTGTTCTTGTACCTGAAATTGGAGGTGGGAGCCAATTGGATAACGCTCCGCCGTTCCAGGAGGGCTGGCTTCAAGCCCGATAGCTGTATCGAGATAGTCGAGCTTTCTGGGCAAGCTGTCAGGTCTCTGAGTGATCCAAGCTTGGGGTATGCCAGTGCCTCACAGGCGCAGCGTTAGAGGAGGGGACCGAGCAGGCTAAAGCTCCTAAACCTGCTAGCAGGGCCAAAGCAGCTAGAGCGACGGAGGAGGGGGCTTGTGGGTGCTCGCGCGGTTGGGTCAGTCGATCATTCGATCTGGACTTACTTTTTAGTGCCTGAGCTGTTGCTCCTGATAGGTACCGAAGACTGCTTAATGCGCAATAGATAACGGCTGATTTGACTGGAGACCACCTGTGGGGTACTCGGCCTTGAAATGATCAATTGAAGTGGATGTTGATAAAGGTGGATGCTAGATGCTTGTGCGAATGAGTGTGGTTCGTCTCTCGGAGATATGCTGAAGAAAGGAATACGTGAGTGTGGAAGGAAGTGGGAGGTTGGAGGGTGGATGTAATGTGGGAAGAGGCCTTGGGCAGTGGGCACTCGAGACTCGGGCATTGACGCCAATTTTTGCGTGCTCTTGGTGCCGTGGGGCGACGGATGGCTTGCAGCCACTAGGGCCTGAACGGGACTCGGGCTCCTGCTCACAATTCAATTAGATCTCAGATTTCCTATTATTCCCAGGAAGAACAGGGCTCGCTTGTTAGCAGTCAAGGTAGCATTCAATCTCGAGGATTCTGCTAGGATCAGTCCCACAGCTGAGTAGTGCAAGTTACGAGCTTGGAGACATTGAACCACAGAGGCGTTGTAACATTGTGGTATAGGCCACCCACCTCGCACAAACTTTTCCAGTCCAGCCTACCGCGTTCGTTCGTGCAGCCACAGCGATGTCTAACATCTGTTCTGTTGTGATGTCTAAGCTTACCCCGCCCTAAGGATTGAGTTGACCCCACGAACTCCCTCCCTGGTCCCAGCATTTCTCACATCCCTGTTGGACAATGTGACTCGTCAGCCTGTTCTGCACCAGAATGGCGCCATGGTTTTTGCAACAATCTCATTGAACAAAGCATCGGGGGGCTACCGTCCATTGGCGGAGACGGAGACCTGCATTAGTGCAACTTTCGTGACCATGCTTCAACTTGAAGTGACGATCCAGACAATGCCCGAGGCATGAGACACAAGCATTTGCAATGCGAACTCTTCAAGTAATTCTGACTCACAAGTGAGATGAAGGGTCTCTTGGCCGGCTGGAATATCCTTTGCCTCGTTTATCGAAAGCCGACACATGGAGGAGGAGCGAATCATATTCTCGCTTGCAGCAAGGGGACTTGATCGCCTTGATCACCTCGTGAATTGTCCGTAAAGCATGCAAACGGCAAATATACACGGCACTGTGGACGGTCAAAAATCTTGGATACCTGTTTCGCAAGCAACCTTGTCAACGCCCTGGGCGACCCATTTGGGTTCCTCTTCATCAAACCATGCCTCTTGTACTTCTCTTTCAGCTGTCTGCCGATCATCATATTCCTCGTTTTTATCCACAGATCCGTATTCAAAATCCGTATCGGCCCCTCTCAAGAATCTGAGCTCCAACTCTTGCGACCACCTCTGTCTGCCCTCCTCACGTGTCAGCGGGACTTCTCCTTTCTCCTCACCGATAATCTCTCCTTTCTCGTCCCTTCGATACCTCATTTGTGCTGCATCATCAGGGTTTCGCAAAGCCTCCACTTTGGCTTCAGATCGTTGCAGATCTGCTTCCAATATGCCGGAATAGCCTTTCTTTCGACCATCTGCCTCGCGTTCGGAAGCTGTCTGAAACCGCCGTATTAGGCGATCGTATGCAAGAGGGTCTTCGTATCATCAGCGAGGATTCCTGGCAGTCGTTGAGCTCAGAGCGGTCAACCTGCCAACTCATGCGATGGACTATCCACGTATTCAGGATGCAGGTCAAGATATCTCTTGCGTCGATTTTTGACAACGATTCGCTCCAGCGAGGCCGGAGATCTAGAGCGGGGACGTAACATAGTATTGTCCAGATCAGCCATAGATTAAGTGCGTGCAATTCTGGGGTAGCTAACAAAGGAAACCATGCTGAATGACCGCAGAAGAGTTGCTAGGTGTCGCAGTAGTGAAAAGCCCAAGAAGGCTTAGCGTGTAGTACTTTCACGCCCTAGGTCGAAGTAGCAATTTAAGGAATGAGGGGCATGAGGGGCGATACTCGGAAGAGAATCACGCAAGCACCTGCACTCCACATGCAACGACACTTTTGCAGTGTTTTATGGGAGTACGACTCCATGTTGATGCCAAAGAGAGACTGTGAAGCCTCGTGAGATAGCTCTCCAGGTGGGAGCCACCCAGAGCAGCCTGGCTGTCTCAGACTCTTCGTAGGATCCTCAAGAGGGTCCCACATGTTGAGAGAAGCCTCTCGGCTGCTTGACTACTGCCCTTGCAACCCACCAGGATACCCCTCTCTCAAGAAAGATGGTGAATAGCACTCACTACGAAGTATCTATCTAGTTCTGGTGCTTGACACTCAATTGCAACCATGGAAAGAGGATCAAGTTGGACGGAGCAACATGTCCACCCATTGCTTTGAAAAAGTATATTCAGGTCTATACCACTGCAGTCGTCGCAGTCAAGTCGCTAGACCCTTGTGTGCCATTTTTGGGGAGGAATGATTGGCTACCAATGGAAGAGAATGCGAACAGATTCCAGACAGCGCATTAAACCTTCGTTACAATCGCTGCTACGATCGACCTAGGGAAGGTCTTTGTCTAGCATCCGCACCAACCCACGTCGTTGTTCATACGTCTCGAACCCTTCTGCATCCTCAGTATCCATAGGACAAGTCGCTGAAACAGCTTTCAAACACAGCCAAGAGCATCAAGCCGCCTGGCAGAGAAATGTCTATTGTCGATCATGCCAAATACATGCCGCAGGCGGCAGCAGCTTCACCCAGCTTGCTTACCGAGTTTCCAAATGTGGACTATAGCCGCAAGCCTCCGGTCTGTCGGGGCTGACTCTCCGATACATTAGTGGTCAACAATGACCCCTGCTAATTGGTGGGTCTCTAGCTTTCGCGTGGTCTACCGTCTACGACTCTAATTTCCTGCATCCTCCACGAGCGAACCTACGCAGTTCATGCAGGTTCTCGTTTGAAAAACAATCTTTTGCTGCCAAAGCTGCGCCGCATGCAAACATCTGAATTTGCAAGATCCCGGGTCATGATACAATGCAACCAACGGTGCCCCTAGACTAAACTCATGCGACGGCAGACTCTGGGGTATTGACAGATTTCCTTGCTTTCCGAGCGAATTACGCTGGCGTAGTCCAACCTTATTGCCTTACATCGAGACCAAACCAGGGTCAGAGCGCAAGGATGTTCGCACCAGCAAAGCTGGTAAGCCTAGAATCAACCGAAGATGACAACGCCACATGGAAAATGGAGGGCGAAGTTGTGGGTTTGCAAAGTATGCTTGGTCGGCGTACTTAACGATGGCATTCCCAGATCTCCAGGTCCTCTTTGTCGCCAATGCTCCTGCTGTCTCAATCTGCCGTGCTTCCTCCTGTTCTTTGCAGCGTTACATGGATCAGAATAAGATTGCAAGGCTTGAAGTTCCCGCTGTCGTTTTCTGCACCCTTGCACGGCATTATATCTAATCAGCGTTCCTTAGTTTTCACAAGCATCTCTATCATTTTTTCAATATGGCACCACAAGGCGACATTCCCGTCGCAGCTGACATTTTGGGCACAATAGGCACGATCCTTTGGTGTATACAGCTTGCGCCGCAAATATGGTACAATTGGAAGCAGAAGAAGACGGACGGCTTTCCTGCAGCGATGATGGTCCTGTGGGCGGTGGCAGCAGTACCCTTCGGCGTGTATGCTATCGTGCAACGATTCACAGTAGCACTTCAAGTCCAGCCCCAGATCTTTGGCTCCTTGAGCTTGGTAGCTTGGGGCCAGATACTGTACTACAATAAGTATGAGTAGTACTGCAATACAAAATGCTCGATGGGCTGATATCATTCACAGTGGATGGAAGGCCTGGTCTGCAACTGCTCTCACATTCGGCACTGCAATCGCATTTGGCGGTATCGAAATGCTTTTGGTCTTTACTTTGCGAGTAAGCGTGTAGAATGTTTCATTGAAACGCAGTTGGCTAATTTATGTGAAGCCTGTATATGCTCGTGGTGTCAATGCTCCGATTCTTGTGGTCGGTATACTCGCTGCGGTAATTCTTATAATTGGAATCACGCCACCATATCCTGAAATGTGGAAACGGAAAGGCCGAGTGATTGGCATAAGTAGCTCTCCCGAACACCAAGGCAAAATCTTGTACTGACGGAGCAGATTTCATATTCCTTAGCATTGACTTTGCCGGATCCATCTTCTCGCTTATGGCTCTTGTTGCCCAACAGACCTTTGACTACCTTGGCGGCATTCTTTATATTGGTGTCGCCATCTTGGAAGGCGGCATCTTTCTATCGCATATCATCTGGCGTATTAAAACCAAAGAGCTCCGCCGGCTCGCTAAACAACGTGGGGTAGATATATACGACCTTCCTGAGGCTGAACGCTGGTATCCCAGGGTCTCGCGCAAAGCTGCTAGGGCTGCAGCCCAGGATCTAGAGAATGCGCAAGCGACTACAGACACGGCAGCGTTGCCAGTCAAAGCCAGTGACGTTGGTAATGAGCCAGAGAAGGGAAGTGCTGTTTCAGCTTTGAGAAGCGAGCCAAAGCCTCAAGCCGCCATGTCGGAGACCACAATGACTTCATCCGAGGACGAAAAGCATGCGGAGGTCGAGAGCGAGCAGTTGTCCGAAAAAGTTGCCGAGAGTTCGTCGGATAGTCCAACCATCAGACAAACAGCGGACGCGACTAGCCACAACGATGCTCAAGGCGAAGCGCACCGGAACTTGGACGAGACTGCTTCGCAAAGTTCTGCTGGGTTTCGAACCCCACCGGAGACTGGAAGATCGTCTGCGCTAAGCGACATAGCAAGTAGGGAAACTGGCAAGCCATCGTAGCGAGAAAATGAGTGGAACATAACGATATCACGAGCAACGTAACGAACTAATGATTACGACGGCATAGAAGGATTGGGCGACTTGATGACAGCTCTGAACTGGGCTGCTAAAACCCTGCCTCTGCGGCAGCAGCGCCGACGAATGAAGAAGGGTTGGTGGAAAATTGCTGTTGCACAGCTGTTGCAATAAGACGAAGGCGCATCGCGATCCAATAAAGATTCCACCGAGACCGCTCAAATTGCTTGCACAGCATAGTACTCAGAGAGTCGAAGGAATACCGCGGACTGGATGGTAGAAAGCTAGGCTTGAGATTAAGCATCTGGAGAAAGCCTGCGTTCAGCAAGCATTAAAAAATTAGGCCTATATATGCATGAGAAAAGCGCTGCGATTATTATATCAAGACATCTTAGATAGAGAATAGACTTAATCACATTTTGATGAAGTCACTGCATTACTTTCACAATATCTTATAAGAGTCCCTCGGTTTCAAGCTACAAAAAGTGTGGAAATAGACAACCCTCGGAAATAGTAAAGGCGAGGCAGCCTGGTGCAGCCGATATTCTCCCCCAAACAGGGAAATTTGATGCTGCCAAGTAATTCGGGATACGGATTACGAGAATCATGATTTCTTTTCATTGCTTTCTACACTGTGAGATGTCGACGAGCCACGATGATGAGGGTCACTAAAGGAAGTTGGATTTCATGTCTGACTTCAAGTCCCTGCTGAAGCCGGGGTTCCGCCGTTCCAATACTTCCTCATCTGCCAAGTCTGACCTCTCAACCCCCTCGGCAAGCAATCCTGCCGGGGGTGAGCATAGCAGCCGAAATCGAGGCTCCTTACGACTCAGCAAGAACAAGAGACTCTCATCGATTGCTTCGGTTCAAGAAGAGAAGGCACTGCCGGCACTTCCAACTCTCAACCACATCAACCGGCCCAGAGGGCAAGCCGAAGCTCAGTCCACTCCTAGGCCCAATCAAGGGAAAGAGCCTCGACAAATCACACCTGTAGAAAAGATCCAGCCTAAGCTGGTGGTTGAAGAGGCGTCTCCCCAACCGCAAAGGCGGGGTGATACGACCTCGAAGAGTCAAAGCAAGCCTGCCGAGCGACCGGACAGATTGAGGGAATCTGATGCTAGACCAAGTCTAGCAACAAGAAGGCATTCGCCAATATCATTTGATCAGAGCAGAGGCTTCCCATTTGTTCCTAACGACGAGTCATCTCGCTCTCCGCAACGATCCCCACCCTCCAGAACCCGCCCTCAAACTTACAATAGAATGCCGAGTCGAAAAGTCTGGGTAAAGCGGCCGAACGCAGTGGCTACTCAGGTACCAATTGGCGAAGATGACCTAGTGGACGATGTAAAGGACATGATACTCCGCAAATATGCTAATTCGCTGGGAAGAAATTTTGACCCTCCAGATGTCAATCTGAAGCTTGTGCTGGGACCGCACTCATCAAGACATACGAACGAGCGAAACCTTGGCCCAGATGAAAACATTCTTAAAATATTGGACATGCACTTTACTGGTGGGCAGTCTATGGATGAAGCTCTTCTTATTGACGTACCGCGCAAAACACCTAAGCATTCACCCCGAGTCGCCATGCCCTACTACCTACAAGACGATCTACGACCTGCCGAGACTGGAACAGATTATTTCCCTCCAATGCCTGCCGCTGGGCCTCAGTCCCCCCATCTCTCATCAAATCTATCGCTTTCTGGAACTCATGTCAATTCCCAAAGACCGCCCGCACACGCACATCCACACTCTATTGCAATACTAGAGACGGGTCATGTACCGAATCTACCGTCACCGGGTGCGGGAAACCGCACAAGACATTCTGATCGTCCGACACGCCCAAGACATGTTCGCCAACATACATCCTCGCCTACAGTCATAAGTTCGGTCCCCCATTCGCAAGCACATGGTAAGCAAATGAAAACCCTACCCGCAAACAAGTGTCTGACTTTAGCTCGTAGATCCTCACAATGCGCCATCGAAAAGCAACCCAGCTTCGACGCCTCCAGTTCCTGAAGCCCCTCATCGTACCGCCACTCCTCCACCTCGCGTTGATTCTCCTCGCCCTACACAAAAAACGAGACGAAGTAAAAAGAGTCCCCTGAATGGGAATTCTGCACACCAAATCCACGGTCTGCTTGATGGGTCCGTGCCTCCGATAAACTGTCTGATTGTTGAGGACAACATCATCAACCTGAGACTTCTCGAAGCTTTCCTAAAGCGGCTCAAGGTGAGATGGTCAACTGCCATGAATGGTGAGATAGCTGTAAACAAATGGCGCGAAGGAGGCTTTCATTTAGTCTTAATGGACATACAGCTACCTGTCATGAACGGCTTAGATGCTACGAAAGAGATCAGGCGACTCGAGCGAGTGAACAAAATTGGAGTATTTGCAAATAATGCGGCTAGAAGCACACCAGAGTTTGAGAAGGGTGTGGACGACAGTTTGATTGGCACAAGTATGGATGGCGCAGACGATGAAGAAACTAGCAAGGAACCGAAACAAGAGGACAATCTCAAGAACATGTCATTATTCAAGAGTCCGGTCATTATTGTTGCGCTGACTGCGAGCTCTCTACAAAGCGATAGGCATGCAGCGCTCGCCGCTGGCTGCAACGACTTCTTGACTAAGGTAAGCTGTGAAGCCTAGCCTGCTCGAACGATGATACTGATCTTTAATTAGCCTGTGAACTTCGACTGGCTTTCACGAAAAGTAATGGAGTGGGGATGCATGCAAGCGCTAATCGACTTCGACGGTTGGCGCAAGTGGAAGGACATTTCGAACCAGAAGGCAGCTACAGGTGACGACAAGACATCAAAGAAAGCTGTCAATGGAAGGGTCTCGAGTGGAGAGAAGGTCAAGAGCCCGCTAATGAACGGCAAGCATAAGAAATTCTTAGGGATTACGGACGGTGGAAACAGCTCTGGCGGAGAAGGGGCTGGGGGCAGCAGTGGTGGCGAAGGAGGATGATTGGTTTGCATGGCGAGCGATTGGGTGATGGGGTTCTCCGAGCAGTCTTCTCGCCTCCGTCTTTCCAACAAATATCGTCGTGCTGAATAGCAGGATAGCGAAGTACAGCTCTAGCGCGGCGTTATTGGACGCATATATTGCTAAAGGAAAGGGTAGTAGAATATGACGTGGCTGTATTATACCAGTCTGTAATAATCATCAAGAAGGTCCTTAGGTCGCACGCCAATCGAACGCCAAATTGCGTGCCCAGAGAGCAATACATGGAATGAGTGATTCGCTTCCCTTGTTCAACTGATGGAATGGATAAGATTAGATCCCGTCAAATGCCAAGCTTCAACACCCCTGCCGTTCAGAGGTAGTCAACTGTCAAAGTAACAGAAACATCATGTGCTGCCAAACATATTCGTACGCCATGTATGAACCTTTATTGCAGTAGCGTAGTCATTATCAGTTAGACGGCGCCAATGACTCTCGCATACATCCAATACCCTACCTGACCTCTGCAACCTCCCCTACGACCAAGTTCAACCATGGCATCAGATCGCAGCAGCGATGGCCGCTCAACTCCTCGCTTGGGCCGGTAAGATCACCATCACAAATACTGCACCTAGAGCCCACTAAAACCAGTGTCTGGCAGGCAACGCTCAGCCAGAGGAAGAAAAGAAGTGGGATTCGCCGGCAACGCATCATGGGCGAGCAGCGTAATCAACCTGGTGAACACGAGTACGCTGCCTCTCCTCCCAATATACTATACTTGGCATCTCTGGAGATGCCACAAGTAGAGTGACGTCCGCTAACGCACACCTCCTCCGACAGTCGTCGGCGCCGGCGTCCTAGCCATGCCCCTCGCCCTCTCCCGCATGGGCATTGTCCTCGGCGTCTTCGTCATTCTCTGGTCCGGCCTCACCGCGGGCTTTGGCCTCTATCTGCAGACGAAATGCGCGCGATATCTCGACCGGGGCGCTTCGTCGTTTTTCGCGCTCAGCCAGATTACGTACCCGAATGCCGCCGTGGTGTTTGATGCCGCGATCGCGGTTAAGTGCTTTGGGGTCGGCGTGTCGTATTTGATTATTATTGGGGACCTGATGCCGGGTGTGGTGCAGGGTTTTGTGGAAGAGGGGGGCTTGGAAGGTGCTGGGTTTGTGTTTGAGCGGCGGTTTTGGGTTACGGGGTTTATGTGAGTGTTTGGGTGAATTTAGAGGGTGCGGAGGGGGTGAATGCTGACTAGGAGTGAATAGGTTGATTGTGATACCCCTATCATTCTTACGGCGTTTGGATTCGTTGAAATATACAAGCTTTGTTGCGCTTGTGTCGATTGGGTACCTGGTCTTGCTCGTGCTTGCGCATTTTATAAAAGGGGATACGAAGGAGGCAAGAGGCGATATTAGAGTGGTGCAATGGGAGAGCTTAGTGGCTTCACTGAGTAGCTTCCCTGTCATTGTCTTCGCATACACTTGCCATCAGAATGTGAGCGCAAATCCATCAATTGTCCTCTGGGTAGTGCTAATTCTGACACGCGCAGATGTTCTCCATCCTTAATGAAATTGGCAACAACTCCCACTTCCGAACTACCGCCGTCGTGATTGCCAGCATTGGCGTCTCCGGCTTCATCTACATCCTCGTTGCCATCACTGGCTACTTGTCCTTCGGCAATACTGTCAGCGATAACATTGTCGCTAATTGTATGCCCCTTCCCACTGTCACTCCCCCTTCAAAATCACACTGACATCCTCCAGACGGTCCCTCCCTAACCTCCACAATCGGCAAAGCCGCCATCGTAATCCTCGTCATGTTCTCCTACCCCCTCCAAGTCCACCCCTGCCGCGCCTCCATCGACGCAGTCTCCCGCTGGCGCCCCAACCGACGACGCAGCAACGACAACGGCTCTCCCGCGTTCTCTCCCCCGCCGAAAGCCGCCCGCCCCGATAACATGGGCGAGGTCCGCTTCGCCACTATCACAGCCGCTATTCTCGTCGCTAGCTACATCATTGCGATGACGGTCTCGAGCTTGTCGAAAGTGTTGGCGTATGTAGGTAGCACGGGGAGTACCAGTATCAGTTTCATCTTGCCGGGGTTGTTCTATTATAAGATTAGTAGTCCGGACTCGAGTTTGCATCAGCGGTTGCTTAAGGAGGATGATGATGAGGAGAGTGAGGAGGATGGGGGTGGGGGTGGGCAGGAAGAGCACGGCCTACTTGGGGGCAGGGGATTGAAGAGTGGAGTCGGAAGGAGGCGTTTAGTGAGGAAGTTGAGTCTGGCGTTGGCGATTTATGGAATGGTGGTTATGGTGGTTTGTTTGGTTACGAATACGTTGTTTGTGGTTGCGCATTGAGAGCGGCGTGAGAAGGTCAGGATATAGTGTCTTTACATTTGGCTAGCGGTACAGTCGCCGCCTTAGTTGTATATACAGATCGGTATTCTTTCCCTTCTTGTTTTCAGTCATGGATCGCTATATGCGTGGCGGTGTCTGCTTGTAGACTCTTTTCAGTGTAGGTTGCCATATCCCTTAGTCTTCTGCACCAAACCTCGACACTGGAATGGCCTTGATTGCTTGGGCGAGTCCTCCGATTTTCCATCCACATAGGGCGTCAACTTCATTTCGTCTGGACAGCACCCTCTTCCTTCTCTTCTGCCTGTTGTTTCACTTTCTCTCCCAGCGCCTTCATCTTCTGGATGTGGAATTTGGGTTCGATGAGTCCGATCTACACACAATTGCAATGTCAGCTCTTGATCTCCCGTCCATATATTCGTCGCCCAAGCTCTGCTTTCATTCTCTCTTTCACGGCTTCTCTTGCCCCCTTTACTATCCTCAGGCTCTCTAACTAAACATTTTGTTGCTCCCCCCAACAAAGATCGCATCTCTGCTCCCTGCTTTTCCATCACATCCCATCCCTTCCTTTCCCCTTCCCTCGCCCAATGGAGAAAAGAGACTAGACATACCAAAGCCAACAACCTCTGCGCGGGCTCACTAGGCTGCGCCCCCACACCTAGCCAGTATTTCGCCCTCACAATGTCTAATTTGATGTCCTTCACTGGTTTCTCATCTGGAGGGGAGCCCAACGCGGGTGCTTTTGGGATAGGATCGTACGTTCCGAGGACTTCGAGGGGGCGGGAATTGCGTGCTGAGCTATAGGATTTGAGGCTTGTTTAGCTTTGTCATAGAGCACGAAGGATGGGCAGGGAGGGAGACCGGTAATCAGAGTGGACGAGGTGGAGATTGGGATGGCATAGGGGAGGTAGGGGAGGCAGGGGAGGGATTACCGAGCTTGCGCGACGACTATGTTGTAAAATGGCTTGTGAGCTTTCCCGAAACGCGCGAGGCGGATCTTGAGGACCATTACTTAGGCATTTGGTGGATGGTGTGTATAAATTATGTTCTTTTTTCTGAGTCGTGATTTCCCATCTAGAGCTTGTGGGCTTGCACTTCCGGTGCCCGGCTTTAATTGATGTCTTGGCATACCCGCCCGAGATCTCTCGTCTGATGCAGTCTTTTTCGAAATTGATTTTCGTTGGCGTTGAATAAGGTCCTAGAGAACTCAAATTGCAATTTGTTGAGCCAAGAGCAGACTACTTGGGCTTTAGAATCGTCCCTATCAAATTTGCCAGATTGTATCAGAGCCTGGCGCAGAATATGCTCTCACTAATGCAGACTATTCTGATGCCGAAGGATTTACGGCTCAGCCGCATATCTTTTGTCATCCTACTTCCTTACCCACATTTCATCGTCGTCTTATGTGTTTGTTGGTATCTCCTATATCTATTCAGCGTTGATCAGTCCCGGTGCCCTGTTTGCTCTGTAATTGCTGACTTCTTGCATATACTCCATATACTATTTCAGTCATCATTTATGGTAAACATCGTTGTAATTATCTCAATAGTCTGTTCATCGATTTATTCCAGTCATGTCTTTCGGATTTGCCGTCGGTGATTTCATCAAAGTAGGAGAGCTTGCATGGCGGTTGTACCGCGATTGTTACAAAGTTGCCCGAGATGCGCCTCAGGAGTTCCAGCTACTTGTAGCGGAAATTTCGACGATGTCGAATTCATTGACTATTCTTCAAGAGGAAGTGAAGGATCCGGAGTCGAGCTTGGTTCAGTCTGGGCCCGATAGGGTTGATATCGTCAACAACATGGTAGGAAACATACATAATACCCTAAAAGCCCTGGAAAAGTACGCCCAGAAGTACGATATAAGTGGTTCGGGTTCGACTTCAAAGATGCGCCAAAGGATCAAAAGATTCCAGTGGGCTTTGCACAGGAAGAGTATAGAAGAATTGCGGAGTAAGATGCACCAGCACAATGGTAAGTTGCAAAGGTTAAGGGTCACCCTCTTCCCCCAAGGAAATCTATGATGACTAGTTGGATCTGTCGAAGTGCCTGAAATTGGCTTTTGATAGGTTCTAGTCCGTTTATAGCAGGCACAAAGAGCAAAGAAACGATTCGGACAAGCCTGAAATAACGAGGCTGACTTTTATTGTGTGTCTAGGATATTTAACACTGCTTCTGACACAGGCTGGAAACTCTTCACTACAACGCATACAGGACTCCACAAACACGCTAGAGGGTGACGTACAGCAAATAAGAATTTTGATATCAAGCCAACAGAAGCGTGACGACGTGCTATCTCCTTCCTTGTCCCTAGTAGAAGACAGCTTAGTCAGGTCTTCTCTGAGCGCCCGACTCCTCAAGAATGCCGAGGTTTCGCAGCCGTGGAGCTCTATCGGGGTAAGTCAGTGGATAGACACAGGTCGGTGGTGGCTGCAAGGTTCGAGGCTTGAGCTATACCCGGTCACACAAGGCGGACAGGTCCCGATTTCTGCCTATGCTAATCTCATCAAAGCATCTTGGATTGTTGTGGATATCATTGCGTGCCATCCACAAACCTCGTTCCTTTCGGGTAATACTCGTGCTGAAATAGCTGGACTATGCGCATCAGTGAAGAATGACTTTGAAAGGATTCAATCTTTGGGATTGCAGGTACCGGATCTGGAAGAGGTCGGGGATCAAGACCTGATCATTTGGGAAAATCAGATAAGAGCACCCAATTTCCGGCCTCAACAAGCCGGACTTGGAAATGCTCCAAGTCTGGGTAATATCTGGGTAGTGGAAGGTGACGAACGGGCTTTCTTCTTACAAAGAGCTATTTGCGAGCTTCAAGCCAGGTCATATCCGACAATGTGCGACGTCGTTTTTCTTGTACAGCACGATGGATCTGGGGCTAGACTGGTCGCAACGCCACAGAATGAATCGGCATTCATGGATATCCATTTCAAGAATCCTGTACGATTTCAAAAGCATACGGACTGCGTTACTATCAACAGCGAGAAAATAATGCTTAAAAAAGAGGAAGACAGTCGATATTTGGCATGCCTAGTCGATGCCGCAAATTTCTATTTCTTCAGTCGTCAAAGAACAAGCGACAGTGTGGCTACTTTTCAAGCCTACGCCGTTCTCTTTGCAGTCAAAAATCGGCATGCTGATCTTGTCGAACTTTCAAAGCCTAAACTAACTAGTGCAACGATAACAGATAGTTCTGAAAGTAGCAGTAGGGCTATTGTGGTTAGTCATATAATCGCCGATAAATATCTTGCTGGAGATATAGAAGGCGTACCATGGGATGAACATGTACACGCAGACGACAAGATCAAACTTTTATCATGGGCAGTGCATATTGGCTGTGACGATCTTGTCAGATTCCTCTGCGCCGAAGGTGTAAAGCATGAAATAGATAGCTCGAATGAGCTGTCGCCAATGATGATCGTTTCCTATTGTGGATACGAGTCTACGGCCAAGATATTGCTTGCTCAGTATGCTACATCCTCCAAAGAGATTGTCGACCAGAACGGCAAACACCGAAATAATTCCATCCACTACGCGAGTTATCGAGGTCATGACAAAATCGTTCGTTTGTTGTTGCGATATGGGGCCAACATCAACCATACGAATGATTTTCGGCAAACACCGCTGCACCAGACCGCATTTCACAACCAACCGAAGGTCGCCCAGTTGCTGTTGGACAAAGGTGCAAACCGGAACGGCAAAGACAGTGAACAGTATAATCCAGTGCTTGCAGCATGCGACCGCGGTTCGAACCACGTCCTACCAGTTTTCGCTGAAGAGGATCTCGACTTTATACAGAAGGGAGAACGCGATGTCAACGCTCTGGTCGTCGCTCTTTCCCACAACATGAGGGACAGAAAACCGGTGACTAAGGAGGTCTGGAATCTTGTTTTCCGCAAACATTTTGAGCAGAGTGAGCTACGACCTCCACCTGAGTGGCACAACCTGTATGATCTCGAGCATGGTGGTACATGGCGTCGTGATCTCGTACATTTCGAATTCGATACAGATTGGGCCGAGATTTATTTAGAATCAATACTCGCTTGGTTCGAGTATCCCGATGGTCTTCCCGAATTTGTCAGTGATCTCCATCAGCGCATGGTGTCAATTGGTAAACCTGGATCTCATAAATTCTTCAAAATCAAGTTCAGCTTCCACGTCGTGCATACAGGGGACCATGTCTGGTTTTCTACCGGGCAAGGTGCAGCCGGGACATCTGGCGGAAGCTCTACCACATTGCGTGTAGAAAATGGGAGTCAGTATAACAATTGGGATAGAGGCTATTGGCGCAGTTACAGTGGTCCACAACGCGTCATGACGAATCCAGACCTCAAGGCTTCGCGCGTTGAAGTTCCTCCCGAGCGTATCCCCCAATTCATCAAAGAGACCATTGATAGTGAACTCTTGCCGAAGTGAATGTATCAGGATACAAAGAACCTCTCCCGATGAAGTACACAGTGCCGACCAAGTGACAGCGAATGATGTCTGGAATGCCATTATTCCTATTGATTTAGAGTTGTCGTTATTCATTTCTGACGACAGGACTGGCCCGGCTCTGGCTCTGTCCTCACACGTTGATTGTCTCCACATCATTGCCTTCACCCTCCTTTACAGGCTCTTGTAGTGAGAAATTTGACGCAGATCCCGCTTGGTCTTCGTCATCTTCTGGTGTGCCGTCTCGACAAGCCCATGCGTCTACGTATCTCAAAGTCGAACGCCGCCAAAGTCTATTCATGATGAGGAGCCGGGCGGGGACGCACGCAATAATGATGAGCGGAAAGGCAGGCGCGCCTTTTGTGAGTGTGACAATGAATACAATCACTGTCGCAATTATTTGTGTGACAGTATATGCATGTACGCTGCGGTAGCTCTTCACTGTCTCTGGTAAATCTGGAAGCTCGGAAGGCGGCGTGAGTAGGTAAAAGACACGATTGAGAATGGGGTTAACAGAGAGGCTTTGCTCGCCCATATACATGAATAGCCCTGCTAGCACGCTTGTTGGCGTAAGACCTAGAACGTGTTGCAATGGAGGGCTTATGAAGACCAGGATTGCACCTGCGTGTAGGAAGGCACTCCATCGCTGTTCATAAACGCGCCGTACTGGCCTGAGCTCGATCTTTTCGCCTTCTTCGCTGCCGATGGCGATCTCGTCTTGTTCGTCATGCATCAAAGACTCGGAATGAAGTGGAGCCTGAGGAAGGAGGCCATTTGCAGGAGGTATGCCCAAAATGCCACAAAGAGCTGTCGTCGTACCTAGAAGTACAATATCCCACGCAAAGCCACCTGGCTTCTTCGTACCATAACGGCCAATGGTGCAAATGATACTACTTACTTCATGGTCGAAGAAGAATAGGACACTGATGATGAAACCTGGTAGAATTGCTGCAAAGACCCACGAGACAGGGAGATGCCAAAATTCGACAAGAAATCTTGAGCGCTTGGGATCGCTAGGATGGAAGGCATTGTCACTGACTTGCAGCGTCTGCCTATCCAATTTTGCCAATTCGCCTACATGCGGTATCCCAATGAATACGATGATAGAAATAGCGGCCGCATACTCAACAAGACCCATACGTATGTATTTGTGGAATAGGGGCTTCCACCGTTCGGCTGTGGAAAGAAAAATGGCAACGAGCATTGTCCCAATGGCACCGATGACAGCGTAGAGGAAAGCGGCAAACGAGAGCGCTTTATGGGCGCGCTGAAGCTCTTGGACAGCTTTGTGAAAGTAGATTATGCTGTTGAGCAGTGAAAATATTTCGGTGGAGAACGTTGTTACATAGAGCATGGTCCAATCATGAGCGTTGACGATGGCGAGTAAGTAATGCATCCAGCCGGCGTGTATAAGAGACCACGCCATGAATGGTAGAAATGGTATCTAGACGCATGGTTAGGCTGCTTTTGATCAACGCTTCGATTCTTTTTTTCACCACAATATTTACCTTGAAGGATGTTGAACATAAAGAATAGATATTCTCCGCCAAAACAGAAAAGGGGCCCGTCACACCAAGGATTGTCAAAGGCTGTATGGAGAACCTTACGTCACCATCAGTCAAGCTATTGACATCACCCCATTGTGTTTTTATTGGGAAGTTGCTGATTTGAAGTGGCTTGCATGAGGAGTAGATTGGAGGGGACATTAGTTGATCAAAGACTTACAGGCTGAATATGACTCCACACAGCCCAGTCGAGAACACCACTTCAATGGTGCCCCAACTCTCCCCAGTCAAGACATCAAGGTCACTGGCGAAAGTGATGCCAGGAAGCAAATTGGTGAAAAAAACATAAACCGCGCTTGCCACAATGAGCTGATTGAACACAGCCCAATCAGATACATAACGATTTTGCAAGTTCTTAAGATCTTGTCGAATGAGGCGGAATGGCTTTACAGCCTCAGGTATCTTCATGGAACATGAATATTCAAACGCAGAAGGTTATGTGATCACCAACCAGTGTGATATTTTGTTAGGAAGGCGGATCTGAGAACAGTGTACGCTGGAGCATGCTTGTAGACATTTTGTCAACCACAAAAGGTATCTTTGGAGGAACACATTTACGAATATTGACTTGGAGCGATGAGCCCTGTAATCAGTTCTCATTGAAAATTTCTGAGATATCATTGGCCTACGTCATAGGTCACGTGCCCGAGTCCGCTACGCTTATTCGCGGGCAACTCCAACTCCTTGATCGCGGTTTCTTCAACGGTCTCATCAAGTCAATGGACACGATTGCGGTGACTCGATGTTGCTTCTTACTAGATGTTGTTCTCGCTCGCGAATACTTACGCCTTGCGCTCTTTCACGCCAATCCCCTCATGTCCGAACAATAGCAACACATCCTCACGCTTACCATGCAGCCCTTCTTTCAGTCCTTCCTACAAATGTCGACACGACGTCTGCAGACTACCGCGAGAATGCAGCTCAAATGGGCGAACTGCTCGGCCGCATGCAGGACCTGCACGCCCAGATCCAGGTCGGCGGGTCAGCCAAAGCAAGAGAGAAACACATTGCTAGGGGCAAGATGCTACCACGAGAGTGAGCAGGCCGTCATAACATTCTATGAATGATGGCTGAAAGGAATCCTGTGCTATCGTGAAGTCGAATCACAGCACTGCTAGACCCTGGTACACCATTCTTGGAGCTTTCCACGTTAGCCGGACATGGTCTGTACTCAGGCGAGGAGGTGCCTGCTGGAGGTATCATTACTGGGGTTGGGTCTGTACAAGGAACAAGATGCATGATCGTTGCCAACGATAGCACGTAAGGGCACGGCGATGCACACCTTGTGAGAGTTATATGCTGAAAGAGAGGCACAAGGGTGAAGGGCGGCACGTACTATCCGATCACGGTCAAGAAACATCTGAGAGCACAAGCCATTGCAAGCGAAAATGGTGGGCGTCATAGGCAGCTCTGAACACGTTCCCCGCTGATTTTCGGTAGGACTCCCCTGCATATACCTAGTGGACTCTGGAGGCGCAAACCTGCCTCACCAAGCGGATGTATTTCCGGATAGAGACCACTTCGGACGCATATTCTATAACCAAGCAAGAAGTATGTGTGGAATACATAGCTTTGAAACATAGGCTCACTGTAGTAGTGAGCGCCCAAGGTATCGCGCAGATCTCGGTGGTGATGGGCCCTTGCACAGCCGGCGGTGCTTATGTGCCTGCGATGTCTGATGAATCGATCATCGTCGAGAAACAGGGTACTATCTTTCTAGCAGGCCCACCATTGGTGAAAGCTGCTACGGGAGAAGAAGTCTCGGCAGAAGCTCTGGGAGGCGGAAAGCTGCACAGCGAAATATCTGGCGTTACTGACTACCTAGCGGTTGACGATGCGCATGCTTTGGTGTTGGCTAGGCGCTCAATCAGCAACTTAAACTCAACCAGCCCTACCTTCAAGTCCACTGAAATCAAGGAGCCTTTATATGATCCGGAAGAGCTCGCAGGCGTCGCCGGTACCAATCTCAGGAAGCATATTTCAGCTCATGAGATCATTGCTCGTATTGTTGATGGTAGTGAGTTCTCAGAGTTCAAAAAGGATTATGGGACAGCCCTCGTCACAGGTAATCTCCCGATTCTCGAAAAGCTGCCCCTATACTAATACTGTCCGAATAGGGTTTGCGCGAATCTTTGGACATCAAGTGGGTATTGTAGCAAATAATGGCATCCTCTTCTCCGAGTCAGCACTCAAGGGCGCTCATTTTATCCAACTATGCGCACAGCGAGACGTACCGCTAGTCTTCCTCCAGAACATCAGTGGCTTTATGGTTGGTGCAGATGCCGAAAAAGGTGGCATTGCCAAAAATGGAGCAAAATTGGTGACCGCTGTGGCATGTGCTGATGTGCCCAAGTTCACGGTCGTCTTTGGTGCCAGCGCTGGAGCAGGTAATTACGGCATGTGGTAAGTATAGAGAAATCACCCAGAAAGAGCGGACTGGACAAGAAATGAATCAGATAGATGCTGTTACTAATTTGACAACCAGCGGACGAGCTTACTCTCCCCGATTCCTTTGGATGTGGCCTAATGCAAAGATCGGTGTCATGGGCTCGAGCCAACTCTCGGCTGTCATGGAGACCGTGGGCAAATCCGTGGATCCAGAACTCAAGGACCGCATAGAACGTGAAAGCGACGCCGTTTTTTCTTCCGCGAGGCTCTGGGATGACGGAGTGATTCCACCGGCACATACAAGAAGAGTGCTTGGACTCGGCTTGAGAGCTGCTCTGAGTGGTAAAAGGCCAGAGGAAAAAGCGACAAAGTTTGGTATCTTCAGGATGTGAACAGACTGATGCCAGCCCTCAATGTCACCACAGCATGAAGGAAATTCTTACCACCTTCTGAATTTAGTAAGGCATATATCCGGCACTTCGGAGCCGCCCATCAGCGCCTCTGCCTGAGTCATGAACCTAAAATAGTCGAATTCGTCATTGGCCACTGATTGGTAACTGACTTGGAATCTTCACGGGAACTTCATGAGTCATCCTGTTTACCTTGCTATCAACTTATAAATGCACCTTTCACTCAATCCAGGAAGGGCCTGTGACGAGATTAAATTCCAAAATTCCCCCAGTACAGAATCCTCATATTGTATCATGGCTTCTCAAAGACCTGACCCGTTTCCTAATGCCACAACAATCACGCTGTCCGCCGAGCAACTTGATGCATCACCTCATTTCCCTCCCCTCTACGCTCTAGAGAACGAGGCTTTTGCCCACGCACACACCAAAAGTATCGCGGGCAAAGAATTCCTCCCAAAGGAGGTGGGCCGCTTTTATGCACCACAAGACATGCTGGATGAAATAGGTACTGAGGGTCTTTGCATGATAGCATTTGAAAAGCAGGAGGGTAGCGAGATCATTGGAACAATAAGCGCCAAGCCATTTCACGAGCCAAAGATCGCTGTGGATACGGCAGGCAAGCATAGTCGAATGCTATTCAAGCGCTCGGTATCAGAAAAACAAATGAACGGGCAAGCAGTCGACGCCATAATGAAGGGCGAGGAAGAAGCGGAGAAGTGGGAATTGCTCGCCTCTGTCGTATCCTTGAGAGTGAAGGGAATGGGTGTGGCAAGCATGCTTATGGAGAAATGCGTGGCAGAGATCAAGAGAAGGTCGATACAAAATTGGCACGAGAAGCAAAGGGCAGGAAACCCAAAGATCGTACTCTACCTGAGTACGATGCAAGAGTTAAACGAGGTGTACTATCAGAAACGAGGTTGGACAACGACGTCAACGAGGAGAATCCCGGCCGGCACGACAGGAAACAGGGATGAATTCGGCATCGTTGAGATGATGAAGACTATCCCTCCGTGATCGATTTCGATCTTAATCCAGCCAGTAGACGTCGACAGTACTAGTACAAATAATTCCCTTGGGACAAACCATTACCCCTGCCCAAAGGCCTGCTACCCTCTTGTTTCCTTGTAATTTGATACTTTCGGTTACAGGTCTAGATTGGCTACTAAAAACACTGAATTCTGGTGCACTGATCACAAAACGCCGACTAGAGCAGAATCTTGTAAATCTTGTACGCCAACTGGTACTTCTACAACCCCCACAAGGAACAAAAGACTGATCGTTCACAGGAAGTGAGGCGTCCAGGGTGTCATCCGGACGTCAACGGCTACCCGAAGTTTCTACCTTTAAGAGCTTTGGCTGCCACCATTGATATCGACTGAAGTCTTCACTTCAATAGGCGGCATGTTCATGTGAAAAGACTGGAAGAGAGTGATAATGCATCGTTAAGGTTTGGGTTTTGGTACTGGCTCATTGCTTGCAATGGTCAAGTGCAATGTTCTGCTTCGGGTGAGCTGGTGTCGTCGTAAATGAGAACAATGATACTCAATCAACCCCCATTGTCACGCATTGTTTTCTGTTGCGTGAGCGATGATTCTTGCGACACAGGTAAAATTGTGCTGTCGTACCAGTCTCTGTGTATTGGACGGTGTCTTTGTTTGAGTGGGTTTCGTGTCAAGGCCCAAGATCAAGCACATCAAAAGTGCTGAAAACCCCTGGCACTATGGGTTCCGCCTCAAGTGCAAGCTGGACACCATTCATTCTCACCACGATTTGCACAAGTCTCAAGCTAAACCCTAACCTCTTCCATCATGCCAGCAAATTACACCATAGACGCCAAGCCTGGCTTCAACTACAAGATACTTGAAGCCCTGCCAAATCCCAGCGCTCGACCTGATTCCAACAATAAAACACGCGGAGCACGTTCGAAGTCCAGTGGAGACATACCATCGGATGAGCTAGAACGTTCATTCAAAGAGACTGCTCAAGCATATCTATCTAAGGTTCAACACAATTCGCACAAAAATGGCTCAAGCATTGTAAGCCCTCTGACGACGGAGACAGGATCCAGCGCAAGTAGAAACAAGCCTACCGATAACGATACGTTCGCCATTCAGGTACGCTCAATGCATTTCAAACCATCCTTCCTAGTTCTCTCAGTCCACGAGACTTTCGACAGCCTTCGCAACAATCTAGACGCCGGGGTAATCGCATTGACTTATTATGACCCAATTGACCATTATATCAAGGACGAGTTGATTCATGACCAGAACATCTTCGCTGTGTTGAGTTGGGCAAAGGAGCACAAGAAGTGTGCACTCAAGGTTCTGAATTACTAAAGTCTCTACAGTCACATATTGACTAGGCTTCCAACTTAGACTGTTGGACGAGACGTGATCTCAAAGTACAGTATGAGTTGGTCGTGGCAAACTACACCCATTCTCGAGGCGAACCAGTGAGGCACAGCGAAGCGGATTGAAAAAATAGTTTGCATTCAGGGGAGAATATCATTTAGCCTTTGGCATCTTCGATTCACGGATATGCAACCCGCAGGTAAATTCTGAAATCTGCATCAAATCCCTTGTGTTGTCTGATAGGATCCAAATCCCAATTTTATTTTCATAGCAGCCAAAATAAGACCGCATGCCTTGGGATTTTATGCTTAATACACTTGCCGAATAATCACGCCGACGCTAAACTTCAACCAAAGGTGTCTATAACCCTAAAGAGAGACGACACAGGGACTCCAATGGGTTTGGAAGACAATATTAGCTGAGAGTTTCTTTGTGAGTGAAAACAACTTTTCCCATCAAGGAATACACCCCTGACAAGTTACACATATTTCCCGGAACCCCTCTCCAGCAGACCAATTGTTCAATCAATTCACCGCTAGCAAGCTAATTCAGCGTGCTGGACCAACAGTCTTGCCACTGACGGTGCATCGTAGGCTAAAATTGGGCCGTTTGGCGCCTGGCAATGCCGAAGACAACCAATCTCAGAAAATCTAAATCGCAGTTAAAGTTGATCGACATGGAGTCTATCGCGGAGGCAGATTGGAATCTGTTCCCTGAAGATATGGGCCACTTACCCCTCGTCAGGACGAGTTTCTTGGTTCTGAAACAATGACTTCTTCTCGTCTCGACAAAGCATCCGCTGAAACCACAGAAAGTACGACTAGCATAGACTCGGGAGACAACTTGAAAGCCAGAGATGCCGGGCAAGCTCCCTGCCGACGCGTTGCTTTCGTATCTCCATCAGGGAATGATTCTTCCAGGGCCTCTGGCCACATAGCTGGAGGAGAGGGGCCCCAAAAAGGGTTAGATCTAGATTCTGCCCCGAAAGACAATGAGCAAGCCCGCTCGCATCACTTTACGTCCAGTCTAATCGAGGATGGCTGTTCCTTCCAATCTAATGCCTCAACGGCAGTGGCCCCACAGAAGGCTCTAGGTGACCGCCAGCTCAGTCAACGCGACGAAGTCCCCTTAAACAGAAATATCCCCAAAGACGACGAAGGTTTTGCCTCTGACGCACAAAAAGCTGGCAAAGAAGTGAGCGACCAAATCTTCACTCCATACATGTCGTCCCTCGACGACCATACCACCCTTGCAAAGTATATGGTTCACCTGGTATCAAAAGGGCTGCTCTCTATGGACGACTATCACAAGCTGACGTTGCCTATCGTGGTTTATAATTCTATTCGCCGCGGTAGAGCCGACCCAGATGCCATAAAGATTGTTGTCTTTGGAGTCAACGAGACGTTCGATACGTTGCGCGATGAGTTGAAGGCCACTGCGTTGCGTTTCATTTACAAAGAGCCCTGTCTTGGTGGGACATGTCTAGATAAGCTTATCAGTGAGAAGAATGTCACGGGATTGTTGCGGTACGCAAAGGAGTACAAGAATGGGGCGATTGAGATTTTGAAGGAGGAAGCCTAGGGGTGATGTGTCGAGAGTCGTACAAGGTGAGGGGCGACAGTGGCAAATTAGACCAAGTTTTCCCTCGAATAAATACATTTCTTCTAGTGTTGGGTGTCGTCGATGCATCAAAACACTTTTCTTTGTTTGTGAAAATCGCGACACAACATGGTGGTTCATCTGATTCATTTCTTCTGCGGTCGTTTTTCCACTTTCAACAATCTTCCACAGAGCAGGTCCGATCCACAACATTGCTGCCATGGCAGCCGAGAGTGCACCCAGGGAAGTTTGGCTAAATGTTATTGGCCATCTATCTTATTTCGACGAAGTGCATCACCTGAAAGCCCTATATGGCCTTCTTCTCACGAATCGCTCATGCAGTAACGCGGCACGTAGGCCGCTTGAGAAGGTGCTGTACTCAAAATACTTCGAAGGCTTAGACATACCTCCTTGGAACATCAATTACAATCCAGTTGAACAAAGTGAATTCGATTACGTTGATTGGAAATGTAGATTGCTAGAACGATGCATCATCAAAATACAGCGCCTCCCACAGCAATTCCGAAGCTCAGCTATTTTCAGGATGACGCCTGATCAGCCACACAAATGTCTATTCATGAAAAGCTCAAAAGATTACCTCAAAGTCAATCATGAGCGTGAAACTCTAGAGGAGTTGTTATCCGTGCCTTACGGAGAGTCTATACTTGACCTTGGTAGAACTCAAGATCAGAGACGTCTATTTGAAGCAGACTACTTTGGCGACATTGTGAACGGACTACTTAAGGCGAATGAAGGGTGGACTTTTCGAGACACGGCTGTACCTTTGTTTCAAATGTTGGAACAAATGTGTAGGTACTTTCGGCTCGAGATCATCGAAGGATCCGACCGTCTCATCTTCTCAAGAGAAACATACGACATCAAAGCTGCAGAAGACAAGCGTCGTAAGGCAAATGAAAAGAAACTTCAAGAACAAGAACAGCAGCTGGAAGAGAAGCTTCGTACTGAAAGGAAAAGCTGTATCGAGAAATGCAGCAATTCTTTCATTCCGTCCAGTCCTACTGCTGAAGACTGCGACCCGAAGGATGAGCCGAGTAAGAGTCTCCAAGGAAAGAGGAAGGCAGGCACCAACACAAAGACATTCGAATCATTCGACCATCCAGAAGTAAGCTACAAGCGCCGAAGGCATGGGTGTAGCTTGACACTGGCCATCATTACGCCCATGAAGGACGCTTTTGGTCCTGAATCTCCGACTTCAGAAGTATCTCAAAGCCTTGAAAACTTGAAGATCAACCCTCCCGTTGACGGAGAAAACAATCAGTGTATAACGAACACTGCCACTCCAAGCTCATCAAAAGCCCCAGATGATTTAACTGACGTTTCACAGCTAGAGAAGCCTCACTCACCATTCATACCCTCCCTCCGAAGATCTGATTCTGAAGACATTCAGATAAGTCCTCATTCAAAAGTTATACCATTTCTCTTCGACGAAGACCCTGAAGATCTTCGGACGACGTATCTTCTGTCTCTATCAAAACGTCAGCTCTTCGGCATTCTGAGAAATCTTCACGTGGAGATGGAGAGACGCATGCTGATAGAGCGCCTGTTGTCAGAGCCAGACAGCTCTGGTGAGGAATCCCATGAGACAACAATCAACGAGGTAGCATCGTTGCTCACTCTTCAACCGAAGCTCCGACGCAAATACAACAGCATGGGACATCGCGGCAGAGACAAGTACGACCTAGTAGATCTCACGAATCGGCGGCTCGAAACGATGAAAACTGTCCAAAAGCCAGCCGACGACCTTCAACTGCAAAATGTAAGCATTTCCAAAATTGAGACTTCACTGCTAAATCGCCTACGTACATTTCGTGCGCAACGGATACCATCGAGGGGCAATCTTGCGATACTGTTTCTCTATGTCACAGTGTTTCTGTATATCGTCCACAACGAGTCAAGCACCGGCAAGTTGCAAGCACGCCTCTACACTAGCAACATGGCTCTTCAAGAAGCCCAAGAATTGATACAATCGAATGTTGGTCATCACGTTGAATCGCCATTAGAACATGCAGAGACTTTGGTTCATTCGAGAGCAGTTATTACCCCTGTCGTACCACCATCTGGTCAAGAAGAGATCACACTTTATCCAAAGGCATACAGTCGGAGCAGCAAATGCACTGTTTTGTTACTGGCTATACAGATTCCGGGTTTACGATTTTCGGTGATTGTCCAAGTCCGAGACATTTGAATGCCTCAAGAGGTCATGAATATTCGGAACGAATAGGGTTCAATGGTAAAGAGGATTTTTATTCCTTGCATGAGTGTCAATTTCTTAGCGAAATGTTGCATGCCAGATAATGATGAAGCGAGAGAAATGCGAATGAATGAAGGATATTGATAGACAGTAAAGGTCAAGAGACAGCATGCTTTTTGTGAACATAGGTATCAATAGTCACACTTCTGATGGTTTTACTATTGAGATTCTTTCTTCTTCTAATGTCTAATGCTCTGTCTGGAAAATTGGGACGAATTTCCCAATTTGTTCTTCGATCTTCTTGACGGCACTTTCCATTTGAGTCGATCTGGCTAAGTAGTATCCGTATGCCAGATCACTACAATGTTTGCGTCTGTACAATGAGGGATGTGCGATTATTGCATAATGAGGGGAGGACTAGATGAAGTGAATGAATGTATCGGAGATGTCTTATTGGCCCTCATTATCTTCCCTACCGCAAGAGGTTGCAGAGCTGCTAACGTGACTTGTAAGTGTCCGGTCTTTCCTTCCTCGCGCGTCAAAGGGTAATGCATCTTTGCAGAGCTACGCAATGAAGCAGAAACTCATTGATCTGTACTCACAGGTTTCTCAGATGAGGAAGCTGCGACTGCCCCACATGTTGTCTAGACATGATGTGACCTCCTCAATAAGGGAGGTGATTCCAAAGGTATCCCTTGCTATTGACCCAAATCATCACCAATTATTGACAATACATCAGTTTTTTGTACTTAGTGTAGGAGTCCAGCCTCTTAGAGGCGTGATCAATCATTATTCGACATAGATCTTCAGAGTATCTTTCGGAATTCATAGACTTTTGATTTGAATTAGACATACACGAAAGGCATCTCAATTCGAATGCCAACCATAGAGATGCAAAAGAACTTGAACCTACGTACGGCCCTCCTGCCAAAGGATATGACAACCCTTCGAAGCGACCACTCCTCTACCGCCAACTGGATTCGCTGGGTCAAACCACTGGAGGAATATCGCAGAAACACCTTCTCCGTCTGGGTCAGCTACAACGCAAACCCGCGGCCATGGAGAGTAGGTTGCTTTATCGTCTCGCTTGAGGAGCCATACGAGGAGCTTCGGGCAGACCTAGGAGCAGGACTACTATTTTTAAGCTTCAAATCACCACACACCAGCAAACTCAACCGCCTGATGCTCGACAGCTCTAACATAGTAGCGGCGCTTCGATTTGCGCAAAATTGCAACACTGCAGTCTTGCAGGTGGAGGCGGTCCAGAATGAGATCGAGAGGCCTCATCAACCACAGGAGTATTTACCCACAGGACCGCAGCCGCATATGAGTATGAATGTGTCGAGTCACATGTTCCCGGTGCCACAGGGGATGTTCCCATAACTCCATCGACGTCCAAAGGGAAAGGACAAGAACGGCACGTGACATTTGCAGAAGAGGACGAGGTTACGGATGAGACACTGGTAAGTCTGCACCAATTCTGGACTAGTTGTAGATGCTGATGGTACATCCTAAACGCAGTTCAATATTTTCAATCCTGAAGCGTCATCATCGAATTTCACGACTCCTTCAACTGGTTCTTCCTCCCAAACGGCTTCGAGTGCTACCTTGACAGCCCCCTCGACACCTTGTCCGCAACCTGGGCCTTGGGATTGGAAATGGACTTGAGGCTGGTACGAGGAATTCGGTGAGGAATGGGGCCTGAATTGCAAGGTGTTGTAGTTGAACCGGGTCTGTGGCATTAGCTATTATTATTGAGAGGGGCAGAAGTAGATAGATCTAATTCGAATATCGTCTCTTGCATATGAATCTCCGGTTGAAAATACTATGTATATCTGATACGTTATGGTAACGAGGCGTTGTTAAGTCCTAGAAGTTGACTTAAACGGTAGGCATGAAAAGAGTGCATTCAGGATTTACCGGTTAGTATAAGGAGTTGCGTCAAACTGCTAGAGATTTTTTGAGGCATTTCTTCGTAAATCTTCTCCTATTGTTCAATTTGTCGTCGTTAGTAATCCCTTCGTTGAGACCCTTCATGAGATGCCTTTCAACATGTACTTTGCAGCTTGTAGAAATTCTCTTGCTCTCTCACACTTTTCTGTAAGCCTTCTCTTCATGTTTCATTAGCGGTTGCTAATCATCTCTCGGTCAACTTCTCTACTCGGATGCCTTAAAAGTCGCACTATCGAGATGCTGGAGTCTCTTTCTCTCTCGCAGTATTTGATTGTTCATTCAAGTTCAAATTCAAATAGATTGATCCACCCTTGCTAATGTGGATGACGTACCTGTTTCTTAGTTGGTATGTGTCGACACTTCACCCGCCTTAGATCTGTCATCACTTCGCCTTTTCCGCACCTTTTCCTTGCATCTCTCCCCGTTCTACATACTTTGATCAGAACAATACCATGCGCGATCGTGCCTTGCTTGGATGGGCGTATCCTGTCCTCGCAGGAGAAATCTGCGCGTCACTCGAAGCGTACAGTTTGAGCAAATCAGCTCTCGAAGTCTTCGAGTCATGTGTTCCAAGAAGTTTGCCTCGAGAAGTGCTGCTTTTGATTCGTGACGCACTTCTAATTGCTGTGTTGAACGATGGTACTTTGGCGGCTTGGGAGAACCGCTTCGATTGTTTGAGCAATACTTGCGACCTGTTGCTTCACTTAGAGGACGACGAACTATGCAATGCATGGCGCGAATTCAAGAAGGCAAACCCTGACGTTAACAAAAGGGGGAAAGTTTCCAAAGCAGCGAAGATCAAGAAAAGATTATCCAAACCATCACATGATAGAGAAAGAGAAGAGTTCACGGATTTTGCAGCGGATCTTATTAATGATGACTTTCTTTGTACCGCAGAATATCAGCAATGCTTGAAGATTGTTCATGGGCAGGACGAATGTTTCATAAATTTCCTCAAGGTCATAATGAATTCAAAAGAACCCAGATCTTTTGCTGAAAGGCACATAGGTCTTCGAACGGGACTTTAATCTCAAACTACACTTCGATGTCTACACAACATCCATAGGCAGTAGTTATCGTTATGACGAAGACCTCGTGGCAAAACCATACGTCCAGGCGTATCTTATAATGCCAGTTGATCAGTTTCCCGTTTTCACTGATACTTCCTCCGGAGTAGCGGCATTCTCGCTCGCGGCATCCATTGACATCACAAAAGTGCAGACCCCAATCAATGACGAACAGAAAGGATTGTTCAAGCACGCCTGCCGCGTTTTGAAGATAAGGTGTCAGAATGCGACAAGGAAGAAACAAACGCCGCGAGAAGCATATGGGACAGTCTCTTGGAAGGAAGAGGATTTCGGTAGGCCGGTCACAAATTTCGGCCTTAGGTCTTGCTTAGGAACTGACATTTCGAACAGGAAGCCTGCCCAAGCTTATGATATTCGCGTGTGATACCATTGTTACGAACGAAGACAAGAGATTCTACAGATGAAAGCAATGCCTACATCTGCCAAGTTTGGAATCGAAGCAGACCTAGAACAGATATACCTTGCCTAGAGCTTTTCAATGCCGCTGCTAGAAATTGTTCAGATAGCGCAGGAGTATATCAAGAAATCAAAACAATCGCTTGAACTCACCTACAAGTGCCTCTCAGCCAGCTTCTCACTTTGCCCCTTCTTTTCTCCTATTTCACTTTCCTCCTCCACAATCTGGTCCACGCCCGGATACGTCGGGTAATCCAGCCCATACTTCTCCGCCACAGAAGGCGGCAAGAACCTGCAAATCTTTATCAGCATCACTGCACTCTTTCCGCGCAAACCCCTCCATCTCGCAAAACAAGAACTTTCCACGAAACGAACAACCACACAATGACCAAAAAAGCCCAAACCGAATTCCCCCAGCACGCAAAACAAGACAAACACATACCTCCCACCCATGAAATGCCTCCCTCCAAACCTCCTCACAAGCGGCTTCGGCGCCGTCAAACTGACCAGCGTCTGTGGCATGAACTTCGCCCCCGGCCCCTCCTTCGGCGGGCCATCCTCAATACTCCACGAGCTCGGCGCGTCGACAGCTAGGACCGGTACTTTCGTGCTTTCGAGAGCGGAGATGACGCTGCGGAAGGGGTCGCGGACTTGGCCGCTGAAGCTGAAGCCTGTGTGTATTGTGTTGGGTTAATTTGGGCAAAAAGGGGAGGGGGGTGTCAGCAAAAGGGGGAAAAAGGAGCATACCGAAGATAGCGTCGATTACATGATGAGACTCCTGCAGCGAGCCCTCGAAATCTTCCGTGAACGGAACCCCCAGATTTCTCAGTTGCGTGGCAAGACGCTCGTAAATCTCGCTTTTGGTCGGCTTGGGGTAGAAGATCGTGGGTGTGTAGCCGTAGTGGAAGAGGTGGCGGGCTGCTACTAGGCCGTCGCCCCCTATTTGATACCGGTGGTTACTACTGTAGCGGCCTTGGGCTTGCTCCTCACGGTGGAATAGGGGAAAAGGGAGTAAAAGTGGCAAGGAGAGGGGGCTGCTGACCGTTATTGCCAGGCCCGCAGGCGACGAGGATATTCTTGCCTGACGAGAGGGGGTGGACTTTGTAGACTACCTCCCATCAGACACGAGGGTTGTAGCAATGTGAGAATGTGAGTACGAGCTTGTGATACTGAGAGACCAGCCAACTCCATCAATTGGTCTATGGAGAAGGCGCCTACGCTCATGAGGTCTTTGTCGAGAGCGGCTGCATCCTTTGCGTTGATTGTCTGTGAAAGTGTTAGTTCAAGGAGGAGTTAGAATCAATATGCTGAGGTTACTTTGAGACCCATCTTCAGTTTTTTGAGGTTCTTGAGATAGGAGAGCGCTCTTGTCATGTGCGTGCTCTGCCTTTGGTAGTCGAGCGCAAAGGACGGTACGTTCTTGAGGTAGTTTCGACTACATGTGTATATTTCTACGGGGTCACTTGATCAAGAGAAATACATACGATAACGGGTGAGATGCTTGATTATGGGAAGGGATTGATTCATCTTCTGGCATCGTTGGGTGGATGATGTCATTGCAGGAAATGTTTCTGAAGTCAATTCAATCAAACGACCTCCTACTTATTATTTTAAAGTTCCAATCAAAGGTATCGCGGCCTACGGTGTTATCTCAACGAGCCTCTGGTCGAGGGTTTCGTTGGCCGATCGAGCCAAGATATCGTGCTGTACAAAGAGTCTTTGATATATCGATCGTATCCACTGCTGGAGTCTTGAGTGAAATAAAGTGAACTGTTATTCTATCTATGACTTCTAGATATGTCGGACTGAGTAAATATGCCTCGTCAGATCTCTTTCATCTCGTGTCGAGATAGTTCATCTCTGTGACCCCCTGTACACCAATCGCTCGCTCCGTCATCTCTGCAATGTAGCCACGAAGAATACTCATGCCTTAATTTGTGGACCGTTCCCACGGCCTCTCGGCTTTCCACCCCATTACCGTAACGAAAATATCCCTTCCTCCAACCCACTTTCGGAGGCTTCCCCCTACGCCTTCCCTGACGGCTCATTCCGATCATAAGATATTACACCTCGCTCCCCCACCGCCACCTCCAAAGCCGGCCTTCTCTAACAGCCCCGGCTTCCGCCTCCCCCCCTTTCCCTTTCCTCCCCGAGTAGTGGCCTTCCTGTGCTGCGGCCTGTGCCTAACACCACTCTCCATATCCCTCACATGTGTCGTGCTAACGTCCTTCCTGATAATCTGCCTGCATAGATCCACAAAAGCCTCGTCAACATTCCTTCGGGCTCTAGCACTTGTCTCATAGTATGGAGCATTGTTCCAACTCGAAGAGACGGAGAAAGCGCGGGCTCGACTGACGGCGCGGTCTTCTTCGAGGTCGCATTTGTTGCCGACGATCACGAGGGGAATGAGAGGGTCGTCCTTTATGCGCACGATCTGGTCGCGGAGCTCTTGGAGCTCAGTCAAGGAGGAGAGCGAAGTTATACTGAAGACGAGGAGAAAGCCTTGCCCGGATTTCATATAGAGTTCGCGCATGGCGGCTAGTGAGGAAGACCGTCAGAGATGGTGTTGGAAGAAACAGGGATTGAGGGAGTGGACATACTGAATTGTTCTGTCCCCGCTGTGTCTAATCTACGAGACCCATCCCGTCAGTGGCTCACTCCAAAAATTGGAACGCCGAACTGTCTCGGACGCCATGACCGAAGACGGCAGGTGTGGACAAGGGAATCTTTGCGTACATTTCCAATATGCATTGCTTACCCTACATTCCCGCGCGTCAGTTTCATACATGCAGTAGAGTCCTGGGTTGGATGTTCTGGCATGGGGAGGACCCACATCCACTTCTATTTGCTTTCGGTACGAATCTTCTATCGTGGGGTCGTAGGATTCTATCCACACATTTTGTACAAATTGCGCTGGAAGGGTTTCTTCAGTCATATGATGTCGCAATTGGAGAGATGATGATACCCGTGAGGCAGCTCTTTCCCACTCCACCTATCACGTAGAGTCAGCTTACACATGCCGTGGTGGGTTGATAACAGCAACTGACCAGCGCCGAGGACAACTATGTGATACTCCCTCCTTATTTCTGGCGTCAGTGGATCGTGAGGAGGCATCTTGCTATTAGATGCGTGCCTACCGCTGCGACATTGTCAGGTCTAGGTTGTTCCGGCGCTCTCTGCTTCTTCTTCTTCTTCTTCTTCTTTAGCGGGGCCGTTGCGCCACCGTCAAGGCTTCGAGGCTGCCGTTTGCCCCGCTGCTGGTCGCAAGATAATCTTGATTTTGTCTTCTTCGTGGCTGCCGCATTTGGTCGGTCGAGGGAGGGATAGCTTCGCAGGGGTCGAGGTAGCTAAGGTAAGGGTGGCTGTGAGGAAAGTGAAGGATTAGGAAGCTTATCAACGGACTGCTATTTTGAGGGCAGACACTGCCTGCATCTCGTGATAGGAAAAGATCAAGATACGTAATGGCACATGAATTGTCCGAGCTAGGTCGGGTGGAGAGGGGATTGTGAATTAAGGGATAGTATTTGGTGCGCGAAAGAAATCTCTCCAGCTTTTTTTGAAGCTCGTAATACTTTTAGCTACCATCAATTATTGGTGGAGCTTTAGGGTGTAGGGTCTAGGCGGGGGTCCTTCCTTGTACTGCTTCCAAGAGCGGGTCGGAAGGCTGACCTTTTAGCTGCGTCGGTTAGGGCGCTTTAGCTGTCTTTAGCTGGACACTTGGGGGGATTAGGGGCAGCTAGCACTTGGACCGCCGACGAGATGTCTCTTCTACCTGCCGATTGGAACCTGTGAAAAGCCTCGGAGAAGTCTGGGCTCTGGCCCAAGCAATCGGGTTTCCGGGAGTCGATTACTGGAACCGTTGCTGCATGTCGTCGATGAGGATTGGCCTTTGCTGCCACCAGGATCACGCCTCTTCCCTCTCTTCTCAGTCACCTGAGTACTTCCACCTGCGGGGTCTGAGCTTCAAGGGGCGATCCACGTCCCGCCCACGGCCATCATCCACTATCTAATCAATCGACGCCCCAAAGGATTCTGCTGATGCATGTTCGGGTCCTTCACTGTCCTCCTTCTCTTACTTCACGCTCGCCTGAACCCTTCAGCTGTCAACCAGAAACGTCACTCCTGAATCCTTCGGCCGGGACTACCGACGCTTTAGGAAAGCCTTGCGTATAAGGCAAGCGCATCGACATCTTCACCTACAAGACTGGCTGTATCTGAGGTGACCGACACCGTCAGGCCTGAGCTTTGCCGACATTAGTGTCCGATCTTGACAGCCATGCCAGCAAACGCGGTCAATGTTGTTGTCCTTCTTCAGCATTGACCTCCGCGTCAGGTATGATTCTGGATATAATGTCACAGCGGCTTCAGGCACGTGGAATCTGCTGTCTATATAAAGAGGTGTCATTCGCACGATTCCTCAGTCGGCCTTACCGCCGTCAGCAGTGACATGGTGGTAACCTCGATGTCGTGCGTTCAACGGATTCTCGTAAAAAGTACGACCGCAAAATCCTACGCAGTGAAGTGCGCTGCGCTCTGGAGTGCCACGTCGCTTGTTACTGGTGTAATCGCGATTCTACCAGATGAGGGTCGCCAGCAGCGTTCACCGCTTTCCTCGGGTACACGAACAATTGGATAGTTGATCATAAGGTGCATGGTGATTAGTCGTGACGCAATGCCTGCATGTTGTCAAGTTCCTTTAGATTCTATGCTATGTGTGACAGAGCGAGCTATCTATGGATAGTGCGCACCCTACTTCATGTACCACTCGCAAGTCTGTTATAGGGATAGGCTGGCAAATAGGTACGCGCGGCTGATAAAGTACTTGCGGACCGCACACTTTGTAGCCTTAGACCACGCCGGTCCCTTTGTCTGATATGGATCTCCAAAGGGTTTGGGGACAGCGCAGAGTCTCACTCGTTCAGCGGATTCATTCGAAAATGCTCTTTCATTGAGTTCTGGTATACGAGGAGGTGTACTGTCCTGTAGAGATAACCTTCTCCCTCGTGCGCGCTCAATTATGGTGTCATATGTGGAAGTGTGAAAGGCAATCAGTCCCCATCCTCCATTTCCACCTTATCAACAGCCATACTGCTTTCACGTCTCTGTCTTGCCTTTGCTTTCACGGTCAAGCGCTCCCACTTTTCTCGATACCTTCTCAACTTCTCGTTTTCTAAACGCAAGTCCTCCATCTCATTCTCCGCCTTTTGGAGCCTCGCCTCCGTATATATGGTGTCTACGCGGCCTCCAGTAGCTTCCCCAGCAACTCCTCCAACGGTTCCTCTAGCGACTCCCATTCCCCTATCACCAGTATTACTCGCCGCAGGACTCACATTGATCCCAGCCCTGAGACTTTGATGCAGCGCCCCGTGGCTCATCTGGCTACTGACTTCAAACTGCCACAGCCTTCGGCTTAGTTCGTCGCAGATGCTTCTCAACCCAGTATTCTCAAGCTCCAATTCCTCTAACGTTTTACCACTCGCAGTCTTGACTCCAGTTCCACTACCGCGAACCCTCTTCTGCTTCAGGCTGATTTCTGGAGAGTTCCCAGGCGTTTCGCGAGCGTCAACAAACTCGTCTGACAGATCTGCATCAACGCCGCCCGCGGTGGTGGCCCTACTGTGTTGTTTTTGGTGCCTTGAGGCCGTTTGTCGAGCTAGGATACTGGCATAGGGGAGAGCACCGCCAGTTGTGGGAACGACATAGAAAGACTCGGTTGTATTGAGGCCAGCAGTTCCGGCATCCTCGCGAAGTGCACGTAAGGCTGCAGGAGAGAACAGACGTGAGTATTCGGGCGAAGCAGTAGCACGTGTGTGAGGTTTTGGACGGGTAGATGTGGCTTTAGACTGGGTTGACTGCTGCGAGATAGAATCCAGTGTGCCTACAGCGTCAGACTCAGGATTGAGTGGTAGGCCGGCGAAAGCGAGGGGAGCGGACAGCTTCGAAAAGATTGTTTCGAAGGTAGAATAGAAACGATTGAAGGTGTCCTCTGTTTTGCTTGCAGAAGGTAGCTGTTCCGGCTCTTTAGATGTGCCCTTCGGCATACTCGTGGGCACAGACACTGAACGAGACGCTGGTTTCTCTGAAACCTGCACATCTTGCAAGGTCCTGGAGGGAGGATCTACCAGACGTGAACGCCTCGGGGGCTGACTATCTTGCCTTCGGCATTTTGCTGATTCAAGATCGGGGAAGGTGCTTGACCGCTTCGTCTTTGACGGTTTGTAGGAATACCTCTTGCAGACGCGAGGTTGCTTGCAATTGAAGAGCTGATTTCTCGCTGAGGCCGATGACTCGCTGTACTAGTCGGGGCGTCGGATGGCCTGCTCGGCTTCTCCGCTGGCGATGCTCCCGATGACGAAGAAGCTCTGGAAGGGTTGTGTGAGGATGAATTACTTTCTGAAGTGCTTGCTTTTGCGGCTTTTGGTGTGTCAGGCTGCTTGCTTCGAATTTGGACGAGCTGAGAGAGCTTTTTGTGGTGCTCTTCCAGAAGCTTCAAAGTTCTGAAAGCCTAGTATTATGTGAGCAACGAAATGGGAAATGCAGTGCTAAAGTAGAGACCTCTGAGCTGGAAGTGTCCTTGGCTGCCTTTGCAAATTGGCCAGCCGCTTGATCGTGTCCATCGATGGCGGCGGCGGGAGCGTTGGCCTTTGCTGCTTTGCGGGCGTAGGTTTGCGCCTACACAGGTGAGAATGTATCTTCAATCAAGGCGACAGACCCTTACCAGCACGAGGGGCGAAGACTCCATCATACAGTGAGCTCGTCTTACGGCTGGGACATAATTGATATTACCATCATATGCTGACCAAGGCACCAGCCACACAGTCTGAGGCTGATGTCACCTAAGGCTGTCAAATAAGGTTCCCATAAGGGCATGCCAAGACTTGATAGTGTGGGGATACCTTACCGCGCTATGCTAGCTTGTAATGAAAAGCAAGGAAGGTGATTTGTTTTCCAGTGACGAATTGGCCGAGCTCTCATTGCGACGACGACCACATTTCTCCAGCCCGACCTTTCAAGCGCATGTATTTACTTACATGCGACTTTCATGAGAAGTGACCAGTCCCCAATAGGCGAGCACGTCGCTTTTCGTATTGTCAATGGACAGCAGTCAGGAACTATCTCCTTCACCATCTACATCGTCGAAGGGTTTCAAAGGCGCTCTTGTAAAAGCTAGGAATAACCTCAAGAATGATACAGCCGTGAGATCAAGCAGTCAAGGCGACTATGACGGCGAGCGTGGCGGTGTTCGCAATTCGGTCGACTCCCTCATAGACCGCGCCCGTAACAGCCGGGTCTCGAGCGTGGACGATGGATTACCCTCCGGACCAAGCAATCTCTCCAAACTTGTTCCAGGCCGAACGAAGAAGAAGCAGAAGAGGCTGGACGAAGCTAAACAAGCATTGAAAGAAGCAGAAGGAGACCGAGGTCGGAGCGCTGATGATCAGACAGCCACCGCTGCCATTCCCCAGCAGGCTACGGAGAACAGGAGCCGGAGTACGCTCGGAGAAGGGGAAGGTAGTCTTTCGATAAACGACTCAGATCCAGAATCGTAAGTGTTCCATTCCTCCATCAAACCTTCTTCACCAGCCGCCAAGCTTTCGTAAGCACTGCCGCCTCCGCATGCAGCCGCTGTTCCAGACAGAGAGCATTACAGCCTAGAAATGCTTGATGCCAAAACATATTCTATTGCAGCACTCCTACAGCTTCAGAGCCGTCAACATAATTATCTCTCTGCACGATAAGACTTAGTGCTGAAATAAGCTGGATTACTATCGATCCAAAGCTGTGCTGACAATACTGCCTCTTCTAGCCCTGAGGACTCAAGACCCTTCTTAGCGACTCACAATTCTCATATCGGATATTTGACCTCGACCTCTCCTTTAATCAAGACCACGAATACGGAGGGATTGCCAGAAGAGCAAACAGGTGACAGCCTGGATTTCCAGAACCCGCAGTATCAAAAATCAAATACACTGCCTCCAAGCACAAACGATAGCACCGCTTCCCTGAACCTGACACCACAGCATGCTGCTACCTTTAGTACGCGAAGAGGATCATCCCCCGGTGGTAGCCGGAGTCGAGGCGTATCCCCAGGAGCTAGGATCAAAGATGTGCTTACATTAGGGTCTCGAAAAAAAGACGGCAGCCCGCCGAAGAGTCCTGGAAAGAATCCGCAGGCTTCTCTTTCTAATCTCTCACTGGGTGACCAAGTCAGAAGAAAGTTCAAGCCGAAAAGCGTGGACATGGGTCAGGCATCCGAAGCATCTGACGGTGTCCCATCAATAAGTGTTTTGGATGCCAATGCGAGTGAAAAGCATCTTCCCAAAGTCGATACACATCCTAGCACGCCCACAAGTGCAGGACTGCAGGCACCAGAAACCCTTGTCACACCGCCTACTCCGGAAGATCAGCGGCGCAATTTGCCAGACAGTCCAACTAAACAATCGCGCCCTTCATCGGCATCAGCTGTCGGCTCTAATATCGTTGTTTCTCCTTCTGGGAACATGATTTCGCACCGACGCATCAGATCCGACACAGGCTCCACGATCCCTAGTAAACTTTCTCAAGCAATGCCTCCACCAATGACACCTATGCCTGAAGAATCAAGAACACCTGGAGGGACTGCTCGGACAACATCGCAGAGCTCCGCAAGCATTGGATTCTTTTCTTCTGTCTTTTCGGCAGCTCAGAACATGACTAGTACGCTGACCAACACAATCGGCAATCCAACCCGTTCAAGAAGTTCAACAGAAACCAATGAAGAAGGCAACGCTCCATTTCTTCCAGAGCAAATGTCATCTGTGCCTAAGGAAAACGATGAAAAGGTGAAGCACGAAGTGAAACCTCTCGCAATACACACATTGGGCTCGGGAGACCTCAGTCTTAGCCATCTCGGCTTTGGAACAGAATCTCCTGCTAACGCTAATGCGCCCAATGGTGCTGCTTTCAATGGTGAGAATGAACATCCTGACATTCTCGTTCAGCAAGACGAAGCAGCATCAAGAGTAGATGACGCGTCAGCTGCACGAGCGGTATCTGCGGCTTACACTGAAAAGTCGCTAGGAGAAACACCCGTGGCGGAGGATGTATCTTCGATCAGGCGAGTGAAGCCAGCCTATGCAGCGAGCATTGAGACTGGCGAGAAAACTCCACCTACAGGAAGCATCTTCGAAGGAAATGATTCCATACGTCGCAGTGGAAGTGTAAGAAGTCGAGTCGGTAGTCGTGTTCGAAAGCATCGTAATAGCTCTTCGGCGACAGGCAATACTATTAGTACCGCCGCTCTTGCAGGCGCAGCACTTGGAAATTCGGCTGGGGCCAAACCAGGAGGCTTCACTGTTGCCAGCAAGAAGAGAAACAGGGAGTTTCATCAATCATTCCGCAGTGTCCCAGAGGATGATTACTTGATCGAAGATTATAGCTGTGCTTTGCAACGCGAGATTATCTTGGCTGGCAGGATATATATATCTGAAGGCCATATCTGTTTCTTCAGCAACATACTCGGATGGGTAACCACCTTGGTCATCAGCTTCAGTGAGGTTGTATCGATGGAGAAAGAGTACACCGCGGTGGTCTTTCCCAATGCCATTGCCATACAGACATTGCATGCACGACATACATTTCGAAGCTTGTTGAGTAGAGAAGCCACGTATGAGCTACTGATCGGCATCTGGAAGCTATCTCACCCCAATCTGAAGAGTTCTGTGAATGGTGCTCGGCTAGATTCAGGGACTGGTGACAAGACTGAGAAAGTTGATCCAAGTGGTAGCGATGAAGTCAGTGAGGCTACAGACGAGCTGGAAGACTTGGACGAAGAAGATCAGGAGGAAGAGGAAGAGGAAGGCACTGGAAGTCTCACAGAGAATGGTGGCGGAAGTCTGGCGGGGAGCCTCGGCGACGATAAAGCGGCTACACGAAAAGCCTCTGCTATGGGCATCGCCGCTGGTGCTGCCGCTGTTCCTGGGCCGACTGCGAGTGAGCCAAAGGCTGCGGCTGGTGCTGCGGCTGCTAGCGCCGCAAGTACCGACTTCCCTGGTCCAGCAACCCATGCAGTCACGGAATGCCCAGATCAAGCAAGTCATTATGACAAAGCCCTGGCGGATGAGATCATTCAGGCGCCTCTCGGTAAGGTCTACTCGATGACTTTCGGCGCCGCTTCGGGAGGCTTCATGTCAAAATGGCTTGTGGATGACATGAAATGCACTGATCTTCAATTTGAACATGATGGCAAGGGGTTGACAGACGAGACGAAGTCGCGCTCAATGTCGTATATCAAACCATTGTATGCCCCCATAGGGCCGAAATCCACCAAATGTCTTGTCACGGAAAGTTTAGACTTCATGGATTTGGAGAAAGCCGTTTCTGTGACAGCCTCAACCCAGACGCCTGACGTTCCAAGTGGTAATGTCTTTGTGACCAAGACCCACTTCTGCTTCATGTGGGCCCCTGGCAACGCCACTCGTGTCATCATGAATTACACGATCGAATGGACGGGCAAGAGCTGGCTGAAGGGTACGTTCGATGGTCTATGTTCTCTAGCATGTTTCCTTGCTAACAAAGACATATAGGTCCTATCGAGAAAGGCGCAACTGATGGACAAACGACCTACTGCAACGACCTCGTCAAGGGCCTCAGAGCAGGCGTCTCCGCTAAGGCCCAGCGTACGACTACGGGCTTGACCAAAAAGACTAAGGGCGGCAAGAAACGTCTACGGTCCGCATCTTCAACGTCTAAAACGGCCACCATTGGGCCTTCTACTGCTTCGAAGCCAATTCTACAGTCTTCATGGGGCCCATTGGAACCAATACGGCCTATACTCAGCCCTGTCACTGACATCCTCGCTCCGCTTATTACCTCAAATGTTGTCATCGCGTTTCTACTGATCATTATGTTGTTCAACTACCTTCGCTCTCCTAAACAGTCTCAGCTTGGCTATCCAAGTACCTTACAACGCTCCGCTGATCGCGTTGCGGCGTTCGAGGAATTGTGGAGGCGAGAGGAAAGTGATCTGTGGGACTGGCTTGATGCTCGAGTTGGTGGTGTACAAGGCAACTTCAATGAAAGGGAGCAAGGACGACGAGCAGGGAGGCAAAAGCCCCTAAAGGACAAGAAGATGGGTGATCGGGAGATGCAGGAGGCAATTCGAGTCACTGAAGAGAAATTGAGCTTACTTAAGAGAAGCATGGATGATGGAGGGGGCGAGGCCGTAAGTGAAAAGGGGGGGATAATGATCCAGAGTAAGCTTGGTTTTCGGGGACTGGTTGGGACTGTTTGGGATAAAGCATATTCTTGTTTAGCGTTTTAGCGGCTCCTATTCCTAAGCATAGCAGCATATCCTACTCATTTCCTCATTGCCCCCCTTCAATGTCAGTAGCGAATACTTCTTCGGGAGCATCATTTTCTATTTACCTGTCCAAGAAGCTATCAGAGGGAGATAGTCTGGCTCTCCGCTCGGGAATGGACACTCTGGGAGATAAACCGAAAATGAGGCCTGTGACAAGTAAATACCAGCGAAAACATTTGTACGGCATATGAAGGCTAGCCATCACAAAGAGATGCCCAAATACCACGAGGTCATCAGAGCCTCTCGGCTGCAGGAACAGGCAGCAACCTCTACCCCAGCTCGCTCAACAAATTCCTTACGCACGACGCCATACAAACCAAGACACCGATCTTCCCCCAGCAAGTCTCCAGCTAGCCAGCCACTGAGCGCATAGCTCCCCAACAAGACGACCAATTGGGATATAATTGATCACTAAACAAGCCGTTCAGCGAATCCCGTGACTGCGCGACGCGGTCGGACGCGTTCCCCGCACGCGAAGTCAGGGGCTCGGGGGCTATTTCCAGATGGCGGAGGATCTATTCATCCTCCCTCGCTTGCACACCTTGTCTTAGGGGCAAAGGAAGGGGCGAGGGAAGGGGAAAGTCAATTGAGTGACTCATACATACGGTAAGGGAGTAGTGACATGGTCCAGTTTGCTATGAAGATAAATGATGGCTGGCCGCAACAAGGGCACCTTAAAGGGCATCGAACTCCCTTCCCTCACATCCTCTACATTGTTTCAACATTACTGCCCTTTACAATCCCCTACCTTCTTTCTCAGCCTCTGCTCAAGACATTCTGCGTGCGTATTGAAGCACACCATGGCCGCACCCCCAACGAAAGAGTACGCTGCAAACTGCCACTGCCGCGCCGTCCAGCTGAGCCTGCGTATCCCCTCGCTCGAAGACGGCCACGCCGTGACGAAATGCAATTGCAGCATCTGCACCCGGAACGGGTATTTGCTTGTCTTTCCTGATTTGGAAGATGGGGTATGGCTCTCCTTCATTCACCCCCCCCCCCCCCCTTGCCCCAGCCTCTCTTGGTCCAAATATTCTCTCGTCTCGCTCCTATTTGCTTCATTTCGTGCGTATTGGGAGGGGGAGGGGGGGAGTTGGGCCTAGTGAGGGTAAAGCAGCTGACTTTGTTGAGTGTAGATCGAGTGGATTAAGGGTAAAGATGGCTTGAAACAGTATCAGTTCGGGGGTAAGAATGCGAATCATTGGTTCTGCCCTACGTGTGGGAGTAGTATGATGGTTCAGATGATTGAGGGAGGGAAGACGGCTATTAATGTGAGTTTCTCTCTGTGTCTGTGGACGTGGCGGGGTGTCGGAGGGAGGGACGGTGGGGCTCGAGAGATGCGGGAAGAATTTCCAGAGGAGACAGGAGAGCAAGGAGGGCGTAAGAATACTTGTATGGAACGTTGGTAAATGAGGATTTGATTTACGGGATCAGGCTGATGTCCGGCTTCTGTCTAGGTGCGCATGATCAAAGGCGTTGACGTGGATAAGGTAAAGACGAAGGAGTTTGATGGGTGGGGTATGCTGCCTCCTGCCTATGAGTCTTGAGTGCGTGTGTGTCAGAAGCAAAGTTGCAGCGGAGGTAAAACCCATGTACTGATAGATTTAAGTACGTGGCAATTTTGACTGCAAATAATCCCAGCTACAACGCCTGCTAATCGCAAGGTTTTTCCTATAGCCGTCTTTCAAAACACGTGAAACGTGTCCCTGGGGGCATCATCTTCCCACCTGTTCCACCGCCTGGAAGCGTATGTGATACAGCAGCCAGACTGTCTCTGTATTTGGACGGCCTGCTGGAAGTTACTCTTTTCGAACCCACTCCATATACCTCACATCACCATCAGTGCCCGAGTAAAGCATGAGGTCAAACTCCTCTTGAGTCCGGGGGCCTTGTATAGCCATTTCTTTGTGACCTTGTTGCCATTTCTCATTTTCATAATCGTCTGAGCCACTATCTTTTCTACGTTTGTTGCCTTCATCCAATGATTGAACAGCATGTCTCTATCCTTGAACATGCCTTCTGCAGATTTAAAGCGGATCACTCCGGGATCGTATTCATTCGACGAAGGCTTGTACGGGAGAAACCTTTTCACTCGGCTAAGAGTCTTTTCAAGGGTGCTTAGCTTGTAAGTATCGCCAAGATCCCACTCGGCCAGGTGAGTAGCATTCATGAAAAGTGTGATGAGCGTTGCTTGAGGGTTGTCGACTGGCCTTTTGAGAAGTGGGCCGAGCGTAGATAGTACAGGTTGTAATCCCACGTAATTGGAATCAGCAATGTTAGCCACCTCGATTCTGTCGAAGCCTTCCTTGATAGTGTCGTGGCCAACGAGCTGTGCAGCCAGTAATAGAGCGTTTGTACCGAGAATGATGAATCGCATAGGTGTTTTCCGTATCCTCGAAAGAAATTGGCACAGGGCCGAGATCGAATATAGGTACAGACAGCCATTAATGTCGCTTTTAGGCACTTCTTTCTGCCCGAAGTCGATGATGGAGCGGAGGTGATACCCGTCGAGAGCAGCGGCTGAGTCCTTCTGCAACCACTCGCCGGTATTGGCATCGAATAATGTCCTAGAAGTTGAGCTTAGCCTAACGTTTCTATGCCTCCCAGATCCTTTATCACTTACGGATTTGGCATATTGAAACGCTGATCACAGCTTCCAAATGGTAGTAAAACACCGGTGACCCGCAATTTGTGTGCGCAAGAGCGCAATGGCGGAGAAAGATTCAGATCGTGGCGTTCTCGGTAGTCTATGCGAGTGTCATGCAGGACAACCGCTTTTCGATTGCTTTCACTTCCGACCAGGGTCAATTCGGTGGTAAGAGTCTTGAGTATGAACTCCCATTGATGTTTCAGGAGGCATACACGTAGTGAAACGGTACCTTTCAGCCATGTCTTTGCTTGTACAGTAGTCTCATCCCTGCTTTGGATTTTCTGTACGACAGTCGCGACTAGCGGTGTGATGTCTTCCCTGAGTATGTTGGCCAACTTAGCAGGTATTCGAGCGGAGTACCAAAGATGCAACATCATCTCAGGCAGGTCTTCGGAAACAACCATGACACTCATTAGGAGAAGAATGACATTTCGAGCAGTGACGAGATCCTCTTTGTCGTTAAGTACAGCAGTGGACATCCTCGTATAGGAAGAAGGGATAGTTTTCATGGTATGAATAAGATTTCGCAAGTCTCCTGACGCTATGTAGAGGTCAACAGTTATTTTGAGGCTCCATCTCAGGAGAATGCAAAATACTAACCTGCGAAGCACAGGTTGATGTCTTGATCGAACGTAGCACCCTCATTTCGCTCCAAATCCAAGATATCATAAGCCGGCACATTGCCCCACAGGAACTTCAGCTGTCCAAAGGTTGTAAAAGGAATATTCTCTCCACCTCCGATGAATGCAGGCTTTCGATTCTCCTTTGCCCAAGTCGGCTGCCAAGTCTCTCTTAGTAATTCATTTTTACAATCCAATCTATGCTGAGGCCAATGCTCCACTTGACAATCGCGGCTGCAATACTACTCACAATTCAGTCAGATTTTTGGGAAAGTGGCACTCGACGAGACTCCCAGGGTATATACATGCCTTGACTAGGAAACACGATGAGCAGGTTTTGAAGGCTCGCTGTGTACAATTGAAGAGAGTTCCTTGCTCATCAGGTTTGATATTGGCACAAGGCACTTTGAGTGCACTGGAGGTAGCGACATCATTGCCTGAGACATTTGAGGAGTCCATTAGGAGACAAATCTTCTCTAGAGTCAAAGTCCGTATCGTAGCGTACCCTTTTTACAACAGCTTTCACCGGCGAAGATATAAGGCAAGAGTGGTCAGAAAATAGCCAGAAACAAGGGGGCAGGGCCTAGAGAATGCCTTGAGGCCAGCTTCCGTAGGTTACGTTTGCTGCAGTGAATTTGCGATTACCAACGAATCAGATAGACCCCAGCCTGCAGATTTGCATAGATTTTCTTGGCAAGCCGAATAACAAACAAAAAAACGATCCGAGTATCCGTCCTCATGTATGGAAAGAGTGTTCACATCATTTTGTTGACTCTTTGGCAGCGGTCTTACTTGGGGTACCCCTTGGGCTATTGGACGCACCTCTCTTCATGAGATTAGAGAAGAAGAGCTGCATTCGCTCGTTCTCCGCTTTCATATCTGGCGTAGACATGGTTGCACCTTCACCTTTGCCTTTAGGCGTGGTGCTATCTCCGTCTTTACTGCTGCTTGCCGATACATCCCTTTTCGATTGCGTCTGAAGCTTTCGTACAACATCATCGGCATCGACCTGAATACCACCCATGTTGACTTGGACAGGCCCAATCTGATCTGCCATCCGGTCGTGAGTACTTGCGGAAGTCGAAGATGTGTTCATGCTGAAAGTCGACGATGTTGCCGAGGTAGCGGCGGACCTCTCGTCTTCTGCCGCCAGCCGAGCGAGAACTTCCTGTTGTGATGCGAGAAATGTTTGCATGTTCGGCACGGAGATTTCGATGCCTGGTTTTTTGTTTGCTTCTTCTCTCTTCGAAGCATAGGGGCCAGAAATCGTTGACTCGTAGAGGCTTACAACTGGGCCTTTTGGTGCAGACCAAGAGCGCTCGGGGCTTTCGTTTTCATTGCCCGACGCTGCTCCAAGGTTCGAGGTGATATCCTGAGACCACTTACTACTGACGCCCTCAACATCGAAACCCTCGCGGATGACACGAATTTTGCCCCAAGAGTCCCAATTGGGTGGTATCAGGATCTTCTCTCGGTCAATCACGTTGTGTTTGAGAGCCTGCTTTTTGAGCATCGAATGGATACCAAGAGAAGAATGGATCAGGGTAGGAAGTGAATTGGGGAAAGCGCTTGATATATAGATAAGAGAAGATCCATCTATTTATCAGATCAGCTAGCCCATTGATAGTAGGATATGTCCTCACGCTTCATCAATATGGTGCGAAGGCATTGAAGGATGAAATCAAAATCTTCATCATGCCAATTTTGTTCGATCTCGAGAGTGTTGATTCTTTCGGACTATGCAAGCTTGTCAGTATAGGATACCCCGTAGCGTTCTTAGGTATGATGAGACACACATGCTGGCAGACAACGCATGCAGGAAGCCCGAGGGGCTCGTCCCATTCGCCCTGGCTAAGAGGTATTGTAACGTTTGCATCACTGCTGGCCGTTGAGCCGCCAGCCTCGTAGGATGAGACGTTGCGCCTCTTCTCCTGCCAATCCCGCATAGCCTCTTCTAGCGCCTCTTTGCTTTGATCGGATAGGGACGCCGTCACACTTCGTAAAAGAACGACCCAGTCACGCAGCTGCTGTACCCACGACCATGGAGTATTCCAGTCGAGTAAGATTACTACGAGGCTTTCCGGTATTGATCGCGGCACCAGAAGTGGGTTCAAAAGAGGGGCAAAAGCAGGTAGAGGTTCCGAAAGCATGTATATGGAAAGTCGAGCCAGTGTATCTTGCGTCCTACTCAGCATCCACCAACAGCGTTTTGTGGTAGGAGGCATCATATACCTTCGTGATCTGCGTCAAGCACATTCTGATAGGTGTAGCCGAGTGCAAAGTCGTTTGCGACAATTGGCTTCTTCTTATTCTTTACTTGCGGTCTCTTAGGAGACTCTGAATCAAGGGTATCGAGAAACTCTTTTTGCGTATCTGGAGTGCCTCCTGCTCAATGTAAATAAAAGCTCCTAAACAATGGGATCCTCTTCTCTTACCAAGCACAATCAAGTTCTTTTCTGGTAACTTCTTGCCAGATGCAACGCTGTCCAACATGGAAGACCACAGGCCCTTTTCTGAGGCATCTTTGCTGCCAGGTCGGTCTTGCTTGCTCGCTTGCATGGCTTTGACCTATGAATATGGACTCTGTGGCCGGAGCGATACTATTCGAGTCCTACCACTCCCATTTGTGTCTTGCAAACAGTCTGATGGAGGACGCTTTCCATGTCTCTCACGCTCGGTGATGGACGAATACAATGGCGCTAATGCAAGAGCAGTCTACGGGCCTGGCGGCTCGGCCCTGGGCTGTAGCTGCACCTGGAATGGCCCCCGCGGCCCCTGAAAGCCTCCTGTCTACCTTCTACTATGGATTCACAATACATCGCAGACCTTCCAGTGTCAATTACGCTCTATCACAAATCGCTCAGTCTATGAATACAAAAGCTGTGTCGTTGCAAATACCAGAAAGATTCTAAAGTTTGAGAAGTCTACAAATGATGGACAGTCAGGTTGAGCCGACTTTGGGTAGCCAATCCCCCACCAAAACGTGGGGCAGCGTGGGCTTAGTGCGGGCAACCCACACAAAACCTCCGTTGCATGATCTCCATATTTCTTCATCTATTCTTTCATTGAAGAAACCAACAGGTGGACGACTTCAAAGTCTTTGCGTCCGCCTTTCGTTCAAAAGACTTAACCCTAATTTCATTTGCGTGCTCTTCCTGCTCTTACATTTTTAATCTGATCTCAAGATCAAAATTGAAGATGGCGCTCAACGGTGGCAAAAGCACCGCGATTGACCATTCGAACCCGGTTGGGGTAGCTGATAAAACATCAAGCGAGCATTCAGCTCCTGGCGTTGTTGCCGCGAGTGACATGAAACCGTCACCCGGTAGACCGGCTCCCGAACCTGCTCTGGAAGAGACTCATCAGAGATGGTTTGCGTACTTGCGGACTCGTAACTTCTGGATTGTGCTTGGGCTTGGTCAAGTCCTTGCGCTTTGCATCACGGGCACAAACACGTTCAGCAGTCTGCTAGCTGAGCAGCCATTCTCAATCCCTGCCTTCCAGACCTTCTGGAACTATGTGCTATTGAACGTGATCTACTCGTCCTACACCGTCTACAAATATGGCTTTGGAGATTACTTCCGCATCGTTCTGATGCAAAATGGGTGGAAATACTTAATCTTGTCCTTCCTTGATGTCGAGGGCAACTATTTCACCGTCCTAGCCTACCGCTACACTACGATTCTCAGTGCCCAACTCATCAACTTCTGGGCTATCGTCATTGTGGTCATTGTCTCCTTCGTATTACTGCGGGTGCGGTATCATTGGACGCAGATAGTCGGCATCCTGATCTGTATTGGCGGGGTGGGCATCCTTTTCGGCTCAGACCATGTTACACAAGGAAGCACCACTGGAGGTATCAGCAGAGGCAACCAACTCAAAGGCGATCTCTTCGCTCTAGCCGGCGCCACGTTCTATGGATTGAGTAACGTGACAGAAGAATTCCTGGTAAGCAAGCGTCCTCTGTATGAAGTTGTTGGACAGCTTGGATTCTGGGGCATGCTCATTAGTGGCACACAAACGGGAATATTCGATCGTGACGGCTTCCATACTGCCAATTGGCACGATGGAAAAGTTGGAGGCTATCTTGTTGGGTACACTCTTTGCCTCACAATCTTCTACTCTGGTGCGCCATTAATGTTCCGACTCGCATCCGCTGCATTTTTCAACATCTCCCTCCTCACAGGCAACTTCTGGGGCGTGTGCATCGGGGTGAAAGTCTTTCACCTGGACATTCACTGGATGTACCCAATTGCTTTCGTGTGCATCATTGGTGGCCTGATCGTGTACTTCGTCGGCAAGAAGGCATTGGGTGAGGCACGCAAACCATGGTTGGGGGCGAACCAGGAAGAGGGCGTTAGTGGGATTGGCACTGCCAGGCGCAGATTTGAACGCCCAGACGCAATTGTTTGAGGTGCTACGATCATTACACATCGCCTATCGATACATTCAAGGTCTCTCATCTTGTGAGTAATGACCAACGCTGTCTTCATAGCAACGCACGTGGGAATAGGTAGGATTAGATGGTAGGGAATGACTTGATCAAAGAAATTGAACTACTGGTTGAGAGAGCTCTATCATCGCCACTCAGCTCGACATTGTAAGAGCAAAGAATAGACCAGAGGCCCTACTGTATTGCCTCATTGACACAATTGTGTGTCTTCCCTTGCCCGTGCACTCTGCTATGTACGTCATTTACTGAGCGCTAGACGATATAAGGCTGAAGCCGCCCGCCAGTATCCAAAAAGAAAATGCAAGGTACCACAAACCTTTTTCCTGCTTCCTTTTTCCATTTCCGAGACTGATCCTTCGAACCACTGACAACCAGACGCTGGATGGCTGAGATTGACTCAAATGGCGACCTTCTTGATTCTGCTAGAGGATGGCTCTCTTGAAACGATATCAGCCTCAGTCACAGCCACTAATGCGCAAGATGGTCAAGTTGGAGCAGGTACCTCGGTGGAGCTTTCTCGAAAGAGCTGAACGCCGCGAATGAAATCGCGCAGAGAGCCGCCTGCATCCAGCCTGGGTCCCTCGAACAAACGCCGAGAAGCTAAGCTGATAGCTTAACGCTTTGGTGTCAACAATCTGATACGGTGTCATGTCATGGTGGCTTTCCCTTTGTTTCGCTGGATCTTGCACAGCCGGCGTTTGTGGAGCCACAACGATCAGCCTGAGTAGAGGCATGCATAAGACCAGCATCAAAGGCACTCACGATGGGCAATCAATGCGCTCGTCTATCTTGCCGACCCATTTGTCATGCGGAAGCGCGGGAAAACAGATCGTTTATTCGGGGGTGGATGAAGGCGGCGCTCAGCACCCATAGACAGGGATAGAAACGAGGGCTTATACATAGACACAATACAAAGCCGAGTCCATATCGATAAATGGCTCTGTAGATTACGATGTGTATCCACGGATGAATACGCATGTATCGTAAGCGATTCGTAAGAGTAGCACGCCGCCTCAGCTATCCCTCACCGTGGAATATCGGCCAATAAGGGCATAGCGCAGTCACAAAGCACTAGTCGCACCCCATCACTTGTGGACATCGCTCCTTCCTTTCAGGCACAGCTCAGATCGCAACACGCCCTCATATTCTCCGACCGCGAATACATCTACAAATCCAAAAAGGCACGCGGCTCTCCCTCTCAATTCCTTGAAATCCTCATTGCCCAGCAACAACTTTAAACCCGCTACCCCTGGCGAATACAAGGCGTACAAAGTTGCGTCGGAGCCATCATTGACGATCAACATAGCCTCTCTTCAGATGAGCCTCAAGTAAGAGAAGTCCTACAACACAGATCTTGTCGCATGCTGCAGTGTGCCGCTGCTGGCCTGCCCTGCACTGCCGTTCGTCACCACCTGCACCCAAGCTCCACCTCGAGTCCTTAAAACAGCCCATTTTCGCCTGCCTACCGTCTAATGAGGCAATCTTCATCTCACCGGTCATTCTCGTGTTGAGAAGTATATACCACCTTGACTCACAATCTGGACCGGCTTGGCTGCTTCTTCAAGCGCCAAACTCAGTGCTTGACCTATGGGTGTAAACTCAACTGTTGAAGAAAATTTAGCTGGCTGCCGGTGACAATACCGCTCACCATGCCTACGAACGACGACAAGAGCCATATTACCCAACACCTGTCTAACTCCCCTCACCCACAGGTCACAAATCGCCACCCCATTTCCGTGCCATCGACCCCTTTCCAACCAAACCGAAGACTTTCTTTCGGTGCACGATCCCCATCCCCAATGAAACATCTAAGGAATGGCTCTCCCAAATCTCCTCAATTTCAAGCCGAACCCGGGTCACGGACGCGTTCGAAGGCGCCGTCGTTCGTTGGCTGCCGGTTCGAGACCGGTATGGCATTCTCAAGAAGGCGCATACACTACTCTGTTGGCGGTGATTTACTTGAGCGGGAAAAGCTCGTTCCGAAGAAATTTCTTACGATGGAAGAAGAGGCGAAGGTGACTGGGGATATGAGGGAGCTGTACGATCGGATATTGCCATCAAGAGAGAGCGATCAGCGAAGAGCAGACTTCGTACAAAAGCTGGATCGTATTCTGAATGAAAAATGGCCAGGCAATGATATTCGTGTTCACATGTTCGGGTCTTCAGGTAACATGCTGTGCACGAATGATTCTGACGGTAAGACGTATCGGCGATTGAAAGGTGGCGAAAGACTGACGCACAAATGAAGTGGACATCTGCATTACAACTGCTTTCAAGGGCTTAGAGCGGACATGTCTATTAGCGGAAGCTTTGTCAGAACGTCGGTCTCGTCTTCTCTATCAATAAGTTATCTTGCTGACTTGCCTCAGACGGAATGCAGAATGTGGTTTGTGTTCCACACGCCAAAGTACCGATCGTCAAATTCTGGGACCCTGAGATTCATTTGGCTTGCGACATGAATGTCAACAATACGTTGGCTTTGGAGAATACAAGAATGATCAAAACTTATGTTCAGCTTGACGCTCGAGTCCGACCGTTGGCAATGATCATCAAGTACTGGACAAAGCGACGGATCCTTAACGACGCTGGTATGTCGTCGTGCTTCTAAGATATATCACTTGCTAAGTCTCTGCACAGCGCTTGGCGGAACGCTCAGCTCTTATGCGTGGATCTGTATGATCTTGAATTTTCTACAAACGCGCAATCCTCCGATTCTACCGTCTCTGCATCAAAAAGCCAAGAAAGCTAAATCTACCGTTGATGGTAAATATGATGGATTCAACGATGATCTCGACGCTCTTCGTGGAATCGGCGAGTCGAACAAGGAGACACTAGGCGAGCTTCTATTTCAATTTTTTCGCCGCTATGGCCATGACGTTGATTTTGAACGAGAAGTGATATCTGTAAGAGAGGGAGAGACGATCTCAAAGGAAGCAAAGAAGTGGCATTTGATGCAGAATAACCGGCTCTGTATCGAAGAGCCGTTCAATATTGAGCGAAACCTGGGGAACACTGCCGACGACATCTCATTTCGCGGCATACATCTCGAATTGAGGCGGGCATTCGATCTTGTCGCCAAAGGGAAGACGGATGAATGCTTCGATCATTATCTTTTCCCACCTACCGAAGAGAGGGTCTATGAAAAGCCTGCCCCAAAGCCGCCACCCGTTCTCAGTCGGAGTCGGAGCCAATCACAATCCTCGAGAGGCAAGGCTGGCCATGGCAATCGTGGGGGTAGGCATTACTCCAGCGGTTCAAAAAACAGAAGAGCCTCCAGTGCTGCTGCAACCAACAAATACCCACTTCCGCCAAACAATCCTGCTGCTTACAGCGTTGATCCTAGTCTCAACAATGAGCAATTCATCAACGCACAATTTGAGCAGTTGAAGCTTCATAGACAGCTTTTTGATGAGATGCAGACGCTACAAAGACAAGAGTATGAGCTTCGACTCAAGCAAGCTCAGAACCAGTTGCAAGCTGAGTACGAATTACAAGCTACGGGCCAAGCACCACCAACTGGTCCTCACACTGCAAGAGAGGCTCGACGTCTACAAGCAGCAGCTCAAGTACCCCTCTCGGCTCCGCTGCGCGGTAGTCCTCAGTTTCCCCCTTACATGTATCCTCAAGTCCCTGGAACTCCTCAGAATGTTCATACTCAGCCGTCCTCTCCATCACTACGATCTGCTCAGCTAGATTTGCGGCGGAGTATGCATCGATCTAATGTTACCGATGGCTCGTCTTCGGGAAGCATCAGATCTCATTCACAGCCTGCCCGATCCATGCCACTGAATTTACCTGCCCGAAATGTTCCTCCTTTGCCACAGAATAGCCAACAAATGCTTCACTACCAAAACCTGCGCCATCAACAGCACTTGCCTCATGAGCAAGTCTACTTTCCAGTGGAAGGGCACAATGGCCAACGATTTGTTGATGTACCAGGCTTCGGAGACCCTAGGCGGCATCCGATGCAGCTTCCTTTCGATGAAAATATCACAAAGGAGTACGCAGGATACTGGATCAATGATTCGCCTCCACCTCGCTCATACCGTGACGAGACTCGTATGCCAAGGATGCCATTCGCTCAAGATCAATATCCACGTGTTCGAGGCATTCCCCCTAACTTCGACCGACTGAGATCGTCGTCAAGGTCTCCTTCGCCTTCTACTGCGATACCTTTCCGCGATCGTGCGTTCAGTTTGCAACATTCTGCAAACGCTCCCAATGGACGACAGCGTCTCGAGAGAGTAGCTGGGACAATCGCACCCTCTCGAATGACAGGGCCAATCATCGTGAATGGAACCGATGCACTACAGATGGTAGATTGTCCACCAATGGTAGAATCTTCATCGCACACTACTACTATCAGTGAAACTACTTCGGGTTCTGATGAGCCAACGTACCAGACTCCTGCCACCGGGGAGATGGAGTCTTTTCAAAATCCGCCATTCGAGGATGACTTTGCTATCGACCAGGCACAATTCCTCTATCAAGGTCAGCAAATGTCTGAGAGATTCCGCCACCCCCAACATGACGCAAGACATTTCATGGAGCCATCGCCAAGGCGCTTGTCAAACCAAGCACCGGATGCTGTTGCACATGAAGCCGTTGTCAGACAGAGTGAGCGCAAGCCAGTCAATAGCCGCGGCTTGAACATTCAATTCGGAGAACATGATTACAACCGGCCACCAGCTAAATCGAAGTCCGATCAGATCCCGCCACAAGAGCCTGCACGGCAGTCAAATCATGTTCCTCGAATAGACGCGCAGCTTTTACCTGCCACTGAAGGTCAAACGGAGAAAGCCCAGGCTGTTCCGCCACTGCTGTCGCCTGTACGCGAAGTGAGGACGCCTTCACCAACTCATGGCCGACGCCGGGATGACTCCGACATGGCCAAAGCTAGCACAGTCAAACGAGCTTATGGTAAGATGGATCTCCGAATTCCCTCTTTTGCAGAGATCCAAGCAAAGAGGAGCGAGGCGCGTCTTGAGAGCCCAGGAATTACAGCTTCTTCTCTCAAACCAAACGGCAATATAACTCCAAAAATGAATGGAGCCAGCCCCTTCAAGCAGACTCCGGTCACCTCGCCAGTTTATCATATGCAGGTCCCACAGAATACGCCATCGTCACCGACAAGCCCGAGATCTCACGCGGCTTTACAGCAAGTCAGTGCCTGGCAACAACAATACTCGAAGAAGCACCGGAAGAACAAGTCGAGGCATGGGACTGAGCAAATCTTCGGTGAAGCTATGCCAGTCAACGAGGCTGAGAGGAAAGGTGGCTGATCGAGTCAGCAAATCATCATCTTACGGACTACATCCCGCTATGAGCATCTGATCGAGCTTCCCAGGTGCCATCCTGTTGGAACGTTTCAGTCATTCCGACCACGTGATGCCGCTCCCGCCTTTCCTCGAGACCCTTCTGGATAGTCTCGTGAGGACAACTTCCTCGTCTTATTCTTCCCAGAAGGAGCTATCATCATATGGCGTGGATATATACGTTCATGCTGCCATGAGAAATGCGTTTGCGTTGTGAATCCATGCATTCAAACCAAAGGAACATATTTAAAAGTCGGTTGAGAAAGTTCGTCTGACGAGGATCCGTACGTGCAGCCATTCTGGCAATATCTGTACGTAGGGAAACGGTATTCCCAATTAAGCAGGGAGGGAGGAAGGGAGGGATGGAGGGATGGAGGGATGGAGAACATATCTGTTTGCGTTTTTGGCGATCGTGTATGTGTGTCCATCAGCGAGTAGAGCGGTCCAGTCCTGCATGCATGACTTGGGAAGTGTTTGTATAGAATGAAATGAAACCAAAAGCGGGCACTGAAGGACATGAACAGATAGGGAGAACAGATAAGCGATCAATGGAAAATGTTGAAAATGTCACTTTTGTCATCTCGAGTGCTGCTTATTTTTTCGGAAGGTTTGATACACCCGTTCGGTGAAGGAGTACGGTCAACCAGGATGTATCAAGACTCTCATTTATCCATTGAGCGTGACAACGAAATTCCGTATTATCTGCCCGCTGAAATGGCTGTCGATGGAGATTATGGTTTCCTGATCTCCTACGAACATTGGAATTTTTTTGGGTTCCTGCTATGATTAGGAGCTTATGAGCATCGCTTCCAATCATGGGACTCAGGTAGCTCTCAGAAAGAGATTCTCGGAACGACTGCACGCCTTGCTCTATTCCACACGTGTTTAATGATGAACAGTCATTCGAAATAAGTTCCAATCAGGCAGATATGAAATTTGTTTGCATTGAATCGAATCGCGACCTTGGTTCGCTCAGATTGTGCCCTTTTAGATCATGAGCACTTCCTCTCATCCGATGTACTCGATAAGTAGACAGTGATAAAGATGGCTCGAACTTCAGTCTCGCGCTCTATATTTCTTCGGGCTTCTCGGTAAATGGCTCATCCAATAATGAAACCAGGTACGGGGTCTTTGGGCTTACTGATTGGCCCAATGGGACTGGGGTATAGGATATGTCCCAGGCTTTATGGGGCTGGCTCATATTCCCTACAGATGTCGTGCAGGTCATCGAGTCCATCGAGTCCATCGAGTCCATCTCCGAAACTTGAACATGTGAAGCTCATTAAGAGAGAAGTAGGGAAGATCCTGATGCCAGGATTGGGACTGCCTTCCCGAAGCTGGCCCGGAACAGTCATTTGCGTATTCGATGGTATTTGCGTCGCAGGTAATGACGAGCCTTGTGCTTGATTACAGTGGGATGAGAAGCTCCGTCAGGATTATTCAGTAAGGGATGTATTAGCCATTAAATAGATGCCCCCTCCAGACGAAAGCAAAGCGCGGAATGGTAATGAATAAATAAATCTTAGCTGATTACCTTAGTCTAAGAGGGCGCTAGTATATTTCATCATGGTACCTGAAGGTAGACGATCATTGCGCTCCCACGCTCTTCTTCGAATCCAGCCTCTCTTGTTCCGTTGGCTATGGATGCCGTCCTTGAAATTTTACGTCTCGACAACCGCGAGCTCGAGAATGTTGTGTAGGCTCCCCAGTCTCCCCTCCTCCTCAATCTTTCTGAATCGGGTTTCGAGCGAATGCCACAGGACCGAACGTAATGGGCAAGACCGGTCCTTATTAAAGCTATCGTAGCATCAATACCGAATTCTCAATATGTCTAGCTGGAATGGTGACAGTCGCTGGATGAGACGAACATTCGCAGTGGCTTTGATTGTCGTATCCTTGACCCTTTTTGTTTACGCAGCATTGAATGATTCGGGAGGAAAAGCCACGGGGATGGTTCAAAGTCTGGGTCTCGCCTGCGTATGACTGATACTTCCACGCAATGCTTGAAGTGTCGGTCTTAGCAATCTTTCTATTGTAGCTTTGCTGAAATTCAGAAGTCCTCAGCAGGGCCTTTCTAATCCAGTGTATTAGCTTTTTATGGAATAGCAGAACTTGGACTTCCTACATCTGTTGGCACATATTGCTTTTCTGCTAATCCGTAAATTGCCTGGACAACACTTTGGTCTAGATCATGGCTCAAAGCCACTGCAGTCCATCAAGGTTTTCGATTCCGAGAAGAGCATACCTTGCATAAAGCACCCAATAGCCCAAACCTTTGATCTCTTTAGGTTCAAGCCCCAAACCGAACAGCCTGTGAGAGACAGCAGAGCCGACACGTATCCCCTTAAAGGAAATTCGATGTGAGGAGTCAGGGAGGAGAAGAAGCTTCCGTAATATGTTGGCCGTCAGCCCTTTGCGAATACTCGCGCCAACACGGAGGGCAGCAAAATTCTTTACTTTCCGAAAGTATCGCAAGATTAACTGTGGTAATTGTTGGACGATCCTCCGGCGACCTTTGAAGCATTTGATTCGATATTCTGAAAAGAGGCCAGATGTCCTTGAACTGGTCGCTATCCAACATGGTCTTTACCCAGAAGACAAGTCTCACTATATTACGCGCATAGCTTGTCCTGCCCTCAGCATCCGTTGCCAAAGGTAGATCACTTTTAGTGATGTGGCTGAGAATCTCAAGGAAGACACATCCCAGGGAGAAAACGTCAGCGCTACGCCCAGCAGGTTGATAGAGGAAGCTGTCATCAACATCAGACATCACGTTGGTAGTATCTTCCAACTTCGATGCACTATGCGACCTCGATATTCTGTGTTCTCTCGATACCGCCCACAGTTCAGGAGGAGCATAGCGTGGCGAGTAAAGATTCTCCCCTGGAGTTTTGCTATCTTCGTGTTCGCTGAAGTCATGAGCAATGCCGAAATCAGCTAATAGGAAGCGTGCAGCATGACCATTTGATGCCATAGCTTTTTCGTAAAGTATATTGGACGGTTTTATATCTTTGTGACGCACAAGGCTACAATGAAGGTAGTCAAGTCCTCGACTAAGGCAACCAAACGCAGTAAGCATAACAGGCCGTAGCCAAATGCTATCGCGACATGCATATTGGGCGTCGAATTTGTCCCTCTTGTAACGCTTTAGTAGTCCCATTAGATCAGTAGTTGCAGCCGGTTTTATGATCAGCCCTAAAGCGCTGCCTCTCTGGTAGGTCTTGACCAGTTCGATTATATGGCGGTGATGAAGATGCTTAAGAACTTTGATTTCATGCTGGACGTGTCTCAGGGATTCCTTTGCGAATCGTTCGTCCGGGCCCGTTCTTTGCACCTTTCGCACGTACAACACGCCGGTAACAAGGTCTTTGACCCGACTGATCGACCCAAAGGAGCCAGTAACGGATATTTCCCTGTCCAAGACTAACGGCATGGGCTCCTCCTCTCTGAACGTAACATTGGAGCCAATAGGCCATTCCCTAGGCTTCGCTCTGTACTGCTCGCTCAGCAGGACGGAGAGAAAACGGACATTTGGTCCTTCTAAAATGCCTAAAAGCTGTTGCTCATCGAAGGGCATAGAATCGTCTGTGCAGCCGGACTTGACGAAGTCTAGCAAGAGCTGGAATTGGCCAATCCCCCTAAGCACGAGGCAAATCCTGCTCATCTTTTGGAGGCAACATGGAGGCTCAGGAGCTCCGCTGGGTTTTACAGCTTCCCACGCACGACCAAGATTTGTCAAGATGGAATAGGTCTTGTTTATGTACTGCTGATCATAGATGAAGCCATCTCCGGGGTCTTCAGCATTGCCCACCAAACCTTCGATCGCAGTCCAATGAGGTAGATGTCCCCAGAGTATTCGAAGGATAGATGACTGAGCATCGACTTCATTACGATCAGAAACATTTCGGAGGTCTTCTAAGAAGCTAGGTGAGGAGTTTGGTGTTTGTCCAGAGCTCACTGAGATTTCTGCGGAGCTCATACCATCCGTAAGGCTCCTATGTCCTTCTTTCTTAGATTGTTGGGCCAGAAAGGTGACCGACGAATGTAATTGAGCCACAGACTTGCCTAACTGATCGAGTGACGAATCCAGCTTTTGCTTGTATTTGGGTCTAACAAGTCGTAAGCCAAGGCGACACTGAGACGGTAGGGTCTTTACTCATAGAGTTGACGAGTCCATGCAGCAATGCCAATTCTCTCTTTCCTGAGCTGGGATTGTACATTTATCTTTACCTCTTGGATCAACCTCATAACATCCCTCAAAAGACCGTAAACCTTCCCTGTAGCATCTTCGCCAAGCCTGAAGTACTCTTCGGATATTTCGGAGGCACAATGTGACAGTCTTTGCTCTTGATCCTTCACATCCACCATCACCCGCGCCAGGATTTGACGCTGGGTCTCATGCGATTGCCGTAGAGACTTCAGCCCATGGTCGATCAGTTCATATACATCTTTCAGCCGACTCGTACAAGTTGCTACCATGAGCTGTAGGCTCAGAGGAAGCTGAGCCATTCTACAGAGGCGTCATAGCTATTGCTGGTTTGCAGCGACGAATCTGAGGTCAGCGCAAACGCTCTCGCGATCGGCGTCGGAGGCAGTCACAAGCCAAGACCTCGAGAAAGCCCGGACAATTCAAATGCCGGCTCCGGTTAATCGAGGAGCAGCCTTCTCATAAATGCGCAGATCATGATGTGAAATGCTGTACGTCCCGAATTCGGAGAGGGTGAAGGTCGGCTAGCTCGGGAAAACAAAACTGCTACACAACCGCGAGACATCCCTTTAAGAACAGCAGCGTCTTGCTGATGAGATAATGAGTCAAAACTATTCTAGAGACTATTGTTTGAAGTGTTTGTTGTGTCGGATGATATCGTAGCAAGACACAAATGCAGGATGCCAGGGCTTCAACTCATCGGACTTGGTCTAAATACACTTCCGAGATTTAGTTATGGATGGAGTGTATAAAGCCTCTGACTGCGGCACACTTGGGAAGTTCTCTACAACCTGTTGGAGAGCTGCTTTTACGCTTCGAAAGTCTTGGCACTCTGTCCTATAAGCTTTGAGCATTGACTCGACATTGATAGTCAAGAAGTCGAGGGTGTAGCGTACGCTTTGAAATTGATATAAGAATAACTCAACCTTAGACTTAGTATGTCTTTGCTGATAGTCTCACTAGACTTTGAAATATTCCCCTTACCCAAGAAAAGCAATTCTGCAGGAAAGATACTAACTTAAACCAGAGCCTTTCTCCCCAAATGATTATTGCGGCACATATCAAAATTACTGCCGCTGTCAAAGGGCTGGCGACTTCCCAAACGCGACCTTGTGTGCTAACATTATCATTGATTCCAATCACGTTCATGCCAAAGTATGAAGATACAAAAGATAGAGGAAGGAAGACAATCGTTACCAAGGTGAAGATAAAGATCGCCCGGTCCTGTAAAGTCTCTACCAACTGTATATTTTGATCTGCAAGGTCTTGAACCCTTTCTTTCAGCTCCGCGCAATTTTGAAGCTGCTCTTGCAAGGTTAGCAATATCTTTTCGATAAACTTTTGCTCTGATTTAAATCTCATCTTTCGGAAGACGCTAGGCGAATCGAAGGTTTTAGGATCTAAGCGGTCTTGTAGTCTCAGCAAGACATGTCTCTGCTGCATGATCACATGTTCGACGATTTTGACTTCCTCCTTGAACGAGTTGATATACTGTAGAAATGTGCGACTGTATTTGTCGGTCACGCGTAAGGACTTGAAGCAGTCAGTTAAAGGACAACGAGTAAATATGCATCAACTGACCAAGCCTTCCAAACATCTCCCATAAATATCAATGACATCAATAACATCATCTTTAACGACTCCATCCACCAACCTCTCGATCAAATTCAATAAAATCATTTCAGGCGTTGGTACAGACTCTAGATGATTGCCCCTCCGTATACCTTTGGCTTCCTTGATCAGTTCACCTTCCGCAGTCTTCAAACATTTCAATGCTTCATCAAACAATCGTTGAACTTCTGTTCCACAAACCTTGGCTTTCTTATCTGACCTGATTTCACGCAACGCTTCGATAAGCATATGAAAGCCAGCCCCTAAGGCATCTACCAAGGACGCAAGAAGGACAGCTGATCCTGATTGATCAAGCTTACCATTTTCCTGTTCGTGAGATTCTTTGCTTGGGTGGTGTACTCCAAGATGGATCTCTGTGGCCGTCTTGTTGAGCCTCGCTAACAGATCTTCCAGCTGGTTCAAGTACGGGACACTGCCCTAGACCGCTCTATTTAGTTTTGCCTTCAACATGCGTTGGATACCTACATGGTCGCTTAGCTCCCGTAAAACCCCCCAAAAGAGCCTTATTGCTTCTTGTTCCTGATCGTGAGACGCTGGTACGAAAGATAGCAAGAACTTCCTTGCACTTGCATAGAATGCTGTACTGTTTTGCGGGTGTGATGAATCTTTGCCGTCTTTGATACCACCTCGCACTTCGACCCTATCGATTGTGGCAGATCCGTAGCCCAAAGCGCGATGAGAAACTTGTATGTTAGCACCCGCCAAGAAAGCTGGTAAAGCTTGATATATCATTTCTAAGAATCTCTGCATTCTCTCATTCTCCGGGGTCTCGTCAACCACACCAGCCGCATCCATTATTGGCCAGGTCAGAAATGATGAATGGACGCCCGATTCTTTGTGCCGCATTAATGTCTCCAGGTCCTTGGATTTCGGCAGGGTAGTGCCTTGTTCACGTCCACCGTATAATCGTTTGTCCCCAGAACTATCTCAAAATGTTAACGAGCGAACTGACCAGTAGACAATAAAATACAGGCTGAATCGCAAATTAAATTAAATCGTTTGACTTACACACCTGGTGACTCCATCCATAATTCGATGATATCCTCCTCCTTTGATGAACTTTGGAGTGACGCCCAATTCCACTTGTCGACGACTTGCTCTTTGTATGTCAATCGGTAATTACTCGGATCGGCAGAATCTTGTCGGTCATTTGAAAGAAGTCTTATTTGTTGCTGCTTGTTCATGAGCCCATACCAAGACGCACATTGCTTGAGAGGATAAGTTAGACTCTCTTGTTCTTCCCCTGAGACAAAATGGAATCGCACTAGCCGGAACAAGCTGCCTTGGTCGGGCAGCAGTCTTGAGTTCACCTTGACGAACTTTCCTTGAAGATCCGAATCACTGACGCAGCCAGTAGTAATTATCTGGCCTGGCTCAGCGATATAGCACCAAAGCTGAGGAACATACAAAATTCTATCTCTTATCATTGGCATGAGACGTTGTAACTCTTCACTGTCGTTCTCGATACCTGAACGCAATACTCCGTCTTTCAACAATTTAAGGCACTGGGCTTTGTCTCTTCTGTGGGTGTTGTATAAGCGGTAGTAAGACTGCAATAATGACCGAGGTGGATGCTTGTCCGTGCCTTTTGTGCCTTCAATTGACACTGTTGGGGGAAATTTCTCCAACGCAAAATATGGAAAAGAGATAAAAGTGCAGTACTTGTCAATACTGTACTTCGAATTATCCACGCTGTCGTACCGTGTCGAGTCTGGCTCGAGATACTTGCCCCCTACAAATGATTTCTCGGCTTTTTTGTGCACACGCTCAAACAAGTGTTCCGCAAGCTCGTTTACGCTGTCATGCACCCCATGATGTCTCATCTTGGTGATTTGGTCAGCGAAAGTACTCATAGATAGACAGTCTAGCTTCGTATGCTGCCACAGCACGCAACCCTCTTGTATCATTTGTGTCCTGGATTTATCATTTGAAACCACCTGATCGAATTCTATTCGATTTTGGGCGTTAGAGCTTAACTCGTGACGTTGCAGGAAGATGTTTCTAAGCTTGACCTGCGCCCTTGGAATGTTTGATTTAGGAGAATGCGGTCGCTTTGCCTTGGATTTTGTGCTCGCGTGCTTAAGAATTGAACCGTGTTTTGATTGTGATTCGTCATCCGATTTCCTGGGTCCATATGCATCTTGGTCCTCTTTGTAAGGTAGAACTGCTCTTCGATAACCAGCTTGTCGTTGGTATGTAGTGGCTCTAGCTGCGTCCGTGCTTTGAGTTGGGTGTGTTCCCTGTGGTCTGAGTACCTGAGATTGTCCTTGTTCTGGTTCTCTATTTCCCGGGATTGGTCTCTCCACAGTCGCGATATCCTCTGGGGCTTCATCTTCGTCGATATAATGATACCCATCATCTGGGGAATCATCTGCTTGCAGGGATGGCGTGGAGATTTTTGGCACTGTGAGATGAAAGCCGCCCACATCAGATAGCAGCTCATCATTGTTCTTCTCCATACTTCTCGAAAATCGTGAATACTCAGCGCTGGCCAGATTCAGAGGCTTCAATGAGCCTCAAGCACTAGAAAGGAGGTCGATGACAATCATTGTTTGACTTAGGAGACCACAAGGCATCATCCTTGAATTCGGAAAGGGCAGATCTTGAGGTCAAGTATCGTTATATCGAAAAGCTCTGCAAGCTCACATAGCCTTGCATTAGTGACGACTATGGCCCGCATATCTCCTCCAAAGCTAGGAAGATCCACTGGGCTACGTCTACTGGACCTCTAAGCGCTCATGCACGCTAAGACGATAGCACATCCCTAGCACCATATTCGGAGATGATTGACTGCCCAAACAAGAAGCATGGCTGAACGACGGCTGGTGACGGTGCGGAATGCTCCTACTGAAAACATCGTCCGTTTGTAAGTCGTAGACAAATGACGCGCGTTCATTTTGAATGCAAATGCCGAGTGACAATATTTGTTACACGGAAGAGAGACGCTTCGCGACCAATAACAAGCTTGTCAAATACTGACATACGTTTACTGGAGATGGGATATCACAACGCTCAGATCACCGTTCGTCCTTTGCCATTGAGCCTCGTTTCCAGTAGAGCAGTCATCCAGCATAAGCCAACAACACACAAATAGATAGAAATTATGAAAACCTTCAGGATGTATTAGTCATGAATAGTTGCCTTGATCAAGATATCATCGAGCTCCCGAGGTTTCCTTTAAACAAGGCCCCGGGGCGGCTAGTTCCGGGTACGTTAACGTGTATTTGCCATACATTGGAGGTTCAGTAGTGTCGTAGTTGGCATTGGAGGAAAGTATACCATGACGATAAACGATTACTGCGCCAATACGCCCCATTGAAGTCCTCTGCCCGTTACAATTCCCCGCCATGAATACCGTTCGCGAAATTGAGCGTCTGAATAAGCGCGAGCTCGAGAACGTCGTGTGAACCCACCCCCTTCCCCTCCTGTAGCCTTCAATCCGCTAACATGCACCCAGGCCCCCATCAGCATCCTGGCACACCGACTACCGCTCCACCGCCTTTGTCCACATCTCTGGCCTCGCATACACTCTCACTGAGGGCGACATCCTCACCATCTTCTCTCAGTTCGGCACGCCCACGTACCTCCACCTCGCCAGAGACAAGGACTCCGGCAAATCGAAAGGATTCGGGTGGTTGAAATATGAAGACCAACGAAGCACGGACTTAGCAGTTGATAACCTCGGTGGTGCGACCGTGGTGGGGAGGACGTTAAAAGTAGACCACGCGACGTACAAGCGGAAAGAAGGGGACGAGGAGCAAGGACGGGACGTCGATGTGGATGTGGATAGCGGGGAGAGGTCAGATGATACTGGGGATGAGGGGGGGAGGAGCGGCCGTTGTTGAAGGAAGAAATGGAGTTGAGGCGGCTGATTGAGGAGCACGATGATGATGATCCCATGAAGAGGTATCTGGTAGAGGAGAAGAGGGAAGAGGTGCAGAAGGCGGTGAGGAAGTTCGAGAAGAGGAGAGATAAGGAAAGTGGAGAAGGGAAGCATAGACATCGGCATCGGCATCATCATAGGAGGAGGGATGAGGATGGAGGGAGGGGCTACAAGATTGAGGATGGGAGGGGGAGGGAAGATGGTCGGAGGAAGAGTGGGCGCAGGAGTGCAAGTGAGAGTGAGGACAGAGAGAGGAGGGAACGCAGACATCATCGACGGAGGAGCTTGTCTAGAAGTCCTTGATCTACGAAGCTCTTTGGTCGGACTTTCAAGATATGAGTACTCGGTGAAGAGGACCGGCGGAGGCACAGAGTCTCAGTGCTGATCTCCAAAAGTGTGCCACGCAAAACTCTCTTCCCCAGCCAGGAGATAGGGCAGGGTTCGAGGCAAGAGCCGTAGCAGGCGGCAACTTTTCAAGGGATCAGCTGAATCATACAGCCTGATGACCGAAGAATCTGTTGACGCCACTACGTGATACGGCACGGCCGAAGATTGCAACCTCAATTCCAATGATGGGATTAGAAACAGCCACGATTATGATTCTTGTTAGCTGTCCGAGATGCCAGCTAACATACAAGTAAAGTCAAGATAGACAGAGGAATAATATCGGCTCATTTCAACGGACTTAACCAGACCGAATTGCAGACACCATTCGCTTCCCTCCATATCTTTTTGCAACTCGCCTCTCCTGCTAGGTGATGGTCAATGTAGTCTGCTTAGGACATGCCGTTTGTATCATCGACAGCCATGCTTGTCTCCCTCGTCATGCGTCCCTCTGCTTCTCTTAGCTGACTCTCACGTGCTAAAAGCTCTTGTCTCTTCTCATTAATCTCTCGTTGAACCTTGACTTCAATTTCGCGGAGTTTCTCTTCCTCACGACGAAGTTGCTCTTCCTTTAGGCGGACGGATTGGGAAGCCAAGTCCTCAGGGTTCATCGATTGATCGCTATATTTTGATTGGTCAGATGCCTTCGTCAAACATACGACAAGTGGAGTATCGGGTACTTACGCAGTAGCACCCCCTTCAACGCTCTTGCTCAATTTCTCTGTTCGGTAATTCTCGTAGAGGAAGTCGTGTGTGATTTCCTTCAAGTCCGCTAGATGGCTGTGAAGCAAGGCGCTCTTGATAGCCAGGAAGTCAGAGTGACGAGGATTTTCAACCTCTACCACCCCCCATGGATATTGTCGCGCTCTGACTCTCCTACCGCCGATTTCAACGACGTCCTCAGAACCCACAATTGCAAATGGCATTAAGCCTCGTAGCTCAGCGTTTTCCTCAACGGTATCTTCGTCATCTTCCTCGATGTCATAAGGGAAATTGTAGACTGGGATACGATAATGTTCAATGTCCTCCATAACCAGTTTCTTTGATTCTGCCAATTCAGCTGGAGTTAAGGAATCCGCTTTGCCGATCACAGGAATGACATTTACGCGAGGAGATAAGCGCCTCATCAGTTCTATATCGAGCTCACGGAGGCTAGCATTAAATTAGCCGGCACAGCGTGTTTTCGCATGAGAGCAACGTACCCATGTCCGGTCGGGGTGATAAAATAGAGGAGAGCATGTACACGGTTATCTCTGAAACGAGGGTTACGTTTGATGCGAGATTCTTCGGCAAGGATATCGTCATATTGGCGCTCCAGATGTCCGACAATCTCCGCAAAACTGATGGCTGTCAATGCCTGCGTGTTTTCGTGGCCCACTAGGTCTCTTTACCTTGCTTCATTGTCGATTTGGTCTCCAAAGCCAGGGGTATCGACGATTGTTAGGGAGATACGTGTGCCTTCTTCATCCAACTCCAGCTCTAGCGCACGATTAGAGTCAGTTGACATTCGCGGTTCCCTGGGACATGACTACTCGCCGACGGTAATTGGCTTGATCCTTACACCCTCCTCAAGATGAGCATTCGCAGCATCATCTGCGTCTTTCTCTCTTAGGACTTGCTTGCCGCATAAAGTGTTGACGAATGTTGTTCGACCTGATTAATCCACTCAATCACAAGACCGTAATCATAGCCTCGAAGCGGATTCACCTGTTCCTGAAGCCCCGCAGACCATCATACAGAATTGTATCCCTTTCTTGACATTCTTCTTCCTGCGCGTCTTGATCTGGTCACATAATCAGAATTAGCTCCCTTATCCAATGCTTGCAGTCTGCACATGCTTTAGAGACGTACAGAGGCAAGATTGGAAGACATTGCGACTCGAATACAACGTAAAGGTGATCAATGTAGTCAAGAATATTGCGCCGATTGTATGATTGGGGATTGTTGGGAACACAGGTGTCGTTGCTGTTCGGTGTCAAGAAAATTGAGGTCCAGCTGCGAAAGGGGGCGATCTTGGCGTCCTATTTCCAGGGATTGCGGAGGTCCTAGCGTTGCGGCAAATTAAAGCACCAAGCTCATTCTCCCCACTGACCACTCGGACAATGATCTTGCGCAACCTCGACGCTTTGATCAGCTTCCTTTCAAAGGAACAGCGGTGACAGCATGCTCAAGCCACTAACGCATCATCTGTATCTACGGCATTTTTCCGGGTATAACACACTATGAACACTCGTCCAGCAATCGCAGACTCCGAAAGCCCAATATCTTTATCAGTCTCCTTCAATCAGGATGCTAGCTGCTTCTCTGTGGGGCTCGATACTGGGTTTTGCGTCTTCAACTCTGAGCCATGCGAGCTCAAGGTCTCTCGCGACTTCAACGCTGGTGTTGGGGCAGCCGAGATGCTGGGAAGAGCCAATTACCTTGCACTTGTAGGAGGTGGAAGACAACCTAAGTTCCCCCAAAACAAGGTCGGTACGCTTGATGAGAACGACTCGTTAGAGACATCTACAGATTCTGACTCGTGTCAAGGTAACAATATGGGATGACAATAAGCAGCAAGGGAAATTCACACTCGAATTCCGGTCGCCTGTGCTTCGAGCACGAATATCTCGATCCCGCATCATAGTCGCTCTTCAAAATAGCACCCACATCTACAGATTTTCTGCGCCCCCCGAGAAACTCTCTGTCTTTGAAACGGCTGACAACCCTCTCGGGCTATGTTGCCTTGGGTCAGAATTGATTACCTTTCCTGGTCGCTCGATCGGCCAAGTACAAATGGTCGAGATTTCGACGGGAAATGTCAGCATCATACCTGCGCACAGTACTGCTTTACGAGCCATGGAACTGAGCCCGGATGGTGAGATTCTTGCGACTGCTAGTGAGACTGGAACATTAGTCAGAACCTTTTACACCCGCAACTCTGCGCGAATGGGAGAGTTACGTCGAGGCGTCGACCACGCATTCATTTACTCAATAGCAATATCACCAAATGGCAAACAACTTGCTGTTACATCTGACAAGGGAACACTACATATATTTGACTTACCTGGCGCGTCAAGCTCCCGAAATAGCTCAAGAACTCGAGGTCGGCCACATAAAGATTCAAATTCTGGTATCAATGGCAACGAGGAGGTCGTAAACCAGAAATGGGGAGTATTAGGCAAGATACCTCTCTTGCCAAGAGTATTCTCTGATACCTATTCCGTCACTTCCGCTCAGTTTGAGGTGGAAGACAACCCAAACGTGCCTTTCAGCAACTCAAACTTGATACCCATACCTGGAATACCTGGTGGTAAGCCCCAGAAAGGTATTATTGGCTGGAAGGACGATCATACAATACTAGTCTTAGGTGCTGGTAGAGATGGAAGGTGGGAGAAATTCATATTAGGCGAAGGTGAGGATGGGAGGCGTCTTATCATTCGGAATGGATGGAAAAGATACTTGGGAAGCTGACGGCGCCGGTCCAGCCGGAATTTCACGACAAACGCAATCTCATGTATGACGCAGTATGAGGGCCATTTCTTTGGCACGCAATATGCCAGATTACTGAACAAGGTTTCGTGAGGATCTTTGTCAGCTCCCACCACGATCTACTGCCCACCCGTCAGTGTCATATCCTAAACCCTGGCTCCATAAAGGTCCAGTGGCTATTTGCACCTCGGGTCTCATACTATAGAAGGCGGGTCGCCCGCCTCAAGGGTACAATCTTCATAGGCGTCGGCCGTGGCTTCCGTTGTTGCGTACATCTATTTCAAGACGCTGTGAGAGTTCTTCCGGATTGGAATGCTATTGTACGCATATGCGCCTTTTTGGGGACTTGCAATTTTCAACATTTAGCGTGAAAGATCTTTGCAAGATAGCAAGCCTCCCCCGAGTGAGCATTATGGACTCCCTAGCGACCGAAATCACTACTCTGATTCTGAGTTTTGTGCCACGTTCCGGCTTGCTCCAACTTCGCTGCACAAGTTATTACTTTCGAACTCTTGCCGAATCAGTTCTGTGGCCTTTGCTAGTCTGCGATTTTGCCCCCTTTTCCGACTGCGGTCAGTATCGCAGGTGCGAAGTTATCGAGCGTATCGGACGGGCGCTTCTGTTCAACGACAAACCTGTTCTGATCACTTCGTTAATTCTCGATCTTCACCATCTTCGACCCAATATTCACTGGCGGACAGTGAACAGGGCCTTCTCTCAGCAACCACACATGAAATACCTCCAGATAAAGGGCCTCCACGACCTACCGATTGTCTCTCGAAGAAATGGTTTTGATGGTTTCATAAACGACAGACCTGATAATCGCCTTCGTGACCTTCGAATCATGTCACCACCACCATCAGACGTCTCGTTGCAAGGCTTCCCAATTCGAATGCTAGCCGACCTTCCGTTTCTAGACTCTCTAACACTCGAGCTACCAGACTCGTCGCAGCGGATGCTCGACAACCTCTTCCGAGTCCTCCGGGACGGGTCAAATATGCTAAGTCGTCTCCTCAGCACATTCATCCTAGCCATACCACCCAAGCATTCGCCTACAGAATCGGCATATAGAACGATAGATTTAAGCGACTTTATCAACACTACCACTCTCGCCATTCCTGCTCCCTTCTTATACTGGGACTGCTTCGCCAGCGAGGTTAATATGACACGGCTACCGCCGCGGTTAAAGAAGCTCCAGTTGCAAGTCTTAGTCCGCGCTTGCATCCCTTTCGCGGCCGATCGCGCAGGAGCTATTTGGTTCGTCAATTATCAAATTGAGCAAATTCAAGAGAATCTGACGATTCTCATGGACTGGATTGGGAAGGGAAGGATGAAAGTGGGATGGCTAGGGATTTGGTGGTCTCATAGCCATGACACGGAGCCTATGGCGGGAGATTCGACAATAGAATGGGAGAAGCTGAAGGGGAATTTGCGCAAGAGACATGGAAAGGACGTGGACACTATCGAGTGTCAAGAACTGAAAGATACACCCATTGTGATGGAGCAGGCAGATTGACGCGCGTTTAGTTCAGAATATAACCCTCGTGTCTTCCATATATCAGATCAACCTCTCTACTTGCTCAAACTCCGATGAGCTCGAATTTGACGTGCTTCTTGTCAGAAGATTCAGTGTGCCCAGAGATTGTACCTTACCTTAAGGTAAGAAAGGCGAGAGACGCTATTAGCTTGGCGGCCGAATGCGGAGTAGCGCGGTGGCTGACATGACGGAGCACATGAAACCCCAAGCTTGACGCCTTGAATCGACAACCTCCACGACACCTACCAACCTTCATCAACCCATCTTGTAATCTCTCATATCGTTCGCCATGGCTGCAAATACCAAATATCAGCCAGCACCTCAGCGTGACTCGTTTGAAGAATCATCGTACACACAAGCGCCACCCTCATACCAGGCCGAGCAGAGCCAGAATGAGAATCTGCTCGGCGGTCCAAGAGGCGAAGACGACAACGTGCCTGACGACTTCAAATTCGGTGGCTCCGTGTCAGAAGCCACTCTACCTATTCGGATGCAGTTCGTGAGAAAGGTTTATGCTATCTTGTGAGTGCTTTCTCCTACCCCGCTGTCCACACCATCGGACTGACTTGCCGCAGAACCGTTCAAATCCTGGCTACGGTAGCCGTCAGCTCGGTCTCCTATGTCTCTGCGGGTTACAAGTCATGGATACAGTCAAATGCATGGATGATGTGGATATCCCTCTTCGGCGCCATCGGCTTCATGATCCTTACGTTTTGGAAACGGAAATCCTACCCTACGAATCTACTTTTCCTCGGCGGCTTTACTGCACTCGAAGCATACTCGATCTCTGTTATAGTATCCTTCTACGAAACAAAGGTTGTCTTGCTTGCGCTGGTCCTTACAGCTGGCATCTTTGTGGCCTTAACGGCGTTTGCTTGCCAGACAAAGTACGACTTTACCAATTGGATGCCTTACCTTTTCGGCGGCTTATGGATCCTGATCCTCTTCGGTTTCGTGGCAGCATTCTTTCCATACAACAGCACAGCTGAGCTCATCTATGGCGGCGCTGCGGCCCTGATATTCAGTGGATACATCCTAGTAGACACTCAGCTTGTAATGAGACACTATCATGTCGAGGAAGAGATTGCTGCCGCCATTTCGTTGTACCTCGATATCATCAACCTCTTCCTTGCTATCTTAAGGATTCTCAACAGCCAACAGAACAACTGAGTAGTTAAGCGACTGTCCCGATGAGAAGTTACGATAGCAATTCATGAAGCATGATTCTAGTGGCTTGATGGCGTTGGTTTCATGGGAGCGTTGGCTTTAAAGAATACTGGTGGATTAAGCAACGTGTATTTTGACAGGGTCTCATTAATTCTCCAAGAACCATACCACAAGCTCGCTGGTCCAAATACTCATGATCTACTCCTAATCTAGACCCGTCTATGGGGTTGCCAAGCATTCCGTACCCTTATCCGAGCTTCGACAGCTCAAACCGTAGATTAAGTTTTCCCTCCATGGTAGTACAAGTCACTCTTTGACTTCACCATTCGTTTAGTTTCACACTCGTTTGCGCCATTGTTAATTGGTGACCTTGAGCCCCCGTTGACGCGTTCGCAATTGCAGACGTGAGACAGGAATCTTGTCTACGGTGGTTGCCAGCACATATGGCCCCTTGATCCGATCCCACGCTTGACGAAATCTTTTTCCACCACCAATCCGTCCATTCCTTTGGCAAGATGGCCTTGGTTGATCGTCATGTACCTGATGTGGACTATCGAAAATACTCTCTCTTACCAGCGGGAAAACATGCGGGTCATTGCGAATCACACAATGGAGCCCCTGTAAATGCCAATGGCTCTGCGAAACCACGGCAAGACAATGAAAGAATTACACAAGCGAAACAGAAGAAGAGAAGACAAAAGAAGAAGAACGAAGGCGCTGTTGCAGTAATCTGTCAATGGGTTGTGGATCATCAAATTGGTACGCGACAGCTGAGGAAGCATGCAGTGTGAAGCTATCTTACAAGCTTTGCAGGTCTTTCGATCAATCTAATACTCCTTCACGCCTTGAGTAGTATTTTCATACCTCGCGCACGAAATACTACTCGCAAGTTCTACCAGTTATCACATTACAACCAGGCCTCTGGAAAGTACAGTGCAGGGTGGGACGATCTCTACTTGGTTTGGTACTCGATCGTCGCCCTGACTGGACTACGCGCAGCGACCATGGAACATGTGCTGGTGCCACTGGCGAGCCTTGGTGGTATCAATAAGTCGAAAGAGAGGGTCAGATTCGCTGAACAAGCTTGGATTCTCATCTATTATTCCGTCTTCTGTCCTCTTGGACTGGTATGAGATGTTATTACGATATGGTAAACCTAGGTCAAGCTGACACCTCATAGTCTATCATGTACAATCGTGAGCACTGGCTCAACAACAAGGAGCTCTGGACTGGCTGGCCCAGTCGAGAGATTGACGGATCAATGAAATGGTATTATCTTGTGCAATTCAGCTTTTGGCTGCAACAAATTGTCATCGTAAATATTGAAGAAAGAAGAAAAGACCATTGGCAGATGTTCACACATCACTGTATTACGTGCCTTCTTATGTTCTGGAGCTATGGCTATCACCAAACAAAGGTCGGAAACTTGATACTGGTCCTGATGGACTCGGTAGACATCTTCTTTGCGGTGAGTCTTTGCCTCGTAAGATAGCTTTATATGAGTCGCTGATGTCTTTTCCAGCTCGCTAAACTACTGAAATATATGAAATACCAACTTGCATGCGACATAGCTTTTGGCGTGTTCATGTTGGTCTGGTTTGTGGCACGGCATGTACTTTACCCAAAGGTGGTATATTCAGTTTACAAGGATCTTCCGGAACAAACAAGATACGGCTGCTACTCAGGCGGCGGGCAAAGCGTGAAAGGCCCTCTCGACTTTCCACCGGGGTACTCTTGGTTATTGAGCCCATTCCGAGACCCAGACGGTATTGTCTGTTGGGATGATCGAGTGAAATGGGGCTTTATCTACGCCCTCTCTGCGTTGGAAGTCCTCTTCGTACTCTGGTTTAGCATGATCCTTAAGGTGGCCGTAAAGGTGTTGAAGGGCGGCGGCGCTGATGATTCAAGAAGTGATGACGAAGACGAGGAAGAAGAGGAAGAGGCAGAGATAGTTGATAATTCAACGCGCCAACAGCCTTCACCGCCACGACCTTACGAGGAAGAAGTAGGCGTTGAAGGGATCACACTCCACAAGCAACGCTCAAGTCCGGTACGAAGATTTAGGAAGGCCGGTGGTGTCTCCAGTGGGGTTACTCTTCAGAGTGACAGGAAGGAGCTTTTAGGTAGGATTGGCTGTGATGGAGGACACGATTGAGCGAGTGCACATGCTGGTTCTGTGAGAAAAGCATTTGCGAGCTATGCGAAGATACCAATTTAGCGGCAAAAAGTTATTGAATATAGAGCATAGATTCATTGATACGTTAATGATCCCGAAGTTGCGTGGTGTATGTACCCTAGACCGGCCAAAATCCAAGAATACTTCTAAATATCACGACTGGATTGATCAGTGGAATTGATAGCCATATTCTTTCCCAGAAAGGCAATTTTTGCCGAGGGATATTTTTGAGTTAAAGCTTTGGAGAGCATGGCAATTTCTGCATCTTCCAGCAACGATTGATTCCCTTCCTTTCAGGTCGCTCGACATCCTTTATTGCAGCTCTCAAAGTTCAAAGTCTCATCTTGACCTAGCCCCCAATCTCAATGCCACCTCGCGTACGGCAGCCCCAATCCTTCTCGACATTACCGTCTGCCCCAGACCTTTCCATATGCACGCGATGTCTCCTCAATCTGCAGCAGCGCCAATTTTCAAGAACGCCTGCCTTGAAAACACGTCTACGCCGTGATATGTTCCGCTGGCTCACTGGCCCCGGCAAAGTTTTCAAATTTCCCCTGCCCCGTTCGACCAACTACATGAATGCCTACGATGAAAATGGTGGCCTCTTACGAGCAAACAACTTGAAACCGATTCAAAAAGAAGATCAGAATGAACTACCCAATGGCACTTTGCTGCCGGATGAGACTGCGTCCGATCTCATGCCTTACCCATTAAATCGTGACTTTAAGAGTCAAAGAGTGCTGAGTGAAGGATTGAAAGACGAAATCTACAAAAGGGTCATGGAGAACGGACAAGATGTTGGCACAGTCAGTGTCTCGTTGGAGGTGGAAATAAGAAGGGTGGCCGCAGTGGTCAGACTGAAAGCGTTGGAGAAGCGCTTGGTAGATGAGGTACGTTGACTATTTCTCAATCATCTTTTTCCCCACTATGATGAGATACACATTTTCGATTAGTCTTGAAGATTTCACCATGGTTACTATTAAATTACAACTCTCTGACAAAGCATCAAATTTCATGAAATCACGAATGCGATCGTTCATGGAAGACGCTAAGACTTCATTCAAACAGGGCAAGCCTCTCGCAATCCCATACGCTAAAGCTGTTATGTCTATGCTTCCAAAAACACCTTATATAGCATCTAAACCTCTACGGCACGAGCCGATCAATGACTTGCCTGTTCATCAAGCTACAACTCCTCAGATATTCCACCCTACATCCGAATCTCGACACTTCACTCGTACTGATGCTGGAAAAGCCTTCAAATACACGCTGCTACCTGCAGACAAGCGAATACCGCATCCAAAACTTGTAGAGGCCCAAATATGGCATAACGAGGGGTTGCAAAAGGAGGAAGTCGCGGCTCGGCAGAAGCAAAACAAGGAGGTTGAAGAGAACTTCAGACTCGAAAAAGAAAGGGCACGGAAGGCAAGAGAAGAATCAACTACGACAACGGCAGAGACAGCCCGTTCAGTGTATAGGTTCAAGGAGGTCAGCGTTGAGCAAGTTGGACAAGATGGGAGAGGAAGAGGGGGAGTAGGGGCGAGGTATGGCATGCCTCATCAAGACCGCAAGAAGGGGCAAATCAAGATTCCGGTCAGAGTGTCATAGACTCCGTATAATTACCTAGAGATGGATTGCACTATGGGGAAGGAGGTGGTCGAGAAGAAGGTGCGTCTTGCACGTGGATCGATCAGGCTTCTTCTGCTGGTCGGGCCCAATTGTTTTGAATGGCCTTGGAATAATTTGACAGTCAATCTTATGCATCATTATTGGTCGAGCCAGACTTCGCTCATCGATGATTGGACAAGCCTCAAGCATTATTTTGATACACGCAAGTGAGATATATCCAACACCATCATGGATGAATCGCCTCTATATTCGAAAGCTCAACGTGATTACAAGATTCATCATGGTGTGTCTCTTCGGGCCACGAATCATTTCAGGGGGTCTACATCGAGTGAGGGAGCGCTGCCTGATGATTGTGTTCTTTCTCGTAACAGCTTTCACAGTCTTTGGTTTTGAAGCTCACACATTGCTTCCAACGATGATGTCGTGGGAATCAGTAACGAGAAGTCGCCGCTTGGTGCTCGAAAAGGAAACTCCGGCCTTGGTCTCAAGTCTTTACATTTGTGTTGGTAGGAGCCGGCTTGACACGTTGGTTGTACGTCAGGAACATCTTGATCACGACTATCGTACTCAGCAGCAAGGTCAATCCAACTCCTCCTTGCCAAATTACTGAACATCTCGCCCTCCATCTCCATACATTTCAGGCATCCGGAATTCTCTTTTGAGCTTAGGCCAGGAACATGTGAATCCCAACCAACGTCAAAGTGAAAGAAGCGAGGGCGGGTTACGTCAGAGCCTTATCCCCAGGTATTGTGAATATCTATCGTTGGTCGTTCTCGATCAATGTTTCGTTTCTGTAGGCGCTATTGACCATTTGGCGGAACGCGCGGGAGAAAGGCACGTGGCAGCGGGTTGTGGCTCTATGTTTGGCTGTCGGAAAGAGCACGGAATTTCAGATGCGTCAAAAGTGGCTGTGTCTCAGCGCGTATACTGTGTTGCGTCGCGCGCTTGCGGTGTTGGAGATGGGAGATGGGTTCTCTCCCGGGAAATGCTGTGTTGGAGCTATGGCCACAATGCGGTCTCACTTGTCTGTCAAGAAGATATATAATATTGATGAAGATGGTCTGTATTCTCATCATCGCACTCCGCCATCTCGAACTATCAAACCCGAGACGAAACCGCCCCTGGTCAGTCACATCGCAAGGCAGACTTCTCCCATATCTTCGCACTTATATTCTCCACACCTTTCAATCCATCAGCTCACAACCCAACCCAACCCAACCCAACCCAAAAGTTTCCACCATGCTCTCCCTCCACCAAACCCTCTTCCTCCTCCTCCTCCCCCTCCTACCCTCCATCCCCTTCGCACTCGCCCACCCTCATCCCCACCCCGCCGCCAGTCCCTCCACCCCCACCTCTCCCCCCACCGTCGCCCTCGCCGCCTCCAACGTCCCCGCCGCCTACGGCATCTACCTCGACACCAACGTCGTCTCCCCGCCGAAGAACTGGGCGCTCTCCTGCGCCGCGCAGGCCGATGGCCTCTGCGCCCTCTTCGACGACCCCCATACCGATCCGGGCAATACAGCCAACAATAACCAGATCGGCATCCCGCGGGAGCAGTGGATTTTCAATGGCGCGGGCCAGACTTGTCAGGCTGGGTTGTTCTTTCCGAATGTGACGGCTCCGGCGTTTGTGATGCCGAAGAATAGGGTGAGTTCTCCTTCTCTTGGTGTTCTTGTGTTTGGGGCGCGGGGGGTTGGATGGGGGGTTGGGGTTGTGTTTCGAAATGAAAGAGAGTGTGCTGATGCAGATGGTTCCCCAGGGCGAATGCGACGCTTACATCCTCCGCCCGCTCGCACAAGCGTTGGCGGCTAGTCCTGATACCCGTGCCAGCGTCAATATTCCTAAGGACGGCTTTCCGGAGAAGAAAGGGAGTGCGTTGGGTAAGGCGGTCGATGCTGGGTTTCCTAGATTTATTATTCAGGCGACGGGTGATCTGGGTCCGTATCCACCCGGGCCGGAGAGTGATATCGAGTCGTCGGGCTCGACGGGCGGGGGCAGTAGTGGATAGAGTGAGGTAGGTTCGAGGAAGTTCGTGCGGAGGGAGTGGGGAGGGGTTGGAAATTACGGCGGACTTTCCTTTTGAGCATGGTTGAAAGGCGGCGTTGATGGAAAAAGGGGCGAATGGAAATTTCTCGGGGTGATTGGTCCGGATAGATGTATGAACAATTGGGAGTGATCTGGATTTCGTGTACTGGTCTACTTGACTTGCAACCCATTTGGCAGTGCTTTCTCGATTATCTGGCTCTGTTCGCTAATGGCATTGATGCGTTCCTGCGAAATCTGGGCGGTTTCGTTGCTTCTGTTGCTGAATAAACCCTTACTAACCTACTTCATAGACGGAGAGTATTGTGACAGAAGACGTAGTTTTTCTCTGGTCCCAGCAATCTCTTTTTGCACATCGTTACACGAGTTGAGGCGAGTCCTCTTTTCCGGTACCCGGTCATTGTACGCAACAGCGTTGCCGATCTAATAGAGCATTTAAAGACATGGTTCAACCCGTCGGCTATGGGTATTGGCGTACATCTGACCAAGATTCTGCAGCGTGCTGAGGTATAGGATTTCGGCCTCTATTCAACTTTACCTCAGTCCTTTCACTGCAAGTTGGTCCTAAGTTTCGGCATTTTTGCCCATCATTTGGGCTTTGGGCTGTACGAGCTGGCGTATGATCGAGATCGGGGCCCACAAGAATATTATCAATCTTCCAAAATGCGTTTTGAAGTCCAGAAGAACTCAATAACAGTCAAGGGAAAATTTTCCCACGGCATCAACTATTTGTTTGTCAATATTATGGGCTTTTAGTTTTCTGTTCGTTTGTTTTGTAAATCGGCTTCAGAGTTGCATGAAATAATATGAACGATCCAATGAAGGATTTGTTCCGCTCAATGGACGTCTCCGACGATCAAACGTTCTAAATCATCATCTTGCACTACATGGCCTGTTCCACAGACTTTGCACGGTCATAGTATGGAAAACAGCAGTGTCTATACTAATCTATTTAAGGGTATGATGTTTGCTTGATCAGTAGATTAAGAGATCTGGCTATGAAATTCGTTACTCGCGACGTGAATCGTACAAACAAGCTTCGATGTTCAGCGCTACCTCATGTATTCAGCCTAGATTCGTCACGCGCTCATAGATCTAGGTCTGAGAGGAGTCAGGCTGTGGAGAGAGCCTCAAATCAGCTACTAGCATCAACATCTAGATCACGCATTATCATTGCAATACAACACATCATACTAGCTCAAGCAGTCTTTCTACTCAAAGAAGAATCTTGAACATGACTACCCTGCTGGTGTTCACATGAATCATTTTGCTGCTAGATCACAGCGAATTGTGCAACTCGGGTATATTCAACGACTTTTCAGGAGAGTCAGCAGCACGACTACAAGCCCATCGTTGTACAACACCGCATTGCAACTGAGGACAAATTGTGTCGTCTAGCGTTGGCTCGACGGCATGCACTCCCACACTAATGCTGAGGGCTAGATTAACTCGTCCGTGAAATGGGACCTACAGTAATGTAACTATTTATGATCTCAGTCCAGACCAAATTGGATCAAGACATGAATTAGCAAGCAACGCCTCCTGTTTTTGTCTGTCAAGATGACCAATTCCGAAAGGCCATTTTCAATGACGACAATGCATGAGACTTACGGGCTTCAATTCACGGACCTGAAAGCTGGATACGTGAGAGGTGTTATGCTATCTCTATGCTAATGGCATAGTGACATGATCACGCTGGCAAACGTGTCACCAGGTTTTTTGTGAGATACACTCACCGTGTGTGGTCTACACGAAATCTTTGGTAGGGTTTATAGGCCGTAAGTAGCCTGAGATGCTTCTATTTTCTTCGTTCGAAACCTTCCTGTCGCAACCTTCACGATCTTCACCCACACAACCAAAGTACTGTTTCCAAGCCAATCCAGCATGGAATGCCACTCACATCCAGATTTCATACCATTAACAGACTCCAATATAAAAATCCTCAAACACCCTGAGACCTCCAAGCCCAAAGCCGGGTCCGTACAAACTGGCTTCCACCACAATCACAGTGACGCTAATACTGGCTTTCACCAGACAACCTTCGACCCCATCGATTATTAGTCTGCTGATACACAGACCGGTTTTCATCAAGGCAGCTTCCAGTCCACTGATGCACAATAGAATGTCAGTTTTGGTGGGGAGGACTTCATTGAGCATCCAGTGGGGAGGACACAACTACCTGTTCAGTGAGAGTCTATCAATGGTCTGAACGAACTATCTAGTCAACACAGAACTTGTAGAGCAAGGAAGGCTGTGATAGAAGCGGGTATGTAGCTCATTCTTGCATCCATAGAGGCTGAAACAGACCAACCATCTTCGCTCAAGAAATTCGATCCCAAGCAGGAAGACAGCCCCCAACCCCCAACGCAACCCCCCTTTTTCCACAATCAACTCAAAGATTAGCCTACTGATCGCAATCCCATCTGCAATCCGCACAATTCTGATCCGCCTTACACTAGTCCACCAGACGCTGATTATAATCAGACTTAACATCGCTCGCTGTTGGTATCACGGTCTATATGACACCTATTGTAATAATGGCGATGTGCCGTGTCAACGACGGGATTGGTGGGCGGGAGAGGGAAGGAAGCCGCGCGCGATGTTTTAGAGGTTGCCGAGTGAGGTGTTTCAGAGGATTGTGGGGATTATTGGGATTGGGGAGAGGCTGACTGGGGAGAAGGAGGCGGAGGAGACGAGACCGAAGTTTAGAGCGGAGAGGAGGGAGTCAAGGGAATGGTGTACGTGCGCGTTGGAAAATTTCTTGAGCTGGGACTGGGAGTTGGATTCGGGTATTTGTGAGGAGGCAAAGGGGAGTGAGTAATGTGCGTTTGTGTGGGTTGTGTGGAAGATGCAGGTGGGAAGAGATTTTCCATGGCGGGCATTGTGGCGGGAGTAGATGTGCAGATAGGGGCAAGTCAAGTCGAGATTTTGTGGGAGTGTTGATGGTACGTTCGATCGTGTCGTATGAGCTCGACTAAGCTGCACAAAGGGGTGGGCAGGGAGGCTACAGCTGACGGGTAGTCTTGGGCAAGCGATCGTGGAAGACGCTATTTGCATCGTTGTTTTACCACTGCTACCCTTTTGGTGATAGGAAATGACTATCTATCTATTCGACGTGAAAATCAGTAGTTTTTCCCGTTGCAGTGGTGGACAAGATGTACCACTCGTAGTTCTGCAGATTCTATGGTTTATATATCTCACTATCCCTTGCATCAGCCTAGCATCTCGGCAAAGAAAGGGATCATGCGTGAATTGAGCAGTCACACCTTTCTGCTGTCGCCTTCTCCGAGTCACTCAGGATGGAGCAACGATTGGTGTCTCCTTTGTGAGAGGTATCTGATGACCTGCTTTGTCTTCAACCCTCTGTGCAAGGGTTTCGCCTGAGATGGCGCCTCTCTCACTGACAACACATTGATTGCGGAGCCAGTTGCACCACTAACGCGTGGTCTTGATACCGGGTTTACCTGAATGCAATAGCTAGACTGACATGAAGTACGGGAGGTCATGTGGTAGTTTGGTGGGCTAATCTAGGACTTCGAGCTGTTCTGCGGCCTTCTGACCGACCCTTGGTCCCGCATTCTGTTGTCTCCCACGACAGTCTAGTCCAGCGTTGGTTGGACTGCTAGTGGTTCAGGCAGACGAAATAGTTGGTCTGGCTCATCCTCGGTTGATTCAGGGGTGAAAGTCGACTAATAGCGGTTCACTTTGAGGCTTTCACGGATCAGATCAGATCAGTGGGCAAGAGTGGCAAGTCGAACACCCTCAATGGCTCAATAGCTTCTGTTCCAGTGCTTCCAGTCATCCTCCAAGGGCACAAGGACATTGTCGTAGACCGCCTGCTTGAAGGCTTCATTATCAAAGCCCAATTTCTTGACCTTTGTTCCAAAATCGCAGTAGATGCAAGCTCTTGCAGCATCCACGTACCCGGAAGACTCCTCTTCTACTAAGTGGTTGACAAGGCGACTTGCAATAGCGTACTCGGTGAAAAAAGGCGGGTCGTTGGGATTCTGGAAACTGAGTAGGGGTTTCCCGTAGGCCAATTCAAGCAGCAACACCCCGAGATTGAAAACGCTTTCGTTACGGATGGGCGTCCAGGATGTGCCAGTCGCAGGAATGCTGATGGCTTCGGCAACGCCTGAGTTTCCTTGAGCAAATGTCTTTGAGATATATGGATACTCTGCTGAGCCGTCGTGGAATAGAACGTCCTTCTTTCCCCAAGTCTTCTTCAGCCAAGGAGTATCGTGCAGCTGAAGAGCTGTCGAGACAAGTGTAACCGCGATACGGAGACGAGAACGTTTAGTCAATGGTAAGGCAGTACCTTCAGCTTGCGAGTGCGTATCGAAACTAAGGTTCAATAGATCATTTAAGGTTGTCGAGCCTTGTCTTGAAAAGGCTTTCACAGGGTTGGAGAACATACTGTAGACACTAAAGCAATAGCTTTCACCGATCAAGCGTCCGAAGCATTCTTCATGCTTTTGCTTGCTTTGAGCATCTCGTAGGGCATGGCATAAATTGGCAATCCTCTCTATATTGGCGGTACTCCCACTGTTGGCCTCCTTTTCAGTCCCAGGACTTATGGCTCCCTGGCTAGTGACACCTTGCTGAGCATGCGGCTGGCCCTGCTGCTCACCTTGGACATCCACAGCCCAGGACATATCTTCTGTTGTCCATATATTCTTTTTGAGTTGCTCAAAAAAGAGACTGCATTTACCCAAGAAAGGTCTTCCAATCGAACTCGATTGGAGTGTGGAAGATACCACGGCGGTATCAGTGTTTACGTTGTATCCTGTCGGGAGCATGGGATCATGTACATCGTGAGTTTCAATACGATTCGACTGAGGGATACCGATGCCCTCCTCGGCTCTAAGGTCTACCGGGCGGATTTCGGTTTCTTGCCATGTCAAGCCTTGTAACTGTGTGGTATGTAGGTCCACGGCGGGCGCAAATAAGATGCGAAAAGACAGGTCAGATAGGTGGTCTCGAATCTCAAGTCTCATGTCTGCGCTATGCGGATATGTGCAAGTGCACGGCCAGCTAGCCTTTAGAACATTGTGCAGACTTCGTGCACATTCACGAATGTTTCCAAAGGGCTCTCGACCACGTGAACGGCTTGACCTTCCAGGCTCTAGCTCTATGCTGTCTCTGGTCAGGCTTGTAATGATTCTGTTGTCTTTGTCTAATTTTTCGAGTATTGAATAATGATCCTTTTTCGCCAAAGAGACAGCAAATTTCTTCCAAGCCTTCTTATGGGTCGGGGCGTCATACCACGTAGGCTGAAATTTGTAAACCTTGGTAGTGCCAGACTAGATGAGAAAGACTCACTCTGCCATTCATGTCGAGTCCAATGTGCTCTTGGAGCTTCAACAAACATTTATTTATGCCCTGCACAGACTCCATGTAGACGCCAAATGAATCATGAAGTCGTTTCTTCAATCTTCGGTTAAGATTCTCATTCCTCCACTCAGGGCCCCCGGGGCTGTCTAGAAGTGGAGCTAATTGATCGTCGCTCTCGATCAGTCCGAACAGCAGCCTCTCGAGTGTATTTCTGAAAAGAATTCTTTGCGTGCCCAAGTCACAAACGAGATCCCGGATCATTCCTTTGTATCTCACAAAATTTTTCAATGGCTTGGTCCCCTCATTGTAGTGTTCTAATGCCGAGATAATCAGAGTAAGGGCGGCAAGTACGAGACCTTATCGGTCAGTGAATGGGCAATCATCGCGAATGACAGGTACTTGCCTGCCGTCTCCACTCCGGTAATCATCCTGCCTGAGCCTCATCACCATTCTCCGCAATCAGTCATGAGGCATCATTTATGAGGGAACTTGAAAAGCAGTCTCGAAGCGAACATGAAGGAGTGGATTCGAGTCGCTGTTGTATCCTGCTCATCGCTGCACAAGGCTGAGAGTCGCAACCGAGTCACTTCCCCGCGGCGCTGATCTCAATCAGCCGCATTCTAGAACCTACTAATCATGCATGACACAGAAGAGCTCTGAACCACTGTACAGCTTCTACTCGAGGGTCGGTCGCAAGTCAAAAGATAAACATCTGGACTAGACCGTCGTGGAGAACATATTGGACAGGAGAGGGGTGGGTAGGGGAGAATAAGGGGGCTCTTGTTCCCCCCCCCCTTAGAGGCGTCGCAAACAGGGTATGCTTAGGGGCTATCGTCCTTGGAAGGGGCGCTAAGACGAAGGAGGAATATATATCTAGGCTTGGCCATCTTCCGTCTAACAATGTCGACCTCAATCGCTCAATGGCACAGGGTCTGTATAGGACGCTTCGAAGCGTTTCACGCCTGCCTTAAGTCTGATGGACAATACAACAACCAGGTATATTGTCAATTCTTTGATGAACATGGTAGATTTAATGTCTGGGCGGGCAATATTGGGGCACGTCAGAATGGGCGCGCCTCCCTAGACTTCCGCCTTAGGGAAGCAGAACACATTAAGGATCAGGTTGTGAGTCTCTTGCGATATCTTAGCGAGACGCTTGATGATGGTGAGCACTCTAGTTTCGGACAGATGATTGATCTCCAAATTAACAAAAGTGGAGCAATTGCTATCTTCCAAGGGGTGCAATTGCCTTCTTTAGATGGTGAGTACTCTGATTTTAGACGAAGTGTCGTCATGCAATCCGATCATCTGGAGCGACTACTGTCCAGAGAGAAGCTGATTGCCTTGCTCAGACTCCGAATCGTCCGATGAGGACGAATTGCTTCCAGAATCCACGTCCAGCGAGCGTTTGAAAAGACTTGGGGAAAGCATATCAAAAATTGTCGCTAATCTGTACAAGACCTCGGTTGTGATACGCAGAGGAAATAACATTTACGACAGACTCGTCCGCTCAGCGAAGATCGACGTGTCTTATTATGAGCCATTCGACGTTCAACATGCTCGGAATAAATTTCCTGCCGCAGACGAGTGGCTTGTTGCTCACCTGGGTAAGGCAAATAGTCGGCGGCGCCAGTATTTAGAATACTGGTTGCAGCATCACGAGAAACTCGCAGCTCCAGCTCAGACCATATCAGCGGCTACAGCCCAAGGTACTCCCGCCGCGGGAGAAGACGACTCCAGAGCGACTAGGACAGTGCGTGAAGAGAGCGCCACATTGTCAGGTAGTCATGGATCGTCAACTACTGCTACTACATTAGTGGCCTCTAATACTCCAGAGTCTGCAGATGTTGACGTCTACTCAAAAAGCGGAACCGTAAGTTCTGATCAAGCTTCCCTGGCCGGGGACGAAAAGTTGAATTTACCACTCCCTCCAAAAGAGTCTATCGATGGTCAAGATTTTCAGTGTCCGTATTGCTATACTGTTTGCAGACTCACCGGCAAGACAGACACGGCGCGAAAAAGGGAATGGAAGTAAGGGTTCCCTCTTGTGAACGGGAACAGTCTGACCATGAGACGAATAGGAGACATGTCTTTCGAGATCTTCAACCATATACTTGTACATTTGCCCAATGTCCAAGGGCGGACCGTGCATTCGAGCGAAAGAGTGAGTGGTTCCGTCATGAAAGTCAGGCTCACAGAAGGGAATGGTGCTGCAATGCTCCTGGCCACCGGGCAACTCAAGACGGGCGCGAGTTCAAGAAGCATATGGAAGAGGCGCACGGTATCTCTGATTTTCAAGAAGAGGCCCATGCCGTCTTGGCCTTGTGTGAAAGGCCATTACAAACTACAAGAAGCTCTTGTTCATTATGTCACGCCACCGAGGCAAACGAGCTTAGCCCTGAGCAGCTCAAAAAACATCTAGCTCAACACCTAGAGAGTCTGGCCTTGTTCGCCCTTCCGAGGAATAATGATAAGCGTGGCGAGAAGTCTGCCGCATCTGATGTTGCTGCTGAAGCCTCAAAGAAAGGTCACTTGAGCACGTCTTCTCCTTCTGCCGGTGAAAATCCCAAGACCCATCTTGCTGCAAAATCTAGTGCATCTTCAGATCTCCTGACAAAAGTGGTCGCTGAGCCTGTATTGCCATCCGATTCTCCCATCACGCAAACTGGTAATGATGAAGATTCCACGGACTACCACCCATCTTCTAACTGGGCTTCTGCTCTACCTGATCGCTCTGTTAAAGGAGTTTCGACCTCGCTTCGTGTGGGAAAATCAGAATCCACAATATGGTATTGCGGCAATTGTCATAATGGCCCTATGCTAGTTGCTACCACGCCACGCTGCGTGAATGTGCTACAGGACGGCCGCGCTTGCAATCATCCCATCTAATCAAGTTACTAGGATACTTAGCCTCTCCAAATTCTTGGACATATTCAGAAAACAAATTCTTAATAGCGCCCGTTCGAGGCTTGAATATTCCTAAACAATGGTACAAGTAATTCAGTGCTTGATCGTAAATTCTACCTATCACTCTCTTGTATTCGATTTGCGAGATCGGCTACTCGACCTGGGGCAAGACCTTGTTGTGCACGTGGGATCCGAAAATGGGGTTGTGACGAGAGATAAATCTTGGAACCATTAAACCTAAAGTTCCTGCTGCTAGTGCTACGATTTCCCTTCTCAGTAGGGGCAAAAGATTCACTGAGCGCATCATTGCGATGCTAATCAAAGATTCAGCATTGATTGCAGAGGACATGAATGCCTGTCATCACGTCAAGAGGTGCCTAGAATATCTTATTAACGCAATATCAGACGTCGAGTTCGAACGAGACAGAGCTTCTGAGAGTGAGGAGCAGGCATGATCTCTTGAGAGTCGAAAGATCTGCGAGTCTCGACGAAGAGAAGGTTTCCCAAGAGCTACGCGATATCGTACGCAATCTAGGCAATGAAGTACTCTCAATCAATACCAGCGGACCATACCTAATTGGAGCCAGAATAATTACCATGGCAGGACGCGTGTTTTCAAAATTCTCGATAGGGTTTTATCCCTGCGAAATCAAACAACATTGTTCGCGATCTGTTGGCCAACGCTATTCAGGAGCATACGGTAGCTGAGCTTGTTCATGAGGAGCGCCATGTTGAGCCGCGAACACCAATTCGACCTCGCTTACCTACTACCTCCCAAATCCTGAGTAGCTAGAGTAGGACTTGTGCATCAACTATCCTGTCGAATTTGGATCGTGCTGCTGCTACTGCTACTGCTGCTGCATAGAATAAATCAAAACGAGTTCACTTTCGCTCTTGAGCTGACAAACCTCCATTTTCGCTTACGAGTCAATGTCCATTTCTAGAGAAGGTAGAGTAAAGGCAACCAGGAATCATTCGACTCATCTGAGTCTAGCCTAGCTAACCCTAGTCGATGTTATACATAATGCAAGATAGCCCGGTGACTGCATACAAAAGCACGTTGATGAGCTGTTCTCAAATGTATTTGGGGTTCCACAGAATTAGAAGCGTCTGTCATGCCCGCATTTGACTTACGAACTTCCTCGCTCTAATGACGACAGCCTGCAGTCCTTTCTTTGGAGCGTGCATTGCCATTCATTCATGTCTCGCGCGAGTTATCTGAATCGATGCATTGACCCGCTGCGCTATTTGCGTCTGCCGGTCTCGACATGATGATATATGGACACTAATGGATGAATTGCAATGGGCATTCGCTGAATTTCGTCATTCAAAGTCATTAGCTTTCTCAACTGTTGTTTCTCCTATGTGGTTGATATTGTCTTTCATCATCTATAACTCAACCCCGTGACACGCGACGGCTTGATCATAAGAAAATAATGACTAACGCTTGCCTCTGCAAGCTCCACGCATCGCTACGCCTAATTCTCCTCCTAGCTCTCTCTCTTGTCGCATGTGCAGCTCCACAAAGCAAGCACCCCCAACGACCCCCCGGCCCTCCTCACCACCACCACTAACGACCGTCAGCGGCACCTAGCAACTCCTCCACCCCTCTTGGTATCAACCCAACAATCAACTGCCCCTAGCCTCCACAAAATGTCGACATAACCGCCGCCATAGCCGACGCGCGCTTCATACTGCGACGCGCCCTCAGCGCGGTTGGCCGCGGCGTCGACGCCGACCCCTTCTTCGCCACCTTCTACAAAACCAATAACTATGTCGACTACCTAACGGAATGGTTTACCCATGCGAGGGCGTTCGCTCCCATGGACCCACCCCTCAATTTCGTCTGCGTAGGCCTCACGCGCGCACGACAAGGCTACCAACGAGCCTACCAGGAATGCCGTACAAGGAACCGCTCATATCTCGTCAGCACGGCTGAGTCACCCATTCCCGGCCTCGGCGTGAACGAAATTGCTTTGTGTCGGGGATTCTTCGGGTGGCCGCCGGAAGGAAGGGCGGCGAGGCGCGATGACTGTCCTAGAGTGACAAACAACCAGTTTGAAAATGTGCAGTCCCGAGATATATTGTTGACGCAGGGAGCCCTTCTCTTGGATGCACCTCTGATGTTGTTTAGACCTCCGAATGAGTCGCCGGATTCGAACGTTCGGGGTATGGTGGAGCTGTTGGCATTGGGGGATCGATTGGCGGCGAGCAAGACAGCTGTTGCGCTGTATTTCGCGCTTTGTAAGTGAAGTTGTTCTGGTCAGCGGTGGGAATAGGTGGTGGAATGGAGAGAATGTGAGATCTAGATGCTGACTTGTCGGCCTGTTTAGTGGTTAAGAATCAATGCCACGAGCTGCCGGATATTCACGCGCCGCCGTACAACATCCCACGACTTGAGGGAAATGGAACAGCCATCTACAACTTGACGGACGCGGATGTGCATGGGGGATTGGTAGATTAGTCACCGGCAAAGTAAATAGGAGATTAGGAAATTATATGTCCTTCTGCAACTCAAGACATCATGTTGCAATGGTCTTATAGCAAGTTCTACCGGGTTAATGAAAGTGGATTTTGATGAAGATGTAACTTTTCTCGTGGTCTCAATAATGATGGCGCTCATCAATCGTTCATGGCTTTATGACGGTACAAAGATAGTTAACCTGCCCGCTGCTTAAACAAGTGAAGTTGGAACCAGCTAGCGCTTTCTATGCTGCGTGAGGCTCTCACCATGTTTTTATTCAAATCTCTAAGCATTATCACAACAAAACCCAATAACAAGATTGCGATGCCTATTTGGAGATAGGATCTGACAACCGGGGAGCGAGGCTCGCTTGCAGTACGAAAAGTTCGAAGCTTAGGCGGCGTCGACCAGGGTGCTGTGTATGTATCAGATTGGTCGACCTCAAGCTCTTGTTGAATCGTACGGTCTCGACCATTAAATTTATAAACCCTTCGCGGGGGTGGCTGAATCCAAGAAAAAATGCTCATGCTCCTGCGTAATGAGGAAACATTACTGTCATCAGGCAAACTAACCTGGTCAACTGGTTGGCCGGTAGAGCAGGCCTTCAGCTGCCGTAAGATTTGAGGGCGGTATATGTCTCTTGCCCAGTCGAATATGTAATCAATAATCAGTATAAGTTGCAAAGAACCATCTTGATCTGTGAGACACCCGTCCCACAATTGAACAATCTCCTTCAAGATCTCAGCCTTCAGCAATCTGACGCCTTCAGGACAATGGCGAAACTCACATAATTTGAGGCTCTCTCACCGGACATTCTGTCTTCAGTAATGTCGATATAGCAGCCATAGACTCGCCAAGATTCGCCTCTATTAGCAATGAAGAACACTAGTGGGTTAATGTCGGTGTCACCAGCGTCCATTGCCTTGTTCTGCAGTTCTTCCTGCAGTCTCAAGAGAGCACGGATGGGGAACATCGTCTGGGTTTGGATGCCTGTAAATCCGTCCACGCTTCTCTCGCCTTTTGCTTCAAGAATCAGAAAGGGGAAAAGAAGTGGCTCTTTGCTCTTCTTAAAGGCGCTGCTTCTTATCAAGTCGCCAACAGTCTTGCTTTGGCCGCCAGCATGACGATCATGGACCGATCTAGAAAACAGTTCTCGGAAATTACGCGTAGGCTGCAGTCCAAATACCCTATCAGGCTCTTTTTTCGGCATCACAGTCCAAAGAGCTTGCTCGTGCAGGACGACTTCTTGCACTCGATCGTCAAAGAGAGGATTGGTCCCAGTTTCGTAGCTGTGGGAACGTTAAAAGAGTCAAGAACCAACACGGTGGACTAACTAATCATTGGGACGTGTATCAGGTATACAGCGACAAGGCAAACGCTTCTTTCTCCTCTCTTCGAGTCGGAGTGCTTCCTCACCATTCTCTCGAGACGAAGCCTCAATTTCTGATCTCCATATACGGGCCCGGCATCTCGGACTTCACAGCAGTCAGTGAAACTCCCAATTCCCATCGAGCAACTAGTCTCTCTGACCAGGCGATCTCAACCAAAAAGCGGTGCAAAACAGTGTTTTCTATCCCAAATCTCCAACCAGCCTCGTTGCGCTCCTGATCAAGCAAATGAGCACACCGCCGTGCAAGCCAGTATGCCCGATTTTTCGTCTGCATTCTCCAGGGCTGCTCCTGGGAGCGAATATCGATACTAGCGGAGTAATCTTTGTATGAGCGGCGCCCAAGGTGCTGAATGTTCTCAAATGTGTGACTGTGCTTCAGCGGCCATAGCTCAGGACTCGTGTGTGATTTAATGACCACTCGAAACTGTTCCGCTAAGCGACGAAGATCACGCTCTGGTTCAGTTGACATAACGCTCTGTAAGTAGCAAGATAAAGATATTTACAAGGTGTGCAAAGAGAATATGGAAGTATTTTATGATCATTCAAAGCTTGGCATGACAACCCTTTGACTGCCCGCCACTACTTAGCGGCATATCAGTCAGCGAATGGAAGCCCTGCTCAAAGCGCCAGCCTTCTCGTATATCGGGGGCCAGAATACTCACAGCCTTACAGACTCGAAACGTTGCCTTGAATAGTACCTGAAACATAGATAAGCAGGGGCAAAAGATGTGCTTCATAGTCATCGCCTATCCTTTGCCTTTGCGGGCGAATATTCGAGTTTTGTGGCCCCTCGATTCAGACTCGTTTGGTCGTTCGAAACATTAGTTCCTCGAAAAATAGCATATCACCCTTGCGTAGATTTGACCATCTCGCTAGGAAGATTCAAACATGTATCAGAAGTGCATTATGGCCAGCTCACCATCTCCTGCGTGGTCTGATCACCTTGAGGGCTTTCACAATTCAATGTGGTGTCTCGTTGTTTGGAGTCTGATAGCAAGTATTTCAGGTTGCTAATGCAAATACGCTACGCCAGGGGCAGTTTAGAGCCACGCGTCTCTGTGCTCAAGTTTCATTGGTCTTGTTGATAGGCGTTGAGAGATTGATTGGCCAGTGTTCGCTTGCTGGATCTGATCGGTCACTTAGCCCGTCTTTCCCACCTCACAACAGCAGGCTCCATAGGCCGCGCAAACATAGACTGTAGTGGACTTAGCACAATCAAAGGACGGAGTTGACAACAAGACACACCGAGTAGTCGGTGTTCACGACCCCTTCCGTCGCATCGATGTTTGTAAGCTTGAAGTGTCGGACCATGACCGATATAACAACGGCTAATTGGATGTTTGCAAAGTTTTCACCAATACACCGATGCCTTCCAGCACCAAATGGCAGATAAGTGCTATCAGCGCCTGTTGACACAAGACCGTAGCCATAATCCATCTTTTCTTTCTCCTGGTCTTTGGGGTCCGCTATGTCTTTCCAACGATGAGGGTCCCATTTCTCTGCATTAGGAAAGTATTGATCACTTTTGCCCATAGCCGCAGGAGCTGCCAGTAAAACATGTGAGGGAGGGATGACCCAATTAGTACCTTGAATCGGAAGGGGATTCTTCACTTTGCGCATAATCGAATGGATTGAAGGGTGCATGCGAAGCGTCTCCCGTATTGCGTAGGAACAAAGAGTCAGCTTTTGGACGCCTTCATATGTCAAAGGGTTTGAACCATCTCCAAGAACATGTAATTGCTCTTGATAAAGCTCTTCCATTATGTCCGGCTGAGCTGCAAGATGCAGCATAGTCCAAGAGCTTGCGACAGAGACCGAGTGCTGACCAGCCATCAAGAGAGCGATCATCATGTGCGCAATTTCTGTATCTGGCATGGGTGTACCATCTTTGTAGGAGCTCTCCATGAAGTTCCATAGCATATCTTGGCTGTCTTTCTTCTCTCCACTTGAGCGGCGCGCTTGAATGATGTCTGCGTATAATTTGGTCATCTTCTTCTGTGCGATATCCCGCCTACGGTTCTGAGGCAATGGAAACCAAGGCAGCATAAAGTTGATCGGCTGGAAGCCGTCATCCAGGTCGTGATATAGCTTCGCATATGTGGTGTCGAGTTTCTCGCGAACCTCTCTACCCTGCAACGTGCGTGCAGTCGTAAAGAGCGTAATCTGAGCCATGATTGGCGGTATGTTGATCTTGCCATCCGAGCCTGCAAAATAAGGCTCTCGCTCAATGAAATCAAGTATCTCGTTCTCCATGAGAGGCACGTACGATCGCAAAGCACTCGCAGCCAGACCAGATTTTACGAACTACGCGCGAGTTGGTGTCAGCATGGCTAGACATGAACATTCTGAAGCCTCGTACCTTCTTCTGCTCCATGAATTTGGCATTCGGCACATCGTAGACGACATCCTTGCCGAAAACAGGAGTGGTCAGGACAGAGTAAATTTCCTCAGCATTGACGTCTTTCAGCTTGCCGTTTAGAATAAATTGATTGCCTTTTGATCCAAGGTAAACAGTTACTCTTCTCCCAAGGAGGATGAAAGTAAAGACGTCTCCATACTGCAACAATCATATCAGCATCGTTCATGCTCAGGAGGCCCCCTCATTAACTTCGTACCTTCGCCTGGCAATCGAAAAAGAATTTGAATGGGTCCTTGCCGTACACCACGGTGCTGCCAAATGTAGGCAACCAATGAAAGACAACAGGTGGCTCGTTGAGATTCTTGAAAGACTTTTGTCGCACGACATTCACTATTACGGCTACTGCAACCAAAACGACCTCCGCCAGAGAGATCCAAAAGATGTATTCAAAGAACATGACTCCAAGATTGCGGAGACCCGACGTATTATGGTTAGTCTTCTGGTTTGAAGGTCTACACTGGCGCTCCTCGGCCTCTAGTTGTTCAAAGAGGCCAACAACTTCGCGCTGGTCGAACGCTCTACGTCTGTGAAAGCAGTGGCAAAAGGAGAAAGTGAAGAGGAATGATCTGTGGCAAGGAGGGGGATTTCCACTCTCATTTCGTCGCGTCCCGTTCCGCTGCAAGGTGCTCAGCCTGAGGTAGTGCTGACCAGGAGTCAAAACAAATTTTGTCGAAGACTGATACAAGCAAGGCCAGTAAAGAAGATGGTGTGATCTGAACCGTAGCTCTCTTTCATTACAATTCTCCAGATTGGAAGCCAGGCATTGAAGAGGCCAGAGTGATGACTTCGGCGTCATCCATTCGAGATCGTTCGGGGCCTCCGGGGCGACCTTCCCCCCAAGCGCCCGCTTTAGGCGCCCAAGGCGCCCCAGCCCATTTCTCTAGCCCCTGAGAACGAAATTATGGGACACTACCGACCAACCTCGATTCCACATCAACACGGCCTCTGCCAGACAATCTGCTTCACTGGCATCCACAGATTCTTAGACAGTCTTGCATCTGACTTTGATCAGAGCTATGATCTCGAATGCCCATCTTAGCAACAATCTGTGTGAGTGAACGGAGCTCCATACTGCTCGACTTCCACACGTATTCATTGAAATCTGCTGTCCATTGTTCTATCTGAAAATGTCGCGGTGTTTTTCATCAAATGTTGATGATCTCTAGAGTTCTGTCACCCAGAAGTGCTGTAGAGAGGATTTTGAACTTGTTGCGACTTTCTAGTCTTCTTCGAAAACATTTTTATTAGACCAAAGTCTGTTCTGTCTTAAAGCCTCCGTGCGCTAAAATCCGAACAAAATATGGCATGATGGACGGGTGGGATATGAGAGACACTTGTGGACAACAATTCTTCGAGATATCTAATCAGCGAGGTAAGAGACTTACAGCCAGACAAATGAGGGCCCATGATCTTACGTAGGTCGCTAGATCTTGACCAAACGGGACGCCATGCGCAGTCTGTACACAAGTTACACCTTGAAGCGACAATGGAAATGCCGTTCCGAGACTACCACATTGCGCCAGCAGATCAATGTTTGAGGACGATGATTATTCTTGGGAGACTGCCCGATCAAAGCCAAACAAGTTTTGGTCTTGGTCTTGCAGCATGCCCGTGAACATGCTAGTATACACATTATGCCTACTGCATTGGACCACTACCGTCCATACTCACCCATTCACACGCAGACAAATACCAGCCGAACTCATCCAGTCCCCGATCACAAACTTCGTAGATTCTACTCTCCTCTCCAGCCTCAATCAACTCCCCCAGTCCTCATTAATCTACAGCCCTCTCACTACCAGCAACCCCTGGTCTACCACTACATTCAGCACCTTCAGCGGCTCCATCGGCTAACATTCCCACCTCGACTCCCTTCAACCCCGCAACATCAACGTCCTCAAATGCACCGTGTTTGAGAGGCTGGCGAGCCTTAAGTAATTTATCCCTCTCTCGTGCAAATACCAAACATAGCTGTTAGGATCTTGCATTTTGGCTAACAAATCCAGTGAAAACCATATCACCTTCGACTTCGTCTATGGCTTCGCCAACTACGCTAACCTGGCTGCGGGTAATTGGTCCGCCATTGAGGTCGCTGGAAACTGTCACCCCGGAACTACGATCATGACTGTTGATACTATTGCGGGGCTTGTCAATGGTGAGGTGGTCCTTCTGCTCTTCATTCCTCATGATCTTGATCTGACTCCCTGAACCCCCAGGATTTCACTTCTCGAGGATTGACAATACCTTTGAGATAGCCGTTGCTGCACAACGCTGCCTTTAGGCCTCCTCTCCCCTAGATTATCATTCTCACCCGCTACTGACCATGGACGTCAAGGCTCTACTGCGGACTGTTGAATATCCCTCATTACTAATCGATGATGATTAGCGTCTTTACCCCCTCTGTTCTAGACCGCACTGGACTGCTTTGCGCAGAGCCGCATTTGAGTTTCCTGTGACGTCTGCCTTCGTTTGCTTAATAAAGCGAAATCCTACAGTGAGTCAACTCAACGCACGTGAAGCTCTTCCAACTGTATATGTAAGCCAGTATGCCGTAGAAGTATCGAATATTCTTCCTTGCTGCCATATCCTTTCTTCCCTCCCTCTACAATCCAATCAGTGACAAGTCATTCTTCTCCTTCACATCTCATCCTAAAAAGCAACTTTGGATACACCTCGTGTTCTGCTCCCACAGCCTTCCTTTGCAATACCTCTCTCTCCACAATAAGCCCCTAATCCATTTTTCGCCTACTACACACCTATCCTTATCGTTTGAAAAAATCAACCCACCATGTCCAACCCCCGCGAAACCCTCCGCATAGCCCACACCGCGCGCTGCAAGCTCCAAATCGCCGCCGACCGCCCCGACCGCAATTTCCGCTTCATCCTCGGCCACGCGCTCACACTCGACAAAGTAATGCTACGAGTCGCCGAGATCGAGACCTCCAGCTCTTCCTCCGATGGCGACGACTCCATCTCCGACGACGAACCAGCACAGCCAGTGCCCCGACGCGTAAGCTTTAGTGGAGACGTGAAAGGGAGGCAGGGTGGTGCGCGAGGGGGAGGGGGAGGGGCCAGGAGAAGTCCGCCACCGCCCGCTGAGCTGGGGGATGCTGAGGAGGACGTGGAAGATGATGATGAGGATGAGGATAGTGCGCCCCTGCAGCGTTTCCCGTCCGCGAGTGCGACGCCGGCGGGACGGACGGCGTATCGAGATGGCGATGAGTTGTCGGAAGAGGAATTGAGGGGAATTACGGCCGGGCATGGGAATGCGGAGTTGGTGGATGCGTATAATCATGTTGCGGGGTGTCGGTGTCATGGGCAGAAAGGGCTGGTGGCGGAGAATGTGTGGGAGATACCTTCTGCGATGGAGAAGGGGGTGGGGGCGGGGCCGCGGATGGCTGTTGTGCAGGTACAGGCTTGAGTTTCGAATGAGTTGGTGGGTTTGGTGCTCAGCAGGCGGCGAGAGATTTTTTTGTTCAGGTTGCTTCCGATATCGTTGTGAACGGGTTGGGAGCCGTTGGAAGTCGTCACCATAATCCTTCTAGGCTCTCTACTCCAACATTTTTGGTGCAAGCTATGCTGTATACGAGCTTTGTTCAATCCATTTTAAGAGTCTCGCTCTGAGAGTACTGGAGCTCCGTATGCTGTTATCCCATCGACCAAGATCTGTAACGCGGATAGTCCGAGAGGTTCGCCGTCTTCCATATAACGCCGCCAAACCTTGTTGATGAAATGCGATACTATTTGCCTCTCATTAGATGGTGACAAAGCCTTTGACTTGCCGTCTGAGTTGAACGCTACTAAGAGGCTATGGTACGTTTTAAGCAGAGTATCAGACTCCTCCTGTGACAAGACATGTGTCTCGATTTTGACGCCAGACGCCTGCGGATAGGTGCCTTCATATAGTTGAATTTGCAACGAATCTGAGCCGTAAGGGTGGCACATTTGCTCAATGCGAGACGTGTCTGAGAACTCCATAAAGCATAGTCGGACCATTGAACGAACTGTTAGATGCATTTCGTAGTGGCAACAAAGGCTTTTTGGTTGTAGCTGCATGTGATGCAATTTGAAATAAAACCCAACGCGTGTTCTGTGTCCTAAGTCGGCACCTCTTTCGATCATGAGACTCATGGCTACCATCAGAGTGTCCAACAATGTTACTATACTGTTTTCTGGAAAGAAAATATCGAAGTGATGCAGACTTGTATATAAGTGGATAATATGTGCACTAGTCAAGAACAAAGACCAAATTGTCACGCCAACAGCTATCACGCTGTTCACGTCAGCTCCGTATGTACGTATTAACTCCATTGCCAGATGGAGACTTCCAGAGGTTCGCTGCGGGTCGTCCAATATGATTGACAGTACAGTCGTGGACAAGAGACAATTCGCTTTGCTAGACTTGATTGGCGCGATACGCCTCTCAAGTATATGTAGCACATAATGTGTTAATCCGCATGAAGTTGCAAACGACAACAGACTCCAATCCATTCTAAGCATTACTTCTGCTTCGTTGTCATCTGTCCACTGGCCTTCTTGGATTATGAGTTGCTTGATTGTTTCATCGTTGCCTAAATCGTTGCGAGAATATCTTGTAAATGATTCTTGACTACAATTAACCTCGAGGTTTGGTTTATGTTTCATACATAGACGTTTCCATCGACTTGACCAATGAGTTTCTTTGTGTCCATAGTAGCGATGGTCAAGTTTCCACATAATATTGTCTAGCATGTTCAACAAGCCCGGTTGCGCAACCGCAGTCTCATGCTCAGCCAGCCAAATATCAAACATAACTCCTTCTATATCATCGCTTTCCGGTCCAAAAAGCCGCAGTCTAGCAAGCGACACCTTGGCACGATGTACATGGCGATGAAATCTGGGAGGATTGTTTGCTCGGATAAAAGCCTTCCCTTTTTCGTGATCACGGATATAATCAACAGCAGTTCGATGAATGAAATCAACATGGACCAGTGAATCAAAATTTTCCAGCGCCATCTTTGTTCCCTCAACTGATACATGAGTTTTAGGCTCACGATCTTGCTCTTCAATCGGCCTACTTGTACCTTGGCTCCTACGGTTAGAATCTTCGTTCATTGACTTAGGCCTCGATGTTGAAATCTGTTCGTCGGAATACTCATCCTCCGTACCAGCATCTGAAGCGTTCATGCTGCCATCTGAGCCTTCTTGTGAGAAAAACGTATTATTCTTATTCTTGGTAGCTTCACGCTTATCAGTGATTTCAAGGAGACCTTCACAAGTCAACGCAATCCTGCCACGAGCCCTGAAAGAGAACTCAATCAAATCATGTTCCGGAATCTGTTCGAAGAAGCCAAGCATATCATGCACATACTCGTGCAAGGCGAGTGCATGAGCTAGTAAAGATGAGCCGCGGCCGCCAGCGAGAGCAATCTGCAAGAACATAGATGCTTCTTTCCTATATGGTAGTTCTATCTGATTCAGCATGCGCTGGTAGATTTTCTCCACTTCATTAGGTAAATCTGCAAGTCTTGCTCGCAGCTGTCGTTGACTGTCGCCATTTTTGAGCCCACATAGTTGGTCTTTCACAGCCAATACAACCCATAAAAAGACTCCTTGGGCCCTGACCAGAATGTCATACGCAATTTCTTCGAGCGAAGATAAAGATGTCGCTGACCAACACGAGACTTCGTTTCGCATGTGATTGAGCAATATCTCTTCAGTCAATTGGCGAGATCGAGTTAATTGATTCTGTAATCTATCAAGGACGTAGTGAAGGATATCCTTTTGAGTCAAGTCTTGAAGTTGGAGATTCGCATGAAGTCCGAATGTTTCCTTGAAGACTCGATTCGGACGGCTGGATAGACAAAATTTCGCTTTCGTGCCTCGAGCAAATGTGTCGATCAGATCAATCAAAGCGTCTTGATCTCCTGTATATTCATCCAAACCATCAATAAAGAAACATAGAGAATGTGATGCCTGTACTTGTAGAATCAAATTTTCTAGCATTTCCTTGAGTCGCCGTTCTGTCCAAGCTGCGATAGGGGCTTGCTTGACAAAGGGGCTTTGAATACTAGGGACTTCTTGCAGTATTTGCCAGATCAATGATCTTAGTAGTCCCTCAATGCTTCTCTCAAGCTGAGTTCCACCAATCCAAAAGTAAAACTTAGGTGTCAGTAGTAGTTTTTCTGCTGACCAGACTTTCAGAAATTCTCTTGTGCGGGTATCGTTACAAAGAAATCTCATCAGAGTCGATTTCCCGGAGCCCGCTTTGCCGTTGATCCAATATACTCTTGCATGGCTTCCGAGCCACTCAACAAAATTGCTCCATGGAGCTACGCTTCCGGCTTGCTCGAAGATCCACTCAAAGGTTCTTCTATGAGCATCAACGATCCTCTCTTCACGGCTGTGGATATCTTCGAACCACAATGACTCAAGGAGCAGCTTACGATGTCCTCCCTGTCCTGATTGCGATTGTCGATCTGTGAGACCGTAATACGATTTCTGGGTCTCTTCGGATTGATCGATTTCATGCCGCAGGCGCTTAATTGCCTTCTCCTTTCTTTCCCCATAGATGACAGCCATGGACACGTTGAATATCCCTAACAAGCAATATGCTTGATCTTCTTGAAGCTTCGTTTCACGATTCTTCATCCAACCAAATCGTTCCTCCACCGTAAAGTTAGTCACAGACCGACCACGCAGAGCTTCGATTGCAATTCCTGTGATCTCTTCAAGTTTTTCTGCTAGCGAGCTCTTACAACCAAGCCAATTGCCCTCTCGTGAAAAGAATTGCACCGATACCGGAGCGATTAGCTCTTGCAACGTCCAGCCTCGACGAAACCATTTGCTCTCTCCAATAGCGGTTTTCCATGCAGCGTTTGATGGATTGCGTGTTGCGCCATGCTTACGCTTACGTGTGGAAACATCAGAAAAATACACATAGCATTTAACTGAATTTTGATACCAGCGAAACATGGAGTTGATAGCCTCAGTGAGCTCAGAGCTACTATCCTTGTTGATACAGCAAGTATCTATCCAGAAGTACTCTAGATTATCAGTAGCAGCTTGCTTTCTGCAGAAGTCAAGTTTTTCCCAACTAGCCTTTTGCTTGTATTTACCTTCGAGAAAGTCTTGATAAGTGACTTCCTGATTGTTCGCTGCCCAAGTATGTGACAATATGGCATAAGAAGGAATCTCACCCTCCTGAAATTCAACCAGAATTAGGTCACCATGCCCTCTGTCTTTGATGAGACGCATCTTAGTCCAAGTGTATCATTAGACTTGAAAGCTACAAAAAACACCGACTGCGAGTAACTCGTATGCGCCTAAAGTAACAACACTTATCAACCTAATGAATTTTATCGATGGGTCGGATCAATTTCTAGGGGAAAATGTGTTTTGATCAAGTTTCACGCACACAAGGCTCGCCAGCGAGAAAGAGAAGCTCCAAAGACAGCTGCCCGGCTTCAGCACTGATTAAATCCGCTAAACCCGAGAGCCGGGCATTAGGTCTCTATCTGTCAACTATTCTGACAACCAGTTTGGTATTCTGAGAAACTCAATCAATCAAGCAAGATGCAAGGCTTGAGAGCGATGTGATAAGCTTTTTAACACGCGCCTACTTCATTTCCACCATTCAAAAAAAGCAATGGGTAGACTCACTAGTGCGCAGAAGCCTATATACTCAGTGTCTGGCGCCCCAAAGTTCACGTCGTCATGCTCTCGATGCAGGGTGTCCAAGCTTAAATGTGACAAAAATGAGCCGTGTGTATGTTTGTGTCTCTCGTAGACTATGTCTTCTAGTTGACATTTTCAAATTAGCTTGAATGCGTCAGGCGCAATGTGGGCCATCTGTGTGCCAAAGATGAACGCCAACCAAGGGCGAAGAAGGCAAGACTGGACCACACTCAGAAGTGTACGGCTGAAATGTAAGCTACACTCAATGTCTACTAAATGGCTCACCTCATCGGCTTAAGCATTAATAGTGGTGACGCGACAAAAGACTGGGAAAGAGAAGCAGAAGAGGCTGCACAGGAACTTGAGCATTTTGTCGATGGAGCATCTAGCTCTACTCCTTTTAAGTCCTCCACGATTGGATCATCTTCTCCCATTGTGGCACCAGACTATCCAAATCTTTACTGGTCACGTACCCATAGTTCAACAAATCAACATGAGAAAGGTGCACTAATCCATGAAATTGTTGACGCTCTACCTGACACGGACATGATCCACCATCTCTACGAAATCTTCGTCACCCGTTGTCAAGGCGCTCTCGGCAATGTGGTACACACTCAAACATTCTTGAAACAAGCAGACGAATTGTGCCACTACTTGGATCTGAAAAGCAGGGAAGACACGGTCTCAATCTTACTAGCGAACGTATCTTTGGACAGGCTTGCATGTCACCTTTTGGCGGTACGTGATACTGTACCTCTTGTTCGACCTGTGTTGACGTTTCGCTACCGCTATAGCTTGTGCTCTCCGTTGCTTTCCATCCATCTCCATCTATACACGGCTGGTCTGCTACACCTTTAAATCTCCGCGTCGAAGAGCTGCGAGCGACATATGGAATTTCCAGGACATGGAGGTCTCTTGCCTTGCGTTGCCTCAAAGGCGAAGTCTCTCTGTTTTGCGCCTCGATTGCCTCTTTGCAAGCCGCCATCATGCTTTTGCTCGATGGTCAAGCCGAGGTCCTGGCGCTCGATGCAGTCCTAGTCATTGCCATATCCGGAGCTCAGAAATTGGGGTTGCATCGACTCGGTGATGCGGTGTTGGACACCTCGAAATCGACTAAACCTTCTGATGCGGACTCTTTGATATCTACGGAGGGCTGCCCCATCATTCGGACGGAAATCGGCGTTCGACTTTGGCGAGTGACCTGCGCACAGATCTACTCTAGCAGAATTTGATCGCTGACTGATCTGGTACGTAGGTGGGCGCTCGCAGTCCGAGATTGGTCTCGCGGGCTGGCACTGGGTCTCTACAGTATACAACCCTTACAATACACCACTCGTATGCCCCTGCATATCAACGACAGTGATATTTGTCAGGAGACATTGAAAGTCAACAGCAACGGTCATATTACCGAGCGGTCCCGCTCCGAATTCACCAAACTTTCATATACGGTTCATGCAGTGGAGATTGCAAAATTTGCTCGGGAGTCTATTCACTTGTGCACTCCCTTCCGCCGTATCAAGTCACAAGAAGAGGTCAATGAGAGTATGGAGACCCGAAAGCTCCTCAACAAGAGCTATGAAGAATTTATCCACAATCTTCCGTCATTCTTCAGGCTTGGTAGCAGTGTTGGTCTAACATCTACCGATGCTATGGCAGCAATACCTATACACAGGTGGATGCTACATCAGCAGCTTTGGAGCCTGTTTCTGAGACTGAATCGTGCAAGTCTGTCATCTCAAGATAGCCGTGCGTCCTGCCAACTCCTAGCACAAAACATCATCGGCACGCAAGCGCAAATACAGGCCCGCTGCACCGTCTGTGGCTTTCTTTCCATCAGTGACACTCAAGTTTACAGTGCCGCCGTCGTACTACTCCTTGATTTGCTCTTCTCGTCCAATCATGGGGCCGGAGATCGTTCGAGTGCTCAGCTGGTTCGTTCAATGATGAAGGAGAAAGTCCGACAAGCTATCGAGCTCCTTCGATCTCGCAGTGGCACAGGAGACTCCCCCTTGCCGCCGAAGTCTCAATTTGAAAAGAGTAGCGCTTCTACTCAGTCAAGCGTTCTTGTTTTAGAAGCGTTGATGAACCTCGAGGAGGAGAGTGACCCCAATGGCGATGAAAACGGAGCAGTCACCACAGAGATACGCCAGAATGGCGCAGTGATCAACCCTGGCGGGAGAAAATCGCTTAAGAAGCAGGTCACGAACATTTTGAGTAATTTGCGTCTCAGCAAGCAGGGCGTAGCTGAAGCAGCAACTCAATCGGGTCAGGACGCGTCGTCCGCTGCAGACGAGTCGGTATCTACAAGAACTGGAGGATCCCACGATCTTGATGTCTTACCAGTCCTCTCAACTGACACTGACTTCGACTTCTCGCAGTTCATAGACTTTCCGCCTTCTCCTCAGTCTTTTCATGAGAATGATCAGTACGAGGCTACGGGGAACACCTCAGACTTCGCTAGTTCGGTGTCTTTCAATGGATTACCAAATTGATTGCTAAAGTCGTTGAGGATCTCGTACCAATCAAAAGTAGTTACATCTATGATGATGCCCCTTCCTTTGGTATAGAGGCTTCCTCGTCCATCATCCCGTCGCCTTTGTTTACTTTCTTTCTAGTCCCCTCGAAGCGAGGATCACGGACGAAAAGCACGGCAATCAGGAAGGCAGTGCACGCAAATCCGATACCAAGCCACCATGCACCACGATAGCCTAGAATTAAATCGCTTTCGCCCTTGTTGACGTGCGTCTCTACTGTGGCAGCAATACCGAGGCCAAGGGAGACTGAATAATTTACCACCGTAGCAATAAAAGATCCGGCCACACCTTGTTCCTCAGGCAAGACTGCATTAGAGATGATGATACTAGACGACGAAAAGGATAGATCTGGTCCTCCTGTGACAAATAGACACGCCGGAAAGATGAATGCCCAGTAGACATCCGAGTAGTGCACGAAGCACATCAGTAGATCGCCAAAGAAGAATGCGAACATAGAGACCCCAAAGATATATTGAGCAGGAACCTTCATGATGAAGATGCCGACTGAAGCTGTAGCGCAGAGGCCTCCGAGGACCAGTGGAGACATCTCTGCTACAGCAGCAAGCGGAGTTTCCTTGCGGATGGTGAGGATGTATATCGTGGTGTAGTAAAGGAAGATACCAAAGGACATCCAGCCAAAGCACATTGCTACTATGATAGGCAGAAAGCCTTTGCGTGCCCAGAGCGAGTTGGGCAATATCGGTGCTGACACGCGTGATTGAGAAAAACCAAAGCCGACAATCATGACCAGCCCGACGATGAGAAGAATGTATACGTAAGGTTCTTGCCACCCAACCACAGGTGCTTGGCTCCACGCAAAAGAGAAGAGGACCAGTCCAGTAACGCCGAGAAACGTACCAACGTAGTCGAATTGCCGAAGACGAAGTCCAGGAAGTGGCGATCCCACCTTATGCGGAATGACAACAAAACTCGCAATCCCCAGCACGAGCGACCCAATCGCCCAAAACCAATACCCCCACCGCCAGGTCACCTTCTCCGCAAACGCAGCCCCAACAAGCCCCCCAAAAACATACCCAGCAGGCGCACAAAACCCCAATATAGCAAACGCAATATTCTTCTTCACACTAAACGGCTCGAACGCCCTCGCGAGCAAGGCAAACGAATTCGGCACCAACGCCCCATTCCCCAATCCCGTCATCGCCCTCGCAACATCAAACAGCACGACATCGTTCGCAAAGCCGCTGACGAGCGACCAAATCGCCATCCAGATCCACCCAAAGATGAAGACGTATTTGTGCCCGAAATGGTCGCCGAGCCGACCGGTCACGAGGACGGAGGCGCCGCCGCAGAGCGCGTACGCGGAGAGGAACCAGGATAGTTGCGCGTTGGATGTCGTGTTTAAGGCGCGGCCGATTGTTTGGACGGAGAAGGCGGTGTTGCCCAGGCCGCCGATGGAGAAGAGTTGGGAGAGGGAAACGACGAGGATGAAGAGGGCTTCGCGGAGGGGGGAGGTGAATTTTGAGGGGCTGGGGGTGGGGGTCGGGTCTGAGTCACCTCTGCCATTGGGTCTGGTGGGAGGGTCGTCGGTTGGTGGAGATGCGCTTTCATTAAGGGGAGGGTTGTTGGAGATGGCGGGTTGGGTGTTTGACATTTTGGCTTTTGCTAGTAGAGGAACTTGATCACAGATTGAAATGCTGTGGTGAAAGACATGTTGAAAGCGACATGTTTTATATCAAGAATGCATATGACGGAGTGAAATGATTTGTGGGTCCCATATTCCCACCCGACGTCTGAGGATTTCTGAAAGTCCGCGGACTTTGACCAAAATTCCGAGGCTTTGAAGAAAATCCGAATTCGGTCAGCGCTAGAATGGCGCTGTGGAAACAGGTCACTTAATATATTGGAAACCTGCTCATGAGTATTCCAAATCGCAATAGTCGAGCTCCGTTGTCGAATGCTGACTCCCGTTGTAAGGTCGGTGGATCATCGCTCCGAATGCACCAGCTTTCTCTTTTCTCCGGGTGAGATGTACGACGCAAGTTTTCAATTCACGTGACGATGAAAGAGGAATGAGTCTTTATTTGCGAAGGATCAGTGGTGACTTTTGAGAGAATCGCTTCTTGTAAAACCGCTTGGATGTGGCAAATTTATGCTTAGAGAAAACTCACAAGATGTGAAGGGAACGCCCAGGGTTTGTCTTGCCGATACAGATGCACATCGGAAACCATGAACGTTTTCATCCAATAGTATCAAGTTGTAGCGTTTGACTCGCCTTATTTGTCCCGAAAGTAAATGCCGTGGTTTTGCCTTTCAGCAAGTCTCCTCCAACGCCATCGACCAGTGCCCGTCGAAACCAAAAACCAGGTATAGATCATTTGCAGAATCGCACGAAGATGGCCAAAAAAATCATGCTCCACGCAAAACCCTGCTTGGTATCTTCTAACTTAATACCCCATCCTCCATCACCTTGAGGATACCGGTCAGCAGTAGCGAAATCAGACTCAACGATTTCCGTCTCGTTACTGCATGCATCAATGCCGAACGTGACTAGCAAATACTCCTTAAAGCCTTCGACTCATATCGACTCAGAGCTTACTCTTTCTCCCGCTCTTCACCCCCGCCACCTCGCTCCCTCCCAGCAAGAACTCCGGATACGTGAACCCGCCTCCAGGCGCACTCATCGTATTGCCCAACCTCCACGCACCTCCGTCCACCACGAGAGTTGCGCCGTTGACGAAACCTGCTGCTGGGCTTAAGAGGTAGATGGCCGCTACGAATCGTTTGTAAGCTATTCCCTACACCGAACCTCGAAAGAAAATCCAAACTCACCATCAGCAATCTCACCCACCCCACCCCACCTCTGCACAGGCACCAATTTCTTCCCCCTCTCAGCATCTTCCGGCCTACTAAGCCTCTCCATTCCTTCCGTTCCCCTGATCGGCCCAGGCGCGATCACATTGCTCGTTAGCCCGAGGGGGCCGTATTCGAGCGCCACAGACGCAGACAGCGAATCTACTGCAGCTTTGGCGGCGGAGACATGAGATTGAAGGGGCGTGGCGGTATAGTGCAGTGTTGCTGAGATGAAAAGGATGCGGCCGCCTGGAGCTGCGGAAGATGGAGTCGAGGAAGCAGAGGCGTCGGGCTTAGGATTATACTTTTTAGCGGACTCGAGGAGGAAAGGGAGAGCGGCTTTCAGCGTGTTGAAGGAACCGAGGACGTCGATGTCGATGACGGATTTGAAGGCGTTGGGGGAGAGTTGCGATATTGGGGCGAGGAAATTGCCTGCTGCCCCTGCCCTGTAGCCCAAGAACCAGTCAATCAGCCTAATCCTTCTCTCATCTGCTTTCTCGTCTCATGTCCTATCACACCCACATCCACACACACACACACACTCTCTCTCTCTCCCGACACCTACACCGCAACCCATGTCCGCGGAGGGGGCAACTCACACAACATAATCCACGCCCCCTAACTCCTCCGCACACCTCGCCACAGCCCTCTCCAACGCCTTTGAATCCCGCACATCCACTCCACCTATCCCTAGCACTTTACTGCCTTCCCGCGCCGTCGCGATGTCGGCGGCCATTCGCTCCGTTTTCTCAACATTTCGACCGACGATGCAGGCGTTTGCGCCGAGGTGGACGAGGGCGCGCACAAGGGCCGAGACGATGGTGCCGGAGCCGCCGGTGGCGAAGATGACGCGGTTGGTGAAGATTGAGGGGGCCCAGAGGTGGGGGGACATGTAGCTGGATTGTGGGGGTGGCATTTCTGGAAGGGGCAGAGTGATGGTGGGCGGAAGGAGGGTGAAAGCTGGGTTTGCTGCTTGGGTGGGAGTATGTTGGAGTTTATGATGCTGTGAGCTGGAGAATGGGTGGCATCTTCGTGGAATTGGGATGAGGTGGTGAGGTGTAGCCGGAGATTCCTGTTTTGGGGATTGTCCGATGAGGAAAGGAAGGTGGTGGTGATGCCGAGGTCATGGATTTGCATGTCATGGCGGGCCACGTCTACATGGGGCCTTGGCGCCATTCCGGGCCGTTCTAGGGGTTAGCCGCCTATTGACACATCCCTGGAGATTCCCCAATTGCAAGCCAGCGGTACCTCCCATTCTGACAGAACTCTATACCTTGACTATCCAAACATGGAGCTTCCACTATCTCAACTGCGTAGACCCTTCGAATGGCTAACCTCCATCTTCGAGCCCAAAGTCCGCGAAACTAACGTCCAAGTCCTCCGTATCCCAGCCGACGGCTCTCCACCCCTTCTCATCCGTCTGAACACCGTCGAAACTTCCGATAATGTTGACAGCTTCTTAAGTCACATTCCCGACTTTCGCCGTTATTGGGGTGATAAAGAAGGCTTTCATTGGCGTGACATTGCACATTTAGAAGTGATGGATCAGTCGTTGACAGAGCTTAATGGGGCTTACTGGGGATGGAAGAGTTTCGCTATGGATCTTATGCCTAGGAGCGAGCATACGGGCTTTCACGGGGATGCTTTCATCGCGAAGACGCCGATCTGGGAGAATGATGAGAATGGAGCTGTGTATGAGGATGTTCCTGAGACATTCATTGGGTCGAAGCTGATGCATGAGACTTTGCAAAAATTGCGTGAGTGTTGATTGTGAATCATTGATTGTGATAGGGGCTTGAGCTCTGTGATATTCTCTCTGAAATCGTAGCATCATGATGTAGGTGAATGAGCAAGTGGCCCTGTCATGAACGTATTTTCTTTCCCTCTCATTACTGCATGAAATTCGCCCGTACCAATTATCGTCCTTTTCCATCCTCCTTTTCCTTACGCAACGTAATCACCTATCATTCAGTATCAGCAGTGATATAGTTGATGTGGGATGCCAGCTCACATTATCAGCCTCTCGGCGTGCTGTAGGGAAGGGGGCATCAGTGAACTTCTGCTTTGTCTTGGTTTCTGTCAGGTCGACAGTGACAGTCCTTGAGCCAGGCCGGCCACTTGCGTAAGTGACAATACAAAAGACCGTATAAAAGACCATTGTTGTGGTACTTTCTGGCTCGCAATTACGATATTGTGTATGATAGTGGTAGTTTTGTAGACAGTCACTGGCTGTTTGGAATTAGGATCCGTGTAAGTGTCATAACAGAAGATAGTTGGATCTTGGCGCAGTGTTCCAATATAAGAAATATTTGCGAACGCTTTGCCACAGAAAATGTCGGGTTCACTGTCCATCTATGCTTGAAGATCACGGTCTATTTTCTCCTGCTTGCCAGCTTGGGCAGATGAGAAAGAAATAAAGGATATGAGGGACAATGCAAGGCAGATCACAAGCGTTGAAGCTGTCATTTTGAGCTGTGGACTCGAGTTTTGAAGCCGCAGGTGATAGTATCTAATACGGACAGATGGTACGTCGGGTAGTGATGTCTGGGAGGATGGGATATAGCCATGCTTATGTGGTGGTCAGTCATGGCTCACGTCCCTTAGGGGTAACAAGGTCCCATCACTACGGAGACGCTCCATCTGCTCCCCACTATACGGACCACACAAAATGGAGCAGCTAATTACCATATCCAGGACAGATAACGATGGATCAGCAGGTAGCAAAGAGCAATGAACCTTATCTGCACCTTCGCAGTCTTAGGTGCCCTTGGCCTGATCTCGAATCACGAAAAGGAGGCCCAACAGGTACTTTTGCCGCGTGCTCTCGCTTACACCTGACCGCATCGAGTACACTAAAGGCTTGCATATTTAAGATTCATCGAAAGCTTTGAACCTTGTGGGCCAGGAGATATTTTTCTTTTGATAGGCTCTTGTTGAATCGAGGTCTTCAGAAAATGAGAAAAGGCAGGTAAAAATGCGTCGCAATGAGATCATAAGCGAAGAGAGATCACCACGCAATAATACGTTATCAACTCATCAGCCAATTGTGTAGTAGTATGGAAAGGAGCACGTCCTTCGCCAGAAGTAGACTGGTTGCATCAGACTCTGTAGCACCCGGCCGCCACTCATGGCACTGATGGCATACTCCATCTGTGGAAGTAATATGATCGTAATTTGAAGTACTGCAGTGCAATTTGGCCGAGCAGCGCAGACTATGGAGATGTTGTGCAACTGACGGAAGAAACCCAAAATTCTAATGCCAAGAGTTCGTTCTCTTCCATTGCGGCTCTAAGTTCTCCCGCTGCCGGAGCTATCGTAGTCTTGGCGCTTCAACGCCGCTTCTTGAATCGTCATTCGCTTTCCCATCATCTCTTTCAGCATCAACGCTCTCGGTCATCACCACGTCAGCTTCAGCGCTCATTTACCTATCTGCGTACTGCGTCATGGCGACCCGCACGATCGCCGTCTCTAAATTTATCGGCAGCGTCTCCCTCGGCTTGCTCACTGTGCGTTCCCCCACTCCACACACAAGCTTCTCCCATTCCAAGTCCCCACCAATTTATACCATTCCACATTCCTCCTCTACATTGTCCTAAAGGGAAATGAACCCATCCTCTCTTCAACAGAGCTAATAAGAGAGTTCTGCAGGGCATATCCTACACCCTCCCTCTCCACTCCGCCCCATCGCTCCTCTCCCTCCCCTCCGCCTCCTCAGCATCAACAGCCTTCCGCACGCTCTCCGCTTCCACACAACGCACAACACGCTTCCTCTCCGCCCTCTCCTTCACCAGCATCCTCACAGCCTACATTCTCTCCCCTGAACGAGGTCGGCACCCCTTCCTCCTCTATGGCGCCCTAGCCGCTGGCATACCCCACGTCACCGACCTCTATGGCTTCATCATGGGATTTGCTGGTGTGAAGGGCGAGGGTGCCAATGGCGGTGGTTACTCGCCCAAGATGTTTGGAGGAAAATTGGGAAATGGGAATGGAGGGAGTAGTGGGGCGTCGAGTGATGAGGAGTGGGAGGTTGAGGCTAGCGGGATGAGGACGAAGAGTGCGGCTACGAAGGGGAAGGGTAGGGCGTTGACGCCGGAGAGCGAGGTGGAGGATGTGAACGGGGAGACTGTGAAGCAAGGGATTAGGGAATGGAGCCGTAGTACGGTGTACAAGGGAGCGAGCTGGGCTTTGGGCTTTGGTATTATGGTTGTGGGGATGTGGGGAGATGGGTATCAGGGATGAGAAGGGACGAGCCAGGAACCAGAGCTGGTATCGGGATGACTACTTGGAGATGATGGCATTATGCCAAGGATACGGTGCTCGGTGAGACAGAAATCTGTGTTTGCATTCATTTGACTCTACTCGATAAGACAAAACCGAAATACCACTTCCACCATCGCTGCTTCATTGCTTTCAATTTTGCGATCAGTAACCTTTTAAATCTTTTATAAGTAATTTTTCTCTCTGTCCAACAACCCGCTCAAATTTGTCAGGGTTCATCACAAACGTACCCCTTCCTCCAGTCAGGCTTCTCAAATGCTTCAAGTACCCTACCATCTCCTTTAATGGCACACGCGCGACAATGCTCTTCTGCCTCGATCCATCGATGGCAATACCTTGTTCCTGCATTTGCGAGGGCCCATAGGGGTCAGGTGGCACATATACTTTACTGACATCGATGCGCGGAAACTCGCCAGGAGCCTCGTTGACAGCGGGACCAGATGCCACGCTTCCATCGTCGAGGGACAGTACGTGTCCACCGCGAGAGGAAGAAAGATCGTTGACTACAGCGCCAAGACTTGCTTCATCGGTGCTGACGGTAACGTGCATCACGAGTTCCATAATCGCAGATCCATGTTGCAGCGCAGTGGCTTTCAAGGCTGCTTTTGTTGCGTTGCGGGCAGCGGCAGAGAGTGCTGCGGGTGTTGTGTCGGTGCCGAATATGTGGGCTCTCGGGTCGAATGTCAGAATGACATGGGTGTTGTGCATGGGGAAGAGAAAGTTGCCGCCACGACTGAGGGCTGCTAACGCGCCGTTCTTGAGGGATTCGTGAAGAATCTGGAAATCGAGATGATGAGGCAAGTTGCGATTCCACTCGGTTTCTTTTGACTCGTCTGTCGTTGCTTCAAATTTGATACTGATTCTGTTGCCATCCTCGATGGTCGTAAAGTCAGGCTCAAAATTGAGCTCAGCTGTGGGATCTTCGTCTAGGGGCTCAACTTTGGCTATGCATGAAGCTCGAGCTTGCTTGCCACCCTGCTCACGGTCCAAAACATAAACATCGGCAGGGGATGCAGAGAGTATAGCTTCTCTGTAGGCAATCTCGATGTTCCCCATCTTAGCTTTGGCTTTGAGGTCATCTTTCAGTCTTGCCTGGGCAATCTCAAGATGAAATCCACCCATACCACTTAATAATGTCTGGCCAGAGTCTTCATCTTGAGTGACTTGTAGACTTGGATCCTCCCGGACTAGGAGATCAAGGCATTCAATCTTGTTCTTTTCGTCGCTCGGACTGTTCGCTTCGATACTTGCAAAGAACACTGCTGGAGGCACCTCAATAGGTCGTAGCTGAAGAGAGTTGAGCGGTGCGGGTGGCCCTGACTTCTGACTCCCGCCAGCGTAAGCTACTAGTGTATCGCCTGTCCTGGCATGCTTGAGACCTGTAATCACGCCGATCTGGCCTGCTGGAATGGCATCAATTTGGACAGCCTCGTTGGCGTACATTTTAAGTAACTGCGGTGCCTTCTCCGACACTTGAAGATTTGTGTTGAATAGCACGGATTGGCGCTGTATGCTTCCTGAGTAGACTCTGACGTAGACCAGCATCCCCCGACGAGGATCAAACACCACCTTGAAGGCCAATGCACAAGCCTCCAGATTCTGTATGAGGGCCGCACTGGGCTGCTTACGGTGTGCTAGACTCTTATTGGATTTAGTCACACTTTGGGTGCGCATTAGTTCGCCGCGCAATAACTCAGAGAGGGTGCCCTGCTGTTCACCGAGCTTGACAACCGGATCTGGGGCTTCGGTTGGATATGGAAGTAGCTGTACGACTGCATCAAGTAATGGCTGTACGCCAATGTTCTTGAAGCTGGCACCAGCGAAGATGGGCGCGACATTTAGATCCAGATTGCAAACCGCACGACGAAGACTAGTGACCATTTTGCTGCTGGAAATAGCAAGCGGGTCGCCACCAGCTTCAAGGTAATCATTGACCATACCTTCGTCATGTTCGCTCAAAAGTTCGACCAGAGCTGCACGAGCCTTTTCAATCTCTGTTGCGAATCGTGGCTCGCTTTGGTGTAGGCTGGCTAGACTGTGGATCTCAAACTTGGTACCGTCGCCCTCACGCGGCCACTTGATAGCTTGCAAACTCACAGCATCACCTATGCCAGTGAAAGCACCCTTTCCACCTTCCCACCAAGGAATCGAGCAAACAGCAGGCCAAGCGCGCAGTCGAGAAGCAATCTGCCTCACGGTCTCGCCAAAGGCTGCGCCTTCTCGATCGAGCTTGTTAACATACACGAGCTTTGGTATCCGATACTTCGCAGCCTGTAACCAAACCTTTTCAGTTTGAGCTTCGACACCCGCAACAGCATCGAGGATACAGACAGCACCATCCAGGATTCGGAGTGAGCGCAAAACCTCGAATGTAAAATCTGCATGGCCGGGGGTGTCAATCAAATTGATGTTGTGAGGATCTGAGATTGCTGTCTGAGTCGATGAAGGGTTCGGAATGGAGGCATCTGGAAGTGGTGGCCAGTGGAATGAAATTGCAGCTGATTGGATGGTTACGCCTCTAGCGCGCTCGAGAGGTAAAAAATCTGTGACAGTCGATCCATCGTCGACGTTGCCTATTCGTCTAGTATGCCCACTATAGTAGAGCATACGCTCCGTGGTAGTTGTTTTACCGGCATCGATATGTGCAATGATGCCGATGTTTCGAGTCTTGGAGATATCTGGTGAATTACTGGCGGGTTTTGCCGCCCTCCAAACGACGCCATAGCTGAATAATCGACTCGCATATCGAAGTCTACAGGACTTGGTGAGACGATAGGGCCGACTGAAAAGCGTATACATCCACTCAATCTACAGAAATGATTGGACATCTGCATGATTTCCGTATGGAAGGAAAGAGCGGCTAACGCGGTCGACGCGTCTGTCAACCAATCAAAAGCCACGATTTCTGCTATTCAATATATAAGAGCTAGGAAGAGGATATAGCAATGCCTCCTGGTCCTTTGGAGTCATTAATAGTCCTTAATTGGTCGAAAGTGTGATCTTGAGACTTGAGTCCTTTTGTAATTGATTTACGCAGCAGCTACAAGCTAGTCTCGGTGGCATCAAGCTTCTGCGACACATCTGTGACAACGACAGGAGGATTTGGGTAGCATATCCCGCCCTCCCTCGAGCTGTAGCAGGCACCTTGTGACCTTGTAACCATTCATCCAATGCTCGAATCCACTGGACATGATTGGCAACGCGATTGGGTGCCGTAGATATTCCACGTCTCTGGGGGACTATGCTGCTAGTCGCTTATTGGTAGCGGTGTGCGCAAGCATAACGTATTCCGTAGACTCGAAATCACTCAGAGCTTCCTGGATCAATAGTCAGCAAGTGTTGATCGCGATCGCAGCTTCTTGGGAATAGTCACCATACGAGAAAGGTGGGCAACAGTTCAAAAGGTTCTCTAATCATAGCGAACGACCACGGAACCGACGTTCATCTGTAAAGGTCTCTCAAGTTGGAATCATTCACGGTCAACTGAGATGTTTCTCGACCTCTGTCGTCTGATGTTCTTCTCTTGCTTCCAAGCCTGATTCGCACTGGTCCCTATAGCTCTTTCATGTTCATCTTTCAAATTCTCGAGGTCACCGTGTACATCGTCTAGGAGGAACCGGCCAAGGTGTCCGCTTCTCCATCGCTGGATGAGCCACAATGCTGATGCCTCAACGTCTGGACTTCCACCTTTTTGCAACCTTCCTGTCTTGTTCGCCACGGCTTCTAGGAGGTCCCAAACCTCGTTGGTAGGTGACATATACTCTTGGTAGATTCGAGGATCCTGCTTATTCATGTGGAACAGCAAATAGTCCGCCATAGTCGTAGGTGCAATGATGGTATCCTTCACGCTACCACACAACGCCAGCTTCAGCATAGACTCGGCGTTCGGAACATACGGGACGAAGACCCCGGGCGTGTCGAGAAGATAGACATCCTCGCCGGATGGCCCACCGTCGATGATTTTGACTGTAGTGCCAATCTTTCTTGTCACACCTGGCTGAGCTCCAGTAGATGCTACTTTGCCCTTCTGGACACCCACTGATCGTAGTGCATTCAGGAGTGAGGACTTTCCCACGTTGGGCATTCCCACAACCATTACTCTGGATCCCACAATAGTGTCTTTAGTCACGGCGTGATCACGGGCAAAATTCAAGATATTCCTAGTCGATCTTTTGTCCTTGTGGTTCGAGAACATCACATCTGTAGGCTTTTGTACATCTTGTATGGTTTGTTCTGCACGTAGGTCCTCTGGCCGTCCTGCGCTTCCCAGATCTTGCTTCGTGTATAGTATCAGTCTTTTCTTGCCAGCCAGCTCTTCTTCGAACAGAGGATTACGAGACGTGAGAGGCACCCGGTAATCACGGCACTCAATCACAAGGTCGATCTGTGAGAGCAGAGTCTTCATTTTGTTCAGTCCAGCGCGATGATGGCCGAGGAAGTAGGATCGAGGGAGGGAGTCGAGCGCAGGGAATGCTGCGCGCGGAACAAAGGAGGCCATGTCGCAAGTCTGGGACGAGATGCATCATGTGTCTAGATAGATGGCATACAGAGTCAAGCTTTATGTCTTGCGTTGACAGGTGGAGAGTGAAGGGAAGGAACTACCGGACTCGGCGGCGAACTATATTTGGTCCGCAAATCGGCTAGCGTTTTACAACTCTCTTATTCCTTTACACAATACCATGCCTACGCCGTTGAGGATTCTGGTGCCGATAAAGAGGGTCATTGACTATGCTGTGAGCCGTTCTTGTCCTACTTCACTTCATTTCTGCTCATTGAGGCTGTTGCTAACGCCGAGTCCCAGATCAAGCCCCGAGTCAATAAAGCCCGAACAGGCGTCGAAACCCAAGGCGTGAAGCACAGCATGAATCCCTTTGACGAGCTTTCGATAGAAGCTGCTGTACGGATACGAGAACGGAAAACCATGCCAGTTGAAGACATCCTCGCCTTCTCAGCCGGTCCCGAAAAATGCACAGATGTCTTACGAACAGCCATGGCCATGGGTGCAGACAGAAGCATACACGTCGAGATACCTGCAAGCGACGCTTCCTCCGAACTAGAACCTCTCGGCGTAGCGAAGGTGCTCAAAAAAGTGGTGGAAGAGGAAGGCAGGAACCTAGTCATTCTTGGAAAGCAAAGCATAGACGATGACTCGGGCCAGACGGGGCAGATGCTCGCAGCGCTGCTCGGATGGGGGCAAGCTACGCAGGCAAGCAAGATTGAGTTTGAAGGAGAGAATCACGTCCATGTGACCAAGGAGGTTGATGGGGGCGTGGAAACAGTCAGGAGCCCATTACCTATGATCATCACAACAGACTTGAGGCTCAACGAGCCACGGTACGCGACGTTACCAAACATAATGAAAGCAAAGAAGAAGCCCATTGTGAAGAAGACACTGAAAGACTACGCTGTCGAGGAAGGGAGGAGGCTGAAGACGCTGAAGGTCGAAGGTATGCTCAATGGGCTCGAATTTGAAAGGGAAAGATGACTGACAAACTCTCACAGAACCTCCTCCGAGACAAGGTGGTGGCAAGGTCGAAGATGTAGATGGATTAATATCTAAGCTAAAAGAGCTTGGTGCTATATAGCATCGAAAGTATGATTGCAAAGTATATTCTCATGAGCCAAATTCCCTTGTCGTCTTCGGTGCGTCTGCGATAATGCGACGGTTCCGATTTACACCTTGATACCCAGCGACTTGTACAATGTATTAACGCTCGATCCTTGATAAGCACTCGCTCCGCTATGTTTGTTGCAATATGGCTTCTGACGCCTCGCTCAGTCCCAAATAAGCACTCGCTCCGCTGTGTTTGCTGCAATGTGGCCTGTGACGCCTCGCTAAATTCAAGCAAATGAAACGCTCCGCCGTTGGTATGATGCTACATCTGTTTCAATGTAAGTATGCGTCTGATTCAGCTGTTCACGTTGCCTTGTAGCAGTACTTACGTCGACCACCCGCTAGATTCAAGCAATTCAGTAGCTCCACCATCGACACTCTCCTGATCCGTCTCAATGATCCCTAAGCCTGTCCCTTCGCGCTCTGTACTGCCTGCGTGTCATCTGGTGTCGGGCTTGGCTGTTCCTTGACCTTCTCTAGCCAGCTAGATGGGACTAAACCGGCGTGTCCAGCGTTGTCGAGATGTCTTGCCAGGTCCGCTTTCTGACGGTTGAGAGCTTCGGCTGTCAGTATTTGATACTGCGTTATCTGCAAGAGTTGCTTTGTCGATTCTTTGAAGCGGTCAGGGCCCGAATATGGTGTGTCGGTGACGCCGTCACGGAGCTTGTACCTCTCTTCGAATGCTGCAATCGCCTGAATTGACTGGCCGCATTGTTCGATCAAGCCTTGACTTGTGAATTCGAAGTGGTTGATTGCGTCATCAAGAGCTTGCGATAGATGCGTAACTGTGTCACAAAGCGTCGAATCTCCTGTCTGAAGCGGCCATGTTGAAGGTGTGTATTGAGTGACAGAAGGCGTGAAAGGTGACTTCGCCGGTGTGAAGTCTGGCGCTTGCAGAGTCGATGGAGAAGGTGTATGAGTCTGGCTTGGTAGGGTGCTAAGGTCATGCTGGGATGCCTTGTTATGGATGTGTCGGAGTTGGTGGGCGAGATGTGGTGGGAATGAGGCGGTTTGCGGCGTTTGCAGCCGCCAGTTGGTATAAGTCGGCTGCGCTCTGGCAGCGTTGCGGCCTGCCACCGCCGGCTCTATACACGTCAATTCACTTCCTTCAAGAAACAGAGTGAATTATTGCTTACTCCCTGGCTCACGCTGTTGTGGCTGGTCAGCCACCTTGCCCGTATGCCAATGGGAATAGAGGCATTCAGCCTCGTCGTGCGAGCAGCGACCGTAAGTCGCCCAATAGTAGCATGTAAGGAGCTTCGTTTTGGCCTGATTGGCCGGCGGAGAGGCGATAAAACGAGGCACGAAGGGAAGACCAGGGAAGGGCGCGGCGGCGGCGTGACTCGGAGAAAACGTGAAACGAGACATTTCTCAAAGACGTATTCACTTTTAACAACGAATAAAGTGAATGAAAGCGAAAAACAAGTCAACAGATGCAAGCTGGGTGAATTCGACAAGAGAAAGAAGTGAACGACTGCTCGTTCTTCGCCTGATATATACACGCCGACTGTACGCGGACACCACTCACGGGAGCTAGATCTTGTGACACCTTCATCCATATCTCCGCAGAGCATTATCCCGTTTTAGCATCTAGTCAGTGTCTGAATGAGGTTACTCCTATCCGGCAACTTTCGATCCGTGACCACTGGTCAATCCTAGCCTCCGTGCCTCCGAGCTCACTGCATTGGGAATTTCTTCGTATAGAGACTTCTCAATGGGAACCCATCCGAGTAATTCACGTGCTCTCACCGCCCGACAACGTGAATTGGCTCCCCAAAGAAGGGATCCGTATTTGGTCAGTCGATCACCCTCGTCAGCTGAAACAGACAACACTTGATCATCAGAAATGAGGCCTTGTTTCTTTGCTTCACGAGCGACCGCTTTGGAAACGTCGCCCCAAACGTGCTCACCGTTCTCAGTGAAGTAATAGCCTGCAGCGCCCCAGGTTGCCTCACCGCCGCCCGCCAAAGCGGCATTGACCAATTTGAGATAGACCTTACTCATGTCTTTCACGTGAATGTATGTCCAGAATGTCTTACCGGCACCGATCTGCAGCCCATGCCCTTTTTCAAGCGTGCAGCGTGCGAGTTCGTACAATTGATGACCCCTCACGTTTCCGGGTCCACGGGCAACACCGTAGATTGTCGGTGGACACACAATTGCGGTCTTGAGACTTGGACCATCACTTTCGATCACTAACCTATCCACTTTACGATGCGGTGCAAAATCTGGAAGGGATGTGACTTGGGTAACACCGCTCCAGTCATCGTAGATATCATCTGCAGCCTCACCAAGAGTTCTTGGCTTTTTGTTGAAATTGGATTCTAGATCTTTGTGCATCAAGATACCAGTACCTGAAGTATGGATCAGATATTTCGGCCCATCAGCTCTGTCGCCAGCAGTGAGTCCTTTGATCAAGGCCTTGGTGGCCGCCTCGTGATCAGCGCTAGCACAGTCTGACACTTTTAGAGATGCACCGATAATCATTGCATGATACTCAACTGAGCACGATGTCTGCATTTTGAGCTTCTTTCTCCAGTGCTTCCACACTATCGAGATCACCATAAACAAGACGGACTTTCGGGTACTGACTCGCCACTTGAGCGCCTTTATCACTATTACGAACGAGGCATGCGAATTCAAAATCAGGATGGGCATTTGCTATTTCATAGAAGACATCTCCTCCAATGTACCCTAAAGCACGACAAGGTTAAAGATAATTGCCATTGACAGTTGTGGACTTGCCTGTGACCCCAGTCCTGTATATCAGGTTTGGGTCAGTACACTTGTCAGAGCTTCGAGTCAGCGTTCTCTTGCTCACACGAAGACCTTAGTTGCCATGATTTCTTCTCTAACAATCACCCTGCACAAGTCTTCGATATAGGTCCAAATCAAATTCCCACTTCAGTGCTGATTGCTCTGGATGCCTTTGCGTTGATTGTTATACACGTGCTATCTTAATGAGTCATAGATTTAGACCTCTTCAGGAGGCTTCACACCTAACCCTTGACTCATTGAACCACGATGATGTGTTGACTTGATTACAAATTTGTATGCGTATGAGTCTTAGTATCAGCAATAGATCCTGAGGGTTTGAAATGGTTTGATGCAAGTCTGATCGCTCGAGGATATCTTGCACCCACGGACTTATCGGAGATATGGCTCCCCGTGGTTTTGGATCTACGCATCTGTGATCTGAAGTGCGTGCCTGCGCTTAGGTCGGCTCTTCATACGACAATCAAATGCGGAGCGCCAAGCCTTGAACCTGGTTGATTTTCGCATTGTTCCACCACTTCGAACTTTGCCAAATGCAACTCTTTATCGAACACCGCGCACGCCTTATGGCTTAGGCCTCCATCATATCTCTTTAGCCTGCTTCATATCCCTAGGACTCTTCTCTACGTTCTTGAGGACGCTGCCTGTATCTGCTCACTCTCGTGCGAGCGATAGCTGCATCTCAATCCCTGTTCGCAAGTGGACTGGCTGCCCATAAACCCACCGATGATCGAACTTGGTGGTACTCACGTACAGATAACGCCCTTCTGGGCTTGAGCCCATGGCTCCAGGAGGGGGAGCGAAGAGGAAGCGAGGTGATAGGAGCTACTCTGGCGAAAGCAGAGATGAGGGTTCACGACCTTCTCCACACCGGCCTGATAATTTGAGCCTAGGCCAACGACCTCAGCAATTTGGCCAGTACCCGGTATCGCATGGAAGAGGCGGCTACAATAATGATCGTGGACGCGGCGGCAGACGCGGGGGTAGAGGAGGAAGCGTACCTAATCACAGTCCTCAACAAAGTCCGATGTCAGCGACCCTGCCGCAGATATCTAACCACGAGCATGATTCAAGGGGTATTCCTACGCCGAGTGCATTGCCACCCCCCAAGCGGATGCCAACCAACAAACGACTACCACTCAAAGCAGAGCCCCACCTCTCCCCACCTCTGAAGACCCGCAACAACATACACCAAGGCCAGAGCCGATAGCCTTTTGCTACACACACATTACAGATAGTGTCATCCAGTCGTGGCAGGAGAAGGGCAGAGAAGGTATAGTGACAAAAGGTGTTGAAGCTCAAAGCGCTCAAGATATCGTTCTGCTTGCAGAGCTATTCCAAGAGCTTATACGATCGTCTGTGGACTCTCGTCTTGAATCGCATGAAACTGGTACAGTAGTGAATGAAATTGCTAAACCAGCGTCGGCAGATCAAGATTCAGCTGAGATGATTCAAGATGAAGATTTGCTTGACGCAAGCTCTTTATTCTTGGACACTTTGTCTGTGTTCGTGGAGGCCTCCAGTTTCTCATCCTCAATGCGTACGCTCTTACATGCTTCTGGAATACCTGCACCTAAGATACGCCGAGAACTAGATACGCCGCTGTTGGAGTCTTTGGGGTTGATTCGCAGTACATTTACAAAGATGGGAATAAGGCAGCAGACTAATCGTCTTTACCGGCAATCAAACTACAATCTCCTGAGAGAGGAGACGGAAGGTTATTCCAAATTAATCACAGAATTTTTCACAACAAGCAACAATGAGCCGCCCACTAGCGAGGTTGTGGAAGATACATTCGAGAGAGTGAAGGGCATGATTGGGGCCTTTGATCTTGACGTTGGTCGAGTGCTCGACATTACACTTGACGTATTCGCAGCTGTCTTGGTGAAGCAATATCGATTCTTCGTCAAATATCTCCGCGCTAGTTCGTGGTGGCCTTCCGATGCGATGGTTGAAGACTCAGATGCACGGCATGTCCTCGGACCATTGCCTCGGTGGGCACTTCCAGGGTGTGAGGGTCGAGTCTTAAACGAGGAAGAACGGGAAGAGGCAACACGACTCAAAGATGAGAGGGACATATTGTTTTGGCGAAGATGCAAAGAGGTCGGTCTTGCGGCTTTTTTTGAACTTGGGGGTCGCTGCAAACATCAGGATGATATTCAATCTGCCCAAGATAAAAGCAAGGATAACATCGTGTCCGGCTTCGATGCAGATCAACATTGGATCGAAACAACAAGAACCTCGCCTCCAGTGGGCAACAAAGTCGCAGCACAGGTTCTTGGCTTCAAGCTCCGGTTTTACAACTCTAACGCACGAGACACTTCTGATACGTTCGCTATAAATCTCATATATCTAGCGTCTCTGCTCATCAAGATCGGCTTCATCTCATTAAAAGATCTTTACCCACACATATGGCCTGAAGACCAGGCAATGGATAGCGTGCGGGAGGACAAATTGAAGGAAAAGGCCGAAAAGGAAAAAGCCAACAGACCAGGAGGAGGCACCAATGCGCTTTTGATGGCCGCCCCGCTTCCTGACGACACAATTGAAGCTTTGCCCCGTGAGGCGGCTCGACTCCGAGAAGCCGAAGCTGCAAGACGACAGCAAAAGTTGGATTTAACTACAGGCCGGTCAACGCCAAGCGTGCAGCCAGAGGAAAAGACTGCAGATTTGCCGGAACCAGCTGAGCAGAAGGTACAATTACTAAAGAGTTTGCTCTGCATAGGCGCTCTACCGGAAGCACTTTACATGATGGGTCGCTTTCCTTGGCTCCCAGACGCATTTTCTGAGCTTCCTGAGTACATACACAGAATCTTACACCATTGTTTGTCCAAAGTCTGGGAGCCCCTTAGGCCTCTAAAGGACGAAGGAACACTTAGAGCACAGCAACGATTTCCCGACACAGAACAGGGTGGTGTCCCAAAGGGTCAAGTCAGACTAATTGAGGCGCCTGCAAGAAGGACTCTGCGATGGGCTCAGCTCGACAAAGACGATACCACTGAAGCTGTTGACTACAGATTCTACTGGGACGACTGGGCTGATATTATACCTGTGTGTCAAAATGTCGATGACGTTTTTATGCTCTGTTCCACGCTTCTAAATTACAGTGGGGTTAAGATTGGTCAAGATCCATCTCTCTTATTAAAACTTGTTCGAATTGGCAGCTACTCATTGTCGGCTGACGCATCGGAAGAGAATTTCGCGAGGTGGACGGATCTTTCCAAACGTCTCCTTTTACCGGCACTCTCCATGACCAAATGCAACCCCAGTATTGCGAATGAAATGTTTGAGATGCTCAAATGTTTCCCAGAATCCACTCGTTACAATCTTTACGCCGAGTGGAACTTCGGGCAGATTTCGAGATTGCCCGATGTCAAGGCCGCTTTTGAGCAGACTAAGGCAGAGACGCGAGATATTCTTAAGAGAATCAGCAACACTACAGTCAGACCAATGGCTCGCGCTCTTGCAAAAGTAGCTTACTCGTCGCCGGGCATCGTATTCTCGGTAGCCATTGGACAACTCGAGGCGTACGAAAACATTGTGGATACTTTTGTTGAATGTGGACGCTACTTTACCTTTCTTGCTTACGACGTCCTCACTTGGTCACTCATGAACTCATTGAGTGGACAAGGAAGGGATAGTCTTCAGGCTGACGGCATTTTAACAAGCAAATGGTTGGCAGCATTATCCTTATTCGCCGGCAAGGTCTTCAAGAAATACTCCATCATGAATCCGCTACCTGTAATCCAATATGTGGAGCATCAGCTCCGGCAGGGCAATCCAACACATCTCATCGTTCTGGAGGAAGTCACCAGATCAATGGCTGGCATTATGTCTGACGTCAGCTTCACTGAGGCCCAAATAATTGCATTGAATTGCGGGAAAATTCTCCGCGCTCAAATGCTACAACAACTCCAGGATGAGAGACATAAAAAGGAATTCGAAAAATCGGCGAAGCGAATCACGAAGCCGCTGGTTGACTCTCGGTTGGCCGGCAAGCTCTTGATCTCCCTGGCCCAGGAACGACAGACCTGTATTTTTCGAGTGGAGGAAAACAACGCCCATCCGAAGCTTCTAGGGAATGTCTTTGATCAGATCAATCGAGTCTTTGGTCAATACCTGGACTTCTTGAGAGCGTACCTCTCAGTAAAAGAGTTTGATCAACACGTCCCCGAAGTCGGCGAGCTAGTGAATGAATTCGGCCTCGAGCCCGGCGTCGCATTCTGGATATCCCGAGCTACCATCAATGCAAACATCGACGAGTATGAGGCTGCGCACCGCAAGAGTCTTTCTGCAACGAAGAAGCCCGAAGTCGATGGTGTTTCCAATTCCCAACCTGATCTAACCCGGCAAAACTCAGACATGGCTGTAGATGTAAAAGAGGCCACCGTCAAAGAAAGCGATTCGATGGAAATTACAACCACAAGCGCTGAAACGGCCGTAACCGACACGCAACAAGAACCTGCGCCGCAAGATGCCATGATCGAAGCTGATCCAACACGCTCAGAACCACCGCCAAGCTCTAAAGCTGATCTAGCCCCACTAGCTTGCCATCCCAAGCTTCAATTGATTGCAGAAAGTCTTCAAAAAGCTATTCCGATTGAGGTCTGGCAAGTTCTGAGCCCTGCATTTTATGTCACTTTTTGGCACTTAGCACTTGGCGATATCATAAATGCAGGTACAGCGTACACAGATGAGTCGAAGAGGATTCAAGATCAAATCAAAGCTATTGGGGCTGATCGTACTGACGTTAGTATTGCGGGCACGAAAAGAAAGAAGGACGAACAGGAAACACTCACTGACCTCAATACCGCTCTCACTGCCGAAATGAAAGACTATGTGTACCTAAAGCACCTACCTCGCCTACGAAAAGAGAAGAACCATTGGTTCACCGGGCTCTGGGGTCGATATGACGACGTTCACGTCACGCTCATAGAGCGATGCTTCTTTCCAAGATTGACTTTATCTCCAACAGATGCATATTTCACTTTTAGGATGATCAAATGGCTCCATAAAGAAGGTGCAGCAAGTTTCAAGACCATGGGTGTCTACGACAAGTTTTTCGACAGAGGCCGACTTACGTCAATGATATTTTTATGCAGCGCCAAGGAGGCAGAATGTCTTGGCCGATTCATCAACGATGTCCTTCGAGACCTTGGGTCATGGCACAAGAGTAGAAGTACGTATGAGAAAGAAGCCTTTGGGCCAAAGAAAACGTTACTGGGCTTCTCGAAAGTCAGACGGGATGAACAGGGAAAAGAAGTGCCTGACTTCGTTGATTACGAAGATTTCAGACGGCTTCTCATGAAATGGCATCGTCTTCTTAACGCAGCTTTGAAAGCATGCTACGCCAGCGGCGAATACATGCACATCCGAAATGCGATTACCATTCTAAACATTGTCTTCGCCCAATTTCCCGTGGTGGATTGGATGGGAAAGAACCAACGGGAAGGACTAGCGGCCCTACTGAAGTCTGAGCCACGTGAAGACTTGAAGATTGCTATGACCTCGGTATTAGGGCTGCTCAGGAAAGGCGAGAAACGCGAGGTAATGCCTCAAGCTTTTTGCCTAGCACCAGATAATGGCAAAGCGGGTGGCAGTGGGGTTCGTGCAAATTCAGTGCGACCAAACACTCCTCAACCCAATAATGGGGGTTCTAAGACACTGAACCCTTCTGCTCCAGCATTTAGACCGAGCCCCCAACCAGTGTAAGTAGACTGTGCGGAACAGTCTGAGATCAAGCCGCGCTGACAACCTATCTTCAGGACCAATGGTGACCCAACGAGCTCGAAGCCTATGCCTGGAAAAGTAGACGCTGAAGACGGAGAAATTGATGATGCGCAGGTGAAAAATGCATCCGAGAAGGTCGAAACGAACACATCGCAATTAGACAAACCCGACAATACGACTCAACAGCAAGCGCAACCCGCGCCTAAGAGATTGCCTGACAGTCTGCCAAAGGCAGATCCACCTCAAAATCCATCAATTACGTCGAGGTCTGGTTCCGTGAATTCTGCATCCAATGTCAAGGCACCCGAAGTTGCTCAACTTAGCAAGCCACCTTCAATCCCAGATCGCCCAGAACCACGTAGACCCACTTCATCTACGCCTCTGAATGGACATGCTGATCTTCCGAGCAAACCAGATCCATCTCAATATCGACATGGAGATTCACGTGTGCCTCAAAAGGTTGACGAACGACCACCTTTACATGCTCGTGACACTCGTATAGGGGGACGTGCGGGTTTAGAAGGTGCCAAAGATCTTCCAAACGCACGAGCCCCAGAGCGGCCTCAGTTGTTGCAGCCTCCTCGGGATGTAGCTCAGGGCAATAATAGGATTGGACGCTCAGGTCCTGACGATGGATATGGGCGATATCCACCACGAGACACTAGAGCACCCTTGTCTGACGATCGTTCTTCGCGTCTACAAAACAGTCGATCATTCCCTGAGTCTGAACACGGAGGTCGCGATTTCAATCCTGGACAGCGTGGTAGAGAGTCAGCGGCAATTCCGCCGACTGGCAACATACCGGCACATCCCGACCGAGAGGCTTTAATCCATGGGCCATCAGATTCGGAGCGAGAAAGACATCCTCGCTATCCTTCAGAACGGCAAAATCACTCAGGGCCAGAAAGACGCTCTCGCCATTCTTCGCCACTTCGAAGTGACGGGCGCGGCCCTATCAATGACAGTAATCGTCAATCATCCGACTCTCGATATCAGTATGAAGATCGTCCAGCATACGGTCATTATGAAGAGCCATCGGCGCCTACCGGACCGAGGAGTGGACGTGGTCCTATGGGCCCTCCGAGTACCTCCAGTGACCGTTTCCGTGATACAATGCGCCCACAGCCAACGCCAGGATCTCTGGCTGACCCCAATGTTGGTCGACTTCGGCATGACGCACAAAACAATAGGCAGTCGGAGTCTTATGGTCGTCTGAATGCCGAGAGTGATGTGCCATCAGGCCCCAAACTCTCTAGCGGAAGTGCTCAACCTACATCACGAAATGGGCGTAACGTCAGCGCTCCCCAGTTATCGACTTCTGCGCCGCATGTTGGAGGCACTAGCCAGCCTCCTCTATCGCTACAAACAGCCCGACAAGCTCCAAATGGACCTGCTTCAAGCGGACCAGCTCTACGATCTTCTCCAAGAAATCAGTCCCACGGGCAAAGCAGTAATGCGTCTGGGCAAGGAGAGAATCAGACCTCCGAAATTGCCGGCATACATCCAGACCGCTTGAAAGCCATACAAGGCGTTGGACCTCAAGCAACCAGACCAGCCCCAGTGGGACGAGGTGGCGGTCAAGCGCCTCCATCGCCGTCCTCGACTCTACCGACCGAGACTCCCCGTGGGCCCAATAACCAAAGCAACGCTGGGCCTCCTCCCGCGAGAAATGCGGGCCCGCCAACAGGCCCTGCAGATCGAAGAAGCGACAAGCGGTTCACAGGACTTCAAAGTGTGCTGCAACAATCAAACGGGCAACCGCTTGCTGAACGGGTGACCCAAGGAACAAATATCCGTGGTAGAGGTGGACGTGTCAATACCGCAGCCTCTCCGTCCACGTCTGGTCCACCTACGCCAATCAATCAGTCTTATTCGCAGAGAGACGAGCCGTTTGAATCACGTGCGAATGGGTCCTTTCGAGGACCAATGCAAGGGGATGACTCAAGCTATGGACGCAACACACGACATGAGCCAGCTGGTGACGAGAGACGATCAGCGCGTCATCGTAGTCGCTCCCCAGGCAATAAGTCCTTCGACTACGGGTCTCGGCAAGGGCAAAGTGGCCTGCCGCCACGCGGCGATGCAAGAGAACGCTTTGGGACCGACGGGCCATCCATGAATATACGGGGAAACGCAGAGGCGGATTTCAGGAGCGGGCCGCCTTTAGCCGCGGAGCGCGACCATCGAGGGTCGAGGCGTGGAGGTCGTGAAGATCAGTCAGACCGTAGAGACGGCCAGGATTGGAGAGCTGGTCCCGGTCCTGGGCCTGGAAGACGCGGGGACGAACGAGAGGGCAGAGATGGAGGGGGCAGTTTGCGCAAAAGAGGCAGAGCGGATGAAGGCTTTGTGGATCGAAATATGGATTCTAAAAGACCGAGAAGGTGATGGAAGACTTGATTTGATGGATCTGTATTACTATATTCCCCTATAGTCTGGAGTATTTTGGGGAGGGTACCGGGATGCATAGCGGTGGTGTTTGAGCACACAGGAGAGAGAGCACGGGCCGCATTTTTCTGGCGATGGATGGCTCGTGCATTTTTTTCTTCCTCAGAATCAGTTTTAGATCAAAGAAGGTGCAAGTGACAATCAAGAATTTGCACTCCTCCTCCAGCTCATCGTTCGATCTCAGATCTGCCCTGTCGTCTTGCGGTATATGTTGACCGCCAAATAGCTCATCTGATCACGAGCTCGTGTACGGTCAGCTTAGAAGGCCTGGAGGCTTCTCCCAAACGACCAAGCAATCTCCCTCCCCACATTTGATCTTTGGGGGTCAGTGGAGCCTCGTAGAATTTTGTAAATGGCGCAGATTTCTCTTCGACCGGATAGCGGATGAGTAGAAACGAGCCAGCCGGCAGGCTACCATTTCGGATGAGGACCGCGCAACGGTGGCAGCAAATCTCAGACGCCAACCAGATGGGCCGCCATCGCCGCCAAGGGTTCGCCCAAGGGAGTCAAGACTGAAGGGAAATCAGTGGCAACGAGACATTTATGCGACGCACTAAGGACTTCTAGGCTTGCTTGCTTGCCACGCCAACAGATTCACTAGACTCCAGAGGTGGCTAGCACTAGAAGCCGGGTGCATGAGGTCCCACCAATTGGAAAATAGGAAAGGGATCAGCGGGGGTAATCTGGAGTTTTAGAGCACCTGCATGGTGCATCGTGGAAGTCGCAGCGAAATCAGAATTATCGTGAGTTCGAGGGTGGAAAAGCGGTCTTGTCGAGGGGAGATCGGGGAATTTGAAGGGAAAGCGCGGCCTGGAAATTGCAGCAAATATGCCACCCCAAGTAAAGCATCCAAATGCAAAGTATTCTGTTGGTCACTTAGTCTGGCTTGGCCCAATTGATTCAGTTGCCCGCCCGTGAGTTGGTTTCGTGCTACTGGGGAATAATGGAATCCATCGTGAAGGATGTTTGTGTATCGCTCCAGCTGATGATGCCCCTCATTTCTGGCTCGCCTTTAAAGTCACAGGTCTGCCTGATCAAATCGCAATCACATGGACGGGCGTGAATGGACTCGAGTGATATGCAGGCTGTTTCTATTTATTGCCCAAGCGAACCACGCAGGATGATTCTCTCTGATTACGGAATTCCGTCTTCGCTTCCTTGATCCTCCTGTGGTGCTGGTCTAAAGCCCCTCGTTTCAGGATCCTCACAGACCTCCAATCTGGCCATTTCCATTCTTCTCCATCATTCACTCATCTAAACAACTCTTGCACTTCTCGCCATCTGACTGGATTGGACTGGACGTCGCAATCATGGGCATGAGCGAGAGCATGAAGCGGAAATTCTCCTTCACCAACCTGACTCGCCTCGTGAGTGGTCCATTTTTCTTCGAGACCACGGCTGTCGCGAACTGTTTCACTGGCAAGAATAGAAGCGATTGCGGATTGAGCCTTTTCCACACGCTTCACATGCATCGTGCTCCAAGCTAACGGGTTTCGGCCATCTTGTAGAAAACTGCACAGCCTGCTGAAGACCCTCGTCACGACTATGACCTCGAATCTCCCCCTTACAGTCCCACCACATCCGAAATGGAGCGTCCAAAGCTGCCCCCACATCTGCTGCACGACCTCAAAGAGTCTTGTACCATCCTGGTCACCTTGACGAACCCTCCGGACCCCGATGATGAACCCGACCATGAAATGATCCGGAGAATTGAGGCGGAGCGAAAAGCCAGACATGCACACAAGCGGGCCGTTGAGGCTCAAGCAATGAAGGCAGACTTACGACAGGTGAAGCTCGAAGAAGTCAAGCCAAAGCTGGTGCAAACAAACTCGAAGAAGGAGCAACCTCGGCGATACTCCACCAGGAGGCCTCGACAAGACAGCAAAGATGCTGCCACCAACGCTGCTCCTCAACATTACGTTCCAAAAGATCCGATGGGCCGACACAAATCGAGCGATGCTCAGCCGATATCTCCCGAACCATCGCACGCCATCGTCAGTGAGCCGGTATTACCTCCAGTACATGCTCCAATTGTGGAGCGCATCAGAGAACAGCAGCAGAAGCTGGCGAGGCGTCAAGCGGAAGAGACGAAAAGACGACAGCAACGGGAAGAAGAGTTCTCACGAAGGAAGAAAGCCGAGAATCATGTACTGGGCCATATTCGATCTAGCATGCATATGCGGCCTAAAACATCCGCTGCAGCCACGATTGACTACGAGGGTGACCCCATGACTTTCTCCAGCAACTCCACCTCTCGATCCAATTCCGACTATGCAAATCTACACCAAGCTACATCCACGGGCTTAACATCACTACAAGCTCAATCACCGAGTCTCAATGATGGCCGCTCCTCCGCCAATGATCGACGGCCATCTGATAACAACTCAGTCTCAGATTCAATGAAAGAAATCCATAAACTAGCGCGCCAACGTGCCGACGAGTACACTGCGAACAAGGAGCGTTACTCGCGCCCCGCAAGTCGACAGTCGAAGTTATCCCGAATGACAAGCGCATCAGATTTAGGTAGCAAGAGACCAAGCAGTCGAGCAGGAAGTCTAGCTAGCAGTATAGCAAGCGGCATTCACCATTACATTCGACCTCGAGCAAGCAACCCAGGTTCGGAACAAGGCTCCATCCGCTCTGGACGCTCTTCATCTCTGGGATTTTCATCACGAAGCAGGAGCAGCAGCATGAGCCGACGGAGCAGCTTCAGCAATGGTGGCTGGTGGCGAAACGGGGGATTGAGGCGGCGAGGTAGCTGGGCATCCTTCCGTAGTGGAGGTGGTGAGGCAAAAGAACGGAACAAATTGCGCAAGGATGGTGGGCCCAATCTCAACCGTCCACTTCCTGCGCTACCAGGCTTGGACCAGTACAAAGAGACCAAGACCCACATAGGCCAACTAGTGAAGAAGAAAAAGATCAAGAAGAGCAAGATTGGGGAGCCGCAGCCCTACATGCCGGCGGATGCGCCATATATCTGTACAGCGCCTCCATACTGCCGATCCAACTCGGACCTAGGCTACTATACCGTCAGTGCGCCCTTACTCGATGCGGAGGGTAAAGAGATGGAGTTCCCTCGTTACGACAAGAATGAACAACCTGAAAGGCGGTCAACGCATCCAGAGGCGACGGTGCTCACTAAGGCCGAAGGGGGGAAGGATAGCAAGTTGCGGCGATCTTCGCTCAACCCCATTAAGCCTCGACGTGGTAGCATCACGGCTGATAAATCCGAAAATGATGAGCAGCAGCGCAAACTTCCGCCACCCATGATCAGAGGTCCAAGCTACAAGAAAGAGCTAGCGAACGGAGTGTATCCCCGACGAATGGAGGTCAACGACGGCGGCAGCAGCCACGTAGTGTTCTACGACCAGAGTACGAATCAGACGGTGACTACGCTTCCGCAAGCGACGGGTGATGGGAAGGCGGATGCGCCATGCCAACCAGGGAAGAAGAAGAGCAAAGGCAAGCTGGGCAAGATGCTAGGGGCTGGGAAGGATGGGAGAAGGGCCGTTGCCGCGAATTGATTGAATAAATCCGGGTTTACCTTAATATTATCATGTATGCAAGTTTGGCATTTGGGCTGATTTGCACGTATTGGAGCATTTGATGGCTTACTAAATGATTTCTAATGGAGAGAGAAGTAGATTCTTGGAGGGGAGGGTGGACAGTGCACAGGCTACCACTGCTTTGTAGGCAGATGGCGACAGAGCTGAGATATCAGAGTAGGCCAATGAGAGAAAGTCTTCTGTGATCTTTTTGTGGAGGCGCATACGCCACGGAGGGTTTGCGGTAGGAAAGGGGGTGTGTGTGTGTGACAACTGACAATCGTGCCGTGCCCTACTTTCCTGTTCTTGTCCCTTGGCCCTAGTCCCTGTCCTGTCCTGCCCTGCCCTGCCCTGCCCTGCCCTGTTCTTGAATCAGTTGAACAATAATACTCCTCATCAAGTTCGCAAGAAAGTCGGTCGATAGCGCTTTCCGTTCTCGGAGGAAGCACTAACGACCCGGATGCCAAATTCGTTCTTTTTTTTCTCTTTTTTTCTACCTCCACGACTGCATATGCAAGGTCCAAACAACGGTTCGTTTCAGCCCTTTCTCCAGTCTGGGATCCCGTAACGACGAATGATAGGTATTGTACAGCATCACTAGCTCTCGCAGGTCGGAAGCTCACGTCATCTCACGCACCTCCTTCACGTGGCACAGGGAGCCTTGAATCCAGAGTCCCTGTCCTCTACCTTGATCACCGTTTCAACCTTCAAGCTAGAGCATTCAAGCCCACAGCCCACAGCCCACTACCAAATTAGCAGCAGATGATCAGTCTGGAGAATCACTCACAGAGCATGGCAGACCTGGATGTCATGGATGCCGGCGTCGTGGAAGGTTCCAAGAATAATGCAGAGAACAATCTAGAAGGCGATCCCATCTTCAACCAAGTCCCTAGTTGGTCGAGCTAGCCTTGCGGCCTCTAAACGATCTGAACGACGGGACCTCGACCTAAACCTACTTTCTTGGACAAGGGACCGGTCTATCAGGACTAGTCACCTACCCATGGCTGCATCGCTGCCAAAACGAGCGCTGTCTGAAAATCTCGCACGGGAAGCACGTGGCGACGTAATTCCTGGTGTCTGCTCTTCTGCTCACCTTCCGGGCAACTGAGCAGTTTAGCCTGCATCGAGGGAAGTGTCTGTGCGTGCTTATTGGTACATCCCATCATGCAACCCTCTGAAACTTCACAGAACCTTGGGATGGAGAAACACATGGCATCCAGAAGCTGCCTCCCAACTGCCCGTCTTTGTCACTGCTGCTCGGCCTCAGTCCGGCTTCTGTTCGCTTTTCCAATTGCCATTGTTGGATTGCCCCCTAGATTGTACCTCGAAACGACAGACCCTGTCGCCATGTCGTGGTGTGCATCGTTCACTTACGCTGCCCTCTCGTTCATATCCTGTCGCTCCCCTTCCATCCCTTCTTTTCTCTTTCTAGAGTCAAAAAATCATCCGACATGACCTCCACATCCTCACCCTCCTCCGAGACAGCATTCGCTCAAGCGTGCGATCTTTGTCGCCGCATGAAGATTAAATGTGACCGAAAAGACAATGAATGCGTTCACTGTCTGACCACGGGGTCCGAATGCGTCTTTGCACTGATAGAGAGAAAGCAGCCAAAGGTCAAGAGACCCGAGCAATTATCGGTAATGGAGGAGCGGATTGCAAGGATGGAAGCCATCATTATGTCATCGGGGCTGGATAGACGGTACCGAGAGCCGACGCCTGATAACGCTGATGATGAAGAGCTGGCCGACAAGTTTTCCTCATTGGTTTTCGATGGGAGCGGGAAGAATGCTAGGTACATCAGTACGTCTCATCGAAATGAGGTGCTCAAGGTGATGCTCAAGGCTCACAGAGACTGACCAGGCCCAGCCTCCAACTATTCTCTGCTCTCACCACCAGGAATTCGATGGATCACACAGAAGGTCGGCTCAAAGGATCTTGAGACCGTCATGGCAGAGCCATCACTCGATGATCTAGCAACATGGCGAGACTTTAAAGCAGAATTATATCAGCCTCTGCCTGACAAAGAGCGAGAGCCTTTGCCAAACATTGACACAGCGATTGAATATGTCGAGTGTAGGTCTATTTCGCATGACCAATTACTCCAGCCGTTGATTGACAATTGAAAGGTTTCTTCGCCGATTTCAACACAGTCCATCCACTTTTCAATCGAACAATATTCAACTCTTATCTCTACTCGCAATATTCTGCCCAACCGTCAGAAGATGTTGCGTGGTATGCTGCCTTCAATGTTGTGCTGGCTATTGGAACCATGCAGCAGCAGATGCGAGTTCTAAAGGCAAATGATCTCGGTCCGATTCTAAATCATCGCAATCGACTTTTTACAACAGCCTGGAGATACTTTCGCAACGCCAGTAGTCTTTTCATCGACTTGACCTTTCAATACCCCAACGTTGTATCCGTTCAAGCCATGTTGGGAATGGTAAAACTCCGACTCTCTTTTCATTACCAGCCTAACTCTTGCCACAGGCCTTCATGCTGCAAACCCTTCCTGAGCCCCAGCCTTCTTACACTATGATTGCAGCAGCATGCCAGTTGTCTCAGCGCCTTGGCCTACATACCCCGATACGCCAAAAAGCCGTCTCTCTCGAAGAGCTTGAACAACGTCAAAATCTATTCTGGATCGCCTATTCACTAGACAAAATTGCCTGTCTTCGTTCTGGCTGTCCTCCTACTTTACATGATGAAGATATAGGCGTACGGCTTCCAGGATCTATCTCTTCCTCTCTATCGCCTTCGCCTACGTCCTCTCCTCGAGAACCTTCGATCTCACTCTTCCGTATCCGGTGTGAGCTCAGCTTAATCGAAGGCCGCGTCTATAGCGAACTCTACAGTGCGCGGTCACGATTGCGCTCATCCACAGACAGACTAGCAGCTATAGCACAGCTAGACAAGGAGATTGAAAGCTTGAAGAATCGCACTCCCAAGGAATATTGCCTCCAAAACGAGATGTCTTGCGATAATGATTTTATCGACACGGTGCTAGTGCTCAATTTCGCCTATTACGAGTGCCTCCAAACAATACACCGCGCGAGCCCGTTCTACAGATCATGGTACAATGAAGACAGCCAGCTCTCTCCTCCACCAAAATGTCCAGAAGGCCTCAATCCGAGAGTCTTCTCATCAACAGTGATCTGTTTGGATGCTGCTAGGAGCTCGATCAATCTTCTCCGCTATTGTACCCTACCTCGTCGCATTCACGACGGCCCGAGGCCTGGCGGTGAGCGAAACAAACCTCTGATGTGGAACACTCTTCACGATGTACTCAGCGCTACACTCTCCCTCTTTGTCAATTTGCTACAGAACATCGAAGACGAGAATGCAGAGAGGGACGTACAGCTCATACGTATCGTGGCAGATTTCTTGGGCACCTACCATACTCACCATCAAAGCCGTTCCACAGCTAACACGGAAAATGATGCACACTTCGCGGCAGCCAATCGTACCATCCTCATCTTTCAAACGCTCGTCAAGACGGCTACTACATATATCGAGAAAAACAAGCCGAGGAAGCCGACGAAGAAGAAGAGGGGAAGAGACCCTGCCCCAACCCCGTCGCAAGCAACGACCAGCTCAAATGTCCCCAGCCGACATGCGTCTTTGAACCAGAAACAAAGGCCAATACGCAAAGCCTCCGCCTCAGTATCCCTCTCCTCCCCCTCCAGATCAACAACCGAGAGCCCTCATTCGTCTGGCCTGCCCCCTTCTCGCTCTTCTTCACGAGCATACACTCCTGCGTCCCAGCACAGCGTTTTCGACACCTTCATCCCCCTCTCGGCTGCAAGCATGATCGCTCAGCCTATGACAACCACTGCACCTGGCGACCCCTCCTCCTCCGCGTTCCCAGACATGTCTCAAGTGAACACACCTTATGACATGAGTCACGATTGGCAAAGTTCGCAATCGATAGGACCGGGACTGGAGATGGGGGCGGGGATGGGAATGGGAATGGGAATAGGGATATCGATGCCGCAGCATATGCTAATTCCATCCGCTGGTGCTATCGAGCATGCGGATTTGAGCATGGAGGTTCCATTGATGATGCCGGGTCATGTCCAGGGTTATCCTGATATGCAAGCTGCGAATATAGGGGCGCCGGGCCAGGCGCAGGGGCTTGGCATCGCTGGGCTGCAGGGTCAGGTAGTGTGGGGTATGGATGGGTCGGAGATGGGGGGTTGGTATGCTGGTGCGGGGGTGGGTGCTGAGGTTGGGGTTGGGGGTGAGATAGGTGAGATAGCTGGGGGATTCGGGTCGGAGAATCCGGGACCGCAGCCGCAGGAATGGTGGGATGATGGACATGAAGGGGTAAGAAGGGGGAGGACGGAGCGGTATCAAGACGATGGGTGAGGTGGTTGTTGGGATATCTGAACTTCAAATTCGAATGATATGTGTGGTCTGGTATCTTCATACATGGATAGATGAAACAGCTGCATCGTATCATACCTCTCTCAAGGTATTCCGCCTTGCCAACGGGTGAGGCTTTAGGCGTAGGGCGTCAATTTATTGCACACGCGTACTTCTGGCCAAACGTAGCTCATTTACATACGAAGGGTCCGAAGGGTTTCTAAGACAACAACATGTCTCCCTCGGATCGCATGAACCGGGGCTGAACGATGGGGCTTTCACCCCTTCCTGCGTCGAAAGCGTGACGTGGAGAGATTTGATCTCCTGCCATAATGCGCGATGATGACGGGCAATCTTCATGGCGCTGGCTCGAATGATCGTGCATCGTTGGTGCACTGAACACCTGCATTCAGCACTGCATATCGGCGGACGTGGTGTCTATTTTCTTACAGGGATCTTGGGCGGCCCTCTGAGCCCAGTTTCTGTTCTTAAGGAGCCCTCTTTGGGTGCTTTTACAGGCGCATCGGACTGGTAGCTTAGGGTTTGAGGAAAAAGACACCACGCCAGACGATGGGATATCAGGATTACTAAGCAGCGCGAGATGTTTCACTTCTGGCTAGGGGCTGAAGCACAGCCTCAAAGGATTTTGCACAGTTCCCAATCATCCGCAACAAACATTCCTGCCATTTTCAGCCATCAATGGCAGAAGCTCTAGCCGTCTCTTCCGCAATCGCGAGTCTTGTGACAATCGTCGGCCAAGTGTCCAAGCTTAGCTATGGCTTTCTCTCCGATGTCAGGAACGCATCGAAGTCGCAGAAGATGTTCCTCCGAGAGGTTTCGGCCCTTACTGAGGTGTTCTTGCGAATGGAGGGAGCCCTTGATGTGGAGCAGCTTGATTTATTGAGACCATCATCGGGTTTGAGGACAGCGCTGGAGGACTGCCAAGGCTTGCTTCTGTCGCTCAGGAGGTCGCTGGAGAAGGCTACTGAAGCAGAGAGCCGTGTTGCGAGGTTCAAGTCTTCTGTGCGGTGGCCGTTTGATGAGAAGGAGGTGAAGGGGACGGTCGAAAGGCTTAGGAGATATAGGTTGGTTCTGGCAATGCTATCGATGATGCTGCGAGCTAATGTTTTCTAAGGGATGTGATGGTCGCTTCGATGGCGACTGATACGCTGTAAGTTTACGTAACGTGGACTGAGACGCTGCTTAACATCTATAGTACCGTCTCGATCGCCACACATAGGAAAGTGAACAGTCTGGCACGAGACAGGAATCACGAAGAAATCACCAAATGGCTGGAGAATCCTGACCCACCTCGATCATTCACTGCCCTCTACGAGTCTGCTTGCCCTGGAACCGGTCACTGGTTACTGCGTCATACAGTGTTTTCTGACTGGCGTGATGGCTCCGAACCATTTTTGTGGTGCTATGGTCATCCTGGCGTTGGTAAGACGATCTTATCCTCCATAGCTCTACATGATCTACACGACGTCATTCGTGATGAGCGCATAATACTGCACCATTTCTGCGACAGCTCTCAGCGTAGGACGACGAAAATCTTGCTGCAGAGTCTCCTCCAACAGGTTCTTCGCCAAGGCAATTCGATTCAAACAAACCTTTTAAAGCAGTACCGTACGGAAGTACGCGACCCTTCAATCAAGGAGTTGACAAAAATCCTGTCTGATGTCGTTGATGTTTCTAAATACATATACCTTGTGGTAGATGCGCTGGATGAATTTGAGGACCGCAAGACCTTATTGCCGATTCTCCATCAGCTTGCTAGGGTAGGAATACGGGTCTTTATCACATCAAGAGATATACCTGACATCAGAAATGCACTTCCAGCAGCAACTAAGTTACATATACAATCTTCTCGCGCGGATCTTGAACTTTATGTCCGAAGTCGGCTTGCGGAAAATGACGAGTTTGACAGTATGATTGATGACACTGGTATAGTCTCGGCTGTCATAGACCAAGCAGATGGGAGGTAGGTGATCGAATCCGATCACTGTCTTAATTTCTTGTTTTTACTAAGTGTTCCTAGATTCCTGCTTGCACGCCTCTTGATGGATCATCTTCTCAGCTGTACGACTGTCAAGCAGGTGAAGCAAGCTCTGATTTCAATGCCTGTCAACTTGGCGGATGCTTACGAATCGACTTTCGAGAGACTGCTCAAACAATCTCCGAACAAAGCCAAATTAGCTACTGACGTTATCGGCTGGGTAACTCATGCTGAAAGACATCTTCAAATCGAAGAGCTTCGACATGCCCTCGCCGTTGAAGAAGACGTCGACATGATTGATCAAGATAATCTCACAATGATGAGAACAATATTGCAAGTCTCTATTGGATTGCTATGCATTGATGTGGAGACTAACACTGTTCGAATGATACATCATACCGCCTATGAGTATTTCCGACAACAAGAAGAGCATTTTCTCGACATGCATGTTGAGATAGCCAAGACTTGCTTGACATACTTAGGATATCGGCCAAATAGGGATGGGGCATGTAACGGTGTTGAGGAACTTCGAGACCGCTTCATTATCATGCCTTTCCTAAGTTACGCAGCTCAGCAGTGGGGCTATCATGCGCGTCAAGCTCAAGAAGCATTGAGCTACCCAATTTTACAAAGTGTCAGAAACGACGCTATTCGCGCGAGCTCGTTTCAGGCGCTACAATATCGTGATCTCAAGGATTCTGAGCTGGCCACCGCATTCTTCAACTCTCTACCGAAACAGCTAGAACCGCTACATGTTGCAGCATACTGGAATCTTGATATGATTGGAGAGGCATTTCTTCATTCTGGACAAGATCCTAACATTTTAGATGAACAGGAGTGGTCTCCACTGCATTGGGCTTGCTCTCGCGGCTCGGACGAGATGGTAGAAGTTCTCTTGAAAAAGGGTGCAGCCGTCGACGCCCTTGACCAGTTTCAATGGACTCCACTGTTCTGGGCCTCAATCAAGGGCTACGACTCCATCCTGAGAAGTCTGCTTCGAGCGAAAGCAAACTGCCTCTTGACCGACATGAATGGCTGGACTGTATTACAATGGGCAGCATCCAAGGGAAACGGCACGACCATTCAAATACTCTTGAGTCACTATGCAGAGCTCAGGGCAAGCCAAAAACTGACCAAGGTCTGGGTGAGAGACGTCACGGTGAATGAGGCCAAAACGCTTGGCCGCCTGCAACCTCACGAAAGCCGTAACACATCACCCCTTGAAATAGCTGCAGGAAAGGCAGATTCTGACACCTTCGACACCATTCTTCAAGACCTCGCCAACAGAGGAATCAATGGAAGTTTCAACGGCCTGTGGGAGCAGAAAGGCTGGGATGATCCTCGGGTATCGGTACCATGGCGAGTCATGACGAAATCAGATAATTTTGATCGTAAAGGCCTGAAGAGATGGCAAATATATAAAACAGAGGGTGAACCAGACGAATGGAAACTAAAACTGTTACATGGCGCTATTAGAGACGGCAAGCCTGTCGTGGTGCGGCTCTTGATAGAACTGGGAGTGGATCTACATAGATCTCGCCAAGAAAGAACGCCTTTGGAGCATGCTGCAATGAAAGAGGATCCAGAGATGACGAGAATACTTTTGGCAAATGGAGCGCAATTACGCACTGAAACGATGGAGGGGTACAATACACAATCCGCTTTGCACCTTGCTGTTGCTCATGGCTTCGATCGTACTGTTGAAGCGCTCATTCAAGGAGACGTTGACATCAATATAAGGAACGAGCATGAAGAGACGCCATTATTGCTGGCTTGTCAGCTGAGCAATCGGAAGGACAATGATCTCGCAGATCAAGCCTTACCTTTGACGTTGGTGAAGCTGCTGGTAAAGAATGGCGCTGATATTGGCGCTGTGGACTATAGGGGTCGGTCTGCCCTCCATCTTGCAGTCAAAACTCCAAATTATCAAATTATCAAATATCTTCTGGCGAACAATCTCGATGCAGGAGTGGTTGACGAGAGTGGCTATACGGCTTTCCAATTATTTTGCCAAGAATCGGGGAGGTACCATTTTCCAGCTGATAGTGGAGATGTAGAGATTCTGGATCTTCTGCTCGCTCACGCACCTCCTGGAACGGAGAATGTTGCAGGTCCACAGCAAAAAGAAGAGGATGAGGGTCTTGAGACACCCCTCGCCATGACTCTCAGATGCGAGAATTGGCTTATTTTCCACCTCTTGTTGGCAAGAAAAGCGGTGTTTCACACAACGCGGCCGCTTTTTGACATGTTACGCCGCTCAGCATGGGTTTGGGCAATGCAACCAAAGGCTGTCAGATTATTGCTGGATTTCGGCGCGGACCCCACAGACAGCAGTGACGCCTTCAGCCAAACACCATTGGGGCACACAGCGCTAGAGGGTTTAGTGGACCAGAGATCCAAGTCTGAATCAATGTTTGAAGATTTCAAGGCTATATTTGACATGTATGTGGATCATGGACTCGACGTTAACGCTATTGATAGCCGAGGAGAAAACCTCCTTCACGTGGTGGCGATGAAAGCACTGGAAGACCACCAGTCAGAACTTACTCAATACTTCCTCGATCTAGGTGTCGATCCATACCAGATGACTTACGAGCCCTCCAAGGTTTGGGATGCGTTTCTCCTCGCGGCCATTCATGAGCGACATCAAGTCCTTCGCGTTCTCTTCGCGCATGCCGCCAAATTACCAAAACCGGACCACTGGCTTCGTATTCCCTCTGACATCGACATCGCTCAAGCGCCTAATGACACTCTTATTGATGTAACTTACACATCAGTATCCAATGCCAAACTTCTCGAATCTCTAGACAAAGACAGTTTCACCCCGCTCCGAAAAGCAGTGTCCCTTAAAAGGTCGACCGTAGTCTCCCCTCTCCTCTCGCATTCGGCAGACTTCCACATCGTCGATCAATCTAGATGGACGCTGCTTCACCACGCCGCTCACGGCAATGATCTTGACACAGTCAGAGTGCTTCTGACGGCCGGCTTGTCACCCAATGCACAAACCAGCCTTTGGCAAAATCAATACAACAGGCCATCTCTTCTCTACGAGCGAAACGCCTGGACCGGCACCGCCCTACACCTTGCCACCATGAACGGAAACTTCGAGATGGTGTCCCTATTGCTCGAGCACGGCGCCGATGTCCACGCGGACTCGGGCGCAAGAGGTCACCGTGGTGGTCATGGGCCCAAAGCACTGAATATTGCGGTTGATACAGATGTCTATTACGGGAGTCGTGTGAATCTGAGTGAGAGCATGTTGAGGATTGCGCAGACTTTGGTGGAGCATGGTGCGGATGTCAATGGTGTTGCTGAGCATTTGAGTCGAGAAAATGTGTGCAAGTTCGAGGGCTTTGAGGAATTGTGGGAGAAGCTCAGGAGGGGCATTGGGGAGGGGAAAGGCCAGAGCTTTATGTCTGATTCTTAGGGAAGTTGCTGGACATGAGTTCGAGGTCAGGGGATATAGCTCTGGACTTCAGATGCGGCGCCCACTTTGCAATGGGCTTTGGGATGCTGACAGCTCACCCTCTACTTACCTGCTGAATGAAACCAGCGTAGGCATATCTTGGGCAGTCATTAGGTATGAAGAGATCATTAGGCATGCTTTGATTGGTGCAGACCCGAATGCTCAGAATCAGCCACAGGAGACTACACCTGCACAGCTTAGACCCTCGCTCGCACGCTAATACGAGTTCGATAAAATAGGGTACAGCAGATGATGTGGTTTAAACCCAAAGAAATTCAAGCGCGGCCGCCTCTCGAAGCCATCTTTGCTAAAGGGTCCATCTCTAGACTCATGTCAGCATAGTCACATCCCATCTTGGCTGTTCTAGGGAAGTTGCAGCCTGTTCTGACAGCGGCCTCGACCCTCTCCTACGCGGGGAGCCTATATTTGGTGGGCAGATCGATATTTTCGTTCAAGATGCCTCGACCTCTCGAAGCCTTGTCTCCCCTCAGCTCTCGCCTCGAGATTGTTGGATACATTGATCGCAATGAAAACTCCGGCGAAGAGTCATCTACTCAACACGGAGGTCGCAATCGGAAACGAAGCTCGGCAACAAGGCATTTACGATGTGGAGACTTTCCGAGATACGCTACCCAAAGGACATTTTGGACCTTTCGTTGCAGTAGTTCTATTGGCTTTGGTGTTCTCATTTCTCATCGCCCTCCTCAGGGTTGCAGTGCCCATAAAACATCCTGGCTCACTTTCGAATACTGAGCGAGCTCTGTACGTCACGGGGACAACCATTCTGGCCAGCTGCATAGCTACGTACGTCGGCCGCGAAATAAAGCTTCTATGGACACGTATAATACTCCGCCGGTCCTCTGATGGGATTGGCTATCCCTCCCGCGAAGATATCGCTGAAATGAGGACACTCCTTGGCCTAGGCACATTGCCTGAACAATTTCGTTTCTGGTCTACTACTGGCGCGCTACTTATGATCGGTCTTCTCACAACAGCAATGGTCGCCGGTGTTACTCCCTATGTAGACCAAGTAAACCAAAGGGCATGGAGTGTTCTGTTTACAAACGGGGTTGAGCCTTGTTTCTATGCAAGCGACAATGCTTCAAACGATTGATTCAGCTGGAAAATGGCCAGTGGCTCATATCTGAACTATAACAGTACCTACAGAATCTATGGTGAGGGTTCATGTTATATACATAATGTGCCAGACTTGTTTTCTCCAACAGCTCGTCGACCTTCGGAGTATGCATACGTCGCAGGAGGAGTGCCTGTGTCTCGATCGGCTGTGGGCATTCCTTTCAAACAAGACAGCGGTAACAATGGATTCACCAATGCCTTTGGAGTTTATAGCCAGGGTCAAGTGAATGCCGATATCTACGATTACGATTATGACGACGCTGCACTGGACTTATTCCAATCCGCGACAATATGCGCTCCAGTGGTCAAAAGCAATCCCGTGCATTGCCGTCGCTCAGGCAATCTCTCCGTCACTAAAGAAGGAATCAACGCCACGGCAGACGGCTGCTCCGTCTCCTCTCCTATTTTCTCGGTCGATCCAACGACAAGTCCCGCCAGTTCCATTGGCGTCTGCACCGACGGCGACCAAATCGGCAAAGCGACAATCGTTATCGGTTCCGTTCACGATCACGCTTTCAAGCTGGCCGAAGTCATGCGCGATATCTTGACCGCTCCTATCGCTGCATGGCAAATACCCAACTATATCGTCGCCTGCTCGATTGACATGACGGACTCCATTGACTTTCGAACCGTCAAATATGCCCGCGTCTCGCCGGGTACGTATCTCGACGGCCAGGGCTACTCATTCGAGCTCCACAGCGATACCAACGCGAGTTGCCTGCCTCTCCAAGGAGACGAGCCCTTGACGCTTGAAACGCTTCGCACGGACGGGACACTCGCTCACGGCGCCGCTGCTTCCCACCTTTTGCTCGCTGAGAACATCTATCGAGATGGCTGGTGGCACAATCTGTATTTGTTGGCTGTTTCCCGCGTCACAACAGACGAGCACCTCCCTAACATCTCTAACCTAGTCTTCGACAACTCTGTTAATGGGCTGGAAGATACGCTTGGTGTCGTCAGTGCGGCGGCGCTGAGCATGTATTGGTCGAGGATTTACGGCGGCGAAGATAATTGGACATATTGGGGGAGCGGCTCTGCTGAATTCTCTGGGATACGAGTTGGGCCGGGTGAGGCTTGGGCTGTCGTCTATGTTCTACCGGAGGTGTTTGCTATTGGATTGCTTGTTTATCTACTTTGGAAGAGACGAGGTATCAATTCGATCATATAATAATGGCTTCGACTCATATGGGCTTGATTATCGCCACCTTCCTATGACATTCGCCACGAGATCTACGACCAGCTATCGTTGTCTTATCTCATGGATATGAAAGCCAATAGTTCTGAGATGCAATTACAAAAACGCTCGCAGAAGTGTTGCACCGCAGAATCGCCACACCAGAAATGGCAGCCACGACCAGACTGGTGCTTGTAACCATGCGAAACGACCAACCTAATCCCAACGAACTCGCCTGCTCCTTCGCATCTCAATACTTCGATGAAGTCGAATAGGATCTCAACTCTCCGAAGGCCATGACAAATTGGGCAGCCTCGCGATCTATCAATCCACCCACCAATATGATCGCATCGTGCCGACTCGCCAGATATTTCACGACTGCTTTCTCACTCTACCATATCTAGGACTCAGGGAGTGCGCAGATCAAGGAGCACCCGTAGGGCTTCCTCTACCTTCAGAGACGGACATGAGCAGCAATAGCAGGAACATGATGACGACGCGCTGCGCTTACTTCGCCAGAGGAGCCCATACATTGGTGGCGGAAGTGTTGTGTATTCACCTGCGGGGGCTTGCAGCGGCTTCCCAGGCTGAGTCTACCCCTGGGCACCTACTTATGGGGCTCTTATTGGAGCCTCCAGGCAGGCGGCTTAGGGTCTGATGAAGAGGATACCACGCCAGGCTATGGAATAGATGGAGAAAGAACTTCATACACGAACGAACGAGTGAAGGGAGAGGGGACTGCGAGAGGCTGATGAAAGGACTGACAGAGTAGGATGGTGAAAGTGGTGATTCCTACATGAGCTCACGGCAAGTGTCTCTGGGATAGGGGATCCCGTCTCGGACTTCGTCGAGGGCCACGACATTGGGCTTCGAGCGCAACGCAAGCAATGTTCATTTTTTCCCCTCTGACTTGGGGACCTTTGAATTGAAAGGAATTGACTTTCATTGTGGCGGGCGGGAGTGGACCTTTGGCGGTGTCCATGTGACTGAAATTTTTTGCTTGGGCTGCTTGTGGCTTGTGGGAGCATTCAGCTTCTACGTCTTCAAGTCTACAATTGATGGGTTTTGGCCATTGTTCTCATCTTATGCTTTCATACGTTATGGAAAATTGATATTTTCTGCTTGCTTGTTTGATCTTTTGGTTGAAAAAATATACAAAATGTGGCAAATCGAAAAGCCCCTTTTCGGCTTCGGGAGGCGCTGAATTGACTTTCCCAAAATGGAAGTTTATATCTCCCGATTTTGAGTGTTATGCGTGTTGTTCTGAGTGTCAAGTCTCCTATTTGCCAACCACACTCGCGTATCTCCCATTCTTTCCGAATCTTTCTCCATCTGCTCCCATTTCCAGCGCTGTCAGACTTCGCGATGGCTTCTCCCAAACCTTCTTGGTCTCCACTTTCCCGCCCGGTTCCACCTGTGGCGCTGCCGTGAGGGTTGCAGTGGCGTATGACAGGGGTGACACGCGTCGGATATGTTCATCTTCACACCGTTTCATACTGGTCGAGATGTCTCTGTATCTGTGAGTGAAGATCAGTATCTACGATGAAGAAACATTGGCTTGCCACCAATCGAGATACACCCGAGGCTTGTCTTGAATGCTGCGATGTCTCAACGTCGCCACCTTCAAGCCTATTTCTTATGTTTAAGAATGAATGATGGGGTGGCTTCTTTGGGTGGATACAACTCCACTGTGGCCTACCATTTTCTTCTACGCCCTTCCATTGTGCATCTCGAAGCGATTTGGGAATTCGAAGCGACTGGTAGCGTTTTCAGGTATATGAACTTCTTTCGCTCTCAGAACTTCTTTCCTTCTACACATCACTCCTCTCATCCTCTCTACCCTCAACACCACCTCTCTATCTCTCCCCCTTATGCACAGACATGTATACTAAACATTACACTCAAGTTCATAGCAGCTAATCAAATTTCATATGCAACACTCTCCCATCGCCTGCGTCTTTCTACCCTGCTTGCGTCTTACTCACAGTCATACTGACCCATCCTCATCAACAGAAGAGGCGAAGCTCTACATCTCGACACACCACCAGAACACGCGAATCTCTACATCTCTGTACATCATCAAGAGTCCCGAGCATGACTATAAACTGCTTGGACAAGTCAAGTCGCAAAATACCGACTGTGCAGCATCACCTTGGTTATTGCGGTCCTGAGAATGACCAACACCAAACTTCTCTCGGACCTGAGTACGTCCAACAAGGCTCACCTAACCTGTCTAGATCACGACAAATCACAAAACACCGTCTGTGTAGCAGCACCTTTCTAATTGCGTCCTGAGAACGACCTCACCAAACTTCTCTAACCTGAGTACGTTCACGAAAAGGCTCCAGAGCTAGACATCCTCTGCGCTAAACCGTCTAGACCAGACAAGTCTCGGAAACACCGTCTGTCCTGAGAATGACCTCACAAACTTCTCTACTCACATCTAGTGCTTGTGGAAAGGGAGCCTGCTAATATATTTATAGGGCAGCATGCGATGGATCTCACCCCCAATTGGTGCATGCTGGTAACTTTACCCCAAGTGAAGGCGAAGAAGATCCAACTCAACTATGATACGATGTCATGAAGATAAGTACACCGTCTTCCCTTCTCCGCAGACCTTACTGACATCGATACAGTGTTATCTGATACAATCATTTCGAGCTGGACAGCCTCACAAAAAGGTCCCGACCTTGCATGTCGTTAAAAGGCACGAGCTGGATAAACCTCGTAAAATGGGCCAAGAAGTCAACTTGTAAAAATCACATAAATATATATATATACATCATGACCACACAAGTCACTAAACACCGTGTGCCGGACTCGGATATATATATATACAGCGACTATATATACAGCGACTATATATACAGCGACTGGACATACGGCGACTCGACATACGTCGACTGGGCATACAGCGACTGGGCATACGGCGACTGGGCATACGGCGACTGGGCATACGTCGACTGGGCATACAGCGACTGGGCATACAGCGACCACACCAGTCACCAAACACCATCGGTCGGACTCGGAGAGATATATATATATACAATGACCACACAAGTCACTAAACACTGTGAGTCGCACTGAGCCTGTGACTTTAAAGGGCATTCGAGCTATTCCCCGAAATGAAAAAACGATAAGTACCCTGACTCACTTTGATGTTCTAACTCCTAACCGCGTGTAGTCACCGATCTATATATATTCTTGTCAACATGTCGGTCACGATGCCCCGGCCTGTCTAGTGGTGGGAGCTAGAGGCTGAAATGAAGAAATGATAAGTACCCCGATGCCATCTCAAGTCCCGACTTCTGACCGCGTATAGCCACCGCATCAAAATCTCAACATGGGAAGATGCCAATCATACAAACATCTGCCCTGATCTATGACAAGGACTTGCTAGTCTCCGAAATGAAGAAACGATGAGTACCTCCTCACCTTCTGAGTTCTAATTCCTAACCGCCGATAGCCCCTGAGCCCCGATGCGGCGTCTCAGACCAGGCCATTGTCTCCTTATCGCTGCAGCATCTCAACTATACAAAGCCATCAACTCACCTTCCTATTCCACAGGTGGATGCCGCATATGTTCTGCCCCGACCAGGCGAAAGACGAGGCTTCATGCCATTGGATAGAGTAAGATAGGAAGGAAGGATATCATGACGGAGTTTGCATCGGTTGAGCATCATATGGGCACTCATGGGGTTTTCTTGTGGGAGACAGTTGGATGGATAGCTAGGAAGCAATGGAAACGACTTCATCAACGCAATCTGCTTCATCATTGCTTAAAACAAGAAATATCCCAATGCTACCTACCATCCCGTCCCATTCCTCGCCTCCATCCCCAAATCTATGTCCCCACTCATCCATTTGCGTGCACGAAAAATTCTGTATCGCCCTTCCCACTCTACCACTCACTTCAACAAATTTCTACCACACTACACAAGGTCCAGCGTATGCTTTCCTCTCATACTAATACCTCAAGCTGCATCTTCCTCTACCCTACCCACTATGCCACGCCGCCTTGTACTCAACTCCCCTTCTCATCTCAATTTTAATCCTCCCTTCCTTCCCCGCCCATCCTTGTCTCTCACTTTCAATGCTCTCGTTCCCGTTTCCAGTTATCTACCACATCGACTCCCCACGCTACACATCTGCTCCCTCCATCCATCCCATCTATCCTAACATCCGCCATCACCGCCCTCCACAGCCTAAGATACCGCTTCCCCCCACCTCCCCACCCTGCTCCATTCGCGGTCCCCCCAAACCCACACCAATCCTCACCGCGCCATCCTGCTATTCCCGACAGCAATCCACACCACCACCACTCTGTGCCGGACACACAGAAAACACCTCTCGCACGACATGACAACCCTCATAAACATCAGCAAGCGAAACCAGGGGGGCTGAAGATGTCTCAGAGTAGGAGTAATCAGGTTCTTGAAGAAAGCGCACTTTACAAGCTTCGGACAGTTGTGAGGGCAAGGAAGAATGGGAACGAGCAAGCTCAGGCACGCAGGGGGTGATTGGATAAACAAGTCAGTAGATTTTGAAAAAATCTCTCGTTTGAATACCTCTTCAGAAGCGAATAAAAAATCTGCGGAAAATTTGGCTGACAAGACATAAAAGATGCCTCCTCTTTGACTTTCTCCCAACGCCCACGCCCCATCCCCCTTTCTGACAACCAATCCCACAACCCCCCCCCATCCCCTCTTCACAACCAGCGCCACATTCAAGGCCCATTCCCCGGCCCCCCGCCGGCGGATCCGGCAAACTGCCCTTAAATCCCGCGCAGCCAGGCGTATGCAACGACGTGATCTCGCCCGCACACGTACACGTACAGGACGGATCAATAGCATAGCCATCAGGCGTCTGACACTGCGGACTCAGCACACAATCCCAATCCTGACTGAAGGTAGTGAAGGCGTTCTGGGGCTGGGCCACGCCGGGGTGGTTGTAGGCGGGATCCTGCGACTCGGCGGGGAGGCGCTGGTGGTTGCCGCAGTCTGTGTAGACGAAGATGGTGTCGCCGAGGACTTGCTTGCCGTCGGCGGACTTGTACGGGTTCGTGATGCAGTAGTTGCCTGTCGTTTTCGGGTCGATGCACCATTCTGGCCCGCCGATGTAGGTCGCTTCCGTCAGGGAGCCGCATGAGTCGTGCAGGATGGGGAGGTAGGTGAAGTAGCCGCATTGCTTATCCTTCAGGTTTACGGAGGTGGTGCGCGTTTGCGTCGTGGTGGTTGCGTCGGAGAAGCCGCCGGTGACGCCGATGTTGAGGACGCTTTTGATGGAGGCGGTGATGCTGCCGCCGATGTTCCAGGTGTAGGTTTTCGTTTTGGCGTCGGCGATGCTGCAGGTTAAGGGCCCGTGGCAGAAGCCGTTGTCCAAGGGTACCTCTTCGCCGTAGTAGAAGTTTTGCCGGATCTCGCAGTAAGAGATGCACGGCCCTTCGGAGACTTTGACGGGGCAAGAGCCGTCGCCTTGGAGGGTGTATTTGGGGGGGCAGTCGCCTGTGCCGTATTCCTTGTCGTAGAGGATCGGGACGTGACCGGGTTCGCAGGCGTTGTCGCGCTTGAGAAGGGAGGCGAGGACGGGGCCAGGCTCGGTGATGGGAGTGGAGGAAACGTGGAGAGTGAAGAGGAAGAGGGGGATGAAGAGGGAGGCCATTGTGTGAGTAGACTTGCTCTGAGGGGGCGGGAATTTGATATGCTTCAATAAGGCACGAGTATTTTTATTGAGAAAGGAATGGAAGGCTGCTAAGAATCGTCAGGGACAGGAGCATTATATTATGAGCAAAGTGCTCGCAATGCTTCCTGCCTCATCTCCATCAGGACGATCTAGCGTATGCTCATAAGCCAACGGGCTGTATTGAAACATGTTGGTCTGAGAGGCGGTGTCATCGACGACTACCAGGATACCATCGACAAGGCTGGGTAGAGCTCACAACACTGATTGACCCATGCATGAATTACGAGAAGAGCCCCCAAAGCCCATGTCTGATGTGCATTGCCATAGCTAGCAAGTCCAACAACAAAGGTGTCGCACCACTTGGCGGGAGGTAAGCTGACAGGTCGAATTTCTTCATAAAGTAAAATGATACCAGGGACAGGACGAGCTATGACAGGTAGGGTTATCCTGGATTGCTTGGGTGGGCGCGTAGATGAGAGCTACTGATAGATGCAGGATTAGATTAGCACTGGATGTTTCGTCAGCACTGCGCCACTATTAACTATTAACCACCTTCCATTGCTGTGCAGAACATATGGGCATCAGAGGCAGTGTCACTGATAGCTGATCAGTCCAGTATTGATACTAAGTTGCGATGGGAGATGTTTTTTGCATGCCTGCTTTGACTCAATCGATAGGTTGGCTGTTCGATACTGGACGAAAACAAACGATGATGGACGTGCCCCTGGTAATAAGGGGGCTTATGGGGGCCTTGGGCGAAGGATGTAAGCCGGAAGAACCCCCGCAGGGGAAGACGATTACCCCAGTCTGCAAGCCAGGCGATGCACTTTTGGCCAATGATAATTGTGATTGTCATTATTCATCGCAATAGAACGACTGGTACCACTTGGACCGGGCTATCTCACCGCAGCTGTGAAGAATTCTTCCGCGAGAGTGCTTCGTAATAGCAAGGCTTTTCATTGAGAATTGCTTTCATCGTGCTGGTGACTGTCTTACGTTGACTCAAGTGCTGTATCTACAGTATTTGGCTCGTCAAGGCACGCGTGAGAGAGATCATCGACGTGGATGTTGAAGAGAGTGCAAATGGAGAGAGAGAGAGCAAAAGGAAGGCTTTGGGCCCCCTACGGTGACCTATTCCTGTCCTTGTGCTCTAAGCCGGTAGCTCGCTTATGTCAGCAATGCTTGGCAATCACTTCTAAGCGAATTCACGATGCATCCAATCGCTGTCGTTTCTAAGCAAACCCTAGCAACACAATGCCTGCGGCGATCTACTCGTTGCCCACGGAGCTACTTGAACTCTGCTTTCTCTCTTTATCTTCTGCTTCAGGTATGTGGAAAGCTCGCTCAAGTCACTCTTATGGCGTCATCACGATAGATTGCTTCCATTTCCATTGTGCCATCAGTATTCCAGCTTTCTGGGTGTTATTTCCGGGCAGGGCTTCTGGTGCTTTGATGCTAATACAGTGACATAGACGTGACACGCTTCAGCCAGACGTGTCATCGTCTTCATCAGGTCTACATAGGTCAGCGGGACAACATTCTCCATTCGGTCCTCACCTGGCAAATCCCATGCTACGAACACGTACGGTATATACCCTCTCCGTCCAAATGTCATTGCACGCATTGAATGCTGATTGTTCTCAGCACTATACAGAGGATACAACACGCTCAACGGACCCCTGACTGTTGCTGCATATGCAAATCTTGTCGTTCGTTACACTGTATTGCAATTCAGTTACCGTCGTCGTATCGACCCGAAGCATGCGTCCGGCCTACTTAATTAGCTCAGAGTATCAGGACAGCCTTGTGAACTTCATTTTCCGACTCTCTAGACAGAGCCGGTGCTACTTCTACATGAGGTTGCTCGTATCTTGGAAGGCTGGTACTTCATCAGCCTGATCAGCCACATCTATCTCAAGGATCCGGAAGCTAACGTACGGAACAACGAGTCTCTCTGCTCGCTGAATGAGGAAATTACCCGAATGCCAACCGTGAAAATACGTATCCTTGTAGCTATAGTGGTCGGGCTGGCAGCCAATTTGATGCCGAAAGAGGCTGGAAGAGTGCTGAATAGGATGGAGGATGAAGGAAACTTGCTGGAGAATGAATACTGCCCGGAGGCTCTGAGATATCTTCAAATCGGACGCCAAGGTTGTTCGACGCTCATTTGCTTACTCCATGTTTTTAAGCGGACAAGTGTCAAAGTGTTGCGCCTCTTAAAGAAAACGCTCGCCCATAGACCGAGGAAGGAATGGAAAAAAAGTAGAGAATACTTGGATGGACCATGCGATATTTGTTTTATAAGAATGGGGGTTACAGAAAGAACCTGCACGTTGAGAGAGCAAGGGAAAGATATTTGGGAGCACAAGTGATGACTCATAGACTTTAACATGTGCTGTCGTATTTCTCATGTGGTGAATTTATTGGGAGTCTTTTGGTTCATCTGATGTACATACCGAGATAATCTACCTTGGCTATCACGGTCCTAGGTTTGAACCACCTAATCATCGGGGATTGCAATATCAATAAATTCACAAAATGTTGCAATGGGATATGATGTAGTGTTGAATACTGATCACGGCCGTAATTTCAAATTCTGTGCCCTGGCACAACGAACGTGGAGTAAAGCTGACGATTAAGTTCATCGGCCGCTGCCCACTTGATGCCCGCTGTCGGACCAGATCTGAGCAATACTCGAAATCTCGAGCTACCTCCCCAACCCTCTCACCTCACACTCGCTCAATGAACCCCTCTAACACTCACCTGACATCTCTCACAAATCCTCTCATCACGCCCGACCAACTCACGACCACCTCCTCCCGCCTCGATGGCATCCACACGTCCCTCGAAGCCTCGCTCCGCCTCAAAGGCGCACAACTCACACAAGCAGCAGGAATCCTGCTCCATCTTCCTCAACCTCTCATCGCACAAGCAATCGTGATATTCTACCGATTCTACACTGGGTCTGAGGGCGGCAGCTTTTTCGTGAACTCTCTCACCGTACCTCCCCCTCCCCCGCTATGATTTCCATTCAATTACTAGCAAAGCGCGACTAACGATGGAGTGCGACTAGGACATCTCAACCGCCTCCCTCTACCTCACCACAAAACCCTCCTCTCACCCCATCGCCCCCCGCTCCCTCCTGAACGTCTATGCATACCTGACCTCGCCTTCCTCGCCTCTCCGCACCACTTTTCCCCTTTCCCCCGACCCATCTGCCCCGCCCTCCATCGCCCCTCCAGATCCTACTACATACACTCTCACAGAGCCCACCTACCGGCATAGTCTCCTCACCCTCAAGAAAAACGAGACCCTAATCCTCCGCACCATCGCCTTCACCACTTCCTCCACCCCACCTCACCACCTAGCGCTCACATACCTGCAAACCCTCTCGGCGCTCCCCTCGCAACCGACCAGCACATCAAAAACTCTAGCGCGGCGTACGCTGGAATATTTAAACACAGCGCTCCTCTCCCCCCAGCTCCTCTACCTCACACATCAACCCAACGCCCTAGCTGTCGCAGCCATCTACCTCGCCGCGCGCGAAGTTGGCGTCGCCCTGTCGCGAGAAGCGTGGTGGGAAGTCTTTGACGTAGATCGTGAAGAACTAGGCTTCCTTGCAGTGGGGCTACTGAGCTGTGAAAACTTCATTGCAGGAGAGAGGGAGGTGTGGGGGAAGAGAGAGGGGGGATGTCCGCTGGGGATTGAGGAGTTGGGAAAGTATATGAAGGAGGGAGAGCACGATGAAGATGAAGCACACGGCGGCAGGGGGGAACGTGGTTGATAGCTCTGCCGAGCGAGAGCACCTAGCCAAATAATGAAGAAATATGCTGAAGATATGAACTCGCGAGCTACAGTCTCAGACATTGCTCCCAAGGCACCCCACGAAGCACCCATGCGCGAACAAATCTCTCGCCAACCACGCTCCATATACGCCATGAAGCCTAGAGGAAGGGATAAGACGCTGCACAGAGTCCCATCGCACGCCTCAGCTTACACCCACAACCGCCTGAGCGCGTTATCCTGAGTTTACACGCAACGCATCCATCACGGAGGAGATTCGCATAGTATTTAGTGGTCGTTGGAGGGGAGGATATTGTCACGCAGCTACTCTTCCGATCCACGATGACAATATGCGTACGACTCGTCTGTCAGCATTGGCTGGATGGAAAGGAATGGATGGAGGGGGAGGGCATCGAATCACAAGATGGGACTCACGGAAAGGAATTGAGGAGGAGAGAACGTTCAGTGAAGAAATCACCACTGGCAGCGATAGCCTAGAATTTAATCACAAGATCCTAGCTCTTAGCGGGTGAATCTAGATGGTGAAGAACATGCATGCTGGGAGTATCCACCCCCCAAATGTCACTACCATAGAGTATGACTATCTGACTCGAATAGTCCTCTCGTCCTGTATTAAAATCACTAGAGGAGTATTGGGATATGCACGTTTTTTTGCCTTCCCATGATTCTTACAAAAGAACTTCTCGCTTTTCATATTCATATGCCACCCTCTGTCCTCAGACCAATTCCCGAAGAATTCACAATTCTCTCCCAATCATCCACGATGCGCTACTCAATTCACCTATCCAAAACCCCAACAAGTCTAAAACCCCTGCTCTCGATGCCACATATCCTCCCACCCCTCAAAAAACGGGCTCTCCGCCAACGTGGCCACCTCCCACCCCCTCCCCCCTCCCTTCCCTCCCCTCCCTCCCCAAACTGTTCCTCTTGCTCCCTCGCCCACCCCTCCAGCGCCGGCACAGCCACATGCTCCACATGCCACGTACTCTTATACTCCATCAACTTCGTTTTCCCATCTTTCAACACTTTCGCCACCAAGCCCGGCACGCCCTCTCTTCCCTGAACTTCTCAATCGGCGTGAACAGCGCTTTGAAGTTGAAGATTATGGCGCCGGAGAGGGGCAGGCGGCGGAGCGTCTGCCAGTCTACGCGCAGGTGGATGCGCGATAGAGGCAGGGGCGTGTGTTGGTAGAGGCGGAAGCGCTCGTGTGGGTCGTTGGGCGGCATGAAGAGTGGGGTGTCGATTTCGAGACCCCAGGACCCGCGCTGGATGGGCTTGGAGGTTGGTTGCCGGGAGAAGTAGCTATGGGGGGGAAGGGGCGTTAGTGGGTTTGGTAGGGGGCGGGGGGGGGGGGGAGGGAAGGGGATGGGCGAGGGCAGAGGGAAGGAGGGAGGGGGCATACCGGTCCATTGACATTGACATCTTCTCCTTGTAATCAGGGATCGGTTGGTGGATCTCACTCAGCTTCTTCCCGATCTTGGTGTCGACGTTCCAGCCGAGACTGGAGCAGAGGAGGCCGGCGCGGAAGTAGTACTGGCCATCGTCTGGGTTCCGAAGCATGACTGCGAAGTCTTCCGGGACGTTGTGGAGGAGGACGTGGAGGGGATGCATGTCTTTTATTATGGTCTCGTTGTTCAAGAGGCCGTTCTTGAAGACCCAGTCTTTTTCCGCGCCGGTGTTGAGAAGGGAGAAGTGCTGCGGGTATCGTGCACATAGGAATTGTAGGGCGGTTTCCATTATTTCTTTGCACCCAAGCTCACTGCCTGGGAGGTAGTTGAGGACCATTTTGCCGTATTTCTCGAATAGCTCTTCTCGCTCCCGAATGCGTTCGACATAGGTTTTTTCAAGCTCCAGCCACCAGTCTGGCTCGAGGGTGCTCAATGCTATTATGTGTCAGCAGAGCGGACTCTAAGTCGAGAACACACGAACACATTGTTTGAAAGTATGGCCAGCGAAACGGTCGGTATGGCCTTGGTATTGCTTTCGTAATATCAAAGTTCGTGTACGGATTCGGCAAAGGCACACCGCTGAGTGTCGAATAGTCAGGAAAGTCGCCCAACGCTTGAACCTCCTCCATTGTTAAGCCTGTTGGCGTAGACGTGGATGGGCTGCATTCCCAGTAATTGGCCTCGAAGGGGATGAGCTGCTTTTCCACCTCAGCTTCGCTCATTGGGTCGCCCCCCAGCTTTTGTACGTTGGCGCCTGGCGAGGTCGCCGCTGCTTTTGACAAGCGATCTCTCACAAACGGAGGGAGCGTGTCTTTGACCAGTGGAGCAGTGGGTGTCTTCTTGTCTGGAGTCGTAGAGCGCGGAGGTGTCTTTGAGTCCTCGCTTGGCCTTCCTCTGAGTGACCCAAATGGATTGCTGAACCAATTATTCATGTTGGCTTTTCTTTGGTTGTTACTGCGTAGGTAGAGGAGGGAGATGGTGCTTAGAAGAAGGCCAGCTGCAAGGAAGATCAATTGGTTTGTGAAGAGCTCCATGGCCATGCTGTAGATGCAAGTGAGTAGTCGTCTGAGCGGAAGCAAGAATATATATATATATATATATATAGATCGGCTGTAGATGCTTTTGCCTCCACCAAGGAAGGTAGGCAAAGCCGTTCGCCTGTTACTTCCTGTAAACGAACAGGAGCAGACGAATCGACGTGATCCGGTCGACCGAAGTCTCAGATAAGTGAAGCAGGTTGTAGCAAATGGTCATATGCGATTCATTCAATCAAGATTAGCAGGCTCTTCGTGGCAAAAGAGGACAGTGGCAAGCAATGGTATGCATATGAATACATTTCACATCTTGAGGGCAGCACAACTGGACTGGAAGGCCGAAACGGCTATATTCCAGCAATTGAAGAGCCGTAGGTTTGGTAGAGACAGGGAAGACATCCAAAGGGAGGTCATTAGGTCAATTATAAGCTCCCAGCTAGTAAGAATGTCATGTCTGCCATCAGCGCAACCCGCGCGAGGCCAGTGGTGGTGGAGGGATCTAATCCCTGGCGGGTGAGGGGTGGATGCCATCTCCTGCTGGGGAAAAGCAGAGACCGTAGGGCTGAGATCTTGGCGAAGCTAGCTTCTATCAGTGAGGGTTTCCCTGTGGTACAAACAACGAACAGCGATAAGAGGTAGAGAATAAATGCGAATTGTAAGAAGTTTGATTGAAGGGGCCATAGTTGGCATTGGAGGGACTTGGTAGGGGCTGAAATTGCAGTACGCAACGGTAGTCACGAAGCCACATGGTTCCTGCATACAGCCGAAATGAATAGCGGTCCACCGGCGAAAGCCACAAAGCCACCAACTGGTCGAAGAAACAAAGGCCTTCATTTGCTTGATTTGCATTATCTATGTCGTCTCATATATGTTCATCAGCCGAGAGCACTTCTTCAGCGGTTTACATCGCCACCCTGTCTCTCCCCATATGTAGCAACCACAAGGCTGACAATATCAGCCACATGCAGTAGACGCCTAGGCACAGCAAACTCAATTGATTTGAGCAGCACGAGTTCTCCTTGCTTCCTTTTCACCACCGTCTCCCTCTCCAAACTATCGTACATGATCGAAACTGTAATGGGCGTCAAACTCTGCAAGCTTGATGAGCCAACGGATGTGTAGCAATTCCAATTGGAATTGCAAAGCCTTGTTGTAGTAGTACCGTAGCGTATACAATACACTAGGTTTGAAATAAGTCGACAAAATCACTAAGTGGGTATCATGTAGCCGCTTGATGTGGTCGGCTAATTATTGAAGTTGTGACGTGCCGTGATTCACGAAAGGCGTAGAGGGGATGAATAGAGGATGATATAGTGGGAATATTTCTGTCATTGATCTGGATTTGCAATCCGCAACATGCGTCTCGAGTAATCTTGGTCGTCCCGGAAGCTCCTAATACTGACGTGGCTGCCATTATCATGCAAAGGATTCCATACAGCTGTTGGCTCCAGCCGTTGGTCGACAAATCGCGGGTAACTGCTCCTCTTGTCCAGCGTGTCTGCCGGACTTCTTTCGGCACTGTTGCCCGGTCCCCAGCCCGTGGTCTGTATCGTAGGCGGTTCCCTTTTCTCTCGTTGAGAGCCTGAGCCAGCGGCTGCTATCAAACCCATTTGACTCATTCTGCTTGGCCGCCGCTGTGGTGTGCCTGACCCTGCTGTAGAGGGTAATTTCTCTTGCTGCTGCTGTCTTCTCCTGCGCCTCAATAGGAGGAACAGGAGACATATTAGAGCGGCGACTATAATGAGCGCTACTGCCACGAAAGTACCGGCAACTTTCCCAGGGCTTGAGAAAAACCCACCGCTGTTCTCAGCCTGTTTGGTGTCCACAATGGTTTGTGTAGGAGCCGGTGGTCCTGTAGGTGTGATTGTCAACGTCTTGACTTGGCCTGTCACGGTCATGATCGACACGACAGGCGTTGGTGTCCAGGTTGAGGATGAGGAGGATGATGATGAGGTTGAGCTTGATGACGATGTCGTGGTAGTAGAGGAGGATACTGATACAGGCACTGGGACATATTGCGATGTGGTGGAGGTAGAAGGTTGAATGGTTGTAGAGGCGATCTAGTGGCATTGTAATCAGTGAAAGATCCGACGAACGAGAGATGTCAAGGGTATATGAGAGTGAAAAGGTATGGACGGGGTTCAAGCATACAACGGAAACTACAGAGACTGATGGCGAGGCGGTGACCGTGTTTTGCACTGTCACTTGACTCGGTGAATTCTGCAAGGTAGCTGTCAAAAGAATATTCCCAAGATTTTGGGGTGCGACATCTTGCAGTGGCTGTAGGGAAATGTATTTCCAGATAAATTGATGAAAGAAGAGACAGGATTGGTAGTGATGAAAGCTGCCCACAATTTGGGGGAAGGGATGGGTGACTTACCACTTGCTGAGTGCTTGACTCCACCTGTTGTGAAGTTGATGGGGAGGGAGTAGGAGTAGCAGATGGTGTAGTCGATGAAGACCCGCCCTGGGTGCTCGATGGCGCTGGACCGAGGGCGACGTATCCAAACAAGCCCGCTGATTCATCTCCACACTGTTCTGAAGGGAACCCCGGGCAATTGACATTGCAAGAGCTGACTGAGGTCGTGTCACCGGGGGCGACGTTCGAACACCAGCAATTCTGCCCTTGCACCACGGCGAACGCATAACCATTGTTGCACTGATCATGGCATTTGCCATTGCTCATCCATGTACTTGAACCTGATAAATAGTCAATTTATAGAGCTTCCAACCTATATGATTATACGCACTTGTCTGCTTGCCCGAGCCTGTATTGAAGCTGGCGCAGTATGCCTGGGTCAAGCTGGTTGTTTGAGCGGAGACTCGAGAGACCGCCAATGCGAGGATCATCAGGCAGGATGCAGCCGACCATCTCGGTCGACGAATATTGTGATATTGCTGCATCGTGATTATGTAAATGCTGCACGCGCAGTCTTTCTGTGATGTTTATGTTTTCCAATAGGAGGTGTTGATGAGGAGGCTTCGTCGGGCGGAAAGTACGTAGGCAAGATCGAATCGAAACGAAAGTAGCTCCAAGCCTGTCCCCTATTACTTTGAAGCTCCGTATTGAACAATAATATGTCCAAGAATGTGATCGTGAAGGTAGAAAATTGATGATTGTCGAATCTTCTGTCGAACCGCGTCTCTTCCTCCTGGGACCCGAATCCACCGATACTTTCCCCGTCACCTCACGCAAAGAAAGGAAAGCGGCATTGGACCATGCTGATCCGTTCCCTGGATACAGCTCAGTCACAGTTGCCGGGAGTGAAACGAACGTCGGTGGAAGGAGGGAACGACAGTGAGGGCGATGGGAGGAAACGGGGGAGGGAGACGGGGGGAGTTTGGAAGCTGCGGATACGGATGGAAATTAAGGTCCTCGTTAGCGTGGAAAGTGAGTGGGGATGAGATGACGGAGTTTGTCCGCTTTGGTCTTTTGCTCTTTTTCTGCTGACACCCTCGCGGCTAAGGCAAGACCAACAAATTAATCACTGGAACAATAATACAATCACAGCAGCGGTAGAATAATCGCTCCAAAGGATGTTGCGACAACAGAGGTGGTGGTGGTGGTCTAGTACAATTTATTGATGGTGGTGGTGATGCATTGACTTATCGGTACTAACGCATGGCACGTTTCTTATCATGAGCGCATTCTATTATCTTGTGGTCTTCGACCGTCATGCATATATACCTTGTCCTCGCAGTTCAAGCGCAGCGCAGGGTGTCGCCCTCTCACCGGTCAAGCCTTCAGGAATTGAGCCATGACCGAGACGAGCGGGTCATGTGGGCCACCTCCGCCATGTCTATCGGACTATTATCATCATCATTGCGCTGCGGTAGGCCACTGAATTGCGCTGGAGTTAAGATCTCGATTTTCCAGATTCGTGAGATGACGGGCTAAGAATAACCTGGTGGCTGCATTGTTTACGGATCGCCTAACTGGTCTTGGTCACGGCTTGAACTCTTTGATACGACGTGGCCAAGTAATTTGAAGGCGCCCTCACAGCACCAAACATGTGGTTCTGGTTGTTGTTGTTGTTGGATGCTAGCTGGCAGCTCCGACTTCGACTTTCCCCTTGATGCAGACATTCTCTTCCCACATACTCTACCTTTTTAGTCCAACCCTCATCGAAACAGGAAAGGGATCTGAAACCCTCCTCGCCTCACTAGGGTATAGCTCATTGAGGGGTGAGCCTGGCACCTTATTGGCGACTGCCTATAACTGATCTCGCTTGTGCCTACAAGTGACACACCGGCTCAAGGCCGTTGCAAGACTACATCGCGTGCCGCCGCCGCTTTCCATCATGTTTTTGCAGTCTGAAGCACGCCCTGTCGATCCCCATTTGGTGTCTGGTACCTAAGACATGAGCCTGTTGATGTCTTACTGCGCCGACAAGTATGTAGACTTGAGCCTGAACGCGTGACTAAGTGGCGGCAAGATAGGTGAAATGGATGGCAAAGAAGCGAAAGTATTCAGGGAACGTGCTCGACTCACTACATCTTGTCAGTGTACAAAGTGCCCCTCACTCACCTGTTCAATGGCCAAATCATGTCCAAGGAAGCTGTCCGAGCTTCGACTGGCGGAGGGCAGCGATAAACAAATCAATGCAAGAATATGCACTCATTCGATGCTGGATATACAACGAGAACACACATCCCATCCATTCCTCAACAATTGACAGCAAACGTTGAGTAAGTCCTCTCTGCTGCAGGAGCAGTCCGATGTTGAGATGCGAAGCACGGCTAGCAATTCCTACGAAAAGCACACCACCGCATATATTACTTGTATAATCTGCTTCATCCAGTACATGGCGCCGAAGGTACAACGCTCAACGTTGCACATATGAACGTATTACCTGTATCAAGACATTCAACATACCCCCCACCTTGCCCTACCAATCGCTCCACCCATCCGCCTTCCCTTTTCCCCCTCCCCCTCCCCCGCCCCACCCTTCCTCATCGCCGCCGTCCCAATCGCACTCCCTTCCTTCTTCTGCTCCTCCCCACCAACCCCAAAACTATCCCAAAACTCCTGTTTCTCAGGCTTCGTCCTCTCCTCGCCAAAGCTATCCCAAAACTCTTTCTTCTCCGGGTCCGCCCCCCTCTTCCCACCCCCATTCCCAGACTGCTCACCCCCTTCATTCTCAATGAAATTATTGAACCGTTCCGCCGCGCCCTTCGTGCCCGTCTGTAAAGTCTTCCCAACGTTAGCCCCGACCTGACGAGCCTGCGTTGCGATATCTGCTTCTGCTATCTGCCGTCACAACATTGATCAGCCCCCCCATCCAATTCCTGCAAGGTAAAAGGAGAGGAGACACACCTTCTGCACCCCCGGCTGTATCCACCCCTCATTAACGCTCTTCGCCCCCTTGGTGGCCGTAGAAGCAAACCAGCCCCAACCCTTCCCAATCGCCGCGAGAGGATCCGCCTGGAAATCCTGCATCCCACCCCCTGCTCCTCCCCCATTACCTCCTCCTCCACAGGCACTTCCTCCACCGCCCCCAAAACCCGCATACTTCCCCCCTCACTCGGCCTCAAGTGCTCGCTCCGATTCTTATTTTCATCCCCCTTGCGCGAGAAGAAATCCTCATTCATCTCCTTCTGGCTCCTGGCACCTATTCCCTTCGCCGGGCTGCTCTCCCTCCCCGACCCCATTCCCGTAGCTGTAGCAGTTTTCTTAGGCTGAGCTTTCGGCACGCCCTTGAACTCCCGTCCTTCAACCTCACAGCTCAGCCGTTCCTTCCACTCCTCGCCCACCTCGCCCCCATAGACTTCCTCCACCCTTCTCTTCGCCTCGCCATCCCCGCCTTTGCCTGGCCACCCCCATTTCACGCTTCCCCCCTGGCTTTTCTCCCAAAATTCTCTCCATCTCAAATTACCCCCCTTCTCCATCCGCAGCACCTCAGCCTCCTTAAAAGAATCCATAGCAATACTCCTGACGAAGGAGATGTGTACGCCAAGCGAGCGATGCAGACCGGCGCAGGTGAGGCAGATGAAGGTGCCGAATTTGGGGGAGGCCCATTGCGGGGAGGGGGCATTGCAGTCGATGCAGGTTTTGTTGGGGGGAAGAGATTGGAGGGATTGGAGCTGTTGGAGGGGTGGTTAATGAGGAGGATGAGGGGGGTTGGTTGTAGGGGTAGGAGGGAAGGGGAGGGACGCGGGGGGTGTTTGTTGGAGCAGAGGAGGAGGGAGGGGGAGGGGGAAGATGATAGCTTGAATGAGAACGTGGGGTGCAGAGTTGGGGCTGTGGTGAAGGATGGGGTGGATGGGGTATGCACCTTGGATTTGCTCTCTGGATCCACCTCCCAGGACATGGTGATTTAGCAAGTCGTGCACGACTGATTGTGGGCCAATCAAGTGGTGTTACCGCGAATGCATTGCTTTTGTGTTTGCTGGAGGTACAAAGTGGGGTGGAATCGTGTGGTAAGGTATTGTCAGTGTTAATAAAGGAGTCTAGAGGTTCCGCGGCCTAAATTCTTTCACAACGCGCTAGCATATGTTCTACGACAGTCACAAGTTGGCATGAATTGAGTTCATGTTGTCTTGAACGGGATGAGTAGAAATGTCTATTGGTTTACTCAATAATAGATTGTCATGTGTGGTCGTGTATGACTAAAAGTACAGTTGTCTTAAGGAACCAGACCAAGCGCACGCCCCGAGAATTGTATGTTTCCGTGTCAATGCAATATCATCTTCCTTGCAAGCAAAATTGACTTTCGATGGGCACATGCATTGCAAGTCCTCTCAAATTCCTGCATCAGTATGAGATATTGTGAGCCGCCAAAATTACGTTCGTTTCAGTTGTCAATGTTTGGACGGATTAAGCCGAAAGTGGTGGACGCGGCGGTCTCTTTGATAGTTAGGGGATTGTCTATGCAGCAGGAGGGTCGTTTGCTTGCACGACGCCGTTCTCGGTCAATGGTGCGGTACCAGCGGCTTCTGGGTCGACATCCTCCTTTCCAGGGCTGTCGATGGCAACCTTCACCGCGATCTCACGACCTTCCACCTCCTTGCCGTTCATCTCCGAGACTGCCTTTTGCTGCAACTCTTCTGAACCAAGAGAGACAAAACCGAAGCCACGGCCCTTGCGGGGCTCACCACGGGCCTTCAGCTTAGCGATCATGAATCGTGGAATAGGACGAAGCGCGATCTTAGCAGCACTTGGGCTGTAGGCTGCGAAGAGGTCCTTGAGCTATATGATGTGTCAGCGATGGCTTCTTGGTAATCCGTGAACGGACGAACCTTGTCTTCGCTCATTTCGTATGGAAGATTTGCAACCATGATCTTGGTCGAGGACGGAATACCATCCTCGGGAGGTCCACGTTGACGAGGTTGGGCAGCGGCAGCAGCTGGCTTAGTGACGCCATTAGTAGTGGTAGCACCGTTGGTGACAGGGGCAGCCTCATTGGTCGTATCGGCGAGGGCTTCTTCGCCCTCTTTTGGAGAATCACGCTTTTCACCCCATTAGCACAGACGATATCAATAGGATTGGTAAGACAAACATCGGTGTTGCGTGCACCTCCACCTCTACGTCCACCACGACCTCGGAAACGACCACGACCACGTCCTGAGGATCGGCGACGCTGTTGAGTCTCACCACCTGTCTCGGTTTTTGCGGCTTTTTCCTCCGCAGTCTCCGGCTTGCGGGCTTCTTGCACAGACACCTTTCGATCGAGGACGGTCTTGCCAGAGAGTTCGCCGATAGCCTTGCTCGCTTCATCTGCTGTTGTGAGGTCGACGAAAGCGTAACCGACGGGACGAGTGGTGCGAGGGTTGGTAGGAATGGAAACGTTTTCACTGTACCACATGAGTTCGTGACACCCACCAAGTTTCTCATGTCAAGACATACACGGAGTAGCCATTGAAGAAGGACTTGAGGTCCCCCTCCGTAGTAGCATAAGCTAGATTCCCAATGTAAAGGCGACGGTGTTCGGCAGCAGCAGCTATGACAGCTTCGTTCTCTGCGGCATTGATAGGCTCACCACCAGCAACGTTATCAGCTCCTCCAGGGGCGGGGGAGAGATAGTAGTGTTGGCCATAGCGTCACTGACACTGTCGACGGCAGACATTGTGATGAATGTACAAGATTGACTGAGCTTTAAAAATTTGCTCTGCCGGAAACTTGATGAAAGGCAAGATTGTGAATGCCTTTGAGGAAGTTGCTTGACGAGGGGGGAAGAGGGTAGCTTCGTGCCCTAGATCGTAGGTTTTTATTGTATCTTGAGCGTTGTGAATGAGGTTGACTTGTATTGGGGAAGGAAGGAGGAAAGCGCAGAGAAGGGTCGTACAAAAGAATTTCTTGACCGAAAGACGCTAAACCCAAAACAGCCACACTAATGCGAGCCCGTGAAAATTGTCAAGTGTGTAAGGTAGGAGGCAAATCTACACTCTGCCAGTAGAATCATCAATGAGTCACCGTCATGTGGCTGCCTGGAACATCTTGACACGATATTGGCTTTGACAACACTGATAGCGTAGCCAAAGACTCGCTTTGAAACTTTGCCAGGTTTCGACCTGCGAGAGAGAGCAGAGAGAGCAGAGATCGAATGCGTACCAGCAGACAACATTCTTGATGGCGGATGATACTCCCTGCGTGCGGTGTATTACTGATTCGTAGTCTTCCCCTTTGATCACCATCTCATTGGTCGTTGGAGGTATGAATCCTGAGAATGGAGCCCGTCCACGAACAGCGCTCGTAGCATACGGCTCTGAGACTGGCAATGCGCTTGACTATGCAGAGGAGCTCGGTCGAACGCTTGAGAGACTACACTTTTCTACCCAAGTATCTAGCTTAAATGAAGTGAAATTGGCAAGCTTGGCTTTTCTGGACACCCCAACAATTACTGACTGTGACTCAAGCCGTCCCTATCATCCTTTTCATTCTCACTTTTCGTAACTTCTACCACCGGCCAAGGCGATTTACCCAGTAATGCACAGTCATTTTGGAACTTTTTGCTTCGCAAAAAGCTCCCCTCAACTTTCCTGCAAGGTGTGAATGTTGTCACCTTTGGGTTAGGTGATAGTTCTTACCCAAGGTACTACTCTACGCCAACCCTTCCACAGGCCTTGCTAAGCCTGCAAAAGGTACAACCTCGGTATTCGCAAGCTACACAAACGACTGCTCCAACTAGGTGCGGTTGAAATATATCCGCGCGGGGAGGCTGACGAACAGCATGAAGAAGGGTCCGATGCAGCTTTTGTCCCATGGGTGATCGATCTCCGGCGTAAATTGCTTGATCGTTTTCCCTCCCTAAAGATACGAACCCTGTCCCAGATGATGTTTTGCTTCCGCCAAAGTGGCTACTCTTTTTCTTGGAGGCTTCTGAAAAGAAACAGCCAGCCCTGAGTGTCAGTCATGACCACAATATTGGCGACACGAATGGCGATACCACTCTCGCTACACAAAGCTCTGTGATCAATACTGTGTCAGCCACTGAGAAGTCCTCAGTGGCAGTAGAGGTCTCGGTGAACAAGAGACTGACGCCATCGAATCACTGGCAAGATGTCCGACACCTGATCTTTACAAGCCAATCCTCAGTCATCTATGAGCCAGGAGATGTACTCACAATTCATCCACAGAACGCAAGTGAGAGTGTCGATGAGATTGTAAGGTTGATGGGTTGGGAGGGCGCCATCAAGAAACTCGTCAGCTTCAAAGCCTCTGAATCACAGAGTACCTCCTTCTTAACTCCATCACCTCCTTTCCAGAAGATGCCTGGAGAGTCCTGCACCTTTCAAGAGCTCCTTCTGAACCATCTCGACTTGACTGCAATTCCTCGTCGATCCTTCTTCGCCATGGCCTCCCACTTCACCGAGAATCAGTATCAAAAAGATAGACTCTTGGAGTTCACCAGGCCCGAGTACATCGACGAGCTCTATGATTACACTGCACGTCCAAGGAGAAGTATCTTGGAGGTTCTTCAAGAATTCGACTCGGTCAAGATCCCTTGGCAATGGGCAGCTGCAGTTCTACCAGAACTACGTGGACGTCAATTCAGTATAGCCGGTGGGGGCCAGCTCAAAACCGATAATGCTGGTCACACCTCCTTTGAATTGTTAGTTGCAATCGTCAAGTACAAGACAGTGATCAAGAAGATCCGGGAAGGGGTTTGTACGAGATACCTTGCCAATTTGTCTCCTGGTAGTCACCTTCAAGTTTCCCTTCAAAAAGGAGGTCTAGGTCTCAAGACCATAAACCTTACCAAACCTTTGGTCCTGATTGGTCCGGGCACCGGAGTCGCTCCAATCCGTTCAATCATTTGGGAGCGACTTCAGCTTGCCGAAAGTCAAAGTCGAGCAGAGGATTCAGAACACCTTGCTTTGGAAGTGAGTGGTGTCGGAAAAATGCTCCTCATCTTCGGATGCCGCAGTGAGGCGGCGGACTTCTTCTTTCGCGACGAGTGGGCGTCGATTAGAAACAAGCTACCCCTGGAGGTCCAGGCGGCTTTTTCGAGAGATCAGGTGCACAAAGTCTATGTACAGGATGTAGTGAGAGCCCAGAGGTCGGAGATCTTCCGGCTCCTGCACGATCTCGAAGGCACCGTTTTCGTCTGCGGTTCTTCTGGGAAGATGCCTGCCGCAGTTCGCGTCGCCCTTACTGATGTGTTCCAAAGCTGCAGTGCTATGAACGAGGAGCAGGCCCAAGGGTATCTTGCACAGATGGAAAGGAGTGGAAGATACAAGCAAGAGACGTGGGGCTGAGACAACGCATCGCTCTCACCTCCGTGTACTGAATGAGAAACCGTATTCATGTGCAGCAACTTTCTACGATTGCAAATGGCTGTCTCATGCAGCATTTGGAATGGTTGTGGATTGAGTTATAATGCAAGGAGAATGCGCGTGAAACACCCAGCCTCTCTCTCCTTGGTCTCAACATTGAATCACAACCTCAACTACAAAATGTCGCACGATGCACTGAGCTCCTCAAAGGGACTGCTGATCAGTCTTCTACGGTCTATCCAGCTCACGGCACAGGATGCTTTTCCTAACTGCGCGAGTTTCCGCCACCATTTTCCTCGCAACGACCAGTCTCTCGTCGCCTATTCCAACACCATGGACGGAGAGCTTTTTGGAAGAGATCAACGCCCTTCGAGCCAAAGGGATGTCGGAGGTAACATAATTTGATCAAGCTTGTGCTCTAGTCTTGAACACACAACTCGGAACGACTCGCTCACTCAGTCGACAGGACCAGATCAACGCACTGTACCCGCAGCGCCTTCCAATTCCCGAGACCAAACACCTCAGGACGCAGTACACCTTCCCTCATCCACCGACGACTTTTCAGCTCTCAAATCCACTCGAAGAAGTTGATGTTTTCAGATCCGCCTCCTTCCTCATAGATGACAAGGACTGCCAGGATCCCGGCTTCCTTGAGAAGCTTGCGAGGATGCTAGGACTTGGAGGGAACAGCGGAGCAAACAACCAGTATGCTGTTCAGGACGGCGAGCGCAGTCAAGAAGATGGGGCATTACATATTCAAGGGCAAAAAAGCCCGTCATTGAGGGAAAGTGTGGGAAGGAGGGGAGAGCAGATGGGACGCAAAGACTGAACAGTTGCGCAAAGATGGGTTTTTGGTGACTCGCAACTTCAGTCCACTTTCGATAGCAATATAGCATGCATTGGTAGGAAGACCATTGATTAAGTAAGGGATTCACTCCGCTATTTCCAGACAACGGCAATTCTCAGTAGCAATGAGCATGCCTTTGCCGTGAGTGACAAGCAATGCTACCTTAATGAAGCCTGTCCCTTTCGGGAATTCTGCATTTCTCGCATTGAATAAGCTGATTTCAGAGTATTCATACTTGTGAGATCCACAGAGCGCGAGGTCCAGTCGTTCGCACTTTTGATATCAGGATGGGGCCCTTGTCTGGATGTGGCGCGCTATTGTGGAGGTGTTGACGTGGCGCGTCCCTGCCGCTAGATAGGAACAGCCGGATCCAGGAACCGGGAGACCAACACCAGTGATGGAAGGAATGAGGGACACCTTACTACCTTAGGGACACCTTAGGGTGAATATGTTGCTGACTACATCATTCACGTTGGGATATGATACGTCAGTCGTCGACCAGTGAGCGCACGGTGAATCTGCGCAGGTCCGAGAAATTCCCCGCGAATCGGGTTTCCCAAAAACTGCAGTAACAGTCCATGGCTCTTTCCACAAACAACACCTCAGTGAGGCACCTCTGCAGTCATGTAGAGCCCCCCGGCTCTTCTGATTCCTTCCTTCAACAACATCAACAATACATACATCATACATTTGGACCTGACACTGTCTTGCCACGCAGAATATGAAAAGATAATTCATCATTCATCTCACTACTGCTACATCAGCACGTACATTCCTTTTGTCACCGCTTATTGGGTGTCTTCCAATACCTCCGTCAATCCCTTACCCATTGAGATCACTGTCTCGTTACGCCGATCAGTTCACTATCTCGACATCAGAATGCCTCACAAAACATCTCTGCAGGCTATGCCCGCCATGTTGGGTCTTCTGTCCCCGGCAGGCCGCCAGTCATTCAACAACTCTCCTACTGCCGCTACCGAGTCCTCTCCTTCAGTAACAGCCCTGCCGCCATTGGCCTCCGCTCAATACGTTCAGCAATGCCATACCGTCATGAGCCAACAGCGAAAGATGTTCGAGTCGGAAAGAGAATTGTGGAGCATTGAGAAACAAGGGCTCATACAACGCATCACCGACCTCGAGGAGTCCTTACAGCATCTGCAGGACGTTCACAGTGAGCTTGCGTCACACAATAAAGGCAAAAGCGCTCAAAACAGAGGCTGGGATGAGACCAGCACCTACCGCTCAAGACCCAGTAGTTCGAGCACTGTGGGAGAGGAGCTGGTCAAACTTAGCAATACAGGCATGACACCTACGCGGAGATTCTCAGAGTCTTTTGAGCCTGGAAAAGCTACGCAAAAACTCTCTAGCATAAACGAAGACAGCACGCAGGATCGACACGTATCCATCTGCACTAAGACCGAGAATATCCCGACCGATGCTTCTATGGCGCACAAATCTACCATTGCAGGGGCAGACATCGACAAAGACCTCGATGGCATAACATTCAAAGCGTCCGCGATCGACCCCAACATCGTCAAATCCGTCTTCTCTTCCGGATCCGCTTCGCCAATGACGTCAGCTGAAACAGAACGCGCTATAAATAAAGGCTATTCACTATTCAAGGAACCCGATTCATCGGCGTCGGACGAGCTGAACGAGCCGAATCGGACACTTAATGCAGGTCATACGCCTATCTCAGAGCATCCGCATCTTCTGCTCTCGGCAGACGGTGCAAGTAGTAGGCCGGGCAGTGCCATCGCTAGCCCAGACCCAGCACCGGTCAAACGACCTTCGGAGCGCCGCGACTCCTACTTCCCCAACGTGCATCCCGACACCTCTCTGCAGCAGCCAGAACCAGATGAAGACCCGGCGCTCAAGGGCCCTCTTGGTCTGACCGACGACTCAGCAGAGAACACAAAGTTCCTCGACAATCTGCAGAGAAGACTATCGCAGGAGGCAGAGAAGAGCAACACTAGCGAAGAAATCCAGGAGGCTACGGGTGAGAGTTGCAGTGCTTCGCGAGGGGAGGAAGAAGAGGGTGGGGAGCCCAAGTTGAAGATCAAACGGAGTCTGAATTTCGGGAGTCAATTGGGAGGCGGAAGTCTTTAAACGGATGGTCTACAGTGAAGAGGCGGAATCAAGGAGAGCGCATTTTACAAAACGCAGTATAATTTGTATAGCATAAAATACAAGACGATTTTACCCAGAGCAGACCACTTTGAGGGCATGTATAAATATCAGGTATCTATTCCTTTGGTGAATTTGTGCTCCCTATCGAGACACTCCCAAGGGTTGTATAGTCTCAATATAACTGCGCCAAAGTCTAGTGCCTAGACTTTAGTGGCAATTATAAGGAGGTACTGGAAATGGCCTTGCACTGCTTTCCACCCTGGGCATCGCTTTCTATGTCCCTCCATGATAGGTGTGGGCGGCCCGTGGGAAGGGAGTTGCGCCAAGACATAAAATCGGCCGTGGTGATTAATCAGCATAATCGGCGTGCCGTCATTGGCTGCAAGGACTAGAGTCCTTATATGTCTATAAAATGTGCTTGCGAGGGTTGATGGTATGCAGGAGCCTACACGCTTTGCGAGCTGATATGACTTGTTGGTAAATGAGTAAATGACCGAAACTTGGATGAAGCACGCTTGATTACTGTCGCGCTTTGCAGTGGGGTTTGAAGTGTCTGAAGTCGGTGTTTGTGGTTGTAGGGAGGGCAGGGGGGTTGATCTTTGTGACTGGCTCTTACTTGCTTCTTCTGTGTGCCCAAATTTCCACACACAATGTTCGATGCTCATGTCGCAATCTCAGCGCACGGTAGGCAACTTTCGAATCAATCTTTCTTGCCTATTCCAGTGTCATTATACTTGATGGTCTAGTAGCCCATCGAAATACAGCTGAATGGACTCTGGAGGGGCTGATACAGTAGCTCTTGAAGCTGCACATCCAGAGCAAAGCAAGTCCATCCCTTGTCGATCTAATGATGGACAACAGCTCGAGGCTCAAGTAATCCCATTTCAATATACTTTTCTCCGTAAATCTACGAACATCAGGATCCTGGAGATAAAGCCTGATGAGCCCAATAGTGAGATCGATGTCGTACTGCATGAGAGGGAAATTGAGGATGAATGTCCCTACCACGCCTTGTCATATGTGTGGGGTTCGCCCAACTTCACGCACAAAGTGTATTGCTCTGAAGGGTACATCAAAGTCACTGAGAATCTACATGAGGCTCTCAGACTTTGCCGTCGACTAGACCTGTCGATACTTCTCTGGGTGGACGCAATCTGTATCAATCAGGCGGACGTTGACGAACGATCGCGGCAGATCCTGCTAATGCGAAGGATATATTCTGGGTCGCAATGGGTCTTTGTCTGGCTTGGTTATGAAATGCCATCTGATGCAAAGGCCTACGACTTCATAAGACATACTGTCGAAACATATAGCGAGAGACTCAATGGAAGTTGGGACGATGCTCTGGAGATACGTAAAATCAGCTGTGATATTTTATCTTCCGCCACTGAGGAGATCATGTGTTCTTTGACCGATTTTTTCGCGAAAAACTGGTTCTCGAGAGCTTGGGCATATCAGGAGATTATCTGTGCCCCCAATGCAACATTCTCAAGCGGACCGCTGGACATCAATTTTGAGTATGTGGGCAATTTTGCGAGGCTATGGGAGGCCCTGGGATTCAAGTTCAACCTGTACTCTGTTGAGGCCCAGACCGCTTTATCGCAAACCTCCCTCATAGTAATAATAAGAGACCACTTTTTGTTGGAACAAAGGTCGGAACATACGTTATACAAACTTGCGAAACGCACTAGGCTTCGTCTGGCTACGGATTCGAGAGACAAGATATATAGTTTAATTGCTATTGCGTCCGACAAAAATGCTCTACCCTTTCCGCCAACATACGACATCACGACTGAAGTACTATTTGAATCATTTGCTGCTCACCGTGTCCGCTCGACACGAAGCCTTGATATTTTCGAGTGCTGTATAACTCAACCTAATGAGACGGACTGCGCATCATGGGTACCGGACTGGAGACAGTCTCATGGCCTCATCATTGGAACTGGCATAAATCCTGAAAAGGAGCCATTTACCGCGTTCGGTACCTCTTGCTGGGACCCAACAAACATGATCGAGAATAGCACACTGGCGGTAGATGGCGTTCGACTGGATCACCTACAAGATTTGCTTACCCCTCGCATGATTTATCGAACCCTGCATAAGAGAGATTGGGTGAATGACTACCTGCCAATATACAAAGACCGACAGTCCTTGATCAACGAGTCAATGGGACTGACCCAAAAATCAAAGCGTTTCAAATCCGACGAAGAAACTTGGCAAGCTTGGTGGCAAACGCTTATTGGCGAAAAGAAAGATGAAATGGTTCGGGCATCCGCTGATTACGAAAGGCTGGTTAGGGCGTATCAAATGACCATTGATGGATATATCAACGAGAACCTGGATGTGGAAAGTCACAATACCCTCGAAGAACTAAAAATTGAGTCGCGTATTAACTTAATGGCACATGAGCGCAGCTTTTGCCTGACGGCAGATGGCCGCATAGGTTGGGTGCCAAAATTCTCAGTGCGCGGCGACATCGTGAGTATTATGCGAGGATCACCTGTACCTGTCATCATTCGACCAGCTGAAAAGCCGGATCAATACTACATGATCGGTCAATGTTATATCCACGGCATTATGGACGGAGAAGCCGTTGCAGGAAGAGAGAATCAAATTGAAAAGATGTACTTGGTGTGAAGTGGCATTGAGAGCTGCTACTGACAAAGCTACAACATTGTTGTTCTAATTTCTCACTCCGTACGACAAAGGGAATTCTTCCATGTCTGGAGCCTCCGGTCAATCATCGATCCTCAAGACGTTTGAATGATTATGCCAATAATAGCGACCTTTTCAATATGTGGCAACAAAGAACGATCTATCAACTACGTGTTAGATTGGTACTCAGCGTCGAGAGAGATGGGAGACCGTAACAGTATCGTCTGCGAAGTCCGGCGAAAGCCCATACAACGTCGCACCTCACGGCTTGTCTTCAGGGAGACCGGGCCTCTGTATCAAAACACACGATCAGAAAACGATATTATCGAGCTCTAGATCCAAATCACTCGATGAGGTTCTCATACCATAAGTCGTTCTCAGCATTGATCGCACACGGTAAGAATTATCCTCCTTCTACACTTCACGCCCTCACGCGGGTTGGGATAGCTCTCAGCGTGCCCGTAATCATCTTCCTAGATGAAAAGATTACTATTGCTTAGTACAGCACGCCCACAGAACGTACAGACCCAACAGTCACCGTTTCGTGAAATGGAACTTATCTTTTGACTCGTTTATATATTGCTGACAGTGTCTTGGCCTCAACTTATGACACTCGCACAGCTGACAGTTCTTGAAACAAAGAAGCATGAATGGCAGCTATGAAGCACGAAGGCTAGGCTCAGATGTTAGGCGAGCAGCGACATCAAAGACGAACGGCAAAAACAGTAGGCTCTGTTTTGTCATCATTCGTTTCTCATACTACATAACGTTCTATTATCCATTACGACAGCATATACTAATTCATTTTGCCATGTCATGAGATACTTTTGATTCCAACCCTCATCCGCCCCCATCCCTCTCGCCCTCCCCTCCCCACCCCTCTCCACCCCTCCTACCCATCAAGCACAATCCGCTCTAACCCCCACCTCCCCACACCCGTCCTTCCCAAGGTACCACTCATCGCAAAGCATATCGCACGTCGCCCCCGGCGCGACAAATACCCTCCCCTCTTGTCCCGGCGTCGGTAATCGCCACTGCACGCTCGTATCACCTGGGTCAGCGCCCGTGGTTGCGCGGTACCCGCCGGCACAGGCGCAGTAGGTGTGCGCACCGATGACTGAGCAGGAGGTTCCGAGGCCGCAGATGTTGTTGGGGGGGAGAGGGTCGCAGGTTGGGCAGGTGGGGGTTTGGCGGGTTAGGAGGGGGGTGAGGGGGGGTTGCGAGGGCGAGGGAGAGGAGGAGGGGGGGGGGGAGGAGGGTGGAAGGACGCATGGTTGCTGTCGTCTAGAATTGTGTTGGATAGTCGATGCTGGGACTTTGGCGGTAGGGTTCTGTGTCTTCGAAAGTCAGAGCACTCAAGGACTTATATAATCATAGCCACTACTGGCCAAAGCTGAGGCTTCCGGATACAGATGGTTGATGATTCAGCACCGTGCTTGACCATGCAGCACACTAAGAGCTCATCCTCTCAGCATTGTAGGCGCTTGCCCTACATTCTGACAGATGGTGAAGAAGGTAGGCTCGTGCTTTAGTAACATCTCGACCTGAACTCGTGTAAGCCTCGATGCCGTTGTAGACGGCCAGCTCCCCATCCGTGATGGTGGCTTGCGGAAGGGACCTCGACAGGGGACATCTGATAGTGCCAAGACGCTAGGTCTACCTTAGTGCGGCCTTCAGCTTAGTCAGGAGATGCTCATTGGTTGAGCTCATATCGCCCGAAACTTTCAAGAGGGGAATGAGCTTCTACTTCGACCATTTGGATTGAGAAATCAAGCTGGCTCCAGCCAGTGTCGCCATGATGATCTGACAAGAGCTTGATTCTACAGTAATAAAAATGACCGCTTCTCCGAGGACTTCAGCCTGATGGAGACGGAGGTCTACTTCGCTTGTTTTCCCACGCAAGGGCGTTGAAAGATGAAGACAAGTTCTCAATACCGAAGCTTGAAATTGAAGGCAATACTTTGTGATAGATTGAGGTCTGGAACACTCATTGCAGTCACTCCTATGATACAAAGACCACTCTCACGCCGCTGAAAAGGCCGAGAGATGACCGAGCACTTAAGGCTTTTCATCACAGATCATGCGCTCATGCGTACTCAATTGATGAACTGATTTCAGAATGATAGACCCGATGTCTGACAAGTCTGTGACGAGGTTTTTCCAGGGCAATAGAATGGTACCATTTTCTCTTCGACCGATGAAGCACATCTGGAATTGAACAACGAGATCGGTGTAAGTCACTCAAGCTTGATCTACGGGACCACACGTCTTTCGACTTCCTTCCCAAGTAGCCAGTTTGTTGAGCTATCATGATTTTCATCCCGCCGTCACTTCGCTTTACTTGATCTCAACCGTCAACTCGTTCGAATGAAATTCGCCCGTACTGCCTCCTGTCATCGACTCTAGCGTCAATCTGCTGATTTCGTCCTTTGTGCCATCCCACACAGCTCGCCATGACCCTCTCGCCTCAACTTTATACTCTGATTTCGGCGGCAGCCCAAGGCCAATAGTGGGTAGCGTCGTCGAGCTATTGAGATCTTTGTGGCTCTTGATTTCGACGAAGCTATCGGGCGACGGTGGCAGCTGTCGCGCGAACCTTGCAGTTGCCAAGGCGACAGGCTGCTTGGTTGCAACGTCCTCCATTTCGAAGAGGCCAAGAAGACCGGCTTGTGGGTCCAGTGGAGAGTCCCATGTCAGTATCGTGACGGGATGATCGGCATTGTTTTGAACTCGTACGTTGACCTGAAGAGGCGTGTCGGGTTGGAATGAGGACGTGACTGCGCTGATTGAGACGTGAAGGAGTGAGAGATTCATTGTGGCTCGAGTCTCGACCAGAAACGTAGTGCAAGGCAAGTGTGGGTAGGTGTGTGAGCAAGCCAAGACAGTGGGACATACAGACCGTGAAGTATGGCCACAAAAGAGATTCTACTGTTTGTCAAAGATCGATGTCAACTTTCTGCTTTGTTCAAGAATGATGGCCGTTGCTGCATTGCCAAGAAGAAGTATTTGCTTGGCTGATGCTTATCGTGGTTGCAGCTTCCAATATTGGATAGCTTGCTCCGCTCTAGCCTCTCACAAGCTGCCCAAAGCAATCAAGGGCCCCTTGCTCCTGTTTCCTGACTACTGGTAGAAGGTTTGCCGGTATGGAAGCTTCGATGTCTTGCAGAAGACGCGGGATGCGCCTAGGCATGCTAGGCCTCCCTTGCTACGTATCTCGGTTAGAGTGACAGCCAACAACGGCTGTTAGAGTCTTATCTTTCCGCAGAATTGTTTCACAGAGTCAGACGATCTACTCATGGCCCGAGCCGACAACTACGCTAGTAGGCAATCACGACAACATGATAATGAAGCTTCCTCTCTCGATCATCTAGAACAATCGCAGCTCGTTCACGACCATCGGCTACATACCTTAACAGTCTCAAGTCCCCAGAGAGTACTCTTGGCAAGGGTCTGAGTGCCAACACAGCACTTATCTCTGCCTTGTCCCTTCCTTCAGCCTTCCATCCCATATCTCAAGATGACAAATTGTTTCGATATCTTTCCTTGTTCTCAAGAGCATCTGAAAAAAGCCATGAGACTAGCGAACGGCTGGGCGCCTCGCGCCGGTCAGCCATGTCGGACTCGATCGAATTCCAGAAGAGATGCCAAACTTCACCTGAGCCCATGTTCGTTTTGATCATTCACGTTCAGTCGACGTTCGACGTACCCTGTACTTGCCTGCAGCTTGCTCTGCTGATAGATAGCAGCCAATCAGTCTTCAGAAGTGCGTTCGCTCCCTGATCTCCCATGCCATACTGCGCTGGACGCTGATCGTCTTGTGCGTTCCGGTCGAGAAACAACATTCAGCTTTCTCTGAGCCAAGACCATCTATCGTTCTGCCTTCCTAATTTACGATAGCCTCATAGTCAGGATGTGTACGCAGCAGTTCACCTTCGCTTGGCCTCTTCCAGATATCCACACCAGCTCGTTGACCTGCTTCTTCAAGCTCAGTGCACAGGCTCTTGCTCAGAGAGACTGCTATCAGGCCAAGACTTTCGAGGTTTATCATTCTATGTCAAAAGACTAAGTGTAGTTATGGAAGGTAGCTCTTTTTCGCTGGTCAAAATCTGTGTATATAAGAAGTGAGACATTCAGTCATCCTCATCCACCATCCAGCTATTTCTTAGAAAGTCAATTGTCATTGCAAAAAGATCACGATGCATATCTTCCGTCAGCTTGGCTTGTTAGCCCTAAGTGCCATTCCTCTCGTCTCTTCTGTTGCCATTGACCTTGAGAAACGTGCACCTGCCATCTCCGTCACCCTATCTTCAGTATCCAACACCGTTGTGAAAGCCGTGGTCAAAAACACCGCCAGCGAGTCCGTGAGCCTACTCAAGTCCGGCTCCATCCTCGACTCCGCACCCGTGGAGAAGGCCACCGTACTAAAGGACGGTTCGTACCCACCACCTTCAACATGTGCCCCATACCCCTTCACCACATGACCACTGACCACCTCCCCCAGGCGCCCGCCAACCCTTCAAAGGCCTCCTCCTCCGCCTCAAAGACACAGACCTAACCCCAGAAGCCTTCACCACCCTCGCCGCCGGCGCCACCTTCGAAACCACCTTCGACATCGCCACCGTAACCGACCTCTCCTTAGGCGGCACCTTCTCTCTAATCTCCTCGGGCGCCTTCGCCTTCCCCTCCGCCTCCGGCACAACCCTCTCGTCCCAAAAACTCCCCTACACCTCCAACACCCTCACCCTCACCATCGACGGCGCCGAAGCCGCAAAAGTCGCCCCTGCACTTAAAGACCTCGATAAACGCACCATCGTCTCCTCCTGCTCCGGCAGCCAGGGCACAGCACTCCGCGCTGCGCTCCCGAGGGTTGTGAGCTTGAGTAATGCGGCGGCGAGTGCCGTGGGTACGAATAATGCGAAAATGAATGAGTATTTTCATAGCACTACTGCTGCTACGAAGAATGTGGTTGCTGCGCGCTTTAGGGGTGTGGCGGCGCAGGCGGGGACGACGACGAATGGTGGGACTAGGTATTATTGTGGGGATCCGTATGGGTATTGCACGGCGAATGTTTTGGCTTATAGTGAGTTGTGCCTTTACCTCCTTCCCCGTCTTTTTTCCTCTCGCTGCTGGGGTCTCTCTCTTGGTAGAGGTGGTGGAGGTGCCGTGGGGTTTGAGGGAGTGGATGGCTGATGTGAAAACAGCTATTCCTTCGCAGAATCTGATCGCCAATTGTAATATCTACTACAATCTTCCGCCTTTGACGAATCAGTGCCATCGTCAGGATCAGGCGACGACCAGTCTGCATGAGTTCACGCACGCGCCAGCTACGTATTCGCCCGGTACCCAGGATAATGGGTATGGCTATGCGGCGGCGACGGCGTTGAATACGCAGCAGGCGATTAATAATGCGGATACTTATGCCCTTTTTGCTAATGCGATTTATGTGGGTTGTTAGATGGGGATGGGATAGGTGGTGAGAGGGAGTGGTGTTGGGGGTGGCGTGGGAAAGGGGGAAGGGAGAAACTTGATGGTGAGGATACGTGCTGAGAGGAGAGAGGAAAGGAAAGAAGCGTCATATAAGGGGTAGTAAGAGTGTGAGTGGGGTACAATGCTTTGCTCTGCCTTTCTAAGAATACTGCAATTGGTATTGTGTAGTAAGTCCTGAAGCCTCATTTGCCATAATCACATTACGAACGGAATATCCATTTGGCCAAAGCACGGAGCGTTTCACTTCGTGGCTCAGGATGCGTAATACTATGCCATGCCTTATCAAGCCGGCTTGATGGTCCATAAATGCTAGTTGAAGAATTTTCGTTTAGCCATTCAGTGAGTGCTTCGGAAGATTTTAGCGTGTTCGGATGATTAGAACCTAAGATTCGTGTGTCAAGGCGTAGACAGTCTCGCATCAATTGAATCGCCTCTGCAACCCGACTTTGATCCCTCCAAACCAGAGCTAAATCATACATGCTTACAATTGTGTCGGGATGCTCCTCGCCTAGCACCCGTTTCCTGGTCTCAAATGCTTGCAGCCCCAACTCTTCAGCCTCTTTCCACCGTTCTTGACCTAAATACGAGAGGGCTAGGCCGCTGAGACTATACACTGTATCAGGATGCTCCTCGCCTAGTACTCTTTTCCTAATTTCAAATGCTTGCAGCCCCAACTCTTCAGCCTCTTTCCACCGTTTTTGACGCCTATACGAGAGGGCTAGGCCGCTAAGACTATTCAATGTATCAGGATGCTCCTCGCCTAATGCTCTTCTTCTGACTTCTAACACCCGCAGCCCCAGCTCATCGGCCTTTTTGTAGCGCCCTTGCGCTACGTAAGTCATTGCTAGGTTTTGCATACTTACTAAGGTATCAGGGTCCTCGTCACCAAACACTTTTCGTCGTATATCCATGACTTGTACAGCAAGCTTCTCGGCGTCCTCCATGCGTCTTGTGAAATAATGTACTGAAGCTACTGCTGACATACTGTCTAAGGTAGCCTTATGCTCTTCGCCAAATATCTCCTTCCTCGCCTCCATCGCCATTGTAGAGAGCTGCTCGGCCTCAGCGAAATCTCTCTGCTTACATGCATACCATCCAGCATTGTACAGCAACGAGGCCCATTCAATGATTGCTTGTTGAGCTTGTGGACGTTGTGCGATTGCCGACTTTGCGTGGGGAAGAAGCTCTCGGCATCGAGACCAAGTCTCATATTCTCCCGATGGAAAAGCGATGGACAAAATTTTGATATAGCGCTCCTTCCATGGTTCAAGCTGCCCCTTACTCTCTAACCACTTGCGCGTCGCCAATTGCACAAGCGCATGCATCTCAAATTTTCCCGTCGTATTGATTGACATGAAAGAGAAATCCCGCAACATCTGTATATCATCTTGAAATGTGTCGTCACAACTGAATATCGACTTGCAATCCTCGTCATTCTCTACTTCGTCCTCTTCATCACCTTCGCTCATAGCCTCCTCTTCCACCTGTTCTTGGTCAAGCATGTCGTCTTGGCTGATTCCTGGCAAACTATGTTCCTTACTTGGCTTTGCGACTCCGGCTTGACTTTCGCTCTCAGATTCCCGTTCGATGTCTCCCAAAACTTCGCCTCGAAGAAGATATTCCGGGATGCCTTGCCGATCAAAAAAACTTAGGAACGACAACAATTCCGTGGCAGATGGTCGTATCCGGCGTATATGTTCGAAGGAGATCTGCCAACTGATAATGATGGAGTTCTTCGCCTCCCAATCCCTCCGTAGACGACCCGCCTCATGATTGAGAAGACTACCCTTCTTGCGATCACTTTTTCGAAAGTCTTCCAGATACTGCCGCACTGAACAACGTGGCGCTCTTTGCGAAATGTATGCTGCTGCCTGAACAATAGCCAGGGGCATGTATTCCAGAATCGCTGCAAGCTTGACAATATCTTGACTATCGCCTAGTTCTCCCAGCTTTCTCTTGAAAAGGTCTGACGCGTGCGTCTGATCAAACGGTCTGACATCTATCATATCACGTTCTTCAACTAAATGCCGCGCCGCCTCTCTACTTCTCGTAGTGATAAGTACCCGCCCATTCTGGCTCTGAGGTAGATACGTGGAGAGTGGCTGCTGAGTACCATCAGCGGAATTGAATCCTTGCTCTTCCTGCCGGGAGCGTTGGGTCTTGAGAAGGAAAGTTGCATCGTCAACATTGTCAACGATGAGCAGCCAGCTTGCATTCTTCCCGTCACACAACCAGTCATACACAAGTTTGTAGATATTGGCTTTGGGCTCTCTCCGGCGCGGAATTTTCAAGTACTCGGCAATATCCCGAAAGCTTTTCTCAAAACGCGCAGCGTTACTCCCATGAACCCAAAAGACCCAGGTCGCTGGGGATTGCTCATGAGTTCTGTAGCCATACTCAATGGCGAGCTGTGACTTCCTAGCCTAGGGTCAGCACCTGCAACGCTTGTGTATCTGCCTTCGCTTTTCGCCCCTTACCCTACCCCGCCAAAGCCGACGAGTGCCACCCGAGACGCAGGTGACACGCATTTCTGATCTAGTAGGTCGAGGATGTACCCTCTTTGGACGAAATCTGGATCTCGCCGAAAAGGAATGCTCAATGAAGGATGGGGCGGTGTCTCTGGTCGTTCTATTCACAACAAGGTTATGTTAGTCTCTCCTCGGAGGCGAGTGGGCGGAAAAGGGACTTGCCGGCGGCAACGTGAAAGTGAGCACCAATTTCCCCCGAATTTTCTCCTATCTGCAGGCCCCTGTTTCCCGCGCCTGTAAAAGTCGAGGAAATGCCGGGATGGGACATGAAGTCGCAACGAGGTATGGAAAGCTGGTTACTGACGATGAAGGTCGACGGACCCTAGCCTTGTACGAGGACCACGGCTAGGCAGCTTCCTCCGTATCTTAGCAGCTGGCGCGCTCTACTCTATTAATAGCCCCGGCTTGCAGGGATCCTTGTGGAAGCCATGTTAGCCTGATTCAATACTCTTCGATACGTCGCTGAATTCAAATGAACGGAAGCTCAATTTACGGGCTCAGATAGCGTCTGTGTCCATCCTTCAACCGTTTTCTCTCACCCCCACGACAAAGCTCATTTCCGCCTGAGAGAGCAAATGGAACCTGCTGGACTAACAGTTGGCGTCCTCGCCCTTGCAGGTCTCTTCAGCAACGCCATACAATGCTTCGAGTTTGTGCAGCTTGGTCGTAATTTTGGAAAGAGCTTTCAAATCAATCAACTCAAGCTAGACAATGCAAGACTTCGCTTGTCTAGATGGGGCAATGCCATTGGGCTGAGCAACGATCTCCAAGGGGCACGATCGCTTGAAGAGCGCTTTGGTTCCCAAAACGTTGGACATGCTAGATCTTTACTTGAACAGATTCTTGGACTATTTGCAGAGGCTGAAAGTGTCTCGGGCAAATACAAGAGCCGATCCGAGCCTCATGATGGTCAGCTCGAAACCTTCGATCCTCGAGTCGACTTAGAACCCACTGTTGCAGACCTCCACAACAAAATGACCGAATTGGCTGCCAGCCGACAAAACAAGACCGGATTCCGCCAGAGAGCAAAGTGGGCATTGTTCGAAGAGAAGACTTCTCGGAGACTTATCGAGGACATCACAGATCTAATCGACGGCCTGGTGAAGCTCTTTCGAGCATCTCAGGAGACCCAACGAGAGCTTTGCGATACTGAACTATCCTCAATCAGCACGAAGGAGAATATACAAGTATTGGGTGATATTGCAGAGGAGCAAGACAAGTTTCTCAAGGATGCCATTGCGAAGGCCACAAGTAAAGACGACGGTGTTCACAACATCGTCTTCTCAGGGAACGACAATGCCGGTTTCCAGATGGGTCACAACTCTGGTACCATCAGTGGCCTCACTTTTGGAAGAAAAGATTGAGACAACAACCCTTCTCTGGCGCAAGACGTGCTAAGGTTCAGTCAATATACCTAAACGAGACGGCGGCAAACGGGAGGCGGCAGAACCTTACTTGACATATGTTACACATCTATAAAAGCCTTTGCGAACATATACGGTAGATTTTGGGATTGGGAACATGGATGCCGGGCTATCTAGACAATTAAAGGCGTGTTGAAATCCTGCCTTCAGGCTCTATTCAAGTGTACGTGTATGACCGCCGCGAAAATGGCTGAGGACAGAAAATAGGTCTTGCATTACTAAATTCGGTCATATTCTGCCATCGAGCAGCGCTCCCCAATCCACAGACACGAACAGCAAGTCCAATTGACTGCCATGGACACTGTCGTCGAGTCCAACAAGCCCCCTTCCCTGAAAGTGCGTACCTCCTTACTCTCACACGCTTCCCAAAGGCATCACCGCGAAATCCTCTTCGCACTCCCTTTACAAAGTTTCCTATAACACATCTCACCCTAGCCAAGCATGCCAACTTCATGTGCAAACCCCTCAACCACAACGATGCTGCCCGGCAGCTGAACTGGAGCGCCATCCTTGCCGAATCGAAAGCATGTATCTTGACTACATCATATCCGTAGATTCATGCTGCGGTACGCCTACGAGACGTAACTCCTCGCAAAACTCTTTGCACGCCTGTAGCTTTACGAAGCATGCCCCTTCGCTGCACCGCTTGTGGTGACAGGAGAGTGAAGGTTCTTTGCGCACGCACGGAAGGTGAGCAATACTACTACATGCGGTCAAGTTACGAGTGAAAATGAATCGTTGGGCAACGAGAAAAGACGAGATGCAGGAACAATTTTGAGGGAAAGCTAGTTAGCAGGAAAGGATTGATTTGTGCTGATGAGACAGGTGTTTCTAACTTTGGTATGTATGCAAGCACCCGTTGACTCCACGCCCTTCTTGATCTTGCGTGGCTGATCCCCTTGTCTTCCGTTGTCCTGCCCATTATCTGCCCAATGCATTTTCCATTCTCTTCACCCTGGCTGTGCTGATCTGGAGGAATGTAGGCTTGGGATGTCATTATATACCCACAATCATCATTCGCAACAATCGACCTGTGGATCCGTGCTGCATAATTCTCTCATCTCTAAGTATGACCATCTATTTCCGTATCGAAAGCTGCCTGTGAGAAGAAAGAAGCTTTGGAGGCTTGTGAAGGCGTCTTGCAGGCGTCTGATAGTGTTAGAGGCTGGTGGCTACCTTCGGCTGTTCTCGGTTGTTGTCGGTCGTGGCACCAGGAGGCTTCCGAAATCGCCCTAAATTAAAGTCACACAATTAGCCTATAAAGGCCGCCTCATATCTCTCACCAACACACCAAGATTGGTCTTGGTGCTTTCCTCTTATGCTACCGTTAAAATCATTTCATCATTGATGAAGCATATGATACAACATCTTCAGAAAACCATGACAAAAGGGGATCATCGCTGGGCGTGGGTCATAGATTAATCACTGGCCTTTTGGTTTGGCTAGTTGCAGCCGCTCTGTGAAGCCCGACTCTTCCTCTGAGGGGTCTGTGGTTTCAAGTCCTGTGTTGCTCTTGTCCGCCAATTGTGCTTGAGTGAGGGACGATGATGACAGTAATAATGATTGACGAGGACCTTAGGATCCCTGATCTTATGAAACCTATGCTGCTGGAATACAGTCAGCACATGCCTGAGTCCCAAAAATCATACGAGAGCATCCGTTAGGGGGTTTCAAAGATGCTGGGATAGGTATCTGTTGATGATGACATCGAGGCAAAGATACCAAGGAGTAGTGACAGTAAGATGTTGCCGCGATTGACAGACAGGATTGGGTTGTACGGGGTGTAAGGAGGTTGTCACTCACATTTCACGACGTTCAACCCGACCATTATGACGAAAGGAGGAGGAACAGGGCGGATGACAAGGCTCAGCATTGTGTAAGAGACACTAATGAAGCTGACTCTCACCAGCGATGCAGCTGATGGATGGAGGTACGAATGGGTGGGACGAATGCAGAGAATGAAGAGGATGGTGGTTGAGGAAAAGAAAAACAAAACAAAGGACGGCCGCAGAAATAAGTGCTTCATGAAACCATGACAACTGGCGCAACATCGGCCATCTGGTGGAAGGAGCCCATTGCTGTGGTTCCGTTTCAATGAAAAGGAAGGTGCCTCCTGATTTTGAACCGTTTTGATCGCATACTCTTGGTCTGCAACTACGGAAATGAGACATACAAGATACACAATCAATGTATCAAAGGAAACTGGGAGAAACTGTTGAAGGTGCCTATTCAGATGACTTTTCACTCGAATCAACTCCGACGCCGCAATTTACATTGGTAGCTACTCGGCGATCAGAGGGACAGATAGGTTATAGGGGGAAGGAGCTGTTCAGCATTGACCCAGTAACGATTCTTCAGGGTACACCTGTGCAACGCTCCTCGACGCCGTGTTCAGCAAATACAGAAAGCGCAAAGAAACGTCGTTGACACGAAGTTTCTTATCACGGCAGCCGCTGCATAAAATCGAGAGAAGCTTAGCAGACTGGCGAAAGACAGCATAATTTTGTGCCTTCTCACACAGCGTACGTACTCGAATCTGATCTGACTGCAAGGTAATGGACTACTTCCTGACACTCCAAATACACTATTCCGCTGCCTGCCATCTCAAAATTCGAAAAGAATGATATGTGACTGCCACTTTCAAGAGTTCATCCGAGTGAAGTTTATCCCCATCCTTTTTCACATGCAGCGATGGTCAATTTTCGGTGCCGGTGCTCACTTCGTTCCCTCTCGATGTCATTTCTCTAGAATCAATACCCAAATGCCAAGAAATTCTAGAATGCTTTACATTTCCGAAAATGATGTATCCGCAATTCGTTGATAGTTCTTTGATGCAAGTCGCCCCTCCACATATCCTGTAGCTGTGATTCAAGGCTTTCAGCGAATCTTGAATGCGCTTTTGTGTTGTTTGTCAAATGAATAATCGATTTTCTTCGACTATTTTTAGCTGTTTCTTTATCAACATGCAGGCAGACAAAGGCACATTGTTTGTGCCCCAACTGCCTCTTTCATTAGGCGATGGATTATTCTGATCATGGAGATCTATACTTGGCCATTATGAATGCGAATGCGACTGGCCTCACTCGCGCCTTGTCCGCATCATGTCTCAATGTATATCAGAAGCCAGCAGGTCCCTTACAGACCACATATCAACGTTCTCTGAACAACCTGACAGAAAATTTATCTAAAATCAAAAGCCGTATCTTGTTAAATGGCATCTGGATCACAACAAAATAATGGGCAGGTTGCAGCCGATACTGAAGCTGACCAATACGATATTGATGCCACACTGACCGAGCTTGGATGGTATCCTGAAGCCTCACTGAGCCAGTATATACATGAAGATGACTTGAATGAAGCACCTTTTTGCACGCCCTTCGGCACCACACCCACCCTGGTGAAAGAAGCACCTGAAAAAAACCAATTCCTCAAAGATTCCCAAGAGACAAAACAATTGTATCAAGAGCTTTCTAGAGAAAGAAATAGATATCTCGACCAGTTGACGTCGGTACCAGGACTCGAGGATGAAGGATATAACCCTCACATTATCTACCCTGCGCCGAGCAACACACAGAGCGACGGCAGACCTTGGAATCCAGAAGTCAAGATACACGAATGTGGGGCATCTATACTAAACATATTGCTGTAAGTGTCTACTATTCTTATCAGGAATCCAATGTTGACCTGATCAGGAGTGATGTGTTCGATCTTGGAGATCCCAGCGGTGGCCCTCCAGGAAAACTTCAGGGCAGACTATCATTCCAGCGTATCGCTGATCCCGAAGCTGAACGATGGGAGTACTTCATCATCAATAGAGACATTGACAGCCTGATTGTAAATGGTCAGACATTCAGAACCCAAAGAATCATAGGTCCGCTTCCCGACTTTGCCGTAATTCAATTCAGCAGGACCGTGATGTTTTGGTTTCGGACAAAGAGAGCATTGAGGTTTAAATCCCCTAATTGGACCATTCTGAAGACTCCTCCAGCTCCAAAATCATATGTAAGTATACCACAGCCCTTCATCTTTGGTATTGAAGTTGACCAGATAGTACGATGAATCTGAGTTCTTAGAGGCATCTGTGGCAAAAGGCGTGAGTTTTAGTCTCGCTTATCTGGGAATAGTTGCTTACAGACGTGATATAGACAAGAAAGCGAGTGAGAGAACATGATGAGAAGCGGCAAGAGGACATTAAGAGGCAGAAGCGCGATGAGCATCATCCGACCATGCAACATGAAAGGCTTGCTCGACTTCGTCAGGAGAAAGAACAATATTCAAAAATGTTGCAACGCAAGAAAGTCAACTCAGATTCAGGCAGTCCTCCTTTAAACAAAACGCCTTCAGATTCTGCACCTCCAGCGGCTTCAGTCCCTGGAGCATTGAATGAACAGACGGAAGGCGTCGCAACTAAGGAAATGGTGGAACAAAACAATAGCCGAGATATTGACCAAGCTAGAAAACCCTCCGGCAACGTTGATCAGAATTTGCGTGCACCCATTTCAAGCAAGGGGAATTTTCATACAATACTCTATAAATGCCTCAAACTCAAGCCAAAGCGACTACCCGCAGACTTTGATGAAGGAGACGCCCAATGGCTTAGGCGCATAATCAATCTAGATGATGAGAAAGTGTGTCTACCAATCGCAAGCATCCTATGCGCTCTGAAGGAGGCTCGCATCCCTTATTCGTTCGGGCAGCCTACTCAATTCACCAGTTGGAATTCGAATATTGGTATTCTCGAAGTGTACGGAATTGATTCTGACACTTTCATCATACCCCTGGTGCTGCAGAACGATGGTGATCGTGAAGACAAGTCAGGCAAAATCTCTGATTCTCGGTTAACAGCTCTAAACAAAAGTATCGCGATTGAAAATGAAGAAGCAAAGAAAGAAGCAAAGATAGGAGCAAAGAAGAAAAGCGAGAAAGCTAAGGAGCCAAAAGTAGCCCAAGGACACATAATTCTAGCAGTGGCCAAGAGGACTGCTTCCCCTAGTCTTGTCGACATTGACTACTACGACAGTTGCTCTGGGTTTCTGGATCACGAACAGATGCGACATGCTGCTCTAAATGTTATCGAGCATTCAGGTTGGATGTTCCCTGCGAATTTGAATTCAGAGCATCATAGGTCAGTCCCGCAGCAGAAGCCAGGTCTATCTTGCGGAATTCATGCAGTTCTCAATGCTTGGGCAGTCATGCTTGGCCTTGATCCCGAAGTACCAATGCATAGAAGGCTTCAATTCACGGATGGCATATACCAAGACGCACGTATGCTTTTCAATTATGCGTGCATGGGCAGAGTGGACTCCGAAACTATAAGAACGTTCCTCACAGAGTATGGCTTCTGTGTTGCACCGCCTACCCACGGCCAACCACAGGCGCCAAACACGCATCCACAACAACAATCGCGGGACGTCCAGAGTGTTTTCATGAATAGAGATGTCTTACGGCAATATCTTGGATTCAACCGTGGTTCTGGAACGCCGCGAGACCGACGAAGCACGCTCACAGAAAGACAGAACGCACGTAACGCGCCACCTAATTTGCCACCGCAAACGACTGAACAAGAATCTGACTCGGAGGATGAGCAAGTCACACTACCAAAGAATACCCAAACCTCAGGCTCCGAAGAAAAGACAACAGCAATAGAAGAACGGGCATCCGAGAACGGTGATGATTATGACAACTGGGACGACCTGTTTGAAAATCCCGGAAGTCCACCTTCTGGAGGAGACTTAGATGCCTAGTCCTGAGCCCCGCACGCCGAATGAGCTGCAATAAGGGTTTTCGCAAGTCTGGGGTGAACAGGAGAGGTATTGTTTTGTTTGAGGAAGCGTAAGATTTTGGTGATATCATCACAGAAATGGTATTGGCGTAGAGGGTTCATGAATGGTGATTTTCTTTTCGAAGAAAGTAACAAATCTTTTCAACAAAAAGCGATCTGGAGATTTCACTATCCATATGTCCTAGTAGAATTCTTCAGAGAGCTTTGTTGACCGCGCATTTTTGGCCTGAAAGTATAAAAAGATCGAAATCGGCCGATGAATACTTGCCCCTATCGATGTTCGCACTCCCTTTGACCGCTTTTCTACAATGGCATTCCCTTCGCTGTCATTCGTCTCTGAATGATACCTCTTAACCAGCTGCCTTTCCTTTGTCCACTACCGCTAAATGGCAAGAAGTGCAATAGAACAAGAAACGCACGAAAGCGAATACCATCTAGACATTTCTCCTTTACTTACGAGACCCTGTTAGCAGAGGCATACTTGCAAAAACTACTCACAGACCCGATCCTTTCGTGCTTTTTTGTACCGAGTAGGTGTGGCCGTAACGACAGTACCGTCCAGTGCCGGACTCCGTGGTAGTCGTCAGGTGGGGATTTACGAGTAAAATGTATTGCCTTTGCGAATCAGCCAGTCAGATTTTCAATATCGCGGGCTCGTCCTAAGATCATCGTAGGTAATACTGGCAATACCTGAAGTTTACACATAATCGGCTCCGGCATCAGTACTTTATTGACACTGTGCATCCTGAAAGGAAGTAGTGAAATATCTCCGAAAGTAGGCGTTTAGTGTCTTTTTGGCGGTTGAGAGCACTGCATTGACTCATTCCTTATTCTGACGACTAGAAACGTCCATGGCAAATGAGACAATTCGTGGTAGCTCGACATACTCGCTACAGAAAGGCTTTTTTACATTCTATTGTCTTCAATCATATACGCACAGTGAATCTTAGTGTGGATTAGCGGCAAGATTCGCTTGAGAAAACTATTATCCAAGTCTCTGTGCAACCCTCCATCATGATAGGTTCTGACAGATTTACATCGGCTCCAATATCGATCTTTTAGCCTTCTGTATCGTAATTCAGAGTCTTTACCGGCTTTGGATCGCCTGTGTTCTCAAATCAGGCTCTTAAGGTTTCTTTTGCTATGGTCCTAGCTAGGCGAAACCTTCTTGCACAATCTCGTCGTCTTCTAGTCCTTTGATGAAATGTCATCCAGGGGTAATCTTAATTTAGAAAGTCCATCGATGACTGATTCCTCAAATCGTGGTGCTGACGCGTCGTCTTTACCCACAGCAGTAGCAATGAGCTCGTCATTTGCTTGCTCAATAGACAAAGACTCAACATCTAGAAGCATGTGACAGACTCCACATAATTGTTCTTCGTAATTCTCTCCTCCGAAAAGTTGGGGTCCGGAAACGTCAAGTTTTACCACGATTTTTTTGTCAAATTCTGCTTCTTTGAGGTTTTTACTACAGCCATGAGCCACGCAACAATTTCGTCAAGTCCATCTGTCAAGATCGGAGTGATTGTGATCAGGATCGTATTTATACTCGCTAAGTGTAAATGTCTACGCATAGCATTACGAATGCGAGAGTGGGACTCGAAGTCCTGGTAGACTTTGATAAAGCCTACTATGTTGTCCTTTTCCACGAAATATTTGAACAATTCGTTCAGCTGCTGATTGACCGCGAATACTGGAGCGGTTTGTTTGTTATGCCACTAATGGTCTGGTTTGGCATTCAGTTGGGTTTTGGAGGGATATGGTTACATGGTCACATGAAATGCGGCAAGCTTTCAAGACTTTCAACGTTCAAGGGGCGTGAAATTTGGAACTCTAATACCCTCAGAGTCAGAATAGGTCTCCAAGGGTCTCCAAAACCGGCGTTAGGAAAGCTTAACGTAGTTCTCAAAGACCTATAAATTTGAGATGCCATTCACTTCTTTCCTCCTTTCTTTTTTCACTTCCCCCCTCGCCCCCGCTTGATGATACCAAACTGCTATACAAACCACAAGCAAACGATCTTCATAACTGCCCTGGCTACGTTGTCAACCTCTGGCTAGGGCACCAGTCTCACTTAACTCTTTTTTTTACTATCAAAACGCCCTCTTTCTCCCTTTCGTTAGGTTTACTACACTTTTTTTCTAAATATAATAAACAAGGACAGTTGAGTGCACAGAGATACCACCAACAAGAAGTCCTCGAAAGAGGCCAGTGGACTCACTGACCTCGAGACCCCCTAGTCATCAGCTCAGCAAGGAAAGACTCTAAGAAATAGATCAAGAAATGCGGGCGCTGGACGAAAAGCTGACGAACAAGACACTCAAACGGCGACCAAGCTTCGATGAAAAATTCTGTAAACTAATTGCTGAGAGATCTCGTTTGAGAAAGGAATGAAACGAACTTGAACTAGAAAAGTCACTCGGAAAATTCCCGGGCACCTACAAGGAATGGACTAACGAAGCCTCCGTTCGCGATATCAAAAATAGAATCAGTAAATATGCCTATGATGCTGCCCTGTGGGATGGACAGGAGAGTCGAATGAAACGACCAGATCGTCAAAAGCCTGCTTTAAGAATGTTGATGGAACTCTTCAAATATGGCAAGTCTGGATGGGAGTTGGGCCTGGATGGGCTCGGCAAAAGGACCAGTAAAGACCAATCCAACTTTCGAAAGAAGCTTATAAAAGTTTGCAAGTCGACATTCAATGGCAGCAATAACCATATGTGGTGCCCTATTGAACAATACATGGTAACGAAATCCGGCATGAAAGCTGCGCATATATTCCCCTGGAAGCACGGACGAAACGCTATGGATTGCTTATTCGCAACAAGTAACGAGATGTTCTCGCCTTTAAACGGTATAATGATGGGTGAGCAAGCTGAAGACCGGTTTGATCGCGGATACCTTTGTCTTGTTCCTGCCGTGAATGACATCCGCTCTAAACAAAATGTCAACAATTGGCTCCAGGGCAGACAAGAATACAAGATTATGACATTTCAACGGAAAATAAGCTTGATGCAAAACAAAATCTGCAATGGACCATTTGCTGGGCGCACTTGGGCAAGTTTGGATGGCGAACTTGTCAAGTTCAGCTCAGACCACCGGCCTCGGGCACGTTACCTCTACTTTCATCACCTTTTCTGCTGCCATCGCGCGGCCTGGGATGCGAGCAACTTTATGGAATTCAAGGGCGACGCTTTAAAGGACCACTTTGGCGCACAGTATTGGGGTACCGCTGGGACATATATAACCGAATGCTTCTTGAGAGGGTTCGTACTGGAGATCGGACACGAGCACGAACACCTGCTAGATCATGCTATCAAAGATGGTGATTCTAAACCCGACTATACGATGTCAAGCTTGATGAGGAATGCAAGTTACAAGGAGGAGGGAGGAGAATCAGAGACGGACGAGGAGGACGAGGAGGAAGAGGAGGATGATGAGGAAGAATCAGGGACGGAGGGGGAGGAGGAATGGACGGGATTCAATACGTGAATGAGGAGGATGATGATGATGACGATTGATCGATGACTTTAGTAGTTCTGAACATGGTCGCTTAGCAAGCATACAGCTTTTCATTAAGGGGGAAATAAAAGTTCCACATTTGACACGTGTACATCCATCGTAAGACTCACTTCCACAAGCGACAGCATGATATCCTACCTTTACCACCTTCTTCCTTCCCCCGTACTTATAGTGATGAAATCGATCAACAAGATTGAAAACGCAATTATTAAATCATTTCATAAAAGGTACGCATGAATTTTCACCCATCGCCCTCAAACACTCCAATCCTCCCTTCCAGCTCCACAGATTCAATCCGAGAAACTCCTCCTTCAAAATCCTCACCCACTCTATCCACCCACCAGGCTCAACAAAGCAGACCAAGCCAAGAAGCGCTCGAGTCCTTTCAGTAGAACAGTATATGCATATAATACAATCATCATTCATACTATAATCAAACGCTATAACTACAGCAAAACCGCCCATCTACCACCAAGACCACCCACTCCCCCTTCTCCACTTCTCCTTCCCCCTTCCCCCTTCCCCCATCCTCCTATTTTAACCTTCCATCATCTTTCTAACCCCCCGGCTTTTCCCCCGAGGCATCATGAGAAGTCATCCATTTTCTCCCCCTCCTTCCCTTACGCAACTTTCCCCTCCACTTTCGTTGGATCTATTCCAGGTATCTCTTTAAGCACCCCAGGAACAGGAGCAGAGGTAGGGCCGGGGGCGGAGGTGGGGAAGGAAGGCTCGGGTCCAGGTCCGAGCGGCGTACTAGGCACGGAGTGGAACTCGCCTGGCATGGAGAAGTCTTCGCTTTCGTCCTTGTCTTTGGCTGGCGGTGCATACTGTGCGGATTGGAAGTCTGTCTCGCCGTTGTCATTTTGTTTACTGAGATGAGGTGTGTTCTCCTCGGCGGGAGTGTCGTGCTGAGCATCCCCCGTTTTAGCAACATCCTTTGCGTCTTCGGCTTCCGCATCTTTCATAACGATAGTGTCTTCGACGGTCTCCTCAGCAGGCGTAGCACCCCCGGACATCACGCCAGGCGTATTGCCTCTACTCCTCGAATAATCAGACCCGCTCATATCCACGTCATCAAACCCATCTTTATTCGGGCTTAGACGTTCGCTGTTCCGCGAGGGAGCGAGGTGAACCTGTTGGAGGCGCTCTTCGATCGAGCTGTGAGAAGGGATGGGGTAGAGACCTTGCTCAGCGTCTTGGGAGCCGTGCATGTCGATACCTAGGCCTGTCTGCTGGGTAGGGCTGGCGGCATCTGGGATTGCGGTTGGGCTGGGAATGGGGTTGCTGCTTCTGTAAGGACTTCGTGGTGGGAGAGCAGGCGGGACGCGCTTTGGTATCTGCACAAGCTTTGCGCGGGATATGACGGTTGCTTCTTCGGTTTTGTGATGTTCTTCTCCGCTGCCTGAGGAGCCGTCGTCGATGTCTTCGGCAAGGTTCTCTGTGGCTTTTCGTGCGGGGCTGCCTTCATCGGCTGGTTCTGGGGAGTTGGCCATTTCTGGTGATGCGAGGTCGTCGGTCTGTGTCCCACGATCTGTGTGTACACTTGCTATGCTCATCCTCTCGCTGTCCCTCTTTGAGTTCTTCCTTGAGTGGAATGTAGCATAGATCGGACTTGTAGGTGAAGGCCGATATTCAAATACGTCTCCACTTGGTCGGCTCCTCGTTCCTGCTTCCCTAACCTCCATCCCTTGCTCCTCGAGCGCTTTGACACCAAATGGGTCCGGGTCATCCTCGCTCGGCGGTAGGCCAAACCCATTGTCATCTCCTTTGACCTCGTAGTCTCCTGGCGTAGGCTCACTATCTGGCAATGCACTCTCATCCACATCGACGTCTCCCTGAGCTGCCTTGATGGTCTGAATCAGTCCTCCGATCTCTCTCGGCGGATGTCGTACTTTGCCGGCAAGGATATCCACCACCGCAATCCTCTCCCCATAGAACCGCTCATTCTCATCCCCACGCTCTATGATGACGGTCCCATCAATTTGAACTCCAGCATAGAATCCCCTACTCTTCAAGTAATTCCAAACGGGAGCTTGCCGCTTATGTAGCTCTGTCTCCAGCACCCCACCAATGCCCACTGGACCAGCAACAGCGCTGACCTCTCCACCAAGCGTGCACCGTATTTTTGTAAATGCTTCTAGTGCTTTTTCCGTATTGATGACAACGACGCAATCGTAGATATCCACTCCAACAAGAAAGCCCAAACCAGCAGTGTGCAGCAATATTCCCGACGGTGGGCTCCAACTGCCGTCCGCCGTTCTAGCAACCAAAATGCCTGAGCCTCCAGCACCGGAGACCCACAGCCCTGTCCTCATTGTAGTAAAGATAGCCAGTCCCTTCGCTCGTTTTATGACCTCCGTCGGTATCTTCTTAATCACCCTTTGCTTCCCCTTCGGCACCCCGTCGTCCTTTTTCGCCCCCACATATCCGGCCTCCTTATCTTCTTCAACGTAGAACCCATCTTTACAGAAGCTCCGCAATATTCTTGCAGCTTTATCTGATTCCCGATCGAGGGTCGTGGGCCAGAAAGCTTCAGAGCCGAGCTTGTTGCTCAGCCGATTGACGGGCGGGCCGAGCTTGTCGACGACGTGGTAGACTTTGTCGAAACCGGCTTTAGAGACGGTCTTGGTTTGCGACCAGGAGGGAATTGAGGGGAGGGAGTCGCGGAGAGGCATTTTGGGTTAGGTGAGACGGAGGTTTCAGAATGTTTTAGCTGGGCGTAGGGGGAGCGACATCTTTGTCGAGAGTGAATTTCAAGCTATTGTGAATGATGATTGGGGTTTTCGCATAGCTAGAGACTTGAGTGAGATTCGTGAGCTTTGGACTGAAGTAGTCACTGGCAAATGCTACGTAATGTGGAGGGAAAGAGCTCAGAGCTCAGCCTGCTGACGAAAGCCCTCCGGACCTTCCGCGTAAAGCCGGGGATCATCGTCGGCCTGTCAATTGAACTTTGGGAGCGAAGTCCGAAACAAAGATGCATTGAATTAAAGGACGATAGTCTGAATTGAATGTAAAATTTGATTCAGTGTCATTTCCACGCTATGCTACGCTTGATGAGATACCCTGCGTCACGCTTTTCGGCAATGTCATCATCACATTGATCTCAGTCCTTCAGCATTGATGAGATGGACATGGCATTTCCACTCCTCAAACCGCCATTTTCTGGGCCTTCGTCCGAGCCTAACTCATTCAGCCTCCCATACCCAAGATCCAACTTCTTCGCCGATTTTCTCCCCTCTTCTATCAATGCGAATTTCCGTCCAAGCTCTCGAGCGTCCTTGACGCTTCTTCCCAAACAACCCAATAAAGAGACGAGCTCGACATCAGACTTCTCAGCTAGGGTCTCATGTTTGAAGCTGGAAAAATCGCTGGAAGGCAAGAGGAGGGGTAGACGGGAAACCAAGGATTTAATAGATCGGAGTAGTGGGTAGTCGATTTCAGCCTCCGACTCAAGTTGACCCTTCGAAGTATCTGATGAGGTGGTGAGATAAGACGGAGGCATTGATGTCAGGTAGTCTTTGATGAGCTTGATCCGCGTATGCAGCATCTTGATGGCGTTTGCGCGGGCTGTCAGCGATGAAATGACTGGGAATGATTCATTAGTTTGCGATCATCTATCACCTGAATTTGACCTACGCTCTTCATCTTCAGCAGACAACAAGCTCGAGTCCTCTAGCACCTCTTGCTCCTTCTTGCCTTTGACACCTTTTTCAGCTGCCTTTCCCTCACTCGACTGGTTTGCGTCCGGCTTCTTCTCTTTCTTAGCCGACGAATCCGATGCCGTAGCATTGCCTCCGCCTCTTGCGACAGAATCGATGCCAATCATCTCCGCCTCACCAGTCTCTATTGAGTATGGGAGTTCCCTGAATCGCAATTCAAGCCCACCCTCTTTCTCGCCCGTCTCCATTGAATGATCGCCATCTCCCGTGCTCTCATAAACGCTCTCATAAATGGTTAAAGGCAGCTTTCCGCCCGCAGTCTGACCTCCAGGTATACTGGCAGGATGAAGTGTAAGGAGCACAGCTGTCTCATTGTAATTTTGCAGCAAATGCTCGTGTATCGATGCAAGATGCGCCTCCGGGCCTGTGGCGGACGAGGTGGTAAACCATCCAACGAGCTCTAAAGCTGGAGCTTGGTGTACGTCTTTGTATTGTTGTAGTCGATCTTTGAAGAAAGCATCATGGAGCACCCATTGCCCGTTATCACTTTGAACGACTTGAACATCGTATGCCTGTTCCAGACTGATAGATCGACCACTTAGCTGCCCCAATAAAGCTCCAACAACCGGTTGCGTTTGCCTTCGTAAAGTGTGTCGGGTTATGTAGTCGGAGATGGTGAGTAGGACGAGAGGGTGGAGGTTGATGACCAGGCCGGAGTCAGAGGTCTTGTGACTTGAAAGGAGCGACATGATGGCGATAAGCGGAGTGTACAGGATCTTGAAGTTGAATGACGTACTTGTATGTATTGGCGGTCGTTTCGTTCAGCCGGCAAATTGACACTTCGATTGAAGCTTCAAGCTATGACCGAGGGACGGCTACGCTAATTTGCTAGCGTTGCTTATTAATCAACCCTATCGTAGGGTCGTCGTTGCCTTGTGGCGGCCTAATTTCTTTGAGTCATTCACTACTCTGGCACCTCGTCGTCGCTTTGCTTTAAAAGGTAGCTAGGTAGGTCTTGATTGCAAGACAAATGCAGCAATTGCTTTGTTTCTTGCGTGATGGCCCGTTTCAAAACGAAGAAGGCCATTCAACGTGCTCATGAAAGCCCACTTTTGACAATACCGCTAGAAATCCGCTTCCTCATTTTTGATCTCATTTTTCTTGGATCTCCAGAAGAGGATACCAGAGGTATAGACTTTGGCAACAGAAACGAACCTGCAAATGAGAGGAGGAACTTCTCCGCAGTGTCTGATTTCCTGCCAGATGGGACGAAGGTTCTTAGATATTATCCCCAGCTTTTATGCTTCATCTTCTGCGTCAATAGGCAATTACATGATGAATTTATAATATTCATTGACACGAAAGGCTTCAAGACTCAGCAGCTTGAATTAAGACATCAACCTCGCATGCCTGCAGAAGCCTTACACTTCTTCCGATCGAGTCTGAGCTATCCTGGCATTCAAGAGATCAGACTTCTCATTCGCCCTGATCGTGGCTACCAAGATCTTCATATCGTCAATTGGATTGTCATGGTGGTATACATTCTTCAGCAAGTTGTCCGCCTTACCTGCACGACCTTGCAGGTAGAAATAGATGCCCATGAGCAGGACGTTGAGTTTCGTCGCAGTCCGCGGTCTCCAATCGTCACTGATGACAGAGGCGATTGCAAGATGTCCATAGATATCAAAAGTTGTGAAGTTGAGCAAGGTAGCGGATATCTCGATCAATTTCTTCGCAAGAAGACTGCCAGAGCGCTCAATGCCCTCAAAAAGTCAGATACACGCCGACCATCCGCAAATAGCTCACAGTAAGTTGCAAGGCCAATCCTCCGCTGAGAGGTCCCCAACTAAGAACCCGTGTAGTCAAATGCAATATGCGTACTGGCTCAAACATAGCTGTACGCATATCCCAAACCCATCAATTCAGTTTCCTTGCGCATACTTCACGTATAGCTCATTTCAGAATTGGAGCGCCAGACCTTATGGCATACTTGTAAGAGATTACTTGCAGTAGTGTCGCAGATTACTTGCAGCACTAAACTTGATATCGCCTATCCAGTAGTGGGAAAGTCGCAACCGGCAAGCGCCACAGGTGGTGAATCACATAGTCGTCTTTTGATGTCTACAGAGCTACGTACAGGTATTTCATTAGCCAACAGTCTTCGAATTGCAATCTTGGACGTTTTTTTTCCGGCTTGGAAGTGGTGGCTTCCTCAATACTGTGAGCAAGATACGATGGTATGTCAGACATGTGTTACGAGCTTTTAAAATCAGCTTCAAACGAAAGAAACTTATTATTATCGATCAATAATCAAGATCTTTCGAGGCCGATGGTGTTTCTGATAGTGGGTTTATGTTCCTGCCTGCTAGAGTTTTGAAGAGCTGTGCATATTCCCTTTCGTTAGCATGCTGCCTCGCTAGAAATCAAGGCTGTTCTGGTCCCTGCCTTCTGCTGCAACTATCGTTGCTCCCACTTAATCGCCAACTCCCCCTCCCTGGATTTCGCTACCTCTTCTTTCCCGTCCAAGCTTCATCTACGTAATATAGGGCATTCTTCTCCTATATCGGACGGTTCCGACCAGCTCTCAGACTAAAGAAGGGTGGGATTAGGATTGATTAAGGATCGAAACACAGGTGTTTAAGTGAGCTAAGCATTTCGGTAACTTTCTTAAAGGCGAGATACCCGCAGCAATTCTTCTTGGGACTGATGGTCGTGCAGATACACTGCCTAAGACCACTCCCTTTGCACAACAGGTGGTGTCAAAGTTGTCTCTTCGCAACATGATCCCAGAGGATCATTACAACATATTATGAAATGCTTTGCCATGTACAACTCGACTCAATTAATCATGAAACGTCTTTGCAATGCAAGAGTTCTGCCACGCACTTGAGACCATACTGGCTTTTAGTGACTTCCTGGACAGGCATCGATACGTATATTTCGCACCCATACTCCGAAGAAGTGTACCGTATCATGTCACTAACGTCGAAACTTTGGAAAATCTGCCTTATGTACTAAAGCCTTCAGATAGTCCACCGAGCTCGCCAGACTTCGGACTTTCATTGGTCATGCAAGAAGACCACAGGGTCTATGCCAAGACCTGCCTCCTCGCCTATTCATTCCATTGATCGACTCTTTCATCGAGATTCAGCTCGATTACCAATTTTTCACCCCGCAGATTGACCCTTATTGGCCTTGCCACATACATTTTGGTGATACGAACACTTGAGGCTTCCACGGAAGATCCTCACGCCAACGGGAGGCCTGATAAGTTGTCGAATTAGGCTTAAGACCTTCAAAGTCGAAAGACCACCTCCCCGCTAGAACTTGACGTTTGCGGCTTTTAAGGGGGCCACTTCTCATTCGATGCAAGATCATGTGTTCTCAGCTCAAGCATGCAAGCATGCAACCCTTCATGCATGTCATAGTCCCCGATAGGTGGCTTCATTTTCATTACACTAGCCTTTCTCAAGATTGGAGGGGTTGACAACGCAGTAAGGCTATGTCCAATCTTCCTCGACCTTTCATCAACCTTCCCCCAGGATTTTACTTGGGTCGTCCGTTTGAGTTGGCTTTGGACTCGATTCAAGATGCCGATAGATACTTTTACCGGGCCCATTGCAGCCGCCGAAATATCTGAGTGGCTTAGCAACTGCGAGGAAGATTTCGATCAGTACAAAGACAGGAATAGCAAGGACTTGCTTGACAAGCAGAAAATCCAGAGGGCTGGAAACTCCATTTCTAAAACCGGCGCATCGACTAAGCCACTGGCTAGTTGGTACACACAGAACCGTAAGGCTTTGGAAACGAAAACGTGGGATACCTTTCGAGATTCAGTCAAGGACCATGCACTTGGTAAGGGATGGCGCCTGAGGGCTCTCAAACAATTCTACCTCTACGCGCAGGGCGATACGAAGCTGGACGACTTCTTCGTCAAGTTCGAGGAGCTGAAATACACCATTGCGCGAAGTAGTAAGCTGACTGAGATTGACAATGTGGCCTACAAGTCCCATTTATTGTTCCGGGCAAACCCGGGACTGCTCGAGAAGTTCATGCGAGATCCAAAGAATGAGCAGATCTTCCTCAACTCAGATCCAGAGGATGTGAAATCGACGCTTCGCGAGTATGATAATGGCGATCCTGTACCAGCTCCAATTGAACCGACAAGCCAGTAAGTACATTGTCCTTCTTCAGTAATATGTACAAGCTCATAAGTATGATCCGTCCACCTCTAGAGCTGTTGATTCTTTTCAAACAGCCGTCACCACTGGTATGTGGCTCACTAGTGGGCTGTTTGGCGCAAACCAGCCCTTAAAGACTCAAGGCAATGATAACATGTTCTCGAGTATGAGTCGCTTGCCTCTACTGTCCACTTCTCTTGCACACCTGAATTACCTCAACATTTGGTGGAATGAATCATCCACGAGGCCTCAGATCCAACTTTTGCAGCCAACCTTCGACTCAAACCCGCAATTTAGTATCAATTCCCCAATTAACAATCGTGACGCCATTGCCAGAATTGGTATCTCCCTTGATTCCAATGAATATATTGTCTCTGTGAGATTGACACGGGATGACTCTAATTCGGCGATTACATCCATATTGATTCAGACTTCTAAACAGAATCAGTTACATGTTGGCAGTACAGTAGGTGACGTGACCACATTCACGGCGCCTACGAACTGGAGAATTGTTGGATTCCACGGCAGCGCGGACTCGTATAAAGCTGATGCAAGTTCGGGACAGAATCACTATCCAATCACTCGGCTTGGAGTCATCTACGCGCCGATCATGCCTTAGCTCCTTCTTTGGTACCTTACCACTGAATATTTGGAGGACGATGCAGAATTATATGTGTGTTCAAGTGACCATCAAGATCAAATTGTAGCAGCAGAAGGTTACCAAGGTGGAATGGTTTAAGCAAAGATGACAATTCAGAGACTTTGCAGTGAGAACAGAGACTCCAATACCATTCGAGACCCACTTTCATGACTGTTGCGGTGGGGTAAACAAAGACTGCCGACTATTCCTATCAGGCATGCACAAGTGCGGACCATCCCCACTGAATATTTGCTTTTGGCCAACATATATCCCTTACTTTCCCCCTGCCTTACCGTTGTAAAAGGCATGAACAAACGATCAGGAGTAAGTTGCTTTTCTGACCAGATCAAGAACTCTTTAAAACCTATACCTCCCCACCATCTCCCCAATATCCGAGCTCCCACTTCCTCGCAAAATCAACCAAACGACCCCAATGGCCCATCTCCACTACCCCGCTTTCACCCCCCCTTACCCAACACAATCACAACACACCTCGCCATATCCCCCCTCTGCCTCACCAAGAAAAACCACTTTTTTAGCCCTCCCTCGACTTAAACAACCTAAATCAGCCATCCACCGCACTCTCAACACACCTCGTCCTCACATGCCTCCTATCTTCCGTGCCGCAATCGCACAGCAACTTCCCTCATCCACCCCTCTCTCAGCCACGACATCGCCTCCAGGACCTGCCCCACCACATCTCGCTCCTGGCAGGGCACGCACTTCAGCCATTCAAGCTCACCATGGGTATCTTCCGCTCTCAACACCAGCGTCAACCTATTCAATTTCTACGTCCCCTCGTCCAATCTTTCTTTTACACAATCATACACACCCCTTCCCGGCACGCTGTCTTCCAGAGGTACATGTATATCCCTCACCGTTGTCTCGTCCGCAATGGGTTTCAATGTCTACACTGACCTCATGATCCCATCGTCATCGGCTCACCAGACAAAAATGCTCCTCCTTGTTCTCGATTTGCTCTGGCCATTCCGCTTTGACTCTTGCATTTCCTACCAATTCTAACACCATGAGGTCAGACTTAGACTCTCTTTCCCCGAGATCATGGTTCAGCAAGTATTCGTGCTAGTGTTCTATCCCTAACACTAACCTGTTTAGAAAGCATTAGCAGGTATAGCAGCCTGCGGTATCCTAGTATTGAGCGGCCAAGTGGTCTACTAGTGTAAATACACGTATCTTGTACCAGGTCGGTGTCCCGAGCTGAATTTGACGCCATTTGTAGGAAAGCTCTCATGTCTTACTTGGAAATGCTGCGCTTGAGAGATTGGGCACCACACATCGTCTCTGATTCTTCGGTTGTCCACAGGAAGATTTCGCTGGGTTGAGTTGAATTAGAATTGGCAAAATGTACCCCTTTTCTGATGCCCGCAATTCCTAACGTCCATCCCAACAGGTGGCGAGCATTGCTCGTTAGGATTTTCTGTTCAATCTCTTCGCGCAATGTAGAAATCAATTTGGGCAATCTCAAGAAGATCAGCAACTTTTATTCAGAAAGTTGTACGACCTTTGCCGTGAAAGAGCCTTGACATGACTAGCAGGTCGGGATTCGCTACCACCTGCTCAGACCTTCGGGCCTACGGAGCAGCTCTTTTTACCATCGAAGTTTCATTGTAATCATCATCAAAGCAGGTCCGACAATCAGTATCATAGAAAGGTCAACTTGCTCAGTGGCACATGAACTCTTCCATGGTGTCGGGATTGTCTGACCAAAGTTTTATGTTCTGCTCCGTAAAACGTTTTAAAAGTATTGACATGCTCCCTCACAATCAAAGTCTCAATCGACTTGCGGCATCGACGACGTCTAGTCACAGTCTAGCATTCAGAAACATCTCTGGATGCATTTCCGTTTGGGAGACGTCGACACATGGGCGATTACGGCAGGGATCTTAGCCACAATAATGTTTAAAATCCCCCAAATATGTCGAATTCTGGGCTGACTTCTAACAGGCTGGCTCTGATATTTCTTCCACAGCACTCGGATCGGAAAGCATTGACATCTTGAATTACAAAACCCAGTAACAGACCAAGAATCCTAGGTGTTTCCTGTGGTAGCTGTTTGGTGTCGAAGGATCCATCAATCACAATGGTGGATGAATACGGCTGGCTTTAATCAATTTGAAAGTGCCCAACCGTCAGAAGCGCGTCGTGCTTGTACAGTGTATTGCGATTGCTCAACGCCAAATCAGCGCATGCTGGTAGACCATGGTCCTTATCTCCGGCAGCAGGTCAAGAAAACTTTAGCTTCATGGTTACGCGGCAAGTCTGGAAACGATTCAATTCAAGATTGTCGAGATGATTCAAGAAATCGCAGATGGGGTAAGCCAGGACGTCCGAAAGGGGCTCATTCGCGGCCTCAAGGTTTGTTATAGCTCTAACCGCATCATAATTGGCTGAAGTCAGGATTTGGAATTTCTGCTTCATGATCCTTGATAAATTTTCAGACCCTGATTGTCATAATCGTTCAAGGAATCGACCACAGAGGCAATCCCTCGAGCAGGAACATATGAGACGCTAGACTAATGCTGTTGGTATAATTTGTACTGATTAGGAGTAATAAGGACCACGTATGCTAGATCAGACCACTCGAATCTCCCACCTGTTTCAGGATATCTGAGAGAGCTCCACCGGACAGTGAAATTCATGGGTGACACCGAAGCCGAAAAGCTCTACCCATCGAACATAGGCTCCACGAGACCCGAGCGTCAGGAGGTGGAAGACCAAGTAAATTGTATTCATTAACATTGAAAGTCGAGAACACTGTGTAGACCGCTCACAGCGATGGACAGACCTTAGTCTTGGGTGACTTCGAAGTCTTCTCGGTGTCCCAACAAGCCAAGGCATGTGTTGAAAAAGGACTTTTGAAAACGACAGGTCGGCGTAATCCCATGGCAACGACACCGGAACAGCCAGCCGGGTGTGTATCTGGTAGTGATTGAGGGCGTCTCTCCACATCAAAGATGTCCTGAACTCTAGTGAAAGGTGAAAGACGGGTCCTTACTCATAGGCTTTTGGTGTGTTGCGTGTTCAGTGAACAGTCATAATCGATGAGCATTGCGTTGAGCACCCCCCGAGATCCTGTCGCGAAATACTTGCGAGCATGCGGTCAATCATTCTCTGGGAATAGGCCGGTGAATTCCTGTACCCCATAAGGGCGCACTTGAAAGTTTCCTTATCTAGTACAAACCGCTTTGTCCATAGGCGAACGACAGCACTGTCACCTGGACATCTCTGAAGCAAATGTCGATGACGTTCTCATTCAGCTTTGCTTTTTGATACCGAGATTGTCTGGAACAGTGGTAGGATCCCTGGCAGTAATTTCCCAAATAATATTGGGTGAAGGTTGGTAGAAGATGTTGCATATATTGTGTCGGTACGCACGACCTTACATGGTCTTGTGAGTGAAAGACATGAGGAGGAGACGCCTATAATCGCCGGGTTTGAAGTAGTGGAGTGTATATATGTACAAGCGAAGGAAAGGACAAAGACGAATCGAAACCACCCAAACCATACCCGCATAAACAAATACAAATACGCGTCATAGGTTGCAGATATTGAAGCTTAGGATGCAGCAAACCCGACAGTACAACGAAAGTGTGATATGTCGGCATGGATCGTGGAGGCTCTCACGCTGATATTGATGTCGATGAAGTCATCAATACCACAGCGATGTAATATATGTATATATATAAAGCTCATCTCACAGCATCGAGTGCCATACACAAAGCCACCACCACACAAGTAGAAGCTCAATGGAGGAACAGGTAGACTCACGACAAATGACGACGGAAGAAAGAATAGAAATGATGAAGAGGAGCAAGAAATTTATACCCAGAACCCCTAGCCCCCTACTTTCACGCTCCCTTCACACACACTTCGGACTTGTGGCGAGGAGGCTGGGAAAGCTGTCTTTTTGGTGTGAAGCTGCCGGCAAACAAGTCCCTGTTAAGTGAAGCTGCCCGCAAATATATCTCCTCCTGGGTGAAGCTGCCCGCGAACAAACCTCTCCTGAGTGAAGCTGTCCCTTTTCCACCACCGCCACCACTTTCACAAGCCAGTAAACCCAATTGCACCCCCTTCACTGCCTCCAATCCACCACCGCCATCACCGCCACGACCCCAAACCCCAATGCGTGAAGAGCACGAACATCGAATATCACCACCACCACCATCACCCTATTATTCACACCTAAGCATCCGCCATCTTGAACTCTGAGATATGAGAAGCCATTTCCAGGGAGTGGGAAGACGGTGTGACAGAATGGTGTAGAGGCTTATATATAGTGAGTGGGGACATATGATGTGAATGATGATGATGGCTGGCGGTTGGTGGTGTTCACTCAAGAGACGAGTATTTGAGTGGGGGTTGAGATGATTTTACAGGAATAGAGGGGAGACCGGGGGGTAAAGCATAAACGTATGTTTTCATAAAAAATGAGACAGTGGAGAGGGCAGATTAGATGGGGTGACAAAGGCGAAGTGGGCAGGCATTTCTTTTCTCCCATTGCAGGCCCCTGGGCCCTCTCGGAGCGAAGTAAACGGCGCCGTCGTCTTGCCTTGCTATCAATCAACGATATGAAGAGTTAGAGACAGGGCGCGCCCTCACCCCTTACCAATATCTGATCGTACAAAATGGAATGTGAATGTGGTTGAAAGCAGATATGTTCATGAATATAGGGGTATCATAAACGCCCCCCTTACCCCCAAATTTCCTTCCCACACGGCGAGTAAGCTATATACGATCATACCCACGCACATTAAACGAAAAACTCCTCGACGGGAACTGCGGTTCCGGTAACTGCCAGACCGTGTCATCAATACTCGTCTTCAGTGGCGACGTCTCCTGCATAGTATCCGAGTCGGATGAGTGCCGGTCAGAATCCTCTGACCCCGTTCCCAGCCCCCTCTCTGCGTCGTCATAACCCTCACCCTCTACGGCCCCATCACGTTTCGGACTCAAAGGCATTGTCTCTTCCTCCCCATGTCCCCTATGTTCATCAAATAATCCCGCTTTCCCCCTACTACCTCCACCACCGCCATGGTACGCAGTATCGTCGTAAGCGTAGTCGGTAGATACGACCCTGGTATCAGAGCCGTTCGTTGATGGAGGGCGAGGCTTGGGCGTTAGCTGTATCGTGGCGATGGCGGCGCGCTCGAGGTCAAGTGTTGAGCTTGACATCGTGAGGGCGCGCCGGGTGAGGCGGTAAGGGGGCAGGAGTTTGTGGTCGAAGCCGCGTCTCATGCCGCCTGGATGGAAACAGGGTCGTTAGCAGATAGGTTGCTTGTTTGGACGGAAAGAGGAGCAAAGGGGATGGGGGAAGGATGGGGTGGGGAAAGGAGAAATGGGGACGGAAAGCGAACTTACGAAATTCAAGGTGGATATATTCAGCAATTGGCGGCGCCCACACGGTAAGAGCGACCACTTGCCCGAAATTCCACGTGTTGTTGTAGACGTTATTGCTTGCGAACCAAGCCAAATCGGTCATGAAGAGGGCGAAAAAGTCGAGGTAGATGGCGATAAAGGTCACGTAGATACAGAATTTGAAGACTTTATAAGCCAGGGTGGCGTGGCCAACTTTCTCCGCCTTTTGGCGCGTCAGGAGGATCTGTCCCTTGATCTCATGCTCTATGCGTTTCATGGCGACTTTGGACCAGAATGATGTGTTCATCCATGCTTTTGAGAGGCGAATTGCGTGCCATCTTGAAGTGATCGGGCGACATCCAGGTGTACGTTGCCAAATCCATAACCACAGGTCTTTGGCGTCGTCCCGAAATTGAGGCCCATCAATTTTTATTTTAGCGACTAGTCTCTGCATGAAGCGCATTCTCATGAGCAATTCCTGGGGACGCCCGGCATAGTACCTCGTGTGCCTCGCCAATGACAGTATTTCTGACCAAATCCATCGGAAAAGGCGTCGCACTGGTGGACGATGACGAAGTCTGGCTTGACTTGTTATCAAGAAAATCATAATAACCAGACAAAAGGCCAGTATCCTCCACGCCATGGTGTCGACATTGCCACCATCACTAGAGGTATAGCCGGGACTATAGGAGGAATCCGAGCCAAGGGGTTCGTAACAGTAGGCCCAAATCTGCTTGGTTAGGCACTCTTCGGAGCCACCTTCGGCAGCGAAGGTCGCAAGATCCTGTAAATCGAAGTCTGTTGGCTTGAATGTGCCCAAAACTCCAAGGGTTGCGATGGCAAATACGATACAACAGCCAGATAGTACGATCAAATACCACGAGGTCATGTTGAGTAGATGAAGATTGAAGAGTGTAAATGTGATCGGGAGGTACCCACTAACAGCGATGAGCTTGAGGAATAAGTAATTGTTGTAGATCTGTTGCAAGGTTTGTGGATCAAGGCCTCCCTGTCTTTGGACTTTTATGGCAGCAATGTTGATTGCGACCATAAAGAAGCACTGCGCTTTTTGAAAGTCGGACATTGCTGACACGAGATGCGACAAGTGTTCTTGAGCCTGGACCTTGGCGTTCTTTCCCGTCTTCTTTGAGGCCCGATTTCTCCGAGCAAAGATCCAAGGTGCCAGATACTTCAAGCCGAAAGAAGCAAAAAAGATCAGAAGAGCAAGACTGCCATGGATCCAGTAGGACACGTAGACCTTCTGTTCGTTAGTAGGAACCCTCTGAAGAAAAGGTTCATGGCTTGCTCACACCAACACCTCCGACATCAGCATTCAAATGGACCATCGAAGCAGGTAATGATTGACATATCGTTGACGCCAGCGACTTGCCATAGGACCGCAGCAGTACCGCGGTTTCGATATTCGTGGTATTGAGAGTTCGCAATACATTCTTGCACGTTGGATATTTGGTACACTCCTCACTCAAGCAGCCCCAGACCCTTCCAGTGGCAGTTTTAGCTGTCGCTTCCGGATCTTTCGTTACAAGGTAGCTCGTAGTCGAAGGACCATCAATTGCCATTACATTGGGGCTGTCGGCATTTGTGATGTTGTAATCCTTTTCGGTCGAATTAACCAAGAGCGAAGTCGCGACGCAGTTGTGCAGGGAGTACAGCGAATCAAAAGCATTGTCATCACACGCGGAGTAGCAGTCGTACTCGTTCCCGGCGAAGTTGCAGGAATCAAGGAAGAGATAACTTTCATAGTCGGTGATGTTCACTGAGCGGTAGGAGGTACTGGGCGTGATATCCAATGCGTCAGACAGAGAGTATAGGCTGCCTGGCGATCCATATCCAACCAGGGCTCCCGGCAAGTTCGCACTATCAGCTAGCCATGTTCCGCTGGAGACCAGCGAGAAGCTTAGATTGCCCATTCATTTGGGCAATGGCCTGAGAGGTTGGATGTCGTTGGTGTGAAGGTCGAAAGCATGGAGAATCATTCACGATAGAGAGTGAGCGCCGCTACTATTTCATCCTCTGGCTATTTGCGCTTGCCATTCATGAAACAACGGGGTCGGTAAGACGTGCATGATTAGTGCAAGCAGTCAAAGGGGTTGAATGCGGCTGTGCCAACGCCAGACTACCCTTCGTATTCCGCGACCGCAGATTGCGCTGAACAGACAGAGCAGCGGCTGGATATCACACACTTGAATGAAATATAGAGTGATACATGGCGTTCCAAATTGCGATTGCGGGTATCTTCTTCGACGACAGTACATTTGTAATGAAGGGAGCGGAGGATCCAGCTTAGAGCTCATCACAGAATCCTGAATGCCCAGAGACGCAGCCCTAAGAGATTGTGCACTCCCGCCAATCAGATTCCAGTATGAGTTGGTATAAGGTGGCTGTGTCTGCCTGCTATCCTGCTAGTTGCCTAAACTACTGAGGCTCAGAGTCGGCGATCTATCATGCTGTCAGACTATCTTAGTGCTCGTGCGTGAGGAGCCGCAAAGGGGCCCGATTAGGAATCTGACCGTGGACGCCTGAAGCAGAGCCTCTGGTGATGTCGCTCAATTTCCTGGTCGAATATTATTGAAAGGGCTGTGATCATATTTCACAAGCTTTTCGCTATGCTAGAAGTCTAATGTCCACAATGAAGAATGAGATTGGTCGAAAAAAATTCAGGTGCCTGCTTTGAAAGCATCCCTAAGTAGCTCACACGCCTGTCCGTAATGCAATGCCACCTTCGGATCGACATGGAAAGGGTTCGGGCACTTATCAAACGCATGCGGCTTACGCTCGATCAGAACCTCGTGCACATTCTTTCCCAACTTCTTCAGTCTGGCTGAGAACGCTAGTCCTTCTTTCATCAGCATGTCCCACTCGCAGAGAAACAGCGCTATGTCATTAGGTAGTGCTGTTTGGAGGGCTTCGTCCGACGCAACACTCGGAGACGCAAGGGGAGAGGCTTTAGACTGTTCGTCGTGGAAGTAAGATTGATCGAAGAGTCCTGTGAGGATAGGGGGCAAGGTCTTGTCGGGCCTGACTGAGGTGGCCCGACGCTCAGCCCGCGAGATCCGCATATCCAGGGGCGGGTACCATGAGATGATGCTGACTATTTCGGGTAGGATGAAGTCTGTCATATCGTTGTCGAGAGCTTTTGCAGCAGCCTGATATTCGCTTGAGTGTATGTGCTCCTGCATCTTCAAAGGAATAGCAAAGCATAGGTTGGCACCAGCGGAGAATCCGCTCAATGCCATTTTCTTGGGGTCGATTCCGTACTCTTCCGCGTTGTCTGCCAGGTGTAAGACAGCTTCGACACCATCCTCCACTGCAGTAGGGAACGGGTTTTCTGGTGCTAGCCTGTACTCTACGCTGACAACGACAGCGTCCACCTCTTTCAAAACAAAGGCAGCCCAGCGCGCGTCATCTTTGGCTGTACCCAATGTGAAGCCTCCACCATGAAGATTGACAACAACAGGATACCTTCTGCCGCGTTGTATATTCTTTTTGTACTGCGGAGGTACGTAGAAAGCCAATTCAATAGTTGCGGAAGGCGTTTCGGAGGTAAAAAAATGTCGAAGGAACGAGGGTTCTGGAGGAGCCGGACTCGGCCAACTGCCTATCCAAGTCCCAACCTGTTCAAGAGATCGCCATACTTTTGCCTGCGAGGTCAGAGAGAGTGGAGAGGATCGGGGTGGGGGATGTGGTTTGGGATGGTCAGCATCAACGACGGAGGAACTGCTGTGGGTGCGGGAAAGAGCGGGAGATCGAGACCTCGACCGGGTTGATGAATTCGTAGATACCCGAGAGATGGAGAGCGGAAGAGCACTTGGAGGGGCGAGCAGGTTCGCATCAGGCGGTGTCATCTTGGGCGCCGAGCGTAGAACAACCCACCCTTGCCAGTCACGGAAACGGCCACGAGTCTAGAAAGTCAGAAAGGTAGAATGGTGCAGAGAGTGGCGGGACGTGTGGGAATTTGCGGACTCGATGCATGAACGAAGGACGAATGTCAGCATCACGGCATTTCGATGGCACGAAGCAGCGAATCAGTCCCCCTCTTGTTGGCTTTGGACGGAATATGTGAGTAGTAATCCAGATCAATTACCTCACTAGGGCGTTCTTAGGGCCACCCACGTAAGCTGCTCGCATAAGATTCACGTGATGCCAAGCTTTCCTTAGGGCCATTGCTCCCCAGAGGTACTCCCTTCCGATGATAAATTGACGGGGGGTGTTGGGAGAGCTGCACCAGCTGTAGGCAGCGGATTGCTTAGTGTCATGTAGAGAAGAGAGACGGCTTGAGGTTTGTTGTGGCATCAGGCTTTGAGCCGGCCCATCCGGACGCACGGTGTTTACAAAACTGATGGAGCCGACGTCGTTGGCGGCTCCTTCAGATTTCAAATAAACCCACGACCCCCTCGCATCTTCCTCGCCTATTCGGGCAATTCCACCTGTCTCTCTTCTCCTCCTTTATTGATCCATCCGTATCCTTTCAAGGGCCATCAAATATGCACTCCCTCCACAATGCCATATCGAAAATTAAGCGTGTGGGCACTAAAGGGAAGCACGATAAGCCTGATATCGCCCGGAACGGCTCCGCCAACGGGGCCAACAGCGCCAAGGATAAGGCCTCCATCACTACCCCAACATCCGTCTCTAGCAGTGAGCTTAATGTAGACGGCGAGCCATTGAGCAAGAACCAGACTCGGAAGAAGACGTCCCGCAAGTCCCATCGTGAACGGAATGTCATTGCCGAGCAGCGAAAGGCGGAAGCCATCAGGCTCCGGAAAGAGGCGGATGCAAAGGTGGAGGCCCAGGAACCCGCAGAGGTTCGAGCAAAATATGGCGAATACCCTCTGGTCCAATCCATAGATCGAAAACGAGAGCTTCGTGTGCAGCTCAGGGATGTATCGGCCGAGAGAGATGGGGAGGTAATCCTCTTCCGAGCTCGCGTTCATGCCTTGCGAAAGATGAGTGCCAACTTGGCATTCTTTGTATTCCGCCAGCAATTGTCGACCATTCAGGGCGTTCTTGCCCACCAGGGAGAAAAAGTCAGTACACATATGGTTCAATGGGCGGAGCGAGTGCAATCGGGGTCAATCGTGCTGGTAAAAGGGACACTGCAAAAGCCCAAAGAACCTGTCAAAGGCTCCACGATCCATGATATCGAGGTACTCATTTCGGAGCTGCATGTCATTTGTCGAAGGCCAGAAGCTGTTCCGTTCACAGTCTACGAAAATGAGCTGTCAAAGGACCACGAATTTGATGAGGAGGTCGATCATAGTTCACAACACCAACACACTGGACATATCACAGATCGTACAAGACTCGCCAATAGGCTGCTTGACTTGCGGTCAGTGACTTCCAAATCGATCTTTCGTGTCAGCTCTGGCATCACAACTCAATTTCGCTCCTTCTTGGACTCGCAAGGCTTCATCGAGATACACACACCAAAGCTGCAAGGAGGTGGAACAGAATCGGGGGCGAGTGTCTTTCAAGTGGACTACTTTGGAAGACCCGCTTTTCTTGCTCAATCGCCTCAGCTGGGGAAACAGATGTGCATCGCAGCTGACTTCGAGCGAGTGTATGAGATAGGGCCCGTCTTTCGCGCAGAAAATAGCAACACCCATCGCCATCTGACGGAATACACAGGACTAGATTTGGAGATGACTATCGAGGAGCACTACCACGAAGCACTAGATTTGATAGACAACCTGCTCAAGAGTATATTCCAGGGTGTATATGATCGATACAGGACTGAAATAGACATCATCAAGCACCACTTTCCGCACGAGGACCTCGTCTGGCTGAAAGAGACACCCAAGATTCCTTTCGCGGAAGCAATACAGCTACTCAACGACTCTGGCTGGCGAGACGAGAACGGCAAGGAATTGCCCCTCGACGAAGATCTGGGAACCAGGGACGAGATACACCTTGGTGAGGTGATCAAGAAGACGTACAATACCGATTACTACATCCTTGACAAGTTTCCGAAATCTGCAAGACCATTTTACACAATGCCCGACCCTCATAACCCTAAGATCACCAACTCCTTCGATATCTTTGTTCGTGGTCAAGAAATCATCAGCGGTGGACAACGTATACATGATGCAAAATTGTTGCTGGACAACATGGATGCAATGGGCGTCGATCCAAATACTATGAAAGAATATATCGACGGCTTCAAATATGCAGCCCCTCCACACGCAGGCTGTGGCATTGGCCTGGAACGAATTCTCATGCTGATCCTAAATCTGGGCAATATCCGCTTCGGCTCGCTCTTCCCACGAGACCCAAAGAGCTTGCCACCACCCCCGCCCAAACCCGACATTCGTCATCTCGAATCTAGTACACTCGAGCCTCCATGGGGCGAAGGTGATGCGCCTTCCGAGGAAGCAATGCAGCCCCTCGAGAACCTCGTCGCCAACTACGGCGACTCGACAAACACATCCTGGTTTGACGACCGCTATCTAATCTGGCGCCATAAGCAAACCGGCGCCGCAGTCTGCTACGTCCCCATACGCGGCTATGCCATCCTGCCCGGCGACGCCCTGTGCGACATTTCTCAATACACAAACGTCGCGGCCACATTTCTCAAATGGCTCAAAAAGGAAAAGAACCTAAAACCCATCTGGCTCCTGGTGGGCCACGAGCTCGAAGCCGTCCTAGGAGAGAAATTTGGCTGGAAAACCCTCACCTGCGTCGCCGAAGAGCGTGTCAACGCTCTCAACGATACAGCCACCAAAGATCACGACGTCGCGCGCAAGATCCGGCGCGCGGAGAAAGAAGGCGTTAAGATCATCGACATTGACGAAGGCAAGCCCGTGCCTGAAGACGTGAAACAGAAATGCGACGCGCGTATCAAAGAATGGCTCGGCAACCGCAAAGGCACGCAGATCCATCTCTCGGAAATCACGCCCTGGATCGACCAGCAGCATCGTCGTTACTTCTACGCCGAAGACAAAGAAGGCAAGATCTGCGCCATGGTCGTCCTCGCCCAACTCGCCCCTCGGCATGGCTACCAGGTCAAATACTCTCTCGACTTCGCGGGCGCCCCTGGAGGCACGATCGAGCATATCACCCTGCACGCCATCCACGCTGCAAAAGCTTCCGGCACGAAAGTCCTGACGTTTGGAAGTGCGGCGAGTACGGAGTTGCACGCTGTTCACCATATGAGCGGCGCGAGGGTCAAGGTGCTGCAGAATATGTATGAGGGGATCGTCAAGCAATTCCGGTTGACTGCCAAGAGCGAGTTTAGGCAGAAGCTGGGGGGCGAGGAGGATCCAGTCTATGTGTGCTATCCACCGGGTGGATTAGGGGTGAAGGGAAGTAGAGCTATTTTGGAGTTCTTCGAGCAGGATCATTAGCATGGCGGCCGAGGATGGGTGGTGATCAGGTCATGGAGGGAGTCGTAATGGTGCAGAGACAAAAGAAGAGGTTCGCCACCCTGAGCGACGGGATGTTACTCACGCCTCTATTATTACAAGCGCCTCGTGGATAAAAGGCAGGATAACGCACGTTGATGAATTGAAACTCTTACACAACTCACCCCTTGCCTCTCGCCTTCCTTCCCTCCCCTTTTTCCTTATTCCCCTTCCCGCGTTCCCCCTTCACCATTTCCCCTCCGCCCTTTCCCCTCCGCCCCCCCTGCCTTCCCCAACTCCCTGCCTGCTACACTCCTGCCTGCGAATTACACCCTACCTATCACTGTAGAATACCCCTGCGCTTGACACTCACTTTCCCCGACTCGTTCATATCAGCACACTTTACCCCTGGTGTCTTTCATTATGTCTACGTAAGAGGAAGAAGCGTGATGTCATTGCATCAGGTTTGCCGGTGCTTTCTATTTATTCTATGAGTCACGCGGCAGTGAATCAGTTCATGAGAATGATACTGTGTTTGCTCCTTTCGTCGTTCAGGCAGATTCCCTAATATGTTGAGGACGTCCTTCACGTATTAAAAAATCCGTCTTGCGACCAGGCTGGAGAAAAGTTTTCAACCTTTACCACCACTTCTCGTGGTCCTGTGCAGGAGTTGAATCTTTCTTTCTGCACTTGAGGAAGGCCCTCAAGTGCTGAGAATCTGCCTTCCTCATCTTTGTTCGCAGAGCGCCTATTTTGGAGCCTTGTGTGCTGCGCCATCCGATAAGGCTACGCTGTGTCGCTGATCATTATGAGCCACATCAGACTTCATCCAAATGAACTTCAAATTTTATCTATCCGTTATGTGAGAGAGTTCTCACTTCCGTCATGGAAGTCGTTGCGGCGACAGCCAGCGTCGCCGGCATCCTCACTGTCGTCGGCAATGGCATAGAGAGCATTATCAAGCTCAAAGAATTCTATGCAGCGCTTGTAGCGGGCTCGAGAACGATCGAGAAGTTCTTGAAAGATATCAATGACTTACTGCAAACTTTGCATGGTATCAGGGAGTTACTTAACAAATGGCCAAAGGAAAAGACAGACGTCAATATTGCGGCTTTAAGTGTGCAGGTAGAAGAATGCTCGAAAGACCTCTTCAATTGGCTCGACACCGCCAAAGCTATGCGACCCGCCTCAAGTAAAGGTGGGATGGCTTGGTTCAAGAAGTTCTGGATCGCTACGAATAAGAACAAGGTCAATGACATCAGGACCGAAATCGGCCGGCATAAACAGACGCTGAATATCAGCTTGACTTTAATTGGAAGGTAGAACATGAATTCGGCGTGCAGCTAATGACAAAGATTCTGACGTATACAGAGCTTTTGATGTTCATGTTGCTAAACAAATGACCCATGTGGATGACAAAGTCAAGGAGCTTACTGTTTTCTCTACGTCTGCATTTGACTATCAACAACGGGAAGCCGAGAGGATGGAAAGCTTTAGACATGCAAGCAGTGCAAGCAACGCTGGGAGTATGCAAAGTCTTCAGAGTATGGCAAGTTCACTGTCCAGGATAGAAGCTCGGCTTTCAATTTCAGGCGCAACCTCACCTTGGGTATCAAAGCCATCTGCGACAAAACGCAAAGCTTCATTCTCTTCTGAGGGCTCGCACATTGGAAGTCCCGGTTTCTCGATGGATCTCTCTACATCATGGGGACGTGGACCGAGTCAGCGCGATGGCTTTGCCGATTTAGACGAACTAGCGGCGTCGACACGTTATTTAAGACACGAGGATTCTGAAAGAGGGCCGTCTCCTGAAAGGGGCCAGGATGGCCTCTACCATTGCCAGTTTGAGGTAGAGGGCTGTAATCACCCGCCCGAAAAATTAAGATGCAATTATGAGTGAGCGACCTCCCAATCTTGCCCTTGAGCTATGATCTAACTGTATCGTCTAGAAAACATCTCAACACTCATTTGAAGCCCTATCGCTGCAAATTTCTCGAATGCTCTGAGTTGAAATTTGGGGCCACTGCCGTTCTGTTGAGACACGAAAGAGAATCACATGGCTTGCACGGTCATGGAAACAAGCCATATCTTTGCCTTTATACGGATTGTGAGCGTTCTCAACCAGGTCAAGGCTTCCCACGACAATGGAATTTGCGAGATCATTTGAGGAGGGTCCACAATCACCACCCAAAGCAAGGGAAGCGAGAGAAGCACTCTTCTCCCTTATCATCCCCAGCACTCTCCCTTAATGCAGACGACGACTTGAGGACGGAGAACTATGTTAATTCAGGCTCTTTGGCTAACCAGGCTGGGTCTTACGATTTCCCTCTACCAAAGAACCCGAATACAGACTTATCAGAAGTATCTCAGACATACAATATAGAGAATATGATGCCGGTGGTAGATTTTTTTGATCCTTCGCAATCCTTCGGCGCTTTCTGCACAAACCCTGATTTCTACCCAAAGGTAGCGCCGGCAGAGGGACCAATGGACCCAAATGAGGTGCTTGGGCCCTACGATTATCCATCATTTGTCCCAGAAGTTTTTCAGACGCCACAAATTTCATCTGGAGCCCACGGGCAAGGAGCAATGAGTGGCGATCAAGTTGCAATGGATGTTGATGGAACGTCAGCACCTTTAATATCCACGGCCGAAGGTGCTCCACCAAAAAAGCAATGGCCTGGGACGCATCTCAGCACACCGTCCTTGTTAGTAAAAAGCCTTGAAGAGTCAATTAACGACACCCTCGCGCATATGCATGGAACTTTGGAGGAGGAATACCCTGGTCTAGCTGCTGATTACTACTATGTCTCGCTCAGTCAGCTGACGCGCTTCGTTCGTTTCCAACTCGGCTCTCTTCGAGGCGTTGGCGTTATGGCTCGAGAATCAGCAAAACCCGACAACTTGTCCCAGCAGATCAACGTCAAGTTGCAGGAATTAGACATCTTAGAAAGGGAGCGCGACCGAGTAAAGGAATATTGCAATGCAGCGAACGTTCGAAGGGGTGATCTCATGTTGATTGATCGGACTGATGCACCTATGACGACCGATTTTGGCAGCACGCACCCGAAAGATGAGAGCCAGGAAATATCAGGCTTATCGAAAGGAAAGGAAAGCAAATCCCATGAGATGTTCGGACTTCATGAAACCATACTTGAATCGAACCTCTTGGGACATTGGACGGGCAAGAGAGACCGCATCAACCGCTGGCTCTTGCATTCGCTCCTTACAGACGAAGGGCAGGCACAAAATCACAAGTCCGCCACTTCAAGCGAAGGCCTTGATGAGGCGTCTTGGGTACGCCTGGTACTACAATATTGGTTCGTAGACGAAGCAGCGACGGGTGTAGAGATCGCGTCCTCACTGTCTGGTGGTGCTGTTGCTAGCAAGACTGGATCAAGCCTTGACTCGATACCAAACTCCAAGCATGGAAGATTGGTCGAGGAGAAGAGTCGCAGGCCTCCACTCAAGAGAAGACTCGCATCTGAATCCATCCCGTCATTGGACGTATGACCAATGAGTAGTGCTCTGATGACATAATTTTGATCGTGCTGTGCCTCTCGCAAGCAAGGCAACCCTACATCCCGGGCAACATCTTATTTGTCCTCCCTGTCGAGTATCAAGTCAAGCGAGAACGACCGTGATCTTCCGGTGAGCTATGCGCAGAGGGCGGCCAAGGTATCATTGCAGGGGATGTTTGAACGTACTGCATGGAAAGCATGCCATTCGCCGCCGCGATTGAGGTGACTCTTCTACTTGAATGTCACAGGCAGCCTTCAGCGCAATCTTATCATATGCCAGGATTCGTGACAGTGGATTCCACCGTTGGAGCATGGATCAAGGGAGTGCTCATAATGCGGCGCATGAGGGTGGTCGAGGCGGTGCAAGATCTTCTGGAGACCGATTGACGGCCCGAGCAAGGTACAGATCTGACAGCTTACGGCTGACGGCCATTCCTCGACCTTACTCCCCGATTGGGCGTAATCATCAAGATCGACATGGAGTGGTCAGACACCTCACGCTTTGCGGTGTGGCAGCAACGTCTGCTCGAACGGCCAAACAAAGAAGAGCAAATCTGCGACGGAACCACGAATAACAGGTGCTTTGTCGCACTGTACGACTTCCAAGACCTTCAAATATAGCACTTTATTCGATGACAATACAGTGCGACCTCGAACGCCCCTCTTACAAGTCGCCTTTGTACCCTGTGGGCCAGCAGAAGTGTAAAGATCTCACACCGGTCAATAAAAATCCCGGGATGAAAGTCTAGAAGATGGAAGAAACAGAACAATGCCAGCTCACAACGCGCGTTGCCCTAAACCCTCATGGGGATAGAAGGATCTCGGGCCTCACGGAATGGCCGGGCCAGGTACGAGCGGTTATCACTTGGCAGGTCCAGGCCTGCTGTTAAGCCTGTTCAGGATTTCCACGCGTCTTCCAAGCAGCTCATTTCCCAGATTTGGTGCTTTCCACCAACCAAATACTCGCCCTGACCCCTCCTCGAAACTAAACATCTTGTACCACTCACCACCGTTGACGAATGTCAGCCACTACTACGAGTACTCTACTACTCCTGCAGATGAGATCCTGTCGGCTCTGCTTTGCCGCCCAGGAACATGTTTCGTTCCACCCACTCGGGATTTCCTGTTTCTGCTCTGCCAGGCCAGAAACTAAGGGGGAGGCCTAATACGACACATTTCCCTCAAACCACCACCCACAGTGCGCTGTCAGTCTGCCTTGTCCTCCTTCCAAAACACGCTATTAGCCTGGCAATAATGGAGAGCCCTTTGATCCTGAATTCTTCGCTTTCATTTTCTTAAGACTGGCGCAGTTTCTTTCATCTTGCGCTTTTGTTCCTTCTTTCTTTCGAGCTCACGGTCGACCGGTCGTACACACCTTCCTTTTGTGTCAATACCCACTACTGCGCAGGTTCGCAACACGCACGCTCTGTCACTCTTTGCATAACCGTTTTACGCATTGACTCTTGATACTCCACTTCCCCTCACGCACTCATTCATTGACACAATACCAATCTCCTCTTCTCCTCTTTAAACCACCAGTCACTCTTTTATCAAAATCTCAGTCGCTCCTTCTCAAGATCACAACAACCACATTCCTTTCAAAACCAACTCAACTCACCGTCAGTAACGACCTATACACACTCCTTTATAACCCCACGCTCCTTCAAAAAACATCAAAATGCATCTCACAACAACCCTCGCCCTCCTGGCCCTCACGCTCCCAACAACCCTCTCCCACCCACACCTCCACATCCACCGCAAAAGCGTCGACTACAGCAACCCCGCCCTCTACAAAGATGTAGACTGGAGCAAAGTCTCCTACAGCGGCAGCAACCCAGCGCCCGCCCAAGCAGCCGCCGCGCCCGCCCAAGCATCACCGCAGCAAAGCCAACCAGCAGCGCAAGCCGCCGCGCCCCAGACCGAGCAAAAGAGCACGCAGCAAGCTTCCACGAACACCGCTCCAGCGACCAGCACCGCTGCGGGCGGCTCGAAGCGCGGACTCGCGTATAATTGGGAGACGGCGAGTTTGGATATGTTTGAGCCGTATGCTGGGAAGACGCTTTCGTGGGCTTGTACGTCCCCTCCCCTCCCCCCTTCCCCCTTTCCCTTCCCCTCCCCACCCCTTTGTCATCCATGCCTGGTTTGACGTACTAATGGCGCATACAGGGAACTGGGACAGCACGCCCTTCCGGCTCCCCACAGGCTTCGCCTACGTCCCCTGCCTGCGCACCACGCACGCGGACGAAACCGCCCACTGGGCCGCCAACGCCGCTTCCGCCATAAAAGCAGGCAGTACCTACATCCTCGGCTTCAACGAACCTGATATCGCTGACCAGGCTAACCTCCCCCCGGGCGCCGCTGTCGATGCGTGGAATACGTACTTGCAGCCGCTTAAGTCTGGGAATGTGCAGCTCGGCTCGCCGCAAGTGAGTAATGGCGTCGGCACTAACCCTGCCACGGGGCAGGCTTATGGGTTAGATTGGCTCTCATCTTTCCTGGGAAAATGCTCCGGCTGCTCCATCGATTTCATCATCGTGCACTGGTACGGGTGCACGGACGGGTGTAGCGTCGACACCGACGTTTCCTCGTTCAAAGACTTTGTCGGGAAAGCGGTCGCGTTGGCCGCGGGGAAGAAGGTCTGGATTACGGAGTTTGCGAGAGTCGCGGGCGCGAGTGGCGCGGATGATTTTATGGCCAAGACCTTGCCGTGGTTGGATGCCCAGGGTGGTGTCGAGAGGTATGCGTGGTTTATGGCTAAGGAGGGGGTGTTGATCCAAGGGGTGTGGGTTGAGCGCGCTGGGAGGGGAGTATGTTAAGTAAGAGAGGGGAGAAGGGGGGAAGGGAGGGTTGGTGGTACAGCACTTTTCGTTCGCTTCTTGATTATACTTTTTATCTTCTGATGATGATGAGGCCTGGAGCTGGGGGCACTGGCTGGCCTGATGGATATGGGATTGGAGTCTTTTTGATGTTGGAAGAGAGTGTGGATATGTGAGGTGTGTGGGTGGTGGATATTGCATTATCTTTTGGACGCTCGTTATTTTACAGGATACCCCCTTTTCATATATATCTATAAATGTATAGGAGGGAGAGTGGTACATACCATGATATATGAATCAGCCTTAGATGGGGTGTTGTGCAACCCGCTTTCTGCACCAATTGATGAGATGTTGTTAGGTGTACTTGTGTAGTGAGATCTAACTATGAATGACACTAACCTCTTCTTACTTTTTACTTCAGGTCTAGCATTGAAGACATCGGGGCGAGGAGGCTTCCAAACGAAGACGCTAACCTCTTCCGATCGTTTTTGAGGATCTACGGTTGAGATGTTGATGCATAGACACCCCCCGTAAGCCTTGGACACGCACTTAACGGGCCCCCTTCCACCTCGCCCCCGCTCTTTGCCCGTAAGAAGACCACTGAGATAAGAAGGCGCCTACACTATTGAGCCCCGAGCAGATTTTAGAAGAGTAGCCAGCAGTATCTGTGTTTGAGTTCTACTTGATACGATGGTATTGTGGGCACTTGGGGGTGGCAGGCCTAAGGATGAGTTAGTACGACCAACTTCATTTACATCTTTGTTGCCTTGCCGTTCTTAGGTCATGTTCTTCGCCCCGGTATTTGATGCAAGACGGATTACGTCTCTTGGCTTTTCGGATGGATTATCGATCCAGGAAAAGGGGAAGAGGAAGAAGAAGGGGCGACGCTAAACCTCTTCGAACCTTTTGGAGGATCTGTCTTTGGAAAGTTGATGCGTAGACGCACCCTCCCCCGTAACCCGCCCGCTTTTCTCCGGAGGTGCTATTTGCTCCTCGTTAAACAGGTCCGCCAATAGTGCCTTCTTTCATGTTGGAGGAGCCTCTGCTTGCCTTGCCGTAGCTTTAGGGTTTGAATTGATGGGCGGAGTACTTGGTGTGATTGATGGAAATGGGGGGAGGGGGGAAAGGGGGAAGGAGAGCGGGAGGAAGTATGCGTTATTCTTATTTGTGCATGGCATGCCGGGCTCATCCTAGACGCGATTTGAAGAGGCCTCTTGGTCGATTATTTGCAACGACATGTGGTATTGACATACTCCTCAAGCCTATCATGCAACGGCGGGATGCGTTCGAATCAAGCATGTCTTTGATTTCCAGGCTTCAAAAATTACATGGAGAACATATATTTCACTCCAGCATCATCGACTATTCATGAGATAGTCCCGCACACGCTCTGCTCAAAACATTCTCTCAAGCCGTGATCTCTTCTCCTACCTCATCCTCCTCTCTTCTCTCTCCCCATCTCTGGCCATCCTTTCCCTCCCCTTCAACTCCCTTTCTCCAAGCTAAGAGTTTCATGTCCCTCCACGTCCCCCCAAGTCCAGGACCTGGATGTCCCACCGTGAGCGCGAGACAAGTTATCGCGACCATTCCGCCCTCGAATACCTCGTACATATCCTCATCATCCACCAAGAGCCTACCAGTGCCCCCGGTCAGTTCTGAAGCGAGGTAGCAGGTGCGAACGAGGATGCAGAGCGTGGCGATGGTTTGACCTGTTTTAACCCCAGCATCAGCATCATGATCAGATTTTCCTTTTAATATGAGGTTTTAGAGCAACGATGGGAAGGGTCAGGTGACGTGGGATTCATGGGACGCACCGGTAAAGAAGATCTTGAACATCACGCTTCCCCTGACCTTGGCATACTCGTCCTCCTTTCTCCACAGGTCGCTGTTTCGCAATATGCTGATGGCGAGATGGGCGCAGAGTGCGATGAATATAGTCATGTAGAGGGCCTGCCATGCCAGTCCGGCTACAATGATGCTTGTACCTAGAGTGCAGTGGTTTGTTGGATGTGCCAGCACGCCGCCTATGATTTGGAGGACCAGCGTGGTTACGGCGGCGAAGAGGACGAGGAGGGCGTAGGTGTCGATCGACATGCGGGAGAAAGGGGAAGGGTTTTGGAGTCGAGGGATAGGAGTGGATGAGTCAGAGGAAGTGGAAGGCGGGCTATAGATTTTGACCACGTGAGGGAGACACATCTGCGTCGCTAGCGTGAAGAAGATGGGCGCCACGTTTGATGGGATGAGATACCTAAGATCTTTAGCTTTTACCTTGCCATTGGGGAGGAGGGCGGTGATGAGGAAATGGGAAAGTGGAGGGAGGATTTGGGGGGGGGGAAACGCACATCGAAGCCCCCTCGCTAGACAACGGATCCTTATGAAGCAGGATCCGTCCGATATAGCCGACGATTTCGAGACAGAGGCCATAGAATATGGCGAGTGTGTAGGCTCGTGTGATGTATTTGATGCGGAAGAGCAGCTGGATGATTAGGAGGGCAGAGAAGTAGGTTATGTACAATATGTTGCTTCGAATGCTAAGATGAAAGGGGAAGAGAGTTTGAGAGATATGACATGGTTGTTGGTCAATGAGGAAGGTGTGTTGGGTTGAAGGGAAGGCGTATGGGTTGATTGTGAATGAGTGTTTGGGCTGGAGTGGATATTGCATGATAGAGGAATGCTTAAGACAAAGGTAGAGGCAGAAGTGGACGTGTTTTTCTTCAAAATAAGAAGATATGGGCAAAGTAAGTCGAAATGAGGTGAAAAGGGGACAGTCAACGTCGAGAGAGAACCGCGTTTTATCAAATTTGCGCAAGTCTTGCTATTCTTTTTAACAACGGCAATAATCACATTAATGCGAAATGGTACCTATCTGGGTAAAGCTTGAATTCTGAGTGCGTGTGAACGATTTCAATCAGGTCTTTCAATCAGCGTGTCTATGGTGGCAGCGAGGTGAAGCTGAAGACTCACCAGACTCGTGAGATGTAACTCCTTTGGGCTAGTCGATAATGATGCAGGGTCGGGTCTAGAAGAACGCTGCCAAGCATTTCCTCGCAGCTGTGATCCATTGGCTGATGAAGCGGCTCGTACCGTTCAATTACTAAGCATATTTGTCGGCCAATGAACGTCATCTCAACCCTACTACTGCTGACACGAACCATCACCGCCACAAGGACCGTGCCTTTATCATGCTTAACATGGCGAGATACATGGTATCGATAGGCGAAATGACATGCCTCTCGCCAGGCTGCCATATTTGCCAAAAACTACGCCCTTCACAAGCATCTGGAAGGCTCGCACCGCCCTCGCAGGAACGATTCATAAAGCGGTTACACGCTCGAATCTGGTCGGATGACACCACTAGGTTGGCCTTCTTCATCCATGGAGGCAATTGAGTCAACACGACCTGTCAATCGAAAAGTCAGAACAGGTTGTCTCACCTGCAAGTACGTCTGCGATTCCGATAAGGGTTAGAAGCAATTGACATGATGCAGGCTTCGGCGCGTCAAATGTGATGAATCGAAACCACAGTGTCAACGCTGTCTCAAGTCCAGAAGGCAATGCGATGGCTACAAAGTATCTCCAAGTCCTACTGCATCTCAGAGAAGCTCCTCTGGAACGGTATCTACCAGATCAAGCGAGTCACCTCGAAGAACAGGCAATCTTGTCATCATTGTCGCAGGCAGCCCCGAGGAACAGCGCTACTTTGATTTCTTCCGCCACAAAACCCTTCCGAACGTCAACGGAGGTTTCGAGTCATTCTTTTGGGACAAGCTTATTCTTCAAATGAGTGCCTCGGATCCTGCTATCCGCCATGCAGTCGTAGCATTAGCTTCAATCCATGACGAGTCAGATCCAACCGGCCCGTTGATCGGATCAAAGACCAACCCATTTAGTACTTCCCAATATGTCAAATCTCTCAGCCACCTCCAGAGTCGCATGGCCAATGGTGAAGGAAACAGTATCGATATCATCCTGACCTGCTGCATCATCTTCACAGCATTTGAAGCCATTCGCGGCAACCCCTCCTTGGCAATGCTTCATCTTCGAAATGGATTGAAGATGATATCTGAGTCGAATGAGCCTTCCAACGCCCAGTCAAGGCTTACTGAAATCGTTACCGAAGACCTCATGCCCGTGTTCCTGCGTCTCAACATTCAAGCTCGCTCACTCCTCCGACCTGCCCTGGCCGACTCTCATTATCTCGATGAGGCCCAGATATCCACCTCCGACATACCAGAAACCTTCAGATCCCTAACCCAAGCTCGCGATGCCCTCTCTGTTCTCTTCAACAACGGTTTCTCCATCTTCCACTCGGTCACCCAAAGCGACACATACCGGTACTACCCCAGTAAAGATTTCACCCAAGTCTCCGCTGTAGACGAAGAAGCCCCTATCTCACCAACCTTTACAACCGACGTCCTGCACGCCTCGACCTGCTCTTCCATCGTAGACAAAATCGCCAATCTTGGCGTCCAACTCTCCCAATGGCACGCCGCCTACGACCGCCTCCTCCAAATACTCACCTCCCGCAACCATAAGGAAACACTAACTGGCTCCGACCTCCACGGCGCCACCCTCCTCCGTATCCACCAAATCTCCGCCCAGATCGTCATTGCCACCTGCATGGACACCAGCAACCTCGCCTTCGACGACTGGACAGCCTCCTTCGATCAGCTCGTCACCCTCGCTCGCGACCTCATCAGCTTAGCGGGCTGGGATAAGAATCCCTCTTTCTCCGTCGACATGGGCGTTATCGCTCCGCTATATTTCACCGTGACGTCATGCCGGCACCCGCGCATCAGGAGAGAGGCAGTTTCGTTGCTGAAGAGTATGAATAGCAGGAGGGAGGGGGCTTGGTACGCGCGCGTTGCTGCTGGAGTAGGCGAGTGGTTCATCGCCGTTGAAGAGGGGCATGCGCTGCCTGATAGCGGGGTGTGGCTCTCAGCGGCAGGTTTTATGGGAGAGGATGCGGAGGAGGGAGGAGGGGCGGCTTTCGATGGTATTAGAGTCAATGATGTCAAAGTGCAAGGGTATGGCTTTGGCGCGTTGGGGACGGTGACACATTCGAAGCCTGTATCAATGGGGAAGTTTGGGTGCTGGATCTCGGGGAGGCCAAGGCAGGGGGATGTCAGGAAGGTTGATGGATTGGGGAATGGGTTGGGACTCAGGGTGCCGCAGGGGTTTGAGGGAGGGATGGAGCAAGTAAGGGCGGAGAATGGAGGGGTCGTGAGGAGGATTAGACGGTTGCATGCTGAGGTGCATGAAGAAGAGAAGTGGGTCAAGCTGGTTCCAATGTTTCATGATGAGGAGGAGATGGAGGAGCCTGAGGAGTGTTTCGTCCGACCAGGAGAGTTGGGATGGTGATGTTTGCAGTCTGAATACATCTGAAATAAATTCCGTAAGGGATCGGTGGAGAGAGCGATTCCCCTTCTTCAATGGTATATACCAACCATACAGTAACATTTCTAACTCTCATAATCTGATGTCTTCACGTGACAAATACTACCTTGATTCGTGAATAGAATGAACGATTCAAGTTCGAAGATGTTGGTACGTTGGACGAGTTAGTGAAATCATTCGTGGCATTCGCAAGCACGTCATTCGGTAAGACCTTCCGCATTTGGCTCGCGCGCTCGAATTGTGTGACTCTTCCTCCAAATTATTCTCAACTACAGAACATGGCCACACCCGTCCCTTTGGACCTCAATCTTCATACTCTAGGCAAGCAATTACAGTGACCTTGACAACATGGGGTCCGTTACTCCCAATCGATCTTCCAGCGTCGCAACAACGGACACTCAGCAGACACAAATACACCGTCAGTGTCCCTCAGAGCTTCTGCCCCCTTCCTCTCATCCTATACATGTACAAGAAGAGCATGCTAAATCCCGTAGAGAGTGTCAAAAACCTCCCTGAGAACCCGTATGCTGCACTCATACCGAACCAACACATCGCGACGGTCCCTTTCTTTACCCTTGAATCCGGCGATACTCTTCGCAATGTTCCAGTCGCATACAGCACCAATGGTCGACTGAATGCTGCCAGAGACAACGTTATTATCATATGTCATGCCTTATCTGGTAGCGCAGACGTGGCTGACTGGTGGGGACCATTGATTGGTGTCAGGGGAAAGGCATTCGATCTCTCAAGATTCTTCGTGGTGTGCCTGAATAGCTTGGGATCTCCATATGGTACAGCGAGTCCTCTTACATATGTGGATGGAGATCCAGTAAAGGGGAGATACGGGCCAGAGTTTCCTTTGACTACGATCAAAGATGATGTAAAGTGCGCGGAATGTTGAGACGGAGAGGATAAGACACTGACGTTTCACAGCCTACACAGGATAGTTCTAGACCAACTCGGTGTACGACAGATAGCGGCCGCTGTCGGTGGGTCTATGGGTGGCATGCTAGTGCTCGAGTACGCATATTTCGGCAAAGACTACGTACGCGCCATCGTACCAATAGCCACTTCAAGTCAACACAGTGCATGGGGTATCAGTTGGGGCGAATCTCAACGTCAAAGCATCTATGCCGACCCAAAGTACGAGGACGGCTACTACTCTTTTGACGACCCTCCAGTAGCAGGCCTAAGCGCAGCTCGTATGCAAGCTCTCCTCACCTACCGAAGTCGCAACTCCTTTGAGACCAGATTTGGACGCAACATCCCGAACCAGTCACAGATAGCCAAATCAGTCGGCCGTCCAGACAGCTTGAGTCGATCCGATTCCAACTCAAATCCACACTTCGCCATTCACAACGACGGTCATAAGATATGCGGCAGCTCTCGCTCACACGCCTCAACACCGCCCAGCACACCCCCTCCAGAACCCCCAATACTGAACACACCCGAATACACAGATCCCCAGTTCCACGGTGCAACTGCCCTAGCTCCACCTACACCCCCAACCCCCTCCCTGAGCGCAAAACTGCAACAACTTACTCCGCACAATCCTACCTCCGCTACCAAGGCACCAAATTCGTCTCCCGCTTCGACAGCAACTGCTACATCGCCATAACACGCAAGCTCGACACTCACGACATTTCCTCACACGCCTCTCCTCCCTCCGCCTCCTCCCCTCCTCTCTCCCCGAAAGAGAAAGTCAAAGCCGCCCTCGCACAAATCCAACAGCCCGCTCTGGTGCTGGGTATTGAAAGCGATGGCCTATTCACGTTTGCAGAACAGCAAGAAATCGCGGATGGGATAAAGGATAGCAGGTTGAAGAAGATTGAGAGCCCAGAGGGACATGATGCATTTTTGTTGCAGTTCAAGCAGGTCAATGCTTTTGTGTTGGAGTTTTTCTGGGAGGTGCTGCCGAATTTGATGGGGGCGGAAGTTGGAGGGGAAGGGGACGGGGTCAATGAGAAGGGAATGAATGGGGTACGAGCCGGAGGTGAAGGCGAGGGGCAGGAAAACGGGAATATGGAGATGAAGAAAGCGAGCGTGTTCGGCGAGGCGGAGGGTGATATAACCGCTTGGTGAGAAACCCCCGTCAGGCTGAGAAAGCAGATGTGTAATTGGGTCACGATGTTGATGGAGAACATGGTATTGGCATACAGTCAATGCATTGATGGTCGATGGCCTTTACATGAAGCGATGCCTCATGAAACTGGCGTCTCACCAACCCCCTTACTCGAGAGCGCATTCCCGTTCTGTAGATCTATCCCATAAGTCTGTCCTGGGTTGACGACACCTCCCCTCCCCCTTCCTCAGTTCTCCCCCTCCAAGCAACCCCCCCAAGAAATCACTGCCATCCCTGATACCCTCCCCATCTCTTCCCAATAGTCCACGCTATCAATCGCGCCTCCTTCTGCTTCCCCTTCCCCTCCCCTTCCCCTCCCCCTTCATCTTCCCCCCTCCTTCTTCTTTCCCCTAATTCCCCAATCCCAAAGCTCTCACTGTTGTGGTTGTGGTTGTGGTATCTTGTCGAGCTGGTTTCGTTTCGCTGTTTCGATGCTTTTGGTATTTTTTTGGTTTGGATGAGAGGGGAGAGGAGGGGAGGGAGGGGAGGGGAGGGAAGGGGAGGGAAGGGGAGGGAATGAAGGAGGAGAGATGGAGTGTAAAGGGGCAGGGGTGGGGGCAGGGGAAAGGGTGGTCAATGCTTTTGCTGATGGGCAAGCTGTAGGATGGAGTGGAAGGGAGAGATGAAGGCTGAGGCGGACATTCAAATGCAAGGTACGGGGACGGTTCGTGAGGGCATCTGGTATTGGCATGGAGGAAAGTGTAGGGAGATGTCGGAAGTAGGGAAGGAGGAGATGGTGATCATGATGAGGGGGGTGGGTGAATGGACGTTTGTTGGTCGAATTGTCCTAGGGAAATACTGAGAAAGTAAATACTCACCAGGAAAACTCCATGATCATTCTGTATCGCAGAAAGTAATGACCGTAGTGTACCCCATCCTGCTTCGGTACCCCGATTGCCTCCTCCAGTCCGCCTATACCTCTGCTTGCCTTCGGTTGATGCAGTGGTCTATTCCGTTCCGTTCCTTGATCTACTTCAACGCGCTGGTCGTGGCCCTCATTTCAATCTGGCCCTTGTGAGCTTTGCCGTGAACATTGCGGATGTGGCTCCTCAGCTTATCTGCTCTCTTGAATCCATTTGTCCCTCCGCGCTTACATCCAGGCACGAGACAAGGGATCGTCTCAGCGACCTTGCAATGGCAGCTTTTGGTGTGTCGTTCGAAGTCACTCCATTTCTTGGCTGTTGTGGTACAGTAGGGTTCGAGGCAGCGGAAGCCGTTGTCAACGATGAAGTGGGACTTCTCGTGGTGGAGATGGTCGGACCATGCTGGAAGATCTGGGCCTTGGAAGGCGGAGAAGGTCGTGTGAAGGCAACCGTTAACTCGACAATGGAGTAAGTTACCTGGATTGGACGGGGTTGCATGACTAGGTTCGAATTTGTAGACTCTGAAGCACGTCATGCAGTCACAAGCGCGTTCAGAAGAGGGTTTTGGCAGTACGCATACCCTTTGGAGTGAGGCTTCGAGTCCACTGAGCCCCATTGTTAGAGATTAAAAAAAAAACTTACCGCCCTCCGTCGCCCTGATCAGGCTGACGATAGGCAGCACTTGCGCCGGCAAAGCCAGGATCCACATGAGCTTCACTGTCAGAAGTGAAGCCACCAGTACCGTAATCAGGTTGCGCCAAGAGGAAAGGATCGATCGTGTGTCCTGCAGCCTCGAGTCCTGGAAGATCGGTGTAGTCGTGTCCCGTGCTTGGGAGATCGACTGCTGCAGGCTCCGAAGCCAAGTCACCCAGATCATTAGCAGCTAACGCTGGAAAGGGCGAGAATGGAGTCGAAAAGGACGCCGGATGGTCGAAGACGATGTTGCTGTGGTCTATTTGATTGGCTGACGACGGGAAGGGCGACGCTACCGCCCAAGCCCCAGCAGATTCGTAATCGGTGCTCGTATCAGGATCCTGTGGTGGTGCGTAATTTGAATCGAAGGGCGCGAAGGGCCAAGATGGTGCGTTGGCCATGCTGATGCGTTGCGTGGATTGCTGACTCGGCCGAGAAGGCTGACGAATGAGGCCGAGGAGCAGGGTTTGGCGGGCTTGGTCAATGAGCGAGGACCGTGAATTTTGGAGTCCAAAAAGTCTGGAAGCTCGGGGGAAAAGTGCAGTCTATTAATGCCCCTGGCTCAAGGTCAAATTGTCGAGGAGGGCGCCGCTAGTGGCGCCATTGACTTGCTGTGCATGCTGAAGCTGCACGCATTCCATGATCCCAATTTCTTTGCGTGTAGAAAAGGAGGCCCACGACTATTGCTGACATTGGTCGTGAAAACCAATACGATGCATTCTGCTATGAACTATCTTCTGTAGCACAAGGTTGCGAGGTTGTGTGGTTTCCCATTGGAGATCATTGTGACAAGTAAGGTCAATGGCCACGCTCAGGTACGAGTATTAAGCTCTTAGGATTGCCAGATCCATAGCATCTCCTCAGTCATTTGAGTCTTCTTCAATGACGTCCTCCTCATCATTGATTGAGAGATCGGGCCACGTTTCCGGCATGTAATCAAAGTCTGCCTCAGGAAACCACTCACCGACACCATTTAGAAGACCGCCGCAAGTGTCACGCCTATTCTCAAGTGCTGCAATCACATTTTGCGTGGCACTCGTTCTATTAAGCTTAGGTTCTTTGCCCATGTGCTCGTCTTGATTCGTCCATACGATACAAGTGCGTACCCGATTGTGAGGTAGTTCGACCTTGATGTGTGGTGTCATACCATACTTTGAGAGTACTTCAGAGGCTGTACGGCATCGTAATCTCAGCTTCGCCTTTTGTAGGTAAGCGCACACGAAGTTGTAGTCATCGTCGCTGTCGGTCCAATCAATTTCCCACTCACTCGGTTTTGCAGTTAGTAAATGCAGCTCAGTCTCCACATGGACGTTTGCTTCACGTTTGAAAATGTCATCAATAGCCTCTAAGACCTTAGCAGTCTTCGAGGTGACATCAAAAACGGATGTTTGCCGAAATTTCACTATTATCACTTCCAATTTGACTCCTATCCCAGCTTGCGGAGGATTTAAGAGTTGTGGTTGAAATTCATAGGTAAGATTCCTAAGGACCATCGAATTTGCGGCATCGTACAAACACTTTCTCAATTGACACACGAACCAAGTCCTGGACGAAAGACTTTGAGAAAGCTCCGACCTCATGGACTGATCAGATCCGTCAAAGTTCTGTGGTGGGAGAACCACACCTGGGTGTTTGCTAGACTCATATGTTATGGCGCTCTTGTTCCGAAGGATCTGCATACATTCTACGTTGTTCCACGAGACTGCTAGATCCAATGGCATCATTGGCGGCTCGTCGTGCGTAACGAGACGAGTTTTCTGGAAAGGGCTGGATCCTGTGGGGCCTGAGATTAAGTTGACATCATGAGGATTACGCTGAAGCCAACGTTCGAGCAGATTACCAAGGTTAAGGATGCAAATTGCGAATATAGGATTCACGAAATCGAGAATCCTAGAGTCATCAAGGAGGTGATCACACGTGCCTGCTTTCAATGGCATCCTTTGGAGGCTCATAAGCATTACATAATATTCTCTGCCAGTCTTTGGATCGACTTGATGTATTTCCACCTGCCCGTACCGCAGATCATCGCAGAGCCAAACAGCGAATGCTGATTGCCTTGGTGAATCGACGCCGAGGAATTTCGATAAGGTCAGCTGGAGATCAACAGTCGCTCGATCTGATTTCACTTCAGAAATGTGAAACGGCCAGGTGCGGATGGCGTAATCGAGACAGCTATGGCTGCGAGATTGGCTTACTCTTTCCGAGATATTCCACTGTTGAATGGTCTCTACCTGAGTTGGGAGATCATGGCAAAGAATCCTCAGGCAGAATAGCGCCGCTGCTTCGTGGCAGTTTTGGAGGTTGAAATTGACATTGGACTCCAGGTACTCCTGGACAGATAGATGCACAAAGCGAAAGATGTCCATTTGCTCATCATATTTGACGAAGTTAAAGCATATGTCAAGTAGATCTTCTCTGGTGAGGTTATTACGGCGCTGGCAGTGGATATTCAAAGCTTTGAGGAATTCTCCACTCGAGAAATTCTTTCGCAAGCAAAGTAGCAAACGAAATACGCTTTCGAAAAGTGAAACCTCTTCAGCCAGAAGTATTGAACGTTGTCGGTCATACATCTTGTTGTATAAGTCTCGTAAGTTCGAGGGTAATTCACCGAGACGGTCCTCGACTTCATCTCTGAGCTTGAAAGTGCATAGATAGGCTAATGATTGGCTTGCCCATCGAAACCTATCATCACCGTCCGTCAGTACGAAATATAAAGTTGTAATCTGCTTGTTCCTGTGGAAAGCGAGAAGTCATGCTGAGTTGAAACTAGGAGAAAATTCAAGATTACCTACATGCCATTAGACCTGTTCATCGTGGTTTGCTTAATCTTTCGAATGAGGGAGTCTGGAACGATTCCTCTCAGGAGCCGACGCTGCTTGACTATCCGTTCGACCTCATGATTCACAAAGTGTTCTATATCAGAGCAATTATCTGTTTCTAAGATTGTGATATGTGGATGATCCTTCAATCTTGGCCTGAGAATCTGATCCTCGCGGCTGGAAATGAGGATCTTGAGTAGACCACTGGATCTGTCTTGAATATCCTCAAGCGCTTGAAGGAAGTCGATCTTTTGTTCCTCTTCACACTCATCCAGAGCATCCACAATTATGGTTGTGAGTGGCCAGGAATCACTCAAGCGACTTATAAGATTGACGCAATCTTCTTGGTTCAGCGAATTTGCTGGAAATCCTTCATGCTTATGATTGGCATAGACTTCGTACGCTGGTTTGAGTGGTGTCTTGGATGGCCCCAGGACAGCCATCTGCCGGACTAGGCTTTGCAGAATCCTGACGCACTCGCCGCGTTCAGGCTCACGTTCGCTTCTCGTGCAGTAAAAGAAAATAGGTAGAGCGCTTCCATCATGTACGGCTTTCGCAAGCAATTTCTCTACGAGCAATGACCTGTGATTACTGGTCAGCTGATGTGCTGGGAGATACAGGCGACCCACAGAAGCCTCGTCTTTCCGTATCCAGGGTCGGCTTGAAGCCACAATATTGAAGGGAAACTCGAATCTGCCCATTCGACAACCTTTCTGTGGCCCAGAAACCAGCTGCCGGTACCTGCGAGTACTGAACTGAATGCGTCCCGATGATGAAGCCGGTGTGGTATGTTCGAAAACCACGAAAGCATACTTTCATGCGAGGAATCATCCAAGCTAGCTTTGATCTCGTCGAGCTGAGCAATACCCCGCCAAACGGGCTCCGAGAGCTCCTTCAAGACGTTGAACAATTTCTGTCGCGATCCTCGTCCTTCTAAAGACAAGGCTTTCATGTCCATTTCGAAAGATTCGGTTTTGGCATCCGCCAGTAGACGACGATAGCTTTCAATATCGTCTTCGCAAGAGCTGAGCCTTTTGCCATGCTCGTCAAACTTGTCGAGGAAAATGGCGACGCCTTTGAGAATCCTTTCTAATCCAAAGTTAGCAAGACATACAATATGCCCCTCGTCGAGATCTATTGAGCGCATACTTGAGGTGCTTTTCTCAAAGTATCGGCGTGCTTCAAGAAGCCATTTTAGTATAGATGCATAAGCGTCCACGAGAGATGACTCTAGGTGCGATTCGAGGCTGTGACCTTTCCCCCGAAAGAGGTTCTCAATCACTTGACAACGAACAACGAGTTTGATTATTCGTTCCAGACCTTCTACAACGGCAGCGTATTTTTCGGCATCTGCAATTGCAGCCTACGTTCTATGAGACAGCTTGAGCACCGTGATAAGATTTATCATACCTTAAGAAGGAAGCGGACACCCGCCCACGGTAGAGCTGCATGTTGTGGGTCATATTGCACCACGACATCGCCCACCTCAATAAATTTCTGTATCCATGCTGTGATCTTGTTCAGAGCGTCTCGCAACACAATCGATTTTTGGCCGTGCCGTCGCTTCAGCTCCCATTGCTTGGATTGACAATCTAATTTCTGTCTCTCGACAAGGGCTATGAGCTCTTGCGGTCCATCAGCAGAACCCTTCAAGTCTCGCAACGCCTTCAAATCTTTTTCGCTTAGCTGGTGAGTTGCGGCAGCCCATAAATCTGTCGAGGGAATTGCTCTGCTCGCTGAAAGTTCTTCTACTCGGGCCTGATGCCCAAGCTCTGACATACTTTGAAATTGTTGACGAGGCCGACGGGTATGAGATACATTTTGAGATACACGAGGATTGCCACAATATTTATGCGTACAGGCTGTGGCCCACGATATGACCGCCTACTATAAATAAGACCGGACAAACATGCAGGCGCTAGATTGACTGGTCAATTCTCAAACATAGTCATTTGACAGCTCCAAGTTCGTGGAAGCTTGAAACACACTAAATCACGACCAAGGTAGAGAGTGCTACCAGCACAATCTCGCCATCTCAGAGAGTCTGAGGAGGTGTCGGGGAAGATCTTTGTTTTGCAGACCAATCGGAAGACACCTCCCGTTACAGGAGCTGCGACTGCCGATCCTTGAATGCTCGCATATCCAATCCATTTGATCGTTGCATAATAATGACCTGAGCGCATTGGTTACGAATTGTCCCGATGGCTATTAATAACGTTGTCATCAAGTCAGTGGGCGCTAAAAATTTTTTGCTCCGTACCCAAACAAACACACTGGCTTTTACCTGACTAAGCGTCGATAAGCTGTCGGAATCTATGGCCGTAATTGAGATGGCGTTGAGTCCTTCTAATTAATTCTGAATTGAACAACACACAGTGTACGAGTTCTGGTGTCTTGGAAGTCAGAAGAGTGGCATATTCAGGCCGAGCGCGTGGTGACCGAAGTATCAGTGAGGCTGTATCAGAAGACATTGATCTCGTCCACCGCTGTCGCATCAATCAGCGATTTGTAAAAGATATTGAACTGTTGATTGTCGATAGCTAGATGCACGTAGCTCATTCATATGTGATGAGTTTAAGGGGTGCTAATGACGACTGCCCACTGTATATTGATCTCCATTTTGAGTCGCCTCCAACTCTACATGGATGAAGGCTGTGCGATCAAGTTCACATGATAACTACCTGTAGGTTACCCAAGCAACTGACAAGCGCGTTCAGAGGTGTCTAACAATCCTGACTCTGATGGCGTCTCTGAATTCGACATTCTTGTATGTCGACCTCTCCCCCATTCAGATCTGGCCATAGAGATAAAGATATTTTGACCCTAGATTCAGCGGCTCATAGAAGGCAGTTGTCAAGGAAGCTGATTGCTCTCGTCCAGGTCGGCCGACGTCCGGGCAGAAATGTGCACATTGAAGGCAAATGCAGACGAGGTGTCGGATGATGAGATGCGAACCAAAATCTGCTTTAGCCCTACTTGACACCCATTTGAAGTTCACCTGTGCGGAGACCACACCGGCTCATCACGGCTGACTGCAGCATCTAGATCATTGGGACAGATTTGCTCTGCAATGATTTGCAGCTAAAAGCTATCGGGCCTGGACTTTTCGGACAGAGCACTTGGGTTGCCTGAATGCCTACCGGGTTTCAAGAAGTGCCGTGGCAAGAGAAGCTCTCTTCGGCTTAGAGCCGTATCATGTGACGGCCCGTCCACCATTAACCCGAATATGCCTTTAGCCGGCATACCGGTAGTTGAACAAGATCCTCCAATAATTCCAAGTGAGTCTGCTTATGTAATAACCGATTCGCGTTCAACAGGCAAATTCTCCCTGTGGTATCTGTCCAGAAACCCGAAGCCATTAGCCTGTAAATCATTTGGTCGGACAAGGCAATTGCTGGTGAAGAATAAGGGCCATAGATGGGTCCATTCCAGTCCGATGACCCCGTCAACTGGCTCAGATATCGGATTTTACATCTAGCAGTGGTGATGGGGCGGATTAGGAGCTCGCATCGTCTGACCAACCGCCGAGGACTGCGTGACAAGGTGGTACAAGAGATGTAGCGGGTGTTTCATAGACTTTCAACACCTCAATGTGCCAGGAGGCAACACAGTACACGAATTGGAGGCGTGTCTTGATGCAAATTGAAAAAGCCATGTATGTGGAGGGTGTCATCCGAACTGGTCTCGATGGTAGTATGCAAGGCGAACGTGTCTATACGCAGGGTCTTCCAATCCTCATCGAGTGGGACAAACTATCTTCCCAAAGCAGCGAGTCGCATCCATGTAGCGGTATGCGTGACCTATGTATGCAACGATAATTCTGATTTCCGTTTGCTGGCTCCTTGAGTGAAATGTTTTGTATCAATTTGAAAGATACGCTGCCATAGTCGCTGCTGTACATGCCTTAATCTATTCGTACTTCAAGTCGAACTAAAAGCTGAGCGACTCCTTGACTTGATCGCTAGTACAATTACGATATATCAAGGAAGAATTGCGCAAACGCAGAGATGTAAGAAAGTAGAGTATGCAAGAAGTCAGGTGGCACCAAGGCAAGGCTTCCCAGCTCAGATATTCTGGATTTGGGAACGTCGCATTGACATCAAATGCAAAGCATGCCTCAACATACATTCGCCTAGATTAGTGGGAAATAGTTTCATCACACCTCATCAAGCCTCTGAAACATTGTTGTGCAGTAAAAGAGCCAGGCAAAAGTGCGATCTTTGCTTGTCACGACCGGGTTTGAGAGACCCGCACAGCTATATTCTGGGCTTGTCTTCAACAAAATTGACATCGTGAATGAATGCTATAGATTCGCAGAACCTGTGTGGGGACCCGTTCGATCATCTCGGAATCGATTCACCGAGAATGCTAAGGCATTGATCAGGCTTTCGCTTTTTCAGCGTCGCCGAATGTATCAAGTTACTGTCGAATGACGAGAGGGTTTTCAACCCACCATGCTACTCTTCGTCTCATGTCATCAGTGTTGCGGGCTTAGAGAAGACCAATAGTTGGAAAGACCCTTCAGCCCCGAAGTTCTGATTGTAGCAATCATGTTGTCAGACTTGAAGAGTTGATGAGATCAGCGAGCACAATATCACAGGCTGAGGGCGATCCTCGACGAGAAGCCACAGGCTTGAGGTACTTTTGCAATCTTCGAAGTATCTTGTACTTCGAAACGTGACGTGCGGACACGTAGAGTCCTCCGTGAATTGCATGAGCTCATCAGCTGTGCTTTTCGGTGTAAGTTTATCGTCCACTCTCGTGCCCTTTGGCATCACTTTTAGTAGCACTTGACACTCTGGCGTAGGGGTGAGGTGGCTTCGACACGTGGTAGTGTGCCTTAGTAGTTTGATTGGCAGTTCTAGTCTGCGTCGCTTGATGAACCATCCTTTGCAGAGTAAAGATCAGTTGCAAGGGGGGCTCGATCAGCACAATGATTGAAGAGGCTGGTAGTCTATCACGAGATGCTTCATTCCTCCGCAGAAGAGTCTCGAAATCGAGACAGATGCGGCTGACAGATCCGACGTAGTATGTGGAGAGGCTAAAGTAAGTCGATGATGCGACCCGTCGACCGAGCGATACCAAAGACCCCAGGGAGAAGCCATGCAGGATTGTGATTTTGCGCTGTTTATCCCCGTAGCCTTATGCGATGCAGCAAATGGTCTCGGATTGTAATCAAAGATTTCATTACACCGCTACGGTTACCGCGAACGTAAATTGGCAATAGACTAGGTAGCAGCAGCTTGTCAATCATTGGAGAAATTAGGGCGCCATGCATGCTCACCGAAGATCTTAGGAGGAGTTCGACGTAAGCGTCCCTCAGAGTCTGCCTTCTTTTTGCCTTCTTTTTGGAGCCTCGTGCGCGGTCCGTTACCTAAGCTCTAGCAGAGCCTCATATCGAGACGCAGTCGAACATATGTATTGAGCGGATTTCCAGCTGTATGATCCCATGATAACGAGCGAACTTCACCATTGAAGGTGTTGAGCACAACTCCATTCTAGTGCCGACAACAGGCTGGGAGCAATTCATTCGGAGGCCTAAATTCGCTTGGCATTTGCTTAGTCAGCAGCATCGGCGAATCCACTTCTTGCACGACCCTGTAATTTGACAACGAAGTGAATTCCATCGATTGTGTATGTCTCGAACTCTACGCTCTTAAGCAATGAACCACTGTGCTACCTTCAGATCTTGGTCCGTCAGAGCCTACTCTTCAATCATGATGAGGATAGACTCTTGCTAACGTCTGAGAGTAGCTCTGGGGTAACCCTCTTACCTGGGCTTGCAGTTCTCGAGACCAGGAATGACAAGCTTCCCAAAACGCAAGATTCTCGAGGTTCAGAAGTCCCTGGGAATCACAGGCCCTACATACGCGTGCCCCATATGCGCTGCCCCGTTTCACTCAGAGCCCAAACTATGGCTACATGCAAAGGAGAGTCACCCAGGCAGTCTGGAGGCTATCGGGCTTTCGACGGAGGCGGAAGCCAAGGAGAGGGAAATTTTCAAGCAACAGGCTATAATGAATGCGTCAGTCTATCTTGCCCGGGCCTCCTAAGTCGTACAAATGAAGCACGACCTGTCCCAAATCAGCTGGTCTTATGACTGCCCGGTCTTCTTGCTGACCCAGACCTTTTAATAGACAGAACAAGCCTTCGCAATCCAGAAGATCTCCAATAGAAAGAGCTGAGCATGAAAAAGAGAGCGACGCAAACAAAATGGTACCTCCTTCTCCAACAAGGCCACAGACTGCGCCAGAGGCAGAAGAGCGCTCAAACCCTAATACTTCTGAAACGAGACGCCTTGAGAAAGGCCAGATGAAGACTCCCATGGCGGGCGTCCCACAAAAGCGTGGAGCCGAGCGTGGAGCCGGGCGAGGCGGTTCTCCAGACCCATCCAGAGATCCGACTACGCCGAATCCTTACACTCGGGCGCGCCATAGCAAGGCATTCAGTAGTGGGAACATTCAAGATAGCGAATTCACCAGACGACATGATGCTGGTACACTTTTCGATCCAACGATCAACGACTCACTGAAAGCGACTAATCCAACCAGGCAGAAGTCCCCAAAGACAAGGGGCCATCAGAGTCGTCCGCCAAGAGGAAGAAACCTTGAGCCTAGACTGAAAGAAGGCTTGCATGACTCACCTAAAAAGTTCAAACCCCCTTGGCCGCCTCCTCAGGCAGCTAAAGGATCATCCCAGGGCTTGCAGCCTGACTCGGCCGGAGTACAAAAGCAAAGCCAACCCATTGTAGTACAAAAGCGTACAGGACGGCATGAAAGGGCCAGCTCACCTGTAGATGACCCCGATGATCAAGAAGACGACCCTGAGCCAAATCCGTCAATGCTCGTCCAGCCTGAAACTAGGCCAATCAGCCACGATCAACTTGTAGTGGAAGTGAAAGGAATCTATGCTGGATTAGTCATGGTCGAAGCGAAGTGCATCGAAGTAGACGACAAACAGACCCCGTCGCCCGATGACAAATTTCCACCAAGACCCATGCCATTGAGCAATGATCAATGGCGCTCGTTGATTGCACTTCACAAGCAATTACTCCACGAACATCACGATTTTTTTCTTGCGTCGCAGCATCCATCCGCAAGTTCAAATCTCAGTAAGCTGGCCGGCAAGTATTCGATGCCGGCTCGAATGTGGCGTCATGGTATACATGGTTTCCTGGAGGTTCTCCGATATCGACTCCCGGATGCTTTCGAGCATATGCTCGCTTTCATTTACATTGCATACTCTATGATGGCTCTACTCTACGAGACTGTGCCATCCTTCGAGGATACGTGGATCGAATGTCTTGGTGATCTTGCCCGGTATCGCATGGCGATCGAAGAAGAAGAGCCGAGAGACCGAGAAACATGGAGCGGAGTTGCTAGATACTGGTACAGCAAAGCTAGTGATAAGACGCCCTCAATAGGTCGACTATATCACCATCTCGCAATCTTGGCAAGACCTTGCACAATCGAGCAACTATCATTGTACACAAAAGCACTGACTTGCCTCACTCCCTTCGAAAGTACTCGTGGAAGCATTATGACACTCTTCAAACCTATACTTGACGGAGCTTCTTTCCAATTCAACCGAGCCTTTGAGTACGAGCGACATATTAGCGAAGCTCATGGAAACCTTTTTCTTCATGCTCAGAAGCTTTTGGACATCCCTGAGGAGGAGACTGAGAAAGAGGCTAAAAAAAGGGTTGAAGAAGCTGCCCAACATCTGAGAAACTTCCACGGCGTTCGAAGACTAGTGATGGATGTGCTAGATAGTTGGATTAAATGTGTGATAACAGACGTTCGGGCCAAAGAGGACGCTAACAAAACTAAATTGAAGAAGCTTCTGGCTTGTTTGGCGACCAGTAATGTCAGCGGAATTCTCCAATATGGTATATTGAGGAAAGAAGACGGCAGCTCAGGGTCTCTAGTGCGGCGGGCATATGATGATGCACATCGCGAACGACTGCGGGCTCTGACAAAAACAGAAGACGACAACCAAAATGATGGTTCAATGCGCAGCTCACAAGAGACGTCGACGAATCCTGCTGGGCTTGGCGATGCCGTGCAGACTAATCTAAATAATGAAGAAGCTGAAATCTCGCGGATCACCGTGGATCTTGCAGCAGACTTTGCTTTTCGAATTTTCAGATACGCATTGTCAGTGCACCACTGGGAAAAGAAAGACTGGTACCGCAAAGAAGACTCGTGGATAGTGTTTCTGTCTCACGTTCACATTATGATGGCGTTTCTATTCGGCCTCCATCGCTCAGCCCCAAAAGCCCTGGATATCTTTGAAAATCATGTACCCTGGGCCTTGCTATGTGAATTCCTCACGCGACTACAAAAGTCGCCCGGTGCAGCTACGCCACGAATTTTTCGCTCAGACTTTCCTCGACCAGACAATGAAGCCGGCCGTCCATTGTGGGAGGACTTTCTAATTCGCGGCACTATATTTGCCTATTTTCCTAACTCATGGTTTTCTGATACGACACTTGACGACGAAGAGCGCCAGCTAGAGATTCCTTCAATGGACTCTGGGCGGATGGAAAGAGTTCTCTGGCTTGGACATATACTTGCTGCTGTTTGTTAATTGCTCGTGAGGATTCGTGCATTGCTGACACTGTCGCAGCTTAACATCTGGATTCGATACGATGCTGACTCTGAGATTTTCCTTCCCATTACCAGAGCTGAGCAAGATTTGGAGACTAACACAACAGACCCTACAGAGCCCGACTCCACATTAGGAGCGCAGGCTAAAGATACAGACACCATCATGGCAGACGCACCAATGCAAACGGTAGTGTCGCCTGAACGAACAAGTATTGCACCATCTGAGGCACCTGAGGCATCCATACTTTCAACAGACCCCAGCTCCGCTGCGCCAACACCGGAACCTTCTTCTAAAATGGCGACCCCTCAACAAGATCCGGCCACGCCTACAATGGTTGGAGCTGTCGAACATGATGATGACATACCTATGATGGATATATCGCCAAGCAAGGAGCATCCGCCAGAGGATCCGTCCAATCCTGTAGGAGCAACCGCTTGGAAACCGGGACCAGTGACTGTAACACAATCTGCAATGCTCCCTACCGGTGTTCAGCGCCCTGCAACTCAAAATGTGTATGAGACTTCAGAAGATGATAAAAAGTGAGATTGTTCTTTTTCAGGTCCAACGTCTCGTGATGAGTATCTGGTATGTATCTGGCCACGGTAGCCTATTGTTGAGTTCTAAACCCAAAGGATCATCCAGCCAGAACTCCTGGTAGGCTGCGAACTAGGGCTTTTTACCTAATTTTCCAGCCTGCCTACTAATGGACTACTGGCCTACCAAGCGCACAATCTGGCTGTCCGTCAAGGTGATCTTTGACAAGATTCTGGCCAGAACTCTTTTGGACTGCCCCCAGACCCATATTGGATGCTCAACCCAGGCCAAACTCCGGCAGGCTATCCTTTGGATATTGGATTGATTGCATGCATCTTCAAGAAGACCATGACCTTCCAGAGACTCAAACGAGTTTCTTTTGAAGATTTTGTACGTGCTTCGTTGCGTTTGCCAATTATCTACCGCATAGGTTGCCAAAATAGAAACGAAGAAGTTATTGAGACGGCCATAACTAACAGACAATGCGACATGTATACATATTTCTTGCCAACGGCCACACTAATGATGTGAGAAGCAATGATAGACTATCGAATAGGACCCACGTCTAATGTAATTCCCAAGGAATGGTATATATGGGGGAAACCGTACATAGAACCTCATTTCGGCCAACATTTTCTCGGTCTTGGACAGGACGGTGCTCGGACCAAGGTTAGGGTGTGATGCCTGCGTGACTCGGATGTGTCACTGCAACATACTTTGCGAACGTGTACAATATTCTTTATTCAGTATTGGCGCAGCTGGAAATTGTTCTTCGATTGATAGACACTATGATCATCTGCACATTTGAGTCGTGCCTTTCGAGCATGGCATTCGATAACCACATCCTCTGACTCTGCTTGGATAGAGACAAAGCGATGGCTTACTTGATCAAATTTCAAATTTCCTGGGAAGTATTTGCTTGTGTGATCTCCTGTGTGTCTCCCTGTCAGCCTCAGGACACTTCACGTGTCTGACTCACGGCCTGACCATATCTGAGTCGAGACTTCCTATCCTTGAATCGGTCAACTGACCATGTCACAGCTGTCTCATTCTCGTTGAACTGCTTCCATGGGCCCAAGCTCAACGGCCTTCGATCTCACAGCAAGATGGTGCAAGTCAAAAACCTTCTCAACAGCCTGCTTCACTTGCACCTGCTGGTAGTCTCTTCCTGTGACAGAAGACAATACATTTTCAGGCAATTGATATGGCTGCATACCGTTCAAACCTTTGTCTCCTTGCGGTCCATTTAGAGTGGAGACCCTACAAGGCTGTGGTGTGGATATTTCCCGCGTCAACCTTGCGGCCGAACTCTAAGCTCAGTCGAGATGGCTCATAGAGTCAGTCATGCGCCAACCCCAACTATGTACGACAAGTCGCTCAAGGTCGGTGAAGAGAGGCGCACAGACTTGTCGTGCAACAAGGCATGTGCATCCTATATGGCGTTACACGATGGTGTGCAGCTGAGCCTTGTCTCAGTACTTGAGTTTGGGTACCCTTGAGGAGCTGGATTGGTCTTCAGCCTTGCCCTTCAAGTGCTAGTAATCAACTTGACGACTTAGTGGACACTAATCTGAAGGATCAGGCCGACGCTACTGAGCTTTCGAGAGTGCGGCACAAGGCTGAAGCTCCACCACCGCAGACATCATGACGCTTCCCATGCAAGGCTAATGTTGGCGCATGAACCTCCTTCCCCAAAAAATCACGCTTATGCAGGACCGGAGTAAGCTTCGGTGAGCTCTGTATTGTATTGATCTATACATACATGCTAGTCGACAAGCCTCACAATACCGGCCGTCGTACTCGGGGAGTTGAACCTTGCAGTCGCCGACCAAGCCTTACGCAATTTTCGGCTATGAATCAGTATCTCCATGGAGACCGAATGACGTGTAGATTGACACAAGGCTGAAGGTGTTCTTGATCTGGACTGGAAATGCGCTAAAGAGCACGGTCACAGACAAAGGATTCGATCTGCATGCATAGCGCGTATAAAGCTGCAGAATCAGAAAAGCACGGTCAGGTACGGGAGGACGATCGGGCGGGATCAGATCTTCTTCCTCTACTTCGGGCGAAAAGAGCCTCAAGAAGCATCTAAGATGCAGGAGTCATCACAATACAAACCACCCACATCGTGACACGACGTCGCGCAACGTAGCCTTGCAGCCATGTTTAGAGCGTCAACAAGCGAGATCTTGACCGCACGAAGACTAGAGCAAGCCACGTTTCAAAATGTGCAGATCTGGGCACCTTGCACAAGGCTATCAGTCAAATTGGTAAATCGTACTAGCTGATTTGGATCGCCATGCGCCAGCATTACACAAATGAGGTATGCCGAGTCAATACGGAGATTCCAAACCCTGAGCCCTCATTGAGCTCATCGCTGCCTTAAAGGAGGTCAATGCGCTAGCAAATTTGGCTATCTCTGCCCATAGCTTTGGGAGATCGTCGGAGAGACGCTATTTATGATCTTCCTGCACTTGACTGGCTTCATAGCTCCTTGCGAAACAATGATGTATCCGTATGCATGTTGGCGATAAGGAAGGGCAAGAGCTGATTGCTGGGAGCAATAAGGCCGTTCTTCTGGAATACCAAGATCCTATGGGTTGTCTCCTGGGTTCTACCGTCAAATGGGCCGCTCACCATATCAAGAGCTTGCCAAGTATCGTGATTGCCTTGGCATGTGGGACTACCTAATAGAATGCAAGGCCCAGAGGTTTCGATCGATTGGGTCACGTTTTGCTTCTTCGTTCAGCTGTCCGAGAAGTGGGGCAGATGGAAGCTGTTGAGCACATACGCTCCAGGAGAATACATGGGCATTAAAGCGAGGGGAGAATGGTCAGGATGGATATCTACGCCGTGAGGAAGTCACTGGACTTGCTGCTCTGTTCAATCTTTGCATTGATGGATGAGATGGAAGCATTAGTAGTGAAAGATGACATATCCATTACTTTTAGTCACGTTTGCCTTCCATACAGTCCCATCCTTCGTCCCTCTCCCTGAATAGTACCAGTAAGAAATTGAGCATCTCTCTAGCCATGGAGACAATGAGAAGTGACCAGGAATTCTTGGTGGCTCTGGATGTGCAGAGTCATAACATAGTCCAGCTACACGATGCATCTCCCTGGATGGAATTAGAGCATACGTTGGAACGCTATTGTATACACGCGGTCTTTGAGCTCTGAGATTGTAAGATGATTGTTCGTGAGAGTAGAGGGAAGGACATCACCATAGGTATATTACGTAAGGCATGGTATTCTATTTTTAGCGCAATGACGTACCTAGCTGGGACCTGACAACTAAAAGTCAACAGCCACACACATGAATGCTTGTAGCTCTTGCTCTAGGCTCCCAACCATGCCGATATTACCAGATCACTCCCGTGAGATTACCACTCTGCTCGAAAAGGTGCATGCCCACCTCAAAGATGTTGAGGCAGACCCAGCGCAACCGCTTAACGAAGAGCTCTTGAACCAGGTCAGGATCTTTATAACCAGTCGGTCAACTCAGAAGCCGGCTTCATCTTCGTATGCTAACTTCTCAGACTCCATCTACCCTCCTGCGACTCCGGTGAAAGACATTCTCAACCAGCTCTCCCGCCTCCTACCCACTCTACAACAAGATCCGGCTCCTGTCACCGAGCTGACCACCTCACTTATCAGCCTACCAGGCTTCACCTTCCGAGATGCCCTCAATATCGACCCTCCTGTTCAATTCACGCTTGCCCTCAAATCAGATGTTCCAGCAATATCGCTTATGATACTAGAAATATTGGGCAAAGTATCCAAAAGCCAAGTTGACATAAATTGGGTAGCGGGGAAGCGGGACATAGTGCAGTCCCTTATACAACTCTGGCTGCGTGCGAGCGACACGGGGGTTTCGCAAGTTGCCGGCAAAGTCTTTTCGAAACTTTTGAACGGGCCAAAGGAAGAGAAGCCCACGGGTCATGTGGATGCTACGCTGGACCAGAATCTCATGTGGCGGCGGGTGTTCAGGGATCGGGATGTATACCGAACGTTTTACGAAGAGTGCACATTATCCAATGTCGGGCAGGATGGACAATTGAGCCGTGGAAGAAAGACCATTGCGCAGGGTCGATTGCAAGACTGGCTCCTCGATGTCAGTGTGGACGTCGTCAGGACGACACAAATCTCTGACGTCGAGAAACAATACGGTGTTGGAGATGGAGGACTACTCGAGTTTGCGGCCGCTCGAATGGTAGATTATGAAGAAGACGATCTGATGAGATCGACGTTGATCCATTTCTGTACCAACTTGGTTGAGCAGGGCAGAAGTGAGGAGCTTGATTCAATGAACGACTTGGCCTTTCTCAAGAAATATGGCATGCATCATACGTGCATGTCTTACTTTCTTGACTTAAACGGAGGCCACAGCTCATGGACCCTTGAAAACTCAGCTTCTTACATTGCTACGTACACTAAAAGCTACCAAAAGGATTTTCTCCGCAACCCGGCGCTGTCAACGAGTATTGTGGAGCTCATACTACAGCAACTTGCAAATTCTCATACCCTTCGAAATGACCATTCGATCGTCCTAGCAGCTCTACCAAGGTTTCTACTACTTAGGAATGGCGGAGAATCAGTTTTGAATCGGCTGCCATCTCATAAATCATACCCCCAGACCGTGAAAATGCTTGCCAAAGTATTCGGTCACTCCGATCATGTGGATGATCGAATCGCTGCACGCGCGCTCTATTACCTCTACGCAAAAGTGCACCCTGACTTATGGGAAGACATCGTCCAGCTGGCTTCTACCGCTGCCCTCTTCGAAGGTGCAGTAGCCGCAAACCAGCTTATCGGGAATGTCATCAGTGCGGAGTGGGAGCGCCTGCCCGAAACGTTCCAAAAATCACAGCTTTTTGCAGGCCTGACAGAGGAAGGCCTAGCTAGGAAATGCAACAACGGCCGTTCACTACCCCAACATAGTACCGAAGTCATTCTCTCAGCACCAGCACTGCAGACCGTTGTTCCATATCTCATGCAAAGACCCCAAGAAGCCGACAAAAAGAGGTATCAGAATATGTCAAGTGAGCATAGAGAAGTCACGGAGGAGCTTGGAAAAGTGAGACATATCGCACTGCGCATGCTTTTGATCCAGGTGAAAGGGATGCCACGATCAGAGGACGTCGACAAGATTACGCAAGCCATGGAAAGGCGTTGGGAAGAAGGTCCGATGGGGTATGGCGCTGACTCAGGAGGGGAAGCTACGTTCTATGGTGCTCTTGGCGGTCTTTGAATGATGGCTTTGATGAATGTCGGACCTATCGATAGACGAGTGGCGAGTATCGTTGCTGGGAAGATAAAGCGGCCTACAGAGAGGAGCCAAACTAGACTTGACCACCATTCAGGTATGGATGCGATCCTTCTGACGTTGGAGGAAGCTAATGCTTGTTATCAGGTATCTTCAAATGGGAAGGGAATCGACTATGTAGATCCTCATTTCAAGATGTTTCCTTCCTACATAGTCACTTGTCAAAAGATGCACCCTACAGAAGGCACTCCACCAACTTTTATGCTTGACCTTTCATGTGCAATCACGCTGCATTGAGCTGAGTAGTTTCCTGCACCTCATGGATACCGTCAGACTGTAGTCGTCCAAAAGACAGGATGTGGAGAAGAATTCTGCAAAAAGGTCTTCGAGGTGCAGACTATGTAGCTATATGGAACGAGAGCATGTTACAGTTTCAGCCTTCAGTCCTATGAAAATGCGTCGCGTCCGAAAACCACTTTGAAAAAGTTTCGAACACCGAATTGTCTGAGATTCTAACAATCCAGCTGTCATCTTCGACTGAAATGGATGTAATGACCAATGTGCCGATAGAATTGATCCCTCTATGATACACTCCAGCTCATACCACCCTTACTACACCCGATTGACGCCTCGCTCGCCTACTCAGCGCCATGGGCCTCATCCCTCAAATTATTGACTTGCAGCAACCTGGTGCTTGGAAAGCTGTTGTCGTCTTGGTGTTCTCATTGCTTGTATTTGGAGCATGGGCTGTAAGCAACACGTCTCTCCCAATCGTACATCCATTGACGAGCTTAGTTCTACATCTTCCTATACCTTGTCGCTCCAATTCCTCGAGCTCCCCTTGCCTCAGAGAAGAAATATAGGATAGTTGAGTCAGATGGCAATATCTCACCTTATGAAGACTTGCCATGTTGGAAAGATAGACATGATGCGGAGAAGAAGGCCAGAAAGCACCCAGCAGAGACAGACCACCCATTGAAGCCGCCTCCAATCGCGAAAGCAGACATTTTCATGTCGCTTGTAGTCCCCGCTTTTAATGAAGAAGAGAGATTGGGTATTATGCTGACGGAAGCCGTCGATTACCTGGAGCAAGAGTACGGGCAGTCTAAACCGCCAAAGGGACAGGCGAACGGCGGTCTGAAGCAGCGTAAGGGTGGTGAAGAGACGAGTAATGGACACGTTGCCTCCAGCCATGCAACAACGAAGGGATGGGAGATTCTTGTTGTATCGGACGGCTCGACAGACCGGACCATCGATACCGCTCTGGATTTCGCCAAAAGCTTGAAAGGAACAGCAGCATCAAACATACGTGTCATCAAATTGCACGAGAATAGAGGAAAAGGAGGTGCGGTCATCCACGGAATGAGGCATATAAGAGGCGAATATGCAATCTTCGCAGACGCAGACGGTGCGAGCAAGTTCGAGGACCTGGGTAAGCTTGTGCGGGAGGCCAAGAAGTTCGAGGACGCTGAAGGCCGCTCGGTCGCTGTGGGCTCAAGAGCTCATCTCGTTGGAAGTGAAGCTGTCGTCAAGGTAATGGACTGGATTCCCAGCTCATTGTGCCACGCTGATTGTCTGACTAGCGATCTTTCCTACGCAATCTTCTCATGCACTCGTTCCATCTACTCATCCGGCTACTCACTCCACCAGCCACCGGCGCAGTCAAAGACACCCAATGCGGCTTCAAACTTTTCTCGAGAGCCTCACTGTCATATATCGTCCCTCATATGCACTCAGAAGGCTGGATATTTGACATTGAGATGCTCATGCTTGCAGAGTCCGCTAGCATACCGGTCGTCGAAGTACCTGTTGGATGGAAAGAGGTAAAAGGGAGCAAGCTTAACGTGGTCTGGGATAGCTTAGGCATGGCTTGGGGACTTTTTGTTCTGCGAGCTGCCTGGCTACTGGGTATCTACGATACGGATTGAATTACATCCTGATCAACAAGCTACACTTTTAGCCATGATGTCGTCGCTCCGCTGGGATGGGTCGTCCGTTTGACCTTCACCAGGAGATCTAACAGATGTGTGATCACAAACTTCGGATCATCCTTTTGAATGAAATGACCGCAGCCTTCTGCTTGAAACGGCCCTTCACTGAGCTCGGGATCTGTCAGCTTTGCGAGGCCCTGATTGTACCGGTGCCACAGCGCGTTGGAATAGCGCATCGTCAATGAGATCGGTGTTCCCATAGCCTAGAGGAGCATATCAGCCAACGTCATGCGTCAGATCAGACAAACTCACTCGCAGGCTTTCTTCTGCAAAGCGCTGAAAGTCGTGGCCCACGACAGTGATCCATGGTCTGTTTCCAGCTTGACCGAGCATTGGTCTGTCACTGTATGGTAGCAGCCTTGAAAGACTGCGCCTATCTAACCCTTCTTTATTCTTCACATCGGGTGCGAATATGGCCGCGAATTTCATCCGCTGTTCCCTCAGCTGCTCGATAGTCATGTCCTCGGGCAACATACTGGGTCTAAAATCAGGCGCATCAGGATTCGGCCAGAAATCAAAATCAGAATTAGCAACGATTGAATCCAACATCAATATAGCAGCAACAGAATGCTCGTGTGCAAACAATCTTGCAATCGCACACCCGATGGAGTTGGCGACTAGCACAATCTTTGGCTTCGATTGCATGTTCACCTCATTGATAAGGTAGTGCAGATCCATCGCAGCGTCCTTGACGTCGTGCCCTCTGCCCTGTTCCTGTCCTTTGTCCTTTGGATCAGTATCGCTGGTCAATCCCTGACCATACCTATCGTAAGCGAGCATTGTGGGCCAGCTAGAGAATGGGGTCGCGGCGGCCTTCTGCTGTCGGATTACCCCTGCCATGACTGGCAGCCAGGTCGCTTTGTCTGACATCAAGCCATTCAGAAAGACCACGAGAACAGGCGAAGTGTCGATCTCATCGGGTCGTGCGATGGAGTAATGGATCTGGGCTCCAGGCTTGTGAGGCAGCTCGACTGAGTTGTGGAGGATTTCGGACGGGAGCATCATTGCTGGCTCTGGCGGTCGGACTGAGCTGGGGTTGTTCGACATGGCGAGTGATTGAGAAGAAGCGACTCGATCCCACTATTCTATATTCCAACGAAGAAAGGTAGTAGAAGAAAACAACGGGGCAAGCTGCGATACTTCTGCACTGTGAGATGCCTCTTATTGTCAGCACTAGGGAAGTCACCTTTACCCCTGCTGGCGATGTCGCGATTCTGGCTATGTACGTCCTGAATCGCGGTAGCAAAGAGTAAAGTCATCCAAGACTAATTGCTGCCATGCTATCGTGGTAAAGCTTCAAGATTTCATCTCCAAATGACATCACACCCTGAACCCCGACCCTAACGCACCCTTAGCGCGGAGCTTTCGGAGCCGCATCTGCCTACGATTCAGAGCCTCTATTTCCCCCTCCATCCCACCTGTTTTCTCTTTACAGTCCGCTCTCGTGTCGTAAACCGTACACATCATCCTATAACTTACTCTACTAGACATCCTCAAACCATGAACCTCATCCACTCAACCCTCGACACCCTCCGCGACCGCCTAGCCCCCATCTCCCACACCTCCACCTTCCGCACCACAGGCCAGGTAACCCCCGAAGAATTCGTCCTTGCAGGCGACTACCTCGTCTACAAATTCCCAACCTGGTCATGGTCGCCCGCCTCTTCCCCCTCAAAACGAGTAGCCCATCTACCAGAGGGCAAACAGTTCCTCGTCACACGCGGCGTGCCCTGTGCCAGAAGATTAGGCGAGGGATTCGCAGGCGAAGCAGGCGAGACGGACAGAATCATACGGGATGAAATGGGCAAGGGGTCCGCTGACGGCGACGAGGGAAAGGACGAAGAAGGCTGGTTAGAGACTGGCGGCGCTGGAACAGCAGGTGCGGGGAAGAAAGGCAGCGTAGGCGACGTGCGCACCTTAGGCGAGAGCGGCGAAGTTGGGCCCAAAGAAGAAGAGGAGGAGGAAGAAGAAATTCCAGATATGGAAGACGCCTCGGACGACGAAGACGCCATCATCAAAGACTCTGGCGGCGCCGACCAGAACGCCAGCCCCTTACGATCTTACACGCTTTACATAACCTACACGCCCTACTACCGCACCCCGCGCCTCTACCTCTCCGGCTCCACTAATTCAGCAACGCACGGCACGCAGCCGCTGAAGCCCGAGCTCATGATGGACGATATCGTCGGCGATTACGCGGATAAGACTGTCACGTTGGAGGATTTCCCGTATTTTGACGCGGGGGTCAGGATGGCGAGTATACATCCGTGCCGGCATGCTAGTGTGATGAAGACGCTGTTGGATCGCGCGGATGCGGCGATGAAGATTCGGTTGGAGAAGGTCAGGAGGGGCCAGCTGGGGGCCGGGAAGGTGGAGGGTGGGATGGAGGGGTTGGTGGATCGCGTGGATAAGGTGACGTTGGGGTTGGAGGAGAGGGAGAGGAGGGGCGTTGAGCAGGGTGCCAAAGCTGGCGGGGCTGGGGCCGGCGGGGATGAGTGGGAGATGTTGCAGGGGGAGAGTGGGGAGGAGGAGGAGGTTGCTATTAGGGTGGATCAGTATTTGGTTGTTTTCTTGAAGGTGAGTGCAAATGTATGGGTTGGATGTTGGATGCGTGTGCTGACGAAGTGTAGTTCATGGCCAGTGTGACGCCGGGGATGAATTATGATTTCACAATGGGCGTTTGAAGATGGGTAAGAGCATGGGCACCCTTTGTTCTTTATATCGGACCACCGTTCGATAGCGGCGTTTTGATCTCTTTTAAGAGATCATACAATATCTTCAGTCTTGCCCAAAGACCGCCGCGACACGGGGTAGCCACCAGACGCATTATTTGGGACTATTTGGGCGGCATCAGCATCGGCGTTCAGGCAGATATTCAGAGATCGAGAATTACGACGTCTCATGAATTGGCTGGCGAGGCGTTCGAAAGCAATATTCCACGAGTAAACTGAATATTTAGACCCATTTAAGATCTTTCACCTGCCATCATCTTTGTCCCTTCGCAAGTATAGGGTATCACAAACTCAGACCACAACAAAACCCACCATCCCTCCTCTCGCCAGTTATCCAGCCTCTTCCATAATCACTCAAAATACCCACTCCCCTCCCCCCACCATCGAACCCATCCGCCACATCATCCTCCCCGTTGTCGAAATACTGCTCAGCATCATAATCATCCCCTTCTTCATCATCAAACTCATCATCTACGACTTCGTCGTCATCTTCTTCCTCCCCGTCCCCCCCATCCCCACCCCCCTTTCCCCTTCTTTCCCTTTTTCTCTCTCAGCGGCGACACCTTCCATGATTTCCGCCTCCGTGGGGTCGAGTTCGATTTGTTCCCATCCTGGATTTCTTTTTGGTGGATTGTTGGTTGCGGTGGTGTTGGGGTTGTGGGAGGCGGCGGGGGCGGCGGAGGAGGAGGTGGGGAAGGGGGAGGGTTTGGCTTTCTTGTCGTATCGAGGATCCAGTACGCTCCATAACGAGCGCGGGAAAAACTCTAGTGCTGTAACGGATTGGAATCAGCCAATTGCCCGCCCCCTTGCACGCGAGAATTGAATGAAGGCGGGGGGGAGGGGGTGGGGAATAGTGGTGGTGGGTGGTGAGCTTACCATAAGTCCTATACCCCAACCTCAGCCCCGCCCTCCCTTTCCCCTGTCCACCATGATCTTTCCGGCTCTGGCTCGTATACCGCTGACTGTATTTCCCCACTCCACCTCTGAACGGGTCTGTGACTATCTCTTTCTTCTTGCCCCTACTTTCCCCTCCCCTCCCTTTCCCCTTCCCTTCTTTCATCTCCCCAACCGTCATGTAAATAGGCGAAGCATGCACCTCCCTTCTAAACCCCATCCAACACTCCAACTGCCTCGTCTCCACCGCATCCAATGGTTCTGGGCAAGGGACGTGGGGGTCGTAGGAGGAGGGGAACCAGTAGCGTGGGTCTTCCATGTCGCTGGGGGGGTCGTCAACGCGGTCCGGATCTGGGAGGGCGGTCGCTGTTGTTGTGGTTGTGGGGGAGGGGGGAGGTTGAGCGCTGAGGAGGGGGTTTTGCGGGAGGTGGAGGTGGAGGTTTTGGATTTGCGGGACTGGGGGTAGGCGGAGGGGAGGCCGAGAGGTTGGCGGGTTTGGTAGTTGCGTGGGGGACCGGGCATTTTGGAGGGGCTGGGTTGTGGATTGTGGATGGGGAGGGTTTGCGGAGCTGGGAGCGATGCGATGAGGGACTGTGTAATCTATAGACGCGCTAGTGAAGGGAGGGAGTAAAATACGACGGAAATCTGGTGTGAGGCTTTCTTCTCTCCCTCTGGTCCGCAGCAATTGCTCTATCGCGGACGAATGAGGCTATTTTGTGCCTACCTCAGCTCAAAAATGCTCTTACCAGGAGGATGAGCATGGTCTCACTTCAATTTGGCCTTGAGTCGTGGGTTTGCCATGGCTGCGAACCCGATGGTAAATGATTTTCGATGTAGAGGTCATCGAGCTATTGTCTTGGTTCACAAGCTATGAAGTGACACTCTCCTCAATGAGTCATGGCTAGAAGAGAAAGACAGTCTTCAGCGTCCAACATCGAACTATCACCGACGAGATGTTGGTAACTAAGATTAGTATCGCCTATTTCTGTGTCTTGGATACCATTTCAAGCGCGCTCCACAGATACAATAAAGGTCGAGAGACCCACCGTGGGACCCTCCGACCAGACTCCTGGTACAGGCTTGCATACTGTGATTTAATTCGCCATGGGCTCAAAAATTCTCCTTCTCATGGGACTTGCGTTAGTCTTGCTCAATCCAGCTGCTTCTCTGCCCTTCGAGATAGCCAACAACGACCACTCTTTGAGCATCTCGACTGGTGATATAGCTAATCTAGATATCACAAACTCTACACTCTTAGACAGTAACGGACAATATTTTACGAATCTTACAAAACCTGAGACCTGGTCCACCTGCTATGCAGCAGACGATCCCGATTTCACCCCCACAATCCCGGGATTCGACTACCAAACCTGCAATCAGAGGCTATACGAGATAGCTGGCCATCTGAAGTACGATCAAGTCGAGCAGTGGTGGAGCGAAGGCGGTAAACCTTCGCCGCAATACCCGTCATCTCAGGTCGCTGGGATCAGTCGGCGCCAAGATGGATGCTCTCTGCTCGTGATCTCCTCTCTTGTCCTGGATCAATTGGTCAAGCAGGTTCCACGAGGACCGTTTGGACTTCCAATTGAATGGAAAGTAGACTGGGGCCCAAGACGTGGCAAGTATATTGAGAGGAATATTGATTCGGCGCGCTGGGGAGATGTCATTGATGGATTTCAAAACGTTCTTGAGTGCGTGAATGATGGACTTTCAGGACATAAGATTATAGGTGCGTACGCAAACCTGTGTTTGAGTCTTACAGCCTTCGTAATGTGATCCATGGTCAAAACATGCTGACAATGAGGGTGCGAGTATAGGCAGTGGAGGGACACTTCATGTTTTTGTTTTTCCAGCTGGCAAAGGCGTGACAAAGTTCGGCCAGGTAGCAGACCCGACTCTCGGCTTCATTCATACCCTCTTGTAGCAGCAGCATTAAGTCTTAATACATCCTGCGCATTTTCGTCAAGCGCGTTGATTAAGCACGTAGTCGAGCCTCATCAACAAATCTCCACCGTAGTCCACTCAGGTAATTAGTCTTCTATTCTGTGACCGTTAGACAGTGATCACCCATACTCACATGAGTTCTGCAATAGATTCAGACAAGTCTGCATTTTAGGCACAGCGATTGATTTCAGCAAACGAATACGAGCCGAACACCTCGGCACACTTCCGTGAGTCACAGTGTTTAATACATTGTGTGTCCTCTACGATTGCAACCCACTTCGCACTTTGTCTCTCGAGCCCGTTCTGCTGCTCTAGAAGTAATTGAATACAATGTCACAACCAAGAGTCCTCGTTGTGGGTGCCTCAATCGCAGGCCCCATGGCAGCCTACTGGCTCGCCAAAGCAGGAGCCCACGTCACCGTCATCGAACGCTTCCCCAAACTACGCACGAACGGCCAAGCCATCGACATCCGCACCACCGGCGTTACCATAATGCGAAAGATCCCAGGTATGGAGACCGCAGTACGCGCCAAGATCGTCCAGATTGAGGGAATGAGCCTACTCCGCGACAATGGCCGACCCTACGGTACAATCAGGGCAACTGGAAATCCCGACCAACAATCCCTAATCTCAGAATACGAGATCCATCGCGGAGATCTGGCAAAGATTCTGGTGGATCTGAGTAGGGAGAAGGGCGTGCAGTATGTCTTCGGCGAGCAAATCGCTTCGATGAAACAGGTTGATAATGATGGACCGGTTACCGTCGATTTCGTGAACGGCTTTGCAACTGCAGAGTACGACCTCGTTGTCGCTTGCGATGGCGCGACCTCAAGGACCCGAGCGCTAGGGTTTGGCGGCGGTGTTAGAGATTATATCGCACCAGTCAACTCCTGGGCGGCTTTCTTCTCCATCAAGCAGGATCTTATCAATGGGAGTAAAGTAGGCCATGGGTACACCGCTGTTGGAGGGCGCTTTCTCGCTGTTGGAAACGATCCGGAAGGTGGGAATCAGATTACCCTGATGGGTATGCATCCCCGCAATAAGCGTGATTTGACGCTGCCGTTTCGCAATGCTATGGCCGAGGGCGAAGACGCTCTCAAACGCTTCATTGCTCAGCATTATAAGGGCGCTGGGTGGAAGACGGACGAGGTGATGGAAGCTATGTTAGGTCCTGGTCTAAAGGGTTTCTACGCCAGCGAGATCGTCCAGGTCAAAGTTCCCAGCTTGCACAAAGGACGCTTTGCCCTCGTTGGTGATGCAGGATATGCACCTGGCCCGACTGGCACGGGCACCACGCTCGCCATGACTGGCGCATACGTTCTGGCTGGCGAGATCAATAAACATCAAGGCGACCTTGCCACTGGCCTGAAAGGTTATGAGGAGCGCATGAGGCCTATCATTGATGATATGCAGAAGATCCCGATCGTGATACCTCATGTTGTTGCGCCGCAGACTGCTTGGGGGCTTTGGCTCAGAAACACTATCTTTGCTTTCATTGCGTGGACGAATGTTCTTGAATACGCCCAAAGATTTCTCGGCAGCGCCTTCGCTGATAGTGATAAGTATGACCTACCGCACTATGAATGGGTGGCTTGATATTCTCGAGGGGCTAGCTTAGTCTCAGTAAATTCTCAGGACTATCACGAGGCTATGATGAGATCACGGCGAATATATCGACGACGACGACCCGTTTTGCGGGTTGGACACGGTCGGATTTGCGGTCACAAACGACTCTGATACTTCCTCTTGCTGCACTTATCAGCTCGAAGAGACTGGATGACACGCTTTGTGGCCCCAATTCTGCAGCACTCACTAGTATGAGCAAAGTTGATGACACGCTTGTGCCCTCGACCAAACACAAGTCTGCTGTTACATCGATGAGCCGGAGTCAAAGCGTCTTTGCACATTTGGCTTAGGACTGGCCATGGGGGAGTTCGGAATGAGGTCCAGACTCGACGGAGACTCTCATCTAGAAGCATCTTCTAGTCAGGTACGACCCGGTCAAAGGTCCCGTCATCGTTTCAAGGCCATTCTAATTTCTGTAGCGGGCCGGAAGGTGGCGCTTCTATATCTTGAAACTTCATATATCAATCCAACAATCTCATGCAAGACATATGAACGTCAAGACATCTGTTGGTCTCCACAAATCACTCATGGCCAGACCCTCACTAGGATCGTGAGCTTTGGTACAACGAAGATCGTAAATCTTATCTTATACAACTCATACGAGACGATCCGCAGAACCACAGAGGTTGAGGAAGCGTGGGTACTTGGAGAAAGAAGGTAGGATCCCCCAGTGAAACACCTACCAACGATTTAGGGTGCAGTTAGCTCATGGTTTAGGCAAGTCACACCAAAGTCTTTGTATAAGCGTACAAATGAGATTCTCGGCTCCTGCCGTCCATCGAAGGCTTTCAGACCAAGGCACTTTTCTACCATCATGGCAAGCATGGATCTGGTCCGTTTAGCAAGAATTATGTGCTAAATCTGTTCGCCACCACGTGTTTCATGCTTTCTGGACATGAAAGAGGTGGTCTCTGCGAGCCCAAATCCCTGCGACTTGATACGCAAGAACGGCAAGAACCATGCGAACGGCCGGAGAATTGAAGATGGCTTGAACCGTGCTCTTTCACGCATTGGTGTCTTGGAACCCCGCGAATCTTGTTCGCATAAGACCTCAATCTTCCGAAAGTGTTTTGATGCATTATTCATTTATCCACTTTCACTGTCACTCTTGTGCGCCATTGTTGAAGAGCCCACACCCTGAGAGGGATGCATCATCTCCCGCTGCATTGACATGTCTGCAACAGCAGTTGCTAGTCCGAGCCCAACTCATATATGGAATCCATGGGAAGACCTACCATGGTGGCAACGCGGCAAATACCCAGTTGTACCTCCTCCACCTGGCATCACCGCCAACCTAGTGGACCCAGATTCGAAAGTAAAATGGGGTATCCTCACGCAATCCGTATGCATCACCATCGCCACAATCGTCATAATCCTCAGAATGTACACAAAGATATCCATCCTGCGTGTGCCAGGTTGGGAAGACTGGACAGCACTAGCCGGCTACTTCGGATTCCTCGGCCTCGTCAGCGTCATCATCGCTCTCGACCATCACGGCAACGGTAAACACCGCTGGGATATCACAGGCGACAGCTACACCACCTACCTCCGTCTCACATATATCAACGAAGTAATCTACGGGCCCATCATGTGCACCATCAAGATCTCCATCTTGCTCTTGTACTTGCGGATTTTCCAACCAGTCCGCGGCACTTTCATCGCTTTCCACCTCATCCTCTGGGCAAATGTCGCCCTCTATGGTGCCGGCGTCTTCACCGAGATCTTTCAGTGTGCGCCGATCAGGAAGATATGGTATCCGCTGTGGCCGGGCAGTTGTATCGACCAGAAGGCGGTACAGCTTGCGAGTGCGGGGTTCAATTTGGTATCGGACTTCGCCATCTTAGTATTGCCTATTATTGCGGTATGGAATCTCAATACGACTAGAGATAGGAAGCTCGGGCTTATCATTATTTTTGGCTTTGGGATTGGGTGAGTGCCTCTCTGTCAAATCGTGGTTCATACCAATCGATCACGTTCTCTCCGGCTCCAAGAATGGGCTGACAGTAGCTTACAGTGGCTGCATCGCGAGCTGTGTTCGACTCATTGTAGTCACCGAGAACAAGTGGGCCGGTGACACAACTTGGACGTTGTACGGGCTCAATCTCTTAACGTATGTCTACCCTCTCCCCCTCCCCTTCCCCTCTCCTCCCTTTTCCCCTCTCCTCCCTTTCCCCAGACCCAACCCGTTCCTCCCCCTCGTCCTCTAACCCCCCTTTCCCCCATAAACTCCAAAAAAAAAAATTAACGCTCCTCCCCCCACAACAGCCTAGCAGAACTAACCTGCGGCATCCTCTGCTCCTGCCTCCCCGCCATCCCCGCCTTCTTCCGCTCCCTCCCGCGCGTCCACATCAACGTCCACTTCTCCAGCGGCAAAACACTCTCGCGCTCCCCCCACTCTGGTACTTATTCCTCTGAATCAGGCTCGCATAAGTATGATGGGAGATCGAGAGCTGTGCCTGGTGGGCTGCATAATACGATTTCTAGCCCTACCTTAGGTGGCAGTGGTGGGAGTGGTGGGGGGACGATGAGGACGAATACGTTGAGTAGTCCTACGCTGGGGGGAGGAGCCCGAGAAGTGGGATGGGAGGGGGCAAAGGAGGCGCGTGGGACGAGATTGATGAGGTGGAGGATGTGTGGAAGGAGGACATTGAGGTGGGGTTGCCGTGTAAACCCGATTATAAAGGCAGCGTCGGGGCCGGGGGTGGGGGCGGGCACAACGAATACGTGGATCGCGGCATGTGGGCCAGAGATAAAGGGGAACGAGACCAGCAATGGGGGAGGTATGATCGCGAAATGGGACCGAAGAGGGAAACGGGACGAAGGAGGGAAGGTCAGAGAGTGGTGGGGGAAAGGGGTGGGGGTGGGGAAGAGTGGATGAGGCCACGGTACGCGATTGAGGATGAAATGGGGGGCAGGGGCGGAGGTAGAGGTAGGGGTGGGGGAGATAGGGGCGGAGGGGATAGGGGTGTGGGGGATAGGGGGGAGGGGGTGGAGGGTACGGTCATCCGATGAGGCAATTACCTAGGGCGAAGGGTGAGGGTGGTATGATATGATATGATATGATTATGGAAAAGATTGTATGAATAGCTTTCCCTGGAGGAATGTATTACTAGCCCCCCCCCGTTTGGCAGGCAAATCAAAGATACCCCAATATCCAAGAAAGCCATTTTTCTTGTCGCGGTCTCGTGCCCTTTCCTCCCTGCTGTCACTGTTGCAAAGCTATCTCTCATCACCCTCATCGGACCAGCCAGCAAAAGGGGGATCTTCTAATTTAGAAAAGGTCGGTCGTTCATAATGCCCTTCCTTCGAGTCACGTCATATTATTGCTGCCCATTTCCCGCTCTTTCCATACCACCAGCACCACCACTATTCCCTCTGACCCCCAAGAATGTTCGGACCTCCAGCCAGCCACAAACCACAACCCATCTAACAGGGGATGGGAGAAGTATCCGTGAGCTGCTGGTAATTCCACCCCCTTACGCTCTTACACCCTTTACCTCCTTACCCCTTTACCCCTATCCCCTAGCCCCTTGCCCCTTACCCCTCCCATTTTCATTTCTACTCTTCGGGCCCTTCGTTCGTGTGTGTCATGGTTTTGTGAAGACTACTGCATTTACCCCCTTGTCTTTTCTTCCCTTTTTTATGGATCGTGGTAAGGTGGAGAGGTGGGGAGGTGGGTGGCTCATTTGTTGGTATTAAAGAGTGGGGGGAAGGGGGGGAGGAAAGGAAGAAAGGAATGGAATGCAGGGAGGGAGAGGCTAGTGCGATAGGATGAGCTGTTCGTAGATGCACGTAGAGGGATGCGTGGAGGAGTGGAGGAAGGGAGGAGGGGAGGAGTGGAGGGAAGGGAGAAGAGTGATAGATTTGGGAGAGAATAGCAAGGTGGTTTTGATGTTGTGTAGGAAAGGGTCAGGGTGTGGTATGAGGGAGGAGAGTACTGGGAGGATGGAGCGAGAGGGGACGTGAGGGGAGGGTTTAGATTGAGGAAAGGGTGTGAGTAGGCAGTGGCATGAGATTTGGCAGAGGAAATTTGGGAGATGTGATGTTAACAAGAATAGTAGCTGAGGATTGAAAAGCTCTCTCTCAGCAATTGAGGGTATCAGTGTTATAAAGAGACTTGGCTTTGTAGTTTTGACTCAAGAATTTCGGCTATGAGGGATCTGAAGTCCATGGTTTGGATTATTGGGTATGTTATGCTGCAAGAAATCGCCTTTGTCGCCTCATATTCCGGTGTAAGGACCTCTGTGTCATTTGGCTGTCGCTCGCAACATTTTCAGATCCTTGGGGACCTGGACGTGGTCCTGATGCATTCGAGAGCAACGAGTTCAGATTCAGACACCCCTCCTGCTGTGTCATTGAAGTCTTGTTCACACCATCTCTTTTCATCAATGACTCCTGCAAGCATCCATCCCCAGGGTCAGGATATTGAGGCGGCCAAATTGGGCTATCCCAATCCCATGGCGCATCGAAACCTATGGTCACATTCACTACTGGAATGAAGGGCCAAGGTTCCCACTTCTGCAGCAGCCCCGACTCCATCGCCACCGACTCAGTCAACCGTACCACGGCTGGCCACCTGTTACTAGTGTCTTCCAGCCTCGTGCTCCACTCGAACTCCCAATATTCCGCCAGGATGGATGCTTTAGCTGCAACCGTTGATAATATTGATTTATCCGTCCAGTTCAACCCCCTCGTGAACGGCGGCATCTGCGCATCGTGGGGATCATAGATTTGGAAGCGGGATCGGAGCCATTCTACCGCGCTCCCATTATTATTATTCCAGTTGTGCAGACAGTAGGGCACGTCCACGGTGTGCACGCGGATCTGCCAGAGGGTGGAGTCCTCGTGAGGGTAGGTAACGGGTGGGTAGCCAGCTTTTATGGCCTCCTCGGTATCGTAGAGGCTGTCATCGGTGCTTTCGATGAACCAGACTGAGTTGGTGGAGAGGGTCGTGTTGTCGATAAGCGCAAATTCATCTTCCAGGCCCTCGCTATCGAGCATGTTTCGGATGTTTTGGTGGGATTGGCCGTGGAAGTCGGGGCGGTCGTGGATCGGGACTACGACGGAAGGGTGCTGGAAGCGGGCGAGGGAGCCGTCGAAGAAGGCATGCTGGACGGAGGAAAGGAGATTTGGGGTAAGAGGGACGTCGGAGTAGGCGTTGAGGGTATCTGGGATGTTGGTGAAGGTGACCATTGTTGTCGATTATGATGCTATGCCTTTATTGTGAGTGTGAGTAGACATCTGGAAGTAGGGGCATTGTGTATGCAGAACAGCGCATTGGCATGGATGATGTGGCATGGATAGACTTGCTTTGAGACACGCAAAGTGCGCTTTTGCTTAGAGCCGTGAGACAGCATCGAAATTGTTGCGCTTGCTCCACTGAGTCAGGCCATTGGGCGATCGCACTCTCAAGAAGGGGCGGGCTTTGACGAGATAGAGCATTCCACCTTCTCTTATAGATTGCGCCTCTGGGAGCGCACTGCGCAAGGGGAGTTGTCTACTCTATGCAGGCAGAAAGCAGCATGGACTGTTGGTCAGAAATCCCACAAGAGCAGCAGCGGGCACAAGGACCAGAGAAGGTAGAATGTCCCCATGAGCGGTGAGTCTTCATGTACATGTCTCGTCTTCTGCGTCTGATCCAATGAAGGCCCAGCAGTGTAGGCGTCGAAGATCATGAGGTACTTGCAGTCAAGCACTTCAGTCATATTGGTTGACTCCTGCTCTTGAACGCACATCCTTCATGCTGCAGGTTTTGATGTTTATGCCATCGTTGCCACAAATATCATGTGTAGACCGCGATTCCAACGGCTTTCGCAAGGTACGGCGATGTGCCACCAATAATTTTCTCGGTCTCCTAACAGGACCCCATATCTCGCACGGCTCTTTCAACATATATGAGTTGTAGTCGCTCGACTGTAGACGCCATCGCAGGTCGGAATCGATTGCGAAAGCATATCGCTGGATTGGGTGGGAATAGAACGTAGAAACAAATTTCGTAGGATCATGAACGCTACTTGTAGAACTAGCGTGCCAAGGGACTGATTCGGTTTAGCGCAAAAGCCTTGGGATTTTCTCAAGAATATTTTTATTCAAATTTGAACGACTTTATATCCTCGACACTTTGGCGAAATGGGTGGATTTTATTCCATGTGCGCTCATGTTCACGACCTAACTTGTACAGTTGATGCGACAGCCTGCTATGGATCTAGTGAACCTGTTTCTTTCGAGAACCCAGATGCGAATCCTGCTATCTCTTTTTCCCTTTTAATTCCAATCCTTTCATCATCAATTTTCTGTTTTGCAGTTGATTCAGGACAAAAGAAAGACAGTATTGAAAATATTATGGTCGGGATGGGCCAAATCAAAACTTGCGCAGTCTACACTCGCTGTATTCAGTCAGATTGAGGGATGCTTTGAATATTGCAGATAAGATGCAACACTCTGGAGCTGCCCATCTGACAAGTCGACCCGCAAGACCGTGATTCTTGCTGTGTATGTTTCTTTCGCGACTTTCTTCCATGGTCGATTCGCGATGGCCGGACGTCAATTAGGGCCAAGCCATTCAAGGTCAACAAGCGATAGCAGGTCCTCTTCTCACTAAGACTGTGGTCTAGACCTTCCGTCAGCTCGTCTTCGAAACGCCACAGATTTTCCACGAGAGCCGCGTTGAAAGTCTACAATAATTCAATGATAGCCCCACCCTTCGTCCTTCAACCACCAAATTCACTCGCATCCGTCTCCGACACTGATTCACAGAACCTGCTTACTAAAGTTCACCAACTAGAGAAGAGAATCAGAACCCGAAAATGCCAAACTTCGACAAATACGCCCAAGACATCCACCTCGAATTCCACGACAACGGCTGCTACCTCGTCTGTCTTCTCGCCACCGGCAGCGATTGGAAAGGCAGCGAAGGCAATGGCTGGAACAAATCTACGCTCAACCTCGACGAGAAAATCGCCAACACCCTCAATGAGAACGGATACGCTGATCTTGGATATAATGACCAAGGCGGTTTTAGTAAGACGTCTCGCAATATCAAACTGGAGGATAACGGGAGACGATTGACCGCGGAGGTGAAACGAGGCGACACTAACGAGTGGAAGCCGAGGTATACTTTGCTGTACCAGCTGATCGCGAATGAGTTTGGGTATCTGAAGTGGGGGACGGGGGGGATGTTTGGATAGGTATGGAATAGATGGTGCGCATTACAAAAGAACATGCTCTTCTTATTGCACCAAGCTTGCAAAGATACCATGAAGAAGCGCGAGAGATGATGAAGTGTGTTTGAGGGGACATGACGATTGCAATATGGTGTAATAACCTGATATCACTTCACCTTCATCAACCCATTGCTCGAGCCTCCTCCCCCCTGCTAGCCGGAATACTCTCGAAACTTCAGATTCCTTTCATGTGTGCCCTATCATTCATATTTGCAACAAGAGATGGCTGTACAACACTTCCATTCGTCATGGGTGCCAAGGATCATAGGGCTGAGACCGACTCTCACCACCTTTCCATTCATTCGTTCTTCCATCAAAGCAACTAGCACGCTATCTGTTCTTGTCACGTTCGACGTCGGACTGTGTATACGCTTCATATCGGTACCATCGTTGAGTAGATGGGGATAGGAGAACAGGTGAGGCGTTGAGAATGGGGCATTGGCCCTTCTTTCGCAGTCACCATGCAAGATGTCTTGTATCTAGAGTTGATTTTGACTCGGAATACGTGCTCATCCGTGCAGCTGACATAAATGATCTTCCTCACCTATGTCCTACCACTACTCTTGGCACTCGAATTGCGATGCATGTTTCTTCGGCCAACGATCGTGCAGTATAGTCACTGATCCTGGGTTGGCGCTTCAGCTAAAGTAAATTTACTTCCTTGCCTGTTGAGGATAAGTCATTTCTAAGATCTTGAGAACAGATACGAGCTCTGGTGTTAACGCCCTTAAGTTGTCCTCGCCCGTCTTGATTCGGACCACATTTTGGTGAAGTTGGCGACAAGAGCTACGAGCGGATCGGAGGTGCCTAACTTTGCCACATCCAGTCTTTGTCTCTGCTGAATCTCTTTGCTCCCAAGTTCTCGCCTTTTCCGGCGTTCGTTGATCAAAGAAAGAACGGGATCGTGCTTCTCGGTCTCCAATTTTGCTCCGGCTTTGAGAAGAGCTTGCATCGCGCGCTCGCGCTTCTGGCTGGCGGCCAGGTACAGGGCAGTTTGCTCGTCCACGCCAGTCTTCTCAAGATCAGCTCCCCCTCAAGTAACAGGGTTACCATCTCTGTATGACCTTGGTATGCAGCGGCGTGAAGTGCGGTTTTGCCCCAGGTATTCATTACGGCGTGATCTTTAGCGAGACCGCCGAGCACGCCGTGCAACACCTTTTCGCCCAAGCCATTGTATTTCTCCATCTTCTCATTATTGGGGATATTTACGTCGGCTTCGAACGCGAGGAACAGATCTACAGTCTCCAAGCCATTGTACCATGCAGCTTTGTAGATCGCGGTTTCTCCGTAACGACCACGACCCATGCTGGGATCTGCGCCATACTGCAGTAAGAGCCTCACAATATCAGAGCGAACATGACCGGCAGCCTTGTAGATCGCACTTTGGCCTTTCAGTGTCAACGTATCCCTCCCTGCGCCTTCTTCTAGTAGTAATTGCACGATGCTCGTGAAGCCTCTGCATGTGGCGAGATAGAGTGGTGTTTGCTTTAGAGAATCTTTAGGGTTAATAGAGGCACCGTAATCCAAGACTAATTGCACAATGCTGAGTTTTGGCTGACTGCTAGCTAGGTGAAGTGCGGTTCGATTGCGACATCGGATGAGTCTTGCACCATACTCTAAAAGTAATCTCGCAATTTCCACTTGACCACTACTGACTACCTGGAATAGAACTGGGTCGCCTGGTTTACCGTCGTACCTGTTCCTTGTGTCAACATCGGCTCCTCGCCGTAGAAGGAGATGAACAACATCAAGCCAGCCCGCTGAAGCGGCCCTATATAGTGCTGTTGTTTCTAGGAAAGAATGCCTCTTTTGTTCAGTAACAGGATTACCATCACTATCCCGGGTTTGAAATGACTCCGTCCATGACTTGGGACCTCTGGATTCAATGTGCTCGCCGAGCCCAAGGAGTCGTCTGACCTGCCTCAAATCGCCTTCAGCAGCCGCTTCAGGAAGCGCATCATTTGTAAGTAAATGCCTTGGACGATGTGGTGCTGGCGAAGGCCGCTCATGTCCTGGCCGGCGATATTTCCAGATAATGTCAGATTTTGTCCGCTTTCCTATGAGGATCTCTGGACGAGTACGTTGCGGAAGCTCAGTAGGATCTTCTGATGGTATATAGAGGCTTTTGGAGGCCTTGCCGCGATGTGCAGATTCAGAGGATTTCTTTGGATCACTATTGGTAGTATGTGATTGCTGCGTGGAATTGGAGCTCATCGCTTTGTCTACGTATGCTAGATCATTTTTGCACAAGTTCAAACGGGGTATGGAGAATTTGTGCCCATCTCGATCCACGATGATAACGAAGAGCTCATTATTGACTATCTCAGTCCCATTCAACACCCCCTTTTCAATGTTTCTTCCCTTCGAGTCCTGCCATACACGAGCTAATGGACTCTCGGGTAACGGGCTAGGAACAAAGACGTGATCCGCATTTGTATAATCTTCAGTCACTCCCGAGAGACTTGTCTTTATGTGAGTAATGTCATTCCGCTCTTGTTCGGCACCTATTGGCAAATTTTCGTTTGAAGTCATTGTCTCCTCGTCCACCGGTTGATGGGCATTATCTACCTTGCCCGCAGCGGGACTAATTATTGTCTCAGCGTCGGAGTCACTTTTATCGTCAGCTATGCTCGATGGTCGCGGCTGAGATGTGAGCATTGGAGACAGGACTTCATCCTCCGAACACGTCCGCAAAGAGCCACTTGCGTCGAGTAGACCACATTCACTCAGCTCCTCGATTCTGAGGAAGATAGCAGATTCATGCTCTTGTAGCACTCGACTCGTGAAACCGGCCTTGTTCAGTTTGCTTCGGAAGGCTTTCCATACAAATTTCTCGTCATCGGTGTAGTCTGACAGATATGACTCTTTATCCTCTGTGAGGCGAACTTCAGCAAACATTTGATCTATTTTGATCATCAAATCCGGTAGAAAGTCTTTGATGTCTTCCACATTCTGCTCGATACGTCCTAATGAGCCCAGACCAACCGTATGCAGGAACTCAGAGAGCTGAGCCGTGTAGAAGGCAAGATTGCCTCTGTATTCCAGATAATCTTTTTTTGAGAAGCGCAGTCGATCAATGAGCCTTTTATTCGGAGTTGCGAGGCTTTTATGCTTAGAGATAAGGTCCGAGAGAGGTTCTAGGGACGTCTGGCAATTCTTGAAATGAACCGCGAACTCTTTCGCAACCCTGTCATCCTTGCGAAGCGGCGACTTCGGATTCTTAAGCTCAGTTGCGACGCCCTTGAGAAGCACACAGAGACCCTGAGAAACGTTGGAGGCCTCCGAAAAGTCATCTGGTGCATGTCGACAATTTTGAACAGTGACTTTCGCGGCTTTAAGTACTAGATAAATATCGCTGAAACTGCAACCAAATGATATGGCCGATGCTTGCTTCAATCAAACAACATGTAGGAGCTGGTATCACGTCGAGGAAGAGAATCATGTGTACCGCTTTATACTACAGCAGAATAGTAAAGAAACAGGCAGCGGTGAGGAAGCCCCCGACAAGCTCGATCCTGTTTCGTAAGCTTGAAAAGCCTCGTCATCCCACATTCCACCCTACAGAGTGCCTGACGGATTACTGACCGCCAAGACTAGATTAGCCATGGGTCTACCTTACGGTAGTCATACCAAAAGAGGGCGCAGAGTCCATACCCGAAAGAGTGATAGCCAAAAGCCCACAGCAGCCTAGAGCTGCACTAGACAGAGCGCTTTGGGCAGCCCAGGCGACTATCCGGTGACCGAGAGTTACATTATCAGAAACTTGACTAGGCACTGGGGGACATCTGGTGACATCTCAACAATATCGCTCTCTTTGTGGTCTCGGGTGGCCGGCATCCGACCACACCGAGGCCAATGACTGAAAGCACCACCATGAAAACACCTAGTCGGAAAACAAGACCTTCTTCAGCTAAGGTTTCGATGGCCACTATTCAGAGCCCCGACCATGACCACCAACCATTGTTGAGACAATTGACCAACATCTTTTGGCCTCTCTCTCATGTATTCGGACTCTTATCTCATTCCATTCCATCCCTACGGAAGGTTGTGCTATTAAAAGCTAGAGGCAGAAGCACAACAGATATCTGGACGACTTTGTAGGTCGCGAGATCAGTAGACGGCTAGGTAGGTGAAACGATGGCCCCGAAACGGTGGCTTGTTGGGAGGTCAGCATCGGTGAATCCAGGGGGCAATTGAGCAAATCATGGGATCAACATGTCGCTGACACGATTGAGGAGTAATGGATAATCATATACTTGATAAGACTAGGTATTCAAGACTCTTGACCCTTGATCGTTCTTGTAATCTCGGAGAGCCGATGGCTCTGTATCGAATGTCAAAAAGATGACTTACCTAAAGGCAGCACATCAGGCGTGCCAAGGATTGTAGGGCTGAGACCGAAAGCTCCCACATTGCACTTCTGCCACACATTCCCTTCCCCCATTGTCGCAGCTAACAAGCCTTTGCTGCTCTGTAGCCTCAGCTTTCAGCTGTCAGCCCATACCTGAGATCCTGAAATCTGTGCCATCGCCGGACGAGATTCAGTGGTCGAACATGCAGAGCAACTTTGGCGGCGGAAATTGTGCTTCATGAGGAGGAGGCCGAACCTCGTCCATCTGACTGAACCAACGGCAAATCTTGTTGTCATACCAAATAGGCGATAAGAGTGCAGCACCGATGTCGAAGAATGAGCCTCAATCGAGATATTGTATTCATCAACGGTTGCTCGACTTCGACTTCGGCGTATCTGTCCCAGATCCAAGCACAGTATTCGAGTCTCTCCAAAAACCCACTGGACTATTTCCCCGCAGCTCCGGACGATCGGGTCCAGCATACAACTCATACCTCGGGCTTTCGCCATGCATTTCATATTTCTGGCCATCGGGACTGGAAAGTTCGATCACTGGTTTTTCTCGGATGGTCTCTGAGGGTGCCTCCACCAAGCCCTGTCCCGCAAGTTCCGCCTTTCGATAGTCTGTCGAATCTGGCTCCGCATTCTTGGCTTTGAGTATTGCAGCCTTTCGAGCCCTTCGCCACAGCCAAACCGCAAGCATTAGGATCGCTAGGAAGACAACCATTCCAATGACGATGCCGGCTATGGCTCCTGCGCTCAGTTTGCTAGACTTAACGTCCTGACTTTGGGACTCTGCTGAAGGTAATGTAACAATATCTTCTTCCGTATCAAGGTCTGGAAACTTCGCTTGCGCAACCGAAAAGTTTCTATATTCATAGTTGGCGATAACGTAGGCCTCCTGGAAGAACGTCCGGCCAAGTGTATACTGCGTTGCGTTGTCCGCTCGTCGAAGTGGAAAATATCGAGTCTCATTCGACAAGCTCGGCTGTTTCAACTGCAGGTCGAAACTCGAGTACTGCAAGGTGATGGACACAGTTTGTGCAACTCCGGAGCTTTGTGCGGAGGGACTGAGACTGAAAACCACACTTGCATTCTGTGATTTCAACGATTGGTGGAGCGTGTCATTGACGAAATACATATTGGCTGTTTCGTTGTAGGTGAGACCAAAAGCGGCTTCAAACGTTTGACAGACGTCCTTAGGCAACCAAATGTCAGGCACGAGCGAATCCAGCAGCGCATAGATGCCCGATTCAAGTGGACCTGCCACAGCCTGATTGCTAAATTGGATTCTCTGGACGGAGACAAGAAGATCGCGGCTTAAATCTGGTCCAAAAGGGAAGGAAACGTTGTTCGGGACGAATCTGGAGGCATCATATCCTCCCAAAGTGAGGCTGCCATAGGCTGGAGGTTGAGCATAGGATGCCCCAGCCGTATACCCCCAGGTGAGACTAGGAATAATCGCCTGGGTCTTGAGATCAGCCATCAAGCTTGGGGTGGAATTTCCAAGAGACGAGGTGTTGATCGCGTTCGGGCTCAGTCCTAGGGCCCCGAGATAAAAATCCTTGGTGGCGACACCCTCAATGACCTGATGACTCGCGACTAGCGAGCTGTCGGATGCAAGGCCAAGCTTGACGCTATCATATCCAGAACTTGTGTTGGCACTATACCCTAATGGCTCCTCGGCAAGCATCGCCAGCGTATACAGCCCAATATCCGAATATGTTGACGAGTTTCCTTGGTAAAAGAACTCGCCTCGAGATTGGCGACAGTCGACCGGATCGTCCTTTGTACAGCCTTCCGGAAGGACTGGCCATATCGCATTGCTGGATGTGGATGGTAGCAGCCTGATGCTTCCTCCCGGTGTGCCGACGGTCGTCCAAAATGTCGACCATGGGCCATCGTTTCCATCCCTGTACAACAATCAGCACCGTTCTTCAATGCGATGACTTCGCCTTTGTATGGAGCAAATACCAATACTGGCTTGGAGGTACGACCAGTGGCTTCGTCCGGTTGGAGGCTCCGATTGCGAACTCAACAAGCCAGGTCAAGCTCACGCAGGCCAGGAGTAGGCGTCGAAGAGAGATCCAATCCATCGCTGCTTATGCGCACCTGGCGCTCCTTGCATAAACCCACAAGGGAAAGCAATATCTACGTCTGCGGGGAAGTCATAACCTATATCTCCTGAAGCACAAATCTCACCACGAAATTCGTGCAGCGAGAATTGAGGCTGAGCAGACCCCCTAAGCGGCTCAGCGCCGCTGGACTTCGGCGGCTGGATAGTACCAGGCTTTGCTCGTTTCAGGTTGATCGGCGCAATCTCCCGGGGATTGCACAACGCTAAAGGGGCTTGACGACGCCCGAAGGATTCTGGAAACCCTAAAAGGAGGATCGAAATGTGGAGCAGATCTTGAATTGAAGACTCTTTCTTCTTGCATGTCAGGACGGGGAATTACGTCTGCCTTAATGAAGCCAATGATACGAATGCCGATGCTCGCTTTGTTCGCTCTTCAAGATTGATTGTGAGTAATTGCCAAACGCTGGGCATGTAGTCGGTCATGCTGTCCGCGCTACAAGCCCGAATGTCTTCCAAATGTCCCACCGCGAGAAGCAACCTCTGTAGGTTACTACGCACGCGCAACGTTCTATACACGCGAGCTGCTGGGATCGGCATCACGATATCACTCTGGAGTCTGTGAGACTCAAAGAAAGTGATTTCCGTCCGCGTTCTGCCTGCTCTTCTTCCACTGAACGAACACGTTCCAGCGAATGGAAAATCTCCAGCGTGAAAATACTCTATGGATGAGCAATTGTCTACAGTATCACAATCTGCGAGTCTTGGAGCTACACCTCAGAGGTATAGTCGTATGAAGGATAAGCAATGCTCATCTTTCTCATGAACGTTCAGCCCGCTCAGCAAGGGCCTCCGAGGACGGCGTTTAAACGATCATCGGCCTCTTGCAAAATAATTCCAGCATCGTCTCGAGGGTAAACAGAGTTGAATGGATCGAACTCTCGTATACAGAGTTACGACGAGATGTGGATAAATATAGGAGCTGGCGCTTGAGGCTGAGCTGTGAGGCACAGCGCAATGCAAAACATTTGTTTTGAGGGCTTGGCACGTTTCATTGTCTCTAAACGCCAGCACTATGATTTTAACAAGACACTAAGACCAGCTAAGGAAGGCGAAGGATTTCGATGGATCTTTCAGCCTCCACTCGTCAGGTCCAGAATCGATGCTTGAGCGAATAGGATGGGGGGAACACCCTCGTATCGCTTCCACACCACTACTGCAGGAGAGAGTTTGCCAGGAACCAGTTTCAATAATAGTGAGACGGCCCATTCATAATCTATCAAGCCCTATACAAGATGTCGAAGGATCAATAGAGATGAGCACCTACGAATGGCAGAAACTCACGCCGAAAGCTTCATGCCGACCTGATTTGCATACGCCGCATACTGCAATATTACCGCGTGGTGCCCGGGATCCTTCACTCATCCTATACATGCATTGGATCTTCTTCCTATCTCAGCTTGACATTCTCAATTTCAGCTCCCAATTGAGGCGAGAGAGCTGTACGGAGCTGGCCTCTCTTATGCGTCCTTGAAGCCCAGGAGCAAGTTTCAATCATTGCCCTCCTTCCCTTCCCCTGGATCGCTGAGCCGTGATGTTGCTTTATGTGATCTTTCTATATGTTGGATACGCTCGGGCACTGTATACAAATTGTGAGCCTTGCCCAAAAGTGCCTCTGCTTCGTCTGTCACTGCTGATCAAAGCCTCACAGCTACGGTTAAAAGTGTGAGCCCGACAGGCGCACCAAGTCAATGTAGTAGCAATTGCACCGCTGTCGTTGGAGCAATTGTCACCCTAGGATGGAAGCCCAAAAGCTTAGCCCATACTATAACCGTTGAGACCGAGGTGCTAGTAGTGAATACGCGGAGGAACACAACTAGAACGACGACCATCACTAACACAGACGTTGACTTGACCAACTTTACAACCCCAGCAAATGTCAACAGTGGTGGCACTAAGACCGCTCTCCTAACCCAGCCAGCCCCTACTGGTACCGGCACCACAGTCTATACGATGTGAGCGAGCTTTATCATCGCTGTTGGGTTTTACTGATGAATTAGTACTTTCCCTTCGTCATACATTGTATACAATTCGGGATACCTTCTTGAAGGACAATTGTCGACCACCACTCAGCGCACGTCTACATGTCTTCGTCCCAGCAGTTCCGGCGGAGACGATGTTCCCTGGCCGTCGCATCCACCGATCTTAGATCTCCCGAACCACCCGAAGGTTGCACAGATATATCAGGAAGACCCAGCCGAGGTTGCAGAGCTTGTGCAACAAGATCCAAAAGGATGGGTGTTTGATTGGGAGAATTTGGCTTACGTAAACGATGAGGATTACACTGCAAACTTTTTCAAAGGTCTGTTTCCGGACGTCGGTGCTATGTCTCAATGCAGAGTGATAATGGGGATACTCGAGGCGCCCGCGACGTATAACAACGTAGCACTGTACTTGACTCATACGACGTCTTCGACAGAGGGTGATGACGAACCTACGAGTATTGCTGAGCAGCCAAAATCTACCCCAGCCATCCCCACGCCCGCGAATGGAGATGCTGGCCCTGGAGACTCCCCAGCCAGCATTCCAGCGGCAAACAAGCCAGGAAACGTTCCACCAAGCCCGTCACCAACTCCGTCTCCAGAACCGGAAGCCACAGCGGCGGATATCGTCAACCAGAGTTCTTATCCACATCTTGCGTCGTTCATAATGAACGGCCTTGGGAAGTCGAGTCCCGAGACACCGGCTCCAAAAGCTGACAACCCCACTGCGTCCGCTTCGCAACCAGAGCAACAACCAGGGCGAGAACCACAGCAACAGCCACAGCAGCAACAGCAGCAATCGAACCAGCAACAGAATCAGCAACAGCCACAGCAGCAACAGCAGCCACAGCAGCAATCGAACCAGCAACAGAACCAGCAACAGAACCAACAATCGAACCCGCAATCGAACCAGCAGTCACCACAGCAACAGCCGCAACAACAGCCGCAACAACAGCCGCCTGTCATCCCCTCATTCACTATTGGCAGCCAAACAATCGCTGCAAACAGCCAAGGGCAATTTGAGGTTGGGGGCCAGCAATTGAAACCCGGTGGTGTGGTATCAGTATCTGGAACTCCCATATCCCTAGATCAACAGGGCACAGCAGTCGAAGTAGGCACGAATGTACAAAAGATTGCGCCTGCAACCCCAGCGGCTCCCCAATTTACTGTCAACGGCCAGACTGTTGCAGCGAATTCCCAAGGCGCCTTCGTGGTTGGAGGACAAACGCTGACGCAAGGCGGTATCGTATCGGTCTCTGGCACGCCTGTATCCCTTGATCGGCAGGGCACGGCTGTTGCGGTCGGAGGAAACGTCCAGCAGCTTTCGCCGCCATACACACCACCTTCTATTCCTAGTTTCACATTTGGCAGCCAGACAATCACTGCCAATTCTGCAGGTAATTTCGTCGTTGGTTCCCAGACCCTGGCACCAGGTAGTGCAGTCACGGTATCTGGAACACCGATATCTCTGAATTCGCAGGCGGGGAATGTTGTCGTTGGCGGAACGAACACGCAAGTATTGTCACCAACCGCAGCAGCAGCTTTCATGTTGGGTAGCCAAACTATCACCGCAAATCCTCAAGGCAATTTTGTCGTAGGAAATGGACAGATATTAACGCCAGGCGGTGCCGCTACTGTGTCCGGTACGCCAATATCTCTAGATGCGAAGGGCAGTAATGTTGTGGTGGGGACGAGCACACAACTAATATCACAACTATCTACACCCGCAGCGGCGGCTTTTACACTCGGCTCACAGACCATCACTGCTAATCCAGCTGGCAATTTTGTGGTCGGGAGTCAGACGCTGACGAAGGGAGGTGCAGTCACTGTGTCTGGCACGCCCGTGTCTTTGGATTCGCAGGGAGGTAGTGTCGTGATTGGAGGTAGTACTCAGGCGGTAAGTAAATCCTCGCCTACTGGAATCAGCGGAAGCGCTGGTGCCGGAGGAAGTGGGGGTGGGAACGGAGGTGCAGGTAATGGCACGACGTTTTTCACAGGTAATGCGGTGCGGACTAGTAGCAAAGGGATTACATGGGTGACAGCTTACCTCTGCTTTATTGGGGTCTGGGCCTGGAGATAATGGGCTTCATGCAGTGAAATAGTCGCGAATATGGGATACGATATGATACCTCATGTACATAACTCTCGTCGAAAAGAACATAGAAAGTAATCTTCCAACCTCAGACCTATCGAACACAAGGAGAAAGCCTTCTCACTTAGCAGAACTCCTCAATGCCGCTCCTCCACCCCCCCCCTCCGTCGAATCACACCATATCTGATTCCACTTCACCTCCCAACCCCCTCCCCCAAAGCAATCCCTTCCCCCAACGTAACATGAGAAGCAAACCACTAAACCCTCCTCTCCCCCTCCCCTTCCCTCTTACCCACAACCCTCCTCCCCACCCCCGCCATAAACATAAACCCAAAACCCCCTCCCCCCAACGGTCTCTTTCCGCCAAAATTCCCCGTACACCCATGCAAAACATGGTGAAACTCCTGAATCACCTCCCTCATCGTGAAACTATCCGTGTCGCTCGCGTCTTCGGTGCGGATGTCGACGGTGCAGGGTGCGGTTTTGTCGTGGTAGGTTTTTAGGGGTTTGCGGGGGGTGGAGTTGGGGTCGGAGGAGGAAGGGGTGGGGGGGGTAAGTAACGTTTTTATCGGGAAAGGGAACGGCGTTTAGGATCCCCGATACCGCGTCGCAGGGTGTGAGGTTGGGCGAGGTCGTGAGCGGCGTTAGGAAGTCCGGGGGCGTGAAACAGGTTAGAGAGCGCGCGGGGATTGGGGGGAGTTGGCGGCGGTGGCGGAGTGGGGTTAGGTGCGGGGAGGAGAGGGAGGGGAGGGAGGGAGGGGAGGGAGATGGCGGTGGTGGGTAGGGTGAGGGTAAAGAGGAGGAGGAAGAGGGTTGTGAGGTTTTTGGATGGGGATGGGGGGAGGTTGGGGGACATTGTTGGGTTGGGGGCGGAGGGGGGGTTTGGTGAGGCTGAGGTCGGTGGGTGGGATTGAGCGGTGGTGAGGAGGGGAGGATGGTGGTTGAGCAGATTTTATGTGGTGGTTTGGGAACTCTTATATTGATGGCTGTCTGCGGTGATAGTTCAGCTTTGGAAAGACTGTGTCAGGCCTGTCGTCAGCGTGACGAGTGTGGCAGATATAGTGATGGGTAGCTCTGCAACGTTGTTCTAGCAGGTGGAGGCAGATGATGGCTGTGTTGAAGTATGGACGGCCTGTCCTAGACTTGGGGAATAGACGGCGGAGGCATGGTCTCGGCGAAAACCTCGATAAAGACATAATTTAATTGTCTGGAGGTCAAGCTTGGTCGTCGGTGAAGTACTGTGGCCGGCCTTTTTGGGCTCCACCCGCGCTACAAGAGCGGCTGTAGAGTGGAGCTGTCTGGCTCTCACGGGTTAATGTTGTCAACCTCAGCCCAGCTCGAGGCGACAGACCTCAAAATAGTTCGTTTGCAGGGCGAAGCCTCGGTATGCTCTTTGCAAACTCTTCGGGTGCTTGTAACGTTGCAAGCACGTTACATCAATGGAGAAATTCTATTTGATAGGTTTGGATTATGGCAACGCACTCGTGTATTTCACTAGTCCAAGGAGGGGCGATCTTACCATGGGAGTCTATGCTGATTTTGCAAGCCATTGGAAGTGCCTCGCGTACTTGAGTCGTTGTGACCCTTGCGTTACGGCCTGTCGCCTACTAGCAGTGCGATTTATCGTAGCCGTAGAGATAGACCCAGAATCCCTTACTTCCCAGCTTCGTCTTCCCACCATAGCCACTACCAGCATTCTCAGGATCAGAGCAGTTTCCCAAGATACTATTCATAGCCGATTGAATGTCAGTGATCCTGAACTCATCCTGATTGCTGATCTCGTCACAGCGCAAACTCAGAGTACAGGGTTGATTAGGATCCTTCCATTCCTCGACAGGCGAGAATTCGTTCGACAGCTCGCCAATAGACACAGTGTCTCCGCTGGCAAAATCTGTTTCTGCTGAGTCTCCAGAGTATCCGTGGAGAACGTCTCGGTGCTGGGCTGTGTCTAGGATATTGGAGACTCCACCGCAGACGTTGAAATTCCCGCCTGCACCATTGAGTGTATTGAAATAGTCTGGTGGGCCAAAGCACGTTACTGAGGAGTTGCTCGCTTGTCGTGGTCTCAGGGCTTTCGTTTGGCCTCTGGCTTCGATTTTCTCGCCGCTACGTATTGGTCCTTTCATGGCAACAACTGAAGATACGAGAGCAAACAAAGAAACGACTGTGCTGGTGGAATGCATATCCTTTAGACAGGGCAGAGCTCAGGCAAATCAATGGTGAAGCAACAGGAAAAGGAGATACCCTTTCCATCCAGTGACAACGGGAGAAGCTTTATAGTTGTGTGACAGACCTTTGTCGTAGACCTATCTGCTGGCTTCACGTTGGGAAGTATCATTTTTAGAAGGCCCCAAACTCTTGCACTGGCGATCAAGTGATATTCTATTTCGAGCTTTGCATGGAGGGGACTAAGCGATATTTTAAAATCACCACATCTTGGGATAGTCACCAGTGCTTTCGGCAAATGCCAAATGTGTCTTGTGGAGTCTTGCTCAACTTCAAAAGAGCAGATTGCCTCGTTGCGTTGCAAGAATCTTTCGGGCTTGGCGCCAAGCTGAAGCTCGGTCACGGAGAAACTTCTTGCCGGCCGCCCAGCAGGTAATAAATGGAATTCTCGAGTCTCTCTTTCATCATCGACATTCTTTACCCACAAAAAAACTCGATCAAGACTCCACTTATGGTGCTGGTCTTTACAAAACTACGTGTAAATCAAGCCGTGGAGCCGGATCGCTTCTCTGCAAGTCATGCATAGATACGTGCGCGATATCTCGACCGCTTTTTCGCGTCAACACCGCATGGACGACACCGAGATTAGAGCAGACTTGAGACAGCCGCGAAGAAAGAGCGAATGATATCCAACTGCTATTCATCACTCACCCTCAGCAACGCATTCATTTCGCTCGCGTGTTCTTTGCCGGCTCTCGATGGACGGTGGCGTAAGCCTCAGTAGCCATGATCCTCGCGCATTCGCGTCCGTATGTCATAGCCACCTTGTCTTGATATATCAGTGTGCATTGAGGGATGGGAGCGTCTAAGTGATGAGTCACGATCAACCCTGTAATGTTATTGCGAGTCAAAGTCGCAATAATTGCACGGTCTCTATTGTCTACGACTGCTGTTCCCGCATTACGTTCGAGACAAACGAGACTATGCCTCGTTACTCCGCTTTCCGTCCACGACGGTGTTGCTAAATATATAGCCGCAAGACTGAAGCGCAACTCGTTGATGGGATGTCTTACAGCTCCATCTTCCCAACTTGAAAGCTGCAGACTGGCTGCTCCGAAAGAGACACTTGGCAGTGTTAACTAGGCCGCGTTCAAATTGATCGATCTGGTACCGATTGACTGCGCACTATCAAGTAATGCAACTCAGTGCCCCTATCATGGTTAGCGGAAGGCTAGCCAGTCTTACCAAGCGTTACTCTTTCCTAGTACTTTGGTATCTGGCTGTGTGTTCAACTTCTGCAAACACAGTATTGGGAAGGCGAGATACTACCCCTCCCCAAGATGGGTATGTCTCTCATCTAAAGTGGTCTAGACAGTGCACTGAAAGCTTTCCCAGGACTGATGTTGTCAACCTACACATCACCAATTCCAGTGATCAGTCTTACCAGCAATCTCTTGATCTCGATGTCAAAGAACCACAACCTGAGAACTTTAACATTCTTGCAATCTATAAGAAGGATGGCGAAAAATTAGACCAAATTGAAGCTTCAATCGCGCTCGTACGAACATTGTGTGGCCTAGCATTCAAAGATTGGAATGAAGCGTTCTGGAAGTTCAAATATTCCGATCTTGACCCCACAACACCGCTTGATATTCTATTCACTAGCACTCGGCGTGAAAGTCATCCGACATTGCAGACAAAGACAATGATGTGGCCCTTACGAATACTCTCACACTACCTGAACCAATATGGATATGCTGAGGTTGGCTTTTCCATAAAATTTCTAGGTATGCCGGATCTAGGCTATGGACAACTGATCAGGTCGAAGCCGAGCCCACCAAAGATACCACAAGCAGTAACAAATGATACTAACGCCACTCTCATATTTGAAAACATGGTGCCCGTAGGTGACTCGATCACAGTAACATCTTTCACCATTGATCAAAGCAGCGCGATCTATACGCCATACAACATCTACAGCCTCCTCATGAACGTCATGGTATTAATGGCGGAACAAGGCTCAACTAGCCAGAATTTTGGCTTTTCAGCCTATAATGTCGAGGCTGATTTAAGCTTGCAATGGAGGCCTCAAAACGAAGCAGTACTACCGAAATTCACGAATCGAGCCATCATACTTGCCACTCACTCTGTTGCCAAACTCCTGCCTGCTTATCAGGATAAGGACTTGAATTGGCGAGAGTGTAGATGGGATATCAAAAGCGATGGCAGGACTATTGGAGAGGGGCGATTGCTTAAGGGTAGGGTCGAACATCCCAACAATATTACGGTGCCCGAAGCCGCAGGGACAGCTCCTATTCAATCTTTAAATTCATTGCCGTCAGCAGCAATGTGATGGCTTGAATACTGGTGTGTTCTCGCATACGCCAGAGCATATTTTGCACTGTGTGACTGTGCTACGGACTCGAACCCGGTGAAGAAAAGCAAAGCGCGTAACGGGAGTCATTCTCTGAAGACAAGGATTGCAGTAAATGGCGCAACCCGACAAGGATCATAGAGGCAGGTTGCTTTAGGGGCTCTAATGTCATCGACGCTTCACGAAACGTTGGGCTTTCACCACCAGGCTTCAACTTGAAAGCACTGGTCAGAAAATGACTCAAATCTGCCTTACTGACCTACAAAACCACCTGGTATTACATACTCGACAAGTACAAATTGCCAATATGATAAAATGACCAGAGCGCTTCCCGGATTGACTATTCAAAGCATGAAAGAGCGCAATACGCTGTGACTTGAGGCATCTTTCGCGCCCTGTAGTGATAACTAAACGGTCGAGTTGCGAAGTCCTCCCTGATCAAGATCCGCAAGCAAACATTATCAACGGAGACTATTCCGACGCCGACGATAGGGCTAAGTGATGCAAGGCGCATGGTCACCTGATGACAACAAAGTTTGAGACAGATGTGTTCGTCTTCCTCGACGACTTCTGCACTACTGTGGCATAGTTTTTGTATGCAGATCGGTGCTGTTGGCTCCCTACCTGAAGAGGCAACATGAGCGAGTGTCTACTTCAATTGCGAAAGCAATACATACCTTGGACTGTCTGTGACGGTGGGATCTTTCTACAATCTGGGGTTGCATGTGGTCGGTGAGCTTTGCCGCAAAGTATGCGGGACACTTTGGACTGAAGCACGAACATCAATGCAACATCACGAGATGCCCGTACGAGGCACAGCCTTTCTCTGTTAAGAGCAGAAAGACAATGACCAATTCCTCATCGAAAGTCTAAAGTCGACATGGACTTTCGAATGATAGCAGCAAAATCTTCAGCATCAATGTCGCCGTTGCCACGAAGACTTGACATCATGCAAACTTTGGCGGTCCACGCTCAATATCGAGGAGGTGAGCCATCGATTGACATTACAATTCTGTATCACGGGGCCTTTCCCTACGTGGTGATAACCCCAACCATCAGCATCGACGAAGAAACAGATGTTGGCAACGGGGGTCAGGTTTCCATTCTTCTGAACCAAAACACTCGCGGCCGAGGGGATCGACCGACCATTTTCAAGGCAAGGCGTTTCCACTGCCACAAACTCGAATTTAGGTAACCGCCCCGCACAATCACGATTATCTATTATCGTGGTGCCAAACAGTTGGCAGGCACAGCACTTAAGGTCTCGGGCAGTGCTGATATGCATCATCCCTGCTATCGGTATGACTATTTAGTTACGCATTCCGATCGTCTGAAACGTCGACTTGGCAAGATTGGGGCCATTTTAGGCCCCCCACTCTCGGTGTTCTACTGGTTGCGGCCCCAACTGGCTCTAGTGCTGATTACCCAAGTATATCGTCACACTCCGCCCGCCAATTGACGTAATTCAGATGAATGATCTAATCAGCGGCTAAGTCAATCATTGGCTCAAGTGTGTTCTACCGTCCGTCGACTAGGCTATGATAGGAATGAGCCCAAGTCTGACAGAATTAGTGCCCCTATCTCCTTACAAGCGACAACGATGTTTCATGTTTTCAGCTGGACTTCTTCGGCACTTCTGTTCTCATCTGTCCCATGTCTTTATCCATGGCAACGCTCTCCAGCAGAGGCCTGGAGGCTGACTTTCGAAAGGATCAAAGAGGCTCAAAGGAAACCGCTTGCGTATGGAGCTGCAGCTATACAAGAAATCTATGCGCATCTCGTCACGCAAAGTCCTCCAGTACCTGCATGAGCACGGCTCCTCCTGGTTCTCCGCAACATCACGTTCTGATGTTACTAAGGCTAGCACGTCATAACACCAAGGCTGATTTTGCCGTATGATTAAATCTGATTAGACTTAACTCGTGGGAACCGAGGGGAGCCCTAGAGGCCGTTCATCCGCAACCAACCCTTTCCCCATGATATGGCTGAAGCCACCCATGTAAGCACTTGGCTTGACCGTTGCTAATCTCCCATGGAGCCCGAATTAGCCTCGTCGGCGAAGCTTGAAACATAGCCTTCTCATGCAACATCCCGATGGACTATGCCATCTTTCGACCTTTTCCCTCCACTACTTCTCCCAATGCCGGATTATCCAACATAAACATACTGCCAAGGCCAATAGAGCTGACCTCTCGGCTCTTTGAGCTCGGATCGGGCCTATCATGCTTTCCCTTTTCACCTCCACGCCTCCTCTAATTATGATCAACCTCTGCGGTCGCTGCCAGTCACCAAAGTGTATTGATTCGAAACGCTCGCCCTGGCTTCTTCACCAACCTTGAAGATTTCTCTGCTTTCCTATTTGCTTGAGCTTTCATCTTCATCACCAACAATCCCCTCATGCAAAGTCTGTTCTCCCCAAGCACCTCAACAAAGCCTCTACCGTAATAGTATGGCTGTGTTGGTCATGTTAAATGAGGCCAAATGGTTTACGCCTCAAAACAGGTAGAACAACGCGTGCCTTACGTCATGCTCATATGTCGTATGCCTTATATAATGTATGTTGCTTTCATCGTTTAGTAGAATTCTCCTTTGAGTTGCTTTCCATACACTCAGAAAGAAGATGGCTCGCTCTCACAACCAACCATTTGTGCCTGTATTCTCCCTTCTCCTAGCCTTCATCCCACTTTCTCTTTCCCAAATCACCCTGCCCAGTGCTGTTCCTACGACTGGCTGTATCGGCAATGCTGCTGGTTCCGCCACATTCACATCGAGCTCATCACTGGAAACAGGCAGCCAGAAAATCGTAGCCGGTGATTTCTGGAAACAAGCTGCGGCTGTCTGGGAGTTCTCGACGGATACTAAAGGCGTGGTGTTGTCGGGTCCAGGCATTCCAGGAGCTGGTGCTGGTTTCAATGGCAACGACGGAGGGGCGGGCGACGCTCAAAAAGCCTTGAAGCTCAGCGATGATAAATCTACGATCACGCTCGCTGTCCCGTCCCCCACACTGGGCGGCTCGTGGGACATCATATTCAATGCTGGATCAAGTGCGGTCGAGGGACCGTCGAGTTCTCCCAATACTTCTCCAACGTGGAAAGCGGGAGATTGCACTGTTTCGTAAGTGTTAATTGATTCGCGATACGCAAATGTTTATTGAGATAGCGCAGCCAGTTTACAGACAAGCCGATCACATGCAGCGGTACCGTACAGCAGCCTACCCCGGCGACGAAGAGTGTTTGTGCTTGCCCAAGCGACATCATGCTCGACCCGCTCAGTGGCGGTGACTCGCCTTGCGGAAGCTACACTGGCTCTCAAGGTGATCTCCTTGTTGTCACAAACTTTTGCCAGACTCCAATCAAACGCCGAGAAGCCGAACCAACGATCACACCACCACCAAATCCACCCGACTTTGTTCCTGTGGGAGCAAAATTCCGCCCAAGACCAAGAGCTGTCAACGAAGTGCTCCATCCTCGGCAAGATGCCGCCAAGTTCAATCTCATCATCGAAGCCAACGTGCCTTGCATCGCGCCCGAAGCCTCTGCTACAGGCCCCGGCGCCTCCGCCAATCCAACAATCGCATCTTTATGCTCAAACAACAAGATTACCCCAGGCGTAGACGCGTGGAAAACCTACGAAGTACCAAAGTATATGGCCAGTATCCTCAGCGCCGCAGAAGGCAGTCTACCCACACCAACCCTCCCCGTTGACGGCGTAGCCGCCATCCACAGCGACGTCAATCCTAAGGGCGCCCAATGTACCTACACATCAAAGTGCGACTCGATCGGCTGCTCCGACGTTCGCGACTACAATACCGGCAGCGAAGTCTCCATCCAGCGTTTCCTCGGCTATCAATCTGTCGTGAACCTGAACAACTACTTCTACTCGGTCTACGACGCGCTCTTCAACACGGGCACAATAGGCTCCCTGACATCCGGCAACATCGTCACCACCTTCTTTACAAACCCGACCCCGGACGCAACCTGGATGCAAATCCTCGGCATCTTCGGCCCCATGCTTGGCATGCTCTCTGGCATGCTCGCGCCTTTCATGATCCCCTCCGCCGCCCTAGGCATCGCCTCCGGCATCGTCGGCATTGTCGGCGCAATCGGCACGATCTCTAACCTCCAACCCGTCGTCGACAAGCGCTTCGACGAATACAGCTCCATCACCGATTTCATAGGGCACTACATCGAAGCGACGGTCAAAGGGCTCGAAGCCGCCTACGACCGCACAATCGGCAAATCGACACCGATCTTCGAATGGTCCGGCTCGCCCTACGCACCCGACGGGCAACAAAACGGCATTTTCGGCGACGGATTATTTGCCGACAACGACTTCGCGCAGGACATGACCTCCAACATCCTCGACCGCATGATCCGCATCTTCACCTACAAAGCGATAAACTTCGCGTGGGTCGACAGCGGCGTCTTCATCATCTACGTGCCGTACGGCCGCGACATCAAAGGCCCCGACGGCAAGATCATCCCCAACTTCAGCGCCGACTACTGCAAGAACACGCTGCAGGGCAAAGACTACGTCGGCAAGCTGATCAACTGCGACGCGCCGGGGCCAGGCATGGCGGCGCTGCACAACGCGGCCGACGGCGGCAGCAGCGGGGCGTTGAAGACGCCCCAGGGCTACGATCAGGCTTTCAACGTCCTCCCCGACGAGAAATTCGACGTCATGGCCGCCATTGCCGGGTCCGTCAATAGTTGGAAGAAGGGCGATTTCAACTACGATGCCTCGTCGCCCTATCAGGACGCGTTCAATTCGGATGGCGGGCCCTCGCCCTCGCAGCTTGCGGAGATCGGAAACTTGAAGATCGCGCCCGACACGGCGGGGTTCTTCAACGTGCCTGTCTGCCAGACTTTCGATCTGCGCTTCTTTCCTTTTGCGGGTAGTGATGGCGTTACGGGAACGCCGTGTACGGCTTGTGGGAGTAGTGTTGCCGTCGGTGGTACGCAGGGGAGTACGGTTAAGTTTATGGATAAGGTGGGGGATATTGTCAAGAAAACGCTGCAGGCGGGTGGGGGTACGTATTGTGGGGGGTATTATGGGAATAGTTGTAGTAGTAAGTGTCCGGAGGATTTGTATACGGGATAGAGGGGTTACTATGGGGAGGGGGGTGGTGTATATAAGGCATGAGTTTTGGTTGGGTCTTGTGGGCTGGGTATGGTTTGGGATGGCATGGACTTACTTCATGATCTGGACTTCACTTCTTGGTAGCAAACTTTGAAATGGAAAATACCTTATCTTCAGACACACAGGTCTCAGAAAACTAAAAAGATAACGTAACTTTTCTGTAATACTTTGGGGAGAAGGTAGTTAATACCCTTACTTGTTCTCCCATGGAAATTGCGTCTCCCCTTCTACCCATTTTCCGCCCGCAGGCCGCCACATGCGATACAAATGAATCGGGGTCCTGTAGCTTCGTCAGCGTTTCCGTAGACTTTCATATACCCCATTTCTCTAAAGCTTGTATCCATTAACTAGGGCACCCATTCAATCCACACCTACACAAACAAAAAACTAGTTTTCCGTCCACGATGGAGACAAAAGAAGCCGTCAAGGGAAAGCGGGAGTTGTGACATCATTACAGTTATCAATGATAAGATTGCAAGGAAGCCACGCAAATAAAGACAGAGTCATCAGACACCTCCCAAAAAGAAAAGATGAACTTCAATACATACTCCATGAATGCCTCCAGCTCTCTCCACTTCTGACTTGAATTCCGCTTCGCACTCTCCAGATAATTTGTTCCCGCGTAGACAAAGCCGCAGGCTTCATAGGTGACCTTGCCCAGATCAGTTGCTTCGATGAAAGCTTCCAGATTCAGGCGGTCTGCTTCCTTGACCCCTGCGAGAACGGGTTTAGTATCAGGCGACACTTTTTGTGGGGACTGAGAATAATTATAAGATCACTTCGACTACATAGAGTGCTGAACGTTGGGGAGTGTTTGGGTAGAGCAGAAAAAGCAGGAGGGGGGAGGGGGGAGGGGGAGGGGGGCTTACCCCAATCGACCAGCTGGCGACCAATGCCACGGCGGCGGTGCTCGGGATGGACGAAGAGGAACGGCAAGTCTAGATTGAGTATGAGCAGGGGAATTGAACATTTCTGGCGGTCTGTGGCCTGGAGCCATCTTCGAGCTGAGCTGATCTGACGACAACATTGGATGTAACGCTCCATCCATCCCAAAGAGGGAGACGATGGTTGGATGGTAGATAGCGGTACACAGACATGAAAAGGTGGAGGGAAACCACGTACACATGTGCGGTCTCGCCATCTTCTTATACCGATCACATACAAACTGATCGAGCAGCTTGTTGGCGAAATCTCGCGACTCGCCTATGTAAACCTGTTAACGGGACACTCTCATAACACTCAATCAAAGCACCACTTCAACTCTATCCGCCCTTGCCCCTTCCTCTCCCCCTTTCTTCCCGCACCTACGCACCCTTCACCTCCACCCCATCCCTCCTCCCCTCTTCCCTCCTCCCCTCCTCCCCTCCCCCCAAACGTAGCACAGCAAAACCAAACAAACAAACGCAACTCACTCACCCTCCGGCCACCAATCCGCCTCCACCGGATGCTCCTCATACACCGGATACGGGTTCTCGGTATAAGTATTCCACAAGGCGGCGCCCACGACTTGGTCGCCGATATCGGTGTCCACGACCTTAAGCCAGCGCGCGGTGGGATCGTTGCGGAATTCGCGCATCTGCCGATCGCGTACTTCGATGAAACCAGCGGGGCTGGCGTCGTGCCGGAAGAGGCGCCAGATGCGATTCGGGGGGTTGGTGTAGGAGAGGTGTTCGAGTTGGATTAGGGCGTTGAAATCGGTGTCGGAGTGGACGGTGCGGAGGGAGAGTGGCATGGTGGGGTTTGTTGGAAGATGTTATGTGGCGGGTTTTTAGTTCTGTGTGGGAGAGGGTTGCTGAGGAAGGGAAGGAATAGTACTGAGATGGTGGAAAGAGGCACGCTGTTTGTGGCTGGACTAGTTGTGCCAAGCCACTTGCGGATTTAAGCGGAGGTAATGCCGTGGTCCTCATCGGCACCTCCAGACTTTTCTTTTTCTTTTCTCTCTATATTTCCTTCGGAAGGAATTTATCAGCTAGAGTTTGGTCACGTCTCCCGTCGCCTTCATCTCAATATGCCGGTCGGCATATGCTCAATCGGGGAGACGTGATTGCTTCCATACTCTCATGTGTGCTTTGTCGGTGTGGCGATACAAGTCGGCGGTAAGTGTTGAGATGTTGATCCTCATGTTTGTTTTGAGTATCAAATTGTCAGACAAGTACTGAAATGATGTGACATGAATTACCATTTACACACGATGGCGAAGCCATCGAAGCGAGCATTGGTGAAATGGCATTCCACTAGTCTTTGAGTTCATTCTATCTTCATTCTAGAGATTGCGCAAGCATGAAGGTCGGAGCGATTAAGATATCTTGTTTGCAGGTGAAGCTACGTGTAGAGATCAATTCGGCTTTCGGATTGAAAAGGACTGAAATAATGTTCCTCTGCATATATTGTTCCCGCATTCCAACGCGAACATATGTATCCGGAGAAGTCAAATCTTGGATGCTCCGAGACACCAATTTCGGCATGAAAACTCGTTGGGATATCTCATCCGAATCATTATTTCAATGATACACGTCCCGCGTTTATCCTTGATTGAAACCCTGCCAAGGATGAAGTCGATGGCACAGTCAATTTTCAGTAACGACGAGTGACGCTCCGTCCTTTGTTCTAACCAGCATAGTTCATGGTGCTGAAAGATGGGGTTTCGGATCATTGAATACGCTCGCAAAGTCGGGGCCATTGAAGTTCCGTTTCCCGGGGCAGATATCGTGAAACAGGAAGGCTGCGGCCTTCGCCAAGTCCAATCACTGCGGCGTAGAGCAAGACCAAAACAGATGACTGAAATTATGGGATTCTCAGCTTCCTAAGTTGGAAAATCGATTGCGATGGTTATGCAACAAATTGAGGTTGGTAGGATCCTGCGAAGACACTGCCACCGCTTTGTCGACAAAGAACCTCGACGATATCCCTAGCCAAGACGGCTCAGTTGGTTTTTGCTGTTTCGAAGGCTGCTGAAGATCAAGGAGATTTGCTTCATGAAGTCATCGCCCCAAGTTTTCATTGTCTCAGCTGTGACAAGGAATTCAGGAGACCATGCTTCGAAACAGCTATTCGGGAGGTAAGAATACTCGTCTTCGAAAATTTCGGACCGCAAAGACAGCGGGCGATGGTGCCACTGGCTGAACGTGAAACTCACAATTGAGGCCTTTCCAAATTTACTGAATAGACATGGCATCATGCGCACAAGAATGGAGTTGAAACGGAGCGATTTACGACGCAAGGCCGACGAGTGTGCGCAGCAAACCTTTCCCGTTGTATGACGCTGAATGACGTTTTGCGACATCTCGAGATCAAAAATGAGCCTTCGATGAGGTCCTCGAAGATACATAAAGGAGTCGCTGAGCACCTAGAAGACGATATCAACAGCAAGTTCACTTCCTGCACTACCATTTTTGAAGAACAAAGCATCAAATCAGAATCTTCCACTACCTCCACGAAGTTTATGCTTCTCTGAAATCGACTTTGGAATTCTTTCAATATGTACGCGTTTACAACATTGACCCTGCTTGCAACATCTGTCTTGGCGTCTCCTACTCCTCAGATCCCCAAGCCAGTCTCGAAGCTCGCAAGCGATCCGGGATATCTTGAAGGATGTCCCCAGGAGAAGAAGAATTGCACAAGAATAGTGCTTGGCCAGCCTCCTGCCTCTAAGACCATGATTTGGTAGGCCTCCCATAGAAATTCGACATCATAGTCCTGCTAATACCACCTCAGGGGCAGTAAAAAGCCATCTGATCTCATCGACTTCCTCCGAGCTCCAGATGGGCCTTGCTCACCCGGCGACTGCAACACCGACGACCCCAACACGAGCCAGACTACCGATTTAGTGATCAAGCAAGCCATGGTCGATGTAAGCCATGCATATCTACTCCAAGGCTCCCACCCACACCCCCCGTCTTCTCATAACATCATATTAATTGCCCTTCAAATCTAGGTCAAAGCGACCAAACCCCTCAAAATCACCGTAAAATCCGAAAACGTCCCCAACGGCGAAATCCGCGATCTTCTCGTGACTGCTCTCCAAGCGGCCTTCATGTCCGGTGCCAAACACGAACCCAGATCCTACCTCAACGAGGAAGGCAAACCCTTCCTTGGCCGCGTCGCCCCACCCGAGGCGTTGCGGCCTAAAATCGTTCAGTGGACCGCCGGCACCCAGTACACCGTCAAGCATCGTGCGTACACGCCAGAGGGCTATGGCGAGACTTTCGATATGGAGGTGAATATCGAGCTGGACGATATGCAGGATGCGAACTGTGCCGACGTAACTGTGGGGGCGTCGAGTGGGGCGCTATTGGCGGGCACGCTGTCCACGGTTTTTCCGCTGTTCGCGGTGGTGGCGGCTGTCCTTGGTGTTGTGGGGCCGATATGTAATAAAATTGAGGGTTCGTAGAACTCGGGTCGGAGTTGAGATTGGGAAAGGATGGGAAGGTGGAGAAGTAGATGGAGGGTGGTCAAGGGGGGCAAGGTGGTGCTTAGGTGGTGGATGGTTCTGCCTGGATGGCGTTGGGGTGGGACGCGTATGAGTAGTGTGCGATAGACGATTCGTGTTGACTCCAGGCAGAGCGTTTGGTGTACTAAAAGCTCCAAAACTATTTCTTCTTTCTCCCCCCAAAGCCTTATTCCATCAAATGAGGTTTTTACCAACAGATTCGAAAAACCATCAACAAGGAAAGTCGGTTAGCCTATCCGGAATCTTAAATCAATAACCAAACTCAAACAATCCATGAATCAGGCATTCGTCCAAAGACAAAAGCACGTCTTCGACGCTCTTTCTCCAAGCTGTTCTGTGATCTTTCAAATTCCTCCTCATAACGCAGAACGACCGGCGTTCACTCACTATCCCGCAATGGCACTCCAAGTTTATCCGGCGGCAGTAAATATCCAACAGAGCTCAACTCTCCATTGACATACATTCACCCCACGCCTTCATCTGTCTTATAGCTTGTAACCAGTCCTTCGTTTCAGCACCATTCCAACCCTCCCCTCCCACGCAATATTGACCCGAACAGCACGAATTCACACATCTATAACCGCCATTGGATAACAGACGGCTCTTATTTCAGAGGGTAGAGGAATGCGAAAGATGCGGATGGTATAATAAGAAAAATGTCTTTAACGCCTTAGGATCTTGGGGATTGACTTTCTCTCAAGATATATCGATAACATCAGAATCACGGATCTTGATATAAGAGGGCTAGGTAATCTGTTTGAGTGGAATTGTTGAAATATCGTGAGGACGTATTTGTAGCGGCGTATCTACTCATCTTGTCTGTGGCAAATGAACTAACGCTATGTCTGAAGTGGGTGTTGACACACAACACTTTATCGTCGTGACGAGTGAATGAAGGCGGGGTATAAGTACTATATTGCCGCCTAAATCATTCCTCTTTCTTCCACACAACATCAGGCTTGCGTCGTTGCATGTCGGCCATCATCTGGAAAGTGGACGACGATAACAAGGACTATAGATACAAGCATTCAGTATTCCTGTCCTTGTCACTTTGATTGAACGATCGAGTCTCACCATTCGGATTCAACGGCCAACTGAGCGATTCAAAAGCTCATCCTGACGCTCAGAAGAGTAAGGTCTGGTGAGGTCATTGAGACTGGCTCAAAGCGGGATAGCGCTTTCATTCACTTATCTTGCTATCACTTACAGTATTTTTCACTCCCATCTTCAATCATCTCCCCTACCATCCTTCGACTTCTCACCTACCCATCAACCCTCAGATTCAGCTCTTTCTTCCCTCTTACCATCTCGTTGTCACAGGCAACGGTATCTACTACACGCACTCCTGAGATACCTGTACGGAGGAAATCTTGGATCAGAAAGTCTTCACTGGAGGCATCACTGCAGACGCGCTCGGTGAGTGTTTCGTCTGCTTAGAGTCACAATATCATGACTAAACATAACACACAGATCACGGCCTTGGACCACCACCGTGGGTAAATATGGCCTCCTTCCAACGATGCACTATCTGTAATCAAAAGAACTCCAAGTTGTGCTCTATTTGTAAATCAGCCGCATATTGTGGTCAAATTTGTCAACAGACGGACAGATTTGCGCACAAGCGCTTGTGTAAAGACATGGCTGCTATTGGAGACGCTCCCTCACCCGTTCACGATCTCGTCATCTTTTTGCCCGAGGGGGACTCAGACCCAAAGTTGGTCTGGGTCAGCTCCAATAGCAACGAAGAAGCTTACAATCTACTTGGACCTCAAGACGACCATACAGCTGAATTGAATCATTTCGATGGGAACCATCTGCGAAATTTCGCTGTGGACAATGAAATCGAGATCCTGTATCGCGACAATATGATAAATGACGGGTCCTCCAAAAATCAGACTCTATACAGTCTTACGACTTTACCGATTCGATACACCTGGAATGGCCCCATCGTCATCATGAAAAGTATAGGCATTGGGCCTGACGCCGAAGGTCGGCAAAGTATAACACTTGCTGACTTTAGACATGCGATTGACTGGTTTGTCATGTATCGTGGATTCATGAAGCCTGCCAAAAACCTCGACTATGACATATCTAGGATTCAAGGAGTGAAGATTAGCTGCCGTGGTGAGGAGAGAGAACTCGGGACTGCGAAATATTCGACAGTGAAGGTACCGAAGGACCACCCGATATTCAGGAAAAATGATGCAATCCCTATTTCCAAGTGTGTTCGGACGCCACTACTGGTTCGAAAGCTTGGGCCAGATCCGGCGTGGGAGACCAAGGATTACGGCCCATTCGTGAACCAAGAAGCGACCTTTCTCAACCTGGACTGTCTTGCTAGCAGCGGTACCTTTTGTTGGGCTGCTCCTGAATGGCAGAATGAAGTGGGCAACGTGATCGTCGTGCGGCAAGACCAAGGAGTCCTTCTTGCTAAGCACGTAGAAGTGTTGTGTAAGTATCTCATGTTGGAGATCATGCCCGCGAAGGAAATTGCCGCAGAGGCCGGTCAAGATTTCCGCGAAGTGACTGATCTGATGACCGAGAAGAAATTCAAGGAGTACTTTGAAGTCTATCGTGGTGAGAAGATTGCCGCGCCCGGGACGAGCAATCGGGAGAAGGACGATTGGAGGAGTGTACCAGTTCCCTTCAAGACTCCGCTTCACCTGCAGCATCTCGATGAGAATAAGATAAAGACTTTTGACCTCCATGCGATGATGGAAGAAATCTACTCCCTTTAGCAAAAGATACATCGACACAACTCACATTCATGAAGGAGGAGATATAGTATGCAGAACTTACAACAGCGAAGCTGAGAATGGAAATCACAGAGATTCTTAGCAGCAAAGCACAAGATATAGCATGCAAAACTCACAACGGCATACCTGGAATGATCGGTGAAGGTCGGAGGAACATGAAGAGAGAAAATGCCTGGTCATGATACACAGCGACTAGGCTTCAAACAATGCTTACTCAGTTGAGATATGATTGCTTTATGCTCTTTTATCTGTATATAATTTGCTAAGCTGAAACATACGTATACTTGCCAATATGACAACGATTGATAGCTGCGAGCTGTTACCACCTCAAATATTTCACCAATCAAGAGATGTTTGCAATCTGGGACTTATATTCCTGCACCATTGAAGACCGAGCTGAGCGTAGCTAAGCACGAAACATTGCTTCAAGAATCTCGGACTGTTTATAAGACATTAATACCTAACATGTCCCTCCACCACTAAATGAAATCTGATACCTTTGATTACAACCCCTCCCCTGCCTATATCATCCGAGTCTCTGCATCAGACGATCCCCCAACTCCCCAACGCTCCACACAATATCCGCAGAACTCTTCGCTTCCCAATTCGCATCCTTTCTCGGCACGGCTTCCTCCCCCGTGAATGTCACACACAGCACATCTATCCTATTGTAACCGCTATTTATTCGGACCCTCCCAAAAAAACTTGTAGCGAGGGTAAACTAGCTTGATCCATCGACTGGGGAGCGTCGTCGCCGTTACCATCGGCACCTATGCCGCGGACGTGTGTACCCCCGCCATCAGCAGCATTCCTGACTTTTTATTTCCTCATATTCGACCATAAAATAGAGTTGGAAGAGGGTTTACTCACAAGCCCATCCCCACAACTAAGAGGCACGATGCTCATTGGCCTGATCCCATGCATGATCTTGCGGATTAAAACCGCCCATGTTCTTTATTGCTCCCAATATCACGAAGTAAAATATACGGTACCCCATCGGCATCCTCCTCCTCTACCTTGCCCTCCAAGTACTTCTCCATTGAATCTGGAAACAATATCGTCGATTGCGTATCATCAGAACTTTTGCCCCTACCACCACCACCACTCCTATACTCACCGCTACTCACAACCCTCTCATCAGCCTTTTGGGCACCGTCACAATCAACATCCACACCCGCAAAACTCGACACCTCCTGCACAGAAACAGCACGCCCCACCCCCCTCCCTTCCCCCTCCACACGTCTCTAACAGTCCCACCCCTCCCACCCCTCCCACCTCCCCCACTTCACGGATACAAAGACATAAGAGGAATAGAACCCGCATTGAAGCAGGTCGGAGGAGCTTTTGGAAGGATTGGACGCTTAAAGGGTTGAGCGAGTGGGGGTAAGGTGGAGAAAGAGGCTGTGAGGAGGATGGAGAGGTGGAGATGAGATACATATATCTGTTTGTGAAGGCTTGAGGCAGAGAAGCTGAGCAATGGACCGTCAAGGCTTGAGGCAGAGGGGCTGAGCGAAAAGGGGGCAGGCGGGGGGGTTCATGCTTTTATACACGGAGGCGTGATGGTGGCGGTCATGGGAGTGGTGGGGGCTTGAAATATGGATGGTCGACGTAGGAGATGATAATGCTTTTGATACGCGTGTGTCAGCAGAGAGTCATGTATTTTCGATGGATGGGGAGAGAGTTGGTCTGTGATTTGCGACACTGCTGGCGGAATGTGCATAGATACGCAACTCACCGTAGCCATTCTTAAGAGTTGGCGCGAAGGTGTCCAAGGCATGTTGGCCGATGAATGTGACAATAATCTTTCATTAGCTGGAGGGGACATAATATCCGTGTGCATCGAGTTTCTCCCCAAGCTTCAGCAGATTGTCTTCTGTTCCCGCCTACAGATGTCAAGCAAGTACCTTGAAAATTTTCACTTGAGCACAATTCGGGGCAAACTTGATGGGATGAGATGAAGTCCTGTGTCGGATTGGTGATGGCCTACCAATCAATCTCCCCCGTAGGCGACAAGCTATGAATGTGACGCCTGAGAAATGCAGGCTGACAGGCTCATGTGTAAGATCGTTCGGATTCTCTCTATGCTTAAATTTTCGAGCAACCTCGCTGGAGGACAGATAGACTGCGTGATTCAAGATGGAGAGCGAAGTCTTGCGGTCTGGTGAATGAAAAAGCCAGATTCGCTCAGACAGAGACACAGTCGGCATGTCGATGGGCCCCGGGCATTCTGCTCTATCGCGAAGAGGTACTTGACGGCTATCTGAAGTTCCAACTCTCGGAATTGACAGACAGACTTGCAACAATGCCTCCGAAACAGCGGCTAAGCTACAACAATGACACCACCACAGGCCCTTGAAGATTGAGTCTCGCAGCCCATATGACTACCTTCTCTCAATACCCCCCTTCCCCCCCGCTCCGTCACGCCACCAAATCACAAAGAATTCACAAACATAGTCGCCCCCTCAAAAGCATCCGGAAACTCCGCATAAACCCTCAAAGCCGACACCGAATCCTGCACCGGCTGCAACCCGAGACTCGTACACTGCTGACACGTATTGCTCTGCACCGTCTGCCAGCGCGTGGCAAAAGCCCCACTATACGTATTCTTCTGGCCCTCGACCCTGAGACTCTTCAACGTAATCGGATCCGTAATGTCCTTGCCGCTGAACACCGCCTCCACCGCCTTCAGTCCCCCGCTCTTGCTGCTGCTAAGATAAGCAGCCACCCTGCCCTGGCCGGCAAACTGCGCGCGATCCACGGTGGCAGCGATTTTATTCGCCGTGTCCACCGCGAGGCAGTAGGCCATGTTGTACAGGTACCCGGGGGCTTGGATGCCGTCGACGCAGATCTGGTCTGCGTTGCAGGCGCCGTCGCTGACGATTTGGTCGCTGATGTCGTCCGTGATGTCGTCGACGGGGAATTGCGTGTCGGAGGTCGCGGCGGCCGTGCACGTCCAGGGCTGCACCGAGGGCCGCACGCAGCGCGAGGCGATCGTGCGGTACTCCTTGCCGTTGCGGGCGGTGTCGCAGGTTATGATGGCGCCCATTCTTTTGGTGAGTGCGCCGTGGTGGGGTTGCGGGAGGTGGTATATGCTGATGTTTTGGGTGAGGTCGGCGCCGTTGGGGTGGTGGACTGAGATGGCGATTGGGTGGTCATTTTGTTGGGGTGAGTCTGATGTGGGGAATGAAAGAGTAAGTGAGATGATTGAGAAAATGGTTGCGAGAGTTAAGGTCGAGGCTTTCATGGTTAGTCGTCTTTCTGAGATCTCTAGGCAGCGTGGTGTCTCGGGGATTGTCTTTGATGGTAAGACAGACCTGCCTCTTTATTCACCATGTCGATCGCGTAGCTGTCCGTCTCCCCATGAAAGAAAATCTTCGATGCGACGGCCCGTAGTGGTGTGTTGGCGTAGGATGATGCTTGCAAGCTAGATATCAGGATGCACTTGGAAGCTGATTGGTCTAGGCATTGCTTATCCTCACTCCAACAGGCGTCCAGGAACTGAAATCTTATGAGAAGATGGATTCCTACAGACAGGCGATGCCAAGCGAAGTATGCATATAGCAGAAAAAAGTTGGCCGCCCACAACCAGCACCACCAGGGTTGCAACCTGCTCGGTTTTGGTAATGCCAACAGTATCCAAGAAAAGCCTCAAAGCCATAGTGCCATCAATCTCTGAAGTTCCCGTGAGAGATGAAGATATCAGTGGCGGAGCGGTTGAGACCGAGCGCTTCGACGTTTCAAGCCTTGGACGGAGAGGTTGGACGTACAGCCGCTAGGCGACGAATTGGAAAGCACTGCTCATTGATTCTCAACGATCAAATCCTGACAGTAGGACATACAATAGAAACTGATCTCATTCGATTCCTATCAAAGGTGACAGATTGGTAGCTGTTGCGTTTGCGCAATTGTGAAGAAGAAGAAACACTGATCATGAAATCCGTCATGTCGGATGAAAAGGTGAGTGCGCTTCATAAATTTCGGAGTAGGTAGTTTCCTTTCGATTTTCGATTAGAATGAGGTGTCAAAACCTTTCAACAACGTTATCACGCCTTGCGAAACGATGGAGTACACTCCTTTCCTCCAATATCATTAAGAGGAGACTTACCATGCAGCATCCTCACTCGCATGATTGACGACTCCACGCCACTTCTTTCAAGAAAAAGCTCCCGCCCCATCATCCCCCACAACCCCCGCATCCGCCCCCATCTCCTCCACCCCCATCCCCTCCACACCCCCCCGCCGACGCCGTCCCCGCACTCGTAGTCGCACACCCCCCAGAGCCCTGCCCGCCACAACTCCCCGCCGCCACACCACCGCCACACGTACCCTCACAACAATTCCCCGCCGCGCCGGCAACAAAGCTCGCGCACGCCGGGTCCGCCGCGTACAAGCCGCTCGAAATACAGGGGTCAGGCATATATGGCGCGTAAGTGAGATAGAGGGGCACATCCCAGGCCATGACGGACTGATTTTCTTGCTTTGAGGGTCGGGGTGGGGGCTCTTCCCCTCGTTTTCGCGCCCGCTGCGCGACTTTCTCGTACGCTTTGGCCAGGTCGGCGGAGACTTTCGCCTCGCGCGTGGCGTGCGCGATCGTAGTGTCGGCCGTGATGGAGCTGTGAGCGGAGATGTGCACGCCGTCCATGTCGCTGGTCGTGGTGGTGGGGCGAGAGGGAGCGCCGAAAAGCCGTCGAACGGAGGACGTGTGCTGTTCGCGAGTCGCTTGGCAGTACCAGCACAGACACTCGGAGTACGTGTCGCCGAACTTTTTCTGATAGATTTCAGACGTCCATTTGAAGGAGGTGGAGAGCTTGGTGGAGGCGATTTTGTCGTCGTGGTCGATGAACTTGCTGGTTTGCGCGAGCGTGTAAGTGTAATAAGAGGGTGGGGAGAGTTGGTGCGTGTGCCAGACGAGGTCGACGTCGAGAGTCGGGACAGCGACCCGGTTGCTTGTCTTGGCGCTGAGCTTGGTGATCCAGATGAAGCGCTCGTATTTGGCGATGAAGCGATTGAGGACGGATGGCGCGGAGGGGGCGTGCAGCCAGTCGAAGTTGTGCATTTTGTCGATGAAAGAACCTTGTCTGATGACTGCGCCGATGAGGTCGATGGAGAACGGAGAGGAGTTCGTCCAGTAGTTGGACATCATCTTGCGGACTGCGACGCGCTCGTCGCGGTGGAGGTCTTTGGGAAGATGCTTCTGTATCTCGTCGCGGACTATGGAGAAGGAGCCGCAGGTGGAGATTGTGTGCTCTATGGCGCCAAGCAGATCATCATAAAGTGAAGGAAGGGACACTTGTTGGCCGTGAAGCGTAGTTGAGGCCGGTCTTTTGGTCATGATGAATTTGTTTGGGTAGAGTGCCCTCGGTTCGTGGACCTTCGTGGGGATTGCGGGTGTGCCTGAGAAAATAAGTCAGGCTGGAAATTCGTTTGGCGTTGGACAGAGGCGGTACTAGCTCTTCATCTAGACTACTCACCGTCTCGATTGAGTATTGTGCCGGGCAAAGGTACATTGCTACTCTTCAAGGCCACGATATCATCTCGGAGTTTCCTCAGCCGTAGCGTGTCGTTGTCCATTATGAGATAACATTGTACGCAAGTGTGTCGGAAGTTCTTGTCTGCTACCCCGTCCCCTACTTGTGGGCTGCCATCCACATCGCTCGTCGTCCAAGGTACAAGGTTCGACTGCATACAGGCGCGGCTTGCACACGTGACCAGTGTTGAGTTAGGGTTGTCAAGATTGTCCCAGCATTGACCGGTCGTTTTCTTGAACCAGTCCTTGGCTCTCTCGGGTGCGTTGAAAGCGAAAGTGCTGTTGTTGATGCATGCATCAATGATGGACCACGGCAAGCCGGACCTCCAGAGTGTTGTTTTCCCATAGCGCAAACAATCCTCTAGGAAATTCCTGGGATTGAGTTGATAGGCATGCCACACCAATATGACATCTACAACAGTCAGTCCAATGTCCACTCCAGGATTGAAGTCGGCGTTGAAGTGACACTGATGACTCACCTAGCGGAGGAATATTGTTGTGATCAAAGTGCAGTGTGCTGCCTTTCACCAAGCTTTCCTGGCTAAGGGCTGACAAGTCCCCCATTGTCAATTGACGCCCTCCTTGAAGGTCGCATTGGCTCCACCACCTCCCGAAGCGATACGCAGCCCGAGCTACGTAGACTGCCCATCTCTTTTCGCGACGCTGAGCAAGCTGCCAGTCCGGCCCGTCATCTTTGATCCCGAATAGTCCACTACCGAAAGCGATACTCTGCCTGAGCCTGTGAAAAGCCTCGAGTAACTTTAGATGAGCCAGACATTCATCTGGCGAAGGTCGAGAAGTTTTCGCCTGCAGGTTGAGCCTGGAAAAGGCTGCATTGAGATCGGGCCGAGCGTGGGCTTCGTAGGGTGGTGGCGGCGGGGGTGTTTCTGGTGCTTGTAGCTTTGAGCCTTTCATGATATGTGTAGGGAAGTCTTGTAATCTCTTGCGTGTGACCGGCTTTCACGGACGGTTTGAAGAAGATGCACGGTCTAAATATCATAAGAAGGCCGTTGTACTGCGCCACAACCCCCGCATGCGCCGATTCACCACGTGCTCGATCTCTTGGCAAAAATTGCATGGCATTAAGGTACCTTAAAGGTAGGGATGACCCTGAGATCTTGGGCCTGCAAGGCAGATTCACATACAACCAAATCTGAGTCATGGACAACGACCTCAAGGGCCGATGGAAGTGATCGGTCGTGGAACCTAGAGCGCTCGTGCGCAACGTGGGACTGCGACTTGTCGTCAAATCTGCTCTGGCTCGTTGGAGCGGAGCACGAGGGCATAGCCGTGTATCCAAACGAGGATACTGCTGACAATTCATTGGCTTGGATGCAGAATTCAAGGGATGGATGCAATTCCACATGGATGCTCTCTGCATGATGTAAAGAGACAAGGTCTGAGTCAAGCGTCCCACACTCACTGCCCGGCCTTCAGCCTTGGCGCCCGCAGGAGGTCGACTCCAAGATGCCCGCACTGATGTGATCTTGACGCAGATATCTATGCAACATGGTTGACTTTTGAAGCGGTTTCGCCCAAAGACACCAACACTGAAACCTCAGCTAGGAGAAAGTACGACTAGTCTTTATTCAGCATGGGCGCGGTTTCTCGCTCTGCAAGATTCCGAGCCTATCGAAGAGTATTTCTACTTCTTGCAGAATCCAATTATAGACCGGGAAAAGTTGATTGAATTCGCCAAAGCACACCATGAGCTTGAAGGCCCAAGGCTACGTAGGATTCATCGTGGGGTTCAATAATCATTCAGATCCCGCCAATCTTCCACTTCCGCCAAGAATCGCATAAATAGATGTTTCAATCTGACACCGGAAGAGGCTCTCACAAAACGCGGGAACTGGGTGTTGGTTTCCTGAAACAGAACGCTGCAGAGGCTCCGTTCCGTTTCTTCCAGCCTCTTTCGCCGCCTTCACTTGATGAGAGATGCCAGATGAATTTCAGTTTCAGTCGATATCCAACGTGTATGGCCAGGGCGTGCGAATCAATAGTGCCACTCCCTACAGGCTGGTCTCAGGGCTCAACTCGACATGATGTTGGAAGAATTGCATTCATTAGCCCAAATTCATAGTGGGAAACACTGAATGCCATGTTCCTTCTCACGAAACGGCACAAATATCGACATTCCCCTGCAAGTTGCCCGCGTCTTCTGTGGGGGCCCAACACTGGTGTGGCCTCCTTCATGGGCCGCGCAAGCTCCCCTGGAGTTCGGCAGCCTGTAATAAGACGTAAAGGACTAGGACGTACTTCTTCCAAATGCTCCTCTCTACAGCTAATCCGATTATTCTCTTGCTGCTCTATGCTGGCCATAGACACCGCTCAGCCAATTCTGTCTTGCTTGGTGCCCCTCCGTTTCTCTCTTGATCAAGATGCACGCATGCCATTTCATCACCGCCCTTCTGCTTCTTTGTGAAATCACCACTGCTCGAAGGCCCCGATATTCAAAGCGCTGCACACCCAAACAACGGACCGTACAGAGTTTTCTGGCGAAATCTAAGAGTTCTTCAGGAGGGACATATACAAATACCTCGATCACAGACCTGGCCACCGGTGACACTACTGCCAATACTGATACCACCGGCAGCACTGGCGGCACAGACAGCTCAGACACCACAAGCAGCACGGCAAGCACGAGCAGTGCAGGTAGCACAGCAACAACATCCACAACGGCCAGCACCAGCAACAATGAAACGACCGGCAACTCGCTCTACGTCTCTTTCACTCGGTATCCCACCCCACCCCTCTTCACCCCCTTTCCCCTTCCCCTTCCCCCTCCTCTCCCCTCCAACCCCACAACTAACATCCCTCAGCTACGGCACCGGCGACGCCAACGGCTCCGGAAACTGCGTGACCTCGCCCAACGCATGCGGCGGCGCAGGCGGAGGCTACACGGCCGCGATCTCCCAGTTCCTGTACAATAGCCCCGGCGCCGGCATCCCTGGCTCGGCGTGCGGCGAGTGCTGGCAGCTCACGGCAGAGGGAAAGCAGCCTGTGGTGGTGAAGATAGATAATGAGTGTCCAGCTTTGGGGAATGCGCCGTGTGCTATGACGAGTACGACGGAGAAGAATCAGAGTGGTATGTAACATTTCTTGGAGATGACGGATGTAGGGGATGTGGAGGGGGAGGTAAGGGGTAAAGGGTAACGAGGCTGATAATGTGTCATACAGGTGGTTATGCGAATTTCGATCTGTGTATCGATAGTGGTAGTGCGGATGTTGTGATGGGGGATGGGGTGGGCGCGACCATGGGTTATGCCGTCAAGATGGCGAGCTGCGGTGATGCGGCTGGATCGGTGCAGACTTCATAATGGCGCAGTCGCTTGAGACCATATCGTGCGTTTGCCTGAGCGAAGGTCGCTTCGGTATGACGTTGAGCAGCCTTTGGTAACCAAAAATCACTGTTGTCGATCTCGGCTGACGGGCCTGTGCTGGCTAATAGGATAGATTCAATATCATCTTCTAATCACATTCGAGATCAGCTCGTTGCCCCTTCAGCCCGGGACTATTCTCTCTCACTGGTAAGGATTAGTTGGCGCACGAATCCTAGATGTCGACACAACCATCATTGACGTTTGGAAATGCTCTCGACACCATGCAAAAATGGTTTCGCCTTGCGAAATCCAACTAGAATCGACTTTCTTTGATCTAAAAGGCCCTTGCACATCTCGTTGTTGATGGAGACCAATGCCAGCAGGTATCTCAAGCATGGCCAAAAGAACTATTCTCAAGAAGCGCCTTTGAGTAGTGTCTTGTGACTGTGGTGCACATCGTCAACACAACCCTGATGTGCAACACGGATTCATCCGGTAGCCCTCGACCTAGACTTCATTAAGGCGTTTATTTGACATCCTAGACGAACAAGCTCGTCCACTTCACCTTGCTGTGTCGTCTCGACGATCACTCAATGTTTCCAGTCCTGTACTTCCTTCAATAGAATCATGACAAGTGTCTCGAGTCAATCGTATGCCTGTGCGTAGGGCTGAGTGCAAGTTCCAATCCTTTCCTTTTGGTTCCGTGTGAGTCACGGTCGAATTGCATAGTGCTTATAACGATGACCCCACGTCGACTCCCCGCGTCCAGCACCTGGACTACTCAATACTCTTGTGTAGGGCTGTCTCACTCTCGTTGGCCCTATCATTCCTCGAAGATCCAGCGTAGTCGACGGTTTGGTGCAACGCCCTCGTCGCCATTTCACAAACAGACGACAAGCGCGACGCGAAGCTTCCACTTCACACCACGCTTCGAGACTCGTGATAAACGTTTCTCATCAACCCACAAGAAGCCGAATATGGAATCCGCCTCAGCGACTGCGCAGTCAATGCACAGCATCACCACTACTAAATTGGCTGCGCTCTCAGCGAAGCAGCAGAGCTACGAAGCACAGAAAGCAAACATACTCAAGTCTCTCACCACCACTGACAACATAAGAACCAAAGTGAAACTTCTGCTAGACGCCATCGAACTTCATGAAATCAATCCGCCCTCCGACGTGTCAACGAAAAACATTCGACGCTTCCTCGCGCAGTCTCATAGCGACTCTGCCATCTCACCGTCAACACTTCGAGATTGGCAGGATTCACTGGAAAAGTCTTTGGAGATTCCCTCGCAGAAATATGAACACGCTTCCCTCTTTGGGCGCCTCGTCATGGAGTGGCTCGAGAGCCCAAATGAGACTGTTGCCAAGAACTCAGCCTCAGGTTCGATGGACACTGATTCATTTGAGCATGTCGGCCGCAAGGAGATGTACGAACAGCGTAAAGAATGGGAGTCGATCGTATTTTCCCAGAATACAGACATCTTAGCTTCAGCAATCGAAGACTACCTTGGGAAGCTCTTCGGGTCTACCTCGCAAGCCAAGAAGCTCTTGAAAACACCCCTCGAGACTCTGCGGGAGTCGATGTCAGATTTCAAGGTCTATCGTTTAAATGAGGATAAGTTGAAATCAGCCATCTCTGGCATCTTAGTCACAGATCTGTTGTCCGAGCCCAAGCGCAAGGCACTCTCAGACTTCAAAACCAATCCTCTGATTCTGCAGGAGATAGCTGATGTCCTGAATATGCAGCTCAGCGCTCTGGACTCGTGGAATTGGGGAAAAGATGCCGTCGACGTCACTGTCCGCCGGGCTCTGAACGGCAAGTACAGAGTGTACATGGACGAAGAGCTGATCCAAGCCATCCTAATCCACCACATCGGCATGTCCTTCGCCATTCACTTGAAAAGCTGCCTTACGAAGTTCTTCCACTCGGGAGCCTGGCTGCAAACCTCGCGTCAGCCTCTAGACGCTGCTACAAGGCGGTTCCGTGAAGACTTCGGTGTGAGTGATGGCTATAGGTATGACAACAATGTACGGAATGAGCGGCGGAGTCGATTCTTCAACGAATTCTTCCTCGTGCAGCTGCCCGCCAGCTATGAGAATACATCAGACGCATACGGTGAAGACAATTACGACTCCAAAAGTACATCGCCCATGTCAACAAAACAATCGCTACTCCATCTTCTCAACGCAGAGATGGTGCTACAGACTCGCCTCCATGACTCACTTGCGCTTCTGCAGTCGGATTTTCGCTGGTTCGGTCCCTCACTCAATCATACCACCATTCTCACCGTCTGCCGCTTCCTAGGACTTCCACAGCACTGGCTCGACTTCTTTGAGAAATTTCTGAAAGCACCGTTGAGATTCTCTCAGGATGGGCCGGACGCCGAAGTGCGCACACGAGGCTGCGGTGTTCCCATTCAGCACAAGCTGAGTGATACACTGGGTGAAGCAGTACTCTTCTGCTTGGACTTCGCAGTGAACAAGAACACGAAGACAGACATCCATCGAATGCACGACGATCTCTGGTTCTGGGGCTCACCGAAAGCAACGGAAGGGGCCTGGAAGACGATACAAGAGTTTGCGGCAGTGATGGGGCTTACGCTCAACATGAGCAAGACAGGCTCTGCCATCATCGGGAAGGGTGCTGGTGGAGAAAAGGCTCGCACTCTGATAGCTGGCGACATCAGCTGGGGCTTCATGAAGCTGAGCACAGATGGTACATGGAATTTAGATGACGCGCAAGTTGACGCCCACATCCGCGAGATCCGCACACAGCTCGCGGCGTGCAAGAGCATCTTCGCTTGGGTACAAGCTTGGAATATGTACGTCACGCGCTTCATGTCGAACAGTTTCGGGGACCCATCGAACTCGCTCGGGCGCTCGCACATCGACATGACGATCTCGGCGTTTGAGAAAATCCAGCGCGGCGTCTTCGGATGGCAAGAAGGCCAAATCAGGGGCGAGAATGTGCTCGACCACCTCCGACGGAAATTGCGCGATCGATTCGGCACCACCGATGCGCCTCCCGACGGCTTCTTCTACCTCCCCGTGGACCTGGGCGGGCTCGGTCTGCGCAATCCGTTCATCCCACTCCTGCTCGTGCATGAGAGTGTGCAAGAGAAGCCTGTGGATCTAGTCGAGCGCGCTTTCGAGCACGACGAACTCAGTTACAATAACGAGAAGGAATCCTATGAAGCCGGCCTTCTGGGTTCGAAGAATGAGAAAGCGGGCGTCCCGTTCTTGTCGTTCAGGGAATATATGGCGCAGGCGGAGGAGACGAGCGCGAATTTGAAGAATGCGTATGTGAAGCTTTTGGAGGCGCCGGTGAAGAGGGATGTTGAGAGAACGGGGCTTAGTGGGGAGAAGGCCGAGGAGATTGAGAGGAGGTTTGATGCTTATGATGAGTGGGTGCTTGAGCTTTATGGTGGGGAGGTCGTGGAGAGGTATGGGGGGTTGGCGATGGGGGAGAAGAGTTTGTTGCCGATTGGGTTGGTGAATCTGTTGAAGAGTGAGAAGATCAGGTGGCAAGGATGAAGGTCTGGACCATCGTGACCCAAGCATCGCCACTCTGTCGCGTCTAGCCATATGTTTATTTAATCATTGGGATGTTCTTCACTCTTCATGTTAGTAATCACAAGCCAAAGATAATTGGCAATCACGCATCGATAAACATATCAAGCAAGATAACGAATGAATTTGGACGCTGGGACTGCATGCCAGTTGAGGTGGGTGTTGTGGACACGCGAACGACTGGTCTCGCTGGCGAATGATGTTTCTATTGGATTGGAGGTATTTGCTGTGGTGATGAAAGGGAGAGGGGGCGAGGGGGGAGAGGTGGATTACTCGAAAGATGATTGGGGTCGTGAGGGCAATGACTGCGCGAGAATTTGTGGGCGAGTTTTTTGCCGGTGAGGTGGGCACGGGGAGTGGGGTAGTGATGTATTGGTTAGATTGCCTGAAGAGCTTGCGGTAGGTTGATGGAAGGAGAGATGGCTGTGATGGATGCGATGGATTTGGGGTGCTGGGTTGATGGAATGGGATGGAAGACGGGAAATTGGTAGGAAGAAATTTGCAGTTGAGACGTCGGAGTTTAGATCCTCAATGCCGGCACTTGGCCTGATTGGGTCTTAGCTTTTAATGGTAAAAAGTGGAAAATTGGAGTCGTATTGGTCAGCCGGGAGACTTCCCCAACACCAATACCAGCTTCGTCGCCCAAACAACTACATACCCGGCACCTCAACCTCACTCCTCTCCCACCCACCGCCCTCGCCCGTCGGATCAAACACCGACTCCGCAATCCTCCCCTCATCAATCTGATGATACAAATACAACTTCCCACCCTTCGAGACGAACGACGAAAGCCTCGGGAACGGATATCCACCACCCCCACCCCCACCTCCACCACTAGCACCATCATCATTTTTAACAGCACCAACATTCAAATCCATCTGCCCCGTAGAAACCAGTTTGCCATTCTCCACATACAAGATCGATACCACATCGTTCAAGTCCACGATCTGCAGGTCGAACGCATTGGAGGGGATATCGGCGGGGAGGAGAGCCGAGTCGTCGGGCACGAGGGTGTTGAAGTTGAGACCGTAGGACGCTGCAAAATATCAGCGATGAATCCACCCACCCATACCTTACCCACCCAATCGGACGGATCCAGGGGAAAGGGGGAAGGGGGGACGCAGACCAGAGCGGAAAGTCTCCCCATCATAGCTCACACCGATTAGATTCTGCGACGCGTCCCGCTTGTCGGGCAGCTGGTTCGAAAAAACGGCAATCCAAGGGTACGTTTTCCCCGTGTCCATGTACGTGGCGGCGAAGGATTCGCTATTAGACGCGTTGGTGAAGGCGGCGAAGGGCGCGTTGAAACCGAAGGAGCTGTTGGAGTTGGTGAGGCTTCTGGTGTTGTCGCTCCAATCCCAGGAGGCGGTTTTGTGGGAGAGGGGGAGGGAGAGGGAGAGGAGGGTTGCGCCGTATGAGGGGAGTTGGGTTAGGACGAAGACGGTGTCGGCGGAGATCCAGTTTGCGGTGAGGGATTTGAGCGTGGGTGTGGTTGAGGGGGGCGTTGGGGTTAAGATGGGAAATTGGGACCATTTGCCGGAAACGGAGCGTTGGGAGGTTAGGGAGTTGTTGTTTTGGATGTAGAAGAGGTAGATCTGCAAGACCAGCATCAGATTTGTGTTGTGAGTTGGGGTCTATACTTTTCTTCGCTGGAGTGGTACACTCACATTATCCGATGCGTCCGCAATTGCGCTCATCGGAGTGCTGTTCCTCGCATCTTGAATACCGACACGCAGATCCACCGAGCAGTTGCCGGCACATTTGCAGTATCGAAGGGTACCGTCCAGATCTTGAAAGAAAACATGTCTGTTTCTATCCGAAGTCTCGACGCTCGCAAATGAGGAATTGGCATAGACCCCGTGTTTCCGTGAAGAGGTGGGCGAGCCAGTCGTCGTGCTGTTCCCTTGGCCATTTTGAGTTGGCCGGCCATTCTGCGTCGTACTATTACCAGGGTCAGAGCCCCCTTCCCCTTTCCTTTGTTACATCAGCATCTGGGACATGGATATCACACGCGCAGAGGAGATGCCCTACTGATTCTGGCCAACGCCTACGCCCACCCCGACTCCCACACCCACAACTACGAATACGACCAGTACAACAGCAGCTATTAACACAGCTTTGCGAGGGACAAACCATCCCTGCGGCTGTTGCTGTGGGACGATCGCGCCTTCCGCTGAATGCTGAGCCGCGGGCTCAAGCCCAGCAATACTGCTGGGGGCGGCTTCAGCACCACTATCAAAGGCCACCTATCATTCCGTCAGAGTTATGGTGGCTGCAGAAGATGATATGTTCAGACCTGCGGTGCGGAGGCAGACTGGTCCACCTGCAGAGCATCGGGTGCATAGTATTCACGATGGATCTCTGATGCGTGGGGGGACGTGCCCGGATCCTCTGCAATTGGAGGTGTCGCGGGCTGGATTACGTCTCGAGTGGGACCAGGCTCGAGGAATAACTCGTCTCGATTCATATCTTCATCTCGGTGGGCTACGGTCGGCTAATACTCATATCGACGCGATGATTGGGGGCGAAGGTCACCACCAAGCTTTAGATTCTAAGGACAGGCGGGCATCTTGGTACACGATGGACGAAGAAACGAAGTGGGCATTATGCGCAAGCAAGATTATGAGAGTCGTGGGATTTCGAATGGTGGCTGGGTGCATGCACTAGGTAATGTACGTCAAGATCCTTCGTGGCTTGGCTATCTAGGATGAAGACATGATCGTCACTTTCATTAGGATGCATAATTTAATGCAAGGTGTGAAGAAAAATCTTCATTTTTGAGTCTCATCAGGGTGTTTTGTTGATTGCAATGGGTGGGTATCTTGTGTAAGTGAGCAATTCTCTCTATCCTTGCTTCGCTTGATCTTTTCAAATCTTCAATCGCTCCTTCCTCCCATCTCCTGCGGTCTCCATGACCTTCCCACCTCCCTTCCCTACCACCATGACACCTTCCTTGCACCTGCCCCCGGTCCGTGACACCTTCCTTGCACCTGTCCTTCGATTCGTGACACTTTCCTTGCGCCTGTCCCCGGTTCGTGACATCTCCCTCCCACCTGTCCGTCGCCGTTCGGTCGTGTCGTCGTCGTCGTCGTCGTCGTCGTCGTCGTCGTCGTCGTCGTCTTCGTCGTCTTCGTCGTCGCCGATTCGTGGTAGGACGCAGCTTTGCTTTGACTGCCGTATTTAATTCGATTGGTACGTAGATCGGCGCTGCGTCGTCCTTTGAATGTTTTTTGTGCCTGTCGAGTTTGTTCTAAAGCGGTGTTGATGTCACTCGCAGATGTGTTTGGTTTTGTTACGTTCTTGGAAGGTACGGTTCATTTGAATCTCGTGGTGTATGAATGCAGTGGAGATTTGCTTTTCCGTCGCTAGTACATGGGAGTAGCATGTACTGTGCCTTGAATTGCAGCGTAAGCCAGGATACGCTGGTGTGTAGCAGTGATTTGAAGATCTGCTATTGCCATATTGGGGCTTCGTTGTCACAAAGGAAGCCAGATTGAGAGCCAAGCATTGGGAAGCGCGGTGATCTGATGCAATGATTGTACAGCTGCTTGGCTCTTCGCACGTCTCTGAATCGTGTTGTAGGTAGGTAGTGAGACGGCGGCAGAGGTCTCTTGTCACCAGATGACCTCTTGAGTAGTAATGTTGCCAGTAAGAATATGTTGGGATGAGGATATGTGGCATGATCACGAGGCCGGTCGTGATGATGCTGGCGTAAGAATATGTTTGGATAGTGATATGTGCCGCCATAGGATGTTGTTGGTTGAATTGTGCCGTAAGAATAGGTGCGTATAGTGATATTTGGTTGATTAGGAATACGCTGATATGAATAGTGCCGTAATGATACTTTTGATTAAGAATATCTGGTTTGCTATGAATGCCGTCGGTAAGAATGTGCTGTAAAAATATGTTTTGATAGTGATATCTGACGCGAAAAGCAATGACAAAGGAGAATGTGTGCCACCTGGCTCCGTGGCGCTTGTCTGTTGAGCCTCGCTTCGTAATCCGCGTCGGTCCCTGCTGCCCTGCGCCGCAGCTCTTGTCGGGAGAGTAGGCCGCACCATGGCTGTGACATGCCATGGTGGTCGCTTGACTGAGGCCGCTCTGAGGGTGGTACCCGGCGCCGTACCGCTTGTCAATTTGTGCTGCCTGGCGCTGCAGCGATTGTCATTTGTGGTACCCGGCTCCGTACCGCTTGTCAGGTGAGTAGGCCGCACCATGGCTGTGACATGCCATGGTGGTCGCTTGACTGAGGCCGCTCTGAGGATGGTACCCGGCTCCGTACCGCTTGTCAGTTTTTGCTGCCTGGCGCCGCAGCGATTGTCAGTTGGTGGTGCCCGGCTCCGCACCGCTTGTCGATGTTTGCTGCCTGGCAATGCAGCCATTGTCGATAAGAATAGTCGATAAGAATAAGTTTCAACTGACGAACTGACACCCCTCCCTGAAAAAAAACAAACGCGAGACAGCAGAGTTTACGATGTCGGTGCTATCGGGGCATATTGCAGCCCCCAGGACCGCAGCGTGGCTCGTAGACCAGCTGTGCGATGTCGCCATCACAACAAAGCAGTGCTCCACTGCCTGAAGCAACGCGAGGCAGGCGAGTTCATTCTACCGGTGCTGTTAGGCAGTATTGCAGCCCTAGGACCGCACTATGGCCGGGTAACCACAATGTGCTCGATGTCGCCATCGAACAGTAGAAGAGTGCTCCTCCTGCCTAATCCCCAAAACGATATCCCGTCGCGCCCCTGCCAGCTTTTAAGCTGAGCGGCAGCTCTGGCTCTGACTGACAGGTGCGCCTCAACAAAGGAAAGGTGGCCCGTACGCCTCGTAAATGTCGTAAAACTGGCTGCTATTAGCATGCTCCTGGTGAGAGAAACCGACTTCTGGACCATCACTTACTAAACAAGACGCGCGTTTCAAAAACCTCTCTCACAAACGGCCCGGATCTCGTGCTCACTGGTTCTTGTCGGCGTTAAGCGGGCTCTGTGCAGCCCGAACGGTCGGCGGCAGCGAGATCTCGTACGGCTCCCGGTTCCTACCGGGGGTGTACACCCCACGCTTCGACGCGTAGTAGGCGGGGTGGGCGCGGATTCGCCCCACGGGCGAACGCTCTTGTCGAACTTTGCGGGCTGGGAGAGCGCCCTCTTCGCGACCCGAAGGCCGGAAGCAGCAAAGCAGGAAGCCGAACATGGTTGAGATGGGGGCGGCGGTGGTGAAAAGCTGGTTCTAGCAGTGACTCGGATCAGTAAAACTGGCACGAAAGACAGCGGCAGCGGTGACTTGTGGTTCTTACGGTGATTGTGGGTAAAAAAATTGTCAAAAAGCCGGCGACGAAAGCGAGAAATTGGTTCGATTATCGGTTTGGTTCGTTTGCGCAGGCTTGTTTACGTTTGATTCACTAAACAAACGGTTAGCATGGTGTATTATGAGGGTATCGCTGACCGTGTTTTTGCCGTTGAAACGATAACTATGACCTGTCCCATACTGGGATGAGGAATGGTTACAGAGGAAGAAAGAAGAAAAAGAAAAAGATGGCAAAAGACCACCCAGAGCTGGCTTGGCAGCGCCTGCCCGAAGATCTTCCGTAAGACACTTGGGGCTGCTAGAAGATTCTCTGTCTCTATTCGGGGCTGCTGAAACTAAGTTCAAGGTGGATATAGGCTGCTAGAAGGCTTTGTGTTGCTATTTGGGCCTGCGACTCTAGGTTTCAAGTGGATATGAGGCGGTAAGAAGATTTAATATTACTTTCCGAGGCTGCCAAAATACTTGCTATTATGATTTGAGACTGCAACAGGTATAATACTTTTAATATATAGCGATAGTTACACTATGTCTCTCTGCAATTACCAGCCTGGGTAACGGCTCTGGCAGGAAGCTGCCTGTATGCCCATGCATATCAATAGTATCTGCCACTTCTGTCATGTTCTCTCTCTCAGTGGCGCCGCATTCCTTCCGGCTTCTCGCCGAATAACGACAGCGATCCACCTGTGGCGCTCCCCTATCAGCCCCTGATACGCGCTCGGTAGTTCATAATACGGTATTAAGACCGCCTTTGCGCGCGCCACGGGGCTTTCGCACCAAGCCTCGGGCGCAATCTCCACCACAATAACTGTATTTTATTCTCGTGAATAGCCTAATAATTACGCGCTTAACGTTTGGTTACGCCCACAGTCAAAATATTGGAAGTCTAATTCGCATTGAATTTTGGAGGAAAGATCCACCAGCAAAATTTGCACAGGCAGAAAATTTTAGATGCCGCGACGAGAACTCAGCTGGTATGTCGCGACGACATCGCGGGATCTGCAAGCAACGCAGACGATAATACGAATTTGGTGGACATGCGCACAAGGTGTCAAGCAATCGTTCTGTTTATTCAAGGGCAAGAATCTTCGGTAAAGACAGCTGGTCCCATCCTCCCACGCGCCTTCCTTCCCTATCTACCCCCCAGCATATTGACTTCTCGAGCCCCACCCAGACTGGCCCCACCCAACAGCCGTCGCATGTCTCCTCGGTACACATTCAATTATTAGTTTGTAGGATGCACCTTCTCGGGCAACACCTCCTCAGCCTTCTTGGGCACGGCTTCCTGTGCTACCTGTGCAACGGCAGTTTGATTAGCCTCCCCTTTCATCTTGCAGGGAAGAGCGATGGACATACTTTAGGCACAACACTGTCTCCCGTCGCATGAGTGCTCGCTACTCCATCGCCGGTATCATGGATGGCATTCGGCACGGCCCGCTCTACGCTCTCGGGGAGCTTCTCCTGGAGCTTTTGTGGGACAATGCTGTCGCCAATGGCGTGGGACTGGTTGGTTGATTGGCCTGGCATTTTGATGTGGGAAAGGGATAGAGTTTGTTGTGGATGTTTTGAAATGTGAGTTGAATGTGGATTGAAATTGTGGATGTGTGAATGGATGCTGATGAGGAACTTGATTTGGGACGAAATCGAGTCAATATATATGCATTCTGCATACAACAATGTGTGCAAGCGGATGTCATCGCGACATCAGTACACAGCAAGACAGAGCACACGAAAGCGACTACGAGGCCAGCCCGTCAAAGGACACAGATGTTGTTGCCTTGGCACACGAGTACGGAAAAATAAGAATGCGAATACAACAATCGCAGCTTACTCGCTCATCTCTCGCAGGATTTACGGAAGATTTCGAGGACATTTCGAATGTCCGCTCCGCCCACGGGATTTTGGTTCGCCAGCGGAGCGCGAATACGAATACGTCCTGGAGACAGCGTCGCGTCGCCAACGTTTGGCTGATTCGCAGGACTATTATTTCGGACAGGACTTGCACCGGCTGCTGCCTTAGCCCTACGGAATATGTGGAGCCCCTAGGGCTGCCACGGGCCTGCCGCTGGCTCGTGCTGTGGAGTTTGTGGAGACAGCTCGGTGGCAAAAGGAGATCTGTGCTCATTCTTGGGTGGGACCCGAGGTAGATCAGCTCCATCATAGGACTGTTTCAGGGTACCTTTGAGTCAGCTTGCAAGCTGTGCGTCACTCATCGCCCGCACACGGTTCTTGCAGGTGCAAAACTCTGTCCTCGCATTAAGGAATTTCACAAGTTTGGACATGACGAATTGCCGTTTGGATGAGAGGTACATTCCCATCAGATGGTGCGCATTATCTACGCTTACGCAAAGTACGGCGCCCAATCTCCCACTACCGGACTGATAGTCTTGAGCCTGCCGACGCCTGTCGACACTCAATTGATCGACGCCGACACAGTCTCAAGATCCTAGCCCCATCGTTAGTCTACTCGCCTTGCAAAAGTCGCATACCAGAGGAAGGTCACTCACCGCATCAAACGCAATGTACGAACACCTCGTAATATATTGATGCACATCCCCATCACTATCCATACTCCACCTGACACCCTCCTCGCTTGCCTCGGTTGTCGTCCTGACCCTAATATCCCTATAATACCCAAATTCCAACTTACTCAGCGCGGCCACCAATCTCGGCGGCTTGCGAAACTTCTTCTCGAACTTCGCAAATCCCGAATTATTGAGCTGCCATCCTTCCCCGCCTCTGATATCCTCGGTACTGAACATCCCGCTCTGGATACCAGGCACGTCTGCGTGCGCAATCCAGCAGACCTCCGTCTTGTAGAGGATAGTGTCCTTCCAAGGCCCCAGCACCATGGTGAAGCCGTCAGCCGTAATGTTAGACACATCAGCTTTGAGGCGCCAGTTCACGGATTTCGAGAAATCCATTGCGCACAGCCAGAGCACCACTTTCGGCGGGCTTGCGAACGCACGCGGGAATTTCACCGTCGCCGTGTTGTCGGGCGGTAGTTGTTTGCCCTGAGGGTACGTGTCGCCGAGCGTGTATCGCCCGATTTGGATGTTGGGGTCGTTGGGGAGAGTGCGCAGCCAGGCGGCTTTGCCGTAGCGGAGCACGGTGTCGGAGTCGGGATTGGGAAGGACGCCGTGGGTGGCGGTGTCGGCGGAGGCGTTGACGTGCAGGTTGAAGCCGTTGTAGGAGTTGTCGGTTGCGAAGGTTATGAGGCGGACGTGTTGGTAGCCCAGATCGAAGCTCGTTAGGCCCGTTGCGATCTGGCATTGGGGCTTTTGACCAAAGCTGATGCGTTGGACGATTTCACGACCGCCGCTTGGGGTCTTTTCGATGCTGGTCTCCGAATACGACGCATCGGAAGCTATAAGCTTTTGGGATTTGGGAGCAGAACCGGAGGCAGGTGCGGTGGTTGGAGCTGGGACTGCTGCTCCTGCACCGCTTGATGTTGGAACAGATTGTGTGGCATCAGCGGTGGAGTTAGCAGGTGCGATTTTGGTTGCGCTGGCTAAGTCTTTCTCCGATATGTCTGCGAAACCCACCTTGCGTTCGTCGTAGTCGAAGATGGTGACGACGTTGTCGAGGAAAATACCACCGAGGACCCATAGGCTCTCCTCAAATTCCCATTTAGGGAGCTTCACAATACTGCTGCACATTCGGCCAGCTTCGTTTTTGATCCCACCAAGCCCAAAGTCTTGAGGTTGGAGACGGATCTTACGACCTCCTAATACAAACTCTACGCTTTGGAGATTTTCGGAGGGGAAAGTGAACATCAGTCCATTCTTTCTGGGCGAGGCACCTTCGATAAATTCCTGGCTTTTATCGAAATTGCTGGGTGAGGAGACAATGTAGGCGGTACCAGTATCAATCAGCGCTTGCTGATTCTCGAAAGCTATCTTGCCATTGATCAGGATCTGGTCAAGCTTGACGACCCATCGATTTGTCGAAACGATCTGAGGACACCAAGCGATAGAACCTGTATAGTATGCTGGATCTACAGAGCCAATCACAAAGGTACCACGTGGCTGCATGATGACCTGTTTATCGATTTTCTCCGCGAGCTTGGGATCGACTCTTGGGCCAATCAAAGCGAATGAAGCATGTTTGACAAGCTTCAGATCGTAGAGTGTTTGCACCAGATTGCGACGCCCACGATTCTTTGGATCTGTTGGGGATCCGAGTCCAAGGAGACCATTGGCTTTACTGACCTGGAACTCAACCTTGATTCCGTTCGTAGGTGCAGCACCTACGATTGCAGATGGTATGTACATCTTGCCAACATTGACTCGATCTGTAAAGAGGCTCACATTGACAAGATCGCCGTCGCCATACTTGGCCCGATCACTCTGGCCTAATTCGACGGCGGCAACGGACATTGATGGTCTGTATGTGTTCTGGCCGAGGATTTCTGGATCAAGCTCATCATCAAGGATTGCTTGGAGCCAGAAAAGGGAACTTCCGGAGTCCAGGTCGACCAAAAATGTTTGAGGAGGCGAGCCGACCGTCAATTGAACATGCTTTCACTGAGAGTCAACCGACGTCACAGAGAACAAATCAAGCCAATACCCACGTAATTGATTGGCTCATTCCCGTTCCATACATCTGAGATCAAAGGCAGCTCTACCGTCTGAAGGTCTGGGTTGGTGGCTTTGCTGGCAAAATCCAATGGGTCTGGGACTTTGTCGGGGTCGTACTTCGCTGTCGGGTCTGCCTTTGGCTTGAGAACTTCGTCAGACTTTAGGACACCGGAGCGTTGCGAGAGCTTTTCGAGCGCTGATGAGATGATATCGATGTTGGCTTCTCCGTTCTGACCGATATACTTTGGTGGTATAAAGTTCCTTTCGATGTATGGCTTGTTGAGGCCGCTTTGCTCTACAAACCTGTGTTTCGTAAGTATTACATACAAGGCTACTTCTCGATCAGACCCTGCCAGTGGCCTACCTTATGTGATCCGATTTGAAAGACATGGTGGAGAATGAGTATGAGAACCTATATGGTCTCTCTGAACTCCGAAGAATCTATGCTCAAGGTCGTGGGGACAAGGTCAGAAACGGTGTCCTGTATTGGAGGACCTGCCAAGTTCGTCTCTCGCGGGCAGCAAGCGGCGATGTTCAACTCCTAGATGACCTTAGCCTAGTCCCGCAAGTACCCAATGATCTGGATGCGCAACTTTGGTTTTCAACTTTAGAGCGAGCAAGCACACCGGCTCAAACTAGTGGCGTCAAGACAGATAGGCCCGTGTAGCTCTGAGAGTAAGCCGCCGGCCGTACATTAATATTAAGCTTGCGAGCTTGGTCGGCAAATCTAGACATGGATGAAAGGCAACGCCAGCTCCTGCCGAGATAGCTGTCTGCACAAACGCTTTCCCGACAGTGATGGATAGGGCGACCTGCGCAACCTCGAGGTGCCTGATCCAGCTTTCCTACGGCATGTGCAGCCATGGAGCAGGCTAGCATAGCTAAGCTCTTGGAACTGTGAGACCATAGGTGACAGATAACGGACGTCAAGCATATGCGCACTAATTGTGGTTGCATCGGCTACTGCAAGACGGGAGATCTACCATCTAGAGGATCGTGGAGGGAAGGAGGGGAAAGAGTAAGCGGGTTGCGGAGATACTCGGGCATGCCACGGGCCATATAGCCGTCAAATACGCATAAATAGATGGGAGCGAACGATAGATACGATTGAGATCGTTGGATCTAGACAGAAAGCTTACTTTGACCTACTGGAAAGCTAACGCTGTTGCCCTTGGGTTGGACTTCTAGCGACGAACTAGGAGAGCTTGGACTCTCTTGGTGTGACATGGCTAAGCGATCATCATCGTCACTACTGCATGGCCCAACACGGCCGTTGTGAGCTGCTGAGAGGCTCCAAGACGGCATGGGCAAAATAACCCTAGCCCCATTGAGGTTACAGCATCGATTCTACACCCCACGACGCTTGACCTGCTTCTAACGACCACTCACTATGGGTTTGCAATCTGCACTTAACCCAGGAAATGTTAGCCTTCAAGTCTCCATTCTCGCCAAATAACATGACTTCAGCTCTGATCTTCGACGCCACGACACGGCTGCATCGGCTCCACCTACCATCGCTCGATTACGTTATAGCTATTAAACATCGATGATTGGAATTTACCTATTTCTACTTCCGCCCCACTCCGCTGAATCCGAACACCTCCAGGAAAGCAGCATATTGCGAACCTTGTTTACGATTGCGCCGCGTCATTTCGGCTCGCAGAGACTCCTTGCGTTTGAGCCAACGGTGCGACCTCTGCCACGCTATGGACACAATGCCTCTATTGATACGGCCCAGAACAGTCCTATGGTATTGTTAGCTTTGACAGCTGCATTTTTCGGCTTGCATCACGTGGCATGGGTCTTTCCTTGGCGAGATGGAATTTGGCACGCTTGCCTTTAGTGCCTGACTTCCTTATGCGCCACCTACCAAGCGACTTGTGCCCAGCCAGTCAAGCTTGAGACCTGGACTTGCCTCCATCGAAACTAATTGATCTTCAGCTGAGACTGACATGCATCCTACCCCTCAAAGCCTCGCGTCACTAGCCGCAACATCGGATGCAATCGCTTGATGAGAATGTCCAGATTCAGCCTTCCGAGACAGGTTGGATATTAACAAGGTTTAGAACTTTGACACCACGCTATATCGATCTATGTCTACGCCGTCTCATGCATGGCTTCAGATCACGGAACATGGTCTAGTGTAGATCGTTCCGGCCTCGGGCGAGCTTGTCTCCGTTGACAAGAGTCAGGGCAATTGAACCACCCCAACTTTTCTCCCATAGCCGTCAATTTCTCATCATTTTCCTTTACCTCTGTTGAAGGCCACCGGCTCAGCTATCCCTCTGCGTTTTGCGCCACTCTCCAGGCACTCTTGCTAAAGGCTACAGGAGCGAGACCAGAGGCTCCTCAAAGGTGGCTGCCAAAACCTTACGTCGAACAAGATGGCAGATGACGATGGCTTTGATATCATTCCGGACACAGCTCCGGTCAAATTCGACTCCGCAGAGCACGCAGACATTCCAGCGGAATGCCAGCTTCGCCTAACCACAGACCGCAGCCTTGCTGTGAGCTGCAATTCTCAAGCAGCGATCCTTGTGAGTGTACCGTGGACTGGCTATGGTGTAATCACCCACGCAATCAACTGGGCCAAGAGTAATCTTGGCTATCTAAGTAACTCTAAAGTCGACCTCAACTTCGCTAAGATCATCGCACTTGCCGGAGATTTCTACGTGAACGACGATGTGACTCAGCCAATCTCATATGGCGCGGACATGGCAGAGCGCAAAGCCCGTTTCGGAGCAGCTGTGAAGAATTTGGTGACTGATTATTACGGTACTCTGCCTTATTTGGACAAATACCTGAGCGATGAAGGTTACATGATCGAAAAGATCCTTGGGGATCTGCCCCTCGAGGTTCCTGATCTAGATCCAAATAAGCCGCCTGGGGAAATCATCCCACCGAAAAAGCCTGATGGAACGGACTGGACAGACAAGGAGAGAGAAGAAGCCGAGAATGCGGCTATGTACCAGAAAGTTGAGAATAAAGGCCCAAACCGAATTGTTCAGAACTACATCGCCCAAGTCGGTACGTCAGAGCGCTTTCTCTCCACTCCGAATTATAAATTCGTGCTGACGACGTGTACAGATGGAGTTGATACAAATGCGAATACTCTGTGGCAAGTTGGTGTTTTTCAATATGGTAACATCTTGTTGTAAGTACTTATTTCTCACCAGCCTCCCCAAGATGCACCATGATAAAAATAGTCGTGCCAACTAATCATCAAGCAATACCTTTGTCTCATTCATGCTGGACATCGCTGTAAGCTGTGACCAGCGTCCCTAATTTTATGTGACAGGTACAACATGGACCATTTCGGTGATATGGCGTGGGACGTTTACAGAGCTGGTCATTCCATGGCCCTAGACCTCGCGAAACAGGGATATGCATCTCGAAACGCTAACAAGCCAGAAGAGGCCAGTGATAAATTGAAGGCTGCATACGTATACGACTCCTTTGCACTTCATTACCTATCGGATCAATTTGCTTCTGGCCATACCCGGACGCCCCGTATGGAGCTTAACAGACCTTCGAGGATGCGTAAGTCTTGCCTCGCGTGTTCATGCTCACTAACTAATGCGTCCACAGAAAAGGCCAAAGCAATGGCATCTCAGGCTAACCTTGCTTCTCGGGGTAGTTGGGATAGTATGACAGGCTATATGCACGAATGTGACAACGCGACTGGGCTTAGAGTTCGTACTCGCAAGGGACAAAGTTGGATTGCATACGGAGACGCCGAATACTTTCTCGAGGCAAATCGTATCAACCGGCTCAGAAGGTTTGTACATGTATCATGAGACTCCATTTACTAATACATCGAACAGCGTTGAGTGCGTACAGACCTCTATTAACGAGGTATACGAGGCTTGGATGACCGGAAAGGCTCCAGATGACCCGGAAAAGTTTGCAGCGCTTGATCAAGTACCAGTGCCGGATATTACCCATGGCATTGATGAGAATCTTGAATCTTCCGGCAACACCATGAACCTTTGGGTAGTCTTTAGAAACCCATACCATCCTAATGCCAAGCAAAGAAACATCGATGGATCTTGGGACTATCTTGATCTCAAATCCTTTCTGAATTATCAGGAGATCAAGAACCCTAGAGTATCAGGCAAACAGAAGTACTCGGATAATGGATACTACTGGGCTCGCCGTCAGGATCTAGAAGACTGCTGTGGGTCACAGTATCAATGGGGAGACCCAGGTCAACAGGGTATTTATGCTTCTCAAGACGTGCTTGACGTTGAGAATTCGAAGTTCAAGAAAGATGATCTTACCCGCCCAGAAGGTAGGCCGGTAGAAATTCTTGCTGGTGGCTTCATTCAAGTGCAGGAGTACGGTATTGATGGCGGCAAAGTCAACTATGGAGTCAACGTTTGGGGTCCGATTCAGACGCCTATAAATTACAGACCTCTCTCATTTGACCCTACATACAAGCCTGTCGCAGACGTAACAAAGCCTGCCGCAGCAGACGGAACGAAAGCTGCCCTCGCACCAGCTGACCCAACCGTCAATACCTTTGCCAAGCAGAAGGAAAAGCAAGCAGCAGTCCAGCAAGAGGCGGGAAACAAATACTACACTGACAATCGCCAAATGACCTTCACATTTCGTGGGAGAAGAACTGACTTAAGTCAAGATCCGGAGACTATTAAAGACAACAAAACTTTGCGTTGGCATAGCTGGTGGGATCCAGCAGGAAGCGGGAAGACCAGTTTATTGAAGTTTTCTTTTTCGGAAAACAGCCCGGACGCATCAAAATCAAATGCGATTCTGGTGGAATCATGGAGTTTCACAGACTCTGACAAGAAGACTGATCAACAGTGGACGCAATGGGAGAAGTAAGTCAGAAGCACAGAATCTGCGATCGCGGAACTGATGATGGCGTTTCAGGATGAAGAACCAGCCACCACTGGAATTTGGAGGGACAGACAAGAAGAAATCCGAATACGACATCAAACGAACCGTGCTTGTCTCCTCATTCAAATCGGATGATTGGAAGCTTTATGGACCGTTGACTCGTTTCTTCATCTTCCCGTTCCGCCAAGGTAGCGGCTCTAGTAATCCAGATCTGATCACTTGGACATGGAAGGCGGGTGGCACACCTGGCTCGCTCGTACCTTTCGTAAGCGTAGCATCGACCGACAAATTGCTGCTTAATCCCCAAATTAAGATCACGTCAGGGGCAGAGGATGTGGTCCAACTGAGTGGAAAGTCATCCACTGTCGCTCCGCCTGCTAGCGGTTTCATCAAACGCTTCGAAGACGTTAACAACAAGCCGATGCTTCTGTTCGCGAGTGGCACGGACAAGATCGAAGGTGGTGCTGGCGTACTTGTCGCCCCTCAGTTGTTTGAACAAGATGGCAGCAGTGACAAGATTAAAGTAACCAAGACCGACAAAGTGCAGTTACCCATGAAGACATCGCCGACAGATGACGCTTTTTTCCAAGTGCTCACAGGAGATACAAGGTACGCTTTCCGCGTCTGGCCTAAGAAGTTATTGACTTTGTCATACAGGAGGACCGGGCATCGCGAGATGGTGGTGATGTCGGGTGCATGGCCCGAGTTTTACCTATCTGCTTGGGAGCTGACTGCTGATCGTAAATGGACTAATACCAGCGGACCAAGTACTGGCCCTATTCCATACATGAGCAAATGGAAACTTTTGGCTCCCCCCAAAGCGCCAACAACGCCTGATGGCGTTCGTCATCTCTTCTGCGCCCTCATGCCAAACGAGCCGACACGCAACGGTTCGAATGTGGTCCTCGTTTCATCCTACACTGTCAAGAATCTCATTCCTCCTGCGAAAAACGCTGGAAAGAACGATCCACCAAAATATAGCTACATCAACGTCATCAACTTCCGCACGTTCATCAAAGACGGCAAGCAAGCGCCGAACCAAATAGCAGCTCAATCTCCAGCCAATAATCCTCCGTCAAAGCAAGCGCCACCACAATCATCGACGGTACCCAGCGAACCTATGACAGAGACCACATGGTATGGCAGCAACACGTCGACTAAGGTGCCGACACGTTTCTTCATCCCTCCAGATTCTATCCAGAAATCCTTCACCGGCGAAGTGAAAACCAGCGGGTCTGTGAAACCCGGCACCATTGTGCCGCTCCCGGCCCCTTTCTACGCTCCTTCCTGCCCCAGTCGCTTGTGTCTTTACAAAAGACCATACGACAATCGATACGGCGATTTCAACGGGCTCAGTGCCATCGCAGCATCTCTCTCCGGCCGCAAGCCCATGCAGCAAGAAGTAGAACTGCGGCCTCGTCCCGGCACGACTGGCGACTGGGATGTGTGGGACAAGGGGCGCAACGTGAGGGAGACGGATTCCAGCAGGGACATTGTGGTGAAAAACCCGTGGTACGAGAACATCAACACGGAATTCTATTACGACACAGTCCTGAAGAAGCCGATTGCATTGATGACATTCCCCTTGATCCAGCCCGATGCCTACGTCTCTGTTGTCACGAACCCGGATGTCTTGTTCGCTTGGTCTGCTAATGGTGGAAAACTTCCCGACCCGGCCACAACGCCAACACCTGGTATTACACCTCCAGGCATGCCGAATATGCCTATTCAGACAGCTCCCACTGTCACCCCTCCAGCCCCCTCGCAGCCGCGCGACCCAGCAGGCTGGTCCTCCTATGTCGACTGCGTGGTCAATGAAGACTTCGAATATCTCCAGGATGACAAGAAGAAGCATACGACGACTAAGAACATCCATTTCAACAGCATGGGATGGCGGATGTGCAAAGTCGGCAGCACGGTGCGCGGAATTCCCATGTATGGCATCATGAACGTGACTTCGTTCCATGGCGTTATTGGCTGTAGGGTCTATGCGCCAGCGGAGCCGGGGAGGTATGAGAATTGGGTCTGTAGGGGGCTGAACCCTTATTTGGGACAGACTTCATTGGGTAAGTGCTCTGTCCCCTGTTCGATGTGGGCGATGTTAGGGTTGGTAGAGGACTATACTTTTGTCAACGGTGACTGACAGGTTTGGTATGATAGGGACTGGATACAATAGCTCATGCCGCTGGAACGACAATGCTGCGTCTTTGAGTTGGGGCGCTACGGATGATTTCGAGGATATGAATTACTACAACGGTAAGCCTTTCCTCTTTCCGCCGCACCTCTGTGCTACCACCTTCTCCCCACCCTTTTCCCCCCATACTTTCTCGAAAAGCGCTTGCTTGCTATGCTGGTGCAGCGGTCTTTCTTGAGGATATGAAGCTGATCAACTGTGGCGCAGACCAAACGAAAAGCTGGGCTATGCCGAGCACGTTCAATGATGTGCCCTACTATCGAGGCTGGGAGGCTAGGCGTCCAGATCTTGTGGCGAAACCGGCCGCGAAGAAGTAAAGAAAGTTGTTGAAGATTGGAAAGTGGTTGAAGCGAGTAGAGGCTGGTGGTGGCTCTCATCGTTTTGTGTATTGTCCAATGTCTATCTCTGTAGTACCCTAGAAGTACTTTAAATGGTACGTATGAGTTGCAATCAGATAATTATATTTGTGCGTGTGTCGTCCCTTCATCAAGTCAGTAGGATTGACGGGGCACATTCTTCACCAACGAGACAGTACTGCAGTCTCATGTGAGAAGTTACAAGTAGCTACGTGGTAACAATGACTAAGACAGCCTAGAGGTAAGACTGAAGTTCAGGCACCTAAATATGCTGGACACGAGACGATGACAAAGCGTCCTTCGCCTTGACATACGCCTGGACATATCAACCACATGCAGAGCACAGGTCAAACGTCTTCCCAATTCCCTCATCATCTCCCACAGAATGCCACCTCAACATTTTTCAATAAAGCACCAGATGGAGCCTAAGAAACAGTCTGGCTCGCTATAAACAAATGGTAGCAGATCAAATTGTCATTGATATGACGATCGCGGGTTCGTCATACATTCCTGTAAGTGCTTCATGGTGCCCATCGAGGGGCGTAAGCAGAGAACTGGCGGAATGGTAACTTTTGGAACGACGTATTGAGCAAGAGCTTGGCAAAGTCGCCCCCGCCAATAGTCCAGTCACCCTTTTGAGATAGATTAAAGAGTCATTCTGGCAGGCATACACGATGTGCTTTCTTGAAATACCTTTTCGGGAATCAGTCAATATCCGGTGATGCTACACGTGAGGTAGTTGACCAGCAGCCATAATTTTAGTCTTCACGTGCAGATGTGTGAATTGCAGGATCATTTGTTCGTGGACCAACCTCCTGTGTCCCCACGTCAAGAGTCAACGCAACTCCCATGGCATCTAGCAAAATTGCGGGGCCACGTCTAACATCCATGGTGGTAACGCCAGACACAACGAAACAGCCCCTAGTGACCTGGTAAGGTCTCAGCGAGAGAGGCGTAGATACTTAATGTCAATGCAACAGTATAGCTGTGGTTCCCTCTCTAAATGCTGCGGGTCACGTTACGTTTGTCGCCCAGCCTGGGGGCGCAACACCGGAATGCAACTGTGGCGCTAGGTCGGCGCCCGCTAGGAACCCAAAGTAGTAACGCTCACTATTGGCGTAGACAGCAAGTATGGTCTAGGCCGCTTGGCGAGGGTTCGTATCGGCCACGACTTTGTCAGTCTTGGTGTGGGTGAGTAGGAGATGGAATACATAATCATATGATCTCTCCAGCAGGAGGTAGAATAATCGCAAATCAACTCACTTTATGAAAGCCCACAAGGTAGTCAAGATTGTTAGAAGCTAAATCCCACTTCATCTCGTCACATCCTCATCTTACGTTACCAACCACTATATATGATGGATGACGGCTTCCAATTCGGCGGTTCAGAGAACTGGTCCTCAAACACCTCGTCTCAGATGCCCTGCAGTAACAACGCCCCAGTGAGCCCTCCGCTTCTTTCGCCCTTCCCCCCTACCTCCTAAGTACACCCATCTAATCCTCAGCTCCTCGCAGGCTACACTACCTATCAACAAAGGCCCTGCTCTCGGCCGCTCCCCTGCAGAGATCCGATGCCCTTACCCCAAATGCGCCAAAGTTGCCACAACCAAGACGTCGAAAACACACACAGAAAGCACCAGCGACTTCAAGTTTTTCGGAAAGCAGGTCAAGGCGGGAAGTAGGGACAAGATCACGCACAAGTGCGGGAAGTGTGGGAAGAAGATTGCGAGGTGGCATAGTGATGAGGGGACGGAGTATTTCTGTGAGCCTCTGAACCCGTGATTGAAAGGTGGGAGATGTGTGGATATAGTGTACATGAATGTTATGTACCAATGCGGGCGATAGACTGGCGGGAGTTTGGAGTATTAGCATCACCATCGATCGTTTCGGGTGCTGGCAGTATATAGAAGATATCGCGCTATCGCTTGAATTGACAATCTTCTCAGTCAAAGGTTTAGAGCAGGGGCTTTTCATAAGAAGAAAGAAAGTGAGGGAGAACAATGGCCTAAATTCAGTAGATCAGCAGAAATGGAGTTCATAGTTATCTCACTCACTGGACCAAATTCAATAATCAAGACACGTTCACTGGTATTGCTACGCCTCCACCTACGTCCCCAATGTACTCAAATCCCCCAAAAGCTTCAGGTGCAGATCCACCTTCAACCTCATAGTCAAAGACATATGACTTCCACTCCTTGAAGCCAACCTGAGGCGCCCACTAAATCATCTCAAGATCAGCACAACCTGCGACTCGCCCCACGCAATAACCTCTCTTTCTCCAGCCACCTAAACCATGACAACCTTGGTCAATAGGGCAGCAGACTCACCTCAACCATTCCCCGATAACCGTACAAACAGACCGAAACATCATACCACACCAGCGGCCTCCTAATCTCATCCCCCACTCGGATCCAATATTCCATCTGCAATCCTGCGTCATCAAACCTCCATTTCTGGCGCGGAACCTCGTCCCACAAACCCTTGTCCGCGCGCGCGTCTAGGTATGCGGTAATTGCGCGGTCGATGAAGGCCAGGACTTGCTCTATGGGCCAAGTGTGGGGGTGTGTAGAGGGGCCCAGGCCAAAGTGGGTCCACCTCAAGTGCGGGAACGATCCTGAGGCTGAGACCGATGCTGAGGGGAGATCGTCTGCTGGTAGAATCTGTGCTACGGTTTGTGCTATGGGGTTGGTGGTGTCGTTGGCCGCTATGGAGAGAAAAGCGATGTCGAGATGTTGCTGGGGAAGTGCGGAGGCGAGATGTAGTGAGGTAGTCAAGATCATAGTAGGTAGCTTCATGTTGATGATCTAGGGAAGGGGCTAAGGGTCAGGGATTCATTCACTTTGCAACTTCAATGAATGTATGAGTACAACGTGTAAAGGCTATAAAAAGCGAAGAGCAGTGAACCAAAATTCAGGGGTAGTCTTGCCACTGTTCTGCTGGTGAGGTAAAGGATACAACCCGCCATCGAATGATCGCAAGGAGTAATGGCCCTGGAAAAGACTCTCGTCAAATCGCAGGATCGCTTGCGCTTGCATGTCGGGCCTTTCTTTTTGTGGAAAGAAGCGCAAAGATAGACTTAGGGTCCAATCCCAAAATAGACTGCGTTCTTATCATCCAAATATATGCGACATTGCTCCAGTCCAAATTCGAGAAGTCGTTAGGCAAGCTTGTGCCCTCACCGCTATCCCTCAAAGCTGCTATGCTCGGACCGAAAGTGCATTGTCTATCTAGTCCAAATCATACGGAAAGATTAGACCAAGGTACCCATCCAGTTGGAGGCAGAGTGCCGCAATACAAGTCAAATTCAGTTTGAAAGGCATACATTTTAAGATACCTGGAGTAGGGAATAGCTTTGTGTCTTTATCAGCATTCAGGATGAAATAATGCGATTCGACGACAGAACAAAAACGCAACCTTAACAGCAGCGTAGGGAACACTCGGGACCCAAGCCTCTGATCCAAGTATACACTGAGAGTGACTCAACAATGGCTCGATTCGTTGATGAGCCATCTTTTGACATGATGGAGTATGGTGCTGGCATGGGGAGGTTGCAAATTCAAAGGGGATGCCAAGCATTCGCATTAAAGCCTAACCCGAATGGGCTAGCTACCAGCGCTGACGTCATCACGCGTTTCTACCCTATTTACATTCACGCGTCCTTGATGGATCAACCATCGAGTTGCTCAGACTCGGCCTAAGCAAAACCCCAGCTATTCGATCTTGCAAGACTGCATCATTCGAAACGCCTCCTCATCCCGGCAACCCTCCAGTGCCTGGGCCAGTAGCCGTGCCCGACGGCTTCGAATACGAAGTGACCCCTCGTCGCGAGTACACCGACAAACTCGTCGCGGTCGAGCCCCCCTCCATCGCCAAACCCGCATGGAGAGACCTCGTCAACATCCTGCGCGAACTCTTCCTCGCCCTCGCGAACCACGAGGCCATGGCCGACAATATCAACCGACCCTTCGGGGAGCCTGCAAAACGCAAGACGAAAGTGTATCACACGTGGGACTTTGTGGGGCGGACCTTAAGTATGGTTTTGGCTGTGGATCCGACGTTGCCGAGGAGGTTGAAGGGGCAGTGGAATGAGGTTCATGGAAGGGCGAAGTATAGCAAGACGTTGATCATGGATACGACGGGCATGATGGATAGGATGGCGCCTGATGATTATGGGACGGGCGTGGAGTTTGGGGAGGAGGTGCTGGGGGTTGCGCGACGGATTACTTGAGGGTGTGGGAAGGAAAAGATGGCTTTATGCCACGTTTATATCATTGGCAATGCCTGGTACACGACCTGGCAATTGAAAAGGCGGTCGGCCACAGGCGGCCGTTCATTGGAATATTTTCGAGGGTTTGGGGTCCTTACATCACTTAAATATATTCCGCATGTATAGGTAATTACTCGAAGAAATAATACTGTCACTCCTTGGCTGTCGATTGTGGGACCGCACCTGCAGTATCGCGAGCGAGCCAGGACGCAAGCCCTTCTTCAACTTCCCACCACTCGTCCTTCTCGTCATGGCGTCAAAGCACCCCACCAACGATATTGATCCCGCTCACAAATTTGACTGCGGCGACCGCTTCAGCTCGGACACCTCATAAGCCCCAAAGATCGTATCTTGCCATGCCATTTCCATCAGATCTCGTACCCTCAATCCTGACTCTAGCGCTCCTGGATATATTGATCCATAACAAGACCCGACGTCTTCATCTTCCTCGTTTTCCAACTCCTTCCCATCCCAATCACTCGCGTCTTCCAACTAATTTCCCTCTCGCCGAACACTCCTAGCGCGCCAATGCGGCTTAAAGATCCTGGGTGTCAGAGCCGGTTTCGGCCTCATCGCGCCTTGAAGCCATCTCTCGGGTTCAATGAAATTCCCAGCCTCATGGTCTTCGCCATGGTCATCGTCGTTCTTCCAGTCATCCCAGACTTGGCCATCGTCCTTGTAGACGTCGATTCCCCGGTCGATTGAGGCCCACTTAATGCAGTCAATCGTTTCGCATTCAGCGGCCGTAGTGCAGTATGACACTTTCATGTCCTCGACGCTGGGATGTTGTCTCTGGAAGTAGTGAGCGGCAAGGGCCATCGTTATGTGGAGGCCGAGTTGTTGATTGGGCAAAGGCGGAAATTCCGGACATTGTTGTGCGTCGAAAAGGAGAGGCCTGTTGGGTTTTCGATCGAGCCACGGGAGCGAGAGGCGGATAGTGAGGGATTTGAGGCGTGTGTTTTCGCTATCTTGAGTTATAGAGGATGGCTGGAATTGGCCTTCCGAGGCTTTGGAAAGAGGTGCGACTGGCTGAACCGAATCATTAAAATTCCCAGCGGTTTCTAGGTCTTCGCTATCTTTCTTGTCGTGATTCCTGGGATCTTCAACAAGACCTGCTTGTCTACGTAGCTGGTGTATGTCTTGAACACCGAGCACAGCGGGGCAGACATGACGCAGACGAAGACGGACATGCTCAGCCCTAAGAATGCACGGCTTCAAGTCTGGGCAAAGATGTTTAGAATTCGAGCCATTGCCAGCTACAAGACCAGTGCCTGCGAGATCCAATGTCAGATATTTGAGATTGATTGGCAGGTGTTGTACAAATTGTCGCATGGTTGGGTAAAGGAGGTAGTCCCATTGAGGGACGGGGTTTTCATCAAAGCCATGGAAGGCCTGGAACGCGACCTCTCTGAGCGCAGAGAAACTTGATATCAGCTGTGAAAATCCATTCAGTCCGTCTGCCATCTTCTTTTGCCATACGGGAGGATTGAACACGGCGGGCTGAATACTTGTTGAGGCCACAGACTTTTCGTCATCTTCTGCGTCGTCATCTGCCTCATCCTCTTTCCCCACACCGTTGCCAATGTTCGCGCCCATCTCAAAAAATGGCGCCATTGTGATTCTATTGGACGGCTGCCCTTGAAGTCTCAGCGCCACCCTTTGGACATTGCGGGACAGAGCGGTTCCTGCCTGTGTAGCTGGGGCAGGTATCGTGGCCAGGTCATCTGCAGACAGACCCAGCGACTTGTATTGACTCTTCTCAATCTCTGCGTAGTATATCTGCACAGCTGCGTCGTACCATTGTCGGCAGGTCCAGAAATGGGCCGGTACCTTGTGACCTGGTGATATTTGGAAAGCATTGGGGAAGCGTCGTCTTCGGATCGGTTCAAGAAACTCGATGATACGCTGTAGGACATCGAAAGGCAAATCCAGCAAACGCAACATCTTTGCAGTGGTAATGCGCGCATGTAAGGTCTGATTCCACTCTAGAGAAACTGTTTTAGTAGCAGTTGTCAGGACGCGAGGGGATGTCTTGGCAAGTCCGGCATTAAGGTGGGAATAAGTTATTGGACGGTTTATAAATAGAATGTCTTGGCATCCTCGGCATCGCTCATTTTATCAAGTGCAAAACAATGTCCTTTCACGATATGCGAGCACGGTGATAAATGTAATGGCAAGGCTCGCAATAAGGCAGGAAGAAGCCTTCTCACTATGAGCTCACACATGAAGCTCAATTTTTACCCAGTAACGACGTCTAGTATTTACTATGGTGTATATCATGCCTATTGATCATCAGTCCTCTAGCAGGGAAGATGCAGAATAATCCTCACTTTTAGTCGCCAACCAATGCATTCTTTCCAAAGCTATGTAATGACGACAGCGCATCGTACATAGTGAAACTCGATATCTTTCTCGAACCTAGTAACTGACACTTACAGGACTGCGTTATTAGAGACAATCGTCGTATTCTCTCGAGAAGGAATCAAGAATTTCTGTTCTGGACCTGGAAACTTTGTGAAGACCATAAAACCGACAACCTTATTATTCAATACCAGATACCCATCCCACTCCGTCCAAACTCTATCTTGTTCGAGAAGTTCAGCAATCTGTCTCAAGGCCATCAGAATCCACCGGTATTTTAACATGGGTTGCTCAGGCTCGCGACGCTTCCTGAATTGGATGCCATAACCGGCTTCGTCGTCATAGATAAATATGATCTGGGTTTCTTCTTCGAGATTGTGAAGCCCAACTTGGCCGATAAAGGAGATCATAGAGAATAGCAAACGGAGAGACGATACAGGATCGTGAGTGTGATATTTAATTGCTACTTTGAAGGTGTCTGCCCCAAGCCTCTCATCCATTGAAACCGCTTGAGGCAACCCATCTGAAGGGCTTCGTTGAGTAGAATTGAAGGCTGAGTCACGGTCACCACTGGCGAGTGTAGCATTCCCTGCAGTGGAATACGTATCAATGGAGCGAACGACAATGCCACCGATACTGCTGCCATTTTCCTCGACAGATATGATACACGTTTGGAAATAAGACACTGTGCTTATCAAATGGCTTGCATACCACATGACAGCTAGTGCAGCTCTGTGGGTGAATTGTGGTTCAATCGCACGCATTCGAACATGAATCAGTTGGTCTTCCCAGTCGCCTTGCCCAAACGGCTTCTCCGGTGTGTTGGCGACGGCTATGTCGAACGCGATCTTTAGATAAATTGAGATTGTCTGCAAGCCGTCCAACTGATGAGGTTGAAAATCGCCATATTTTATGTCGAAATCGCCGAAGACTGCTGGTAAATTTAGGCTAGTTGAGGCCGTGACATTGGACAATAAATTAGTTGAGCCTTGCTCATCCCCGAGGGAGCCAAAACAAAAATAAGAACGAAGATTCGACGCGAGCAAAAGTGTTATGAGCAGGTATCCCATTGGAGCTTAGATTCCGCGTACAGAAGTTGTTGCAGAAGGAGCTTTCTCGTATACTGCAGTCTGCAAAGTCGAGGTTTTGAAGCGCACTGGACGCGCAACGATATGGCTGGTGGTTGGCCGCAACTCTGCGGATCAGCGCACTTGGCTTCGAGAAACATGGGACCAAAATAACTTAAGCAGGCGCAAGACATTCACTCGCTGAGAGCTCAAATCTCTTGGCAAGATCAACCAAAACTCATCATCCGACACCTCCAGTCATGCGCTGCTCACTTGTAAAGCGGAGCATACCAGCGCAGATACATTAGACAGTGCATGAGTTTCGGACACTGAAGAGATGAGAAAACTACCTATTGTCACGTTATTTGCAAGCTGTTGTGACTGAGTCTATAGTGCAGTAATGACACTACATAGTGCTCGCTTGCAGTCATTGAAGTCGATGTATTCATGAGGTGCAACTCCTTCATAGCTTTGATAAATGTCTGGTGGTTTTCGAATGGGTTGGCGGCAATCATAGCTCTCCCAAAATTCTGGACACTTTCAGTATCCCTTACGATCTCGCGGATCAAGATTCGGATTGGCAGGACGGAACTCTGTCATCACGCCATCCTCACAGATAATAGACACAGCTCTGGAGTTATTTACCTTGACGCGTATTACTCGAACGTGATCGACACTGGAAAAGATGTGGAGCTCATCTTGCTGTCTGAAATTGACTCCGAAGTGCTCTCTTTTCGAGAGGCGTATAATGATGGGTACCACGTACGGCAAGACGGGTTTGATCTGTACTTCGTCATGCTGATCCAAAGAAATGAGGATGGGCTAATTGCAAAGAGTACAGAGTTCAGACAGATCCATCAGAAGGCTGTGCACAATTCTTTGGGCGCTCGCCCCGCTTGGTAGGAGATATTGCTTGCTTGAGAAGGCGATGGAAAAGACGATCGCCTTAGACTGGTGGTCTGGGTCTGTCGGAGTAAACGCAGCATGCATTTCGTTACTGTATCGGGTTTGGAGAAGAGATGTTGGGAACAAGGGACTCGTGGTTGAAACGGGTGCGACGGATTGCACAGCCTCTTTAGAATATGTGCTAATGCCTTGATGAAACACCATTCGTCGTTGGTTCCTGATGTCACATACTACGATACACATGGCTAAATGGCTGCTGACAATCCTGTCTCTATCACCGGTAATGCCTCGTCATGGGACAAAATCCGCAAACCCCGGACAGACTTGGACGAATTGCGCATACCGTGAAGATCAATGAAAAGTAGGCGATGCAGACCAAGTGGGATGCTAAGCCCCACTGCTAATCGCTTCATATGATAGGGGATTCGGCTAGAACCAAAGGTCTCGCAGAACAAAGGATTGGAATATGAAACTCTGAATCTACTTGGAGCCAATGAAACAAATCCAAAAGCTTACCAGCTTGCCCGGCCATGCTGGCACCTTATCTGCGTGCATGTGGCGTATGATGTTTCGCACTGCAGACCTACCCACACCTCCTAGAACGCTAACGATGCCGCGCCCCAATCTCAGCCTTGTCACTCCTACAAAGAGTTAGAGGGCGGGGTCACTGATGATTTTGCTTCTCGAAAAGACAAAGGCAGTCTCTAATGTGCTGCTTTCCATTAATCAGAGGGGGTGAGGGCTCTAATATAAGATTCTAACGATCTCGCATCTTACTTTGCACAAGCAATCAATAGCTATCGAGAAAAGCTCGTCTTCTTGGAATCGCAGTTGGTCACTGAGCACTAGGTCTCTAGCCTCATCACCAAAATGAAGCAAACGTCAGTGCAAGCTTCACACACAAGTTCTAACCCAATTGACAAGAACGGTCTTTGTCTCTTGTCCCTCGATGGAGGTGGCGTTCGGGGTCTCTCGAGCCTCCGCATTCTCAAAAGAATAATGGACGAAGTCAATAGACTTCGCAAAGAGCGAGGTCTACGATCGCGTTTGCCATGCGAGATCTTTGACATGATCGGCGGAACATCAACTGGAGGGTACGATACCACCACCATCTGCCACTCTTCTTGCTAAGTCCTTCACTAGTCTCATAGCGATCATGCTGGGTCGACTCAAAATGAACGTTGAAGACTGTCTGAAGGTCTACGAAGATCTTATGGGAACCATATTTGGGACTAAGGCTCACTATTTGCCTATCTCAGCGTCCGCGAATGTCCATGCACGGTACGATCCAAAGCGAGTCAAGCAGGCTATAGAGGAAGTGCTCCGCAAACACGGTCTTCCGGAAGATTGTCCGCTCCATGATGAATTAGATCAGAGATGTAGAGTGTTCGTGCAGATATTAGTGTTATTGGAGCTCTACTGACCCTTCGGTAGCTTTGTGTGTTGCGTCGCCAAGGGCACTACGACGGCTGAGCGAATCCGTAGCTACGACCAGAAGCTACATCGCAACATTTCCGCAACAATCTCGCAAGCTGCTTTGGCCACCTCGGCTGCAACAAGTTACTTTCCACATGTCACGATTGGGCCCAGTGAGTACGTAGATGGGGCTTTGCTCGTGAATAATCCTGTTACAGAGGTAGAGTCAGAGGCACAGGGCCTCTGGGGCTCCGACCAGGCCGAATTGAAATCTCTTGTCAAGTGCTTTCTTTCAATTGGGACTGGCACCCCAGCGAAAAAGGCCGTGGCGGACAACTTATTCAAATTGGCGGGTAGCATGAAGGATATTGTGACAGATACAGAAGCAACAAATCAAAAGTTTCAAGATAGATGGCGGGGGAAGCTGAATGAGAGACGATTGTTCCGCTTCGATGTAGCTCGAGGACTACAGGATATTGACCTGGCCGACTATACGAAGCAGGGTACCATCGTGGAACTTACGGAGGAGTATATGGATGAGGCAGACGCACAGATCAAGCTCCAAGCTTGTACAGAGAACCTTATGGGAAAAGAATGTAAGTGCAACAAGCCATTCCTACGCAACAGATGTTTGAAATGGGAGCAGTGTCTCATGAGCACTGACAATGCGGCCAGTGCAAGGTACTCCCTTACAATTTCGCGAAACAGTCATAGTAAGATTCATGAAAAGATCTTCGCGATTCTTGCTAAGAAGGCACAGTCATACACACTTCGAGAAGTGCAGGGTAGTTATGATCTTAAAGAACTGCGTGAATGCAGAGCTGTGCTTCGCGTTACCAATGTCGAAAAAGATAGAGAGGACTTGAGAGCTAAAAAGGGCACCAGAGTGCCCGGAACTTGCGAGTGGATCATAAAAGATACGCTGTATCAGGAGTGGCAGGGATCAGGTCCTGATGCGCTCTGGATTACAGCAGACCCCGGTCGAGGAAAGACAATGCTTTCGCTATTCATTCTCGAGCATATTGAAAGATCTGTCGGACAATCGATTAACTCTCCTGACTCTACGGTACAAGATCAAGATGAAAAGGAGATTGATCTGTATTACTTCTTCTGCAGTAGCGAGGAGGGCAGTCGCCGAAGCGCTTTGTCGGTTTTCAGGAATCTGATAAGTCAAATTGTCAGTAAACACCAAGATCTCATGAAGCACGTGTTAGATTATCTTAGTAACAATCGACCAATACACCATGTGGACAATCAGCCGGAAAATGGAAGCCGACAGAAATCTAAGAATGAGGAAAAGAAAGATCAGCCTTCTCGAGCCGCAAACATTCAGACTTCAACCGAGCAAAGATTCCCTGCGCAAACCAAATTTGTGAAAAGCCTTCTTCGTTCGGCCGGCAAGCCTGAGAATGACAGCGAGCCGCACATTGAAGCGCAGACGCACAAGCAGTCGGGTGATAGATCGACAAACAAGTCACGTTTCCTGCATAGCATGTTGGGTAAGACTGGCAAAGTGGAACAAGGTAACGATGATTCCGAAGATCAGCAAGAGACACGTCGAGGAAGTGCTTCAGGTAGCTCTGTCGAGACTCCCGAGCGAGATTCACCAAAATCTCGTCAGCTCGAGCTGCTTGATGTCAGTGAACTCTCGTTCATTCTGAGAAAGCTAATCCGAGAGCTGCCGGTTGATAAGGCATATTTCCTCCTGGACGGTGTCGATGAATGTCTTGAAGAAGACCATGAAGTTCTCACATTAACCTTGCTCAAGCTGTGGGATGTTGAGCCTGGAAAATTCAAGATTCTCTTCGTCAGTCGATTCATTGGCGGAATGGGTGCAACACCAACCATCAGGCTGAAAGACACCGAGCAGACGAAAGGTGACATTGAAAAGTTTGTTGCGAGGAGTGTTGAAGAGCTTGGATACGTCAAGGGTCTCGATACAATCCAAGGAGAGGTAGAACAAAAGCTCTCCGACGGTGCAGAAGGAACATTCTTGTGGGTCAGCCTTGTGATACGCGAGCTCAAGAAGAAAAAGACTTGCACGGAAATCCTAGATGCAATCAGGGATGTCCCACCGGGTCTTGATGACATGTACAAAGACATGCTGCGTCACATCGAGCCAAAACACCAACGAAATGTATACCAAATTCTTCGTTGGGTCGTCGCAGCTGTCCGACCTCTCACTTTGCAAGAGCTTTCTGAGGTGATTGGGACCCAGCCATCGGAGTCAGTGTCAGAACAATCTGTGCTCGACAGTGTAACCACAACTGAAGGTCTCTTAAAGGTTTCGGGTAACGAGGTGACACTTATTCATTCCTCAGCCAGAGACTTCCTGGTCAATTTTGACACTAGTAACGTCGAAGCTTTGAAACGAGCCCCTGAAGAGATTGAGGCCCTTCATTGTGAAATCGCTCAGTATTGCTATGAAGTCATTTTGCGAAGCAATCTCAGACGGTCCGAGATCAAAATCAGCGAGCGCCCCGACACAGCAGAGCCTAAAATGCTCAAGTACGCGATCAAATACTGGATGGAACATGTGAAACTTTCTAATTGGGCTGAAGATAATTTCAATCCGAATGATGAATTTTTCCAAAAAGACTCGAAGCTGCGCAAGAATTGGTGGACCGCTCACTTGGAAGATTCACAGAATGACGACCCTAAAAGTTTCAACGTCGCATCTTTCTTACACCTGGCCGCCTATTTTGGAATAGTACCATGGATCAAACCAGCGTTTGATGGCAAAGGCTGGATCTCAAATAAGGCAACGATGCTGATGGAGCTGGATCATTATTGGAGGACACCTCTCCATATCGCAGTAGAGCAAGGTCATGGGCCTGTCGTATCACTTCTGCTTGATCAAGGGGTGAACATCGAAAAACGAGAGGCTAGTCTTTTTGCCACACCGTTACATCTGGCGGCGCGGAATGGCCATAAGAACATCTGCGAGATCTTGCTCGAACACAAAGCAAAAATAAACGCGCGTAATCGTTTCGACTCTACTCCGCTGACAGAAGCAGCTCGAGGAGGCCATATCAACGTTGTCGAACTCCTAGTAAGACGAGGCGCTGACATCAATGGTTCCATAGACAAAACGCGAAAGTCTCTACACCGACAGATATCCAATCTGCCAGGTTATACCGAACGAGCACTTGGACGGATCGAGGCTCTTGAATATGCCGAACGATCAACGCCAATGATTGAAGCGGCTCGCCAGAACCATGCTAAAATTATCAGATATTTGAGTGCAAACGGCGCGAATGTGGAAGCGAAGACCCTGGCAGGATACAACGCTCTACATATTGCGGCCTATCATGGTCAAGTCAAAGCGCTAGATGCATTGGTCGATGTTGGCGCTCTTTTGGAGGCTAAAGATGATCATACTCATACACCGTTGTTCATGGCATCATGGCAAAACCACCCAGATGCTGTGAGGTGGTTACTAGACCATCAGGCCGACAGTGAGGCCGCCACAAGCTGGGGGTTCACCCCTCTCCTTGTTGCATCCGTGAATGGGTACGTGGAGCCAATGAAGATCTTACTCGGTGCCCAGGCGAAGCATGAGGCCAAAGATGAAAATGGATATACCTCTCTGTCTGTTGCGGCTAAGAATGGCAAAGTGGCTGCAGTGCAGCTCTTGATAGATTCTGGCGCTGAAGTCAATACCGAGGATAACGTGGGAAACATACCATTGTCGCGCGCGATACATGAAAACCTCACGGACGAGCATATAGAGGTGATTCAATTGCTTTTGAAACATGGCGCAAAGGTGAACCATGAGGACAAGAACGGTCTCACACCATTGATGAAAGCAGCACAGCTGAGCAACGGAGATGCAGCAAGCGTTTTGCAGCATCTCCTAGAGGCTGGTGCGACTCTTGATGCAACAGACAAGAGAGGACAAACAGCATTTATGCATGGCTTCAAGTGGGGTTCGAACAAAACCCAAGAGTTCTTAATGAGTAAAGGCGCGGTCATCAATGCAAGAGACAATCTGGGCGACGATGCACTGATCATTGCTGCTGGTTTCTCGAATCCCAGCGCTGTTACCTTATTACTCGAGCATGGGGCCGATATCAAAACCCGTAACACCTTAGGTATAACGCCACTGATAAAGGCAGCCAGCTGTGGCTTGTATACCACAGTTGAGCTGTTGCTAGATCGCGGCGCAGACATCGCGGTACTAGACGAAGAAGGCAAATCAGCAATCGATCATGCTGCAGCGAGAGAGCGAGGAAATGTCATGAAGATCTTGAAAGCTAGAGGAGCTAGTCGCGAGAACCTGAGAATCCAAGACCGTGCTTTCGTCGGCCTGTCGACTGTGGAAGTCTACCGGCCTGTGGAAGATTGTAGGATCAGTGAGCGCGAATGGGAGAATCGGGAGTTGAACAGATTAGCGACATCCTCACTCGGTGAGGAGAGTGGCGATCAGAGTGCGAAGGATCAAAGTGCGCGTGAAGAGCCAGCAGATCTCACCGAGAATTCTGGCTTGAGCACGAATGTCGCCAAAGAAGGCGAGTTATAATTATAGGAAAGTCGGGATGAATAACATGCAAGCTGTCGAAAGCCAGACCGAATTCCCAAACTCCTAATCTCAGGTGCTGGGGTGGATTTTGTTGTGTTATTTGCATTGTTCTACACCAAGTTTCAAAGCCTCATTGTCTGCCTCGGACTGAAACCCTTGTTTGAGCGCACAGGCACTCGTCACAGCAAAACCAGAGTCTGAAACTCAGGCAGCACAGACAATACGCAGGAGTCGTGCGACACGCGACATGCAGATAAAAAAAGCGTGTTCGTTCATTCAAATGATAGCTGCGCTTAGTAGTATTCGAGAAGGCCAGAGGACTCGTTAGCACAGCCTGCCTGTACTTACCATTGGGCATAGCCGCGCGAATGCTTCGGCGAGCCTCGACTTGGGAGCCTAGAATCAACTTCGCTGGAAGCGCCAGCATCGACTGGTGAAGTCATTAAACGAGCTGTACAGCGTTACTTTCTTCGACAAAATCAGGTCAACGACAAATTAATCTATTGAGTATCAGAAAAATGGTCTTGAACGCTCATCATTTAGGGCTTGCAAGGCTACTGCTTCCAATATTTCGCGCTCTGCAACCTCTTGAGGGAAATTTGATACCCATCGCGAGGCGCGGATCTCGGGTCCTGAAAGCATGGCAAAGCAGTGTGTGCTTCTATGCAGTACTGACATCCATGGTTCTCGTCGTCAATCTCGGCTTCACTGTGTGGGCCAGTGTATCTTTCCCGACGACGCAGGGTATCACTGTTCTATACGAGGGAAGCTGCTCAACAGTATCTGCCTGGGATACGTGGTTGCATCTGGCTATCAATGTCTTGAGTATCCTTTTGCTCAGTGGTGAGCTTCTACGTCCGAGCGACATGCCACTTCTCAGTATTTTGTCTGGCTCATTGTAGCTCGTACTAAATCTCTCAGGTTCCAGCTATACGATGCAATGCTTGGTTGCACCTACCAGATCTGAGATTGACAAGGCCCACATGAAGGGTTCGTGGTTGGATATTGGGGTCCCCAGTCTACGCAACCTGCGGAGTATCAGTGCAAAGCGAACAGTGGCATGGATAATGCTGGCCCTGAGCTCGATTCCTTTGGCATTGATGTAAGTCTGAACTGGCGCATCGACAGACAAGAATCCAAGCCTGCTGAGGTACTGAACCTTATCTTATTCAGATATAATTCGATGATTTTCAAGGCGATAGCTTCTCATGACTACAATATCTACACTGTTTATGAAGAGTTCCTTGAAGGAACATCAATGAAATTTGACGGCATGGATGATGAAGAACCTTTATCTGACGGCTATGTCACATACTCATCAGAAAAGCAGCTTTTTGAGATGATGCGGGCATCGCCTCAATCGTATCGGCCACTCAGCCCGCAACAATGTATCAATCAATATTCAGAAAAGATTCTATCGAACAAAAAGGATCTTTTGGTCATTGCTACACACAAACAATCAAACATATCCCGCTTCCCACCTGATATAAATGTCCAACTCAATATTTCTGTAGAATCTAATTCAGACGTTCGATATGGCCAAGGTACTGTGGCAGCTGCGAATTGGATGTGTTCTACCTCATTGGACGACTATGTGAAACGCTATGGTTTCCAAACGTGCGATACCAGCCGATTAGATGCTGCTCATTGGAGGCCGTTTGGTTTCGAGGCAAACGGCTGTAAAAGTGAGCACGTGGCAGAGAAGTGTCGACTGGAGTTCAGCTCTACCATTGGAATCATAGTGGTGATTTGCAATAGCATTAAAGCTATTACAATGATACTCACTGTTTCCAAATGTGATAAAAGAACTTTGTGCACGCTAGGGTAAGTGGCGCAAGAGATGCTATCAAGTTCACGTTAGTGACGTACTTTTAGTGACGCTATCACTTCATTCTTGACACTGCCGGACTCCCTGAACGATGAAAAGGGTCTCACAGGCTACCCACAGACCTCTGGTTGCGCAGCTGTCTGTAGCAAAGTGACGAAAAGTGATATCACTAACTACCAAGGCTCGCAATACTGGCTTAGGATGGCAAGCCCTAGGCGTTTCATCATACTTATCATAATGTAAGCATGATTCCTTCTATGAAAAAGTCATTGTATGAACATGAATCAGATGCGTTCCAATGCTGGCTGCGGTCAGTGCTCTTTTCGCACTTAGCCTATCAGGGCTCAAAGCTCGCAATTCGCCGACGGACATATCCTCTCTATGGACACTTGGATTTGGCCAAGTTTCTGCAGATAGTCTGATCCTCTCGAACGAGTTCCTGGAAAACAGTCACTCGAACAGGCTGCTGGGCTTCGTGCTGTTGGCAAACTTGCCGCAAGGAATGCTCAGTATCCTGTATCTTTTGTATAATAGCATCCTGACCTGTATGCTTATGGAGAAAGAGTACCAAAGCTATGCTCGCGAGAGAAAGCCTCTTCGCGTATCTAATCCTGTACAGGGTCAGAAAGCTACCTATTACCTACAACTCCCCTTTCGATACGCTATTCCACTTATCATACTCTCCGGCGTCATGCACTGGCTGATTTCCCAAGCCTTCTTCATTGCCCACATCGTTGCATATGATAGCTTGGGCGAACGAGATCTTTACAGCGATATCATCACTTGTGGATACTCGCCTATTGGAATAATCTTCACCCTCATTCTAGGAGTCCTGATGCTTGCTTGTCTAGCGATCATCAGTTTCCGTAAGATTGAACTAGTAATGCCGGTCGCGAAGAATAGGAGTTTCGCAATAAGAGACGCTTGTCACCGGCTATCAAATGATACCAACGCTGCCAATTTACCTATCATGTGGGGTATCATTCATGATGAGGATGGGGTCGAGCATCATACATTTTCTAGTCTTGATGTCAAACAACCACTAAATGTCCTCATGACTGTCTAACAATTAGATATAAAAGAAAGAACTATGAACGCAGGCTAAGATTTCGGAAGTCGCAGGTCTCTGACTCGAACAGTCCTAATGCAGAAGTGTTTTCAAAACGCGCTCTATCGACCGTCGCGACATCTTTTAGATATCGATTGCGATTCAGGTCTAGATCAAGTACAACAGCCAACGTTGATTGAGTCCGCCGTTCGACTCCCAGGCGTAGATATTATTGCTGTTGTGATCATATCCAGCAGCGAGGTCAAGTACCAACCTTGGATAGCGGACGCTCTGGAACCTGAATGGACCAAGTCAGTGATTTATGCAGTCCACGACTTCGTATCAAGTACCAAACGTGAGAGCCTTCCTGATACAGATACCAATGCCCGTCAGGCTTGTCAGACGAGTCGTCTGTCAAATACACCATTTGGTTCTTTCCTACCACCAAAGATGTTAGCACAGGTGTCCACATCAGATGACCATGGCCTAACCATTGGCGACAACACGCTTCTGTTCGAGGGCGCTGGATATCCGGTATATATTATCTCGAACGGACACCAAGTACCAGAGCTGTGCCGTATTGTTACAGTCTTCCCTTATAATCTATCAGTACAATTATGAGTATTTACTAAGTCAACATGTTTGCAGACCAGCCTGTAGCACGACCCTCCTCAACGTTCAACATAGATCCCGCCTGTACATTCTTTAGACGGCAAAGAATTCGATTATCGCCATTCTCTCTACCATCAGCAGTATACCCAGACATCGTCCTGCGCGACTATCTAGGATCTAAGGAGTAATCGAATATTGACCAATCCTCGAGATATATCAACACAGCAGGGAAAGTCCTTTGAAGGCAGTGAGAGGGAACATAAACAAGACGAGATGCAACGCTCTCAGAGCTAATAATATGAATGATCGTGCTGCTTAACGCAAGCTACAACGATGACCTGGGGACCCGTGACTGGGTTTTTGGCTCAGCGCTTGCAGGTGACAAGCCATGCATTAGCGTGTGTGACCCATTGATCCCCGGCAAATCGGGTCGACGCTTGGTTGGGCGATTCTGTCACTTCAAGCCTCCTGCAGCGCGCTCATTGCTTGTGAATTTCCGAAGATCTGGCCTAGGCCTTGGAAGCCTTACTAACTCCCCGGAAGTGTGGGGGCAAGATAGGGGCCAGACCGAGCCGGAGCGAGAACTCTTTGACCCTACATGACGGCGGCGCCGGTGCCGATCTTGTGGCTTGGGGCCAGATCTCTTTCTCTAGCCTGAGCACGGACCCTTACTTGCAGTCACACACAACATATAGATTAACGCTTCACCCGGGCTTTGTTGGGTGCTTAGCTTCTCTGCGATAGATATGAACAACTGCGCTCATCGAAAGAATATCCACATTTCTCAAGTACATTCTCACAGCCTGTGAATCTTTAAATGTGGTTGAGTATGCATGAAGAAAACAGAATCGGTCCGTTGGTCACGGCTATTCGAATTCTCGTTCAATCGATGCGAAGATCTTGTACCGCTCTTGTTGGACAAGCATTGGTTCACCCATAATGGCTTTAGCAATCGCGCAGGCAGCGCAATTGAAACCTGAACTCAAACTTTCACAAGCACTACATGAGTACGAAACAATACTTTCAGATGAAGAGAGGTTCCGACTCCACTCTCAGGGTCCGCCAGACGCTATGGCTGCCATCAAACTCACAACTTTGATCGACGAGAAATGCAACAGTGACCGCAGACAATGCATGGGACCAAGACTTATTACATTCCTCGAATCGGTTCAGCAATTCAATAATGTAGTTGATGGGTTTGTCAGCTCTCGTCCTGAAGTTGCGGCATTAGTATGGGGAGGGGTCAAGTTGGCTTTACTTGTAGATCTGTCCGTCTGATATAAAGATCGTATCTGACTCTGGCAGGCAGCCAACAATCTTACGACATATTTTGATCAGCTATCGACCCTTCTCATGAACATAGGCCGACAATGCCCGCGTATTCATGAATTGGGTTCCTTGTACCCATCAGTAGGATTGCAAAGAGCTCTCTGTGAGTATTACGTATCTGTTATACGACTTTGTAAGCACATTAAACAGTCTCTTCAGAAATCGGGTAAGTAATACCGCTGATTTTCGCCTCTCCATGGCTTCAGTTTGATGTCAGCAAATGCTTAGGCTATTCTAGTATACTTACAATTGTCGAAGGCCTTGCTAGTGTCATTCAAGACTGAGTTTGGTCCGTACGAAGCGGAAATTGCGATTATCTCTGAAGCGGTCCGAGAAGAAGTGCAACTAGCATCGATGCAGGCCCAGAAATTGGAAAATGAGCTACAAGCTAGAGAGCGATTGAAGAACAGCAACAGCCGCAACGTCATCGTCAAAATAAAGCGTAAGCTCGATCGTACCACTGAGGAAAGTAATAAACGGCACTTGGCAATCGATCACAGACGATATGAGCGAGCGAAGCGGGAGGCCCTGGACTGGCTCTCTCTCTACGATTACCAAAGCACTTACAGGCAGATTCGCAAGGCGTGCATCCCCGGGACGTCACTATGGATATGTGATACACTAGAATTTCGGTCTTGGTTGAATGAAAAGTCTCAAACTCTTTGGTTCACTGGCAGGTGTAAGCTTACTGCGACTTTCGATTATGTGTTGCTGACGACCGACACAGTAGGGTCTGGTAAATCAGTGACAAGGTCTCGTTGCATGTGCACGTCAAGGCAAGATTGCGCTAACAAAATTTCCTAGTGCATGTGTGATCGCTCACTTGATTGAAATTCTAACGCCCAGAAATGTCGTCGCTTTCTTCTTCTGCCGTTTTGACAATCATGAATCTGTGCAAGCAAAAACTATCAATGGAAGTATCGCAAGACAGCTCGTCATGGACTTACCTGCAGCTACATTACAAGATTTCGTGGGCAAAGATACCAATGGGGTAGTCAGCATCAGCGTACTAGAGAGGACTTTGGACCCCAGTCGTCAATACTTCATTGTATTGGATGGGTTGGACGAATGCAAAGAAGTTGAGATCAAAGATGTCACGGAGTTTTTCTATGGTCTCTTGCTTTCACCAGTATTGCGAGTGAAAATATTTTGGTCAAGTCGCCCCAATGCAAATGTTTGGCTGACAGAGAAAAGCCTGGCCCGCCAACGTATCAATTTGGAAAGCATTAAGTACCGTGACATGGTCGCCCACGATATCTGCAAATTCCTCCGCGTGACGCTTGAAGGATACTTAGAAGGGGATACACCGAAGCTGGAAATTAATGATCCGTCTCTCGCCCTCACTATTCGAGATCATCTTGAGCGAAAAGCCCAAGGGATGTAAGGGGTTCATTCTTCCCATGCCAAAACTCACCTAATCTTGATGTGAAGGTTTCTCTGGGTGAAGTATCAACTTCAAACACTGTGCAAGAAGAAATCGGACACCGAGATTCTTGATGCTTTGGACCATCTTCCACGAGATCTTCCACAAACATACGAAAGAATTCTGTCCCAGTATAATGAGCCAGATGATATAGAGATTGGACAGCGAATATTTCGATGGACAGCCATTGCAAAGCGGCCTCTTACAGTCGATGAGCTACAAGAAGCAATCGTAATCCAGCCATTGCAAGAGACTCGGGATTCCCATTCCTGTATCAACAACATGCAAAAGGCGTTAGCGTGCTGCGGTAATCTTGTCTTTGTGGACGAAGAAAAGCAGACCATACATTTCACGCATAGTAGCGTCAGACAGTATCTACTCTCGGACTCGATTGAAGCCTCCCTGAAGGATTACTCCATTGATGTGGAGAAAACTGAATCGGAGGCGGGAGCAATTTGTGTCACCTATCTCAATTTTCCAGAATTTGAGAAGCAAATCGCGCGGCCAGTCAGAAGAAGCATCAATCCTTCAAACATTACATCTACCGTCGTGAGAAATAGCCTCAGTCCCGGGACCACTGCTAACAAAATCGCTCTTCGTTTCCTCAGAGAGGATACCAAATCTAGCAAGTCCGTCCAACGTCTTTTCGAAGAGGCATCAGGGGATACCGAACAGCATCGTCAACAGAGCCTTCTCAGACAATTTGCATTTAAATCCTACGCAGAGCGATTCTGGCTTGATCATACTAAGGAAGATTTCGACTTGTACCCCAAGCTTCTAAGACTTTGGTATAAGTTGATCCAAGAGGCTGGCTGGCGCGATACTTTGTCCGGCGTGCCTTGGACAATTGATGACTGGAATAATCGGACTGACAAGGTTATGCATTGGATTGCGGCAAACAAACATTGCTCGTTAGCAAAACAGATGTTTGCCTCAGAAGGATTACACGAGGAGAATATTGAAATCTTGATCAAAGGAGCTGCATCAAGAGGATTTCTCAGGCTTTTGACGATTACTCTAGACTCAGGACGGGCTTCGCAGCCAAGCTTGGATGCAGCCTTACTATCAGGGGCTGGTGCTGGACATATCGCCATTGTAGAGACACTGCTACAAAAGAAAGCAAATGTCAATGCCATTGCCAAAGATACTTGTGCTAGAAAACTGCTTCCGGCTTTATCTAAAGACGTGCAGCCAGTGAGAGTGCAATTGTTGATCCAAGAACGGGCCAAGATTAATTTCGCCACCAGTTACAAGTGCAGGACAGCAATGCAAGCAGCAAGTAGGCATGGATTCCTTGCAGTCGTAGAGAGACTCCTTGAAGAAAACGCAGATGTCAACGCTACCGCCGGTTATGATGGCAGGACTGCCCTTCAAGCGGCAGCTAGGAGTGGACATCTAGCTGTTCTTGAAAGGCTAATTCAGGCGCAAGCTAATGTCAGTGCAGATGCTGCAGAATGCAACGGGAGGACTGCTCTCCAGGCAGCAGCAGAAGGTGGACATCTGGACGTGGTCGAGACATTGCTTGAAACAGGTGCTGAGGTGAATGCGCCTGCGGCGAGATTTAACGGTGTTACTGCGTTGGAAGCAGCAACAAAGGGCGGGCATTTAGAGATACGCGATCGGCTAGTTAGTGCAGGTGCTACGTAGCTGCTTCCAATGACCATTTTCCTTGAAGGTCTTTAAGACAACGATCAGCGTGAAAGCGTTAATAGATCGCCCGCGACGAGACTGAAAATCGGACATCCCCAGAGTGTTTCTATAATGCTTTGCGTAGAAGCCTTTGGCAGATCTCAATGAGAGTCTTCAATAGGCGAAAGAAGCGACGAGCGATAGTCTTTACTATTTTGCGACACTGAATCGCTTTTTAAAATAGCTAAACTTAATAAAGAACTAACTTTAAAAAAAGTAAAATTAAATATTAAAATTAAGAAGCTTTATTAGCTAAGCTAGCTAAACTAGAATAATAATAATATAAATAAATCTTTATAAAATATAATTAATTAAGCTAAAATAATTAATTAAGATAAAGATATATTTAAATTAATAAAGCTAATAATAAAATTATATAAAACTAAATTTATATAAATTTATATAGAAAATATAATTAAGTTAATTAAATTAATAATAAAAATATTTATATTTATATTTATATAAAAAGTATAATTAAGTTAGCTAAGCTAACTAAGCTTTAAAAATTAATAAAATAATTATAAAAATAAATCTTTATATAGAATATAATTAAGCTAGCTAATTAATTAAAAATAATTTAAATTATAGAAACTTTTATTTATAATAATAAATATATTAATCTTTATAACTATTTTATTTTTAAAATTAAAATTAAAATATTTAAATATAAAAGCTTTTATAAAAGTTTTTTTTAATTATTTAAAATTAATATTAATTTTTTTTAATTAATTTTAAAAAAAGTTTTATTAAAATATTAAATTTAAATATAATAAAATATTTATAAAAGTTTATAATATTTAAAAAGCTTTTAACTTTTATAATATTTTAGAATATTATTTAAATAAAAAGATTTTTAAATTTAATATATTATAATTAATTTTAATATTTTTTAAAATAATAATAAGCTTTAAATATTTAAATAAATATATTTAAATTATATTTTTAATATTTATTTTTATAAGATTTTAAAAAAACTATTTATAAAACTTTTTTTCTTTTAAAATTTATATTATTATTAAAATTTAAATTAAACTTTAAAATAATAAAAACTTAATATAAAATTAATTTTAAAAAAGTAAAATTAAATATTAAAAATAAATAACTTAGCTAATAAGATTAATAATAAAAATAAATCTTTATAGAAAATAACTAAGTTAGCTAAGCTGATAATAGAAATATATAGAAATATTAAATATTTATTTAATAATAAAAATTAATTCTTAACTCTTAAGAAAAATAAAGAAAGTTATAATAAAAAATTAACTTTATTTTAAATAAAAATTATAATATATTAATTTTTTAATTTAATTGTATTTATTAAACTTTTAATATTATTTATATTTATATAATTAAAAAAAATATAATTTAAATTATAATAAATTTTCTTTTATTTATTAAAAGATATTTTTAGAAACTTTATTAATAATTAAAGATTTAAATTATTTAAAAAGAAGTTATAAATTTAATAATAAATAATAAATAATAAATAATAAATAATAAATAATAAATAATAAATAATAAATAATAAATAATAAATAATAAATAATAAATAATAAATAATAAATAATAAATAATAAATAATAAATAATAAATAATAAATAATAAATATTACTTTTATATTAGTTTTTTATAAAAAGATTTTTCTTTATTTAATTATATTCTTAAATTTAATTATATATAAAATATAATAATTATTAATTATTTTTCTTTTTAATTAAAATTAAAACTAAACTTTAATTCTTAATAAAGTTAATATTTCTTATAATATAATTAATAATATTTTATTTAATAGAAAATAGTTTAAATTAAAATAAAAATTAATTTTTATTAATTCTTATAAAATAGTTATCTTAATTAAGACTTCAATAATTTTATTTTTTTTATTCTTTTTTTTAAAAAAAATTATATATAAAATAAAAAAATAATTTATTTATATTATTTTATTATTTATTATATTTAATACTCCTCTTCCTAATATAGAACTATAATATATTATAAAAGTATTATAATTATAATACTTATTTTATATTATATTTATATTTATTATTTATAAATATAAACTTTAGCTTTAAGATTATTTATTTTAAAAGTAAATTATTAAAATCCTTTTATAAAGTTTTATATAAAGTATTTTATTATATTTTATTAATAAAAATAAATTTAATTTAAAAGAATTTTTAATATTATAAATATTTCTAAAAAATAATAATTTATTTATAATTTAATTTTTTATTAAATAAAATAATCTTAAAAATATTTATTTTAATTAAATATAACTTTTTATTTATTATTTAAGATTTTATTTATAGTAACTATTTTATATTATTATTTATTTTTAAGTTTTTATAATATATTTATTAAAGATTTTAATTTATAAAAGTTATAAAATATATATATTATTAATAAGTTTTTTCTTAATAAAAAATAAAGATAAATTATTTAATAATAAAGTTACTTGAAGTTGCTTTTAAGATTTTAAATTATATTAAGCTTATTTGTAGTAAGATCTAATAGATTTAAATTTTAAAACTTAAAATATAACTATATTTAAAGCTTATAAAGTAATTTAAGTAATTTATTTTTTAAAAAACTTAATTTTTACTTTTTTAAGTTTTATAATTAATAAAGTATTTTAAGTATTTAAACTTAAAGTTTTTAAAGTCTTAAAGCTTTTAATTAATAAACCTTTTTATAAATAAGCTAAATATAGGCTTAAAGTTTAAGTTTTTAAATTAAATTTTTTCTTTAGAAAATAATTATTAAAAGTAAAAATATTCTATATATTTATTCTATAGTTATATAAATAAATTAAAATCTTTTATAAATATAAGTTTTTTCTTTAATAAAATATTTAATATATATCTTATTTATTAATATTTTAAAAAATTAGTATACTTAGTATAATAAATAAAAAATAATAATATATATATAGTTATAAAGTCTATATTATTATAAATAATAAGTTAATTTTATTATTTTAATAAATATTAATAAATAAAGGTATTTTTTTAATAATAAATTTTAAGAATAGTTCTCTTAATTTAATTTTTATATTTATATTAAATTAAATATTAATATTAATATTTTTTTTATTTAATTTTTAGTTTAAAAATTATAATTTATAAATACTTTTTTTTAATTTTAATTTTTTTAAATAGTTTCTTTTAACTATGAATCTTTATAAAATATAAAGATTTTAATTAATAATTTCAATTTTTTAAACTAAGGTTTCTAGAATTTAATTATTTTAAAAATTATTATTATAATAAGAATTAACATCCCTAGTACCCCTACCAACATGGTCCTCACCACTACCATCGACGCAACCACAACATTTCCCATCCCTGGTAGCAACCCGCCCCTCAAACTCCAGATCACCGTCGCTATAAAAAGCGGCATGACCGGCGAGCAAGCGCGCAGAGTTCTCGCCAACGCAATCACTGAAATCCAAGGCTACATACCCTTCGAGAGTGGCGACCCGGTCCCCGAATGCGGGAAGAATTTTGTCATCGACGGGACGTACGCGCTGCATTTGGCTCAGGTACCGGGGTCTTTTAAGGCGGCCTTTACGTGGCTTGTGGCCCTGCAGGCTGTGCAAGGGTATCAGACTTATGTTGGGCAGAAAGACCCAGTGTTATTTGGTACGGTCAGAATTTTGGCGGATGGACCGGAGGAGCTGTTTTATGGCATTATGTTGCTAGGCAAAGGGAGATGAGATGGAACTATTCGGGATTTATAGAATAGACACTAATGTCCCGTTTTTGGAACAGTTCGGAACCGTTGCCCGAATGAACTTGCACGACAAGACGACTCTGAACTAGACTAAAACCTTATCGGTTCATGATTCTTGATGGAAAGACTAGTTGGTGAGGTTTTCAGGCTATATCGTGCGTTTTTGCTAGTTTCATTTCTATTTAATAAAGAACTCGAAAATACTAGTTAGACGTCGTATATACGTAGGATCTTATTCTATCGTTTGTCAGGTAGCGAGTGCCAACCCAGGCTGAACACTCGAAATAAGCCACCAACCAGACTAACGCTCGCCCAAACGCCTGTGAATTGAACCTAGTACAGACATGACGGTAGTATAGGACGTTTGAAAACTCCTTAGGATTCTGATTTGTGCGTAAATTTTTTGAGACAGTTTAGCAAACCATGTCAAATGTCTGAAATGTGTAGTCGAAGCCTGAAATGAAAACCAACAAGTCCAGCTTGAGGCGCTAGAATACTGGTCCATTGACTCACGCATGTTCAGAGCGTCTATTCCTGTCACGGCTGCCTTGAGGCTCAAGGATATATGAGAAGGTCAATTAACAGGCTCAACGAGCAAATCTTTCAGGAATCATGAGCCACTCGAGCAACGATTCCGCCATGTATCAAAGAATAATTGTCACTCTCTGTGTCTCAGCGCTCGTCCGCCTCGCATTCAGCGGGCCTCTTCCTATCACATGTCCCACAAGCCATACCGTGCCCAACATCACTTTCCTCGACACAAAAGCCTTGTAAGTATCTCACGAACGACCCAAGCTCCTCCCCTCCCATCAGTCCATTCCCTCTCACACATATACCTACCGCATCAACAACCACCACTGAAATACCTCGACAGCGCGCCCCTACTCATCGATACCGAGACAAACAAACCCTCCTTCCCCATCCCAGGCAGCGATCCGCCCTTGAAACTCATCTTCGACACGGGCAGCCGTACCGTCCTCCCTCAAGCCCAAGCCGACCAGATCCTCGATAGCGCAGCCACAGAGATCCTAGAGACTCACTTTCCCTTCGAGAGCGGCGACCTCGTACCTGAGTGCGCAACAGTCTTCACAGCGGCTGGGGTAGAGGGTTTTTCGCTGTGGATGTGGAAGCGGTCGACTTCTCAGCAGAGGTTTACGTGGAATGTGGCCCTCCAGGCTATCAGGGGCTATAAGGTCTATATTGATGGTGTTGGACGCCGGGAGGCAGATGTTGTGCCGTTGAAGGCTGTGAGAATATACGTAGATGATCCTGCGGCTGGGGATGGGAGTGGGAGGTTTCTGTATGGCTTCATACAATTCTCGGATTGAGAGAGAAAGAACGGAACGGCGAGAGGTCGGGACTGTGATCTAAATGCTCTTTCCATTCTTTGATCCCTTCGATTGGTAGGGTATCTTTTCCTTTCAACTCTAAGCTTAGCGCCTAGAAGCCTTTATAAAGCTACTTCTCCAAAGGTTTATAAGACAGAAAATGGTCACACTCAATGATCTTTCAAAATATCGTAGTCTATGCCTATCAAAGCGAAATTGCGAGGCTTTACTGCAGAGTATAACCCTCTGCTAATGCCTTTCAATAGGCAGGACCTCGTGATTCTGGCATCAGGGACCTGTGGTAGTAATGAGCGGGTCTTATTCAAAAACGAATTCCAGCGTCCGAGGCTATGATCAGCTTACGAGCATCGTTTTCGAACCCTTTTTCAAGTGACACTACCGATGCCAAGTCAAGGGATAGCATGTATGCCAATACATAATCCCAATCTTAATTTCGCTGCTACAATACAGAGCCTGCCAAGCAAAGCACTGAGTACCTAAGGCGAGACACCGCAATCCATCTGCAAATTGTTCTAGCTGCCTGATCTCTTTGCTCAAGCTAGAAAGTCAAGACTCCGTACACGGCCCAGCTACCGACTAGTAGCCAGTAGACTGATCCAGAAACCAACAATTCTCAAGGAAATATGCGCGAGACTTGGCGCGTCTCGTCCCCTGTAGACGTCCATAAACCTTGATTGAATGCCTTTTTCATATCTTTCCGTCGAGAGATACTATAAACAGTACATCTATAAAAAGAAAGCTGGGATACATGATGCCGTTCGGTTCGAGTTGATCCAATGTCTTACTTCGATGAATCATTGCAACAGCATCTGCAGTAGGCAGCAAAGATTGATGAGTCGTTTCTTCTTGGCTTCTATGGACCGACTTTTTTTGAACCCAAGAGGATTGGCTTCCCATAACCCTGTGCGGGAAGGAATTTTTTGTAGTGAATGAGCTGCTCCCTGACTCATTCCCTGCTGGTCTCCAAACCCAATAGAAACGCAACGGTTGAGTCTCCATCTTTATTATTGTTTCGTCTCCACCATGATGAATTGCCATACAAGCTTAGTGTATATCTTGCTCGCCCTCACGGCCTCAGTCGCCAGCCTTCCTGCCCTGACCGCTACAGGCGCAACACCAACTGGCACGACTCTGCTTACCTCAACAAAGTAGGTTCTCTAGATTCTCCAAGCACCTATCACCTTGCCTCCAATCTATAAACGCAATCTCCTTCATTTACCCTCACCCCATTCCTTGCATTCTAGCATCCCTCACGCAATTCTCCTCATCTGACATCCGCTCTTGTCTTCCCAGTCTCTCCGACCGTCCCTACACCTACACATTCCACCCAACCCTACCCTCGCGCCCATCGGCGTTATGGAGCAACAGCGCCCAACTCCTCGACTATCTCCTCGTCGTACGCGTACAAACTGAGCTCCCCACACTGCCCCTACCAAACGGGGAATTCGGGTGGTTCTTTGGTGGGCCTGGTGGGCCCGTAGCGTTTCACGTTTCCGGGGAGGACTTAGTTTGGGGAGATGTAGCGGCGTGTTTGGGGGCGATGAAGAGATTGGTATCGGAGAACAAAGGAGAATTGTGCGCTAAGGGTAGATATTTTGGATGGCACGGAAACGAAAGGGGAGGCGACGTGGTATAATGAAGTCAGTTTGAATGAAGACGACGGGAGTGCGACGGCGACAGAGTGAGATTGGTGAGATCGAGGGAGGGGACGGGGAGATGGAGACTGTGAATTGGACGTTCTTTCTGAGCAGTGTCTGGCAATTGGGTTTCGTGCATAGGTATAATTATCATCGCACTCCGGCGGGGCTACAAGCCTTTAGACAGAGAGTAAATGTAATTTGAGGAGATGACATTTCACTTCGCCACCGTTGCCCATGTGGCATAGATAGCCCTATATGTTTTCTCTGGCACTAGATGAGAGCGAAGCAGCACTATTTGTTTTGCATATCGAGTACCAACAGTGCCTAGACGCTCTCATGTTCATCATTGCCAGGATTAGATGAACTTTAAATCTCTTTCAAATCAGCCGAGGCTAGACTTCTCATCAATACGTCGAATCTGGAAATGTTGTCAAGGTCGGAATGTTCGGCACGACAGGACTCGTACTCAGTATCTCGCTAGGAAAAGTTGAGGAAACGCTTCGATCCATGACCGGGGTAGAATCAAGGTCGACCGTTGGCGGAGGCAATTTCCCTTTCTGAAAACTGATAAAGGCCACTCTCTCCTTATTCCATCTTATGCCTCCAAGAAAGGGTCTGAACCTATCTTGTATAGGCTCCTTGTTCATTATCATGGCCAAGAAATTGAGAGCACTCACAATCATGAACTGCTTGAGAGCCTTCGAGTGTTCATTAGACGCGCCTATCTGGAACGTCACATCTGTAGGGCTGTCATAGAGCCTAATTCCTGGGACGTAGTCTTCGGAGCCCGTTGGACCCAGATGTACGATCGCGTTCATGAGAATGATATAGAACGCGAATGGATTGCACAGAGCAGGGGCTTTGATGTCAGGGTCGAAATCGATCCTGACCCTATCAGTGCTGGGGGCGACATTCGGCGTTGAGGATTTCACAATTGGCCTATAGTCATTTGCGTCCAACTGAAGATTTGAAGAGTTGAGCTCAATGGTAGGGCTCATAAGAATCGATCCGATGCCCATGTCCACATCATCCTGCTGGGGCTGAAAGATTGTTTCTGCATAGTGTGGAGGATCTTGCTCCTCCCAGAAGCCCGCAACGACATCAATGAGTGAACACATGATGTGTTGGACGAGCAATGGAGAGGCTCCGACTATTTGACTCTTGACGACTCTGATTTTGATGCCTCGAGTCGCCTGGCAATCCGCAAGTTTCTCTGAGTCGTTCCAATCTTTGACTGCTTCTTCTGCGAGGCAGGCGGTGACCGCAAGCCAGGCATCGTATCTGCTGAGAGGTTGAGCGTTCTTCTTGTAGTGAGCTACGGTTCCGAAACTGTTGGGTGGGCTTTCGATTGGTATAGAATTGCTATATCATCAGCCGAGTGCGAAAGAGTCCAAAAAAAATAAGACTTACAAGTTTTCTGCGCCTAAGATCGTTGAGCCTCCGTGAATTTGGAGTCTTGAGCTGGTAAGTATATCCAAATAAAAGGAATGATAGTGGCTTACTGTGATACGTGTGTTGTATTGCTTGGCTCGACTGCGTGGAGATCCGCTAGTGCGCCACTTGAACAGGCAAAAAGCCACCACAGTAGTAGTGAGAGCTGCATTATCCCCAAACTATATCAATTGCGATCGTCATGACCGACAGAGACCAAAGTACATATATGGTAGCCTAGAAAGATCTTAGGTACTAGCAAAACCCGAGAGGTCTGCGCGTATAGATGAAAAACACCTTGGCCCAAAAATAGAATGCCATCATCCGCCTCGGCTCCAGGATGGAAGTTTGATTAGATATGTATTAACCGCAAAGCACTAACAACGGAAAGCATAGCAAACATGTCTGTGTTGGTGTCTCGCTGAGAAAAATTGACGCAGGACCTCACACTATATTATTCTTCACCTGAGATCACCCGGGATGGTTTATTCAAACGCTTCCAGATACGACAAGCCTTAGAAACTAGAATCAGTTTGCAACGGTGCATTCAGCAGCCTTGATATACTATGCTTCTCGGAAAGCAGATGACAGCTTTTTATCTGGTACTATGTTGAATATAGAGGCAATTGAGTGAGGGGCTAGTTTGGTCAGTGGCTTATCTCAGAGTACTCCGCCTAATTGGTGGACACGAGCTCTGGTTGAAAGGCAAGGTCGTCTTAGAAGGACATATATAAGGCGTCTACCTACCCTGTAGAAGGGATAGACCTATTACGTTCAACATTTCTCCAGGCACCCGCCCAGGGCCCGCGCGTATGACGTCTTCTACATATAGTATCTTAGGTCAGGGCCAGAAGGTGAATCTTGTTGGATTTGCGCTAAAAGTGATCTTCGTGATCCTTGACAGCAGTGGTGAGGAGGCTTTGATCTGGACAGATATGGCGCCTTGTTTAGCGGCTAATAACTAGATAATTCCAGACACATTGCGAGAATTGTACTCTGTATGTAGGGATTCTTAGATGGGAATGAGCGGAACGGAAAGCGAGATAGATAGCGGACTTCGATTCGACAACGCATCCTGTAGCAGCGGATGGGAATTTGCCAACAGAAATGGTGTGCGATTTGCTGATACTAGATCTAAACGGGACCGGGAGAAAGCGGTGTTGGGATGTGAGTCTATCGTGGTGTTGGGATGTGAGTCTATCGTGTTCTATAATGGGAATATTGTTTAAGAACTTCAGTTCGGCGACTAGTAGATGAGCTTATGTGGTGATCGCGTAGGAGAAACATAGTGGCCAAGAGCATCTCAAGCAGGCAGAGGCTATAACCCTGCTGTTTAGGCTGGCGGGAAAGAGGTGTTGGAATGTAAGTCTGTCGTGTTCTATAATAGGAAAATTTATTGAGAGACAGATCTGGGAGTCAGTTTCAGTTCCTTGACAAATAGATGAGCTTAGATGGCAGAGGCTTAGTAGTTTGCTTTCACGCTTTTGAACGCCGACTTTTGAACTGTAAAACTCACCTTCTCCTCTAATGAGTTAAGCATATAAAGCGAGACGGGAGCGCTGCTCAATTTCTTCTGCGGTGCTCAAAGAATAATCATTCACGTGGACAAGCTTTTCTATCTTCCTATCTTGATATAACCGTCTCATTCATAATGAAAGGATCTTTACTCTGTAATTGGCTTATGCTCACTGCTTCTGTAGCTTGCCTACCTGCCCTCAGCGCTGTGGGAGAAGTACCAACTGCGACCCCGTCTGCTACTCCCAGGTAAGTCCTCTCAAATTCTATACACCTACCACCAGCGTTCGATCTTTTGATGTAACCTCCATGTCTTCCCTTCCATCACCGTCTCTATCTCTTGCAGCAACCTTATACCGTATCTCACTTGTATTACTATAACTCCATTAACTATCTTTTCCTCCTTAGTCTTACCAACGGCCCCTACACCTACGACTTCTATAAAACTCTATTAGAGTATCACCTCGCACCTTGGCAAACACATGCAAGCCTCATTCACCAGATACTCGTCACACAAGTGCAGACTCAACCACCTAATCTTCCTCTACCAAGGGGTCACTGGGTGTGGAGCTTCGGTCCTCCTCAGGCCGGCAACAGCTTTGGCATCCATGCGCCAGGTATGCTTTTTGGGGATCTAGCAGCTTGTATGGAGTTGATGGTACAATGGTATCAGACGACTCACGCAGAGTGTGCCATGAGAGGGGATATCTACGAAGGGGGTGTCGAAATTGGTTATGTAGGGTGGCACTACGATGTAAACCCCCTGAAGCAATTGCAAATGCAACGGCGACGGAGTAAGATACGCTATCACAGGAGATTGCAACAGGCGGGAAGAGATGTTGGAAGGCGTTCTATTTCTAGCACGAAAAGGGCAAGATGGACCTAGGGTTAAGACTTGTCTACAAGAGAATTGACGAGGCTTCAAAAACTGCATGTGGATTGGATTATTCCAACAGCTTGTCGCGTAGGTTGGGGCTGTAGACAGACCTTCCTTTAGTGGACTTCTATAGCCTGGTTCTCTGGTTATGGGAAGACTTGCTCCCACAATCTAGGGCCAGATGAAACAGAGACGTAAGCTATGTTGAAGCCCGTCTGCTGCTCTTTAAGCATGTTGTAAATAACACTATAGTAAATTGTCCATCCCTGCGTTTAATAACTATGGTCTTATCCTAATTATAATAGGAAGCTACTTTCTCTACGTCTCCCTCGCTTTTACTACTTTAGTTACCTACCTACCTACTACTAGCGCTATATAAAAAACACTAATTATACTTCTATTTACTTTACTATAAATATAAGTCTTTTTAAATACTTCTATATCTAAAATAATTTTATATTAAAGCTCTAAAGCTATATAATAATATAGTAATAATAGTAATAATAATAAAATAAGAAAATAAGAAAAGGGTATAATAAAATAAAAGGTTTAAAAACTAAGATTATTAAAACACTAAGCTTATTTAAGTAATAAGTTCTACTAACTTAACTATATTTTATTTATATATTAGACTTACTAAAAATAGTTGAAAAATAGTATTAATATTATTTAATAAGATGTTTTAGAAGTAATTATAGTATATTATTATTAAAAAAAACTTATATTTAGTTATTTAAATAAAAAGTAGTTAAGTAGTAGCTATTAATTAAAAAAATAATAATAATTTAAAAGCTAAAGATATATAAATAATAGTTATAAATTTAATATATAAAATAATATTATATTAAAACTTAACTAAGTAATTAGTAGCTTATATAAAATAAATAAGTAATATAGTTTATAATTAAGAAAAGAATATATAAGAAACTATAATAAAAATTATATACTTTATAATTAAAAGCCTTTCTAAAGCCTCTTCTTTAGGTACCTATATTCTCTATACTTTAACTAAAATTTTTAATTAATTTTATAGTAAAAACTTTAATATAAAGGAGCTATAAATATATAGATAAATAATAAACTAGATTATATTATAGTTAGTAACTAAGTTACTAAGCTAGATATTTTATAATATATAGAAATATAGGAAATAAAATTTATTAATTATAAAGATAATAATATTAAAACTTAAAAAATTACTAAAGAAATAATAAGTATATTAATAATATTATTAAAGAAGAAATTAACTAAGAAGATATATTATACTTTTAATTTAAATAATAATAATATAATTATATTCTATATTATAGGTAGAGAAATAATAAATAAAGCTTAAAATATTTAAGAATTAATAACTTATATAAAAAGTAGAAATAATATATAGTATAATATAATTTATAATATAATTTCTTAAAGCTATAATTTTAAGAATATAAATTAGCTATTTATAAATAATACTTTTAATATAAAATTCAATTTATTATAAAAAAAGAAAAAACTTATAAGCTTAAGAAATTAATATTTTAAATTAAAAAGATTATTATAGCTTTAAATATAAAGAAAAAAGATATTATTAATTATTTAATAGTAACTTAATAAGATTTAATTTATGTTTATACTTTTTATAAACTATACTAAGATAATTTAAATAATATATTATAATAAATTAAAGTATTAAAATTAAAAGTAAATTATTTATAAAGGGGTAGTAATAAAGTCTTAATATTAAATATTAATAACTTAGACTTTAAAGATAAAAAGCTTATAATATTTTAATAATTAAAATATATAATAACTTTATAAGCTAGTATTACTAATAATATAATAGTATTTAAGAGTAATAAATATTACTTTAACTTAGGTAAGTTTAAAAAAACTAATAATTATAAATAATATAAAGTTTAATAATTAAAATATTTATTTAAATTAATATATAATACTATACTTTATTTTATTAAGTTTATAAAATTAATTTTATTTATAATTATTATGAAGAGTTAGCTTTTAATATTATATATAGCTTAGAGTTAGGATTAGATAGTAGTTTTATAAGCAAAAAAAGCAGGCTTAGCGCATACAATATTAACTAGCAGCTAATTAGCTACTAGTAGGGGAATATAAATTATACTATATTCTAACTACTAGGGCTCTAATTAATATAATTAAATATATATTTTAAAGCCCTAATTAAGCGCATTTTAATAAGCCTTTAACTATATAAATTGGATTACTATTAAGCTTAAAAACTAATATACTAGTTTATTATATAGTAGGGCCTCTATATAGTGAAAATTTAATTTATATATTATTAATTACTTACTAATTAGCTACTATAGGGAGGTTATAGACTAGACTATATCTTAATAATTAAAGCTTTAATTAATATAATTAAAGATTTATTTTAAATACTTTAATTAAATATATTTTAGAGTTAGGAAATTCTATTAGTATATTTATTACTTATATCTAGCTTATATTATAAGATTTAGCTTAACTTCTATTAAAATAGTTTATTATACTTTTATATAATCTTTTATAGTTAGTTCTATATAATTCTTATTTATAGTTATTATATTTTCTTTTCTTATAAATTCTAATTTATTAGGATTATACCCTTTTATATAATCTTAAGTAGTTTTTACTAAGTATTTAGTTCTTTTAATTATATTAGTTATAAATAATTTTTAAAGCATTTAGCTAATTAATATACTTATCTCTTTCTTCCTTCCTTAGTTTCTTATTTACTTTTTTTTTATTCCTTTTACTAAAGTTCTTAGTTT